ACTCGCTCTTATAATAGGTCCGTGAGGGATTTAAAACATACAGTGCTTCATGATCACCACAGCAGAGGATTGTTAAAATACCGGATTGTGACAAACTCTTCATTATTGAACTGTTTTTTAAGGAATTAATTCTCGAATTTTGAAGGGAAGATGATCGATGTAGGTAAAGCAAATGTTTGTATTAGTATTTTGGGGTATGCTTTATATTTATCTGGTTTTTAACCCTTTATTGCCCTTTGTATCATATTTGATACATACTTTTATGATACTTCTATCAAATCAATATGATCAACAAATTACTTAAAAAAACCCACCTGAATACAGTCCAATAAATGATAAAAATGTCCTCTTGTGGTTTATAAGTTTCCAAAAACATCTGATGTATCAAACAAGATAAATATATATATTTGTTAAATTTTGAGGACATTTTAATTTTTTTTTTCTGGCCATAATTTGTGGTTTCAGGCTTCAAAGAGTTAGCTGATTCTTTGGCCCTTTGATATCGTGTGCCAAGAAAATATGATTGCTAAATAATAATAATAGAGCAATATGGTCCAAAATTAATATTCCTCATCACCTCCGGCAAAAAGGTAGATTCTGTGTTACAGTGTTGATGAGATAATTTTTTTAAGTCAAGTTTGTATCAGGTACTTACCTACATAATTCAAAGTCTACAGTATATCTGATTGAAAAAAGGGCATGGAAACAGGTGAAATGCTGAAAGTAAAAACAATTTCTGCTTCATGAAAAAAACCTCATATATTCTCAGTTTGATGCCAGCAACACATTTGAAAAAAATGAGACAGTTTACCATTGTGTTGCATCACCTCCTCTTTCAACAACTCTGGGAACAGAGGAGACCGTGCTGTTGTATTTTTTAACAGAATATGGTGTTGTCTTACTAAAATATGGAAGGGCTTCCCTGAAAAATTCATTGTCTGCATGGCAGCATATTTTTGCCCCCAAACCTTTAAATTGTTTAGTATTAATGGTACCTTCCCATGTCATTGGCGCTTCTGCATCTATACACCATCTCATATGGTATGTATGGTGATGTCTGAACTGTCCACTGATAATAAGACTTTCCTCTTTAAAGTGAAAAACACCTTGGTAGAAAGAAGATAAAAAAACAAGACAAGAAAAATAAAGAAAGACAAATTTGTAAATCTTTAGATCAATGAAATTTTTTTTCACTTCACCTCGGTCAGTTTTAAATGGGTTTAGGCCAAGTTGCCCAGAACATGTTAATCATGTTTATTTTTGGCTTCCTCTTTGCATGGCCGTTGCATTTGTGGATGCATAGATGAACTGTGCTAACACACAATGGATTTGGAAGTGATTTCGAGCCCATACAGTGATTTCCACTACAGAGTCATGTTTTTGTTTTTGAAGCAGTGCTGTCTTAGGGCCAAAGTTCATGGCCATCCTGTATTGATTTGTGGCCTCGGCCCTTCTGTACAGAGATTTCTCCAGATTTTTATTATGTTTTAAACATGGGGTATTATGCATTTTTTCAGACTCTATACTTCCTTTCTTATTCCTCTTTAATAGCTTCACATGGTTTTCAGATAATAAAAAAACAGCCTTGTGTTTCTCACACTGGTGTATTGAAACACCATTATTACAGCCCCTGAAATGCATTGTTTTAGCTGCTGCCTCTATGAGACCCTATTAGACTTCTTTCAAAGTAAAAGCCTGTTTTTAAAAAAACAGTGAAATTCATAAACTGAAAGTTTTCAAGGTTCTAACTGAAGTGCTTACAACATTTTAAATATATATGTTTAAAGTTAACACTACACATTCAGCTGTGTTGCTCAGTCATAACTATAATACTGCCATCTTAAGCTTGTAACAACTGTACTTATCTGTTATTTAGTTAAATTTCCAACAGCATGAAGCCAAGCTCAGCATGTTTGTTACTTTCACCATGAATGAGTCTGTACTTAAATGTGCTCTGCTGTGGCGTGATAGCAGGAGGGGTGGTGCAGTGCTGCTGTTTCTGCCCTGCTCTCTGTGGTGCCTAACATCATTACTGCCCTCCTGTCACCACGGCAACTGACTTGGCCACATCATCAGAAGTGCTTTTGTTTAGGTATTTATTGACCGTGCATGCATTTATGTGTTCGTGTGTGTGTGTGTGTCTGCTTGTTGATGTGGATGTACCTTTTTTCACACACAGCAGGAAGTCAATCACACCCACCTCCCATGTCAATAAGAACAGCACAGCTCTAATCCATTACTCTACTTCCTATTAGACAATCAACTTTATGAACACATCTCATCATCACCTTTGTTTTTCTTCTTCTGGTCCCACTGGCTCCTTCTTCCCCTGGACATGGCCACATGATGCCTGCACCGACTGAAGGTTTAATAACTCTAAAAGGTTCACCACCCCCACACACCACTCCCAGTAACCTCACTCATTACTGAAATGATCCGATCTGCTCTAAAAACTTTACTGCTTATGAGTCATGGTGAAACAAAAGTGTGAGAAACATAAAAAATACAGTAAAAGAGAAAATTACAGCAGAAGCCTGTCTGTCATATAAAGAAAAGGAGCAAAAACGTGTGTGGAAGTTGGAAGCAAACAGGTTGAATATCTATAATTCATCCACAAAACTCAGAGTGTAGTGGTGCATTTCTCAGATGTGTATCTCTCAGACGTGTATCACTTCTTGTCGGCTAAATAATTGATGTCATAGCAGGTTTCCAATCTGTGCATGACGTATTTCACAGATGCTGTTCTGTGTGAGCCTACAGTATGTGTACTTTACAGTACCAAACTCTGCTGTATATTTCATGTTACAGTATAACCTTTATACCATCCCAAGCCCTGGGAATCTGTCAGATATGTTTATGGGCATTGGAACACCTTTTTTAAGGACAGGAGCCATTCAATTTGTAATTTTTAACTCCAATCATAGCGCTGATGGCTTTTTTTTGGTCGGTGCAGTGCATTAGGAAACAAGCTACTAACATTGCATTGAAGGTGGTAAAGGGAAAATGTTTCCCCAGAGTACATATGTTACTTCTTAGTGGCAACTTCTGGTCTCGGGAAGTGAAGCCGATGCAGTGGTGCTGAAAACTGCAGTTCCTTGAGTGTCCACTTGAGGCTGGCTGCAAAAGCCCTGGAAGCCACATAAACACCCATTCAAAATAGCCCATCTTAACAGCTAAGACAAACATGTTTGCAACCTGGTACGAAAAGGATTTTGGTTTAACTTTGAGCTTATTTTTCCACCCTCACACACTTTACTAAGGTAATTTTTTGATAGGTCATAAGTTTTCCAGATATTAGGATTATGAGTTTTGCATTATTAGAGACAAAACAGATTTGAATGACCGCTGAGAACATTGTATCAGTTATCAAAGAGGCTACAAGTTCTCCCCAAATCTGAATGAACCAAACCTCGAAAAGTATGGATATTGGATATAGGATATAATATTTATTTATATGGGCAGTTACATATAATGTGTATACATGTAACTATGTATGTACATGTGTGCATAGGTGCAAAATATGTTTCTATAGATGTTTATGTAGCATATGTATGTTATGTCTATTGATACTTCTGTGAGATACGTGTGTGTGTGTGTGTGTGTGTGTACTGTATATATATTCATATATATTATAGCTTTTGTTGTGCATGTGTAGATAAACATATTTATATAAATTATATGTATATTGCAGTATATTGCATTGATAGCAGAATTAATTTTTTTAATAAAACCCATGAGGAACAGTAATAGCTGGAATTCAAAAAGTGTTTACTTCTTCTTACTTCTTTTTGAATGTGGATAATTCTTTTTTTTTTCTTTGTATGTAAATGGCATTTTTCTATTTATTTCATTTCTTTGCATACATGCAAAAAAAATGTTGCTTCAGTAAGAAACACTTTGTCGTGCTATCAGGGTTATGGGTAAAGTTGGTAAATCTTATTTACACCATCTCAAGCCATTAAGGCCTTGTGTAATCATTTACCAGGTGACACCACTTTAGTCTGTGAAGGCTCATGGCTGAAGGCTTAAGAAGGAACATTAAGATTTAGCCTCTCTTTCAATCTCTGACACCATCAAAGTAAAGTTGGCGCTTGGTTCAGTTCTGACATCTGCAAATATTGTGAAGGAATATAATAAATTGATAATAAAATGATAAAAACTAAGTCAAAACTTGTTAAACAGTCAATGAGGCAGAGAGAGACAGAGTTGGGAGTTCATGATAACTGTAGACTGATATGCTACAGTCATGTTATGTACAGACAGCCTGACAAATCGGTAACTTTAAAGAAACCCCCAGACCGTGGGATAATGTAAAAAAGGCATACATCTATTCAGCATAGCAAACTAAAAATGTGGGTAAATCTCATCATTCATGATTCTCCAAGGTGAGAGAGTGGCCAACAGCACAGTGGAGGAGGTGAACATCTTGCCGTATCATGAGCATCACCAGACCACATGGATAATATATTCAGTCTTTAAAAAACTGGAATTTAGGCGTACATGCAAGAAGCAGTAGATTGCAACAATTTAAGTTTTCCTTTACAGATAAAGAGATAACTTCATGACTTATAACTGCATAAAAATACACCTTAAATACAAGAAATTAAGTCTTTAACTCACAAAATTTCAAGGGTCCTCCTCAGAAGACTAAAGGTGGTTTACATATGAATGCATCAATTAGCAGATTTCATGATATTAAATTACAAATAGGAGATACATTTTAGCATTTTCATATACTTCTCAGTTTAGTACTTTAAGAGTGTTTTGCTTAAAATACCACTACTCTCACCACTTGTGCCAAAATTTTGATAGATATTTCTATATTCTTTATTGAACTAGCATTTCCAATGAAGGACTGTGTTTTGTCATTCTTTATTCTTACTCAAGGGGTGTTGGTGTAAAAGTAGCAGTGGTCTTGTGATAACATTCTGAACAACATCAACCTCCAAACATGTTGTAATTTCACTGTTCCTTATTTGTTGAACACAACACAGCCAAACTCACTGTTTGCATAATAATTTATTCACATATTTTTTTTTCACATACTATATATTATTATTGCTGCAGTTCTGGAGCCTTTCAGGTTTTCACTTTCAATACTCCCACAAGGGGATTCTATGTTCATATAATTTTCATCTTCATGCATGCTAAGTATTACATTTCACAGGAGCAGGATGCAAATAAATAAAACAGTCTCTTTTTAAGTTACATGTTGTAATCTACCCATTCTATTAATGCTTCAATAACATGCCTTGTTCAAAGTCCTTACTGGGGGAACACTTTCAGAACATATAGTCTCCACTGGAGGATGAAGGCTTAACAAAGAGCACATTAATAATACATAGTGTTAAAGCTGGCAATCTATGATTAATCTTCATTATCACCCAAACCAGTGTTCCCCCATTCAAGTGAAGCCCATCTACTCGCTTAGGGAAAAGGCTAAGTGTAATTATAACATTTTATCTATGTACAGTAACTTTGAAATATGGCACCAAATCTGCTTGTGAAAAAAAGCTTGAGGTTACAGGTTAAAATATATATACTACCATACCTTTTCCTCTTTATTTGGAAAGAAATCTTTATATAAGTCTTTAGCCCCTTAGACAGTGATCACACTTTGCAAATCAAAGTGGAAACACTGGCACACTTCCTTTTTCTGAAAGTAAACAGCATGCCTCACAGGCACTGGGAGCATCGCGGTGCATAACACAGTGTTGGAAAGAAACTCTAACACATTTTCAGCGCACCATGTGTCTCATTTTGAACAAAGCTCCCGGCAATGTCAACCTTTACTCAGATTGGCACCTAACGCACCAGAGAATATGAAGAAAGTGACAATTTTTAGGAAAAAAGCCTGACAACAAAGATTGTGTTGCAGTTAATGCTGATAGTTTTAGTGCTGTTGGTTTTGTGTTTGACTTTATGTAAGTTTAAAAAAGGTGCTTATTGTCCGCTGAGTGACTCTACTCAAAACTTATGGACATCGAGAAATAATATAATATTTCTTTCTCTCATAGCTCAGATAAGCTTAGCATTCAATTTTCTGACTCAAGTCAGAGATTGGCTTTTTTTTCCCACACATGCGTATGCATGCACACGCTTAAGCTCTTGCATATGCACATAATTGGAAAATAAGGGGATTATTTCTGACCTACAGCAAAGGCAAATAATGGAGAACTTCAGATAATTCAACCTCAGACTATCTTTACAGTATTTTTATTTTTTTAGAAATTGCTCAGTTTTATCTGTTGGGTTCTTTAAAGGCAACTAGTGTCACATTTGCTGAGCAGGACTCTGAATTGTGAAAGCTTCAGGTGTAAGCTTTATTACAGCAACACAGTTGCCTCTGTAGGAAGGTGGTTCTTGTCTCTTAAAGTGTCAAAGTCTACTCGGTGAATTAATGCTACACAGAGTCTGTCTGTGCTCCTGAATAATAATGCTGTGATGAGTTTTGTGCCCTAATGATCCGGGGTCCTGGGCCAGGGAAAGGCTCTTCTCCAAAATGCTTAAGGTCTTTGAGCCCCCAGGCAGAGGAGCCTCTGTCAGACGTAGGCTGACTCACTGGACTGGGTCCTGCCCAGGTTTGGGGCCTGGGACAGGTGTGAAACATCCTTCTTGCGTACTTCACAGATGGACTTCCTGCGTGCCTGCACCCCTCGGATGGCCGTCTTTATCTTCCTCCAGCCGAGGTGGTTGAGCTCAGCCAGGTTGAGAAGCACACATATGCCGCTCACCGCAAACATAAAGACCAAAAACACGGTCTTTTCTGTGGGGCGAGACACATAACACTCCACCTCCTTCACACACGGATAGCGATCGCACTCGAACATACCGGGCACGTTGAAGCCATACAGGAAGTACTGGCCAGCCAGGAAGCCAATCTCCAGCGCATTTCGGAACACCACCTGAATGACATAGAAGCGAGAGATGCCCTCCTGCCGTCGCACCTTGGAGCTTTTGTGAGTTGGAGGGAGTCCTCGAGGTCCATTGGGGATCTCTTTCACCTCCAGGCAGTCGTGATCCTCCTTACTGCTGTCGGGGTGCACCAGGATGCCGTTGATGTTGCGGGAGTGAAGCTTGCGAGCGTGGTGGTCATGATGACGACCGTGGTGACCATGTCCATGGTGATCCATGTAAGGATGCAGGAGGGAGTAACTACGGTCCCTTGCTTTCGCTGACTGGTGAACAGAATAGGTGATGAAGCACAGGCTGGGCGTGCACACCAGGATGATCTGAAAGACCCAGTAGCGAATGTGCGAGATGGGAAAGGCTTTGTCGTAACAAGCCTGGTTGCAGCCGGGCTGCATTGTGTTGCAGATGAACATGATTTGTTCATCCTCGTACACCTTCTCACCCACTATGCCGACTATTAGGATGCGGAAAATCACCACCACTGTCAGCAGGATCCTGAAAGAGAAGAAAGGGGAGGAAAGGGGGACAGACAACAGTTAATGAGGAGCAAATGTGCAGAGATCCAGGAAATATGTGGGTTTGAGTCTGACAACTCAAGTTCTCAATCAGTGGATGTTGATGTTTGGTGTTCACCTTGTGACCTTAAACTCCCTGCATAGCTACAAAAGGATCAGTTCTTAAAAAGGATCGCTTGATAGATATAGCTATGTGCCTTTGTGTTCACATCTATGTCTTTGCATGAGTGTATGTAGGCTGCTATTATAACTCAGCTGCAGTGACAAACAATCCTATAGGAGGGTAGAGTTGCGCCCTAGATAGTAGGAACGCATGAGCTCCCTGATCATCTGAGAGTAAAACAGGTGATTTCACACTCATCATCACCACTGAGCTGTAATGGAGCAGGACAGTAATTGGTGCATGTGACACATACACACTCAAACACTGACTGCAGTCCACCTCTTAACAATGACGTTAAATTCCTTTCAAGTATTCCTTGTATCTTGTTTTTTACTGCCTTTTATGAATGTCGACTTTGCTGCTTCATAATCCTGCAGATAAGAGCCAACCTGTCTCAATTGCAGCGCTTTAAAAAGTGCGTCATCAACGTACTAAGATCACTCCTGCTGATCAGTCAAAACTAAAACTGTTCACTTTAAAAGCACATGTGATTATCTGCAACTAAGAACTGAACCATACAGATAGCATTTCTACAAATCAATGGGATATCCCACTGAGTGCCATTAGTGCAGGCTGCAGTTGGAAAGAGTCGGTGTCCAGAGGCCAGATGAGGATCTGGAGAGCAGTGCGGCTGCTTTTTCAGGCATCTGAGGGACTGCTGTTCTGTTATCTTCTGGTGTCGATCCAGCATTGGCACTGCGGAGGAGGACTAGGGGCTCTAAGGGGCTGCACTGTCAGCTCTTTCTAATGAGCGAGGAGAGCCTACACATCACGGGGCTCCCTGCTATTTATGCCACAATGCAGAGGATGTGCATGTTCCCACGTGGAGGAGCCAATTACTTAAAACACACTTGTTTCCAAGAAAGCAAGGGCCACACAGGGACAAAGATGGATGGGAGTTGGCCCTCGATGCATTAGAGCAGCCTAAGTAAATGGCAGCGGTGTATGACAGCAGCCCTTAATCCAGGTGATGTTAGCTAATACTTGTGCATTTTTGACGGGCGCATAAAACCTCTGTCTTTTTCTGTTGTTTTTATCTACATGTCAACACAGACTCCGTGGTGTATCTTTTAATGAGGGCTCAAAAATGCCCACAGCCGACTTCCATGGTGAGTTACCACAGCAACCAGCAGATTAGTGAAAGGTGAGAGAAGAGGGGTGCCGACACAGAGATATGTCAGAGCGTATTGAGAGAAATGTCTAAAAAGTTACATCCATTTTTCCTTGAGGGACTAATAAAATAAAAACTGTCTCCGAATGAGGCCACGAAGGAGGAAGATCGTGAGAGCAGAGTGGCGGACAGGTGAGGATAAGAAGTGTAGCACAGGGATGTGTGTTAGCGTGAAAACAGACTTAAAATAGAGCAGTGCGCCGCTGCAGGACTGTTCCCGCTCCACCTGTGAGTAAAAGCCCGTGTGCGTGATGGTGTGTGTGTGTGTGTATCTGTGTGTTTGTGAAAGAGAGACATGAGAACTCAGAGACAAAGAGGGAAAGTCAGCCATCTGTGTGACTTGTGCAAAATGGCAAACATGTCTGGCCATCAGTGCTTGGAGCAGCTGTGAGCGCATACGCTACACTGACTTTCAGTATGTTTAGAAATGCAATAGATTAAAGCTTTTCTGCACCTTAGCTCTTCTTGTTTGAATGCGATTTGTTTCTTTAATTTGAAAAAACAAAAATCTTTGAGTTGTTTTGATGTGAGCCGTGTTGATCTACCTCTACTGATAACTTGACAGCTTGCGATTTGACCTGAGGGCTGATATCAATGGTTCTCTGCACCACACAGAGAGACATTTGATGAATACTGCTCACTGAGCTGCAGATCTGTGGTTGACACTCTTCATTTAAATGCTAATATTTCCCTAAATAAAAGAATAAATATGGAAACGGCTCATGTTGAGTGCCGGTGTGAGAATATGCTCCTCTACATGGTAATTCATATCAAAATACAAAAGCTTAGAGCATGATGACTACTTAGTTTCTGCATTAATAGTAGCATGCTACATTTCATGCTGCCATTAATAACAAAGCTGTTATGGCATTAACTAAATGTCACTACCTCTGCCTGGTAACCACATCGGTCACATGGTACAAGCCTTAAAGAGTGTGCCGGTCTTTACATGTTTTCACTCAAGTGTTTGCAAGAATTAATTTATGTGAATATGTATTTTGTTTTAGTCTCAACATAATTGTTGATAATCTATATTAATCAATGACAGATATTGGACATAATATCTATAGAAAATCTGTAACAATTCACATCTATCTAGAATCACTTGTGTAATTTTCAGGAAACAGGCACTTCTTTATATTCTGCACTAATCGCTGACCTTCTCCTTGTTAGCTGAGGCTGTATGTCTCTAATTCACCTTATACACAAGGAGGACTGTACACTGAACAAGACTTCAGAATTATTTTGTTTTGTTCTATTTTAGTACACTAAAGACTGCACAAGCAATTCAAACAGTCATTATTGAATTTACAACACAGTCATCTCTCAGTCTCAGTTGGTTTCATTAAGTGTGATACTACTGCTAGGAACTGTAAAATGAAATGTTGGTGTCAATAAAAATGTATAAATCTCAAATGTTAATCACTCAAAATAATATTTGTGACCAAGACATGATTCTCCCAAATAGCTATGACAATTCAAAGGGGTGACCCAGAACTTGGTGGAAATTTGGCACAGTTAGAGTGAGGTGAGCAGCATCAGCACAGCCTCTCTCTCTCTCTCTCTCTTTCTTTCTATCTCTTAGTGTTTGTTCGAAAAACTTTTTGTCAAACCCATTTATAAATGAAGATCCTGTGGACACAGATTTAGCTAAGATCACACTTCATTGCGTAAGTGGTGCTGCTATGCTACACAGGGGCCACTTGCCTACAGCTTGATACTGTGCGCTGCTGAAATACTGCTGAAACAAGGTTTGTGTATTCGTTAAAACAGTGTGTACAGGTACCATATGCACATTAAAAGTGTTTTAAAGAAGAGCTGTCAATTCTCATTACCTTTTATAGTGTGTGAGTTTGTTCTCTTCTCATCAAACATCTTTGAAGGTCATGATAAATTCTTGATCATAATGTCTTTTACTCCAAGTTTGAGACAAAAACAAATCTGTTCTATTCCGATATGAGTAATGTCGACCGCTCGTCTTAGCAGTCTGAGTTTGTTCCCTTGACAGTCACTTTGATGACACACAAAAAAAGTGAATACTTTTGAGAAATCTGGGTGTGCCTTTTATGGATCCTCGAAAGCAATAGCCTGAAAAAAAACCTTCATTTATTTACTTAAAGTAAAAGTCATTCAGTACCGGATAAAAGCAGAATCATGAGCACATAAAAGCAGACTGGGATCCAGTGGAATAAAGACAAAGGAAACCCCTTTTGTGTCAATTTAAAATGCGGCACATCTAGACTGCAGTGCTCTCAGTGCAGCTCTTTCTTCACCTCCACAGGAAGAACTGACAGACTTACTCACGGACTTTTCCTCACATGGGAAACTTTGCTAAGCTCTGTACTGCAGATATTCAATCATTGGGTCTTTACTTGTTTGTCAGGCAGTTTATATCGTTAAAATTTTCAAGACATTGCAAGTATTGAGTGTTGTGTGGTGTGTTTTTGCAGGAGAGTGTGTGTATGTGCTCTTGTGTGTGTGTGTGCTCCACTGCTGGATAACAGGATAATCAGCACGGAGCAGATTGCTGCATTAGCAGAAAACAGTGGACGGAGTTTATCTGCAAACATCAGTGTTTTAAGTCCTGCAGAGTAACGAGCCAATACCGAGTGTTTGAGCAGATTGGAGGAGGACAGCCCTGAGGCCTGAACCTGCAGAATATTCAATAACCAGCATTAATGATGAAAAGGTTGTAGGAATTTTTAGTACTAGCTCCTTAATTTAAAAGTAAGGACATTTGCTGAGACTAGTACAAATGAAAAGGTGAAAAAAGGTAGGCACAACATTATGGTTACTTTACCGAAAAGTCGTTTACATTATTCCCCAAATCTGCCATCACCTATCAACCCATTTTGCAGCTTCTTTTGCAGATAATCTTTCAAACCTTCACGACTTAATGCTACTTTGTTGAAGGCTTGCTCAACACTGCTGTACAGGAGAGGATTCGTGCTTCTCTGTGTTGTTTTCCATCACTGACAGTTAGTATTTTTATAAAGTTGAAACACCTACAGCCCTCATACACAAAGATATCAGAGTATAAGGAGGAGGCAGGCTGTGTGAGCACATGAATCACTGCCGTGCAACTCCCCAAACTGATCTGCAATAACCTGATCGACCTGTAGGGTTGTGTGTGAGGTGTAATGGTAGCTGCTCTTTGACTGGTGTGTCGGCTGGACATGCAGGCTCTGTCTCTCCCAGAGGCTTTAAGACACACACGCACGCACGCACACACACACTTAAACAAACACACATATATACACAGGCACATTCATTCATACAGCAGCTGCTGCCGCCATCCTCGAGGGACAACAATCGCCCCGAGTGCAGCAGCAGATGGATTTACACACTTTGCCCTCTCTCACACACACACACACACACACTCTGTGAATTTAAATGACTTCACTGTATATGAGTCATAGTCGAAACATATGACGTTGTAAAGCAGTGTATGTAGGTACACAGGCAGGCCTCTGAAGGCTGGTTAAGTACAGGATTATCTCTATACAGGATAAAAATATTCTCGCTGCCTGTGCGCTCTCAATAATAAGCTCCACTGATTGCTGATGGCAGCACGACGTAATGAATAAAGACCTCAGCAGGCAGAGAAATTAGGCAGTGTAATTATCAGAGCGCAGATATTTCTTCAACTGTTCCTCTCTCAAACTGTTTTAATAGTTTTAGGTCACGCACACACATCAAGCAGACATGCACGACTGCCTGAGGTGCCACCAAGAGTCGGTGTGACGAATGCATTAATTTTAAGCCGAACTTGTAAGCACTCATCTGTGGTGGTTCATCTACTCCTTTCCTCTTCTTCAAATTCTTATGAGTCATTTTTTCTGAGTCTGAATATTAATGATTTGAGTTTATTTCACTTCTAGACGTGTATTAGAAATATAATGAAATTAAAGCCTTTTCATCCTGTATAATTTCCACCGTTTCAAGAAATGCAATTAGCTCAGTTTCTTTTGCGGCGGTTCTGAAGGAAATGGCTTCAAGCTGTTTTTCAGGAATGAAGAAGGAAACAGAGAAAATTAACTGTGGGAACTCTGCAGGTAACTACCTCAATTATATCTCATCTGACATGCATCTTAACAAGACTGCAGTTATGATTAAACCCCCAGATTAAAGCATCGGAAATGCTTTAGGATGCAAATATGATTTGTTTTTCTGCGGCAAAACTCCTTTGTAACAACAAATAGGTAAAACAACAGCTGCCTAAAGCTATTGAAAGATATTTTTTCATAAAAGTCCTCATATAACTTTTCTATGAACTCAGTGCACCAGTCTAACTGCGCGTGATGGGGATGCAACATGAGCCAGATGTAGCAGCCCAGTCCTGATGTTATCTAACATGAACCTTTTCTATCAAAAAATTATTTAATTTAATTATTGCAAAGAGAAGCAAACATAAAGCAAAAGTTTGTCTCTAAATCAACTTGTATCTTAAAAACCCAAGAATAAGAGGCATCAGCATTTCTCCTTGTGTTACTAACCAGCATATTTTGCTGTTTGAATCAATATGTATTAATATTTCAGAAAATTCAGCAATCAGATCGTGTATAGCCAGTATTTGAGCAGCGTCAGTATTTGTGTGGTCAACAGAATCAAAATAAAAGCAGGTCAGATTTGATTTAGCAGATACTGACTGTATCAACACAGAGACACACACTGTACTGCAATTTTTTCGTATATTTTAAAGCTGGGGTTACTGCAGTTCAGCTGAGCCTTTAATGGAGAACTTCACCTGAGAGAAAAGTTTGGTTTGGCATTGAGCCACAAAGCTGATTAAGCTAATTTCTCTTATTCTCAATCTCCGGTAAGGTTAAAAATAATTTAATCCCTTATAATATTTAACATATTAAGAAAAGACCCTCTTATGACGCAAAGTTCCTTGAATAAATTTTAGCCTTGAGAGGAAACATAAGCTTAAAAGTATTCAAACCATGTGGTGCGTCATTTTTCTTTTTTTTCATTACTGTTTCCCAGAATGCATTAGCCTTTCTAAGACAACCATACTTAACGTAGTCATTGTTTTTTAAAGTGCAGCCAGGGATATGCTGCTTTTAGTTCGATTAATAATTAAACATGCACCCTCGCTAGTCTTCACCAGAACTTCAAGTAAGTTGAGGAAGATTTTTTTTATACCAGCCTGGGCTTGAAATGTGGGACATATGTTGTGTCTAGGCTGAAGCTACCTACCATCCTGTTACTGAGGCCATATGCTTGATTGTCCAGATTGAAACATGCACAGATGTAGTCAGAAGTATGTGTTACAAGCACCAGCATGTTGAAATCATCCGATGTGATTTGTTTACCTACAAACTCTATGATCCTATGTTTAGCCGTGCTGAACAAATTACGCACAGTTTTGATGGTTTCCTTTTTTAAAAAATTTCAGACAGGTGGGTTAGTTTGTTGATTTAATTTTCTGGAAATGAGTCCCTCTGGTGGATCTCCATGTGTAGCTTCACAACAATGGACCACTGAGCGCATGTTGACCATCCCTGTTAGCTCTTCAATCATTGTGAACAGCAAGTCACAGACTGTACACGAGGCAAATTTCCTGTTAATTCGAGCCATGTTGCACACTGTACTGTACCTCAGAATAATTACGCTTGCAACACGTGCAGGTAACACTATTATGTAATTTCATCAAGGCTTTCAGTTGCGGTCTGCAGGGTAAACATGACTAACCTTGCAGTCAGTGTTTTATGTCTGCAGGCGTTGTCGTCATGATTTATTAACATGTTTACACGTCATGGGATGCAGGCTTTTAAGACTAGTGGTTAACACTGAGTGGAGTAAATCAGATGTAAAACTGCTCTGAGAAAATACACACAGCACATCTATAAGATGGTTTCATGTCAAAATGTTATCCATGTTTTGGTTTATAGTTTTTGCAGATTTCTTAACAATCAGAAGTCGACCACAGGCACATGTCTCTGATATGGCCTCACCTCCTCCATCATAATGGTCAGTGATTCAGCTGACAGGGCATTGCCCCACTTGGCCGGATTCAAGGATGTAGAAACAAACGTTAACCGACGTGTACATGAAATGTTTATGTTTGTTTTTGTTCTAAACAAAGCTTTTCATAAAACAGTTTTCTACCACAGAATCAAAGCATATTTGTATTTACTCATTTAATAGAGTTTTACTGTAGTAAGCAAGTAGCTGGGTCTAAACAACTTTTACATTTCACAGATTTCTTCTTTTCTTTCTTCTTTATATATCTCAAACTTTAAGAACAACAACAAAAAACAACTAGAAACAAAAACACCAAACAAAATAATACATATGTATACCAAACAACTGTACATGTCAAGGATAAATTTACACAATTTATGTACTGTATGTCAAAACAGTTTGAGAAGGAACAGAATGAAGCAAAGAGCTTATCTAGTCCTGCCCCTTCCTTGCAAATTATAAATACCTACATATTATACACAAAGATATCTCATCAACACTACATATGTTTCTTATTATAATTATTTGCACATTATAATAAAAATTATTTTATCACTATATGGACCATATGAGACTTAACAGCAGATTACAGCTAAATCAGGCTTACATTGTCTGTGCGCCATGTTGCTGTCTATGGTGTCTTCTTCACACCGGTGTGAACAAAGACTTTCATAACGTTCATGTTAGTTTTAATAAATTAAGTCCCGATAATTTATTCAGTTTAGAGCATGGGCTGCACACGTTTGCCTGCACGCATGTTCACATTAAGGTTCCTCCTGTATTAAAGAGGGGCTACCAAATAGGTTTTTTGCTTTCAAAGACATTGCAAGAATTGGGGAAAGCGCTGAGCAAGTCGTTGAATATGTGGAACCATTTATTTAAAAGAGGGATGACACTTGGTGGCTCGACTACAACAACGTGACAGTTTGTGTTTGCTTCATGTCTGTTTTACTTGGTTGGCCTCTCTTGAACTCAGCTCTATGTGTTCTAATATCCCTCACTTTTTTCTGCGCCGTTTCACCACTTCTTATCTTCTGCTCTGGTTAACCATCAACCACCAACCTAAACGTTGGTTCTCTCCAAATGACTGTGAGTCATATTGGAAATATACTTGATGTTGTGTATCGATACAATTGTCAGATTATCAACAGAAAGTGGTAAAATCATGTACACCTTACAACATCTTACAAGCATGACATGTGTAGTCAGGCTGTCCCTTGTGTTGCCGTTAGTATTCAGAATTGTTGATCACTGTCGAAAGCTCTTGACCAATCAGAATCAAGTGATTTTAACACCTTTAGCCAGGTGATCAGTAAAGAGGCTGTGTAGTAAATTACTATTAAATCACTGCATTTGATTCTCTCTGTTGTGGATTTCTGTTTTTGTGCCTTACTCCCCTTTTGGAATCTACAAAAGGCCAAACAATCTTAAAAAATGTAACCTGTATGCGCTGTGTCACAAATTATGGTGACTGTTAAGTTCAAAGAACAGTACTTTTTTAAAGGTTTTATTGCTACAAGAGTTTTAAACTTTATCTGTATATACAGCTGCCAAAAGGATTCTCAAAAAGTGCCAGAAATGTACCTTTAAAAGCATCAATGATAACAAACTGCTCCGACCTATGCACTTATGAGTCTTCCTGACAGATAATCAGAATAAAGGCCATTAAAAGTGGTCTCGTCCTTGCCTAATCAAAGAATCGTAACATGAGGAAAAATCATTGGAATGAAGAACATTACAGCTGTGTAGAGGAAACATTACACAGCTAGTAATGATCTCATGCACACAAACAGACACACACACACACCATCGATGTGTTGCTGAAATGAATAATAGCCTGCACGGGATGAAAGCTGAGCTCAGCTTTACTGGCAAAATCCCCGTCGAACAGAATAATCAATAGCATTCAACATCAGGGATTGCTGCACAAATAAACTAATGACAACTCTGGATGTGCAGAAAAATGGTTTAATTTAAAAGTCCCGCTCTCTGCCGCAGGATGATGGATTACTGGTCCCATCACACGCTGAAATATTGCTTCCATTGTTTGCTTTGCAACACAATCTTCCCAGACTGTATAGATTTTACCCAGAAAGCGATTATTAATGATACATGAAATATACTCGGGGTTTATGTGCGACAGCATGATTCACTCAATTAAAGCAGAGCGCTCCCGCTTCTCAAATTATTTTGGGAGAGGTGTAGAGCGCCCTTCTCAAAGTAGGGTACCTCTTTCCTGTGGTTGTCCTGACCCATTTAGGTGAAGAGAAGAGAGAGTGTGATATGTGCATCAAAAGATCAGAGAGGGAACTTTGAGATCAGAGGCAGATCCTCATACGGAGTCTATTTTACTTTTAGGGCTGAAAAAAAAAACAAGGATAAAGGTGTATTCAGTTTCCTCAAACCCTTTAGGAGTGTGTTTTTAACCATGTAACCCAAGTTACACAACAACGCTGTATTCTATAAACCACCTTATCCATTACATTAAAAGGCTTGCAAATATGCATACATTTTTAATGAATGACATGAGTATCAACTTGCAACAAGAGCTTCATAACATTTATTAAGATTTTATGAAGTATTTGTAATGCTCAAGTGGGGAGTGATGGATGATAAATAATAGATCATCTGCGTCTTTTAGGCAGGAATAAACATAAGTGGGTGTAGAAATTTACCAAAGGGTTCATTCAGTAAACATTAAAAAATCTCTTTTCTGTTAACGGTTAAGTGAAGTACAGTATGAACGCTAAGATAATCTTTGTAACAACAGTGTGGTTCTGCCTCGTACAGAAGGGGCTGTTTATTCAGCCAAAGCTGCATTGCTGTGTTTGCTAAGATGTTGAATATTTCATGTAATTTCTCTCAGGATTGCATTGTCCTCACCTTTCACAAGCAGCGTTCTTAAAAGCATTACATTCAGATAAATGTTTATTTTTAGAAATCCTCATTAATACAGAGGACACAGATTGAGTTTTGTGAGTGAATATGTGAGTGCAGGCTGTTTCCTCAGCAGCAGGGTCAGTCTGCAGCTCCCGAGGAAGGAGCTCTGACACAGATTTTCAGCACTGAACCTCTGCAGAGGGGAAACTTCTCTTCCTTCTTTCCTCTGTCTTTCACTCCCCCGCCCTTTCTTCCTGTACCCCTCTTGTTCTGTCTCTACGCCTCACATCCTCTCCTCTCTATCCTTCCATCCGGCAACCTTTATTATTTTATCTCCCTTAGATCACTCTAGTCCTCCATTATCTCTGCCTCTTTTTTTCGCTCTACTTGTCTTTGGTGCTGACCTCACTACAGCATTGCAGTGCAGGGGGAAGATGCATCAAAACACTTTCTTTCCTCCTTCCTTCCTTCTTCCTACCTGCAAGGTGGTTGACTGAAACCCAAAGGCGTCATACTCTTTCAGATGAATGCATCATTTCTTTTACAAGTCACCAAGCACCCACACCTGTGCTTTGCAAAACACCTGAGCACCACATGTAAGGAAGAAATGTGAAGCATGTTGTGAAGCTATAAAGTGCGTATGTATGATTAAAGAATAGAGAGAAGAGTAACCAGTTTGTCTTACAGATTATTTGGAGTCATACTAAAACAGATTTACTTTTATCTCAAAAATCAACAAAGGATGTCTTGAAAAATGAGATAGTCTACCATGACTTGTCCAGGAAATACTTATAGCCTAAATGTTAGACAGATGCCCTCCATATTCAGCTGTTTGCAGTGTTGTGTGGACAAATCTCTGTTTTTGGCAGATTAGTAGAATACACAAGCAATTGTTTGTCCAACTGGAATAAATGTGCCTTATTTGCATGAGAATGTGTAAACCCACAGTGTTTAAATCACAATCTGATAAGAAAAATACAAAAAGAGTAAAAGGAAACTTTGATAATCAAAGATGTATGTAAATTTATGTATGTAAATGATGCTATATGAAAAGACCCACCAAAAGAAGTCAGTTTTACCATTTGGTGTAAGATTCAATAAGTGGTTTTCTTTTCAAATAAAATAGGTATTCACTCTACTAAATGAAAAGTAACAATTATTGTTTTATTTTATTGTGCATAGAATTAAAAGAAATATAAGACAACTATAAACATTATCAAGGCTGCTGTACTATCTCAACACAACACACAATTGTATCGTCAGCATATTGACTAAAAAAATGTCTCTACGGAGTTAGTAAACCTAACTTTAATTCCTGCATTATGACATGCTACTCTGAGAGCTAATCAAACTCTCAAGTAAACTTTTTTTTTTTTTATACCAAATTTGACGACAAAACATGCAACTTTGCTCCATCACAAATTTTGGGTTGTTATATCCTGAACACTTTTTTTTTAAAGGTTATTATTGTTTCATTACCTGTTCGAGGGCCACCTCTGCCCATCAAGAGCAAAAATATAATTCATTTCTTTAATTAAGATACAGAGTGAGGCACTTCAGAGGCCATACTAAACTGTCAGTTATCTAATGCTGAAAGCCCTAGGGTCATTCTAACTGTGAGTATACGGTAAATTTGGTTTGGGCTGGAGAATGAGGTTAATGCAGCCTTGACAATGATTTTCTTTTTCACTGTGTAATCATGATTAAAGTCATTGGTTATCCATGCACACTTTATACATCGCCCTGTTAGAAGTCAGGCATATGGAAATCACAGCACACAACATTAATCTCTGTGTGAGTCGTAATATGCAAGCCACCTGTGGTTAGTCAGAGGCACAGAAGCAACTCCATTTTTCTCTTCCATGTACCATAATTAAGCTAACCTATGCCACTGCAAAGCTGAAGCATTTCTGTTGTTATCACTTTCAAGTATAGCTAGGCTATTTACCTATCCTATGCCAGGGCATAGGTTAGCTTAAAACCTACAATTAAGAAACAGCTTAATTGTAGCTGGATTAGATTCTAAACATCACATACTGCTATCTGACAGTCTGAAATGATGGATCTAACTCCTCAAATGGCAAGAGAGATGACTACCATGCAACCATGTTCCAAAGTTTTGATGCAGGGGAGACTATTCAGCCATGGGGAGACGTCACTGTCCTGGACTTTGGAACTGCATCCCTTGAACCGCAAGCCCATGCATGCAAACTCTTCGAAGAAACTACACACAGGCTGAACATCCTACATGTGATGCCGTCTAGCAGTTGCTGCATGCTCCAACCACACCCTGTGAAGTGCAAGACTTCACAATGCACAATAGTGCAACACTATGTCACAGTTGGTTGTGTTCACAAGTGCAACAGACTACACCTGACCACGCCCAACAGTACTGTTGGGCATGGTCAGTGGTGAGACAGACTTGAACCTTTCAACCCATAGAGGTCAGTATGCGAATTTTGGCTCCATACATGTTTTAGTGTGGAGTGACTCATTAACAATCTAGGAGGCATCTTTGTAGCACAAATGTGTGCCAGTGAACAATTCTCCAACTTGCTGGTACATCCAAAAAATAAAACATCATTCGAATCATTTGAATGTGAGGTGTCATTGATTTCCTGACCATGCAGACACATGCTCTGGATTAGGAATCAAGTCATTTTTCTATTACTGCTATAGATATCTGACACTGACGACTAACAATGACTATCTGTAGCTAAAAAAGCCCGAATCCAGCCCACGACTCAATAATAAACTGCTACACTCTTACTCTGTCCTCATAAAAAAAATCATTATTTTCATTATATATCCTGCAAACAAGCTATCACACTGGTACAACATTTAAATTGGTTTAGCAAGAGTAGAAAGCCAAGAGTTTGTCTCTACTGACTACAAAACACACAAGATACAGACCAAATTGATTCCAAAGACAATATCTGATGACTGTAAGAGCGAAGGCAAACGGTGTAGTAGGAGGAAGACTCATTGGAAAGCATCTACTGTTACAGCTAATGCCCTAGGGTCAGCTTAAGAGCCTTGTAGGACCAACACAGTCTGAGGGAAGCCAAAACATGTAGGGATCACTTACAGGGCAATTTGCTGCTGTCAGCACAGTAACACATAGCTCCTACACACAAACTATCTACTGCCATTCATTTTTAGATCCAGAGTTATATCATTTGGGATGGTATGTCTCAGCAGGCGATTAACAGAGTCAATTTAGTCAAATGAAGAAAAACAACTAGGGAGTAAAGGAATTATTCTAAATTGATCTAAAGAAAGCACTGCTTCTTTCACTATATGAAGGGTATTTGAAGTGTTCAGAAAACACTTCTGAAGTCCAACCGGTGACGTGCATGATCAACAAATAGCTCAGATTAAGCAAATGAGAGAAAGCCATCATCATTATTAAGACTCTTGAAAGAGGTAGCAGACAAATTGAGAGTTGCTTCTGTGCCTCTGAAAAACTGTAGGTGGCTAAAAGTCATAGAATCACCAAAGATTGACCAAACCCTTTCAGGGTTTTACTGATTCAGCTGCCAGGACTGAATTTTAAAGCTGCATTAAGTAATTTTTGACCACTAGGGGGCAGAAAGACTCCAGAACAATTTCACAACAGTTAGCAGTTAGCTTATGAAGTAGTTATGGGCTAACACGTTAGCAAACAGTTGCCTACTTACATATCCAGCAGAAACAGAGCAACACGGACATCCCTTTGGTCTCCTTTTTCTGGCCACCTGTTGAATGTAATCCCAATATTCACTGGCGTTTAGCCCTTGTTTTGTCTCCCGGCTCATGAGAAAAATAACAATCTCGGTTGACTTGCTAAAGGTCGGAGTTTCTTCGCCGGCCACTTCCAGCCTTTTCCACTGCGTACTGGGCAGTTAGCATTCAATTAGCTTGTTTTAGCTTCTGCTTCAGGAGCAGTGGCCCAGTGTCTGACAATAACAGCCACTGCTTTGCTTTAGACAAACCAACACAGTGAGTTTCAAATTCAAGTGTTGATTCTCATTGGAACTGGTAGTACTACCAATTTCATGAACAGGGGGGAGTCATAGGATTACTGGTACAAAATATTGCTTAATGCATCTTTAAATCAAGCCAGAAAACCTTTATGCAGGTTTTCATTCCATTTAAAGACAAGACCAGGTGATTTCATTGCCTACTACACATTTACCAAATGAAGAAGAGTTTGCTGAAGTTACTTGGTGTCGTGGTTTTTGGAAAAAAAATCTCTATTGCACATAATCTCTGATCAACAAGAATTTCAGTGTAATGCAGCTCACATCATCTCTGTGGCTTTGGTGCAGTTAGGATGTCGGTATTTCGGAAGCAATGGCTCAAATGCGTTTTGCTTTTTTGTTTTTTTTGTTATTATTAAAAAAGACACACACACATTTTCTCTTCTTTAACTTTCACACAAAACAAGACACATACCACCACCACCACCTTTCCAAAGCACACGCATACCAGAGCAAAGAGAAGGTGAGCTCATGTCCTTGTTACAGACTACCTGAGGTCTGGGTTAATGAGCGCAGCAGTGCGGTCTCATCCATAGTCTTTGCAGCTTTATTTTTTGCTGAAAGACAATTTTAGAGGCACAAATCTATACATCCAGATTTTTACACGCTAGACCACTTTGACTCTTGACTTTTCCATATGCTCATCCTGGCGTGACATTTGGATTGTGTTCAATGGGTGGAAAATTCCCTTTTTGCGTTTAATTAATCCCACAGAGATGATGTGGAGCCCATTTTTTCACACAGATTTTACAGCATGCCTCCATGGCATGTCTCCTCTGTTTATCAAACTAAAAGCTCATCTCTTCAACCCTCCACCACACAAAAAAAAACATCCTCACATTAAACATCAGATGTAATCTCACCTGGCTTTCACCCTGACGCAAGTGTCTGCCAATAGGAACAATCTGAATGAACTTGTTTTATATTTTTTTGTTGTCGGTGTCAAGTTCACTCAGAGTTCAGAGCCATTTACTCCCCCTTTGATTTTACCTTCCACACCTGCCTGCTCACCTTCCTTTCATCTCCCTCACCTCTTCTCCCCTCTCACTCCCACTCCCCTCTACTCCTTCTGTCCCATTGGTCTGTGGCCAACAGCATTGAGCGTTATCCATCAATAGCAAGGCTAATAGGCAGAATCAACACAGGAACCTCTCTGAATTAACCATAATGCCAAGTAAAGCCTGCTATTGATTATGTGCAATTAGTTTATCCTTTAACTAATGATGAGTGTGGAGGATAAGGGTGAGGAAAGCAGGGAGGGAGGGAAAGATGTGGGGAGGCAGAGATGACTGTGTCATGGGGGGGTTGAAGAACAGAGGAGAGCACTGAGACAAGCCTGAGGAGGGGGTTTCAATAGAGATGCCATCAACTTATTTATTCCGAGTGAGATGTAGAGACCACCGTTAACCCAGCACATCAGTTTAAAAACACGCAAAAACTGAAAATAAAATCCTCACACACCAAATCTATCTGTGTCTTACCTTCCGATCATGGTAGAGTGCTGCTGGACAGCCGCCTCCAGCAGCCTCTCCAAGATGGTCCATTCTCCCATGGTGGCGGAGAAGTTGCAGGGCTGTCAAAAGAAACCGGACTGGGGGGTATCCAACCCCTCCTTCTCAAGTGGACTCCTTTCTCTTCCTTGTCTTCCTCAGGACCGGCCCAGACTCCTTACGACCTGCCAGCAGGCGGGGGGTTCACCCGACCCCCGTCCAGCTCCCTTGTGACCTCTACACGTCTGTGCGCCTTTGACTTCTCAGCGAGTCTTCTCCTGGGCCTGTCCCGCTGTGCTCTTCCTCCTGGTGGAGGAGAGGTGCTGAGCCGATTGCCTCCCCCCCTCCTCTCTCTCCCTCAGTCTCGTTCTCCCTTCCTCCCCCCTCCTCTGCGCGGTGATGCTTGTCCTCCCCCTGCCGCACCACTCTGTTCTGCGCTACAGCATATGCTATAGCTCACTGCATGACAGCCATGATCGCCCTCTCTTTTCCACTTGCCTCCCTTCACTCTTTCGTCCTCTTCCTCCTCTGTCCCTGCCTTCGACCTCCACCCTACCCCCAGGGCCCTCCTTGTACTTCACCTGCACCTCCTGCCATCACTGCTGCTCTGCACTTGTCCTTGCATTGTGTGGGATCTTTGCCTTTGCTGCACCCTTGCTACTCTAACCTAAACACACACTGCATTCGGCTGAGCCTGGTTGGCTCACCTCAGCGAACAGCTCTGTATACACACACTCGCACTCGATGACAGCTCTGAATCCCACTCTCCCACTTCCTACTGGGGACTGCAGATCCACACCAGCACACAAAGCTCCTGCCTGCTGAATGTCATTTTATGACTGGAGGAATGGTCTCTCCTGCAGCTCCGAGCAGCTCCGAGCAGCTACAAGGACCCATAAAAACACACATACACACACACACACACACACACACTCACGCAAACATGCTGCCACCCAGCCCCTCAGTAATAAATCAGCTGCCTTGCTGCATCAAGTGAGGCTGAACCGAAGCAGTTGCTGCAGACCTGCTGTCCTGTGTTGTCCCCCTGGCTAATTTCAGCACAGTCCAGTGCCCAGAGTCATGTCTGCCGCAGAGAGTCAGGAAAAAAATCTGTCCTGTGAAGCCTATCTCTGGGCTCCATCATCTTTGCATTCCTCTCTTTCTCTCTCTCTCTCCCTCCTCCTGCTCTCCTTCACCCTCCACTCTCTTCCTCCTTCCCCCTTCCTTTGCTCACGTTTGTGTGCAGATCTCAGTCTTGCAAACTGCCTCTACTACCCCTCTCTCTCCCTGCTCTGTGCTCTCCCTCTCCTCTGCCTCTGTGTCTCTTTCTCGCTCATGGAATCGCTCTATCTCTGTCACACTCTCTGAGCATGCAACACCCCCCCTTCTCCCCTCATCTTCCTCCTCCTCCTCCTCTCCTAGATCTGTTCTTTCTCCTCCCTCCTTCCCTCTCCTCCTTCCCCTCCCTCTCTCTGTCCTCTGGTAAATGTGCTTGGATTGCTTCCCTGCTTCACTTATGCTTGCAAGATTGCCTCCCACTGTACTGCTGTGTCTGTTCCTGCCTGATGTTGCACAGAAAAGAGGGATTTCAGATCTAGCCGCGCTGCCTTTCTGCCCCGTCTTCTCTGAAATCCTTTGTTCCAGTCTGAAAGCTCGGCTGTGTTTCCCATACTCCTCAGATGCTCTCCACCTCACACCCTGCCATACATCACCCAGCCCCGTGCTTTTCCAGGAGGACGATTACAGCAGAATTGTGGCCCTGCTCCACCCCATCCCCCATCTATCTCCCCCCTTTCTCCATCTTACTGTACTGGAGATGACAACACACCTATTTTACCCTGACCCAACCCTCATGCCCCTTTGTGTGTATTTCCTCTCCTCATCTCCTTCTCTCTGCTCTTCATCTGTCCACCCCCTCTTCCTTCTTCTCCTCCATTATAGCCCCCCTGCGCTCTCTCCCCCCTCCCTCTCTGGAGAGATGAGCACCGTATTGTACTTTGCTGTGACATTGAAAGCTGCATTCATTAGATTTATATTAAGGTGGTGGGGAAATGGGATGGTGTCCCTCCATTACACGCAGATACAAGCAGATGTATGCGGTTCTGGGAATACACCCAATTTCACAGCTACAGTGTCATAATACGAGTGTGTGTGTGTGTGTGATCATAAAAACAAGATCAGACCACCCCAGTCTGTTTTTTTTTTTCTCTGAGGTGTGAGTCACAGCAAGGCTTCCCATTTAAAAACTGAGTCAGGTTCTGCTGAAGTAAATTATGACGTAAGACAAGCTTACCAGAATTAAGTAATGGCTTTGGGAGACAAGTTTAGTTTACTTTTCGATGCACTTAACTTTAGTTCCACTTCTTTAATTTTGTTTGACATGCTCTTCTAGTTGTCAGCTTTTTTTTGTTTCAGATTAAGGTGTATGCCACTTTGGAAGAATCGGATATCTCCTTAACATCCTCAGTTGTAGCTCCAATGACAGAGAGCAGTGAGGTGAGCAAATTCACAACCACAGCCCCTTACACAACAACCTCTGCGCTGCATTACTTAGTGCATCGATCTATCTTGTCATTTAGGTGCATGCACACATGCAAAAACCCCTCTGCATGTGTGTGAGAGAAAGAGAGGCTGAGTGGGGGAGACAGAGCTAGAGAGGAATCTGTTAGCTCAGCATCTTCAGCGGGGGGGACTTGGGGTCTTTCTCTAAACCAAGGACATATGGTGTAGGTGTGCAGGAGTGCCGTTATGGAGAGCAGGGGGAGAAGGAGAAGGAGGAGGAGGGGGCTGTAGTTTGGCAAGGCTTGGGATATAAGCAGAGCAGCTGAAGCGCTGGCATCAGCCGGTCGACGATCCAAGAAAATATTACAGAGCTGGATGGGACATGAGTGAGAAGGGGGCGCAGGTGTGTCTTCAGTGACCCAGAACAGCCAGTTTAGGCATGCTGAAACACACATACTGTACTCACACACAAAGTCATACATGTTTACATCAGCGATTATACAACTACAATCATATTAGGAAACTATTGCCAGGAATAGCAAAAGAATTTGTTTTTCCTTTCATTGCACATTTTTGTGAAAGAACTGCAATATTTCATTCATATCTCTATCAGTTTCACTCATGTATGATCTCATAAAGATGCCTTCAAAAGAAACTCATACATGTCCCTGTGTGCACTGCACACATCTCTCGGAGGTGATCAATATTTAAAGTCATGTAATTTTTATGAGAGTTATGTAAGAGGGAAATTATCCTCACAACAAGGGCATCTGATAAAATATGGAAATGAGAAGTGATCATTCATAAACTTGATTATGATGATGATGAATCAGGGAGTAAAATTCAAATACGAGCAGAGTCAGTGTTTGGTAGTAGCCGACCTCAGCAACATCTCTTCTTGTACTATCTCCTCTGTTTTAGTCTTACTTAAATTGAAGACTATTTAAGGGGAATGTGTTAAGCAATTTCAACATGTAGATTCTTTTAGAACATCGTTTATCTTTATTAAAATATTCTAATAATCTTGCTGGTAGATTAGCCTACCTATTAGTCTTGTCTTTAGATGACGCGGGTGGAAAAGTCACCTTGTCTGAGGTCACTCGGTTTCTGCACTACAGGAGCTAGAGATGTAATATAATGAGAGTTGCAGAGATAGACTTGCAGAGTCCTGCAAACATTACAGCTCGAAGTGACTGATAGACTGAATAACTCAGATTTCCTATCACACCTCTCTATTGCTACCCATAACTGTGATTTCATTTTGTTCACAGTGACTATTACCCAGTTGGCTTGATGTTGACAAGCTGCCACCAAACAGTGGCTGAATACTGTGAATTTAAGAGTTTTTTTTTTCTGTGTGAGCTATTTGTCCATATTGTTCATGGAAATAATACGGCCTATAATCAGTTTATTTATATGTATGTAACATATTTCTGTACAGATGTAAATATGACGCATGCACATATCTTGGTTTTAACTCAAAATTTCTTTATCTTTTAATTTTCTCTTTTTTTAAAAACTTTTTCTAAACTATGCTGCTGTAATTTTGGAATTTTCCCCTGTGGGACTAATAAAATAACATCTTATCTTATGTTATCTTAACAAAACAACAACAACAAAACAATGATGATATTGATCAAAGTTACTATGATTGTACATCCCTGTATCCTGTGAAAACATGCTTTATATTTTGCTTTAAATTGTTTTATGTTTGGACATTGTTGTAACTCCTCACCCATACCATTCCACAGTCTGAGTGAGTGAGTGAGTGAGTGAGTGAGTGAGTGAGTGAGTGAGTGAGTGAGTGAGTGAGTGAGTGAGTGAGTGAGTGAGTGAGTGAGTGAGTGAGTGAGTGAGTGAGTGAGTGAGTGAGTGAGTGAGTGAGTGAAAATAAATAAATCACTCGAAAAGAAAAAATGATACTTACACTGATATGTTATTGTTGTATCTGGTCTGTCCGTGATGTGTAGATGCAGAAGGAGGCTTCGTGACACTGGCTTACTTGTGTAATAGGAATTTATTGCAAAGACAACAACAGTATCAGAACAGCACCGCGGATGCAGGGAGAGGACTGCCAATGATGTCCACCCAAAACAGAGTTTGTGATCCTGTTGTATAGGGTCAGAGTTTTAGGTCCTCCTACATCCTCTCTCTGTCCCCAAGCTATCTTTCTTTACCATCTGGTTTTTACCTAGCCTTGAAGTGTGACCTGTGACCTGCAAAACCCTCAACAGCCAGGATGTTTAGACCAGGTACCATAAAAGAGACACAATGCCCACATTCCACACTCTGGTTATCTCAGGTAAACCCTGGGAAATACATCAAGGCATTGCATGTTGGTGCAGTACTCCAGATACCACATTATTAACTGTAGAAGCCTTGTGCATGCTCCACTGGGAAGCTAATGAATGAAATGATCAAAGTCAATGGATTATCCCAATGATACTGTGTGGGTGCTGATGTGAGAGCGCCCTCTTGTGAGCGTACAAAGATACACCTCGCATCAGTCACCAGAGCCTAAAGCAGGGGTGGGCAATCATGTGCCATGGTGGGCTGAGAGGCTGCAGGTTTTCTTTCCAACCCAAAACTCCACCAGGTGATTTCACAGATTAGTCCCTGCTCTCTGCTTGGAGGTAAGGTAATTAGTGAAATCACCTGGTGGAGTTTTGGGTTGGAAAGAAAACCTGCAGCCTCTCGGCCCTCCATGGCACAAGATTGCCCACCCCTGGCCTAAAGGGTCAGACTTTTTTTTAACTCTGCATTTAACCTAAGGCAGTGGTTCTCAAGTCCAGTCCTCGAGCCCCCCCTGTCCTGCATGTTTTGGATGTTTCCCCGCTCCAACACACCTGATTCAAATGACCAGCTCGTTATCAAGCTCTGTAATGTCTTAATAACGAGCTGATCATTTGAATCAGGTGTGTTGGAGCAGGGAAACATCCAAAACATGCAGGACAGTGGGCCTCGAGGACTGGACTTGAGAACCACTGCTCTAAGGCAAGTGGAATAAAACACTGAGTCACTCCATTTTTGTCTTTTCCAACTATTTTTTAAATGAAGTTTCTCAGTCACATCTCGGCTTTACATAGTTGTATGAATATGTATTCGCCTTCACCAGTAGAGGGCAGCTCAGTTTTATGTCTTACATGACAAACGAAGAAGAAGAGTGGCCCAGGGTGGCTAGCTGCTCTAGAGATGTTAAACAACTGACAGCGATGCTAAGTTGGTCGCTGTAGTTAGAGAGTTATCAAAAAGTGTCTCAAAGCTTACAGGAGCTGTTGTAGGGCACGTCAAATCTCCACCTGGCCGGTGTTTAGGGTTAGCAAACCCGTCAAAGGTTACAGGCTGTGCGTCTTTCATATCTGTCATCAACTGGTTAGCTAGCATTAGCCGGCTAGCTGGGAAGCTCCTGAAAAGTACCGTCAGAGCCGCTTGTTTCCTACAGTCATGTCTGCGGCCGGAGACTTCGGAAACCCGCTCAGAAAATTTAAATTGGTCTTTCTCGGAGAGCAGAGTGGTAAGTTTGACACTAATGATAAAAGTTAAAGGTATTTTGTCTTGTGGGTGTTAGCTTACGCTGACATTAGGTGACTGGGATGGTGATTATCGCTGGTTAGCATTAGCAGCGTAGCTTTAAACTTGGCAGAGAGGTAGCATTGCGACACAGTAACTTGTTACTAACTACATGTCCACGTCGGCTCCGTGGAAATGAAGTAGGGTTTCTTCCTGTTTTGATATCCTGACATGTTTCTGTTCACATTTGGCTTGATGCGATGACATGATGTGGGTTAGTTACAGCCTGCACAAAGTTAAGTTTCATTCCTGCCACATAGTCAAACACGAAGATAAACACTGTATCTTGACTCTAAAAATCTTGTTCACCCATAAAACACGCTGACTTTGGTTCCAGCATTATTATAATCAGAGCCAGGATGAGGTAGTTGAGCTGATCAGTATTGATGATGTCATTTTGAGTCATTGTCCACATGAATATTGCAGTGATTTCACACTCGGATCACTCCTCCACCCTCGGGGCCTCAAGGAGAGGTAAAGGGTTCACCCCAATTTCAAACCTGCTTCGTGGCATTCCTGCTCTCTTGCTACCCATTATCCCTTCTCCATACCAAATAAACACAGGGTGTGATTGTGTGAGAGGAGAATGAATAGAGGCAGGGAAAGTTTTGAAGCATACACCCTTTATATGTGACAAACACGTTTTTATTTAGGAGGCTTCAGTTGCTATAAAAAGTTCATCGACAATGTTTAAATGCAGAAATTCAAGTTGTCCTATGTCCTGTGAGGACGTTGTTTTAACTGTTAATGAAGCGTACTAAAATAAATACTGAAGCCTCGATATAACAATAGCAATCAAGACCGTCAGACACAGAAGTGATGATTCCTTTGCAGCTATTTTTAATGCCTGAATGTGTCAGACAGAGTGATTTCTAACCCACTTCATTCACAGCCTTTTTCCCATTTTTAACAGCGAAGATTTGAGATGAAAGGTACTGTACATTTGAACTTTAATAACCGGTAGGATTTATGTTTAAATCTCTTATTCACATGGCCAGGATAGAATTGTGCAAAGGGGGCACAAAGATCAACACAAGCTGGATGTACCATGTCCTACAGGATCTTTAATGTTTGCATTTTCATCAGACAGTGTACAAACAGGATAAAGTCAGGTATGGAGAGAGTTAAGACAACATGGAAAAGGCTGCAGTTTCCACGAAACATCAAAGTGTATTTGTACAGCTACTGTGTCCTGATATGTGTATCCTCTCTCACTTCAAGTCAAAACAGACCATGTGTTTTTCTGAGAGTATATGATTAGTTAATACACCTTATAAGATTGTCAACACCACGGTTGTTGCTTGTCCTTTCATCATTTCTTCATGCACAGTGTAACTGATATTGTAACCTAAGCTCAGCTAAACTGTCTGGCGCTGGGGAACACAGTGCGCCTGAGGAAAGCATACCACTGACTCTCTGCAGCGATGATTAACATCAGACATATAGGCAACATTCAAAGAAATTTGGCTACAGGTTGAAAAAAAAGTGGGGTAAAAAAACAGGAGTGTTCCAACCGTAAAGAAGCATCAACAATCCTCAAAGCTGGTCAGTGCAGATCATGACATGTTAAAACAAAACATTTCATATTGGTAACAAAGGAGTAACCTGGTTCCCAACCTGACTTGTCTCCCAGCATTCCTCAGAACTCAAACTTCTCCTGCAGTACTTAAAAAAAGATCATGCACCGCACCCTCTTCATGTAGAATAACTTAATCTTTGCTGCATCTGCAGCCCTTAGGGTATATATACCTCTACTGTTAGCTCTTGTATTTTCAACCTTTTTGATAGCTCACAGTTGGCAAATCCACCTTTTCATACTAGTGGCGAACATGTAATATTGTTAGCAATTTAAGGCACTAGGCAGGCCTTAACATAGTGTGAAGCAGAAGGGCCCTTCATCAGAAACCTGGTTTTCAAAGTGAAATAAGGCTGTTTACAGTATTGTGTTTCTTATGGTTTTAATCTGTTGGAGCTATTTATTTGTTTAGTGCTGTTAAGTTTAGTATTTCTTTTTGTAGTTATTTAGTTTTTGTTTATTTAGAATTAATTTATTTAACTTTATTATTATTAGATTTTTGTTAGTATATCTAGTTTATCATTTGTTATTTTATTTTATTTAGTATTTGTGTTTAGTTTCATTTTGGCGCATTGTGAGCACCTGAAGTTATATAGGTAGGTTGCCAGTAGGGGACCAGCATGCACCTGGGTGGGCTAATGGTTTTTAACCGGAGCGGGAGAGACAAGGAATTTTTCTTTGCTCTGTGTTTGCTTACTTTTTGGTTAAATAAACCACATTTTTCTTTGAGCTTGAGTTTTGCTTGGACATTAAGTTTTTCCCACCCACGTACAACACAGCCCATGGTGCAATAGTAGCGTTTGATTCGTTTAATTTGAAGTTTGATTTGAAACTTTTGTTTGGTTGACAAACAACATAATCATTAAATCTTTCACATGAAACTACACTGCTGCGCTCCAACTTGAATCAGAGTTAAATCAGGGTCTTTGGTCGTTTGGATTGGTCAGCAGACAAATAAGTTACCATTTTTGATTTGCCCTACATTCACAAATACACATGGATGTAATTATTATTGTAATTGTTTTTGGATGATAGCAACTGAAGTATGGTTTAGAGATTGTGCTGACAGAGTTTTGTTGTTTTTGTGTTTTTCTTTAGTGGGGAAGACCTCGCTCATCACCAGGTTCATGTATGACAGCTTCGACAACACTTATCAAGTGAGACAAACACCTCTCACGTGTTAAACCCGAAGTGATAGTTGCATGTAATTACAAAACAAATGGAGTGATGTCTGTTCTCTTTTCTCTAAACTTCTGTTTACAATTTTCAGGCCACAATAGGAATAGATTTCCTGTCGAAAACCATGTACCTTGAAGACAGAACGGTAAGTGTGTTTCACAGTCCTTGATCTATGGTTGTTCTTCTGTCTTTGTTGAATTTTCTACACCTGACTAAAAAAACAAGAGGTGACTCTGCATTGAAATACTGACAAACTGTAACTGAACTAAAATTTTCTTCAAGAGTTTTGTGTATTACATATTTGCTCTCCCTCCAATGGTTCGATGGATGCTGTACTCCGACAATGGTCTTTCCTTTCTTTCTTTGTTTCTCCCCTCAACACAAGCTCTCTTCTTTCCTGTCTTCCCCTCCATCTCTTCTCCTTATTTCTGTTTTGAAACTGAACACCTTACTTGATCAAGACAGGAGGGTTAATGACAAGTGAAGGGTGATTATTTATTTATTTTCCCCTCCAGGCCCAGACAGCTTCTCTCTATGGTGGTTGTTCACTACCTGCATGCCCTCCACTCTCTCTGTCCTCTCTCTTTCTCTGTTTTTCTGCATTTGTCTGTCTTTGCGTTCAATTTGCTTTGTTGTCACTACAGCTTACCTCCATTTCTTACCTTGTTTTTTCTTGCTTTATTTTCATCCTCTCTGTATTGTTTTGTTTTGTTTTTCCTCTTCTTTTTATTCCTCCCTTCCCCTTCCCCTTCCTGCCCGACAGATTCGGTTGCAGTTGTGGGACACAGCAGGGCAGGAGCGGTTTCGTAGCCTCATCCCAAGTTACATAAGAGACTCTGCTGCTGCTGTAGTAGTGTACGACATCACAAGTAGGTGGATTACATGTGCAATCGGATTTCTGAACAACAAGACACATTTGTCCCATTCTGCTTTGTCTTTAAACAGGGCCTGATCAAAATCACCTCAAACACACAGTATAAGCAATAATTGTTGCATAATGTGATGCTGGCAGGCGTTTTCCTTTTAAATGAAAAAAGACCCCACCATTTTTAACATTGGTTTATTAGACTTGGTTAATCCATTGGTTGTTGTTGTCTATGTTCTTGTAGTCTTCCTGTCACAAACTCGCCTGTTTTCACAGCTGAGGCTTCCCCCCCATGAATACTGATGCTCCTCTTCCTGTCTCTTTCCTTGTCTCTCTTTCAGACGTCAATTCCTTCCAGCAAACCACAAAATGGATAGACGATGTGAGAACAGAGAGAGGAAGTGATGTCATTATCATGTTGGTGGGGAACAAGACAGACCTTGCAGATAAGAGGTAATGTGTCCCTCCCTTTTCTGAGAGCATACTAATGAATCCATTGATTTTTGCCGCTGGCGTGTCAATACTGAGCCCCTCAGTCATTCCTGAAGCAGGAGATCAAAGCAAGTTTGATTGTTAAAGCTACTATTGACCTTTTCTCTATTTTTAAATCCCCTTTCTTTTTGTTTCCTACCCCACTGATGAAAGACACAGATGATTTAGTCCTTAACCAACAAATGAATGCCTGTTATGTTTGAAGTTTGCTATTAAGTATCTGCTATCTGATCCACCTGTTTAATTAGGGTTGTGAAATGTCTTTTGTGTGCATCTCTTAACTCCCCTTATCTGCCACAGGCAAGTATCTATTGAGGAGGGTGAGCGGAAAGCCAAAGAACTTAATGTTATGTTTATTGAGACTAGTGCTAAAGCGGGCTACAACGTGAAGCAGGTAAGAGTGAGTGTGAGTCGTGCTCCTGGGTCCTGCTGAGGGTGCTGCTACCTGCGCTTCACTTCTAAAAGTCCTCTGAACAGCCAAAATGAGAGGGGCTGAGTGAAAATTTCCTTATGAGTCATCCTTGCTGCATTTAGATCTTCAAAAACAGATATTAGAGTCATTGTTAATTTTCATCCCGAGGTAAATGCCCTGAAGGTCTACTGGATGTCTTTTAGTCTTGAGCGCATGTGGCAGCAGCAGCAGGAAGGAGCACGGCTTGATAATCCACTTCAATATATTCACAGTCTGTATTTTTCTCCTTGTGTTTTCTCGTTGTGTGCGTGTCCACTGTGGATGTTTGTGAATTTTGTGTGCGGTGGCTGGTGGGTCATCACAGACAGATAACCACAGAGGAGGGAGAACAGAGAGCGAAAGAGATGAATGTTCTGTTTATTGAAACAAGTGCAAAGACAGGCTACAATGTCAAACAGGTAGAGCGTGTGCACCTTGTGTGTTTGTTCATCCGCACTCATGATCTCTTCTGGTTGGCTTATATCTCACAAATGCATGTGTGCTTTCAACATCAGCTGTCTCTGTTCTAAAGTAAGGGTGGATTTGCTTTTCAAGCTCTTCCCCACCTGCTTGTGGTCATTCTTATGGTCAACCTTTGATCATCAAGACCTTTTTAAAGGTGGTTCTGGGTTTGCAAACCAACACCCCTGCATCTACTGAATGAAGTAATTTTGCTGTATTTGCATTGCTGTGAGATCTACACAAATATCAGTCCAGGTGAACACATACACTGTATGTAAGAAGTGGGCGTAGCTGTCAGGACCTCATCCATAGAGTTGTGGACCATTGTTTTAAAGCCAGGAGTTACCATATTTGCACAACCAGGTGGACGCATTGTTCTGCCTCTTTTGTTGTTGGCATATCACCCTGGCAGCAGCTTCCTAATCACAAAGTGGCTGATCTCTGAAGCATACCCAACTTCAAAATGTATACAGGAAATATTGATGATTGGGGCTAAAAATTTGTGTGAAAAACGGCTAATTTTTAAAAAGATTTCTGCCACAATATTTTAAGCGCTAGAGTTGTCCCCAGGTTAAACACACCTGCATTTAGGCTTTTTTTTGTGAGCCAACGACTTCAGACGCTTCTTTCATACAGTTTATGGTCAATATGATGATGATAATTTTGGGGCAGGCATGTTGAGTATCATCATAAGTTCAACACTTTGCCTTTTTAATTCTTGTATTCATCAATCCCTCAAAATTCTCCGAGCTCTCTCAGTGGAAGGTGAAGTCGGTGAAGTAGATTTCCAGCCTCTCCAGAGCCAGGTCTGCAGGACAGACATCTGGCCTTTTGATAACTGAAACTCATGCTGCTTCATTTAAATCAATTTAGAAAAGCTCTGCTGGGCATCTTCCTCTGTGTAAGCTTCAATTGAGCCGTGTGTCAGTCAGATCATGTTATGGGACTAGACACAGCCCACTGACTGGATTTCATCTTCTGTTTTTGTCATGCTCAGAGTGTAATTTTTTGATATAATACATCTGTTTCTATCTCCCTTCAGCTTTTTCGTCGTGTGGCAGCGGCCCTCCCCGGCATGGATGCCACACAGGACAAGAGTAGAGAGGACAGTATCCTTTGTGTTTATGTCAGTGTCAGCGACCGACATGATAGAGGAGAGGCAGGAGGTCTCCTCGCTCTTTTACAGTCTCTGCCAGAAGGAAGATGTAGTGCAGCTGTGTGACAGCCAGCTATTGTTATAAACTAGTGTGTCACCGGAGATTTATTTCAACCACTGAGGGTACTTATTGTGATCCAGCTCAGTATTCCTTCAAGAAATAATTCACCCAAAACATTCTTTTATTCATAATAATCACAATGGGTTCAGATTGCAACCCTGTTGTGGTATTAAGCTGTCAAATCCAGACAACAAAGCCCAATAAAGAAAAATTTTAAGTTAAATTTACCAAAAAGTAGGATGAAAAAAAATGTTTTGTACCGAAACTAATACATGATGATGATAAATCCAGAAATTCATGGTAGGGTATAATGGCATAGCAGGAAAATGATAAGACTAGCCCACGTTACTGAGCTTTGGTGCTAGAGGTAAACACATAATTAGCATAAAGCAGGACAGTAAGCCTAAAAATACAATGTTCATATGACTGGGCTGTTTGTGTATTTATTTTGTTGTTTCATAAATCTGAATTCTCTTTCATTTTCTAGTTCTATACTTTTTGTCTTACATTAGAAAAACGCTAAAACACTATTTTACATGAATGTAGAAGTTTGCTATCTCTCAAACTTCTAACACAGCTTGAAGTACATTGTCTTGTTCTGTGCTGATCCTTAACTCCTCCACCTTTCAGTGATTGACATCAAGCTGGAGAAGCCACCAGAGCTCCCTGTCAGTGAAGGAGGCTGTTCCTGCTAATCTCAGCACAAGTCATTGCTTATATTATTCTCCTCCTGGCTGTTTTCCAAACCCGGTCAGGTTTTCTGTATCAGTCCCTTTTACTACTCCCACCTTTGTTCCCCCTGCCTGAAGAGAACACTACATCTGTTATCGTCGCCATTGTGGAAACCGCTCTCTCATCAGAAATGCTCATTTATCACATAAAATGAATATTTGCACTGTAACGCACACAGACCGGTACGTTTAAACAGTATTCTCATGTTGAGCTCATCATCTTTTCACTGAACTCCATCAGTTCAGTCTGTCAATTAAAAAACGATGTGGTGGATGCTGATTGTGTCTTGAGGATTGCTGTCAGAACCAAACTGAAAGAGAGGAAATTTATCCGATAAAGAGTGAGAACATTCTTTGAAAAGTTTAACACTGCTTTAAGCTAAATATGCGCTATGTGAGTGTTTTGTACATTTGTCAGTTAATGTAATCTTCTGTTGCAATTAATCGGCAAATGTGTTATCAGCAACCAGTGATGTTTTAACTGCCTGGAATAAGTTGTGAAAATGGTGGTAGTAAATCTAAGAGAATTTGGGCTCTTTCTTTGTTCTTACATCGCCACAATGCAGCTGAAGCTGGATGCCTGGAGCTTGTTTGACACTTGAGTGTTTGCTTTGTGGTCCAGAGCAGAATAGGGGGTTATCCATACGTGAACTAGCATGATACGATAAGTCAGTACAGTGTCACACACATCACAGCATGGTCTAAAACGAGCAGATACACATGACACACTCTTAACACTATCACATCACCCTTCACATTACCGTCCTCCCCTCCTCTCCTACCACACTTGTCCCTTGAGATAGGTTATTTTTACCTTGGCTTCCATTTTCTATTACCTTTTTGTTTTGGTTAGATGTTAGATTTTTTTTAAGACTACAGCTATCATAGATCTAAAACTTTTCCATCATCATAGCGTTTGAGGAGAATTTGAATCATAATCAAAAAACCCAGCACAAATGATAGGTATGGAGATATATATGCCTTTTGGAGTTGAAATGTAGAGGGCTTCCGTGGGTTTATCTAGTTAACTTTGGTATGACGTTTTACAAACACTTTAAAGATTTCTTTGGCTTGTTTAATTTTTATTTTTGCCTCTGATTCTTTGTTAGTAATGATTCTTGATGTGTATTTAATCCACAATGACTTGTAATATTTATTTCCGTTGGATTTGTTTCTTTTTTATGGCTGTTAATATCTTCTCATGGTATGAGTCCTGAATCTCAAATAAATATGCATCCATCTGTACCACCTTTAACAGAATCATCTGGAGAGCATCTGTTTTGCCCTCTACCACCGATAAATGGAAAAATGATCATACATATATACAGTGCAATTTTTGTGTGAACTTATGGAAGAGTGTCTGATTTGTATAGCATAGTAGTCCTTAACGTTTCTGTCTGGAATGATTTTAAATGAGAAAATAAAAATACACTTGTCACGACAGCTTTGATTCAACTGTGTCCTGTTTAGAAAGTGTAAAGATACAGAAGACACTGGCAGAAAATCTTTATGTCTTGAAAATACTTTTTGCTTTTATTAATTGAAAATCAAATTACAGTGAAGATGTAAATGATCTCTGGATCACAGTGAGATCGGAAATCACGCGAGACGTCACAGTCTCGGAAGCTTCTGTTACCCTGGAAACCAAGCGTAACAACTGCTCCGCTGTATATTCATTTTGACAAAACAAACGTTTTTTTTTTGTTGTATTTCACTTTTTTTACTAATAGAAATCAAACTCAAGGGTCATTACAAGAATCCGCTGTGATGATGGATAACGACTATTACGAGACGCTGGAAATAAACAGGAATGCAACAGACGCAGATATCAAAAAGGCGTAAGTTTTTTCAAACTACCAACCGTTACGATATGCCACATAACAGAAGCCTGAGCTCACTGAAAGCTTTTCTTTGTCACCTTTTCTATTATCTTCTATCTAGATACCGACGTCTTGCATTAAAGTTTCACCCGAGCAGCGAAGAGACGGGAAACGTCGAGAAGTTCACTCAGCTCGGTGAAGCTTACGATGTGCTGAGCGACCGTAAGTACGCAGAGGGAGGCTGACGTTTTATTTTGATCATTAATGCAACCTTTATATAAGTTTTTGGTTTAATCTTACTCATTTGTCAGTTAGGGGCCAAAATGTTATTGGTTTCACGCGCCTACCTCTTAATTATATGAGATCAAGCAATTGACTGAGTACCATGTGGAATTCAAAAACTTGGTTGGACATGTCACTGTTTTAAAGGCATGTCTTAACACCTATTTGAGGGGTTTTAAAACACTTAAGCATACAGGACATACCAGGTCTGCTGTCCCAGGATTTAATTTCAATAAATTGTTTCAGGGGGGAAATTAGTTTACTCTTGATGATTTCAGGTGTGTCTGCATCCTGTTCTCCTTCAGTAACAAAAAACAGTAATTGATCTCAGAACTGAAGAATTGTTTTTGGACAAGGTTTATAAGACCTGCTATAAACTAACTTGAAAATAAATGCTTCAAGTTTTTGAGGTTTGGTTAGCAGTTGTCGGTAAAAACAGTTCAGTAACAGGTTTTTGGGAGAAGATTGAATGGAAACATTGTGAAGGGTAGTCTAAAAAAATGCCTGCAGCATTTAAACCTTTAACAATATCCTTCTTTGTCTCTTTGTAACAGCTCGAAAAAAGGCAATTTATGATAAGTTTGGTGAAGATGGTCTTAAAGGTGGGATCCCGCTAGAGTTTGGCAACAGCGGGGCTTGGTCATCCAAATATGCATACCACAGGGACCCAGACAAAACATTCAGAAAGTTCTTTGGAGTCGACAACCCATTTTCAGGTAAGAGGAAAAAAATAGCATTGAATCTGCATTCAATGTGAAATATTAGAGTAACATATAGAGTGTTTATGTTTTTCCCCTAGACTTCTATATAAATTATGCTCCACCTAAGCTCGGTGGCCCGCAACAAGTTGTGGCTAAGAAACAAGACTCTCATATAGAGAGAGACCTTCATCTCTCTCTGGATGATCTCTTCCATGGTTGCACTAAAAAAATCAAGATATCTCGCAGGGTAAGTTTGACTGCATAACCATGTCGTTAAACCCTAAGTTTTGAAGTTATTATATCATTTATACACTTCTGGCATCTCACAGGATTTACGTCTAACTGCTAAGTCACAACAAGGTCCAGGCTAAAGAAAATACACTGCTATATGTTTGCGTTATTTATCAAACAGGTTATGAATGAGGATGGATGCACATCCAGCATCAAAGACAAGATCCTGACCATAGACGTGGAGCCTGGATGGAAAGAAGGCACAAGAATAGTGTTCTCCAAAGAGGGAGATCAGGTATCACAATTAAGGCACTACATTAATATTGGCCATGATTTCCTCAGTTTGATTATAATAACCATAAATAGTTTGAGTGATGGTATGATTTGGTAGTTTTGTGAAAAAATAGACAGAAATAACTCTTTGTGCTGTACATCCTAGTCTTTTTTGAGTTTCCCACAAGAATGTGTGTTGTGGCTTGAGTTTTAGCTTGTAGCGCTGTCCCTGGTGCTGATTTACTCATCTCTATCATTATGTAAAGCTCATTCTTCAACAAATAAAACTCACTGTATGAAACATTATCATTAATGTGCTATGAACCTACAAAGCTGCATGCTGATATATACATCTTTTGCAGAAAAGCACATAACAAACTCAAGGCGATAGTTTTGAAGTTTTATGGGGAATGTACGTATACACTGTTACTGGCACTATGAAAATTTTGCAAAATTTTGTCAAGTTATGCTAAGCACAGAGACTATTTAGTTATGGAGGTATTTTTTGTATAAAGGAAAAGCTTCGATGGTTAGAAATTGTGAGGCACTGTTAAAATAATTTTTCTGGATTTCACTTTTTTTTTAGAATTAGCGAATCTTTCTCTTATTTTTTAAAATGAAACTGTTTAAAAATATATATTCTACAAGTTTATACTGATGTTGTGTTTATTTGTGGTTTTCATATTTAAAATGCGCTAAATAAACATAAATTGTTTTTTTTTTTCAAGTTGCCACCAGTAGGTGGCCACAGCAGACATCTTAAGTTGCCCCTCCCCCATGCTTAAAGTGCAAACACACCTGGTAGTGAGAGTACACGAGGCTGCACTTTGTCTTCTTTTTTGTTCTCTGCCAGCTGTGTGTAAAAAGCTTACCTTTTATGAACGTATGAATAAGTAATGTTACACAGAAAGAGCCTCAGTCATCTTTTTGTATTCCATTTTTAGGGACCAAACAGCATCCCTGCTGATATTGTGTTCATAGTCCAACAGAAGAATCATCCTCTGTTTGTAAGACAGCAAAATGACCTGATTTACAAGACACAGATCTCTCTAGAGATGGTGAGTTATGTTAATGTGAGCTGAAATAAAATGTGTTTTAACATAGTCAGAATAAAAACCTCTGACCTCTCCCACAGGCATTGACTGGGTTCTCTGTGGATGTGGAGACACTAGATGGCAGAGTACTCACAATTCCCATCAATGACATAGTGCAGTAAGTGCTTTTTATACATGTTATTTGAGAAAATCTATTTTAACTCCTTTCAATTTCACCATCAATCATTAAAACCCTCCTCCGGTGTTAGGGTCTGCACCGACCCGTTTTTGATTTTAAATGCTTAAAAGAAACACTTAAATTAGCTTTCATGCATCAAGACTTTTTGACTTTGTCAGGGACTTCTATTTGAATAAAATAACAATAATTAAATTGACTGAATATAAAATGCTCTTATTAAAATTATGTCACTTGTCGTGTTAGGGTTGCTGTTGACCCGGTTAGATCAATATCTAATAATTACAGCAAAAACTGAAATTATAAGTGCACTGTCAGGAACCACACTGACAGTCAGATCCTTTTCCGGTCATGTGAGATTTAGGAAATTCTCATATTTCCATGTTTTTCCCTGCACAAAAAACAACGTTGGGCATGTTAAGACATGTGAGATCAGTTCAGTATAGATGTCTTTGTGAGGGGTACACTGACAAAGAAAGGCCCAGAGGACCACAACAAAAAATATTCTAAGCAATATTTTCATGGATAATGAAGCCTAATAAGGTAACCTAGAGCAGAGGACCAAACTGGATGATAGAGAAATGTTTTTAGTGTAATTTGCAGCTGAGTTAAGACACTGGTCAAAACCAACCCTTAACATAGTGGGTGCGTAGTGAAAGCTAACACAGGAGGAAGGTTAATGGCTTAGTAAGCTGTTTAAATTAATGACGAGAGAGACAAGCATAAAAAGTCATGGCTTTATAAAAACAGTACAAATATGCAGAGACATTCATGTAGGATTGGTTCTTTTCATGCAGATCATATGTATTTATCTTATTCACTTGTTTTGTTAACAGCCCCACATACAAAAAGGTGGTGCCTGGACAGGGAATGCCGCTGCCCCAGGACCCTTCTCAGAGAGGAAACCTCATCATTACTTTCGATGTGAAGTTTCCAGAGAAGCTGTCAGCTGAGAGTAGGCAGCTGATCAAACAAGCGCTCACTTTTGAAAATTGATTAGTTTCTTACACATTTTTTTATCATCTGACATGTACAGTAAATACCACTGCTGTACTAAAGCACCAGCCTTCCATGACAACAGTGGTTACAGAATGTTTGTGCAGTTGTGATTTCCTGCCATCATGGCTCGTTTCAGCTGCTCATATGTAACAAACATCACTACGTTCCAGGAGCCCAAGCGCAAGAAAGATGGCATAAAACTGGAGAAGAAAAAAGATAAATTGTAATCAATTCATATCAACAGCTACTTTGTACATTTTTTCCCTTACATTTCACTAATGTCATCATTTATCTGTTCATTATTGTCAGTGCTTACCCCTTATAAAAGGCAAGTGGTCCCTCCTTCGTCATCATGGCTGCAGCACAGTTAAGGACACTTCTGTACTGACCGAGAGCAGCGTTCATATATCTGGTCTTGACCACATCCACAGGAGAGGCGATCACTGTTGTGCATAGGCCTGCACCAAAAGCTGATATGAAGTGGCAGGGTAGATTATCTGTGGAGGACAAGCCGTGAGTCACCGCTCCACAGAGAAAACAGCAGGCCAATGAATCATACCTGTGCACCTTACTGAAAGCCATTGTTTTACCTGTCAGGGGAGTGGACTTGAGAAGTGTGTCCTTTATGAAATCATATGTCACCAGCTCAGTGCAGTTTACTATTGCATTTCTTGCAATGTTTGGAGCTGTTCCTGCAGGAGAGAGAGAAAGATAAGCACATGAGAAGAGTTGTTTGAAAAAGGACTTACTTTGACACCTCAGTAATCCTGTGAAGCTGGAAGTACCTTTCCACAATCCGTGAACACCTTCCTCCTTTGCAATGGTCTTGTAAGCATCAATAGTGCTGCAATAGCGCTTTGCATGCCCAGGAGACCTGGCCTGAGCCTGGAAGCGGACTTTAACCACATCTGTAGGCTGGGCAAAAGCAACTGCCATCGCCCCAGTGGTACATCCTGCGAGCAGCCTACTGCCAATGCCAACATCTAAATCAAAAAGAGGGACGTGAGCCGTGCTGACCTCCCTTACTGACAAAATAAATTATATGAACATTGTGTTCACTTGTACTCACGATCAGAGCCTTTGGTGTAGAACTGCTTTACAGAATCATAAAGACCGATCCGAACAGAGGCAAAGCTCATCTGTCTCTGCAGGCCTGCAACCAGTCCGCTATAAAGGCTCCTGGGCCCCTCTGTGCGCACCATGGTTGTGATGGTGCCAAACACTCCTCGATACTTTACTGCAGACTGCTTCCCTTTTGCTGTTGAAGTTTTGGACTCTCCTTGGATCTGTGCAGGATGAAAGGTCATGATATGTTAGGTGAGGATAGTATTCAGGACTGGCTTGATTTTTCTTTAGCATATCTAGGTCAGTATGTACAGTATCACTTGTTTACCTGTAGCCGCACTTTGGCTGTATCAAGGGGAAAGGTTAGCAGGTCAGCAATGCAAGCTGCTGTTCCTGCTCCCACAAACTTCACAGCTGCCGATGGAGGCACGTCTGCTGGTCTAAATCCAACCATTTCTCAATATAATTTTGACCAATGTAAGCACTGAAGAATGGCTTTCTGATGCGGACACAGGGCCGGACGCTCCTTCAAATTCTGGAAAAGATAGATCACAGAAAGGAAATTTCACCCAAAAGTTAATCAATCTATCAAAATGGTCCCAGAGTGGGAAGCGGCTCATTGAAATCTCCATTTCGCCCAAGGGAAACCCATGAGCGGAGTTTTAAAAGATGCTAAATGACAGAAAATTCTGTGTAGTTAGAGGAAGATTAGGCTCGTAATTTATATCAAGCCAAATGTGTTTTTGATCCTTACCTTTGTTTGAGCAGTTTATGACAAAAACATGAGATCAGGATTCTCTAAAGGTGTCCCTCTGGCTGAATTTTGTCCCAGCTATAAACTGTTTTCCTTGATTTTCCATAGAAGGTTTTTCAGAAGCTATTAGCCTTAAAATCATACTCCAAATCCTAAAAAGACAAAGAAAAAAAGGTCAAAACAAATAGAATGAAACACAAGTTAGAGTAACAGAAATATATGAAAGAAAAGATCTTACCAAAGGTTTTGATTGTTCCGTGATTTAATGAAAGGAGGTTAAAATGCCACGTTAGGAAGCCTCGCTCAGTGAAGGTATCCAAATGAATCTGTGAATGGAAAGCATGCAGAGAGCCTCCTCTTAAAATACAGCCGTTGTTACATCATGGCATGTTGTGCTGCAGGGGCCCCACCCCCACTGCATCTCTATGGGATGCCTGCCGGTCCAGCGGGGAGACTATAAACCTGTCGGTGTGACAAACAACCCGTCCTTGTGACGGATTGTGGTGGTTGTATTTGTGTGATTGGTTTGAAAATTTCAATGAGTTTCTCTCCATTATTTCCTTTACAATCAAACCCTAAGACATCAACAAAACCATCACAAAAAACATTTAGAATTGAACTGCTTAATCAGAGGGACACAGTACAATTGGAACCAACTGGTGAAAAATTATTTTAATGCAGAACGTGACTCTATAATACGCTAAATCGTATTAAGTCATTTGCCTTGTTTAGTTCTATATGCAGCTTCACGGTACAAGAGCATCTATTAGAGAAGCAAATGCTGAGTCATGCTGAAAACACAAGAACACACGGTGCAAATTAGATCCGTATGTTCAGATCCTTTAATGTCTCACCACAGCATGTTGTTGAATTAGTTCCAACTCCTGCAAAGGTTACTGATGATAGAGCATGTTTTTTAGTAAAATCATACCTTTAAAAACATATTTGTAAAGATATCTGAACAATAGTGTGCATGCAAAAATCTTAATACTTGGTAGTAAATCAATGGAAAAAACAAACAGCATAATTGATTATGTGTTAACTATGTTGTAGAATGTGAGTGATGTTAGTGGTCTCTTGGGTACATACTGTCCCATACATGTAACTCTATGGCAGCCTTGTTCTTGTACACTCAAGTGTGAAAATGCATCCTGGTAATATTCCAGACTCATCAATGCCTGTTCAACAACACTGCATTTAGTCAGAGGCCCCATGTCAGAGTGGGACCTTGCTATCTTTCCCACTTATTACTCACTTTTTAAGTGTTCCCATAGCACAGCTTTCAACACTGCACCCACTGAAATGTGCACATGAAAAGATTCTGTGTCACATACCCAACCCTTTCGCTTGTTAGCTTCAACACAGACAAAGACCATTCAGTTCTAAAGCAGCCCCTTTTTTTCTACTTTAAGGAGTAATGATGGGTATTATAGACTGTGTTATGTGTTTAATTATGATGTGTCCCTGGGTAATGTGGATACAACCCAAATTTTTATAGGCCAAAACTTTAATAATCAGATTTCTTCTGTAAGTATAATTTTACAGAGTAATACCAAAATGGGAGGGAATACTGTTGTACTTCACTCTCTGACCAGAACAGCATTTATAAGTAAACTTGTTACTTTTTGCATCTACACTTCACCACACATTAGTCCGCAATTACTTGCCCCCCTGCTTTTGCCCTTTTGAGCAATGTTGCGCAAGAAGGGGTGCTGTTATAGGGTCTAAGAGAATGGGTGCGAGCCAGTTACATATTTGAAGCTGGAAGTAGAGTGTCAGAGATGAAAGAAAACATACAGCTACTTTGTACTTCATATGTTTTCTTTCATACTGAAAACTGTGGAATAACAATCATAATTATTTCAAAAGAGCAGATTTGATCCTTTTAGACCAATGTCATTTGTCAGGAAGCTGACCTGTTACATCAATTAACAAAAAATTTTTACTTTTTATTGCATATTTTCCCATTTCACTCCAAAGATGCTCCACTTTTCATCTACATATATACTACAGTTTCAGTCAATTTGATGTATCATCACTCTTCAGCCACTGTGACCCCATTTATGTATTTATCACTCTTTTTTAAACTCTACTCCATAACAGCTAAAGTCAATATTAGACATAAAAAATGACACTTTAATTATTCGTTGTGGCATTATTTATTACTGTGCACAGAATACTTATGAATTATCGACCTGCAATAAATCATCCTATTTTAAATGAGCAGCACATAGATAAGTTACAAACCTTTGACAACATGCACCTACAACAGTAAACATTACAAATGGTACATAATACAATAAGTTACATAAAGAGTATAGAAACAGTCACAGCTTAGTTCTTTGCAGTCAGACTCAATCTGACCAACCATATTTGTCTTTAGTTCTCACAGTTCATCCTTGTAAACATGAAAATCCATTCTCAAAGCTACTATAAAGGTGTTAGTGTTCATGACAGTAAAAGTTACAATCAAAACCTTCTGGAATATTCTCTAACATTTGTTTTTTCTACCTGAGTCAGCCCTTTTGTAATGGAGGTACTCCCCATTACACTGCACAAAGCATCTTTTTGTAGTTGAGTCCTTCAATCACTTTCAAAATTGCAGCAATGCCACAAGAGTCTGAGATCACTCAGGACATGGTTCGACCACCTGCAGAGCTCTACCTCTGCCACTGCTTCCAGGAGCACATCAGTGTCACTGTGTCTGTGTAGTTTTGTGTCGAGAAAAAGTCCAACAAGAAACGTGTTCAAAACGGCGACTCCCAACACTGCTGTGCCCTCGTCACCCCTCTTTTAATTTGTTCATAGCTCACAAACATCACAATGTTCCAGGAGCCAAGTCGCAGGAAAGAAGGCATGAATCTGTGGGGGACAAAGGAGGGAGAAATAAAAGGTAATTTCAAAAGGATCCTTCTATTAGTATTTGGTTCACTTGTGATAGAATTGAACATTTACCCTTTGTAGAAGGCAGTGGGTCCTTCATTTCTCAGCATGGTGAGGGCACAGTTGATGGCACTGCTATACTGACCGGTGCTTGAATTCATGAACCGTGTTTTAACCACGTCCACAGGAGAAGCAACAACTGTTGTACAGAAACCTGCACTGAAGGCCGCAATGAAGTGACAAGGCAGGTCGTCTGCAGAACAAGAACTTAGTTAGTTGTGTTATCATGTATGTGGATTTGTCAGAAGTTTGGACATTATGAGCTGATCTCACTCAAATATTTTTGCTTTATTAGCTCACCTGTCATTAGGTCATACTTCAGGATGAGTTCTTTGATCATGTCGTAAGTCACCAGCTCTGCACAGTTTACGATGGCGTTACGAGTGATGTTGGGCATACAGCCTAGAGGGAAAGAGCAGGTCGTCTTAGAAACCAATAAAGGGACTTTCTGTGATCATTAATGGACATAACTTTGACTTTAAAGTTAAAATGATGATGGTAGGCACCTTTCCAAAGGCCCCGAACTCCCTCATCTCTGGCAATAGTCTTGTAAGCATCAATAGTGCCGTTGTATCTTCTCCCTCCATCTTCCAGTCGTGCCTGAGCCTGGAACCTCACCTTCACCACATCTGTAGGTTGTGCAAAAGCCACCGCCATGGCTCCTGTGGTGCATCCCGCCATGAGCCGAGTGACTATCCCAGCACCTGTGCAAAATGCGGACATTAGTCTAGAGGAACAAGGGAAAGGAAACAACCTTGTTGTGTCAGAGTTAAGGTTATCTCTGGTTATGTAACTCACTCTCAGTGCCACGGGTGTAGAACTGCTTCATGGAGTCATAAAGGCCAATTCGGACAGAGGCAAAGCTCATCTGTCTCTGGAGTCCTGCCACCAGTCCATTGTAGAGACTCCTGGGCCCCTCTGTGCGTACCATAGTGGAGATGGTGCCAAACACTCCTCGGTATTTTGTGGCAGCTCCCCCTTCAGCTGCATGTGACTCCCCTTGAATCTGTTCAAGAACATGACACCCAGGTACAGAAAGTTAAGAGGAGTTCTGACGAGACCGAATCTAAAGTTGAAATGTGTGAAGTTCTTGAGATAATGGGGGTCTGACCTGGAGTCGGACTTTGGCAGTATCCAGTGGAAAGGTGACAAGGTCAGCTATGCAGGCTGCGGTTCCCGCCCCAAAAAACTTGACTGCCCCGGAGGGCACCACATCTTTGGGCTTCATGCCAACCATTCTGGGCCTGGGGTGATTACATAAACGGAAATATCTGCACTTTACTCTATTTACTCAGGGCGTCTGTGCATATATATTTCATTACACAGCAAATACACAAAGATAGAATCAGGTCAGCACTGCAAATACACAGTATGAAATGCAAGCTTTTAATTTTTTTCATTATGTCGTTATGAGATGTTTGTGTTTAAATTTGAGCCTACCTGTTTGTGAGGGGAACAAAAACCTTCAAGTTTCTTCCAGAAGTACACTCGTATTTGTTGATGGTTCTGTGGTGGGAATTCCCTTGGCCATAAACTCTGTGTGGTGTGAACTAGGAAGCATACCACCTCACTGAAACAACATTTATATATTGTCACTATTTGAGAAAGAGAAGATAGCAATCGTTTGTATTTGATCTGTCATTGTCAGTACAGAGAATTAGATCATATTTTATCTTAGAGGTTCAAAACAAAATTGTGCAAAGTTTTCAAAAAAGCTGAAGTTAAAATATATTTTTCAGATTTGAAGTAGTCTACCACATAAATACAAAGTGACACAGGTTGATTCTTGATCTATCACCGTTGTCTTTACGGGAAAATTTACCTAAACGTTTCCCAGGAAAGTTATAATCCAGCAAAGTGGGAAGAAGGTACAATCCTTTCAGAAAAGTAGTCCCTTTGGTGTCTTCTTCTCATGCTGTTTGCTCTGTGGTCGGTGTTGAGGAAGCCTCTAAATTTATAGAAACCTATTGCACATGTGCACACCTGTCATGTGCACCTCGTGTTTACCAGAGTCTGAGAGACACAGACGGATATTTGAGCTCTTGTTGATCTGCTCCTCACAGAGTCATTATGGCAGCCCTCTATGGATTCACTGAACACATGTCATTGGCAATTTGTTTTTGTTTTTTCACTGCCAATCTTATGGTAAATTGTGCTTTTTTATATAGTTATATTTATAAATTAATTCAATGTCTATTTATTAAAAGACAAGAATGTGTAATGTAAATCAATCTATGCCCCTCACCACAACATTAATAGTCTTTACAATATGTGTCTCGCAAAAGCTTCTCAAATCACAGAAAAGTCAGCAAATGATACAAATATTCGCTTAATTATATAAAAAAATTGAATCGTGCCACTTAATAATCTTTGCGTGTTTTTCTTTCTTTTCTCTGGGGGCTCATAGTTTCTAGCAGGTGACCTGTTTGTGTTTTTCATTTGTTTCAATTTTTTTTTTGATCCAGTTTACGTAAGATTTGTCATTCATGGAGACACCAGCTTATAATACTACACTGACATCAAGGAACATGTATCACATATCTATTGGTTGATATTGTCAGCCAATCAGACAAAGGCCATCTGGATTCTCTTCATATTTTCATGGGGCATTCAGCTGGCGAACAGCAGCTCTGCAAATGATATCATTTGCATAACGTCCTGTCCACTGTGTTTGTACTTGGCTCCTGAATGCAAAACTAGTTCAGGAGTTTGAGGAATTCCCTCTTCCCTCCTCCCTGAGAGCTTTAAAGTCACAAAATGTTCCAGGCAAAGGATCCGCCATGCTTCTCAGCCAATCCATACGATGGACGAGGGTGGGTGGATGCTCAGAGCATCTGTTAGCCATTAGCATCCGTCCATTCAAACCAGCAGCACCCAACCAAGAAAGGTTTGGGTGCTCAATAGGAAGTGCTAGAAAGGAGAGACACTTTACAGAGTAACGTCAGAGTTTTGTGCGTGCATGTGGGCGTACATGAGATTTTCCATTGGAGCTCCAGGTCAGAACCCCTGGCCAGCTTACGTCAAGTCATGCGGTTGACTGTGCAGAAGTGTCCCCTTCACATATTTACAATTGCACCTGCTGGTACATGTTTCAGGATGTTGTTCTGTTTGACCGGAGATGTAACTCTTTACTTTGCACATTAGTAATGTGCTGCTGCTGCATTAGCTGTTTGTCTTTTAACTGTTTGCATTTGTCCTAAATGTTCACTCCCCATTTTGCATAAGTCAAAGTTTCACTGAACAAAAGAAAACATTTTTTTTTTCTTCCGCAAGGCTTATAAAATGTTCTACCTTAACAGATGTAAACCAAATAATTTCACTATTAAAGTGCCCTTACCCTGCACAGCACTCATTCCTAGATTAAAACTGTTATACAGCTAGTATGATATGATATTTCTGGAGTAGCAGACCTCGGCCTTTTTTTCTGACTGGGGTGGCCAGAGTGGGGTACTGACTTTTGCGGTCTTGGCATGAAATATACATGCACAAATAAATGAATAACATTTATTCACTCTTTCCCCTTTTATTTGCAACTAGTTGCAGTCAGAGTAGATGTTTTTTTAGCAGCAGTAGTGGAAAATAAATGATTGCAGTATTAGTTGTTGCAATAATAGTAGTAGTAGTGGTAGTATTTGTGGTAGCAATAGTGGGATTTGTAGTAGTAGAAGTACCAGTGGGAAAAGGTTGATTAGTGTTAGCTTTAGTGGTGGTAGTACACTGTCTTTAAATTATCTGATATGTCCATCCATTTTCTACCGCTTATCCTGTTGGGGGATCACGGGGGGCTGGAGACTATCCTTGCATCTTGGGGTAAAGGCAGGGGACACCCTGGGCAAGTCGCCAGTTCATCGCAGATTGCAGGGCTGACATATAGAGATGAACAACCATCCACACTCACATTCACACCTATGAGCAATTTGAAAGTGACTAATTAATTCCCACTGTTGCATGTTTTTGAGATGTAAGAGGAAACTAGAGAACCTGGAGTAAACCCATGCAGACACAAGGAGAACATGCAAACTCCACAAAGAAATTCCCTGACCCGGATTTGAACCCAGGACCTTCTTGCTGTGAGGCAACAGTGCTTACCACCACACCACTGTGTTTCATTTCCAAAATGTAAATGTCTTCTGACTGTAAGTGATTTGGAGGATCATTCTAGATGGACTGATCCTTCTTCCATGCATGTCTTTCAAAACACATGTATTTTTCCCAAAAAAGAGATTGTATTACATTTCAAATACAACAAAATGTTCATGCAACCGGTTGCAACATGGCTCAAAAAGTTGATTTAACAGAGCAAACAGTCAATTTTGATTTAGGATTTTGGGGTGGCCATTTAGATTTCAAGGCCAGTACCTCCTCAGACTACATCTTTGTACACTCCCCTGGTCAAACACCATATAAACAGCATTAATTACAATATACCCAAGTATTAGGGTGTTTGCAAAAATGAAGATAAAATTTCCATTCCTGAGATATTTTCGCAGCTGCATATTCCAAGACTCAAATGTATGATTTTTAAAAATAATGTTACGCAACAGAGGAATCATTGGAAAGGTTTTGAGCCTAGACCAAGCAAAGAGTGGCTTGGAAAGAAAAAAGTTGGAGCTGCTCTCGCCAGCTGCTTTCTAGACCTGGAGCTAAAAACAGGTCCTACTTTGAGAACACCGAGTGAATAACCTTTACACACAGAGCCATACCAGTAAACAGTCACAAGTCACTGGTCCGGATTCAACCAGCCTGCAGTGACCTGCCAGACGGCTCTAAAGATGAATTTGAGCCGCCACCACTCTGCTGTCCAGCACTTTGAATACCACCAAGCTTGAGTCAGAGTGGTGAAACAGCTTATCGCCATTACTCTATAAATACAGACCATTACACTAAAAATAAAGTCAGAGGTTGCGTCGCCTAAAGGTTAGTAGTGCACTGATGACCCAACATGTCATCTTTAATCACAAAACTATTTGTCTGTGAACATCTGTTTATCTAAGAGGTGAGAAATCAAGGCGAGAACTTCAGCCCTTGGTTATAATTTTGACAAATAACATGTCAAAACATGTCATAATAACATATAGTGACCCATCATACCAGGAAGAAGTCAGTTAATTGTTCTATTTTTGTGTATCATAGCTCTTTAATGCCTGACACCACAAATTATGGCCAGAAAATTCAATTTTTGGGGGGGAGCTGAAATGTTTATTTCACTTACTACTGAAAACCAAAAAAATCAAAATGTCCTTAAAATCTAACAAATATATTAATTTATCTCGTTTGATACATTAGATGTTTTTGGAAACTGATAAACTACAAGAGGACATTTTTATCATTTATCGGACTGTATTCAGTTGTTTTTTTAGTAATTTGTTAATCATATTGATTTGATAGAAGTACATAAAATTATGTATCAAATATGATACAAAAGACAATCAAGGGTTAACATAGTAAATTATCATTAATGTAAGAGAAGACTAAAGTCTCAGCAAATCCTCAGCTATTGAAACAGATTGATCGCTGTAGCTTTAACTGATAGAAAGTATTTAACCTCAAAGTTTGGATCATAGCAGCTGCTCCTTTCATTATGTAACAGTTTTCTGGTGGAGATGATTATCACCTCTCACTGATTATGAGAAGGTCTATTTGTTCCATTAACTGACATTAACTTTTATTAAACCAGCTATTTTCATTCACCATCACCTCTCCATGTCTCCTATTGTGCCTCTATTGATCAGATTAGCAAGTGTACAGCTGCAGACAGTCAGCCGTTATTGCATAACTCTTTATGTAACCACAGTTGTTGAATGTCAGAGACCCAGATTTTGCTGAATCTGCAACTTCAGGACTCAAAAAGCTTTCTTTCTGTGGAATTGATCACAAAATACTACCCTTCCATCATAATTTCAACCCTGACCATTTGTAAAATAATTGCAGTCATCATATCAGATCTTAACCTGATACACCATCATGGCACCAGATTTGTATTTAACTTATCAAAGTTTTTTTGGGGGCGTCATACAATATTTTCCAGCTGTTCTCACAAACTTAGACAACATCATTATGGAGAACTGTATTATTTTTTCCTATTATTATTAGATGATTTCATGCTCGGGGAAAAAATGTAATGCCAACGTGAAACATGATCAAGAACAAAGAGAAAATAAAGAAGGGTTTTAAGTGTACATATCGTAATTATTCATGTCCTGGAAAACAAGTGTGTAGGGGATGAAAGAATGAATAAGTGAATAAACAGGCATTAAAATGTTCCAGTGCAGAGAAATTATGCATATACATTGACATCAAATGTACTGTATTTAATGTATGTAAGTCTGAATAAATATGTAAGTCATTAGATACATTCAGATAAATGAAAAGAGGGACATAAAACTGATGCTTGATATAGATTTGCATCAATCTGAAATACATTTTTTGACATTACTTCCTAAGCTTAATAGTGATTCAGAAGTTTTTTACCAACCTTTATCATTCAATTTTTTGCTCTTCTTACAGCCTTCTTTTTATGTAGTCATCTTTTATCATCTGTGTAATTCAGAATACAGAACTTGGGATCAAAAGGGATGTTTTCCTGAATAATTATAGATAGACATTGTAATTTGCTTCTAAAATGCTTGCAGTTCAGAGAATTTTCCTATCATTTCAACAACATGCCTTTGTCTCTGTGGATTAAACTACACTGATTTGAGTGACATCTTTTCAATGATGAAACTTAGTTTGTGAGTCAGCCTTTGAGCAGAGTGTAACATGAACACAGAGAGTGCTGCTGCCCTCCTGTGTTTATGAATAGTGTTACTAATAGGATAAAACGCCATCCTTGAAATGTGTTGTTACTGTTGTGTTATTTATTTAATAACATTTTTCATTTCATTTCATTTTATAATATTTTTCGAAAATGTGCGTACAACACCAAAAGTAAACTGAAAACAAACAAACAGAGAATATTTAAAACAACAATAACAATAAACAAAGCAAAAAAAGTAAAAATAGTTATAGGAAATAGAATAGTTCATGTCTTGTTTTTTGGGAAATTAAAACAAGCAAAAAAAGAAAAAAACAGATATTGTATGTCAGAGCTTTAGGGGGACTTTGAGTAACGTAACGTTCACCATAGTTGCATTGTCGACAACAGCCAGTAGATGGCAGTAACGTCTTGGTAAGTTGTAAATCACAGTTCCAAGTAGAAAAATCACAGAAGAAGACGTCTCTCCAAAATAATCACGACAACAGCCAGAGCCGAAGAAACAGGAGACGAAGAAGAGTGTGAGCCGTCTTTAGCCGTGAGCTAACGAGAGCTAAAATCTATCCAATGCCAGGGTAGAGCCGCTGCTGCAGGTGTCTTCTTGAATCTTATGCTGCGAAAAAGAGGGAAGGTGACATTGAATAAACCCCGAGAGAGCCCGACGACCCTGCTTTTAACAACATGGAGAAGCAGCTGCATCTAAACCTGTTAGCCTCCAGACCTCCAATGGCTGGAGGCTTTCAGTCAAGCTCCAAAATGAAGATGGGGTGAGGAAGCTAGCATCTTGGTAGCAAGCTGTCAGCTGTGCACGCAGTCAGAAGCAGAATTTATAATACATGTTCATGGATAATATAAGCTGGAAACGCTATCATATTCGCTTATTAAAGAGTACGATAGTTCACCCTGTCGTCAAATGTTCACCTGAGCTTGAATCACCTTGTGTTATTTTGTTAAATGTGAAAATGTTGATGTGAAGCGTTGTTTTGGAGCCACTGAATTGATTAATTTGTCAAACTTTGATCAATCTGGATGGTGGTGTTGATAGTGCAAGGTTCACTGTTACCACTATGATAAATGTTAATATTTTTATCATGTGCAGTCTCCATAATAAGGTCAGTTTTCTCCTGAGCTTCAGGTTTATGCCGTCTCCCCTTCGATACTGTCATCAGTTAATCGACATCATCACAAGTTGAATTGAACAAGTACAAGTACATGACACACCGTGTGAGGGTTTGGCTTAAAACTAAACTTTATCCAAGCTCTTTGCATCATCTATAAATAAAAAAAAATACATTGCCTACTGTGCTCTAATAGCTGGTTTGTGGTTACAAATCCATCAGAGCTTTATTGTCTCTAAGTTTGTATGGCTGACTGCTTTCAGTTTGGAGTAAAGACGTGGTCAGTGAGGCGAGAAAACAACAAAATCTGAAACGTAAAACTGGCCTCACAGTTTGGTGTTGTCTGGTTTCACATTTTGCCTCCCCTATCCTTCTCCTCCCATGTAGTGTAGAGATGTACTTTAGGTTAGGGCTGGGCGACATGGGGAAAAATTTATGACGATATATATATTTTTTATCAGTCGATATCGTTATGTATCACAATATAAAAAAATCACTTGTCAATCTTAAATGTTCCCTGTAAAGGACCTTTCACACCGGGAGCGTTTTTGTCGTGTGATTATTTAGGACATCAATTTTTTTTTTCGAACCTGTATCCTGTCAATACATCAGCAACGTTTTCCCGTCCTGCAATATTGTAGCTTTTTTTTTTTTTGGGGGGGGGGGATCAGGGTCGATTTTTCTAAAGTTTCGCTGACTGTGTGTCCACTTCTGACCAATCAGATTTCGTGTTGTTGTGACGTCTGATTCACTGGTATATAACATGGCCGACAGGCTGATTGTTTACATGTCGGAGAATAGAGTGCTTTTTGATAACAGTTTGCTAAACGTCTTTGCTTCAACTTTCATCTGTGCTAAGTAACTTTAGCTCGTAAGCTAACCTGTTCAGATACAACATACCGTATGTATTTTCACTGTCTCAAACTCAATCGCGTTGCTGTCACAGCACCGTTAGGTCTCGCTTGTCACCTTACGTTTATGGATTATAGTTTAATGTGCTTATCTGGTACTGGCCCCGACTCAGTACATGCTATCATGACAGACAGCCATCTCAACACTAGTGTCTAATCAGAACTAAAAAACAGTCAGTCTGGTGTTGTGTCAGTCTTCTTGCTTCCAGCCGGGACGCGTCTTTTTCCCCCTTGGAAGTCGCAAAATCGCATCGGGCTTTGTGTGTATAGTCAGGCGCGTCAAAATTCGCCTCAGAATATTTAGTAATTTCACGTTCTATATTCGTGTCAGCCCCGGTGTGTAAGGACCTTTTACTCTTAAATGAAATTTAACATGCCCTCAACATAATTTACAGTGCACATTACTCTGCTTCATGTCCGACCTCAAAAAAACGAATTGCCTCCACACCACTGATGTTTTCGTACCAGTGTTGTTGAAGATATCATCATCTGTTGACCCTTCATCTGTATTTCTGCCAGGGGTAGCACCCATTTTCTTTTTTTCTCACCGACAGTGCTGTTGACTTCACATGTTAAAGCGCTATGGTTGCGTGTAGCTGCAGCCTGCTACTACGCAGTTGTTTGCTACTTGGTTCTAATTCAGCACATAATAGGTTCAGCGTGGCGTGACCAGAAGCAACTCCCCTTTTCATTGGCTATTCGTATAGACTACCATAACATGACAGAATGCCAACTATCGAAAGGACATTGACTATGTTTTATATTGATATCGAGGGAAATTAATTTTCAATATATATCGTTATCGTTTTATCGCCCAGCCCTACTTTGAGTTGACATTACTCTGAACAAAGAGTCAGTGATGCAACATTTTATTGCTTTTTTCCGATTTTATAACAATGTAAGTGTTAAAATTGTACTATTAATCCCAGTTTTCTCACTGGTAACTATTAGCAGCTTGTAATCTATCATTAGCAATGTCTACTGAAGAAAATTATTATTTATTATTCTTATTCTTTTCACTTTTAGCTATATAGACAAGTTTTACCTCAATATTGCAGTTCTAACCACACGACAGGTTAAGATATCAGAGAGCAAGTTTGTTGTTTTCGTTAAAAACTCAGCAAAGTATGTCATGCATTTTGATAATCCTGCAGTGATATGGGATTGGTTTAATTTACCTGTTTTGTTTTGTTTTCTTCTCCCTATAAACAGACCTGGACGGAAGAGAGATTTCTCCCCCCTACCCTGGAGTCAGTACTTTGAAACCATGGAGGATGTTGAGGTGGAAAACGAAAATGGCAAAGATATATCCTTGACTGTTTACTCTGTCAAGAGACAATTCAGCCTGAATTATTGGCTGTTTCCAAAGAAGCTGTATCATCTTTATCTTAACCTTTCTACTAGTGTGCCTAATAACTTGCTATAGTGTAGAACAGTTGAAAACAGCCTTGTTTGTTCTGACTTTCCTCTGACTGTCTTGTGGCTTTGGTATGTATTTCCTTGACTACAGTGAACATTTTCAGAATTTACTGTAGTGGCGCTCATGGTCCTGTGCTGCTCCTTCTCCATGGAGGAGGCCACTCCGCACTTTCTTGGGCAGTGTTTACTGTAAGTATTATATTTCTTATGGCATCTGTATAGCCTCCTATACCTATACACCATTTCTAAGATTACAACATAGTGTGGGAAATTTACAATGCTGCACTGTTAATTTGGCATATTTGATGTTTCAATAAAATGATTTCCTTGTGGGTCTTTACAGGCTGTCATTTGCAGCAGGATCAACTGCAGGGTGGTGGCTATGGATCTTCGTGCTCATGGTGAGTGCAGCTAGTCCCAGGACTCAGAAGTTGTATTTTAGAGTGCCTTATAAAAATGTTCATTACTTATGGTCTTACAGAGTCTTGCATATGTAGGTTTAATATTGGCTTGTGTGCACACATACCTGGCCAATAAAGCTGATTTTGATCCGTAAAAAGAAAAAGAACTTACAGACATAGTGAGGTCCCGCCATTCACCAGTTTGATGTACTACAGACTATTCAAAAGGGGGAAGTTATGACAACTGAAAAGTGCATGCTGAAAACAGCTAAAAACTGCTGACCCAAAGTACCTTTTTCACTTCTTTAACTGCTTGTGAGGAGCGGCAGTCACCCCTCATTATATTATCAGGGAATCATTCTACATATGGCAGGTCATTCCTTGCGGATTCATAAGCTAAGATGAAACTGATGATAAATTTGTATTCTCTTTCTTCACCTGCAGGCGACACCAAAGTGAAAAATCCTGACGATCTCTCTGCAGACACAATGGCTAAGTAAGTTACAGAGGGTGCATTTAGTACTCATGCTGGAATCTGTAAGAACACATTACCCTATTTTATTCAAATCATCTTCAGAAAACAGTCAATTGGTAGAGTTTGTTGTATATTATGAAACACTGATACACAGTCTAAATACAGATACTGCAGCTTTTGCCTTTTCTTTGAAAAGGGACATTGGGAAAGTGGTGGAGGCGCTCTATGGTGAGAACCCACCTCCAATCATGATTATTGGACACAGCATGGGCGGTGCCATCGCTGTCCACACTGCTGCTGCCAATCATATACCATCCCTGCTGGGCCTCTGTGTCATTGATGTTGTAGAAGGTAAGTGCCTGTGCTTTCACGAGAAGTAACAATATGGATTTTAAGAAAGATTTCATTATAACTGCTAGTTTAATACGAGTAATATAATTGATGATGAGGTGGGTTTAGTGATCCTGGGTTTTGTACTTAAAAAATATTTTACTACTCTTATTCAGGTACAGCAATGGATGCTTTGAACAGTATGCAGAATTTCCTCAGAAGTCGGCCAAAGACATTTAAATCTCTGGAGAACGCCATCGAGTGGAGGTAAACATAAAGGAGCAGGAAATACCGCAACATCATGAACCTGTGATTCCAGCAAAATTAATACTATAAAAGAAAAACAGTCAACAATCTTTTAGTTTAAAATTTCATCTGAAAGGTTTTTTTTGTGTGCCAATGACAGACTTCTTCTTTCTCTGCTCTTAGTGTGAAGAGTGGACAGATTCGAAACACAGAGTCAGCACGTGTGTCCATGGGGGGCCAAGTGAAGAAGTATGTTAACCCACTTTCTTATTAGTATATTAAGTCTAACAGGGTTTTACGGGTTTTGCATACTGTCTGCTTATTGTCTGACATTGACAGATGTGAAGAATCCACCAGCAGTCCAGGTGTGTCTAATAGCATAGGTGAAGGTATAATAGAAGAGGAGGAGGATGAGGAAGCAGAAGAAGAATCAAACAAGAAAAGGATGAAAGAAGATGACCAAGAGGTTATATCTTACTTTGGCTCCCTGGTTTTACATGTATGTTTGTATTTGTTATGGGTAGATAAATATTTAGATAAATGCATTTGTTCCATACAGATAAAAAAGGAAAGCTTCTTCACCTGGCGAGTGGAGCTGTCAAAGACAGAAAAATACTGGGAAGGCTGGTTCAGAGGCCTGTCTGCTCTCTTTCTCACCTGCCCTGCACCCAAACTGCTTCTGCTCGCAGGTTAGATCTGTCACTGTCTCACAGTGAACTTGGATTAGTATTTCTTATCCTAAACACGTAAAAAGGACCTGAGTAGGCAGTTATGATGGAATTTCCCTCTAGCTTGGGTGAATACAAATAATTTGAGTTTTATTCCAAGTTATTTTACTACTCAGTGCACAATTTCACACCTCACCTCATCCATTGTACAGGAGTGGACAGGCTTGACAAAGACCTTACTATTGGACAGATGCAAGGTAAGAAGCACAGATCAAGATTTTCAGCATGCCTTTAATTTTCCCCTCGCTCGCTGATCTCCTATAAAGTTTTGTAGAAATTTCCAGAACCTCACTGTTTGTCCACAGGGAAGTTTCAGATGCAGGTCCTTCCACAGTGTGGTCACGCTGTCCATGAGGACGCACCTGAAAAAGTAAGAGCTGTCTACCTGAATGTAAACTAATGGGCTGTATGTACTGACCACTGTAATGTCATTTCACTGTGTAATGTTTTTTGATTATTTTAATTAAAAACTTTTGGAAACAAAATTCCACTATCTCCAACAAGAAGAATATTACCTGTTAATCAATGAAAAGGTCTATAGTACAGAAATATCCAACTTCAGAAAAATGTGTTTGTTGCTTTGCTACTACATCAGTTTTTTTTTTTCTAACTGAGTCCTGTGTCATCTGTTGCTAGGTAGCAGACGCTCTAGCAACATTTATGGTCCGGCACAAATTCACTGAGTTTAAAGAGGGATACCTGTGGTAAGTTAAGAGTCTACCAAGAAAGGAGTACACAATTCTATACACACTGACCAGCCACAACATTATCAACGCTTGGGCAGTCTGATGCAAGTCAATGCAACAGATCTACCATAAACCCTACTATGATGAAGCTTCTACATTTTCAGTCTTTGTCAAAAATGAAAGATTCTGAACTCAAGGATGAGATCCACGGGCCCTGCCACCAATGAGCGTTTAGCCACTTAATTTAGTCTGTTTTATTGCAGACTGAAAGTGGTACACAATCAATTTAGGGAGAACACAAAACTGCAAGTTACTGTAGTGTCCTTTTCAAAGACAGTAACACCGTTACTGTGAGATTGTTTATAGTAATTATGTTTTTATCTTTCACAGCTAATTTCCGGTCTTCAGTCCAACTATAGCCAGCAGCCAATGAAGAGATGTTTCAAGATTCATCCTATTACAATTTAACATAAAGTTAAGAAATTATAAAAGCATTATTATTATTATTATTATTATTATGTTGCTTTGTTAATTAGATTTTTCGCCTTATAGTTTTGCCTTATTTTCACTTTTAAGCACTTGCATTTGTTTGTGATTTTGCTTTAAAATATTTTTTAAGTTTCTTAAGTTTTTTGCTGCCCTCGATCCGTTTTTATTTTGATTGACTGCATCATGGTTTATATATGTTCGTAATGTTCGCATTCAAACAACAATTAAAGGTGGATGCTGTAAAAATACCCCTCACTCTGGTATATTTGTGTCTTTTTCAGGAAATCATGACCAGGTTAGATATGGAGCTTTATCAAAATGAAACTTGTCAAATGTGAGTTAAGTAGGGAACAAATATGTATCTGAGAATATTTTCTAGGTTTCTATAATACCCAGTCAGCATAATTTACTCTCTGGTTTGTTTACATATACTGAGCAGAAACACTAGGAAGGAACTTTCATTCCCTAAATAATGCTGGATTTGGCATATCATTTTTTTCAGATGGTTAGACAGCTGGGCTTTTGTTTGTTGCTTTTTTTTCTTGCTTTTGGAAACAAAGCCTTGATTGCTCTAAAAGCAACAATTTTAGCTCAATTCAAACATGTTATTTCACTAAAAGTTACCATGGCTAACACAAAAGTTAATTTTAAGGAGTGTCATGATGAAACACGCTCCACAATCTCATCACATAACATGCAAACATGACTAAACAGTGACAGCTTCTTGTTTCACATCAGGAGAACAACACCTGTTAACTTCAGGGAACAAAGTTTACTAAAGTTTTCTTGTAGCACCTAAGTAACTCATGGGATTAGAATGCAGGATTTAATTGTCCCTCTACAGACCAGTTACCTCAGTCAAACATTGTCATAACATGCATCATAAATATTTGAATTATTAATGTGTTATTGCGGACTCTCCTCCAAAGAATTACAGTCCCAGAGATCATCATGAGGTGAGACTGTAAACAAGTCGGGCTTTTACAGGCCTTGGACAAATTTCTTATTCATGTATTTAGGTTTCATAAGTAAAATATTTACTTAATGAATTTAAACAGATAAAAGGATAAATACAACAGAAAATGCATTAAAAAAAAAACTGGGAAAACCTCCACACACGACTTTTTCAACATGAACATTGTTCTTCTGTATAACCAACCTTTATAGTTCTGATTTGTTTGGTTGTACTCTGTCACAGGCCAGGCCACAACACTGTGTGCTAGCAGCATGGATTGCACCATTTAAATATTTACCAAAACATTCATTGTGCCTAATGGGTGCATTTTTAGGACATTTGCAGTACCCCAACATCATCTGCCAACACTAACAGCTCAAACAGTCTAACCAGCACACCTTTATGTCAACTGTTAGCATGCTTTGTTACTGCAGATGAAAAAAGTCATAGTTCATAGTCAAACAGCTGAGTCTGACACACTGGCACCAAAGTGACCTTTGAGTGGAAGAGAAAACATTTTTGGTTTAGGACATTATATTTGCTTTTTTCTGAAGAACCAAAATATACATCAAAGCAGATTTAATCAAAGATAGTATAAAATTAATAAAACTTTTCAACTTCCCTTGCTATACTATACACCTGAAACAGATATCTTAACCTACATCCTTGCCAAGCATTTTTTTTAAATGGTTAACTGTAAATGGTGGCAAAAGTACAGTGGGTTCAAATCTGTGTTTTCAAGTGTAGCCCAAAAGCCTGATGAACAAGGACATGGTACCTTTCTTTTTTATTATTTGTCCTTTGACATCTGATCTCTACTGTCGACCATGCTAACTGGTGACATTTATAACCCCAGTTCTGAAAAATGGTGGGATACATAAAATTTTAATGGTTTGCCAAATAGTCAAATCCTGTATTTGAACCCATGTCGGTTAAAACAGTACGGAAGTGAAAAACTGGCCTGTGGAATCATGAATCAATGTTTCATATTTTTCTGAAAATCATGGACACTACTTCCTAAAGAGAGGAGGAACCAACCAGCTGGTGAAGAACAGGTTTCAGAGCAACATGTACTGCCATAAACACAATATGTACATTGGACCGTCTGCCTCCTTCAGGGAAGACTTCGACACATTTCAGTAAGACAATGCCAATCCACGGTCTGTAGATGTGTTATTACAGCATGGACCCACAGTAGAAAAAGTTGGGTGCTAAGCTGGCCTTGCTGTGAAAACATCTAGTGCATCATGAAGCACAAAATAAAACAAACTGTTGAGCAGCTAGAATCCTAATATCAGGCAAACATTGACTTCATGTGAACAGAAGACGTGATGGAAGACAATGGTCAACATGCCCCTGATCCAACTTTTCAAAAATATATTGCTGGCATCAAATTTAAAACTAAGGCTTTTTTTTTTCAAAGAAACAGCACAATTTTCAATTTCAGCATTTGTTATGTTGTATCAAAATTGTTTTGAACTAAATAAATGGTTTCTGTGATCTGCAAACCACCCAATTCTGTTTTAATTAACATTTTATCCACTCCAAGTTTTTCTGTTTAGAAAGCTCCTCAACAAGAGTGGGCAAACCATGCACTGAGGTTTGATTATTTTGAATATTAATACTAAGCAGATAAACCATAAATTTGATTTACTTTTGTTGTTGTTGTTAAAGGAGAAAGTTGCTGCTCTAGAGTTATCACACAACTTCTCAAACTATCCGTAACTAATGACGATCCCTGGCTGGGAGTGGGAGTGATGATGTAAGATCACAGGTTAGCTATAAAAGAGCATGATGGGCAGCAGGTTCGTGTCAGCTTGATTTCATTATGCCAAATGAAGTTGAACCAAACCAGCAAATGTAAGTGCATTTGTCTCAGACCTATAGTGACTCTGTTTGCCTCTGAAGGACACATTGTTATTCATGTTATGCTAATGTTCAATCTGTTTTACTTCAATGTGTATGTTTCTTCCCAATGATTCCTCCTTGTGTGTGATGTTTTTTACAGGCACTTATTTTGATCATTTCTTGTCTTAATCTATTGATGCCAAAGAGTATCCGTTTGTTGTTTAAACGTGCTCTAAGGGAAAACTTGACTTGCAGTTTGTGTTTTTTTTTTCAGACTTTGCGTGAAACTGTGATGATGAATAATTCATCAGCAGAGACTCCAGTGATGCTGTATCAGGTGTCTCTCAAAGCTTTCATCTCTGTGCTGCCATGTCTGCTCTTCCTCTATGTGAACATTGTCATGCTGTTTGCCCTGCTGAGGAAGCCTCTCCTCCTGGAGTCCTCTCGTTACATCCTGTTTGGTCATTTACTCATTACTGACTCCCTGCAGCTTTTTATCATCATGTTGATGTACATCTTTGCTGTGACCAGGATCAGAATGGTCAGCCATGCTTGTGTTTTTCTCACCCTGCTTACAGCCATCACTGTTAAAATGTCACCTGTGAACCTAGCTGTGATGTCTCTGGAAAGGTATGTTGCTGTTTGTTTTCCTCTGAGGCATGCTGAAATTGCCACATCCAAAAGGACAGGCAGGGTCATCGTTGTTATGTGGACTGTTGGCTCTTTTGACTCCTTCATTCAGTTTTTGTTGTTTGTCAGTCTGGAGAAAACAAGCTTCTCCTTGAAGTCTTTCTGCTTCAGAGACCATGTTTTCAGGCTGCAGATTTACACCACTTTAAACTATGCTTTTCTTATTTTGTATTTTGTTTCGGTGAGCCTGATTATCATGTTTACATACATAGCTGTCATAAAAACTGCAAAGTTGGCACAGACTGATTCCCATAACACGAAAGCCCATAAAACACTGCTGTTGCATCTGATTCAGCTCTTTCTGTGTCTCATCTCTAATTTGTTTGATATGATCAACTCAAATGCCACAAAGGGCTTACCTCGTGCCATAGCTTTGCATATTCAGTATACATTTTTTGTTTCTCTGATCGTTTTCCCCAAGTGTCTGAGCCCGCTTATATACGGCCTCAGGGATCCGATCTTGAGAATCAGCATTAAACACTATTTAACATTTGGCTGCAAAACCTGTAAAAGGTCGAATCTGAAAGGAAGAGTTCAAATGCACAGGTGATTTTAAGTTGCAGTTTTTGTCTTGCACAGCCACATTGAAATTCAATCTTTTGTTTGTGTTTTTATTTTGTACTTTCATTTCAAGGGGCATGAAAATAGTTATCAAACTCAGCTGAAATTTACATCTATACAAGAACATTATATAACAGTGTGCACTGATTTGCAAAAACATAAAACCATAAAGAGCATTTATGTGTCATAGAGCTGTAAAGTTAAATAAACACTGTCAGGAATCCTGTTAAAACATACAAACATACACAGCATGGAAGTTTTCTTGTGACCATGAATGTTCTAACTATGTTTAAAAAAGTTCTGCTTTCATTTTCTGCCTGTTTTGGAAACAATTTTTTATGTAACTCCACCTCAGATATTTTATTAGAATTGTTTCACCTTGACATGATGTATCACTGCATATATAAGCATGTTTCCAACCACCTTATGTTTAAGTAAAGACTAAATAATATAGTCAATAGCACATCAATATTGTTTTAAGTACTGAACAGCAGGCTGACTTTTTAAGCAGGTGTATCTGTTATGTCTGTATTTTTTTTTCTTTTATACAAGTTGCCTTTTTTATTTAATACAAAGTCACAGTCTATGTACATGACCTTTACATAAAGTCAAATATCAAAGATTTCCATGGATTTGATTTATTATAGGTTTGCCTGGGACCATGCAGTTGTATCACTGGACAGATGTGAGAATGCCATAGCCACAGTGTGGTAAATGTGAGCGTTAAGCTGTATTCTATCATCTCAAGATACTGCTTGACAATTTTTTTAACAATTCTAAAAGGAAAATATTGTGTTGTTGCCAGCAGTCACTTTACAAGCAGATCACAGTAAATTATGTTTATAATCAATACTCCTTTGTTGTCTTATGAAAGAAAGACTCATTGTGGCACAGGATAACCAAAACTGATCTAAACAATAAGGCAGCAATAACATTGATTTAAAAATGCATATTCAGCATTTCCAGCAATTAGTTTGTTCAGACTTTTTCTATGATCATTTCTGCAAAATAAAAATATAAAACGGATACAAATACACATTTTGTTGAGCAAATACAACAGTGGCTCAGCTGTGGACACCAAGTATCACTAAACATGACAGGAAAAGTCAACCTTTTTGAATTTGTTATCCCTCAGCTGCTTCTCTGATCCTAGTTTAAAATACCTCTGAGGTTTTATAATGGTTGGCTTCAGAGATATATGGTTGTAATCGATAAAAAGGTGGCATTGAGAGGTCTTGTCATCAGCATGCCACTAAGTCTTGAACCCTCATTTGGGAAGTTCATACTTTTAGCCAGCAGATGTCACTTTGGGTTAACAAATAATCAAACATTGCAGCTCATACATTGATGTGCTTGGCTGAGAAGTTTATATATATGGCACCTGAGGAAACTCATATGTAGTTTTAGAGACAGGAGGAAATAGGGATGTTACATGTCTTGTGAATTTACCACGATGAGACTTCTTCCCCTCCTCTTTCTCACAGTCCAGATGGACACTTGTGTGGGGAAATATGTTGGAGACAGAAAGCAGGGAGAGACCAATTTATGTGTGTAAACAGGGAGGGAGGTGCTGACCTGCTGGATAAAAGAAGCGCCTGAGCAGGAGGTGGACTAATTTAACCGATCTTTACTCTGCCACAATCCTGAAGCCCTCTCAATACCTCTCCAGCCTCGGTGAAAGAGCACTTAAAGGGTTGAAAAACATTCCAGAGAGAAAAAGTACCTGGTGACAGAGAGCAGCTTTAGTCTGGAGCCAGAGCAGAGGATCCTTCACATACTCTACCCAGAAAATTGATTCTATGGCTGTGGTTTAATAACAGCAGGTTTCATTAACACAGAAGCTGTTTGATTTTTGGTCTCACAGGTTGTTTCTGAGCCAAATACATGAACAGGGGGAAGGAATAGAGATAAAAAGATTGTCTCCCCAACATCAGTGGTTTAGTCTTGGGTAAAATATAAGTAAAACTCATATTCTATTTTAAATTGCTACAGTAAAGAATATCTGGCTGTATAGGAACATTAAAATACAAAACTTTTTTTGCTGCTGGGCTTTGCAAAGTGGAGGGGCTTTAATAGCAGAAATACAAATACAACGCCAAGCAAAACAGAATAGTTAACCCTAAAAATGGCTTTGATGCAAATAAAGAAAAGTTTAATTTGAAAAATAAGCATCTGATAAAAAAAGACAGACAATACAGGAAAAGAGGGAAAAAATGTAATCATCGAGTCTGGATTTGGTCCAATGGGAAAGCCAGCTTTGCAAAGAAGAGCGTTTATGAAAAGGTTTTGGGGGAAATTTACCAAGCGCTAATTCCAATGAGTCTGTGATTTCAATGAGTCGGTGATTCCAGACTATGCCACTATATTGAATTATACAGTCTTTTAGTCTGCAACACTCTCTCCCTCATAAGAAATTCTTTGTCATAGCAACATCCTACTTTTATGTCACACTCAAAGCACTGGAGTTTCAAAATGAATTCAAGAACAATGGGAATATTCAATGCACTCATTTCACCCACTTCAAGATGGATTAAAGAAAATCATGCTCACACACAGGCTTGTGCACACAAATGTTTGCACCACATAGAGATGTAGATGAATGGGATGGTGGGAGAGTAATTGTATCCCTGGTGGCTCTCCTGGGGACAGCACTGAGACTCAAATTAAACCAGTGACCTGGTTAGCTTTCTGTCAGCAGGAGGGGTTCCTGCCCCCAGCCCTCATCTCTTCTTGTCAAAAAAAGCTTTGCAAGGATTAACTTGTTGACTGACGATGACTATCAGCGAAATCTACATAGATAAAGTGTCGAATGCTGACCAGCAAGGTTAAAAATACTGATTGGGCATCGTAGCATCAAGTTCAAGTCTACAAGGACAATTAGCCTGTATGAGCTGAAAAACATCACAGCAAAACACTTGACTTTTTGTGATATTATTGGACCAGAAGACATCCACTACTAAAATCTGATTACCAACTACTTATTTTTATTCAACAGAGGAAAATAAATGTTGGATTTTTCTCAAGGGGACCTACTTTAAAGAGGGTATTATGCTTATTTTTTGGCTTTATGTTGTCCCTCTGTAGCTTTTTAGCAGCTTAACATGATTTACAGTTCAACATAGTTCAACCCTCATTTCAGCCACAAACTTTGCTCATGCATAGTACTGATGTCCAACATTTCAGCTTAACATTTGTTTTCAAAAGCCTTGACCTGGAATAAAGGGGTCCGATGATAGTCACAGGTTGGTACAGTCATGGCATTGTTTTGGACCACAGCTTCACCTATGGGCAATTAACTAGACAGATTGCATCGGTGCAGTTATATATTTGCTTATACAGATATACATTGAATGAATACGTTTGTTGTAGTTGTTGTTGTTTTTAAACTGTTGGAGACCAAAAAGAGCTCAGAGCATTTGTTTATACAGGTACAGAAAGGCCTATCATTTACCAGATTTTAAGAGCAGTGCTTAATGGTGGATGCAATAACCATTTTGTCCTGTATCTGATAGGCAGAAGAAGCTCATACCAACTCATTATGGCTGGACCATGCTGGTTTCTTGGACCATGGATGAAGTAAAAAAAAATGAATTAATCTAAACTTTTCCAAGGATTAAACAAATGCCTCTCTTTCTAAATGTACGAATGGCTTCCTTAATTGCCCCATCCATTTGCCATCTTTCTGCATTGTTTTTTCAACCAACTTTTCATCAAATTTTATCGAATTGTGGAATTGATTTCATAGAAGTCTGCTGATGTACGGCTGGAAAACTGTACATCCTGATGGCAGGTGTAAGAAAATATCCATCTCAGAAAGTAACTCGCAAAGACAGTGAGGAATAAAGTGATTTGATTAATCAATCTATGTCAGGTTATCAACAGAGATGACGTAATGCGTATACTAATGGACCATTCCACGAGGGGTACATCACAGCGAGTTCTCGACAAATGACCGTTCACTTCCATTGTCAGGTGAGATCCCTCTCCCCCCGCTCTGTGCTGAGTAGATGGTACAGCCCACATGCAGTTGAGAGTTGTTGCTGAGGAGGTTCCTCTGCTCGGCACATACCGTTAAATTGGCATGCAGCCTACACTTGGGTACTGTGGTCGGAGGCTGCACCGAGAGTAAAAATGTTGCCGTCTTCTCAACGGAACTACCTGAGGTACCCGAGCAAGGTCGCGTTTTATCACCTTTTGTGCAGTATTTCAGGTGAGTCCGAAATTTTTGTGGGGCAGTTGAATGTGTCCTACTAACGGTCACAGAAACTTTGTGAGAGAGCCGATTGCCTCGCGCATCATGCAGACGTTAAACGTTCACGAGTCGGCAAAAACCAGCTCCCACCGTGTGCTCTACTAGATGTTTCAAGTTTTAAAAACTGTGTCAGGTCGCATTTGAAGGCTGTATGAAACTTGGTTACAAGTTCACTTCAACGCAGGGGTAGGAGTGGTAGCTAGCCAGCGCCGCCACCGCGTTTGATGGTGCGACCAGAGGCTGCCATAGAAACTGTCCATAGAAACCGCCGAGGAGCGCGTGCAGCAATATTTAGTGGTATGTACCGCCAACCAGTCGACACTTGGGTCTTTGCGGATTCTTTACGGCAGCTCTCTTAGCTCTCTCATTGTGCGAGAATAAGAGCGTGTGGCACATATTTTAAAAACTTAAATTGTATCCGTAGAGAAGGAGGCTTTGGTTAAACTGTCAGAAACTCCCAGGTCGTGATGAGGGTCAGCCTCCATGTGCCTGCAGAGGAGCTCGAGCTCATTATGGTTTAATTGAGGGGATGGGCGATTTACTAACTCCTCCCTGTAACACGCCAACTTGGTGTCTAATGCTTTTGTGCTGCTGTATTTAAAACAAAAATTGGGATAGGTTATACCAGGGGTGTCAAACTCAGCCACAGCAAGGGCCATAATCTGGATTTAAGTCTAACCTGAGGGCCAAACAGGGTCAACATTTCTCCAAAACTGTCAACCCCCTTTTAAAAAAAAAATATGTTACAAAAATAGCAATGATTATCAATCATTTGGAAATTCCAAAAATATTTTAAAAATAAGTTTAAAGGCAATCTGAGATAGAAAACAGTTGATTTTTTATTCTATTTTTATTTACTAGTTCAAAAGATCAGAGCATGACATTAATAATAGAAAAATAGTGCTTTTAAAGCGCAAATACATTAGAAGAACATTGAAATTAGGTTTAAAAGGTTAAAAAATGACTTTAAATTTCAAATTGGAATCTAAAGTATAAAAGTGACACAGGTCTCAATACTGAGTTGAACAAAATCAAAGCATGAAATGAAAAATCCAGTCATGTTTGACTTGTAATCTTGAGATGCAAAACTGAAAACATGAAATAAAACACCAAATATTTTGTCCCCCACATTCTTGACCATTTATCAAATCTTCCTTACTCTTTAATTTCCCAGATTTTCATGCTTTATTAAGGACATTTTAAATAATGGTGTTAAAGTTTACATTATTATCCTGGAGGAAATCTGCAGACTTCATACAGGTGGGCCAATAATAATACAAATATGATATGATCTCGTGGGCCAGATATACTTGCTCCACAGGCAGGATTTGGTCCCTGGGCCTTGAGTTTGACACCTGTGGTTTATACTTAAGCCAGTTTTGAATCTTTAAATCTTCTTTCAAGTTAGATTCTGAAAGAAGCCATGAAAGTGTATGGCGAAATTTTACGATCCTGATTGTATCGCCTGAAGGGTTACTGTACAGCTTCTCTACAGAAAGAGGGAAAAGATGTTCATTTATTATTAAGATGGATAATTAGGAACCTCCTTTGATGTATAATGAAAATCTTATCATCAAGAGTGACAAATGAAGCCAGGTTTAAGTTTCTCAAACAAAAGTTTCTGTAAAAGGAAAATCCCCTTGCAGTAAGTTAAGCCAGATAATTCAATGTCTGCCTTTGGCATCAAGTAAACAATCCCTGACCAATGATTTAATCAAGCCAAGAAAGTTGTCTATTTCCATGCTGTTTCTCATGCAAAACGAGTTCTGTTTTCCATTATGCTGACTGAACATCATGCCATGCAGTCAATGGATTTCTAACCACATTTTTGTCTTGGAGAACTCCCTACAGCATCTATTTTTGGACCATTGATTCATATGTGGAAAAACTCCCCATAAAAATCCTTTTCAGGTGAAAAAAATGAAGGAACTCTCATGAGCAACCTAGAAGAGGGGATCCCTTCTGAAGAACTGACAGGCATGCAATTGTCTGTGTGCACCAAATTGGCCAATCAAGCACTTTCTATTAGCACACACCCCCACAAACAAAAACAATCTATGAAGTTCAGTGCAGTCAAGTAAGTAAACTTTATAACAAGTTTATCAGTGATTCGTCACAGAACCTCTGTTACATAACCTTTGCAAAGTTTGCAGTATAAAAAAAAGAATGTAGTTTTTAATTCAATTTACAAGCCCTTGACAATAACTAGAGACATTTCATATCAGTAAGGGTATCTGAGACTTATACCCATCTGCCCATTTATTTACCACTTTACCGTTTCAACAATAGGTTTGACCTTGTGCCTTTTATACAGAGCAGCAGACAGTGCTCTTAAAATTTAATATGCAGTGGGTTATGCATGGCGACTTTCACAGCTGTATTATCTTAATTTCTGCTTTTGACTCTTGAGGACAAGTTGATCCATAGATAGCTTTGGTCCTTTATATTCACATAGGGCACCTTCTCATTTGACGTTATCGCTAGGATAGGAAGCCTAAATGCTTTTGTCAAAAGTATGAAGTTATAATTCTGTGTTCAAGTTGTACATTTGAAAACCAGTGTTATGTTGCTGTTTTTCATAATTGGAAAAAGAGAAGAGTGAGATCCTGAAGGACATCTGGACAGTATCTTCATAATATAGTTATTCGCTGAAATTGCTAATTTGAGGGCAGTCTACAAATATGCCTCAAAAATGAACTGATGCTCTTCCTTTTTTTGTTATCTCAATCAATCAAGTAGCAGCAATATTAACACTCTAAGGGTCCTTACACACCGGGGCCGACGCTAATATAGAACGTGAAAATACGAAATATTCGGAGGTAAATTTTGATGGGCCTGACTATACACACACCAAGCCTGATAAGATTTTGTGACTTTCTGGCAGGGAAAAGACACATCCCGGGGAAGACTTTTCCCGGAGATAGTCTTGCCTCCTTTGCCTCTGATTGGCTAGAAAAGCTGGAAACGTCATCACACGCTCAAGCCAAACGGTCAGCACTTATAGCCAATCAGAGGCGATAAGATAAGCGCATGAAACTATGGTAACAACCGTTAGCTTACGTTAGCATAGATGAAAGTTAAAACAAAGACGTTTAGCAAACAGTTAAAGCACACAAACCATAGTCATATGAGAGATCCGACGCCATGTTGTCCTTCAGGTCGTTATCTTTGTAATATTTGTGTCTTTTATTGAAAAGCACTCTGTTTCCGACACGTAAACAATCAGCCGGTCAGCAATGTTGGATATCCCGGTGAATCTGACGTCGCACGCGATCTGATTGGTCAGAAATGGACACACAGTATGCAAAACTTTAAAATAAATGCCGCAATATCACAGAAGGAGAAAACGTTGCTGATGTGAACGCTTGTAATGACAGGATACAGGTTCAAAAAAAAATATCAACATCCGAAATAATCGCACAAAAAAAAACGTGTGACAGGACCTTAAGACCACCAACATTGCTTTTGACCTGTAAAACAGTGCAATAACATTACAAGAGTTTTGGATAAAGTTTTGTAAGAAAATGTATATAAGTATGGATACCTTAAAACATGTACTGAGGCAACATGACAACCAGCTAACGTTGGCCTGTTGGCTTGTGTAAAACAAATAAAAGAGGTTTCAGTCCCTACAAACTTTTCTGCTGTATACTTACAAAAAGGGTGTTGCTTGTGCTTGAAGGTGCTTGAAGAATTGTAATTTGTATTATGTAAGTTCTTGTCTTTCTGTTGGTCGCTGACAGGTTGTTTTTTTGGCATGTCATATGGCCAAAAAGAAATATTCCAGCCATGTCCTTTTCATACAGTTGAAATTATCAATATTTCTCGACTTTGCATAACGCCCTTTACGGTCAACTTGCAACACATATTAAACTAATACCATGTATTACGTCTTTTGCTGCTCAATCAGGCCAGTCACAAACTGTACAGAGGTAAAAAGTTGATCTAATGAGCCAGACAGTTTAACTATCGTTCAGCCCCTCCTGTCCTGCTCTGCACAGCTGGCTTTGCCACTCTCACCCGTATACCATCACCTCTTATGCTCCGATTTCCACTTTTAACAAGACACTCTGCCCTCTGGCAAGACACACATATTAATACACTTGCTGCCACATAAGTGGTGCATGTGAAGGTAATATTGACTAAAGTGAGAACGAGCAGCAGTGTCCCCAGGGACCAATGTGTCCTTGATGCCAGGATATCTATAATCTGTTTTCGTGTGTGTGTGCGTGCCTGTGTGTGTGTGATTGTGAATACAACACATTGTGGTATATTTGCAAACCCAACTGAGTGTGCCTACAGATGCTGCTCTCTTTGAGGATAGGATTGTAAGAACTTAAAGCGGCTTCTTTTCTCTGACTGTGAAACACAAGAAGAAAGAGACAGCATCCTTATTGCTATGTCAAGATCGGCTGAATATAAGATCAGAATGACTCTGCCCTTATTCTCATCACTTTCTTATTCTGAGTTAAAGAAAATGAGGGCACGCTTATGTAAGGTTGTCGTCATGTCAATGATAAAAATTTTATGGAGTCCCTATACCTCTTCCATCACATATTTAGCACCGGAAAAAATGCTGCCTTTTCTTTGTCCCATAGACTACTGTTATTCTTGACTTTTAGCCTTATCTTGAAAAATGAAATGAGTCACAAAGTCAGTTTTCTTCCTGACAGAGGACCAAGTACAGTATATAGTACAGTATAAGTTCATATCCAGATTTCTTTCTCGGTGTTTAGTGATGTCGAAGGCCACAGGTAATCAAGGGTCTCCTTTTTTTCTCAGTAATGCCCTGTGAGGTATTGAGTAGTTAGGGAGTTTTTCTCCTTCATTAGATTAGCTCACTATGCTCTATTGGATTCACCAATGGAAATAATAGGGATTGCGAGCTCTCCTGGTCTGAATAAAATGTATTTTTCGAGCCAATCTTAGAGTCTGCATGTATACTGAAGCTGTATTTCTTGTTATCTACTTGTACCAGTAAAATGAATTCCATTTCTTCCACGCTCCTACCGGGTGCAATGGAGGACAGAATGTACAGTACTTGTTCTGTGGGATGAATACGCTTTATTTGATGCTAATATTAGACTTCAACAGGATGAGTTAGCCAAATCAACTGGGTATCTTCCAAAGTTTGTCCTTTAGTGCACAATTACCTCTGCGAGTTTCCACAGTGACACTGAAATTCAGCCAATGACAAAGTAAAAAGCAATGAGGGAATTCTGTGTGAGAACAAAACTCAAGATGATAATCGCATGATTTAGTCAACGCACACTGTTCTAGTCTGTGAAGCATCTCATGTTTTTCATCACAAGAAGTGTGGATTTAGTCTCAAATCACAGACGGGGGCATTATATGTGGAGGTCTTTTTAAAAAGGGTGAACATGTGCAATGATTACAGCATGCAAAAGCTATTATGTGTTGATTACAGTTCTCAGACAAACTTGAACAATTTCAACAGGCTTTTTTTATGTGTGCACATGCATGCATTATTTTAGTGTGTCTTCGAATTCATGCACTACTAAATCGCACATAACTCAAGAATGGCGCCTCCACAGTACTCACAGCCGAACGTCTCCCCACTGTTGAGCTGATATCTGCTGCCCTTTCTCTGTATGAGCAATACGATGACTCATGATGCCTTCTGTGCAAACAGTATGCTATCGAGAGTTGATAGCCACATTGACATGTTGCTTATATTTATTCACAGACCCATGTGGGCCATGTAACAAGTGTTGAAAACTTTGAGTCAGTCATGAAATCTTAGTAGGGGATTTAAAAATAATCACACGGTTGCACTATCAATTAGTCATACTTAATTATTTGTTATAAAACCTACCAGTCTGTTATATCATCATCTTAGCCCTAACTATTCATCTTGTGATGTGTTCACTGAGTCCATAACTTAAAAGTTAAATGTGTCGTGAAAAACCAGAAACTCTTTTTAGAAGTACAGTGTTATCAAGAACTCAAATGAAAAGGGACCATTTGCACTTCCTCCTTTGGTGAGGAAATATCCCAGTACTGGAGGACATGGCCTTTTAGGAGGAGATTGGCCAGAGAAAGAGCTGTTTTTGGCAAAACAACAATAGAATATTTGCAGTCAGTTGCCAAGCAGCGCAGCAGGTTTTGATTTATGATGATGTCTTCCTGCTGGCAGCTTGTAGCAATTAGTGATCTGGTTGAAGACTTTGGCAGTGTAGCAGTGTTATTTTGTCTTTTCGAAGTCACAAACATAATTCCGCAGTTTTTGTGCACTGGCTTCCTGGGGATAAATTTCCTCTCACTTGTGTTTCATACGTGACTCTCTCCACTCCTAGCCCTTTTTTCTGCTTTCAGGGATGATGTCATCCCTCTCGTGTTAGCATATCTCTTCCCGTCCATTTTTTTTCCTGCTGGTCGCAGTCGGTGCTCTTCATCTTCCAGTCATTTCCTTCAGTGCGATGTTGAACTCTCTGCTTTTGAAATGTGCCACTTCTCGACAAGTGCAGGTGACAGGGTTCAGGGGTTAGCTATATTTGGACAAAGGACATGAAGCAGCATGCTTTTAATTCCTGGATTCAGGTCAGAAGGAGGAAAGCAATAGACAAAACAAATTCATCAATGGAGCTCTCAGTCACACAGTCAGCTGTGTATTATTTGTGGAAAACCCGGTGCCTGCTGTGCTGGTATCAAGCTTTGATCCCAGCCTGATACCCGCAGATGTCAGATTGTACTGAACTTTATAGATATGAAATTGTTCAAACAATTGACGTCAGAGGCAACACCAAAAATACTCCCCGCTAGCTGATACAGTTTGGTGATCTCTTACTCAGTCATAGATTGATGACTCGTCCACTCTTGTAATCCCCTCTGACATTTTGAAAATAGCATGTGTAATCTGTGCCATTTTAGGCCCCTATAATATCCTATCCAATCTTTTTCATATTCTGCTGTTTCGTTTTGTTTTTGCCAAACATTGAGAAGTCCCCCATTCATCAGTTGTTTTTGATGTACTGTATTTTTTATATACTAAAGTAGGGTCCACAATTAACACCTGCCAAGTGCCAAATGTGAGTAGATTCTCTGTTTGGCCAGTAATCCACAGAGGGCTTCACACCATGTCATGGATAAATGTTTCTACCACAATGGTCCAGTAAACTAAAAATTAAACTACTGGTATGCCAAGTTTTTCTGGATTTTAGTTAAGCTACAACGTCTGTCTCCTAATCCGTTGCTGTCTGCATGTCAGAGTTTAGCAGGGCAGGCTAACCCACTTGAATATCACTGCATAGTGATTCACACACACGACCATGAACCCCACCCCTAATGGAAAGTATGTAGGTAATTTGATTAATTTCCAGGTCTTAAAAAGTATGGTGAATGAAAAATAAAGTATGGAAAAATATTTAGGTTTCAGGCTATTACCCTAGTAAAAAAATACTGTTCTTAAATAGAAAAGTAAGTATTTCCAAAAATAATTCTAAAAAGTAGGGTATGGAAAAGTATGGAAATTCCAACTGTGTAGAAACCCTGTCTATGAGACTTCAGCTGCTGTGTTGCAAACATTTTTTTTTTTCATATCAAGACTAGAGGTAGACCAATTAATCGGTTGACCATTACTGGCATTTTGATGCAATTGCTCTTCTATCTGCATCAGCCTTCAAAAGGCTAATATCTCCAGTATTTTGCCAAATGAAAATGAAAACAATAATGTAGTTCTATAACAATATTAATATTTACCTTGTATATTTGTGTCTTTTTTTCTCATTTCATATATCTGCGGCAGAAATCTAAAAGTCCCTTGTGGCAATGTTGTACTGAGCCAAATATTTTCCTGTCTGTATTTATTGAATAAAACATTCACTTGAGTTCAGCAACATTGTTTTTCATTTATTGGTATTAACATATTGAAAAAATAACAATATGATATCAGCATTATATAATGACCATTGGCCAACCTGCTCTCATTATTGGCAGCAGCCATTAAAAAATCTGTAACCACTCAACCACTAATGAAGACTTAAACATTGCTATTCAACTACCAGTGTGAGAGCTGGAATAGTCTTTCTTTACATCCAGCATCAGGTACTTTATCTTTTTTTCCTGGAGATGACATAATGTGCAATAAACTAATGAGCGTGCTCTCCTCTCTTTCTGATTATCACTGTTATCACATTCTGCTGTGCTCTTCTGTATTGCTATATTGTTCTGTAAAGGACAGGAGTTGACTGTTTTCATCCTTAAGCGTGATGTGTACTTTTTTCAACTTCTTTCCTGATTAATTCAGTGTTAAAATGAATGAAACTACAGCACTTACAGGATTCTTCAGGCTAAGAACGTTACTGCTTTGCTAAGAAGGAAGATTACACGCCGTTGTGTTAGTATCTTTATTGGTCATTTTCTGGTCTAGTGAACTTGATCATGCTGGTTAAAACCTTGTTTTTATGTGTTTGTTCTGCAGGTGTATGGGGCAGTCAGGTGATTGTACCTCAGAGGGTGAACGCTGTGCTGGGGAAAAATGTGACTTTAGAGTGCAGGGTGGAAGTGGCCTCAAACCTTACCCTCACTCAGAGTTCCTGGGAGCGACGTCTCCCCTCAGGCTCAGTCACAGTGGCCGTCTACAACCCTCGGTTTGGCATTTCCATCCCTCCAGAGTTTATCCAACGATTGTATTTTCGCTCACCCTCCTCACACGATGCCACCATTGTGCTTGAAAACGTGGGCTTTGCTGATGTTGGGATCTATACCTGTAAGGTTGCTACATTCCCCCTGGGAAATACACAGGCCTCTACAACTGTCAATGTACTTGGTAGGTATAAATATTTGAACATGTGTTCTTTTATGCAAGCACAACTCTTTTTAAGAATGTGGTCCAGGTGCTCTGCAGCCTGGTTTTACAGGAACTACTGTATGTAATGATGAGTCTCTACTGCAGTGACCTGACTTCTATTCACATCCAAGCCATTAACTGTATGTGTTGTCCTCATTTAACCCCCGATTCTCTCAGAAAAGGCAATAACGCTGAAAACTATCCATGAAGATAAGAACTTATTTCAGCAGGCAGTGTCAAGTCTGACCAGACCAATCTGTTAATCTATTAATAAGTTTATTTTAAACCCAAATATATTCCATATCAACCATAGCTGCTGAATGTTTAGCTTAGATATGTCTCAATCATAATCAGACCTTTGGTGCAGGAAAAACAAATGAACTCCATATTGTTGCATTTCTGTAAAGATTTTTTAAGTATCCAAAAATACCAAAATGTGACCAGCGTATAGCAGTCACCTCATTGTTGTTCAGTTGCATGGAATTTCAACCACTCTGCTTTGCATGATGTGTTTTTTCTCCTTGTCTTCGCTGACTCTCTTCATCACAGTGGAGCCAAAGGTCTTCGTGTCTGCAGGTTCCGCTCCCCTGATTGATGGTGGGAACGACACTGTGGTGGCTACCTGTATAGCTGAGCGGGCCCGTCCCCCTGCAGAGGTATCCTGGGAGTCAAACCTGTTTGGCCAATCAGAGGTGCAGCTGTTTGATGAACCCAATGGCACTACAAGCACTCAAGTCCGCTACCTTTGGCAGCCTACACGTCACATCCAAGGACACTCGCTCACATGTGTGGTTCGCCATCCCGCTCTAAATAGTGACTTCCGCATCCCCTACCAGCTCAATGTACTGTGTAAGTTTCCCTTACTGTTTCCAAACACCAAGCGTAAGTAAAAAAACCTTTGCCTATCACTTGATCCCACCAGTTGAATTGGCAGGGATTACTGTTGAATGAAGCAAGCAAATAGCATTCCTTCACGCGTCTGGATTTGCGCGAATTAAGCGAGTAGATGATTTTACTCACGCTTGGTGAGAGCGCCCCATGAGTGTGGCTATTTGGAAGAACCTCTTGTCAAAACTGGTGGCCACCTGTGCAGCTGAAAGCAATTCCCTCCTTCTATCAGACTCAGAGTTAGTGTGAAGTGGCAACAGAAACAGTCACTGGAAAAAGGTTTGGAAAGTTTCATTTTGTATATGTTTTAAATATAAATTAGCCCAGTGAGACCTGAACTATCAGGTACAGGACCTGACAGTTCAATCAGGCCAATGTAGAGTCAACCGGGTGCAGTCCAGTCTACATGAGACTGTAGTCTACATTAGAGTGTGTGTAGGTTTGATATCCAAGATAATGTGCCTTGCTGTCATTTTAATGACAACGAACTGTATGTTTCCATGCACCCTTCCTTAACTTTCATTGATCTTGAAAAAACAAATTGAGCAGAAAGTACAGTCAAAACAGGCTGTAAATGAAAAGGTATCTAATTCGTTCTGAAGTCAATGATGCTTGTTGTTGTCAGTATTGACTTTTGATATTTTAGAAGCTTTTTAACGACTTCCGTTAGAGAGACAGCTGAATTGACAGTGATGTAATCAAGGACAATCAATGCAGACTCCTTCCAGGTATAAAACACTGTGTAGGAAAGGCTGTCCCTGGTGTTTGCCTTGGTTTTTCTTTTATTTCAAAGTGCATTTCTTTAGGCTTTTCTGTGTCAGTCGATGTTTGTGTGTGCCCTTAAACTGTCAGAACAGAGAATGTTTTCTTGCCAGCAAACCCCCATAGATATATTGGTTCATATCAGTACCTTGTGGGGCACAAATGGCTGTCTGCATGCCAGCTATAAAAAGACTGGTAAAATGAGGAACTCTGCTCGTCCCCTCTTTTGTTTGACAGATGGATCATAACTTTGCTTTGATTAAAAAATAATAACAATAATAATAAAAGCATACCACAGAAGATGGTTTTTGAATCTGAAACATGTAGTGCTTTACAACAGGCCAGTAAAAAAGGATCTCTCAGTTATTTGTTTTATTTCTCTCTTCTTTGTAGTTCCTCCAGATATCTCAGTTGTGGGCTATGACGGGGACTGGTATGCAGGTCGGGAAAATGTTCAAATGACGTGCAAAGCCAATTCAAACCCACCAGCTCATCACTTCCGATGGATCAGGTTTGTGTATTTGTATTTCCTTCATGATGTTTTCCTTTCGTTTTATCAGAAATAAATGACCAAGCAGGCCAAAAAATTTAAAAGGCAAAGAAATGTGCCTCCATAGATTCAAGCAGAATTTCTTCAGTTTTTCTTTTAGCCTTGAATCTTCTCTTTACTCTCTGAGTAGTTTAAGACGTCAGCTCATTGAACCTAAAAGGCTGTTAGTTTATGTAGCAACACTACTATCAAAATTGGATATGTAGGTAATGTCAGCTTTACTTTTCAAACTTCTTTTCATTTATTGAAAAATTCAGGTGGTCATTTCAGGTTACAAGTAATCGTAGCACAAATATAACTGTGAATGATAAAGAAAAAAGATATGTGTCTAAGTGTTTGTGTCTGGTTGCCCCTCAGATTGGACAGCGAAATGCCAGAAGGGGTGGAAGTACTGAACAGCACTTTGCTCTTCCTGCGTCCCCTCCAGCGGAATGACTCTGGAGTTTACAGGTGTGAGGTTGCCAATGACATCAACCTCCGCAGTCGGGATGTGCGCATTCTCATACAAGGTGAGCAGAGAATACGCTCCAGAACACAGCTGACTCCCACTGCCGTCCCTTCCCTTAGGAAACACTGTGCGTACACACACGTCACAGAGGGGTATCACTGCCTGTGACATTGTCCTTCAAGCTGAAATGTGACACTGTATCACTCTTGTGCGTTCTGTACATACTAACAGTCCGTCAAGCATTCATGCATGCTACAGAGTGTTGGTACTGATAACAGTTGACCCTTTAATTTGGCTTTGATTGCATACTGATTAGCCCTGATTAACATTAGGTCCCCAGATGTTCAAAAGGGGAGTTCCTGGGCTAAACAGCTGCAAATGTTTAAGGTCTCTCTCCAGACAGGAGTGCTCTGCCTGTGGTTCTGGCATCTGTGTTGTGTCTCTTTGTTGTGTATAGAGAACATGTTCCTCTGCTTTAGCCCGGTCTGTGTGCTCTTCCTGAATAAAGTCCTGATTATGATGTGATTCTTTCTCAGAATTCTCCCTCTGTCTTTCTGTACTTCTTTTACTTCTGCATGTGTCATGCAGTATGAGGCAAAAGCCTGCAGCCTGACTGTGAGATGATGTCCCAGACTCATAAAACATTAACTAGTTCTTTTCAACTCCTATTTATTATTTATCATCCATATTTCCTTTTCCTTTGAGAGGACTTGTACGTGTGTGTGCAAGCTTACACATGTTGGTGTACTCTTCGTTATGTGTGTCTATTGCTGTGGTTGTGTTCACATATGTCGGTTCACTGCTTCTGTATGGAGTAATAGGATTCATATATTTAGAGACTAGAGACCTTTGGGTTTGTGTTTGCCATGTTTCAGATGTGAATCTTCTTCTTACATCTGGCCTGGCAACAAGGTTAGAGTGGCAGAGTAATTTTGCAGAACCATTAAAGCTTTTAGACTCCGATTTTTTTCCATTACTTAAGCTCCCTCTGATTATGGCTTTTGGCTTTTGGGTTTGTGGGCATCACCCCTAATGTAGTTCAGTTTAAGGTTCCAATAGTGCTGTTGTGAAATAGTGGGGAAAAAATTAGTATGCTTGCAAAAGAGGGTGCAAAACGCACATTCCCATACAATTCATGCATGAATCATAAAGTAGATGTTAATTTCCAACTTTTTTCAAAATGGGTGACAAAAAGAATTGTCTGACAGTTTATGATGCGTTCACACCGGAGATGTTTCATTCAGTCAGGTATGTTTGGAATGGTATGAAACTGCATGTGAACTCTGATGCAAACCAAACAAGTAAACTCTGGTCAGATTGCAAACTGGGGTCTCAGTTCACTTCTAGATGAACCCTGGTGCAGTTCCTTTGAGTCGAAGAAGACCAACTTATAGTCAAGTCAAGACTGCAGCACAACTACAACACCTTTTATGCCCCTTTCACACAAAGTTATTTGAAACTATACGAAATTACCTGTGTGCACCATATGTGCGATACACATTATATTTTGCCCTAGCTTCACCCAGAATGTTAGTTAGCCCCTGGTATTATTTCAAGGTAAAGCAGGATAAGGTCATGTGAAATGATGTCACAATAGTCAGTCATTACTTCTTTCTTCATCTAAGAAAAGGAGCACCTGGACCTGTTCCACATGGCCTAGTAAAGTTAAATCTGTCATGTCTCACATTTTCTGTGAAAGTTGCAGTTAGTGATGAGCAACTTCACCCTTAGTTTGAAACAGATGTGACACAATGTCTATGCAAAGTCTGTTCACTGTAACCCTTCTGCGTATTGATACCCCTGGATCCTGACCTCAAGGTTTAAAGTTTAAGGGCTTTTCAGTCACCAACATTTTTTTATTTGGAGTTCTCTTCTGAAATTACTGGGTTGATAGTTTCATATATAAACATATACATATCAAATTGGTTACACATGCCACTGAGGTTGATGATTTGCTGCTGAAGTAGCCTGTTAGCTGTTCTTAAGCCTCAGTATATAGAGTGCAGCTAGCAGAATTTTACAAATCTTCACAGTTACTTGGGAATAATGTGTTTCAGTAATTAAGATGATTTGGAGATGAGAGGTTCTTGAGCATTGAGCCTTTCATATAGACATTTCTTCTATTAATTTCCTTTGTAACCAATATTGATCTGAATACTTGAACATGTGTGTCATTGAATGTGTTGGTTCAAAGCCCCGTCTTCAGCAGGAACAAAAAGCAATAAATCTCAATCTCCTTTTTTTGGGTCCCTTCATATTAGATGTGTGTTGTAGTTGCAGCTCAAACCACTCACTCATGTTTTCTAGTCCAAGATTTCTTCAGCAGCCTTTGGTTTGCTTTTGCCTTAACAAAAAAATCTAATCTATTTTTAACTGTGTCCTTGCCAAGTTATGAATGACAGTACATTTCAGTAGAATGAAGCTTGAATACCTAAAAGCTTTCTTATTTTAATTTTGTCTTGACGATGGATGAGGCATACACAATTTTAGAGAGAAAGGGGACAAAATAGATACAGGTAAAAACAAAACAGAAAAAAGGGATTTTTATTGATAGAGATATAATAAGTTCTTTTTTCAAAACAGTTAATGATTTACATCCTCCTATGAAATATGTTGCCCAAACTGATTTATTTATGTTATAAATGCATTAGTTGTTGTTTTTTTTTTTTTTAAAAAGCTGTCCTGTTCAGCTGAATGCAGCTAAATTTTACACAAGAACCCGTAAACAAAAGAATAAACACTCATTTTGATTACAAACTCAAAGAAGTTACTCTTTAAAACCTTTTCAGGACCACAAGTTCTGTGAAGAGAAGTTCACGGACATCACTGTCATACAGTGTCAGTTTGAAAACCTTCCAAGCTTGTTGTCGTTTCCTGTAAAGATATGGTGCTCTTTATTACTATAATCTAATAAATAAAATTTTCTCTAATTTTTTAAACATTCTATTTACTATTTTTTTATTAAATGATCTGAGGGTAGATCTGAGCCATGAGACGTTGGCAATGCATACCTGAGGCTGCTGTGCGTGTCCACAGTTTAGTATTGTAGTTTAGTTAATGGTTTTGTCAACCTGTTAACCCTACTTTAGTGAAATGCTGATGTAGTTGGCATTGACATTCTCTGCTTCTCTGTCTGTTCATCTCTCCCTCTTACCCTCTTCTCCCCCCGTCACCCTCCTTCCCTCCATTAGATCCTCCCATCATGCCTTCCACCATTACTGCTCCTGTCCTAACTGGCTCCGTCTCCTCCACCTTTGTGGATGAAAAGGGGCATGTTCTTCTCAGCTCCCCCACACTCGAAGCCCTACCTGAGAGTAATCTTGGGTCCATAGTGGGTGGGGCTGTGGGCGGGGCCTTGTTCCTGCTACTGCTGCTGTGTTTGGTGGGCGTTTGTTACCTACGGAAACATCAGACCTTCCATGGGGATTACTACACCAAGCAGTACCTGGGAAACAACGACCTCCAAAAAGCCCCTACTCAGCACGAGCTCCACCTGACCAAAGCCAGCAGTAGCTCTCACAGACAGGACCAGGATCGAGAGGAGTGGGGTGATCGCCATCTGAAACAGGAGCGTGAACGACGTCTCCATAGCAACTATAACGGAGAGGATTATCCTTCCAATGGCTACACCAGAGCGATGAGAGAGAGCAGTCACCAACAAAATCATCAGCACAATCACCTTCGTGAACATGCACAGTATCCTAGTCCTCGGCAGGCCAGATGTGCCAGATACCCTCGATCGCCCAAACCACAGGGAAACTGCTCCCCCTATATGTCTGACGACTGCTATGATAGCGGGCCCGATGGCGACTATGTCTCCCACACTGATGGCTCTGTCATCTCACGTAGGGAATGGTATGTTTGATAAACTACCAGGTCCTATGGGAGCAGAAATATCAAGAAAAAAACCTGGGGGGTTAGATTTTGGAATTAGAAAAAAAAATAAAAAAAACATTATGTCTCTTCTGTACGCACATGCACACTTCTACTAATATTGATTCGGTAGTTCCTGTGTTTGTTCAAGCAACCTGGTCAGCACTTGAGATGTGATGTGTCTGTTTTTGATGTGGACAGACTGGACTGCACAGCCACTTTGACAGAAAACTCCTACATGCCTGGGGACATGGCATGACACTAGTTTGTGTGTGTAGAGACCATAGACTGTATATAGAATGGACAGCATCTGCCTCCTCGCCACCACAAGAACAGCACCCTCTGGTGACAGGCTGCAGTATAGGTCATAAATCCCGCCTCCTCCTGCAATCCCTGTGGAGCTGTGGACAAACTTTAGAAATTTATTACACAGAATATAAATTTTTCTCCCCCCTGCTTGCGATGTTGACACGTAGATGCTGTAAGACTGGTTTGTGCTCAAGTCCTCTTTTTTCTGTACAGCTCAATTTTTAAAAGTTATTTGGGGGTTCATGTTTTATATGATTGACACTTGATACAGCCTATGGGCTTACGAAGATTGCGTAGCTCACCCGGGGGATATGCTGTTTGAGCCGAGCGTCATCACAGTGACTCTCAGCAACTCTCCCGTCAAATGCGTACAACGCTACTGTGAATGTTGGTTTCAGGAAATGGAGAAGAAGAAAAAAATACTGAGAGCTTTTTGGCTTCAAATCGTTATACTGGTGGAAGGCAGAAGTTGTCCATCGTATATACAGTCTATGGTAGAGACTAACTAAATATCATGATGTATGTGCTGTCTCTGCCTTACTACTTGGACTGCTGGTGTATTTAGTATTACTAATGTCTTAGCTTCAGTGGAGCAGTAGCCCTGAGGGCTCCAAGATCACATATGGTTGTTGTAAAAGAAGGTATTGTTGTTTGTTTCTACAAAAATCAGCCCTCTTAGGCTCTGTAATACTTGATTAGTATTTATATGTCTTTATATTGCCTATTCTCCGTTCACTGAAAAAGTTTTGACCTCTAAATATGATTGGCTGACACTCAGGAATGGTAGTGAACCCATGACTGGAAGTGAATGCAGGATATTCAAATGATCACAGGTCTTTTTTTTCCTTCAAAACCTGGTAAGACACAGCAAGGCACATATGCTATTAATAATTATTTAAAAAAGGAAATCATAGTTCTCTCCTCACTGAGTCATGGTCAGATAAAAACATAATGCACTGTCTTTTGAACCACTCCTAGGTTTGTTTTCAGCTGAAATGTCTCCTTTTTACGGTACTTACTATGACCAGAGACTTGTGAGCTTGAGGATTTGACCCCTAGCAGTGATGTCCTAGCAGTGTCCTTTAAGACTGATTGCCTAGTGTGGGAACCTTAAGAGCATTTCTGCAGCACGTCCTCGTCTCATCTTGCATCCCCAGGAGAGAGGGATAGAGAGGGGACAGGCAGAAAGGCCCACATGACTGAGGCATGAGTTATGGAACAGTCAAGCCTTGTTATGCAAACATGCTTTTGATTTCTTCAAGTTTAAATAAGCTAGAATAAGCTAGTGCTTCTGTTAGCTGTATAAGTTAGAGAAGAGTCTTGAAGTGATTTTCCGCTTTAGTTTACCATCAATACATTCTTTGGTCAGCCCCCACGTTATAATGGACGTGTTGAGTTGCACTCTGGCACTAAACCAGGGTTCTCAGAGGTTCAGGAGGGCTATCAGCAGGGCCATTGTTAAAAGCAGGCTACATTATGACAGCCACCATACGCTGGCCTCCTAGTCGCAGAGTATTCTGTTACACAAAGAAATCATTCAAAAAAGCGGCCAGTTCACACATACCACAAACAACCAGCTATGGACTAGTTTCACTACTCTGAGTAATCCGCAGAAACAAGACACAACTTTGTCAGAATTACAAACTGAGACATTAATAGGCTTACTGTTGCTTACCCATGTGTGCAGCTGCACGCTCTAATCATGTTCAACATTTTTCAACTTTCATTAATCTACCAAAGTTTGTGGAGGTGAACATTTCAGGTCAGCTATAGCAGACGTTGTTGCACTGAACCTTAAATCCTGCACTCACTACTATCTCTTGAGTAGCTCTGAAACAATCCCTTCCCTGTTTTTTTTTCCTTGTGATCTCATACAAGTTTTACAATTAAATCTGCATTAATTTCTAATCAGCCATATCCCAAGGCTAAATCATCGTGTTAAAATGTTGTTGGACACCTCGAGTACTGTGCTTGAACTGAGAAGAAAGTGTTTGCAATGTCAGTCTTTGGGTTAATCTGCTCTGGTACTAGATTCTTAAATGAACTTGAGTTCTTTTAATGTGATCAGGGACACACAGGGGAAAAAATCAAGTATTGCTGCACACAGACAGCATGAAGATCTGTTTCTTTCAAGCACACTAGTGTTTGTGAATTTGCCAAATTTAGGACTACAATCACCTACACAGTATTTGATCCCAGTTTGCCAAACATTAGTTGAACTTGTATGTATAAATAAGATGATGACAGTATTGATAACTTGCTAACAGCTTATATAAATAGGTAACACATCACTGTAGTAAGCAGGGTCTTGTAAACTGAAGTAAAAAGATACTTTTGACCACTTTTTATATCGCATTAACAGGTGTCAAAATGGGAATAAGTTGTATTGAGCTTTCAATAATTGTCAGGGTGTTCATTTAGTGCAGCGAATAGGCTGCTGTTCTCGTGGTGAGATTTGATAATGTGCCACTGTTACACGCACGTAGAGAATATCGGCCTTGAACTGCAGTTAATGTTGTTTAAAAAGCTGCACAGTGCACTATAACTAATTCATAAGCTTCTCAATCCTAATGGTACCCTTGATTTTTTTTTAGTCCACTCCAGTTCAAACAACTCAACCTTCTTACTTTTTACATGTTGTAGAAACTATGATTTAACATGCACAGAAATTTTTCGTGATTTTTGCCACATCTGTCATAAATCGTGGTTTTTGTACAAAAAGTGTTCCTATGATGGAACTTTTACAAAGTAGATCAACGGAAACAGTGTTACACAAAGATACGCTAATTTATTGCATTTTTCAACGATCATGGGCTTCACAAACAAAATCTCACTGACCTTGTACTGAGATGCAGGTTGTCAGAGAGAGATTTGATTTTGCTACATGCATGTGAAAACGTGTTACTTTGGGATTTTGATGAACTGACCCTTCAGATGGGAGGCTTCGTTCTTTAAAAAGAACAATCTCTGTTGAATTGAAAAGAAGGTATTGGGTATTTGTGTGCTGCTGACAGGTTTTTATTGAGTCTCTGGGCTCACTTTCAGTAAAGAGAAGAGAGCAACAGGAAGCACAGCAGTGTTACCCCCTCTTCTGTTTGCTTCCATGCACTAAGACGGAAACTCCACCAATCAATACACTATTTTTGCCTGACTCGTCAGTTTGCAGCCCTACAACAGGAATTATGATGTTCTCTTGTACTGTGTGGCGTTTTGTTTAGAACTCAGCCATCAATATCTTTACCTTGAGAAATGTCCTTCACTTTAGGGTAAATACAACTAGTGCCTTAGATACCTAGAAGAACAAATATTTTCTTGTTATTGTTTACTAATGGATGTAAGAACATATTTTGTTTCTCTGTGAGATTTATTTTAATTTTATTTTCACTTTATTATGTGTTCAAGGGACTCCATTGTGCCATATTCACTCTCCTGCCACTTTGACTATTGATGACGCAGTGTATTTGCAAACCTGAAGGCATTATAATTAAAAAAAAAAAGACAAGACTTGATTGAATGAGTTAAAAAAATATATCTGTTTCACAGGTTCCTGTCAGGGTTCTTCTGTTTCTGTAAAACCACTGTTGTTAAAAGGGGTCACATTGTCATTATAGAGCACTTTGTGGTTATGTTTCTTTTTTGTATATACAGAAGACAATGTTTCTGGATGAAAAAAAAAACGATGTGAGTGACAACAGTTGAGCATTATTTTGTCAGTCTTTTGAGATACTTCAGTTCAATAAAGCACCTTAGCACCTGTGAGTTAATTTTTTCAGGAGGCTTCTTAAGCTTTGCAACTACTCCGACTGCTCGGTCTCTCTCTCTCTGCTCCTCTTTGTGCTTCTATAAATGACATCATCTCCCTAACGCATAATGCCGCACCCCCCCACCCCACCCCCTTACACCCCAATCCAGTGCGCACATGTGGAACACCATAAATGACGTAATTCGAATTCATGTCTCCTCACTTCACCCTATCTCCATTCGCCTTAGTGTCCAAAATCACTGTGATGTGGCACTTGTGTTCCTCTCCACTGGTGTTTCTGTAGTCGTGGGGGATCCAACACCTCGTCACAAGTCCTAGTTTGCTTTGTTTCAGGGACAGAAAGGCCCCGGATTCTCCCCCACAGCTTGTCTCCTTTATGAATTCCCTCCTCGCGTGTCTTTTTCCCACTGTCTACCAGCTGGTAAAATTAAACGCTGAGTGTTTATGTCTGGCCCAAAGTCCCTACTCTCCAGCCCCATTGACTGTCCCCATGGCAACAAGCTCATCTGGAGCTGCTGATGGAGGCTGTCTTTTCCTGCAAGCCTTACCTGGACACACTGAAAGCAGAGAGAGAAGGATGGGTGTTGAGGGAGGAGGGGGGGGAGATGATGCTGGGAGTCTAAACTGTGCTGTTGTGAAAGGCAGAGCACAGAGGGGGAGAATTAGCCACTGGAATTGAAAATGGCCCATTACGCCCCACTGCACCACACAGAGCTCCTCAGGCTGTGAGGACATAACATGCTGATGTGACCTTGGCACTGTTTAGCTTGGACTCCAGGTCCTCAAGACACACTTCCTTTAAAAGTCTCTATTTGAGCTGACCTCTGTGTCTTGTAGATCTGGCGGTGGTCACAGCAGTTGTTGATATTTTAACCTTGAAAGCAGGCTCACAGTGAAGCTCAGAAAAGTACAGCAGCTCAGTCAAAGTGATGATGTCGACCAGATTTAAATTTGAGACTCGTGTCTCTCGCAGAGTCACTTTCTGCCTGTAACTAAACAGTTTCCAAGGATACTTTTCAGCAAAAACACAAAGCGACGAACAAATATCTCCATCAGTGTGGAGGGACGCAGCACTGAGACTTTGATTATAATTCTTCAGCACAAGTGGGATTAACTCCTCTCCATCGTCAAGCTGAAAATATGGAAACTATAAGCGATTTAAAAATGACATGCTACCCACTGCTCTAACCTTTGTCCCCCACTCTGCTGTTACACCAGCGTGTGCTTCCTCAGGGATCTGTTGTCGACCCTTGACCCCTGCTGTGGAAGTTGAAGAGAATGGGGGTGGGTTGTGGGGTAGAGGAGTTGTCCTGCCAGTGCCACCACTCACTCCCTTACTCCTCACCATAGCGAGATGTGAGCTGTTAAATTCATGATGAGCCCGTCTGCTGCGCTGACCTCCGGAGCATCAGCATGCACTTTTCTCCACAGTGATGATGATGATGATGTGCGTGTGTGAAAAAGTGCTGGAGTAGGCGCGACAGAAAGAAGGGGGTTTGCACCGGAGCCAGATCCCAATTTGGGGACAGTTGATCCACCACTAACACCACTAATCCCAGTCCCTCAAGAAGGGATCAAATTTGAACCAATTAAACGTTCATGCATGCTCAGTCGACTTCTTTTCCCCAAAGTTTTCATTTTGTTCAATCCAAATGAATGAATAAAGAATATTATTTATTTTGGTCATTCATGAGAAAGGAACAAAAAATCTTGTGTGGACGTGAATATTCAGTGACAAAACTACAAAGAACATCATTTTAATAAATACAACAAATAACAAACAAATTGCTCGGACTCCTGCCTCCTCCAGCTTTAAGATGCTCTACACACTCTGGTTTTAAAGCAGCTTTTTGTCCTTGTCACGTTCTGTACGTCTGTGAGAATGTCTGTCACCAAACATCAGAGAGGCTGGCTTGACAGACTGCATTTTTAAAGGCTTTTTGATCAACTCAAGAGGCTCTTGTCATAGTTCAGCAGCCATCAAAGGTAATCGAACGGCTATTAACTGTTAGAGGACAGCTTAAAGGGAGAAGAGAAGAGCGGGGGAGGGGAGTAAACAGAGGAAGAAGTGGCTTTCTGGGGGCGAGCGAGCTCACAAGTCCCAGTGTGTTCAATCTGCATCATAATTGGACTGTTATTTAAGATTCTCATCCCAGCACATTATCGATTTTTTTCTCCCACCTCAGCAGCCAAATCAACTGGAATTGACCATCACACACTTTGTTTTTTCTTCGCTCCCGTCACCTTTTGTCCTCCTGTCCCTTCAGTGTCCCACAATCACAGTCTTACACATTACAGCTGAATGGCCAATGCTTGCTGTTCTCAGAGTTTAATGCATCTTAATCACAATTAATCCTAATCCTCCTCTGCGGACAACGTGGAGCACAAGCAAGCATATGGTCAAACAAAGCTAATTCAGCAGACTTTACAAGAGTATTGAACCTGACACAAACATAACACAGAGAGAGGATGGTAACGACACATGAAGGATGGAGGGAGTTGAAGATTTAAAGTGATTGATTAGCGAGTGATGCAGTTTTAACATGCACAACCTTCATTTGTCTAGATTAAACCCCAACTACATCTCTCCAATTACAGCCGATTGTTCAGCTAAACAAATATTCAATCCAATCTCGCTTTAATACTTGACGCTTTGCAAAGCATCATCTATTAAAAACAAGCCTGATGAATATTGTGTTGTGGGAAGATAATAGAGTTTAGAAATTGGATTGTCTCCTATACCTCTTTTAAGAAAAACTGCAACATGTTTGAATTCACTGTCTTACCAATAATTTATCTTTAATAAATATGAGACTACAGTGTGCAGTTAGCTAGAACTGAATGTAAAACTCCACCTACCAGCATTTTGAATGCCCACTTATATCTTATTAATCGTTTATGTTCAAAAGGTTTTTGACGTTTTATATTTGTTGTATATAAGCTAAGTTAGCAAAGTCAGCGATTTAGCTTGGTTTGAGGACAGCAACACTTAAAGGGATATTCCAGCGTAAAATTAATCAAGGGTCAAACACACCATAACACAGAGCTGCGTCACCCCGCCTCAGTCATTGATGGACTGGTTGAGGTCTCACTACAAACAAGCGGCTACTGGAAGAGAGTAGGTGAGTTGAGTTAAGTCTCTTTGGCAAAGAAATCAGGCAAAGTTAAAAAGATGTTTGGTGGCTAGTGCTATGGCTGGGATCCTATTTGTACTGTTTATGAAGTTAGATGCTGTTCTGAGCATTATTTGTGGCTATAGACTGGCGTTTTGGTTGAGGTGTGCGTGTGGTTCCTCAGACCGCTGTGTATTGCTATCGTGCGGTCATTACTAAAGTTGGTATAACTAAAGAAGCAAGCAGTCTGGAACATTTTTCTCTCAAGGGGGTGTCTAACTCGGTGTTACGATGTGTCTGACCCTAACTTAATTTTATGCTGGAATATTCCTTTAACTGGGAGAGATAAAACTGAAGCCTATTTAAAAAAACTGAAACATTTTGAAGCATCTTTACCAGAGCCATGCTTATCAGGCTCTCATTAGTCATTTCATCCTGCGCCACCCACAGTGAAAGGAAATCATGGCAGCATTTAGCGCATGTCCACCTTCAGGCGAGAAAACTTGAAGAAGTGATACTTGAACATTTATTCTTTTCAACATGTTCTCACCATAAACAATGCCAAGCATACTCTTGCAAGATAATATGTGTTAGTTATCAGAAAAATCAATTACCTGCCTGTTGCTCATCTATTATAATCAGCAGATAAATGTCATTTCAGAAAGATCCGGAAAGGCTTTTATGGTTTCTTTCTTTTAGTCCCATTTTCCCTCTGTCCTCTTTTTATTCCAGGAATCTAAAACTTGGTTTGGAAGCACTCTTCTCTTGTCTCCAGGGTAAGACGGAGAACAGAAGACACAAAATCATACTCAGAGCATTTTCTGCTCCTCAGAACAAACTGTGCTCTACTTAACAAAACCCTTACATCGTGAAGGTATTTAGAATAAAATATTAAATCTCAATAATGGACAAATGCTCCTAAAACACAGAGATACAAAACTGATACAACTCTAGCTCAGACATCTTTGAAGTGTCAAAGCTGCAGAAGCTACCTAAGCTGTGAAGTGGTTATTTATCCAGTTCATTTACATCTCATCTCCAGATGTTTTAGCTTCACCTTCTGGGAGTAGTTATGCTATTTATCTCCTTCAGCAGTGATTTTTGTGTCTTGTTTTGTTTATAATTAACTAAAAGTCTCGCCCTCTCTTCCTGTCTTAGACCAGTCTCAGGCAGAGAGGTCAAACTCCATCACGGTGGCAGGAGCAGTGATGGGCGCAGTCCTTGCCCTCTTCCTCATCGCCATCTTTCTTGTCGTGATCCTCACTGCGCGCAAGACCCCGCCCCAAGCCTTCTCTGACAAAGTGTAAGTCGGACAAATAGTTCATAGTGCAGAACAGGCTCAGCTGGTTAATTAATGACATGATACCATGTTAGGTTGACTGAAGCCGTCTACAAGTTCATGGAGTTGCTCACTCCTCCCGTGGAGTGTGCCGCAGCGGGGCAAGGCCCTGGAGCACAGCGTCTGCAGGACAAGGTTGAGGGGTGGCAGATAACTGCATTCTTGGCAGAAGGCCCCCGTGTCCTATTTTTGTGTTCCTGTAAACCAACACTGCTTTTGATGTAGGAGCATCGAAAAATAAGTCTGAGGTTAAATTATTTACAGCAGGAGTGACTGATTTGAAACCCTTTGTCTGAGTTTGTGTGTGTGTGTGTGTGTGTGTGTTTGCTCTTTGTTTTGTCTGTCTCGGTCGTGTATGTTCTGAATAACAGTGTCTAAAGGCTGAATTACAGGACCAAACAGGATCCTCTATGTGGTCTGGTGCACATGAATAAAACCTTATGAGTATTTTTTTATTAACTCTGTTTCTGTTTAACATTTTTGAGTCTTCACTGTAACACAAAGGTGCACTCAGTGAGTCCGATTCTGCAGATTAACCTTGTACCCCTCACATACAAATCATTATTATGAACCTGTGGAGCATAACTGCAAGGTTGCAGGTTGATTCCCTCATCAATCCCCGTTAAGAGCGTCAGTAGGCAAACTTACACCTGGGAAACACAATTACATGTATTAGGCTTGTGTTAGGCTTGCCTTGAGGGAGACAGCTAGCTGCTGAATAAACGCTACATTTTCCAAGAAACAGAATCACAGCATGTCTGTTTAAAAGATTCACTGATGGAACAAATTAGAAAATCAAGTTGTTGTTTTTTACCAGGATGCACAAAGCCAAGATCATCACAGGAGGCTCATATTGAGTTATCGGTTTGTTTTCAGCTTTTTAGGATGACTTCCTATTTTTTTGACGAAAGTATTTACTCAATAAAATAAATTTTTTCACTTAAAACTCTAATTTCATTGACAGTACCTCCTTCAGGGAAAGTTGAACGACTTTTACTCTGCATGTACCTGACTGAGCTGCATACTGACTGATTATGTTACAAAGGGAGTGATGACCACCCCCTCAGACCCTGCTGACTGAAAACAGCATGAACTGAAGGGGGGACTCGACCGCCATGCCTGGGTGTGGACCCTGCATCATGACTCTGACACTTTACAGGACAGTGAATCAGGCCACGTGTTGGTCCGTGGTCAATGCCACGACAAACTTAGCATCTTAAGTGTGACCGTGGCTGGAAGTCCCAGTGGGATGACGGAGGGGGCGGGTGGACTCAGGCCTCTTCCCTCTCCTTCATCACACACTGACACGGGTGTAGGGCATTGAGTCACTGAGAGCACCAACTGTAATCTCCTACTGCCTCTCATCCTGAGTCTGAAAGAGAAAGAGCAGCATCAGTGATGTACAGCATTAGAAAATCAATGCCTGTCATGACACCATTTTATGGACGGTCAAGGTCAGTTTGCAGGTTTAGGTTATAAAGGGGAGGGGGATTTCAATAAATGACAGAAGGGGTCTGATTTTAGCATCTTAATGTGTTTTAGAGAAACTTAGACGGTGAAAGATTTAAGAATATTCCATTTTACTTTGCTGTATAAGAGAGAATCACTCTTCACCCTGTTCTCGAATAACCCGAGCTCTACAGACGTGTTGTGATGTGAATAATCCAAGATTGTGTAAAGCTGGAATTGTGAAAAAATGCAAGTTACAGATTTTAGAATAATGGTTAAAGAGCTAGCTGTAGAGAAGATTGAAATCCCGCGACTCTTATTCTTTTGATATTAGCTTTTTCCACAGAGTAAGCCATTAACATTTGCATGCACAAAGCACTGCGGTTAAGTGAGCAGCATTAAATAAATGAAGTTGTTGTGTGCTGCACTAAACATTCAATTGATCCAGACTTTACCATGTAACAACTGTAGGTAGGTAGGTTGAATTTATTGTTCCTGTGAGGAAATTCATTTGCAGTAAGTTGAAAACATGCACAAAGAAAGCACACATACACAGTTCCATACACTGTTCCATATAAAACAAAACAAAACAACTCAGAAAAGACAAAAATACTAGTACCAAATACTGAACGCGTTGGGGTTTATTGCTGCAGACAGATGAAATACAAACACTGAGACTTAACTAACTACCTCTGATTACATCCAAGCATCATTTATAACCAACAAGGATTAAAAGTCATGGGAAAGATATGAATAACAAGTATGCCTCATTCAATAAGGTTTTTAAATTAAAACTTGCTGACAAACATTTTTAATTAAATGACTATCCTACACAGAGGCAGATCCAGGGGGTCAATCAGGGTGGCCAGGACCCCTCTTAAATTTAATTAGCTGTCCCTAAATCCTTGAATTCTGATACAGTTTACTCTCAGACTGTGTTCCAACAGACTGATGGTAATTTTCTTTGTCTCTTAGTCTAACGCACTTCATTTCATCAGTATTTTTTAATATTTACTTTGACAGGCCTATTCTTTTCGAGACCCTGGAGAATTAAGTTAAGAAGTTTGAATGCTGTATTACTGTTTATGATCCATTACATCTTTTAGAAAATTAAATGCGAGAACTTTAAATACTTATTGGTAGAGACAGAAAGTCAATCTATGACAATACACCAAAAAGATTAAATCACTCAAAATGTATTTATTTATGTTTAAATATGTACTTACTGTACATTAATGATTACATGACCAATACCAGTGAGGAAGTGTTATATGTATAGTAACAAATGCAACATAAAAGATACAACTAACATTGACATATAACAAACAAACATTCACAAGTAGTTGGCTTTTAAATTTAATTCCAAATAGTGAAATTTAAATGTCATTATTTTTGTCTCATTTTAATTAATCCCAGACTCCTGGCTATCCCCCACATCCATTGTCTTTACGATAACATATTTTCATGCTACATACTTTCCTACCTGTTATTGTAAAATCAACAATAACAAACTTAACAATGTCCAGAAATTAAATCTAAGAGGGTCCTTTAGTTTCACATTTCAATGTTGGAATACTAACCAAGCGGCCTTTTTATTTTATTTATTATCTATTACTAAAGGACTATTTATTAGGAACAGGCACAATTTGCTTTGAGAAAACTGACAAAAGCCACCCAATCCAAGTATTACAGTGTTTATTGCAGATGTTTATTTGTGATTTCTGTCCTTAGAAGGTTTTTGTGTGAATCCAAGATTTGTAACAGTGACATCAGTGTAACAATGTCCGGGTTATTTTGTCAGGTTTTTCCAAAGTATCTTGTGACTCAGAGAGTTTTTCTGTCAGCAGCCCTTCTCTGAATTTATCCAATAATTAGATTTTCTCCCAGCAGAAAATATCATTAAACTAATTGTTTCATGCTGCTTCTCTCTAATTACACACTTTCTTTATCAAGGGTTCATTCTGGAGAATCTCTCTTCATTGTGATTTCTCTGCCCCCCTCTCTCTCTCTCCCTCTTTCTAAAGGATTGACCTTCCTCCGACACACAAGCCGCCTCCTCCCCACTGCGGGAGAGCACCGGCTGTTCCTCTGGGTGTCCACGCATCACAAGTGGCCTGGCTCTGTCAGGTAACCCCCCTCCCCCTCTTTCATAACCACTTTGATATCACGTCAGTGCATTAAGCTGTATCTAAATCATTGTGTGCTTTTTACTCAACCACAAAGACTCATATAACAGGAAGAGGTTATATCTATATTGTAACTCACTGGCTGATGTCATTATATGTTTATTAAGCAGGAGCCCTTATGGCTCTCCTCATTTAATATGTAACAGAGTTTAAATTTTAATACATGTACTCAGCTCCAGCTTTCATAAGCCCTCACATTCACGTCTCACCCTGAAAGAGACCAAGAGGAAACATTTATTCTGTTTCTCCTCACACTGATGTGAAAGATCATTTGAAGAAGAAACTGTTCAGTGTTTTTCTAAGAGACCTGCTATAGAATGTGTATGATGTCCCGCTACTTTTGCTGATTTCCACCCTGCAGACTCACAGGGCGGAGCGCAGGCATGAGCTGACTGAAGGGCAGAATCCACCTGCTTCAAGGCCAGGACCCCCGACAGCAAAGAGACCACCCAGCAAGCAGCTGTCCCGCCTGGAGTGGGTGTGTCATCAGAGCGGGACAGACCAGGTGTACATCAACCATCGGGAACATTATGTGTGATAGACATCTTAAACACATAACTGTCTGATTAATATCTGGGTTACAGGCTTCACATGACTCACTGAGGCAGTAGTCAAGAGGCTGAAACAGCTGTGAGCCTCTGAGAGCAACCTCATCTTACTAGCAGCCTTCACACTTTTCCTTTGCATTTTTCTCTTTGTTTTCAAATGTTATAGCATCTCAAAAAATGTCCAACATTTTGGCTTATTTTTCTTTTGAACTGGTATTGATAATAACAAGATTTTGTCCATTTTTGTCCACTCATTAGCTTAGAACAGGGACTAAAAGCATTCACTCATACCAGCGACCTTTACAAGACTCCTAGGTGTCACTGATCAATCATTTGGATCATTTCAAAGATCATCTGGGTGTGGTAAATCCTGAATGATTTACACCTCTGTGGCTTCACATACACACACATAAAGCAAAAGCACATGGGACAGTCGTGAAGTTTGAGTCAGAATCAGAGGAGAAAGTAGCCGCTCGACCGGCTGAAAACTATTTAAGGTTTATTCACTGAGTGGTGAGTTACAAAATGCAGTCAACATATAAATGCATACAAATGTAACATTATCTAAGATGTACTTATTTTCCTCTAAGCTATAAATGCAGTGTTTGCTGCTGGCTTTGTGGAATAGGCTGGAGCTACAGAGCCAGCAGTGAGCATCACATTCATAGCTTAAAGAAAAAACAAGAGGAGGGGGCATTTGCTGTACTTAAATCCTCCTGTGGATTCACAACAACCCTCCACCCCCCCTCCTAAAAAATAAAAAATAAAATAAATAAACAAAATGGCCTAAATTTAACTCCTGCAACAAGGGTGGACAACCATGGTCAACACTTGATGTGGCCATTGCAACACAGCTTGCAGTTAGTAGATGAACAGGATCTGTTTGCAGTTTTTGTTGCAGAAACATTTGTTTGCAGTTTTTGAAGTTCATGAATATGTCGAATTCAAACCTAATACAATAAAAGCCTCCAAGCCTTAAATGACAAAATCTCAGTTTGGATCAATAAAAATTCAAGTACTTTTAAAAGCTTACTATTAATGGACAGAAGAGCATGAATTACAAAGTATTGAGGCTCACTGTGGATTTGTGTGGCCTTAATAAGTTCTGGTTGGTTGGTTGGTTTATCGACATTTGTCCTTTTTAACCATTGGTCGAAGCCTGGTGAGGTATTTCTCCCTGCATTTAGTCTCTGTGTTAAGATAAGCTAGCTGCTGCTACCTTAAAATTTACTACACACATACATACCAGGTGATGGTTTCATTTTCTGTCCATGGGCATAATGGTACATATACTCATAAGTTAAAATGTTGGACTGTCCCTTTAGTTTCCCTTTTTTTTTCAAACATGTTTCTATCTTAGTAATCAGTGTTTGACATAAGGCAGGATAAGCTTTTGAAGTCAGTGCCATCTTATTTACCACACTAAGGTCAACTGGGTAGATAAAGATTGAAACATATAGGGGTCAAAGTAAATATTCTTCATCTAAACACAATTTTCCTTTTTCCAACATGCAGAAATCAGAGGCTATTCTCAGACATATCGCTAGACCAAGCCACAGTAGATCCAAAACTGCTTAGGTCCACTGAGACCAAATGTACTAACTGCTACACAGACCATGAAGGGATTAATGAAGGTTTTTCTGTCCCAGTTCTGTAATTTACTGTTTTATCATAATGACAAAATGCTTCTTGGCAGCAGAAACTGTAGATTTGTAAATGTGTAAATGTAGCCTCTGTGTCAGTGTAATTATGTAGAGTTATAACCTATTAATCTTAGAAATGGCACAATTAGATGACAGTATTTTACATGCAGTTTATACTTTAGAGTGCACTTGTGTTGAGCAGATTTAGAGGGAGATGTTTGGGCCACTATTGCACTCCATGTTAATGTTGAAGAGTTTAATATTCCTGCGTGTGTTAAATAGATCATGTGAGATTTGTACTTTATAGATCTGGAGGACCAACGGTGCCATATTGACAATAGAAAGTCTTCTAGATTTTCATGAGCTGTTGTGTTGTTTGATTTATAAGCATGCATTTTATCGTATATTGTTATAAAAAGAAAAAGCACCATCATAAAGGCATTGTGGTATCAGTGAAAAAAACTCCTCATCTTTTTTCACTCTGTGTTGAGCTTGAAATAAAGGTGTTCAGTAACCTTGTAAAAGTTAACAGTGCAGGAGATAGGAGCTGAGTCACCACATGTGGAAACGAGAAAAAAGTCCTTGAAGATTTCAGAGAGTTTGAAATGACGCGCAGAGGCTTTTTGAAAGGACTTCATCTCAAGGTCACAGTAACATTGTATCTTGTGTGATGCTCACAACTGGGAGTTTTTATAACCACAAACCTTTTTTTGTAGACGATACAATGTTTTTGTTGGACAGGGCAAAGCTTATGTTGTACTGACACTAAGGTGATTGTCTGCACGTTTGTCTGGAGTCTATTATTCCTCTACATCAGTCAGAGATCAGTGTCTCTCCATCCCCTCATCAAGGGGCGTAGCTGACACTTTCTTTGAGTGACACCTAGTGGTCAAATATGTAATTGCAGCTCCTTGTGTGGAGGGTTGATCACTGCTACTTCAAGTATGGAAAGTAAACATGATCCTTGGCTGCACTCTGTTGATGAAAGGTTCACTGTGTTGATTGAAAGTTGGATTCAGTTGCAGAGGAACAGATATCTCCACTTTCTGAATAACATAGTTTGGGTATTAATAAAAACAAATGACAAAATATGACTTTCTTTTTTAAGATAACAAATATACAAAAGACTCAGATGATGCATTAAACTACATCCCGTATGAAACTTTACCAGCATTATTCATGTTGTCATATTTGTCTCTTAAAATGACTCTCCAACTGTTCAGGTGTTTCTCAAAACATGCTGGTCTGTGATGTTTTTTTAGCCTGAATTTGATGTAGATTTAAATTTCTTTAGTACTTGGTTTGACATGTCATATCAGACAAAATAAGAGCTCTATTGAAAAATGGCAGAGTTGGATTCATATTTATGGAACGAACATAAAACATGCTGATACAATGATACCAGTGGTAATGTATGACTGTATTTCTTTGACCTTGACCTGTCAAAACATTAGCAGCTTTTACACAAGTCTAGAAGAAGTCAACACACACACACAAAGTAAGTTACAGGTAATAAAGACAAGACAGGAGTTGATAAAGTATAATGCCATCTTATATTCACTTTTAGTAAATAACCTTTAATGTGGCAAGGCATAGGAACAGTAAACGATACAAAATTATAAATACCTACAGACAAATTTTAGTCTACATGAAAAGACAGAAGTTGACAACTTAAGAGAAGAAACAAACCTCAAAATCACACGCCTAAACTAAAGAATGGTTACATTTTAATTGCACCCTTTTTCAGCCGTAATAAGTGACAAAATCTTAACATAAAAAAATCTGAGATGTCGTTATAGCCACAGCAGTCGTGATTATATTGTGTTTACAGAAGTTTGTATGCACCACTGATTGATAAATGGCATTACTGCAGAAAGCTCGTGAATGAAAGAAATATATTTTCAAAGGTCAAGTTCACCAGAATTTAAAAAACAAAAAAAACAAAAAAAAACTCTCTCACACTTCCTGTAGAGGACAAATCCAACCTGAACTATCAGCAGACAAACAAAAAATCTAAAGAACCAGTGGTACATACACTATATCTGTGTGTGTGTGTGTGTGTGTGTGTGTGTGTGTGTGTGTGTGTGTGTGTGTGTGTGTGTGTGTGTGTGTGTGTTTTATAATTGGGATATAAAAATACTTTGTTGTTTTCCTCACATTCTTAAAGTTTCCTCAGCAGGAGCCTGAGGTTTACATAATGAACTCAGGCTGAATAATTTCATTTTATTAAGACATGTTAGTGTGAGTGCTGTATTTAAGTTATGAAACACTGATCACTACAGAGCACCATGTTCACCAATATTCATCCGACATGCGAACAGCAGCTAATCAGCTGCCGTAAAATGATCTATGTTCAATGTTTAATGGCTCAGGAGTCACAGTTTTATTACTCTGGATAAAGGAATAGTTCACCCAGAATCAGAGATTATTTCAATTATCCAAGTATGCTGATTAAGTTTAAGGACAGGGACATTTACACTAAACTAACTGTGTTTTTTGTGGACTGCACAAGACTAAAGAAAAGGTTTGAGTGAAACTGGATTTTCTTGATGCTGAGGGAGAGCTCTTGTTACTAAACTTCAATCTCATACATTTTCCTGTAAACAAGATGTCAGCTGCATTGCAAGATGTTAATATTTTTCTTGGTTTGATTTTAGGTAAGGGAGACATGAACTGAGCCCATATTGTGTCTGCTTATAGTTACTTTTCTAATGTCTGTAAATGGCCAGTATCATTTTATATTTAGTGTAAAATCTGCAGGTTGTTATTCTATCTACTGAATTGTCCTCTGCAGACAGACTATGGGGGAGCAAGTTCACACATTTCTGCAACTGAGACAGGAAGCTTCTTCTTGAAATAGTTATGAGCCTTTACCTTTAAGTTATGTAAGATTTAAGACTCAGAATAACAATGGCAACACAAAGGCTTGAAGGCAAACATGACAATAATATGGTGGCATTTTTGTTCTCTTGGCAAAAGCTTTTTAAAAGGCAACCAAACAAATACCAATGAGATGATCTCAATTAAATTAACTTGAAAATGAATAGATCCCATGGTTTTTCCTGCTTGTGATTAGGATCTCAAGGTAAAGAAACACTGTAGATAAACCTTTCTCCCCAAAGCGCTACACAATATTTTAGCATTACATTTAGCATGTCGGCTCCTGGTTCTGAATCTACAGTCCAAGGCTTGACTTTTCCAATTAACACTTGCCTTTTTTTCCAAGACAGAAGATAAATGTTTTCAACGATAATGTTTTAAATCTCGGTGTAAAGAATGGGTTTAGCTTGTAGCAGTAGATAAGCAGTGTTGTAGCAGCTAGCTTTTTAGCTGCAGAGGAGCTACTGATTGGTTTACTGGAGTGATCTGAATGAGTCTCTGGTTAGCAAAAGAAAAATAGAAACAAATTAGTGAGCATGACCAAACATGAATGGTTCGGCTCGGTGATGGCAAATTGCAACTGCTAGCTAACAAGTTTTCCCAGAAACTTATCGTTGCTCATGACAGCTAAAAGAGACATTTTCAGTTGTTATGAGCAAGGCTTGACTAGCAATTTAACTCTGAAAACAATATATGTTGTCTCTTGTATAAAGATTTTAAAAATGTATTTTTGAACCATGATATATTGTATTTTATATCGCTAACAATTACAATTCAGTTCAAGCAACTTCAGGAAAGCTATGTTAGCGCTCACTTGTTTTTTGCTGCAGTATTTCAAAACTTTTATCACTCCCCTAAAAGCAGTAGGAAGTCACTGTTTGTACCGTTTTAAATCCAAGTTGCACGGAAAGCAGGCAGAGATGCTCTTGTTATTTGTCATAAAGGACTTGCCATACTTGTAAAGAGTTGCTGCCTTAAAAGCTTTTGCTAATACTCTGGCTATTATAGCAACATAACAAGTGCAAAGCCATTACTGATAATTAACTGCAGATGATGTTCATGTCAGTTTCATTCTATCCAGCTAACAATGTATGCTGCTAAATAATGAAAGCAATAAAGTGATCCAACTTGGTATGAATAATTTTGCAGCTGAACAGGAACACAATGCTCACCGGTTATTTAAAAATAGACCTGTTATTAAGAAAAAACTGTAATATTCTGTACTGTGCCTTCCTGGAGTACATAACTGTGTGAACTGATTATATTAAGCACAGCCCACAGAAAGCATCTCAGTAAATAAAATTCTTCTCTTCGTACACTCTCTCTCTCTCCCTCGCCTGGAGTGAATGGCAGCTTTGTTTCAGCTGTCAGGAACAATTAAACCGTGCTCCTGTTAACAAACATTATGGTGGAGAAATGAAGATGGGCATCCCCTCAACCGACCCCACAGAGGATGAAACATTCCCACATTTTTCAAATGCCTGGATGCTTTAAAGGTGCAACCAGCAAGTTATTTGGTCTTGGCTTTCTGTTTGGCTGCAGGTGCAGCAGCTTGTGCAGCAGAAGCTGCTAGCCCAGGTTTGGCAGCAGGTTCAGGGGCAGGAGAAGGTCTTACTGACTCAATCAGACCCAAGACCCTGCATCAAATTAGTCATAATGTAGAAAGACAAAAAGAAAGCATTATTATTGGTAAATGTGTTGCAAACGAGACGTTAAGAGCACCTGTATTCAATGTTATATAAAGAGCAGATTACTCACATGGTTTTGATTCTTTTTCCAAAGTTTTTAACAGCTCTCACCATCCTCCTTATCCGCAGCTGTGACAAAAAAGACACAAGGTTAGCTTTTTCAAAGGAGCTCTACAATTTGTTGGTTTCACACAGAAAAGAGTTTTTGAATTTTGAAACTCCCTGCAGAAGGTAAAAACACAAACTACAATCAATATTGATGCCTCTTTATAATCAACAAAAAATCGAGACCATCAGTGACAATGTTTATGATTTCTTAGACTTGAAATGTCTTCACTGCACACTACCATAACAGTCAATTTCACCACTTTTATGTCAAATATTTACCATAATTAATACCTATAAGTGTTAAAACAAGGCTGCTGTGATTTCTTTTTGTTTCAAACAATATATGCAAGGAAAAAAACAACAACAGCAAAGGTAGTGGTACGGTCACAGGAGGTGCTTTTCCACAGGGGGCACTAAAGTCACAGAGAAGAGCCACAGAACATGATTTGTTTTTACACACATGTGTGATATCTATCTTTTTTCTGCTTGAGTAGTATTGCTGTTATCAAAAAGTTGAGTCAAATTAAAAATAAAATCTCTTACCTTTTGCTTTTTGTATAACAGAGGAATGGAGAAAAGTGCAATCACAGCTGTTGACAAAGACAAGAAGGAAACAGTTTATTTGATTTAGAAGCATCAGTCTATGGGGTTAAATCTTTCAATTAAATACATGTTTGATTTTCAACAAAAGAGCAACATGAGTGAGTGAACGGACACTGACAGAGGAAGCCAAGTTACATGGTTGGATTCGGACAGTAGTGGCTTTAAAATGAAGTCTAAAGTCACAAACTTTTATCAGTATTGTAGCAGGACATGAGACTAAATTTCTCTGTTAGAGACGTCAGACTGAGAAAACAGAGGATTTCTTTAAAACAGAACTTACCAGTTATCACCAGAGTCAGCCCATTGGTCAAGACACCCACATAAGTCAGCAGATACAGGAGTATAACAAACTAAAAGAAAGAGCACATGCAGTAAGTTTACAAAGTCTCTCTCATCAATTCTTGATTGCATTATAAATGAACATCCACACCATGCAGCTTCTGGCTGATCTCAGGGTTTGTTTTTAAGAATCAACTGGAAACTATAAATACCAAAACGGTGATGGTAGTATGAAGCTGCTAAAACAGCTGATATTCATATTCTGTTGTATCTGCCATCATTTCATTATAACAATCAGACCTTAATTGAGTCGATCATGTTCTCGATGAAAAGTAGACGTTTGATTTCTGTGATGGCGAATGCAATTAGCAGCACCACCTCCTCCACCAGCATCACTGTGTCCTTATCCGTCAAAGAGCTGTCATTTTCCAGGTACGACCTGCAGACAGAGACACACGTACAGTACAGGCCCTGAGCATAACCAAAGAACTTCTCACATCTGTCAGTGGCACCTGTTTATTTGAAAAAACAACAGTCATGATTTCTGATTTTTACTGTTGGCAGACTCACTCAAAGGGATGGACCCCGGGGTTCCAACGCAGCAGCTCCAGCAGTTTATAATAGAGGCGGAGAGGGAAGGTGATACACATGGCACCCAGACAGATGTGTGAGAGCACGGTGATGACACTGAGCTGGAACACACTAGCCAGACTGATCACCAGCCCCGTGAACACCACACCGGTCCTCCTCACATGCCGCCAATAAACCAGCTCCACAACTAAACGTGAAGATACACAAAGAGAAACTGAAGGTCTGATCGACAAAAGGAAAATATTCAGCTTGGATTTTCTCTAAACCAGCCTTTCACTCTTCAGTTGATGGTTATTCTTGGGATTAGTGTCCTCAGGAGTTTTTATTCTGCAGCATCTACTCAGAGATCTTTCTATGCTCTTTGTTGTGTTGTCCTTCTAGCATCACTTCATAAGAACTGCTGGCAGTAACACTAAGACAAACATTAGTCATCCTGATGGCTGTATATGAATAACAATCAAACATTTTAATTTCACAGTTGTTGAAGATGAGAGAAGTAAAACACAGCATGACAAAGAGGCCTTGCAGATAATTTAGAGATATAAATAAATAAAACAATGAAACATTTCCTAACCACAACAGTGTTAGCATACAGCTTTACTTGCCTGAAATTTAAATGCAGGGCATCCTAGGCTGTCTTTTTTTTATTCAGTCCCTTTCCTTACCATAGATGAGGACATTTAAAGTCAAAGATGTCTGAATTTATGAACTGCTTTTAATAATGCACATTTCTGAATGAATAATAAATGAAGGAATAATTATACGATGAGTCACAGTATGATATTCCATATTCGACCACTTCAGCGTGAAAGGAGCCTCTTTGCTCCTACTGATGATGATCATCATCTGATTAACAAACATTCAATAATCTCACACATGAACACGGACAAACAATTGCATGCATTAGTCATCCACAGACACAGTTGAAGCAGCTTTTATAAAGGTCTTATTCAATTGTAAACTTGAGCAGGTCTCTGGTTGGGTAAACAAGAGCCACTCATACTTATGCTGCTGCACCTATGAAGTCATTTTCCCAGCACGGTATAACCTTCACTTAACTCTGATTCTTATCCTTATAGCAAGTGCAAAATGCAATTAATAACTCTGCATCGATCTTTTCTTACTGGACGATTTGGACTGTTTAGAATGAACTAAACAACATTCAATCAGCGTGGGGGTCTCATTTAGCTGGATCCAAGTCTGTCTGTCTGTCCACAGAATGAAAGACATGCTCACCACTCATTCAGTCTACATTTACACCTGCTTCACAGAGAGGAGGAAGTAAATCCTCAGCTGCTCTCTGACCGGCTCTCTGTCAGCTCTTATTCTGCTTACTGAAAGCTGTGTGTGTTTGTTTTCTTACGTTTGTTGGCCATTTCGGCTGCGCTTCAGCTCCCTTTCCTCTATTCCTTTACTTCCACCGTCGGCTCCCACTCCAGGCTTTTTTTGGCCTCCCAGCTCAGTCAGCAATATAAGGCCTGGCTGGCCTAATTTTATCCTGTATTGGATATCCCCTGTGCGAACACACACACACATGCACACACACAAATACAGACACACTCACAGTCAAACGGGGAACTTGAGACATCAGCATGTACATGTCCCTCAGCTTTTGGAGGCTCTCTGGGTTCTCCAGCCTGTTGGTGGCTGACCTGTACCCTCAGGCCTCACATGCAGACAACCCAGTGAAGGAAACACAATTTATGTCAAATTTACCGCAATCAGGATTCATAAAGAGGAAGACACCCAACATCTGAGCTCTGCTCCCCCTTAAACTGGATGCTGCAGCATTCCTGTCAAACCATTAAGTTGTAATTAGCTAATGTTATAAGCTAAATGGTACCCCCCCCCCCCCCAAAAAAAAAAAAAAAAAAAGCTGCATAATAAATAATGTCTTTGTGACAAGTTTAAAATCGCATTTCTGCCTTTTTCAAACAAATAAATTGCTAAAACATGGTACAAGCTCATGCAAAAGTTTCAAACACAGAAATAATTAGCAGTGATGCCAGTTTGATGTCTGGACTTAATAATCTGATTTACAGATAATCTGATATTTACTTGCTGTACTGTATAAAGACGAGAACCCCTTTTAAGGACAGTTAAAGACAGTGGGATGAATTTTTTGTCAGGGAACAACTTATGTGTGTACAGGACAGTTCACAGAAGAGATATAGGATGAATTTTGTAAATAGGGGGCGCCAAAAACAACATGCTCTGTGCATCAGGTTTTCTATAGGCCTGCAGTCATCACTTTCCTTATAAAGTTTCCCATAACTTTATTCTTGGTTTCTGCCATCATATCAAAGTCATCACTTTTTTATTTCAGCAACAGGTCCACGGTCATCACTTTTTACATGATTTTTGACATCAGGTCAGTGGTCATTAGGTTTTTTGTGGTTTTAACATTGGGAAACAATTTGCCTCATTTGCAACTTTGGTATCATTCTACTTGATGCCTATCTCTATAACGCATTATAAATGTATGTATAATGTGTTATAATCATGTCATAGCACTGTATAACTACAGTTATAAAAACTCATAGATGATCATAATGCTTTATGGCAATATTCATAACACATTATAAAGCATTTTATCATGACTTACAAGGTCAGGTATTATAATGTGTTATAACTGTTATAAGTGTTTATAACTATAGTTATACAGTGCTATAACATGATTATAACACATTATAAATATATTTATAATGTGTTATATAGATAGGCATCAAATAAAGTGTTACCGCAACTTTTTGATTTTTATTGTCAAATCAGTTGTTGTCATTTTTTTCTTTTTGACTGCAAGACTAAGGTCTGCAGTCATCAATCATATCTTTTTTTTAATTATCATTATTTTTATGTGAGAAAAATCACTTCTTACATGATTTTTGCCATTGGGTCTGTGGTCATCTCCCTCCTCATGACTTTCACAAAAGTTCTTTACTGCAACCTAAAGTACCAAAATAAAATACCTGACACTGTTTTATCTATGCTGAAACTGATAACAGCCATAACAGAAGTTAAACAAAACATCTGAAAGAGTTTCGAAAAAAATGTGTTCAGTCCACAGCTCGCTAGATTTCCATTAAGTAAAGAAAAAGAAATTTATGAAACAATTAAGAAAATACACAAAACAGGAACAGGATTTTTCTTGTCAAATAGTCAAATAGAACAACAACCTCTACAAGCAAAATATTTGATCACTGCACAGACATTGACATTACCGATCAATATTATCATTGCTTCCTAGAATCAGTTTCAAGTTCTCGTATGATAAATTGATAAACTGGTCATGTTGCAAAAAGTTTAACTGAGTTCAATCCTGTCAATAAGCCAATCTTTAAAGCTACTCTTTAAAAAGTCCTTCGAAAGTGAGAACAATGATGAGGAAGAAGATTGTAAGAACGATAAATTTATCATGTTATAACGTGATACTCTATGTTACAGAGTGGCAGCATTACACCTCTAAAAAATATGACTCACAACCTTGTAAGTTATACATCTCTGATTTTAAAACTTTATCTGTTTGAGGGTTTAATCAAAAGTGACGTAATAAGATAATTTTCCTTTTATCTGATCATTTATATCATGAGACTAAAAAATCATCTGATGACTATAGATGAGTTATAACTTATGAAATAAAAGTCCCCTCACCAGCTACAAGTAAAAAGAAATTTAATTAGTTTGAAACACAGTGTAAACCACATTGAACAGATGCCTTCAGCCCCTACAGGAAGTTTCTCTTTGCAATCTCCTGAACTCATTTTTTTAGAAGTATTTTCTCTGAGAGAACCTTAAAGGGCAAGATAGCAGGAGACAATGTAATTTTTTGTTGGAAAACTAAAGCAACACAATGTAAACTGAACAAACTGGTGAAAAAGGCTGGCTCTCTGGTTGGATTCAAGTTGGACTCATTGGAGGATGTGGTGGAGAGATCTACACTGAGGCGGGTGGAGTCTAGTCTATTCTAAAGAACATGGATCACCCACTTTATAACAACTTTATGGACCAAAGGGCCTCTTCACTACAGGACAGAAAGATTCATAAGATGTTTGTATCCACAGCCATCAGACTTTACAACTCTTCTGTAAATAGTTGATGACTTTTTGAGATGAATGAGACGATAGACACTTGAATTTGCCTTCGGAGGTCAATAAAGTTATTCTTATTCTTATTATTCTTATTCTTAATATAATCTAAAATAAAGCTATCACATTTAATGAATGCACTGTGTTTGAATGTAGCTCTATCAAGTTCAAGAAATGCTTTAGTAATATTCAAATTCCTTAAACGCTCAAAACACACTGGCTCTGATGTAATTTTTGTTTGTTTGTTTTTTGTGAGGTGCACTCTATTTGAAAGATAAAGGCTGCTGTCTGTTTGCTGTCTTCATGCTCATGTGTAAAATAGAACTATCAGTTTAAAGAGATCATCTGTGTGAATAGTGAAATAGGCTTTCCCTCCTCTGTGTTTATTCTTTAACACAATCAGCCAAACACTGCGTGTGAAATTGCCGACAGTCCTGTAATCCACAGCAGTGGCAGCCCATAATCCTGACTGATCAAAGGTTGAGATTACCAAAGAAGTGGGAGGGACAGAGCTGCAGATAGGCGGACAGTGAAGGATGGTGAGCTCAGCCATGACAGTGGCAATGCAACCCAGGCAGGGATTGGTGCACACAAATAGCCGGCCAATCAGAGAGCAGGCAGGGGGAAAACAACAAGGCAAGGAGTGAGATGGTGAAAGAGGGACTAGCGATGAAAAAGCGAGGGAGAAGGTGAAATCACAGCAGCACAGAGGAGAGACCAAACAAAGAGGAGAGCAAGGATGAGTGGAGGAGAGAGTGCTGAGCTGTGAGGTCTCCAGAGAGGAAGAGGAGATGAGCTGAGAGAGGAGGGAGAGCAGCCAGCACTGAGAACATCCATCAGCTCAGGCAGACATGCTCTGAGCCCTGGAGCAGCAGGGCTACGCAGACACGGCTCAGGCCCACCATCAGGCCTACCTCAGCCCTCCATCCCAGCCATAACCACCAGGGCAGGGACAGAAGATTCTCCCAACAGCAGCTGTGCACGAGAGCAATGAAGACAGCCAGGAAGGGCAGTGTGGAGATGCCTGCATTCATGCGGCAGCTGGTGAAAGAGACAGAGAAGAGGGTCAGCTCTTTCTTCAAAGGGGGACGTGGTGGAGCAGCAGAGGGGGAACATCCAGGGGACGGGGAGAAGGAGGAGGTCATCCCCAGCCCCTACCTGGACCGGCCTGTCCTGGACAAGTTAGCAGAGGAGGGCTGTGCTCGATGGGGCCTTACCTACGCCCTGGGGAGCATGCAAGGCTGGAGGGCCAACATGGAGGACTTCCACAACTGTGTGCCTCAGCTGGGAGGAGAGTTGGCTGACTCGAGCTTCTTCGCTGTCTTTGACGGTCATGCAGGCAGCACGGTGGCACAGTTCTGCTCCCAGCACCTTCTGGGCCACATCCTGGCCACAGGTGAAAGAGATGCAAATATAAATCCTGCATATGTATAAGATATTAAAGATCTGTAGAAATTGCATGTTGTTTGAGAGAATACAACTAAGTGAGAACTTTGATTGTGTCAGGTTTATCATATTTGGTCTTGTGACGGATCCTTTTGGATAGTTTTCTGCACAATGGTGTTTTTTTATGTGTAGCTCAACGCCAAAAGTGTTGCATCACTTGTGTTTGTGCCCACAGGTGGATTGTGCTCAGAGGATGACCCTGAAAGGGTGAAAGCGGCCATCATTGAGGGCTTCCTGCAAACAGACAAGCACCTACTCTCCGTGGCACGTCGAGAAGGCTGGGAGAGAGGGGGCACCACCGTGGTGGCCACTCTCATCTCACCATATTACATCTACTTTGCCAACTGTGGGGACTCGAGGGCCATGCTGTGCCGGTCCGGCCAGGTTTGCTTTTCCACTGAGGACCACAAACCTTATAGCCCTCTGGAGAAGGAGCGAATAGAGAGTGCGGGCGGCTCTGTGACTCTCCAGAGGATCAATGGCTCCCTGGCTGTGTCCCGGGCTCTGGGGGACTTCAGCTACAAGGGGGCCGAAAACCGAACGCCATGCCAGCAGATGGTGTCACCAGAGCCTGAGGTGTGTGTGGTGGAGCGCTCACCAGCTGATGAGTTCCTAGTGCTGGCCTGCGATGGGGTGTGGGACATCATCAGCAATGAGGAGCTGTGCGCCTTCATCCACAACAGGCTTCGTGTGTGCACTGACCTGAGGGATGTCTGTACTCAAGTCATAGACCTCTGTCTCTATAAGGTCAGAACCTCTATCTCAAACTTAGTGACCATGTGACATTAATATTTTGTGCTTTGTAAGTTATTCAGCACTCTATGAACTCCTGCACATTGGCTCATTTAAATGGCAAATCCTCTGGTTGATTATAAACACAAAACATAATTTCACAGTTAATCTGTGTTACATAATTTTTTAATGAGATGGGGATTTCATGACACATTTAAAAGGATTAACATAATCCTTTAAACTATGAATGTGTTGACTTGATTTGGCTTGATATGAACGCAGATAGTATCGTTCCACTTTTTAAGGAAAGAGCTTTCCTTCATGACAATATCTCATGTTATTTCTGTTTGATTTAAAGGTAATAATCAGGATCATCCCTCAAAATCTGACCTTTACTCAGGCTTTAAAAAATAACTCCAGTAACACCTTGCCTTAAGTCTCAGTTTTCTGTCTAACATGTTTGATAAAACTGTCTTGACACAGGAAAAGAGTTCACAAGGTCACTGTCTAAACCAACAGAGGGGTTCCTCAGGGAACTGTGCTGGATCCTCTCATTTTCATTTGCAGAAAATGTATCTTTGGACCCACTGCTCTAGTTATTTCTATTTAAATATTGGTTTAACCAACTTGTTTATACAGACACAAGTTTGCAGTCTGCTTGGAGTTTCTTGTGATATGTGGTTGATATTGATAAGGAAGAACATTTATGATCGTTTCTTCATGGAACTGCAATTAGACCGAGATGCTAAGGTAGAAGAACTACCGCGTCTGCTGTGCAAAATAATTAATATGATGATTATTACTAAAAGGAAATGATAAAGTAGGGGATCATAAATGTTCTTCCTTGAGCTGCGTCACCCCACAGCAGTCCGTAATTGACTGGCCTGAGGTCTCGCTACAAACAAGCGGCTGCTGGAAGAGAGTAAGTGAGTTGTGTTCAGTCTCTTTGTTAAAGAAATTAGGCAAAGTTAAAAAGATGTTTGGTGGCTAGTACTATGGCTGGGACCCTATATGTACTGTTGATGAAGTTAGGTGCTGTTCAGAGCATTATTTGTGGCTATAGAGTGGCTTTTTGGTTGAGGTTTGTTTATGGCTCCTCAGACCGCTGTGTATTGCTATCCTGCGGTCGTTACTAAAGTTGGTATAACTAGAGAAGTAAGTGGTCGGCAACATTCATCTCTCGACAGGGTGTTGAACTCGGTGTTATGGTGTGTTTGACCCTAAATTAATTTTACGCCGGAATATCCCTTTAAGAAGCTTTAAGCTCCTCCAATTACATCAATTTTGATGCCCCCTGTTGATGAAATGGTCCTTACAGATCTTACTGTACATGTAAGTGCCATAAGGATAAAGCTTTTTTTCATACACCAGAAAATCTCATCCTGCTTTCCTTTAACGGTTGATAAATGTATCACCCATAAAGAATATTTGTGATGTGAAATGTAAAACAAAAGCTGTTTAGTCCATCACTTTTCTGATACTCATCAAGCATAGCAGTCTTAGTATGCCCTCTTTTTTAATAGAAGTCATGTGATCTGATTTTAGTAAATGATTTTGACTGCAGCGGCATTAAACATGTCTCTGCTGGCAGAGGATGATATTGAAAGGGCAACCAGAAAATAGCTCCTTAAGCTTTAAAAACAAAGATTTAGACTTGAATAATCAGCTGTGACTTCTGCTAAAGGCTTGTCTCAGCCTCATTTAGACCATAGCTTCTGCTCATGATACAATAGTGTGACAGACCACCTTAAAATAGACAGCAGAGGTGTCAGAACAGGTTATATGGGATTATTCTGGGTTCTCACAAGGACTCATTTCAGCCACTCTCACTCCGACAGAGTCGCACGTAAAAGGTCGATATTCAAGAACGAAAAATTGCTCATTGCTCTGTTTTTAAAGGGTACAAAGAAACAATGCCAGACAAGTGATCAAGAAAAGGTTTACCAATACAGACAGTTCTCCTTATATCATAGCTGATAGCATTGGAAGTAGCAGAGGGAGTTTTTCTAAAAGACTGTGCTCTGTGCAGTGAATTATTTGTAGGAAAAGCTTGTCAAGAAGACCCAAGCTTTTGTCCTTTCTGTTGTTACTCAAGTTACTAAGTGCATCAAGTGATATTATGTAAACATTTTATAAAACAATTATGATAAACAGCACCCAAAAAGAGAGAGACAAGAAAAGAGGCAAAAATGTTTTATTTATGTTTTTTTTTTAGTCACATAAGAGCACACCAGGATAAACACTGGCCACGCGTGCACACTCGGCTCTGTTTGGCTATCATGTCCATCATGTCAGTGTTACGTAACCATGCTTCAGCCTGGATACGCACAATGACCTCAAAATGTCACAGCTTCTTCCACACTCCACTTACTTCTTCTTGCTCTGCTGCATCTGTGTGACAGCGATGTGCAAACCCTGAGGTGGAAATGATCTGTCCCTAAATCTGCTTGCCCTGGATGAAATAGTGCTTGGTTTGTTGACATTTGTAAGGTCAGCCACCATTACTCACCTTTGCTGACGCTGCTTGGCCCCACAGGGCAGCCTGGACAACATCAGCATCATCCTGCTGTGCTTCCCTGGAGCCCCCCAGCTGTCAGCAGAGGCGTTACACCAGGAGGCTGAGCTGGAGGACCTGCTGGAGGCCAAAGTAGCAGGTTAGTTGGTATCGATGACACAAGAGGGAGCAGCCTGTCTGCTTGGAGATGCTGCTTTTGTCAAAGTTTGATGTAAAATCCTGACACTCCTGTTTTTAAGGCCGATGTGTTAAGAGTTGACTCTCATGATGGGGACTGCATTATTTCTAAAAACTTTCTTTGAAATATTCAACAATTTGAGTTATTCAAATATAGGACATAGTGTTAAACATTTTTCCCCATTTTCAATATATTCCACTACAAAAACCAAAGTCATCCTTTACCAACCAAAATAATCACAGCTTTAATGGAAAACCAAATGTTTGGTGGAGTTCAGTGCCACAACTTTTTGCATTAGTGGAAACTTTTATTTATTAATAAACATATTGGACCTGTAGTTTATCCTGAGTGAGGAAAATTACTTACACAATAATATGTCCATGTTGTAAATATTTGCTAGAATACCAAATTTGTATTGATTCACAAAAAAATGAATAAAATAATTCTTTAAAAAATATCATAGCTAATTTGGCCTTGATTGAATTACTTCTGCCGAATACCAAGCACCTTACTTCTGTAGCAGATTAGTTTATGTTGGTTAAAATTAAGCCATGTTTTTGTATGACCCTTCTTGGAGGATTTAATTCTTCAGCTAGAACCAGTAGACTTGGAGGAGTTATTGAGAGAAGGCTAAACACATAATTGGTTTTAGACTTACTCAGGCTTGGCCACGTCATTAAATTTACTGAATAACTAAATACATATTCTCCAAGCTGCTTTAAAACTTGAAATAATTCCCAGAAACTTTTCAGATGTGACTTTACATTTGTTTTAATGTCCAACAGAGATTTATGAAGAGCTTTGCGCCAGAGGAGAGGAACCAGACCTGCTATCAGTCCTGACAGTCCTTGCAACCACGGTCATCCCCGGATTACCACCAGGGGGAGGCATACAGAGCAAGTAAGAGACACCGAATGAATGTTTATGGTCCTGTTCCATGATGTGTTTGTGTGTGTGTATTGTACTGAAACTGACAGCATGTTAATTTCCTTTATTACAGAAGAAACTGCATCATTTCTGCTTACTATCAACAAAGAGAGACACACAAGCCCACACTACCAAATGTAAGTGAAACTGCACATTAAACTCATTCTAGCCATGAAATGATCCATTATTGTCTTGACAGTTTATTCACTTTCATTTCCTCTTAAACATGTCTGTCCAGGGCCTGGGAGGATCCTGAGTCTGCCATCTTGGATTTTGTTCTCAGACTGTAATTAATATCAATATCAAAACCGTTTCCCCTATGTGTGCAATTTAACAAAAGGGAGGTAATTAACAGACAGGGGTGTTTGTTTACATCATGCCAGCAAACAGCATCTTGTCGTAATAAATGCAATGCAAAAATGGATCCAATGAGAGCCTGTTAACATTTTATATTTCTACAAAAAGGGACATTTTGTAAAACTTACTCAGAGACAATGATCCAGCAACAAACCTCTGCCTCATACCCAGTGAACAGATGATACAGGTGATCACTTCTGATGAAAGTCTGTTGTAATGAACAACAAACAACTGTGAAACTGTACATTTTGTTAGATATAGAAGGTATATCAGTGAATATAGTGTTATATTTTAATGATGATGTTATAAGAGTACATATATAACTATAGATTATAAGGATACTTTGGTGATTTTGATGATGAAATGCTGCTTTTACAGGAAAGAAAAGTGATTGGATTTAAACAGCACCAGTGCTAGCTACAAGCTAGCATGTAGCTAATACATTTCCATTTGGTTTAAACAGGGGATGCTAACAGGGTTGAGCTAGTCAGATAAAGGGAATGCACAAATATTTCTTTTTCCCTTAGTGTTAAAAGTGATAAGCAAATAAGCACTGTTTGAATATTGACTTCTTAGTAAATCTTAACTCATACACACACTCAGTCAAGAAAAAATACATTTCACCCAAAAACACTTTTTTTTTAAAGAAAAGTTTACTTTAAGGATTGCTTGTTCAAGTAGAGCGTTTAGTATAAGATCCACATGTTTGGAGTAATGCTTGGAAATTAGATTAGCCTATTTGTCAGAGTAATTCTATAGAGTATTTATAAAGGGACTTAATAGCATGTTTCAGGTTTTATTGTGACCAAAAGCTGAACTCTGTGTAACCAAAATTGGCCAAAATCTCCATAGACTGACCAATAAAATACAAGTCAAGTTCGTCATGTATACATTTTTAGTTCTGTTATCACCGTATTTCACCGTGCATTCTTCAATACAGCATAACCTTTGTGAAATGTGTTTTTTCTATAAGTTGGATGGTGTACTGTGATGCCTTATTCATGTTGTACAATGTTGATGAAGCAAAGCGCACCAGAGCATCAGGTCAATTTCAGAATCTGCATTGTTTCATTGTTTGAGTGAGTAATTTCCAATGTGTAGACATTACGAGTTAAGTCATGAATGTTTCAAACCTCAATAAAGAATATCTGACTCAGGACTTGTACTATTTTTACCCTTATAAAACACGAAGAAGACCTGTTCTTTCCTCTCTATTATTGTGATTGCGAGAGTGAGAAAATTCATTGAACATTATCACCAGAGGAAAGAGGATAAGTCTGTCTCTGGACCTTTTACCGATGAATCATTTCTCCTCACAATCACCATCATCCCCCATGGATAAAAGCACAGATGATAAGTAGGGATTAAAATGGGCTTTCTTGCATAGTAAAGAATCTCCTCCAGCTGGCCGAGGAGAGCCTGAATATTGCTCTCTGCTCTGTTGATGTGACCCAGCGACTATCCGCGCACCACTTGTTGACATAAGGACGTCCTCTGCAGGGCCTGTTTGATTGGATGTGCTCTTTGAAGACCCTGGATCTCAGTGCACTTCCATGATTACTATGAATTTCAATGATGTGCTTTGATGAAACAAGATGGGCAACTTGTGAGCAATCAACTAATTAAACATCTCTTTCTCAGTGCTTGTGGGTCCCCTAAAAGCTCTGTTGACTACAAAGTGTGTCTCTGATGGTTTATATATGCAGCTAGTCAGCTAAAAGGAGGCTGTAGATATCGTGTTCGGACCTGCATGTTCTCTAATTTTGACTACCGCTGCACATCAAACTGTATTTATTGAGGAGCTCAGAGGAAGTGTGCAGCTCTCTCAAATCAGCAGTCCTCTTCGAGAGCTTCTTCACTGCTGCTTCTGTCTGATTGCTTTTGTATGAGCCAATCACTTCAGGACATCAGACCCCTCTTCACAGCAATGTTGAATTCTTCAAACTGTGTTCATCTTCTGGCTCTCTTTTTCTAAACAGAATAAGGAGTAATCACTTATTTGATGCCCTGAATCCATGGTTGGGGTCCGCTATTATGTGCATAGACTTCCACTGAAAGAGAGGCTAATTGGAGGAAAATGGACTCGATTTTCAGAGTTCGGTTTGGGCAGAGTAAGAGGAGATTATTGACTTCAGATCATCCAAAATAGGAACCCCAAAGCGATGTACACAAGTAAAACATCGGTTTAGTGCTACCTATCCACACTGGTTTCCTGTAGGCGATTATTCATAATGGCCAAAGCCCCCACCCCACCAGAGAATCCATTTTGATGTCCGTAGCTTTGCCGGGGACCCTGATGAGCAGTTTCACTTAACTGCTTCTGCAGCAGAGCCAGAGACACTTTATTGGACACCATGAACTCATTGACAGAGATCATTTCTCCTGACAGGCGGCGGCCCACATGAACCCCATCATTCACCGCCTCTGTCTCACTGTCACACACTGTCTCCACAGAGCCTTCTGTGTAGCGATGTCTCCCTGGGGGACAGTGAGAAGAGATGGGCTGCACGGTGTTACGTTTCAAGCGTTTTTGTCTGAGGTGTGCCGGCAGTCGTCTCTGGTTGTGTTTCTTCTTGTGGAGGCAGGGACAGCAGAGTCTCAAGCAGCCCTGTGCAGAGCAGGAGCAGGATTTGTGTCGCCTGGAGCAGACCAACTTGCTCACAATCCAGTTAAGAGTTTGCTTTATGATGATAGAAATGACATTGAAAAGTGAGTAGATGCAGCACACCCCCATCAAGATGAAAAGGCAGTTCCCAAGTCGATACGCCTCCTGGGACTCATAGTGTTGTCTCTGACTGCTCACTAAGTCTCCAAAGCCGATGGTGCTGAAGGCCACAAAACAAAAGTAGAGTGAGTCAACGTAGCTCCAGTTCTCCATGGAGCTGTAGAGGGTGGAAGCACTGCACGCAATCACAATCGATGCCACGCCGAGGATCAGCATCACATAGTAGACCGACGGCTTCCAGCCTTCAAGACTGTCCTCCTCACCGGAGGATTCCTCCCTGCTCGACACCATCCCAACTCCCGCACACCTCAGCCGGCGCTCGTGACACCAGCGCATGATATAAGCCAGCATGGTGATGATCCTCTCGAGGAAGAGATTGAAGAAGAGGATAGTGGCAGCGCAGCCGATGAGACCGTAAAAGATTAGGAATATTTTACCAGCTATAGTTGCAGGAGTTGTCATGCCAAAGCCTGGATGAGAGGAAGTAAAAAGTCAATGAAGTAACCTGCAGTTTGAAAAACTTCTTGAACTTTGATCTTAAAAAACAGAAAAGCTCCCAGACTCACCAATAGTGGAGACCACTGTGCCAACGAAGTAGAAAGCTCCAGAAAAGTCCCAACGGGGCCTGAGTGTGTCCACTCTGATCCCAGCTCCATTCGCTTCCTCATACTGCCGCAGCAGCGTGTGCAGGGCTCCCAGGTTCACCCTGTATCTCTGGGTAAAGTTGTCCAGCTGCTGTTTCCAGAGGCGACGGGCCCGCAGCTCAAAGGGGTGCTCCAGAGCCGAGAAGATGGCCGCCCCGCAGAGCAAGTAGAGCAGAATGAGGCTGGCCAGCAAGCAGAAACGAGCATTGTCTTCATTCATGGGTGCCCTGCAGCAGCCGCCGGCAGCTCTTCTCTGAGCCATGAGCAGCGCTGATACACCACCGCAACAACATGCACAACCACTGCTGCCAGTCACACCCTCTCAGTGTGTGTTTCATACAACACCCACCCCACAAGGTACATGCACTGGATATATAAAGTGGTTGCAAAGTTGAGTACAAAAAACATTTGGCTTTTGCAAAAATATCTCTCATGAGGAGGCTGCTGATGACTGCTTTGATCATTCAGAATCAAAACTGAAGACAAAAAAGCCTGAAACAGCAAAAAATATAGATATTTGTCAGCATTTTTACAATAATAATGTTTTTTGATGAACTTTAAAAGCTTTAATTTTCAGTTTTTCAAAAATCACATCCAATTCAGTGGTAGTTATTTAACAAATGCACATGAAAAAGTCAACATTTAATGTAAAATAAATGCGAATATTACCTTATTTTGTTGACGGCAGCGTCTGTTCCTTAAGCGCTGCTGCTCTGCTGCTCTGCTGCTCTCACTCCATGGGTCTGCTGAACAATGACCAGCGAGAGGAAGCCTCTTGAGGTTTTTTTTTTTTCTCCTTTGCAAACTGAAAGGCTGTCTGATGTTTCATCTGTCACACACTGACATCATCATCCCCTGCCCACCCCCTCTGTCTTTGAGCACACCCATACTCACACTGATGCTGCTGCTCCCCCTTTTCAAACCTGCAGGACCTTATCTCTGAAACTTCACCCCCAAAAACAAAACGTATACTTTGTCTGAACAGCAACGTGTAACCCCTGATTCACATCTGACTTTGATTTAAGTGTTGCTTCAAACTTGATTTTGTTCTGCTTAAGCTAATGTGAGTAGCATCTTATATATTGGAAAGGTTCACTATTTAGTGAGGATAAATCTGTGCCAATTAAACACAAGAACATATATTTCACTTCCAAGATACCCTTGAGCAAGGCACCAGACTGAGACCTGCTCCAGTGCGATAATTTCTAGACACTTGTAGAAACTCGACTGTGTTTGTGTTTTGTTGTGCAGCTCGTCTCTGAGGGCTTTTTGTTGTGACTGCAGACTGAGTGGGAGGATTTGTTGAGCATCACTCTCCTCTCTGTCTGTTCAGCCCTTTAATCTCATGAGGGGCTTGCAGGTAAGGGCAGGGGTTCCCCTGCCGTCTGATGGCAGAGTGCAGAGTGAGGGGAGCCGACAGGTGTAGAGGACAGAGAACACATCTGCCTTCATCTCACCAGTCTGCCCAGCTTCAGGTGTTGAACTTTAGAGAGTGTGTGATAATCTGATTTATTCAGGCTAATGGAACTGAAACTCCTTCAGTTTCATGTGGCAGTGGCTTCTGATGCATGTGTATGTTTTTAGTGTGATCATTACTGATGCTTCACTTTGTGGGTTTAAAACAATCCATGATTTAAATTCAACATTGAAAAAATAACAAATGTTCCTGTCACGTTCCCCCTTTCAATTCTCTCACCAAAGTTAAAATGCCATTATTTTTAATATGCATATCTTTATTTTACTATTTATACTGGGAGAGAGCATGTTAATTAATAATGATGGAGAGCATTATTTAATCAAAAGGCTTTATTCAAATCTGCAAACTGGCATCTTTGTCTCCTGTTGACAGATCGGCTGTTACAGTATGTATGAAGTTGGGGATTTTCAGAATGGCTGGTATTAAATATTTTAACAAGCAGTAGAAACATCAAGTAATATCAACCTCCATGTACCAGGATAATGTCTGGAGTCACATGAGAGAATACAAGTACCTCGACAAGTCGATCGAATTTGCACTAAAAAGTGTGAGTCAATGGAGAGCTGCAGAAAAGAAAAGGTAGATAAGAAATGTTTGATCACATCCGAAACTCTCTATTCAAAATATGTGACAAAAAAAAAAAAAAAAACACTGGGGAAGGTGGCATACTAAACTCTCACCACAGGTCTTATCCTGCTTACATGTTAACTTACTGTAGACCATTTCACACTTCAATTTAAAATGCTAAGATCTGATATGCACACATCCTGGAAATGTCATAAACTATTGTTAAAATCAAAGTTTTTTGATTTTTTTTTGGAGTTGTACTTTCCCACAATAGTCAAGACACTTTTCTCAAAGTGAGCATTAAGGAGTTCAAGTCAGGAATCATAAACTGATTCAGGACTATCTTCAGTGGTCCACCAAATGCTGTTTCATACAATGAGAACATTTCGGCTGAACACTCAAATAACCAACACTTACAGCCAGCACAGTTATAAACCAGGCCCAGTCCCCTGGGTGGTGAAATTAGAGGAAATGCTAAAACCTGCAATTCCTCAAGAGTCCACTTGAGGTTGTCCACATAAAACAAGAATTCTCCATTAGGCTTAATGTTAATATGTTCATTTTTACAAGACAAACGTGTTCACAGCCTGGTTAAAAAAAACAGTAAAGATGTGGCTCTGTACTTTATTCATACACACTGTACAGGGGAAAACTTTTATATCCATTAAGATAACATAGAGACTAAGAGTTGTGCACAAGTTTAAACAATAAGGGGCACAGATAAATTGACTTACAGGAGGAGGCTGTGCAGCTTTTTGCCGGGAGATCAAAAGCCTGCCTCAACTTCAACTCTTTGCTCATGTCTAAGTTGATCTAGAGCGATGTATTTCTAATATGGTGCCTGAGCCTAAGATGGTCTCTTCAGAACCGAATGGGTGACAACATAAAGACTCCAAAAATGTCTTTCACAGCCTGTGCTAAAACATTAATTCTTATGTTAAAGCTCTTTTCAAAACAATGTCCAACACAAGACTAGAATTAACATTTTTTAAAATTATACGAGTAACTTGAGATGTAATCAGGTTTAATGTAGTTGGACCACAAGGAAAACCCTGCATGATACTGGTTTCTACTATATGGATGGCATGAACATCTTTACAACCAAACTACCATGCAACTTTTTATGTTTATGATAAAAACATTGAGGCAAACAATGATAAAAAATAAATGAATAGACATATAGTATGAATGGTTTAGTTACATAACCTACTGTAAAGAAATGCAGAAAACAAGTCCACTTCACAGCATCAAAGTTTTAGCACCATTTTAATGACAATGGGTGACAATGATCTGATCATCTGAGGCCAGAGAGGACAGCCATGTTCTGAGCTTATAAATGCTATTTCCTCATTTTTCCTGAAATACTGAACATCTCAAGACTGTAGGGTCAGACAAGGCTGGAGACAGGGAGCATGTTAAGCACACAGTAAAGCTCAGCGTCAAATTGTTTGGAGGTTTCACAGTATAGGCCTTTGAGCATTACTGTGTGCCTAATATACAAAATAAATCTGGAATGAATTTGGTTGTTAACACATTTTTCCTAATATGTTCACATCTAATCACACTTTCCCCCCCAAGACAAAGTCCTTTCACAGCATCAGCTTTTAATTGGCAGTCCACCTGTAACCGAAACTCAGTTTCAACAGATGTACAAACTGGCGTTCATGGCATTGGTAGCATACTGGTCAGTATATCAATGAGGTTGTCGAGACCCCACAGGTAGCCATCTTCTCGATTGCCCTCTACCCAGGGAGTGCGGTGGTCCAATGTGAGGTGTGAAGGAAGGGCAGCCGTCTTTCCAAAGTCAATCATCCACACTCCTGTCCTTCCTGTCCAGTCATGTACGAACAGTAAGGAACTGCCCACAACCTGTACGTGTGAGCCAGTGGAGAAAAAATTAAACGATGCAAGAGTTTGATTTAACAGAAAATTCTCCTTCATCTGATTAAGATTACGCTCTTAAACTGACCTCATGTCTTTTGAAGAAGTCTGATGCCTCCAAGACCTGCCGCAGCTGTTTTAGTCGTCTGAGATAGCCCCACTGAAGGAGAGGATACAACATTTATATATGAGAAAAGAAAAAAAAAGAAAGTTACTGAAGGCCACACCTACCACAATGGTCGGATTAGAGTTGACAAAGTTTTCAAGAGCTTCCATCACTTGTTCTCTGCTTTTGGTCCTTTTGAAGTTTGTGTGACATTCTTCATTTGCCTTCTGCTCTTGGAAACACAGAAGATACACAACACTGATCATCTTGACACCGTTGCACTATCAACAGAGAGATCTGCAGTATTAGCTCAATGACCTGACACACTTTACCTTGAACCCTTCAATACGGAAACCAAGAGTTGTTGTGGAGCTCAGCGTCTCCCTCCACTGCATGTACCTAGTCTTCAGTACCGCCTGCTGGGCTCGCTCCTGGACCGTTGGGGCTTCCGGGTCCACTGCCACCATCTTCTCGTACATGTCTTTACGAGGCTGAGGCCGTTCTCGAGCAATCACCAAGTCCTCCTCGAGGTATGTGCTGTGAAGGTTGACACCTTATTATAACTGGAGGAGATTTGTTGTACATTCAAGACTTTCTGCTCCAATTAAGACTCATTAGTTTCAAGTGAAGCTGAAAGAGATATATTTTCCCTTTTCTAAGACCTCCAACGAGATAAAACAAATGTTAAACTCATGGCTTCTGTGTTTTATAAATTGTCTCCCAACCTATTTAGATTTCTGCTGAGACCACGAGTAATCCTTAAAGATGTTAATCCTTCAATGTTACATACTTGATGCCTTTTTGACAATAAGCACAGCACTGAAGCTCTACCTTATCAAATTTTCTCAACCCCTCCCCCCAAAACTTATCCACCTGCTCTCAGTCACAAAACCTGCCTTGCTTAAACATACCGAGTGCCCATCTTGCAGTCCATGATGGAGGGCATGTTAAATTGGGTCAGTAAGTTATCCATCATGTTGTAATCCTGCTCATCCCGCTGCACCACACCATGGTAAGCTGGAACAAAGGGCCTCAGAGAGTCATCCATCAGTCGGAGGTAACATTGCTGCTCCCCCTCACAAAACCTCTTCAGTAATGTGCCATAATCCCCAACATGAAAACTCCCTGTGAATATAAGCAAAACAGAAGTTATATTACTTTTGAATAATGTCGTTTAAGCAATAATTTCCTCCCCCAAAGATGCCAAATGAAACCAAAGTAAGTCCCAGTAAACAAACCTGCATGTCCAACCACTTGCAGCCACTGCTGAGGTCTCTTAGGAGTCATAGGAATCAAAGCTGTGGTCCCTTGACTTTGTTGATTCGCCCATGCAGAGTTCTGCATCAAAAGAAAACCTTCAGTCAGTCATTCTTCAGCACACAAACATGTGCAAGGGCACACTCCTCTGCTGCATGTGTTTTGCTGTGTCTTCACAGACAAGCAGCAAAGATCTAAGACTTCAGACCCGTCACTTGACTTTCTGCCTTTTGAGTGAACAGTGTCTCTATGGTAACAGCCCTTTAGTGAAACCAGGTGAAGACATGCACAGGGCAGAGTCAGCTCTTAACTTGAGCAACAGGTTTATCAAACATTTACAGGACACACTTGTTTTCCCCTCACAAACTTCTTCTGTTTACCTCTTTACCTCTTTATATAGAGAAAGGCTGAGTGCAGAAATGCAAACAAAGGCGGTTCAAATTGTTAAAGTGTCTTTAAATGTAGTTTTTCTTGTATTAAAACAAAGTGTTTTTGAGAAAGATGGGACAACTATAGTATGTTACTCAAGATATCTACATCAATTCAAAGAGTAGCCTGTTGCAGCACTTTGTAAAGGATGGAAAGAGTATAAAAAGCCCCAATGTGTGGAGGGATTTTGACTTTGCATCTTTCTATGGGGGAGAAACTAAATTTTTTTGCAGAGTCTTACACTTTACAGATGTTTCCTGTGCACTAGAGTCATGGGTAATGGTGCATAGAGACTTGATTAGACAAAAAAAGAGCTTAATTGTTTTAAATAAGTGAAAGTGGACGCAAATGCTGTAAGCAAATTTTACTTGAAAGGTTTCTTGAAACAATATGCAAAACTTATTTTAAGGAACTTATTCAATCAATCAATCAATCAAATTTTATTTATATAGCGCCAATTCACAACAGTCGTCATCTCAATTGAGAATTTTTGGCTTGTAATTGCTTGAAACATGATTGGCCTATTAAATAAATGTAGCCTAAATTAATTGTTAAATATTTTGAGTGGATTAGAGTTTGGATAAACTCACTTGGTAAAAATTGAGGGTTTTCATGGGGTCGATATCATCCAATCAACTGGCTGCTCTGCAGTTGTTGAAAAGCTTGACTGCAACTTGCTAGCTGGGTAAATGGTGTCAAGTAACATGTAAAGCAAGGTTCAATGCTTCACACTCTGGTTCTTAAAGGTAGTCAAACAGTAAAAACACATGGATCCATAAATAAAGTTGAGTTGCTTTTCACCCTTCTCATACCTCTAATAAAGGCCATTCTGGATCAAACTTTGCTCATTTTGATGCCATCATTTTTATTTGAGAGTCAAGCTTGGAAAGATGCTGTTCAAATGCTGCTTCTAGATGTACAAAGAAAAAATGTGAATTCTGATGCACTGTTGATTGAAAAGACAATGAAAAAACTAAAAGTTTTGGCTCAACTCTGACTATCTACTGCCATTATTATATTGCACAAACTAAACGAAGGTTTTTTTTTTTGCTCAAGTATATAAGGTATTGTACATTTACGTTTTTGTATTTCACCAATCAGACTTTATTTGTAAAGCACTTTTCATACATATGATTTAGCACAAAGTGCTGTCCATTCAAGCAGAATATTAGAAACAATGAAATAAAATACATAAAAATACAAATACCAGACCCCACCCACCCAAACCCCATTCAACACATTAGACACTTACATACACTCTCTCTCTCTCTCTCTCTCTCTCACACACACACACACACACACACACACACACACACACACACACACACACACACACACACACACACTGGATCAAGGACTAAAACAATTAAACCATGATAAAATATAATTAAGGTGATAAAACGTTAAGAGTTAATTAAATAGAACAGTCAAAGAATCAAACAATAAAAGAAAGTAAATTAAAAAGAGGTAATAAAGTAAAAGTGTTACTCAACAACTAAAATAGGGTAAAATCACATAATGCAGATTAAAAGATTAAAACAAAATTTAACTGAAAGCCAGATAAAAACGGTAGGTCTTGAGTTTCATTTTAAAATGCTTAAAAGATCCACTTGAATAAGCTTTTTTGCATCAAGACTTTTTGACTTTGTCAGGAACCTCTATTTCAACAAAATAAACATAAAAATTTAAATTGACTAAATTATAAAATGCTCTTATTAAACTTATGGCACCTGTCATGTTAGGGTGCTTTTGACTCGGTTAGATTTATCTGTAAAAATTAGCGCAAAACCTAAAATCATATGTGCACTGGCAGTCAGATCCTCTTCCAATCATGTGTGATTTAGCAAATTCTCATTTTTCCATGTTTTTCCCTGCACAAAAAACAAAGGGAATGTTCAAGCGTGTGAGATCAATTCAGTATAGATGTCTGTGTGAGGGGTATACTGACAAAGAAAGACCCAGAGGACCACAACAAAAAATATTATAAGCAATATTTTCATGGATAATGAAGCCTAACAAGGTAACCCACAGAGATGAGAACTAAATTGGATGATAGAGAATTGTTTTTAGTGTAATTTACAGCTGATTTAAGACACATGGTGGGTGCGTACTTAAAGCTAACACAGGAGGAAGGTTAAATGGTTTCATTGCGTGTTTTTAAAGTATTCTTGGTTTCTAATCCCGCCAGTATTATTTTAGCATCATGTTTAAACCTTGCTGTGTTTCCGTTAACAACCTGCGGGGGGCAGTGCTGAGTCAAACAGCTGGCAGGGCACCGTTAGAGTCCGGCAGAAGAAGAGGGCGCAGAGGTAGAGCGGAGTGGAGAAGAAGAGTTTAACGGTTCCCGGTAGTTTGACCGCCGCCCCGGTCTCCACGGTGCAGGTGGCGTACACGCTGTTTTAGGACTTTGTTTACACCGTAAAACAAGCGGCAAACTAAGCTACATCAATTCCTCCACCAGGCCACTTCACCGCCATATTCTTCCGACGAGACGCTATGTGTTGACAACTTAACTGTTAAAGGAGCATTACAACAAACAAAGGTAACGTTACAGAATACTTCACACGCACAGTAACGTTACGTGTCTCTCACACACACAGAGATAGCTCCGGTACCTGACTCTTAATAAAGGTAACTCACCTGCATGACACTGATTGAGCACATTATCTCTGCTAGCTAACCTCAGCTAACGTTGTCCACTTGATATAATTAGATGTTAAGTCTCGCTAGCTGCTCTTTACTGAAAACGAGGAGAACTCTGCATTAATAGGAATTTAAGGAGCATTTGTTGATTTTTTTTAATGACCCGAGTCTAAATCAATATAAATTGTATTATAATGAGACAGCCTGTGATGATTTCTTTGCACGATCAGTCAAAGATGAGCTGATCGCAGATTTCAGCCTCACTGCACGACACAAAGTGAAGTCAAGCGCGAAATCTGACAGCAGAGCAGCGTGCCCGGATGAACGCGAGTGATCACTTACCTCGAAAAACATGTTTCAGGGCATCCGACAGCTGAATCCTCGGCACATGATCGCACGAAGCGGTACTTTTTTCCAATAAAAAATGATGACACCTTTTGAAATGCGCTCTGTCAGCTCTCTACTGCCCCTAGCGGCGTGTTATGGTTACAGCAGATTAGACAGATTTTAATGTCATTGCACAGGTACAATCAATCAATCAATCAAAGTTTATTTATATAGCACTGTTCATACAAATAAAAACGCAGCTCAAAGTGATTTACATCAGGACAAGAAAAATAAAAGTTATTAAACTAAAACAGACAATAAAATATTAACTTGTATTTATTAATAAAATAAGGTAAAAAGTAATACTAAAAAATAAATAAATGATAATAGTAGTTAAACTAATGAATCTTTACATAGAAGCCAGGCTAAATAGATGAGTTTTAGGTTACATTTAAAGATTTCTATATTTGCAGCTTGTCTCAGACCCTCTGGAAGTTTGTTCCACAGTTTCGGAGCGTAGCGGCTAAAAGAAGCATCACCAAAAAATTTTTGTTCTGCTCTGTGGAACGAGGAGAGCATTACAGTAGTCGAGCCTGCTGGTTATAAAAGCGTGCATTAGTCTTTCTGTCTGGCTCAGAGAGAGAAACGGTCGTACTTTAGCAATGTTTTTAAGATTTTAACAAGTGCTGAACAACAAAATGCACGTCTAACTATGTATCCAACCAGAGGTTTGTCTGAGCTTTCAGGTTTGTTTGTTTGTTTGTTTGGAACCCCATTACTTCCACAAAGTGGTTGCTAGTCTTCCTGGGGTCCAAAAACTTAAAATCACAATACAATTACAGATTCAAATCCTGATTCTTCACAACATTAAAACATTAAAATCACTCCAAAATCAGTGCTTTTGTAGTCCGTTTATATATGCAGTTTTGTTTTAAAGTCCTTTTAAAATAATACCTACTGCTTATTTGCTGTGTGCTCCCAGGCAATTGATTCCACATTTCCAAAGATCTAAATAACCCTGTTCTCGTCATACAATTCGACTTGGTGAATGGATCAATTAAATAACCAGAGCTAACCTGCCCAACCAGGAGCTGAGCGAAGTGAAAGAGTAACACACAGGGTCTAGGATTGTTTTAAGTCTTATTTTACTCTTTTATCGCATTATTTTTATTGCATTCTCATCATTCCACTGTGAACGTATTGCACAGGTATTTATCATCTCCTAATTTATTTATAGCTGATTTGGGGTGCTGACAGGGGAATGTTTGGGCCATATGCTGCTGTGAATGTCTGGTCGTTGTCTGTTCCTTGATTGTTTAACAACAAGGCGGGTTACTGTGAAGTGAATTGTCCTTCAGGGATTTATAAAGTTGTCTGAATCTGAATCCGAACATATAAGCGTAGGGTGTGAGTGGTAATATTCAGTATACAACATAAACAGATGAAATGAAAGTATAAAAATACACTTACATTTTGTCTAATACGGGCTGTATGTCAAAATGTTGGTGTCAAACTGTGCGATTTATTTTGAGTTTTTGCAGTATTTATAGTTTATATGATTTTTAATGATGCTAACACAAATAGTTTGTAAGACACCAGCAGACATTAGGGGCTGGGACGATGTGCTTTTCTCCCGATTCGATTCTTCTACGATTTTTGGATGCCGAATTGATCTAAAATTTCAATTCTATGATATTGTCGATTTTCTTGATCTTTAGTCTGCATTTTTAACACCAGTGAAACAGTTGAATGATTATGATTGTCTTCTGACTATTCTAAGAACTATATTTCCCCAAGAAACACACAAATTCTCTCTCTCTCAGCCCTCGTGATCGTCACTCGTGCTGCAGACCTCCAGATTGTTGGCTGTGATTCTGTCTTGTGCGTTTTGGTGTTTTTTCTTGAAGACCAGGTTTTCTGGTGGCAGGAGCCTGTGGTGTTTCCTTTTGTTTGATTAACTAGTTGGCAGTGGACTTTTGTTTCTTTTGAAGAACGTTATTGATGATCGGCCTCGTGCTCACCTGTAGTTGTGTTATCTTTTTGTTATTAGATTTTGATTGTAAATAAATGACTCGCTTATTCTGATTTCCTGTTTCACACTCTTTATTTCGTCTCCCCTGCCCGGTCTTAATTTTTTGTTACTTCCCATTTTCCCCCTAACCATTCTTCCAGGTCGTAAGTATATGTAAGTCAGTTTTTATTATTTATTCTTAAATTAAAAAAAAAAAAAAAAAGATTTTGAACAAAAAATCAATTAAAAATTGTAAAATAAAAAATTTTGATACTTTTGTGAATCGATTTTTTCTCCCACCCTTAGCAGTCATGATGTGGTTGTAAATACTCCAGCTTTGCCCATTATGGAAACATCATGTATTTTTAATTTTGCACTTATAATCACAGGACTTTAGTCTCTTATGTTTTAATTTCTTTACACAGGTTACGTTCCCATAAAGAACTTTATTTCTTCTAAATTTAAACAAAACTTAAAGTCAAAAGAAGCAAGAGCTCATATTTGTGAAGATACTCATGGCCCCTTGACGTCTCTCTGGTCTGGGCTGCTAAGAGGAAAGAGATCTGAATATTGATCTGATTATGGGATTTCAAAGATTGTCCATCGATCTGATCACACTTATGATTAAGCTGTAGATCTCGTCTTTCCTGACATGAGGATTCACAGCAGATCTCTCATTTCCTCTTTCTGACTCAGAGCGATGGAGGAGGGCTCTGATGTGACGGAGGATATTGTTTTTCGAGGAGTGGAGTTCTCTGTGAAGATAGAGGTGGACAAGAGCGTGCTGATTGTGGAAATCTCTGACTCGGTGACAGCTGATCAGTGGAGGGGGGACTTTGATCCCGCATGTAAGTAGCAAACATGTTTTAAAGATGAAATGCCATCCGGTGCTCAAATTGTCCCACTAACACTGTTAAATTTATTCTTTAAGACATTGAGGACCTCACCCGCAAGACCGGCAACTTCAAGCAGTTCCCTATTTTCTGCAGCATGTTGGAATCAGCTGTCAGGAAGGTATGTGTGAAGGTGCACTCAGATAAAACAAAAGTATAAAGAAGGGCAGCTGAAACGCACAGAGAGTCAACAGTAAGCTGAGAGCAGACACAGATTAGCCCAGGGCTCCTTGAGCGAAGGCGAGACACAGTCATTTGAGTTCAATGTTTCCACTCGAGCAAAAAAATGCCCATTTATCCCGAGCCGCCCTGTCCCCTCTCTGCTAGTCATTAATGCACAAGCACAGGGCCGAAAGAGGAGGGCCTGGAGGGGAATGAAGGAAACGATTGGAGATTTTGGTACATTTTAGAGAACCATCCAAACTGAACTGTCCAATAAATACAAGCTCACACAGACACACACGCTGATTTCAGTGTTTGCTCAATAAACTGTCCGCCCAGGCATTTGTGTTCTATTCTCACATATTACAGGGTAAATTAAAAGCAACAGAACGATGCACATAAAATCAGCAGGGCTTGACACAAACTTTTTTCACAAGGAGCACATGTGTTCCTAAGTTAAAAATGTAAGGAGCACACAAAGAACTGTAGGGGCACAATGAAAATTGATCAAATAATGTTTGTCTTATTGGTCGACATAAGTACTATTATTTGAAATCAATTTTAGGTCTTTTGGTCACATGACATAGAAGCTATTGAAGAAAATGTTCAATATTTGCCTTTAAATTTAACACAACCATTTTTAGAGGACAAGTTAGGGAAATAAAGAGATGTAACTTAGGCTATGTTCACACTGCAGGTCAATTTTGATTTTTTTAACCATATGTGACACATATCTGATTTTTTCATGTAAGTGTGAACAGTGCAATTCTGATCTTTTCAAATCCGACCCAGGCCTCTTTTGTTTGTAGATATAAATCGGATATGTATCCGATGTGACTGCAGTGTGGACGCGCAGGTCGCGTTCATCCGACCTATAAGTCATCAATATGTGACAAACGTCACCATTGTTCGACAACACAAACAGGCGCGGAAAGCAATTTGTGCTTTGTGCGCATGTGGGTCACTTCACGGACGCATTCCATTCACATTAGATGCCGCATTTGTTGTTGTAATGTGAACGACCACATAAAAAGATCGGATTTAACAAGAAATCCGAATTGCACATCATAACCTGCAGTGTGAACGTAGCCTCATCGTCCGACCTTAGGACTATTAATTTTAGGTCAATTGGTCACATGACAGGGAAGATATTGAAGGAAAGCAGTCTTTTCTGACAACATTATCAGGTAATTTATTGATGGTCCCTTATTCAACACCCGTCATTGACCGTGAGGATGCCGAGTAGATTTGATCGCGCTGTTGTTGCTACTCCCGGTTATGGAGAGTGAGAAGACACCGGTAGATTAGCAGTGAATGTCCATTGAATATCCAACCTAAAACTAACTTTACTGCGGTATTTACATGAAAAAAACATTTGTTGTCTCGACTGATTTTTTTTTTTTTTTTTTTTTATGCGCACACACATCTATTTTTAGTCGCAGATGCGAGTGAAACATTCCCACTGTCGAGCCCTGATCAGGTTGCCTCATTATAAATTGATCAGAATCTGTAATAAGAAATGTTTTGATGACCATCTTTACTTTTTTCTCCAGACAAGTGATTCTGTGACACTCGACCTCTTGACCTACGCAGACCTGGAGCTGCTGCGTAACAGGAAAGCAGGAGTGGTTAGTCGTCCTCGTGGTCATCAGCAGTCATCCGCTCTTACTTCGAAAAGATATCTGATCCTTATTTACACGGTGGAGTTTGATAGGTTTGTATCTGTGCTGACAAGTTGACATAGATTTAGTTTGATTGTGCCTTCTGTTGGTGAGATTCTCAGTGTTTCTGTTCCTTCAGTGTCATTATTGTTGTATTCTGCTTTGTATCGTAGGATCCACTACCCTTTACCTCTGCCCTACGTGGGTAAGCCTGACCCGGCAGCCTTGCAAAAAGAAGTGAGGGCGCTGAGGGCTGAGCTCAATGCTGTCGCCACTCGTGGGATTAGCAAATCTGCAGAGCTCGAGATCCAGCGGCTCAGGACAGAGTGGGTTGCATTTTATCCTGATCACGATGATCTGTATGAAGGGATTTTTTATTTTAACACACCTCACTGTTTTCCAGGCTGGCTCTGGTAAGGGAAGAGAAGGAGGCCATGGCTAAGGTTCTTGAGCGATTACAGCTTTCTGGAAGTGGTTCCACATCTGGACATGAGGACTGGAGAGGCAGAGACGTTGTGACAACCCTGGAGGAGCAGCTTGTTAAGGAGAGGGCCAAAAGCCAGCGCTCGGCAAGCAAGAGAAGCCAGGAGCAACGGCTGTTAAAAGAGCAGGTGTACATTCTGCACTGCGGAGTAGTCAGCTGAGAAAGGTTTTACTTGTTTTCTTTGCTACTCAGCAGGTTTTAACCCTCTCTTCCTGTACTGGCTAGCTGGAGGAGCTCCGAGCGTCAGAGTGTGCTCTCCAGGTTCGCGTCAAGAGTCTCTCAAATGAACTGTCGCAGCTACGGAGAGGGTTAGACAATCTAAGCATGTACTTTGTCTTTACTTTCTCTTTCTTTCATCCATTCACTTAAAAAGCTGAGTAAACTTTTGAGTTATGAGTTTTATGCTCCCGTTTGGCTCACACACTCTTCTTTCTTTGCAGAAGAGTAACTCCTGTGTCCGGCCATCTCAGCTATCGAGTTGACGGGGAAATCTATCGCTCCGTTTCCCGTGAGAGAAGACCAGCATACGGGGGAGTCAGGGCGCGATCCAGTTCGAGAGAGCGGATAGATAACAGAAGTCAAAGGTCGGAGGAAAGAGGAAGAAGAGCGGACTCCTCCGGACCACGTGCTCGCATACCCAGGCCATCTCCTTCTCCCACTGGTATTGTTGAAAAGCCCTTCATCTTTAAAGGGATATTCCGGTGTAAAATTAATTTAGGGTCAAACACATCGTAACACTGAGTTAGACACCCCCTCGGGATGAATGTTGCTTGCGGTCGTCACTAACGTTGGTATAACTAGAGAAGCAAATGGTCGGCAACATTCATCTCTCGAGGGGTGTCTAACTCTGTGTTACGATGTGTTTGACCCTAAATTAATTTTATGCCGGAATATCCCTTTAACTGTGTTATACTCTCAATCTGTTTGAATCTGTAGGTTTTAATGCCTCACCCTGCTGTATTTCAGGGTCTCGTGCTCCACGCTTTGACCCAACCGCTTACATCCAGGACAGACAGCGCAGGCTGAAAGAGGCCGAACTGAAGAAGTTGGTTTTCAGGATTTCTCTCTTGGATTTTTTCATGTTTGATGTTGAGGCTGTTCAGGACAATCATCGTAACCATGATTTCTGACTCAGACAGAGGAAGGTACGCAGAGACATGCTGACGTCCCCCATTGTCCCAGAGCGGGGGCGTTCACGTTCCAGAGAGGTGTATCCTCTGACAACACGGTCCGGCAGCAGAGGCAGGAGTTTATCTGTGGAGCGCAGAGGGAGCAGAAACTCATCAGAAAGTTCTTTGGTTGATATGGAGGAAATGGCCAAAAATCTGTTCAGGTAAAAGGGATTACTTCAGAGGGATTTTCACAGTATTTTAAGCCTCTGTGATTCTAACAGCTTTTAAAATTTCTGATGCGTTTACAGAGGGAGAAACCAGATTTACAATGGACCCAGTGTGGTAAGTTTTTCTTTTTTTTATCTCTAACAAATCCCATGACAAGACAGAAAACAAAAAACATTAGTTTGATGGTAAAATGCACTCAAATATACTTGGCTGCATCACCATTATATTTTTTTTTACAGAGATGTGTGTTGAAATCAATTAGTCAATTTCTTTTTTTTCTTTAAAAAGTCTCCTACCACAGTCACAGCACAAAAACAAAACGCAAAAGCAGCAAAAACTGATAACAGTCTTTTTTCAGGATTAACACTTTGTTAATCAATAAATCACAGAAGTCTTCTTTTTAAGTGAAGAGCAGCTCTGCATTAGTGTTAATTATTGATGTGTTTAAAAGTTTATTGGACATTGAAGGACAATTATTTCGTCATTTGAAGTTTTTTTAATGGCACTTATGGGCAAAAAAACAAACATAAATTCATCTGCGTCACCCTCTAACGTATGATTTGTGTTCGTAGTCGAGGGGAGGCCTTTTAACGAGGAAACCATTATGCAGTACTCCAACCCAAAGAATGAAAGACAAAGGTGAGACATTCATCATGAGTTATTTTTCTGGGGGGTGAGTGAAACCGCAGAACAACTGATTGTATGTTTTCACGTCCATCCTTAGAGAGCTCCATGGATACAGGTGCAGAGCTCTCTGAGATCGATGCCAGACTGCAGGCGCTTCAGGACTACATGAGGGACCTGGATACTGGACACTAACGATCTCCACATAACGCTGCTCGAACATTTGTGGAGATGTTACCTGATGAAAGCACCTCTTGAAACTAATGCGCACAAACTGAGAAACACTGTGAGAGATCGGTTCAAAGATGTGAATTTGTTCACGGATGAAATTGAAACTCCATCTGGAGAGTCGAACTTCCAGGGCCTCAGGAAACTATGAAGAACTACTTTTTTGGACTGAAATGATTATTTTTTTAACCTACAAAGTTTTTATTATGTAACTTAAAACTGTAACTGTGTGTTGTCTCGTTTTTTTGTTCACCTCACCAAACTAAATCGCAGCACCTCCCCCTCTGAAGCATTTACCTGGTGATTTCTTTCAGTTTTACAAGCATATCTGATTGACTCGACAGGATGCTTTCTTGTGCACCTTTTTCTTCTGTAAAACATTTCAACAAGGAGATTCTTGACCACTTGTCTCAAAGTAGTCCCTGTGAATGTGCGTCATCTCCACCTTTTTTAAAAGCAAATTTATGGGGAGTTTCTGATACAAATGTGACTTTGAGTGGGATGATGTGCCAACTCAGCAACGCCTAAACTGTCAAACCTCTGGTACACTGATTTATCTCTGCTTCCCAATGCATGATAAGTTGTCCTACAGTTCCTGAGCCCTGCAGGAGCTAGTTTGCTTCCTTTCTTCCATCCAACATTTGTTGTCTGTTTTCACTATCACAGCTGAAGTGACCTGTAACAGGTTGAGTCACAAATGTAGCATTTTCTACTCATTTAACAATGAAATTTGGGTATGCAGATGATTTTAATTTTGCAGTTTGTTGTAGAAATGATTCAGAAAAGAGAAATCCACACATCCCTGAAGCTTTAAAGTAATACAATACTCTGATGACAATGGATTGAAATACTACGCCATACTGGACAAGGTAGTCTCCTGCAAGCCAAGCTAGTTTGTGAGCTAATGGTGTATGATTGAGATAGGTTATTCAATATGATTAATAATAAGTACCACTCCTGCCTAACACCACTACTTTATTAAAATAAACTGTTTCTGAAGTCAAACATATTCATGTATTTTGGGTAAGTCCCTTTAACACTTCTCAAGTTCAGCACATTCAGCTTATTCTCCTTTCCCCCCAAAATTACCTACTACAGCTTTAAATACAAATGGTTTCACCTTCAACATCAAAGTGAGTATTTTGTTTACCTTGTCTGAGGGACCAAAAGTCAATACCACAGTTTAATTTTTGGACCTATTTAAGTATTTGTCTCTTACATTTTATGGTCATGGTGCATGCAAGTGTGTGAGCAATGAGTAAAGCTGCCAAATATTTTTGTCACTGACAAGACTGTTACTGAAATCTTTTCCTTGTGCATTGCCTTTTATACCACCTGAAATATAATTTATTGAAACTGTACCCTGTGTGAAGAGTTTTTCTCTAGTCTAGGCATGAACACATTTGTTATCACTCCCCTCTCTGTGCTTGTGTCAGTTGAGATTAAGCTCAAGGGAAACCTTGAAGAGATTCCAGCCGTGCAGCTGTCTCTCTCTTTCATTAATGAACTAATAAACTAAACAGGGGAGCCGCTTAGTCTGAACAGCTGCTCTGCTCCCACTGAAGAGGGAGTGAGGGAGAGATGAACGCCTTGTTAACCATGACGAAAGTGAATGCACCACGCTCGCATTGACATTGAAGGGACATACGCACACTATCAAACACAGCCACGTATCAATTAAAAATGCATGTCATAAATCTTTTTTAGCATTTTTATTTAAACTTTAATGATTTCTATAAGAATCAATCAACTGAAACTTGGGCAGTACTCGAACACTGACACAGTAATGTTTGATTTCATGGATAAAAGTAAATAGGGGTGGGTGAAAAAAATGGATACAGCAAAGTATCCCAATATTTTCTCTGGTGATATATCGTATCGTCTCATCTACCAAGTAGGGATTTTTTCAAAGTAATTGCTAATATGAACTCAATTCTATGACAATGGAAAGATAAAAATGTTTATCCAGTGAGGTCAGCAGAGGTGACATCTTCGAGCAAGAGAAAGTACAACAAACATTGCGGCAGCTGGGGAAGGACATCAGGAATGTAAGCAGTGCACAAATGAGATGGACCTGACACATGAGGTTTGCAAGATGTGGTACATGAAAATGACATACTGTGTAAACAAGACAAACATAGCAGAAATAAAATGCTAAATCAGCTAAGCAGCTGAATTTTTTTTTATTAATTGCCATATATGGTTTCACAATTCTCACTTAATTGCAAAATGTTTAAAATCGCAATAACGTTGAATCGTGGCCCAAGTATTATGATAATATCGTATCAAGGGGCCACTAGTGACTCCCACCCCTAGTAAATAGTAAAGTTAAAAGGAAGTTAAGCTGCAAGCAGTGTTGCACCTGTGTACATCTCAGGGTGTGCAGTAACTGCTTCACAGAGGTAGTGGGTCCACACACAAAATCACAAAAGGAAATCTGGATCAAATACTTTTTTCTCATTGCGTGAAAAAATAGGATAGTCATGAAATGTGAAATATGAAGTATTTCAAGGGCTGAATTTTCAGGTAGAAGTAGAAGCAGTGATCCTGAATCTGTGCAGGGCTGATCAGGGATATCACAACTTTTCTAAGAGAAATGTATTTTGTGTCCTAGTGACGTCTCGTATGATTTACAACCCTTCCCATCAGTGACAAAGTTTTGCTGCCTCATTTTCTTCGCCTAAATTTTGTCACATCCACATCAACACAAGAAGCAGGAGAACTTTGAGGTATTTTATTACACAGAGCAAGTATAAAAAAACAAAAATAGACCTCCAAAAAAGGAAAATACACTATAGACTTAATGGTAAGGCAATTTATGTAAACTCAAGTGTGGGAACAATAAAATCCTTTTTTTGCACATGGTACATCTTTTTGATACCGAACAACAGAAAAATTGCATAATTTAAGAATACTTGGAAACGCTTCCTCAGGCACATCTGTAAAACTTGTGAGCACTGTCTGTGCATGGTAAAGTGCTGAAAGTATAAAAAACAAAACTGTTGATTAATAAGTAGAAAAATCTTGAACATAATTCCAGAAATAACTTTTGATAGCGTGATGCTTTTTTGTTTAAATGATGGAGGCTCCAAGCACACTCTTATCTCCAGGATAAGGCTGTCCATTCTGGTTTGCAGCAGTCGGGGGTACCATAACCACCGCTGTCCTTTGTGTGTTTAGGATGGCCTGAATGCTGAGAGTAAGCTGTAGAGAGATGTAGATATTAGTTATCTTTCCCATACATCCACAAACTGCAATTCCATTGAAGATGGGACGTTGTGTAAAATGTGAACACAAACAAAACACAATGATTTGTGAATCCTTTCCGACTTCTATTCAATTCAATACACAACAAAGACGATGCTTCAAGTTCAAACTGATGATTATCATTTTTGTTTGTTTTTTGGAAATATTCGCCAGGAATGCTCAAAAGTCACGTTTGGATCATGTTACATATGAATAGGTTCATTGAGTCCAACAGTGTGAGAGCAATATTTCTCAATGTATAATTGCAGGAATTCATGGATTTCATCATTTACAGTCCATAACATCATCAAAAGATTCAGAAGATCCAGAGAAATCACTGTACGTGGAAATGTACAGAGTGTCATAAAGCACAAAAACACAACAACAGAGACCCCGGACTGTCCAGCATCTTAAGACGTACATGAAGAAAAAATGGGGAAAAAAAACTTCACCAACAGAAAAGGAAAGGTGATGTAACACAGTGGTAAACTTATGTGGAATGTGTTGCAGACATCAAATTAAAAAGGAGTAAATATTTGGAAAAAAAACAAAAACAAGTAAGCATCTATTAAATATCTTGTCTCTGCAGTGTATTCCATTAAATAGAGGTGGAAAAGGATTTGCAAATCACTGTAATCTGTTTTTATTCAGATTTTACACAACTCCCCAAACTTCAGTGGAGCTAGAATTTGTATGAGCCCAAATTTGACAAAGTTACTCACTGTTTGATGTTGTAATAGGACTTCTCGATACAAGGCCTGTCTGCGTTGCTGTTCCTTCTCATCCCACAGTTTCCAAAACTGAGATTTGGACTGGATCGTGGCCTCAGGCAGTTGTGGATACTGTTGTCGCTGTAATATAAACACATATGTTTCTTTACACATTCTTCACAGCTTGAAAAGTAAATAAATGAAACTGTGCAAAAATCACCTCAAACCAGCAATAAATAGTCCACTTCATCATAACAAAAATACGTTTCCTATAAATGTGGCCTTGATGAACCTTTGCTACATGTATTTATTACATCACTTTAGATTTTTTCCACTGCACCACATGATCAAACTCAGGTCACTTACCACACTGCGCATGTATTCATCGATACTGTAAGATTTCATCTTCTGCAGCGACATGAAGGCCACAGACACATTTGCTCTGCTTTTGTTCAGCATTTCCTGCAACACATTTTTCTGTTATATATTGTGAATTACAAAGACATAAGATTATAGAAAATGTAATTTATACAGTATATACCAGTAGCTGATCGTTGGTTTTTGATACCAAGGCTTCCGGGTTCAAAGGAACTGGAGGGTTGACTGGGTTAGACTGAAGAGGAAACACAAAGACAATAACACTCAGTAATAATTTAGTTTTATCATTAAACACTGTCATTCAAGTCTACTGCATGTCTATCTTGATGATGTTGCAGCCTTTACCTCAGCCTCATACTCCGCCCAGGCAGCCTTGCGTTCTGCCTCACTGAGCTCCTCCTCCTGTTTATGGTCCAGCAGAGATTCATGCTCATGGAAAGACACTATATGGTCCTTACATGTTTGCAAAAGCTGTTCCAGGACTTTATCCTAAAAACAGAGACATGAAATCATTTAATAACATCATAACAACTAAGTGGCGCTGAGCTGAAACCTGTAAACACAGACAGTAACCTTGGGTGGATCGGAGCAGGTTCTTTTGCTTTTCTTTGAGTTTGGGTCGTTCAGCAGATCTGGCTCAAATGTGTAAAGTTCGGCCAGCTCGGACAGGGTGAAGTGCCTCTCGATCTGCTGCTGGTCTATCACTCGAAAGGACAAAGACTGCTTGGTCACCTGGCGATCGTAGATCTTCTCCTCCATGGTGCCCTGGAGAGGACAAAATGCAAATGACCAAAAGGGTTTGCAGTAAATTACCAGATCAAACATCGGTACGTGAAATTACACGCAGATAATCCATGTTTGATTTTCTCTTTATCTTAATGTTCAGACCCTTCTATGTGAAACCCTAAGAAGACACTTTTATTACCCAAATTTCACATCATGAACTGGGAGCAACCGCAGCATAAAGTGATCATTCCCCTAAGCTTTTTAGATGGTTTGTTAAGGAAGATCTTTTTACCGACCACAAAGACAAAACGATTATTTCAACAAGTTTATGAGTCAGAACAGAACATTTTCATACAAGGACTGTCGGTGATGGATGATCCATTCATGGCTAAATCAAAAAAATGGAAGTCTTAAATAAAATGGATCTGTACTCTCTGCTCTGTGAATTCAACGCACAGCAAGCTGTAAAAAATATTGAATATTCTTACTCCAAAGTGGAGTGGACCCCTGAAGACTGCCTGATTAAACCCAGACTGTGTGAGCAGTGCCAACTGTGAGCAGTGGTGATGTTAATTTGCAAGACCTATTACCTCATACTATCACCTTAAATACAAATACGCAAAAGACAAAACTAAACACAACTGTGATGGTCAGGGTTTAAACTGAAAGGACAAAAACAAGATTGAAGCTTTAAGACGACGAGTAAACAAGCCTACCTGAGCCAAAAAGCGGTAGACAAACACTGGTTTGAGCTGACCGAAGCGGTAAACTCTGTAGATACTCTGCATGTCATGGGAGGGATTCCACGAGGCATCGAAGATGATCACCCTGTTAGCAGCGACCAGGTTGATACCAAGGGAACCCGCTCTTGTTGAGATGAGAAACAATCGGCCACTAGGATAAAACCGAAAAAAAAAATCTGTATCATAATATTCCCACAGATCCTCCTCCAATCTGAATCCAGTATCATCAACATAAAAAACAGAAAAAAACACAGTTAATCCATACCGCTGATTTTTATCATAGTTGAACTGGTCTGACCATTTTGTCCTTAACACAGCAGAGGTGGAACCATCAAGACGGTAGTAATCGATGTTTTTGATCCAACTGCCCACTGTGCAAACAAAGACACGTGAATTTTAATCAAAGTGTTTTTATAACAAAGCAGAAAATCTAAAGAACCACAAAGGAAGAAAGCGCCTCAGTGCGTTCATATGTTTGTCTTCATATACCCTTGGATGATTCTGGGCCTCTGGCATGATGAGAAGCTTTAAGGAAATCCTCGATCAGGTCCAACGAGGTCAGGGACTGACTGAACACCAGCCTGGAGATTAAAAGAAGATAATTATACGATATTTGAGGTAAGCATAAAACCAAAGTATGTCTCTGTATTTCCACTTGTTTCTGTCATTGGAGAACCTTACACTTTGTCCCCCAGGTATTCGGCCATCCTGAGGATCTCAAACAAGAGCACCATTTTCCCAGAGTGCTCCATGATTTTGGCGTCCGTCTGTGAGAGCAGGTTGTTGAACCACTTAACGCCTGGGAGCTGAGAGGTAGAGCTGACAGCCGCGTTCTCTCCTACACCAAAGACAGCACAGGACAAAGTGTGTTTGTGTGAACGCTGAAGCTGGTTGTGGAACTGTTGACGCATTAAGCTTTGATACCTTCTGCTGGAGCAACTATGGGTACACCAGTGGTGAGAGCTGCACTACCGTCAAAGATATTTCCTTCTCTTCCTTGGTTTGGATTTGGACCACTGTATCAGGCAAAAAAAAAGAATATAAATAGTCCAAAAGAGGCTGAAGACAGAAATGAAATCCTCTTACTTTCTTTATTTTTGTTCTTCCAAGTTCAAAGTTGATGCCTCAAAGTTGGCTTCCTCTCTTTTAAATTATTTGGGAGTTTTTCACATTTATCTGTTTTTTAAACAAACTCATGTGCATGTGCTTCTCTGCATCCTCAATTAAAAAACTGAAAAAAGGAGCTTCAAGTGCACATAAGAGTCCAAGAATCTTGAATACTAGTCAAATCAAGTCAAAGATCGTCCTTTATTCCACATAAGTGTGTTTTTAAATGTCTCACCTCACAGCTACAGTGGTTTCTCCATTCCTCAAAAACACTGCTGGTGTAACTCGATTCTTCTTCAGATGAGCTGTCTGAGTAAAGAGAAGTTCAAACCCTCATGGTGATGTTGGAGTAATAACACATGAACACATGAGCAGAGGTTGAGGGTGAAATTTTTTTGTACCTTCTTTTCTTTGATGGCGCTGAGCTGAAGGCACCACGGATGAGTCCAGATTTTGCTGAACACCTGGAAGTCCTTGAATAGATTTGCTCCGAGCTTCTGCTTTATCCCGTTTGCCATGGGACCAACACCTGGAAAAACAGACACGTCACACAAAAGGATGAAACTCATGCATTTCGTACAATGTAAGTGGATGTCACATATATACCAAGCATAACCTAATGGATGGATGTCACTACTTCAGACCTTGATGCATTCATGTAAGACTGAACTGGTCCCTGATCTCTGAGTGTGCTTTGAGTGTGCTGGAGGGCTTCAGTGCACAGTACCCCCACTTCTAAATTTACACTCTTGGCGTACTGGGACTTTTTGGCTACTGGGACTTCTTCTCTTACCAGCTGCTCCTACCCTTTCCTTTCCTCTCTTGTGCTTTTGCAGGTGTTAAAGATCCACTCCGATGAAAATCATGTTTTTCCTAATTTTACATGTTCATCTGGCATTTTTCTGATGCTACAGGACATATCATGAGAAAACTAAATGCTAAATTGCTTTTCTGAGTATTTCTTTATTCAAATCGCTGTGAATCTCTGGCAGACCCAAACTCAGAAACAGTGAGAGTTAATACGTAGCGCTGTCTCCGCCCACGACTCAGAGGCAAATTGCTAATGAGCTACAGGAGCTCTGCAGAGGAAAAGCCCTTGAAAATGACACAGGGAATGTGATTTTTAATAAAAACTTCATAATTACAAATTAAAGACCACTGAGAACACTTAAAGTAGTAAAAAAAAAAAACATCGGAGTGGGACTTGAATGACACTCACTTGTCTGTTTTGGCCTCAGGGTAACATCAAACTATTACATTCTTTGTGTGTGCGACACACTGAGTTAGTCTTTTACAACAAATTAATGTTGTGAAGGAGTGAATGAAGGGAGTACCAGCACTTCTTCTAAATGACCTAAAGCACTCGTCTCTCTTAACTACAAATCAAGTTTAATCATCTAAAATGACAAATCTGCAAAGAGACTGGAACAACCGTAAGGAGGTTTGAATTAATCTCAGGTCCGATTTTTCCTCTTCGTGACTACAGTGTTTTCTAAACTTGTAATAACTTGAAGTCTGGGTCTGCACTCTCACCAGAAATGTGCTCGAGGTAGTGGCGGTACAGCTGACACTGAAGCGGGGAAAACCTCACTGCCAGCACGTACTCATGTTTTGGAGGTAGAAACTGAGTCAACTCGGAGTAATCTTTTCTCTAAAGTTAAAAACAAAAAAGGGTTGTCAGGACTGAAATATGAAAACAAAATGTCACGTGCTCAAATACAAACAGCGTTTCCCTTCACCTGCACACATCGAGCCAACATAGCGTGAAGTACGTGCGCTCGCTTCTTCATGAGTCGGACGTCTCTGGGTGTCGAATCAGCACACTGGCCGTTTTGAATCGGGTTGATGAAACGGTTTCTGAATTCTTTCAGCGAGCCGAGAAGACTCTGTTTGATGAAACTGACCATGCAGTGATCTGAGGGCACAAGATTTACAGGATCAAAGCAGTTTAATTGTAACGAGACGTCATGTCTTATTTGAATTGATCCAGAGTTCTAGGAGGCTGTTACACGCCAGCCTTAAAATCAAAAGATAAAGCTGAAAGTTGCACTTTTACTGCAGTGGGCCTAAAATACTCAAATTACTTGTTGTAATAACTTAAAAGAAAAAAAATAAAATGGTTCTGTTGTGCTGACTTACACTCAATCAGATTGTTCTGTAGCGGTGTTCCAGTTAGCACCACTCTTCGGCGGGTCTTGACAGCGTTCAGAGCTTTGGAGACATTAGACGCTTCATTTTTCAGGGTGTGTCCCTCATCACACACCACTAAGTCTGGACCTGACATTAAAAAAAAAAACACACAGCAACACAAATTAGCAACACATTAAGAGAATCTAATCAGGTAAGGATTCAACAACATGACAGGAATCCGTTGAGCACCTGGATTCACCAGGATGCTTTTGATCGCCTTCTTTTCCTCCTCACTGCTGGTTTTTCGGACTGATGAAATGTTGCGGTACATCTCATAGCCCATTATCATCACACCTCCCTCCCTCATCCACCTCTGCAGAGCTCTGATTCGTTCGAAAGAAGATTTCACTGTAGCTAGTTCTGTAACCTGAAGCAAGAGACACAGGTGTGAGCAAGTAAAAAAAAAAAGAAACACTTCTTTATGTTCACACAATAGAAACTGTTCTGCAGACCTTGACTTTCTCCTGCATCATGTTGTCTTGCCATTTCTTGAACTCGCTGACCCAGTTGAGAATGGTATTAACCGGACAAACAACCAGGGCGGTTCTGAATTTCAGGTTCTCTGACAGTAGTACCGTGTGGAGAAATGTCACCACCTATAAAATGGCACAACCATGAATTTGAGCCCAAAGAAAATGACCACAAGATAGTGACGCTGCAAAAACAGAGCTTTCTGAAGTGATGAGAACATCCGGTGTCATAAACAGCAGATAAAACAAAGAAATACAGAATATTGGAGGTGGATTTGTGTTTGTCTCTACCTGCAGAGTCTTTCCCAGGCCCATGCAGTGTGCTAGTATACAGCCTGATCCGGGAGTAGAGTTAGCTTTCTTTACAGACTCACAGCAACTGTCCCAAATGAACTGCACACCTGTTGAAAAAAAAAGAAAACATGTCGCCTGATTAACTCCGCAGTAAAACAACGATCAGCTGTGAATTAATAACTGTGTAAAACCTACTGAGGTGTCAAAACTTATTCATCACAAACACAATTCCAATGTTTTATTGAGGCTTCCAAACAAAACGTGTTTTTGTTAAGAATGAAAATGTCAAATCTAAGCGAATATGAGCTTCAATAATGTTGAGTCATTGCCTTGATGGTAAACTCATGTTCCTGTCAGTGAAGTTGAAGAAGAACACAAACTAACCATCCACCTGATGAGGTTTCAGTTTTGTCACCAGGTTCCTGTGCACCTGGACGAGAGGCTCCTTGGTCTCCTCATTCTGATCTAAGACTAGCTTGGTGGTGATGGGACACGGAACTTGAGACAACTCATCCTCGATGACGATTATCTGAAAAACAATGACAGAGAGAAAAATTGAAAAAATTTTATGATCAATACTCTGAAAGGTCAGTGTGACACACTGTGAGCTCAGTACCTCTCTCATATCCTCCATCTGTTTCTCTCTGTCTGCCAGCCGTTGGCATCTCTCCTCCTCCTCTCTGAGGGCTTCCTGGGTTTCTGCACAGAGATGCCCGTCATCGATGATTTTGCGGATCTTTTTGCGTCCTTTTGGGTTTCCTTGACTGTCAGTTAGCTCCTCAACTGCATCCTGTTGATCATCCTGCTGGTGTACAGAAAGATTCGACAATTAGTGGGTCTAATAGATTCCAAAGTCCTTCTTTGAAATGTAAGCTTTTGTTTTTTAGGGTATCAGAGATGAAGACAGACAGATGAAAATGATACATACGGAGGGTATAACATCGACCACTTCATTTTCACTGTCGGAGTCAGACAGCAGAATATACGGCACCCTTTCCTTGATTTGTTGACGGCCAGATGTCTTCTTCTCTTTTCTGCACAATCAACAGAGGACAGAATAAGAAATGTAAAAATAAAAACAGCAAAAAAAGGCCTTTTCACTCTGAACTCACAAAAAAGTGCTGAAATCTCTCTTTTGTAGTGAATAGCTTCTGAAATACTTTGAAGTAAGTTTTAATTTTTTTTTTTCCTAAGGCAAAACAAGTCTCATTCAAGAACAACTCTGTGCAGAAATAGGAAAATAGAGCAAAATCACACTTTCAAATTTGATATTGAAATACTCCCCTGCTGTGAAGCGAGGGTGGCTTTCAAAGACAGAAAGTTCCTGTGATGTATGTACAGTTTGATCCTTTGTTTAAGTTTTCATCTATAAAACCTAGTTAGTTTGTGCACAACAGCCACTGTTTTTAGTGCAGCATTTTGAACAGCCACTCACTAAATACAGAAACACAAACACTGAGAGTTTGTCCATTCTGTGCGATGGTTAAAACACAGCAATGCAAGATAGCAGACCTTGTGGAAAGGGACTGGTTCCTATGTAGACATGAAAGTCTCATTCTAAGTGAATAAAAACAAAACAGTTTTAAATTCAGGGGATCGTACCCCAAATTAAACATACTTTCAAAACATTATACTGAATTTATTATCTAACTGCCAATATTTTTTAAGCTTCGCCTTCAAGGGCCCGCTGCTTTGTTGCTGGTTCACGATCAGTGAGACGACAGGACACTTCATGAACACTGTGCACTTGTACAGAATGACATGAGCTCTAAAAGGCTGAAATGGCAAAAAATATTTATAAACTGTGAGATTTTTTTATGAAATTGTTTTAGGCGTCTTTGCGGAAACTTAATTTACTCACGGATGTTGCACAAAATCAAAATCACAGTGAACATGAAACATTTTGTTTTGGTGTCAGAGGCAGCTTGACTAAGTACCTTTTTTGATCATCTCCACCTTCATCGTCCGAGTCACTCAGCTCCTCACTGATCCCATCATCTTCAGACTCTGACTCTTTACCATCACTCCCTCCATCAGCTAAACAGAAATTAATATCAGACTTTAAGACAATTCAGGAACTTCCTGTGTGACTATATTGATCTTGAAGGTCAGAGGTGATCTTACAGCTCTTGCGTTTTCTCTTTGCTCTTTTCTTGATGAGCGTCCCCTCTGCACTCTCTGCCCCAGCTTTGTCACTTGATGCGCCCTCATCTAAGGTGAGTTTGTAGCGGAGGAGATGGTGTCTGGAGATCGGCCCATCAGACGAGGTATCTGAGAGCTCCGACGCACAGTCTTGTCCTGGAGTACAGACTAATTTTGTGATTTTATAATTAAAAACCTCAAATTGGCACCTTAGAAGTCTGTTTTGTTACAATTTTGCAAAAATCAAAAGGACCCAACAGGCCAAAAACAAAAAATTATATAGATTACTGTGCTCATGAAAGAATTAGATCTTTCCAAGTGCTGCTTTCAGAAATGACTCACCATCTTTTTCTGTCACATCATCTTCCTTTCCCTGTTTTTCATCCTTGAGGACCTCAGGCTGTGATTCACCGTCCCGTGTGTCTTCATCCGATGAGATATCATCGTCACCCGAAGAGAAGTTGGCTTTGATTTTGGCCAACAGAATTTTCTTAGCGATTCTTTTAAGGGTAGAAAAAAGGGAAAAAGTACCTGAGGTTCATTTCATAATCAGTTTCATTGACTGTGAAAGATGTTTAGAATTTGAGGTAAAATCACAGATAATGATACCGAACAGAGCCAACAGTGAGTGACTTGTTGGTCTTTCAATAATTATAAATTTGATCAAACACGTTAAAGTAGTTTCTATTAAACTGTGATTAAAATGTGTAAAATTATTAAAATGTGATGCCAGTAAAGAGGTCTGTGAGTGATAAACCTACAGCTCAGTAAGGTCAGCAGTCAGACAAATAGTATATTTACAATAAGCAGCAGCAAAAGCAAGAAAAAAAATGAGACAGAGCTTTTTAAGAGTAAGAATTTATTACATCAAGAAGTTTTCTTCACAGAAAAAAAAGACATACTTCATGTTTCTTCTCCTCTGGGTAAGGGTACTTTTTTTTCCAATGTGTTTTCTTGCAGGAGTATGAGACGGCTGCTGGTCTTTTTTTTTTTTTAAAGTAAAATGCACAACACTGATTATTGATCTGTAGCTCAACCATTCATGCTAGTTCATACTAATATAAGACCATGTGCTACTCTGGTTCTACCAGACGAACAGTTATCTTACATGGGAATTAAAAACATGAGCAGGACAAACACATAACTCAATTGAGTCTGTACATGAATGTTTACTCACAATGAATTCAGCTCTTTGGAACCCTTCATATTTCGCTAAAGCATAAAATTGAGGGAATTCAACACGTAACATAAATAGGTTCCCAAAGAAGAGTGAAAAGATTATGGTTTAATACCATTATGTGTTTGAGCTACAATTCAGTCTCTACCATCTACTAAACGACCATTTCCAAACATAGTTTGACCTATTTCTGAAAACTAAAAGTCAGACAGCTCAAAGTTAGTCCACCTACTCCTCTACTTCAGTAACCCTCCTCCCACCTGCTCATGGTAGATTGCCAATTTCCATCACTGGAGGTGGAATAAAAGGCCTTTTTCTGACATCTGAGTCTAGAGTTATATTCTAAGGCGTATTCCAGCAACAGCATGAGACAGTGGCGACCAAAAACAGAGAAAGTACTTTTTAGCAGGGAAAGCAGAAACACAGCACAACACTGAGGAAAACTACACAATGCCTGACTATTGTGGCGTCACTTTCATTGGTAACCACATGCTGTGTGGACGGTTGTGTTTTAGCCCACTAACCACAGACAATGTAAACTTTACACTCTGCTGACCATTTTCTACACATGGAGCTGTGCTATCACTATCAGCTGTCACTACAGGTAAAAACAGTTTTGTAATTTAAAATAAAAATACTACTTGTTGTCGATGGAAAGCTACATTTTCCCACTTCTAAGCGACTGTCGCCTGACAACACCGCAATCACTGCTGTGCTGTCAGAAAATCCGACCTGAAAAAACATAAGACAAAAAAACATGGATGTCAATAAAAGCGCAAAGGGAATTCTTGAATGGTGATGGATGTTGTTTCAGTGCCCACTCTCAATTCTCAGATATACAACCCTCTTAGCGGTGTTGGAAAAAACTGACCCCAGAGGTATTTAATTCGAATTGCTTTTCACCGTAAAGAAGAAAAAAAAAACAGCTCATTCACCTGTTGAGCAGGGTTTGAGTGTCTGCGAGTTTGTATCTGGTCAAAAATCGTTTAAAAGTTTCAAAAGCTTCAGTTTGTTTTGAGAAATGGTCAGCAGAAATGTATTCTGTGTATAGAAAGTGGGGTAAAACACAAAAACACTGGGATGATGAAGTCAATTAACAATACGGGCTAATGACGAGGATGGATGAACTAAAAGAACCATGGCGGATCCACTTGGTGCCCGTTCTTACAAATATTGCACATATATAACTGAGGCACTAAGGTTGATCTGTCCGACTGCTTCCAAATAAACGTATAAAAATATGCCATTTCAGCAGTTTTTCACCTCTACAGTCAAAGTCCTAGACACTAACGGAGAGACGATATCTCACTGCAGATGATTTTCAGATTTTCATCATGTTTTTCAGCGCTTTACTCGCACCTCTCCTGACTCAAGCCGTCACATTGATTTCTTAAAACTTGAAAAAACAGGAATATGTTTGAGTCGAAGGATAAATACAGTGATGATGGTAGTCAAGTGTTGCTGAAGTCTGGTTCCATATCTATGTTAACACGATACTGATGTGTAGACAAAATGACGTCTCTGACACACACCAGTATGAAACCTTTTTTTTTTGGGTTAAGAGAAAAGGTCTGTAGACATGCCTTACCTTAATACCGTGATAATTAAATATTAAGTATATAATATTATATTAAGTTTATTTTCCAGAGCTCCAACAAAACTTTCAAAACTTGTTTCAGTATTTCAAAGAAGATAACATTAAACTATACTGCCAAGACTTACTCTTATTACTGCCTACTGAAATTTCGCTTCAGGGATCAACAAAATTCTTATCTTATCTTATGAGATTTGAACCGGTGATACAATTTATACATCAGATGCTTGAATGTCTACCTGCTCTGATAAAACTCTATAATAATACTCTTTTCAAGCACCCAGTAGGAGCCAACCTGACTCACAGGCCGCTCTGGATAAAGTAAAGTGTTCATAGGAGGGTCACCGGCCCAGCTGACCTTCACTTTATAGAGCAGACATGATCCATTTTTTAAGGCAGTATTCTTTATTTTAGACCTTTAGAGGCTTCATCTGATTGTTTCAAAGAGAGAAAATATGATCCAGGATAAAGAGGATTTCACTGGCAAACCGATATCATGATTTTTTGTTGCATGAATCCAACAATAAAATGTGCAATATCATATCCACTTCATCTGTGCTGCTGGTGTCGACCCTGATTTACATTTGATGATCTTTTTCACCAGCTAATTATGTTGTTCTGGGTGAAGACCATTGGGCCTTTTTCAAACCAATCTGGCAAATTACATGAAACTAATGCGTTCACACTGACATAAAAGACAATCTCATCCTTGGACACCCCACACTAAATAAAACTCCATTCATTTGTGTTAGAGACACTGCTAAATATAATTGATGGCTAATACTAACAAGGTCTGCAACGTGAAATAAAATTGATATTAACTTCTTATAGAATCCACAAGCTGAACTGCATGAACACATTCACAGACCCAGGTCTATCCTAAAAGATATTTTAACCATTGTTTCTCTAACAATCTTATCAAAATAGAAGTGTTATTCATGTGAAGTAAAGTGACTTTCAAGGTAGAGCATTACAACACTGTGCACTGTGGTGGCAGCAGACATGATTTATGGATTTAGGAAAAAAACAAAACAAAAAACATGACACTTCCCCATGTACTGTTCATGTAAAGGTATGCTGAGAGTGAAGGAAAACAAGTTTTTGTGCATTCTGTAATCACACAGATTTAACAAGTGAAGTGAAAATATATTACAATACTTCTGATAATGGAAGAGAGCACCATCACTGAAAAGAAAACTGTAACACATAAACAGGTCGAGCTATAAGGCAGAATGGATTCAGTCACACTCCAAATGTTTGCTTCAAGGTTAAAGAAGTTCAACAAAAGGCTTCCCTTTTCTCATCAGCTTAGTATTTGCACAGACAATAATGTAATAAAATTCTGAATTAAAATGTATCTCTACTATCTACACACCTCCTGGCTTTCACATCAAATAAAACAGAAGAGCGCTGGACATTGCTCATTGTCACTGTATCATAACATTGGCCCTTTGCTTCACAGTGAACCTCTAGAATGTGTATTTGATGGCAGTGGCTTGACTGCAGCTACGCTTTGGTCGTGTCTGGATAGGCTGTAACTGAGTCTTAATGACACGGGTGTTGCTAGATTTTTGACAGACACGGGGGTCTCCAATAGTAGCTCTCCTCCAACATTTGGGGTGTTTTACAAACTCTATATCCAGGCTTTTTGGACCATACCTATTTTCTGGATCATCATCATCTTCTGCTGCCCATGAGGGCCCAGACTGCTCCTCGTCCCCTACAGAAAAAATAATGGGATAGAAAGTTCGTGAATTCAGCAGAGGAGACAATGTAATATGTAAATAAACAAACAGTGAGAATAAGTAGATGCAACAGGGCAGTCTGATTCCTATAGATAAACTTTGCGGAAAAATCCAGTTCTTTAGGATCACCAAAGTTGGGATGTCCCAATCTGATATTGATACCGGTTATCGGTCTGATATCAACAAAAAACAAATATTGAATTATATCTAAAATCTCTGATAACAGCACTGCGATTCAAGCAGTCCCTTCCAGACTCCGCTCCGGCACCTCTATCTAGCAGCACCTGTATCCAGCATGCAGAGCCCAGATAGTCACAATAACAGTGTGTACTAAGGTACAAACAAAGTAGCAAGGAGTAGGAGGGATGTTGTCTGTGTGGCAGTATTGTTTGTTCAAGTCCAAAAAAGACATTACAGCTGAGTTTGTGCCAATATCGGACCAATATCGGTATTGACCAATACTGACGGCTACAATATTGGTGTATTATTGGAAGAAAAAAAGCTGTATTGGGACGCCCCTACACTAAAGTCAATTCATCTGCCAGTAGACAGGTTTCTTTGCTGTCTGAAAAGATGTTCTAACATCAGTCTCAAAACCATTTGTTGCTCTACAGTCGTGGCCCAAAATAAGTCTTATTCACAAGAATATTTAGTGTAATCATTCATATCCGATAATTTTGTCTACCACAACTGAGTCTTGTGCACTTGACAGAGTGGATGTTCTGAAGCAGCTGTAAAAAGGAAGGATATAAATGATCTAATTGCAACACTATAAGGGAGTTATATTTGGATGTCTGTATGTATTAAATTTATGTTTGATTTGGTTACTTCTCTTATCATCTCAATTTTTTGGTGTTGTTTTTCAGTGTTTATCTTATAACGTTGCTAGCATGTTTATATGTCTGTTTTTTTCCTTTTTTTTTTTGCTTGTTTGTTTTTTTTGTCCTGTCGTGTATTTTCATTATATCTTCATTTGTTCTTCTACTTGAATCAAATGGAGAAATTTTATTAAAAAATTGATCACAAAAAAAGGAATTGCAACACAACTGTGTTGCAATTCCTTTTTTATAAAATACTAAAAATAAATATAATACTTTTAATGATGTTTAAATGAAATCACTGATGAGCCTTTAAAAGCACAATCAGTTACTTCAACTTGCTTTTGTTTTTTCTCCCTGACTGAAAACTAAGAAACGCAGAGGCACAAGTTCTATAAAGCCGTGTACCACGATATATTTGAGACTCTTTGTACCAGCCAAAAGCTTCAGAACCACAACACTGGGACTACAGTCCTGGGAGGGGGAAGATGCACCAACCCAAGATCTGATAGTCTCTACATCTTTGGTCTACACAAAAAATATGTGAGTGCAGCTAACATTCAGGCTAATGATTAACAACAGGCAAAAGTCAAACTTCTAGCCAATCTACTCTACTGACAGCAACATATCCCTCAAATGTTGATGTAAAATATTGAGCCTTTTATTTCTTGACTCACCTGACGACTGCTGGAACGCTGCGGCTCCCAGTAAGGCCACATCCTCTGTGATTGGCTTCATCTTCTGATCACTCCCGTCACTCTCGGTGTCATCATCGTGTTCATCTTCACTGGATGAGGAAGACGTCTTATTTGCTTCCTGAGGTGGTTTTGCCTTTGTCTTCCCCACCTGTATCCTGTTCTGCTTTGTCGTCATACTTTTGTCCTCTCTTTTGACCAGGTGGGGTTTCCCTATAGATCTCAACGTGTTCAAGTGTTTGATTTTCTTCTGTGAGTCCTGATCATCACTAGAGGAATCTGTCCCACTTTCCCTACGAGATTTTACTCGTCTTTTACGGGAATCAGGCTCAGGGGATCGGTCCAGCATCTTGCGTTTGCAGCGGATTTTCTCCGGTGACATGGGAGTGTTTTTATTGAGCCAAAAGAGACATTTCTTGGCCACCTTGCTTGATGCATTTTCCCCATCCTCATCACTTTGGGCGTCATCAGAGCTATGAGATACAGCCGCTCGTTCTAGCAGCGCCGCTGGGACTTCGTCTGAGTCAGAGTCGTCTCTTGCTCTGCTCAGACTTTGTTCTTCGGGGTCTTTGGTTGGAACCATGCTCTGGGTTTCCTCAGGGTCAGAGTTGCTCTCACTGTCAGCTGCTGAGAGAGATGGTTTGGATTTGACATCACTTTGTCGACGGAGAGGTGTTGTCTTTACACGAGGAGATCGTCTATTGCCTTGCTCCTCTTCTATGTGTTGAGATGCACTGGAGTTGTCGTAGTTAATCTTGCTGTCGGCTGCAGCCTCTACGACGCCTGCCTCTTTATCTTTTGAGCCGTCTTTCTCCTCTGACTTCTCATCCTTCATGTGGTCGTCCTCCTCCATTTCTGGAACGTCAGGAGACGGCTCCTGCTCCATTGGGACGGGTGTAAGTTTCACCACTAGTTTTCTGGTCACGTTAACCTCACTTCTAGAGGAATTCAGACTGATCTTTTCAGCTGTTTGGGCTTTTACTGAATCTTCCCCAGGACAGACATGGGAACTTCTCCCATCTGTGAAGCCCTTTGAGTCGGAGTCATCGTCTTCCAAATGTTCAACTGCCAACTTCTGCAAAACATTCAAACATCGTTTATCGGCGATATCTAGCTCTGCGTCTGCTTCTGGTACAGGTTGTGGAGCAAAGTCATCACTTTGGAATTTTTCCCAACAGTTCATGAGATCCAGGTCGCTGAACTCTTCTCTAAGGCTATCCTCAAGAGCTGAAAGGGACCTTTGCAAACCTTTAACTACCGATAAAAAAGAGTTCAGATACAAACTGCGAACTTTGGGTGTTTGTTTGCTCTTTGTCACCGAGTGAATGAAATTAACAAAAGTTCGATTTAGGATGTTTGTTGAGTCCACTAAATGTTTGGCTTTTTTGGTGATATCCTTGGAAATCTTCAGTGTGTTATAGTTGAACACCACGTTGCCATCCATACCAGTGTGATCCCATTTATCCAGAGGAATGTTTTGTCCCAAGTGTGGCAACATGCTGTATGGTTCAGATTTCTCCGGCCCCACGCGGTTCCTTTTGCGCTGCTGCTGCAACAGACTCTCCATGTTCTCCAGGATGTTGTCACAGGCCACCACCAGGTCAAAGAGGGGCTCAGGGCTGCACACATAGCAGTACCATTTGCTCTCTAAGATGCCAGATAGCTCTTTCCTTCCCAAATTTCTCAGAATACACTTCTTACAGAAGGCGTTACTACAGTAGTCACAACAGATCAAGTTGCCTCCTTCAGCACACCATCTAAACAGGAAAAACAAAAAGGTTTCAGAGATCTCGGATAAGGAAGCAAGAACATGTTTGTGTTAAAGTGAAATCTGTCATGAACGAGTCATACCTGCACTGCTCATCCATTCCATCTCCATCCTTGCTGATGTCATCACTTAGGTAATACTTGTAGCAGGACTAAAGAAAACAAACGTTCATTTCAGAATTAAAGACAGCTCAAAACGTGAAGGAAATTCATTCAACAAAAGTACTTGTAAAGGTAGATGTGAGAATTGTTATTGATTTCCAGCTGTTACATTGTAGATTGAAACACTGCCTTGCTTATCCCACCTGCCAAAATATCTGGAGGGTTTTTTTTTTTGTTTTAACATTTGATTGTATTTTTTTTAAGTTTCAGTTTTGCTCAAAGTACATCATGTTAGTGAGGTTTATGGAAATCATTATCTGATTGTACTTGTTGATGTGCTACAAAGAATATCACTGAGCCAGGTCAAACCACAATGGCAATAATACCTCATCTATGACAGATGGAAACATACAACTCTTGAGGTTTTTTTTTAAGAATTATCCAAGAGGGATCATCCTTTTGACACAAATCCAGCAATGGAATCATTTTGGATGAAAAACATGGTAACTGAGCATCTCTGAGTAACAATGCCTGAAAAAAAATTTTTGCCACTTTTTTTCTATAAAACAATGAAAATAATAAAAAACTGATTTCCTTTGTTTTGAGTTGCACATTTTCATGAGTGCTTTATGCTTGTCACTGGAGATAATCTTTAGTTATAGCTTGGTGGAGCAGATGTAAGGTTTTGGAAAAAGTCCGCTTTTCAAACTGATTGTTTAAGCCTATGTAGTGTGACACAGTAAATGACATTCAAGTCCACACCTGAGACGCCTAACAACCGTTTGACAGAAATTTTTTTTTAATTTCTTTTTGCCCTCTACAATTTGTTCCCTCATCAATGAACTTGACCAGTTAGAGCAGAGAGCTCTTTACATATGCAAAGTTATGACCATAAAACAAACAAGATGTTGAAACAAAAAAGTACTGATGAAGCAGCAAGATGCAGTGGTAGTGATGCAGCAAGATGGAACTATGAGAAAGTGGAAGTCTGTTACACAGAACATGAGAAATGGATGGACATAAAAAGAGATTTTTAAGAGAAAAATGTAGTCTTCTGTCAGCTTTTATGTTTGAAATCTAACACATTAAAGAAACTTTGGGTTTTGATTCTTTAAGACTTTTAGAAGATGATGAATAAAAGAACACAGGGAATGATAAAATGACTGAGTGAAGCTATGACTGCACAGGAATCCTCTATGATAAAAAACAATACATACCTTGCAAATAAGTACTTTCAGAACTGGATGTCGATAGATGCAATCTTTCTGGAAATGGTTAACTTGTCGTCCACAAGCTGTGCAGCTGACAATTTCCATGTGTTCACCTCCTGAGGAAGCACACCGCTATGATTAGCAACACATTTTGTCAAAGTATGGCTTGAATTGTTTCTTATAACAGTTTGACACCACACTGTTCAGCAACAACTTCAATCCAGTACAAGTCAGGTCTACATATGTAGAATCACTGGTTGAGACAAAGTATAACTCAATGGCTATGTTGGATTTGAGCAACAAAGGGAAGTACACTTTCAGCTTGCTTGTTCAACTACAATGATATACAATATAAGTCTGTGTGCTTGAGTGAATGTTTCGTCTTTGGTCCATTATGCTACCTATACCAATTTGACCACATGGACATCAAGAATATCAGTATCTGAGTCATCAGAAATTCACATGTGATCTTATAACCACATTTATCCGCAGTGACTGACCTCCACGTCTTCTTGGAAAGTCCTTCCGCGAAACTCCTGATTTCCGGCTGCGGAACTCCGGGCCCCTGAAGTCGTCTCTTCCATTCTCAACAGCTTCAGGTCTAACCAGCACAGTACCTGGAAAGAAACAAAACAAAGAAACGGACAAACGAAGTTATTTCATCATGTGTTAATTTATATGATGAATTTATCCTCTACAGAATGTTATCATCAGGAAATCATAGCATTAGGATGGATCTAGACACTTTTTCAGGACCTCAACCTTAAATGTTCACTGAGAAGAGATTAAAAGTACAACAAAATACCACATCCAGGACACTGCGGCACAAATGCTTGAACAGATTTCAAAGCAGAGTGAGAAAGGAACATAAATTAGGGCCTACCTTTGGGCAATCTCGTAATGTCAACATGACCATTTGTGTTGACTGGTATATCTGTGTCCTCACTCGCCTCAGAGTCCCCAGACTCATCAAGCCCAGAGTGCTTTATGATGACAGAGGGCTTTCTGAAATAAGCATAGGAAAATCTTAAGTCTCAGAGCTACGACAGGCAACCTGTATGGAACAACAAAAAGGGAGTATCACTGATGAATGAACTAAATGAAGAGGATGACTCACAGCAGAAAAATCAGAGCACTTTCAGTATTTCACTATATATAAAATACGGAGTGTCTATACCATCTGTGCCATGGAGCAATTTCGTAAAAGGTCGACTCACCTCCTTGAGAATCTGGTATCTGTCCCCGCCTATAAATAAAGACAGTTTATTAGAGTTATCTTCACTATATTCATGTTTTTTGTGTTAAAACCTTTGCAGTGACACCTGGAAGGGAATTATTTTAATACCGTAGTTCTTTAAAATAAAGCCCCAAGAGACCATGATGGTTTGGTGTTTTTTGTTTTCTAAAAACTCAAAGATCAGACTGAAGTAAAAAACAAATCTGAGGAAAAGGAAGTAATAATAAGTCTCATGTGTTTTTTGACTTATGAAGCACAAGGCTAGTAGGATATGAGAACAGTTTAAAATCAAACCTGCTTCTATTCGGTCACATCATGTCATCCATGTAAGAAATTTTGGTATTAAAAATCGTACTTCACTCAACCGTTGCAAAATTCTAATGCAACAAATGCTCTTGTTTTATTCTAATAAGTTATGTCCAGTTCCTTGTTATAATTAACTGACATCTGTGAAGAAATGAGACATTAAAAAAACATACTTCTTCAGTTTTTCTACGTATGTTTCTTTAAAGGGTTAGACTAAAACACCAGGGGGGTGAACTTACTTCAGTTTCAGTGTGGGCAGTTAAGTTTCCCACAGGACAGCTCCGGTTCACCATACCTATGAAGACAGTTATAAATGTTTAATAAACATGTAACCATGCTAACACGACTTCCTTCATTTGCAGTATTAAATAAGAAGCTGTACCATCTGCATCCTCGGAACTTGGAAGGCCATTGCTGTCCTCGAGAGTGGAATGAGCCAAGTACTCATGCAGCTTGTTGACGAGAACATTCAGCTTGCTGGTCGCGGGGCTAAATTGGAGGCAAAAAGGGCATCAAGTAATGCATTTATGGTATTAAATATCCATCTAATGCTGAAAGAATGGGTAGCAAAAAAGTGCTAAACTTTCCAGAAAGAGAGAATAAAATGAGACAAAACTCTCTTCTCCCTTAACCACAACAAGCAATGCAACCTAAATTGTCACAAGTGAATCAGTTCATTTGCAACTTCTTCTGTTTTAGATTTTAGATACTAACGTGACTTTAAATATTTTTCTTATATAATGCAGAAAATGTTTCTGACATTCTGACATGGTCCATTAATGTGTTCCCTGAATCTGTGTACTTTTCTGCCCTGCTGGTTATTTGAGCAGAGAGTGTATGTAGCTCTTTAATTTTTCAGAGCTTTCTTACACATCTTGAGGGGGTTTGCTCTTCTTTGAAAACTGAATCTTTGTAACTCATATATCAATCGGCTGTAATGCAAACAATTAATTCTGCTGTCACAACGGTCCATCATTTTCATTTTTGAGGGCAGAGACGGACAAGTCTCTTTAAATTTGTTGTTGAAGATGAATGGGTGTTGATTGTGTACTAGAGTACATTACATGAAAGGTGTTCCTAATATTTTGTCCCCTCGTTTTTTTAAGAAGTGGACAAAATTTAAAAAATATTTATCACCTATCTGGGCATGTCAACAAAAATTAAATAGTTAGAAGTAGGGCTGGGCGATAAAACGATAATGATATATATCGAAAATTAATTTCCCTCAATATCAATATAAAACATGGTCAATATTATTTTCAATAGTTGGTATTCAGCCATGTTTTGGTAGACTATACGAATAGCCAATGAAAAGGGGAGTTGCTCTGGGTCCACTTTGCGATGAACCAATCATGTGCTGAATTAGAACCAAGTCGCAAACAACTGCATAGTAGCAGGCTGCAGCTACACGCAACCACAGCACTTTAACACGTGAAGCCGACAGCACTGTTGGTGAGAAAAAAAAAAAAATGAGCACAACCCGAGGCAGAAATGCAGATGAAGGCTCAACAGATGACGACATCGTCTACAACACTGGCATGAAATCGTCGGTGGTGTGTCTTTTTTTTTTTTCTTTTGTGGTGGGACATGAAGCAGAGTAAGGTGCACTGCAAATTATGTCGAGTACATGTTCTCGCAAAGTCATAGAATACCTCAAATACCTGCCACGTGGCAGAGCATGCGCAATCAGTGTTGTTTTCGTTGACACCCCTTTTTTTTTCCACGGCGAAGACATGACGTTGACAAGTTAAACAAAAGTCTTAGATGACTAAAATGTGACGAGACTAATGTGCGTTTACGTTGACAAGACAAGACGAAAACGTTAGTGGTGGACAACGAACAGAGTTGCAAAATTCATGAGCATTTCGTCAGTCAAATGCTTAACATATATTCTGCAGTGTTGTTTTCGTCAACGTAAACAACACCGCGCGCAATGCAAAAGGTTACAAACCCTGAGCGGAGCAAGGACGCCTGTGTAGCCGACCATTCAGTCCACTTTCTCTAGCGCAACGCCTTACGAGACACAAAGACCGCACAGATTGAGTAGCCTATTGTATTGCCAAAGAGTGGTTCCAATAAGCACTGTTAAATTTCATTTTTTGTATCATTATATATATCAATATTGACTGATATGAAAATTATATACCGTGATAAACTTTTCCTATATCGCCCAGCCCTAGTTAGAAGCTTGGTTGTGGTTGAACCGTGGTCTGTTACTGCAGTAGAGAACCTGTTATTTATAATGTTGCTGGTCGATGAAAATCTGATTCCAAGACACACCCCAAAAATAACGCAGTTTTAAGTCAACAGCATCCCCAACCAGACACCATATTTGAGAAGTTAGGTCGCATTCCTACGAACAAAATAAGACAATATTGTTTAAAGTAAAGCGATACAAATAATTTGTCTGAACTGAGGAACTTAATAGTTTGTTTTAATGTGGTCACGTCCCGTTTAGTGCTCTCCATCCTTTATAACTGTTAAATACGACTAATATTTTTGATAGCATTATCCACAAATATAAATTTATGCGAGCTCTACCTGTGAAAAAGTAACAGTAGGGAGACTTTTACTCGAATACTGTGCCTGGCTTTTTAAAAACAATCAATAAACTATGACTGATTTACAGTTGACGGTTTCTCTTTCGAGTTCGTCGTTAGCCAGCACGGCTAGCAGCCAAGCTAGCTTACGTTTGCGCTCACCAGTAAACAACCAAGTTTGAGTCCGGAGTTTTTACCTGAGCATCGCCCCAGACATACTGCGAAGCAAGCGAACAACCGGGTTCGTTCAAGTCCTTATCATTGTTACGATACGAGTATATTCATGTAAAAAATGGCGCTTAAATCTCGCTCAGTATCTGCTTTGTAGCTGTAAAGAAAAAAACTCAAGTGAAAGGTTTCTTCCTCAGTTTTCAGTGTATCGTAAAAGCTCGTAATCCACAACCACTTCTGCCTCCTGCTGGTCTGGAGTGTAAATCGAATACTGTTCTTACCGTCTGTAATGACATGATACGGCTGCTTTTTTATATAAATATATTTAAATACATATGTAATATATTTTGTATAAACATACCCTTACATTTTACCGAATTTTCTGTGATACTGAGGATTTATTGCAGCTTTTTTATTTTTTTTATAGAGAGAGCTTGACTCAGCGACAAATGATCTAAACTATTTTGTTTTGTACTTTAGTTAGCCAGAAAACTATCTTCATTAGTAATCTTGAAATAACGAGATAAATCGGTCTTTCAAAATTAGAAAATATCTTTATTATTTCTCTATAAATCGAGACCTCAAGAAAAAACCCTCTTGTACTACTTACAGTAATGTATAAATACCATCATTGTAAATGGGCCATTGTTTATTTTACAACTTAACTCTACTACAGCGATTTTTACCTATTCATATCCTGACTTATTGCAGGTTCAGTAAAAAGCAAAGGTGCCATAGTTATTATCCAAAATTATTTCATTTGGAAAAATAGATTAAGATGATTGAAATAGAAGCAAGATCTAATCTTCATGAGATTCTTGCAGAGCAGATTTTAGCTGATAGCAAAAATGTGGGCTACAGAAATATATTGTACTGCCCCTAAAATCTGCCTAATTCAATGTCACCATAATATACATACAATTATTGTTTTCTGAGATAGTAAATTAGAGAAGAAAAACATATTCTCTATTTAATAATAATTCATCAAAACCAGTTAGAAAGATTACTGTAACTTGATCCTCACACATAGTTTCTGAACATATGCTCTAAAAGCAGATGATGTCACACTTTTACATATTTTATGTGTTATCTGCTGACTTAGCCAGAGCTAATCACACCACCATATGGCTTCACATGAGACAGCACTGCTCAGTCTAAGTACAACAACGGTCCGAAGTAGACCTCGCCATGTAATTTTAAGTTTTTATACTCTTGGTTATGTACCTCGATGTGAACATTCCCAAATCAGCAAGTGCTGTCAAGTAGCATACTTCTATCCACTGTTCTTACACCAAAATACTAGCAGATGGTAGGCATATGGAAAACACTGCCTGAAAGAAGGAGCATTAAATTGAAACTCACAAAGAGTTTTACTTTGACTTAGTAAGCAGCACTGGAACTATATGCCACAAATTCTACAAAAACTAGCTTCTACATTTTCATTTTTAAACTGAGATGGTCTGAAAGGAAATAATAGTACTTGAAATCCACTACTGAAGATGCATTGAGTGGTAGTGATGAACCAGAGTGTCTTATATTGAAGAATGTTCTTCATATTTTGTCCACTTCATTAGCAAACATGGAGGAAAAACATAAAGAGCACCTTTCTGTGTTGCCCCATCACCTACCATAACTTCATCAATTCAATAGTGGGTGAGACCAGGACTTGTTGTCACTGTTTTTATACTCTTACATATTTCTTGGAATCAATAAATCATATATAAATAAAATGTGTACCAGATGAAAGACCAAAGTCTCAGGTATATATTTCATGGTTGTGTCATTTTCATATCTTGTGTCAGTGCAGAGTTATAAGCAATCACATAAATGATGTGAACATGTGTCATGTTGCCCCATCATCGGGTAAGTTGTCTCACTTTAAGGGGTAAGATGTCACAGTTGATTTTGCAGCTAATAAAACAAGGACAAAATTATTGTTGTTCTCATTTTTTTTACATGAAAGTGAACATCAAAATCAGGCACAGAAAATGTTTATCATTGAGTTAGAAAAGTCGTTGAACAAAAGTTAACATAAAATATTATGCAACATGCTCTGGAGTTTGGAGAGCTGTCTGACTCTGTGTTTCAGCTGGGGTGAATGTTTTGCTGTACCCAACCAAGATAGTTGACATTAAAGTCCATGTAAAGCACAGGTGTCAAACTCAAGGCCCGGGGGCCAAATCTGGCCCGTGGAACAATTTTATCTGGCCCAAGAGATCATATCGTATTTGTATTATTATTGGCCCACCAGTGTGAAATCTGCAGAGTTCATCCAGTATGATAATGTAAACTTTAGCACCATTATTTAAAATATACTTTAAAAAACACAAAAATCTGGGACAGTAAAGAGTAAGGAAGATTTTATAAATAGTCAAAAACGTGGGGAAAAAAATAATTGGTATTTGATTTCATATTTTCCATTGTGAATCCCAAGATTACAAGTCAAACATTATTTTATTTTTTATTTCATGCATTGACTTTTTTCAACTCAGTATTTAGACTTGTGTAATTTTATACTTTAGATTCTGATTTATAATTTTTAATTAATATTTTGACCTTTTAAACCTGATTTCAATGTTCTCTTCATGTATTTGCTCTTTGGAAGCATTATTCTTCTTCTTTTAATATCATGTTCTGATCTTTTGAACTAATAAATAAAAATAAAATAAAAAATAAAATAATTTTTTAGATCGCCATTTGCCTTTAAACTTATCTTTTTATAGTTTTTGAATCTTCAAATGATTTATAATCATTGCTGTTTTTGTTATATGTATTTTGAAAAGAAGGTTGACAGTTTTGGTTAAATGTTGACCCTGCCCTCAGGTTAGACCTAAATCCAGATTATGGCCCTTGCTGTGGTTGAGTTTGACACCCCTGATGTAAAGGAAGAAAACTAGTATTCTAATTTTTAGTTGCGCCCTCTGGTGGCAAAGATAATTGCATTGCAACAACTTACCCGTGGCCGTGTGACAACAAGCCCTGGTCTCCCCTACCTGTCTGATCATGTCAGCAAATATTTTAAAAAGTGCAGAAGTTTCGTAAAAGTTGAATTTGTGGTAGAGCTGTTGTGTTGTGTTGAATTGAAGTTCATAATGATTTGGCTCATCCTTTTTCTAAGCATTAAAACTGACCCTGATATTGATGCTTCCTGAAATTTCCTCTAACCCAACTTACTCGAGCTCCTAGTGCTTCTTCTGTATTATCATCGCCACACCAACAAAGACTTAGCTTATGTTGTATTTATTTTTCCATTAAACAACACATTGGCAATAGTCGCTCTGTATTTTTCATGCCTCTCAGTACACATCACGCAGACCAACGTCTGGGCGTGACGTCACGGGCGGGGCGGGTCCCAAATTCCAACTGTGGTCTACTTTTGTCTCTACGTGGAGGAGGCAGGACTGCTGCGAACTGGACGCTGTCTGGAATTTCAGGCGCACCGACAGTGAGTACCAATTTCCTGGCAACTTCTAGACCCAACAACTATTTACAGCTAAGCTTTGTCTCCGAAGCGTTTTTTACTCAAATAACATCCTTGTCGTAGTCTTTCCTTTCTCTCTGATAGCCGTTATCCTCTGTTTGGAGTGGAGATGGACTCGCGGGAGTAAACAGGGAGAGAGCTCCCTGACCAGAAAACTTGCATGTCTGTCACTAGCCGGTTAGCGTTAGCTACACCTTCACTGTAGCCTTTTCATCACAGCTAAGGATGGGTGAGAGGCACATTCAGACACTTAAAACAGTCTCCGAGTACTTTAAATTTGGACAGAATGTCAAAAACAAAAATGTGGTAGCGTGAAATTCAGCATGGTTGCACAATGAAGTGTTTGTCGTGGGAAAAAAGCAGGACAAGTGTATTGTGTCTTCGTGGTTTTGGAAATTAAAACTTGTATTCGTAGACATGACAAATGTCCAAGTGCGGAGTAAGTGAGACACAGGCAGGTTTGTTCTTTTGATACACCCCCTCACACACCGGGGATGCCACATAGCAGCTAAAGTCTGCACTAATTTCTAAATGTTCCCGGTAAACAAACTGGTGCAAAATTAAGACAAATAGACACAATTACACAAACAAGGTTTTTACTCCACCTGAAGCCTAAGAGGTCACTTTCTGTGGGTTGTAAATACCTTTAATAATTAATGGCATGTTGACAAATGGCGTGTTTTTTTTTCGACACTTTACACAATTTGAGTCCTTTTTCTTAAAATAAATATTTAACCTTGAGTGAAATAGACTGACCCCACCCTCTCCTTCATGCGTTTCTTTGAAATTGTATTGCATATTTGCTAAGGTGGACCTCACTCTGTCAGTGTTGTTTCACTAAAGTCTGACAGCGTGACTTTGACAGTCTGTGTTCTTGTTTGTTATTTCTGTGGTAAATAGGTGTGATGTTTTGTTGGTGAAGGTATTTTACCGTGAAATGGGACAGGCTGGTTAGACAGTCTGTGTTTTGGCACTCGTGTAAAACAGTGGTCTATGTGAACTTGTTTGCTGCTCTGAGTGATTTAACAGACTTTTCCTGTAGAGACATCTGGGGCGGCAGCACATGTACATCTGGCATCCCGCTTGTGGATAATTTTAGGGACATTGTTGAGTGAGGCAGTCTGATAGTTTTGGATTGACCTATATTTTAACTAGCTGAAAATAAAATAAGAACTGTGCAAGATAAATATTTCCTCTTATTTGTGCTTCATTTAGGTCTTGTTTCTCTCTTTTGAATGAGACTGTGCAGACAACTGCTGCGGACAGAAAGTTTGAAATCAGTCACTGACGTCATGGCTGTGGGGACAAAGCATTGTTCATGTGTCAGATGTGAAAAATGTGCTTTTGCTGTCATTTATTTTAACAGCACCTGCCATTACCTTACATGGCGTGGTCAAAATGCCCTATGAGTGTGCATGTGTGGTATGTGTGTACTGTACTTCACAATGGCAGAAGTCAAGTCCTCTTATTCATGATGCAGAACCACGCATGAACACCGATTGTTTTAAATACAGACATTAGCGCCTGATGTTATTGGTGTAAAGACAAACCAGACAGTCAGGAAGGGGGAGGGTGTGTGCTTGTATTTTGTTGCTGCACTTACAGGTGCTCACACCTGTGAAAATGAACAGGTTGTCCCACTTTCTGTGCTGTCAAGATTTTAAACAGGTATCTTCACATGTTTAGGGAAGTGAAAGTGACCAAGTTACTGGCTAGAACCACTTTATGTACTTTTTTTAGCACTTCAGCTTTGTGATTTTGAAGCTTTTACACATGCTGTCTGTAATTAGACTGACTTTATCTAAGACTCACCATTCCTCTGAAATAGGCTTGGTTTTTATCAATTTAATCTGCATAACAAAGACAGTAGGAGTAAACCATGTTGTTTGATGTTGATTTGTCTGAACTAGCCAAATCCTGTGACTAAAAGATTAGTCATAGAAAATGTGGGGCTACTAGATGAGACATGAGCAACGAGATCAAAACATTTTCAAAATAAACTCTCTTCAATCATTCACAGAGGACTGAATGTAAAAGCAGTGCCTGAAATCTTTCCCAATATTTCGTCATTTACAACAATGGTTACAAAACCACAAAGACATTATTTTTGTGTTTGTGTGTCTGGAGTTTGGGGTCAGCTAAATTAGAGCTGGCCTGAGGTAAATAGGGACAGTTTGCTGCTATAACTCAGATTATGTTAGTGTGCGCGAAGGTTGGGATGACACATTTGTGCTGTGTGAGTCTTCTGTATTTAAAGGATAATGCTTTACAGGGCTTTTGTTGAGTAATGGCCGTCCATTATAGGTGTGGCTGCACCCAACTGATTCAGCAGCGCCTCAGTAACCTGTTGAATGACATTCCTGCATGATGGTTTGTTGGGATTCTTGCACTTAAACATAGAAACGCTTTAACTTCTGCTGTGGTTTTGCAGTTTGTTCGGTTGTCTTTTGGTGAAAATATTGTACTACAGAAAGAAAGGTAAAGGACGAAGGGACAAGGGACCATTTAATTTGAATATTTCCATGATGATTCACTGTTTGCCCAGCTTCATGAGCTTTTATTACGCCCCTCAACCCAGCCCAGGGCGGGATACTCACAGTTGTATATGATGTAAGAGGTGTGTAAGCTCTGTGTGCAGTATTTGTTGTCATCACCTTCTCTTTACCTGTTCGCATGTCCATGCTTATCTTATCTACACAAGGTAAAGAGGAAATGAAGCAACAGTGTTACAGACTGCTGGGTGTAAATGGGAATCAGTTCGCCTCACATCTGCAGGCGATTGGGACTGAGTCAAAGTGCCCACGTTCCTCTCACAGACGTTGTTGGGTGTGTTCATATGAACTTGACCACACTTGGGAAGGGTGCCCAATCTATTTGTGTGCCTCACATTTCCCATGTAACTGTGTGGATGAAACACTGGCGGGTGGGGTGTGTCAGCAACACACTTTTAAGTGAGCCATCTGGGAGCAGCTCTCTTCTTAAGAAATCAACTAAAAGCTCCATCAAAAGTGATTGTAAACAATGTAAATGAGCTGTTTTTGGATCAGCAACTAAAATAAGTGCTTGAAAAGAATTGTTACGGATGATATCCCTGTATAAATGAACGGACACGAACCGTAAAGGAGTCTCGGATAAGTGGTAAACGACTTCAAGGATACAAAACTGGTCCTGTTGCTCTTGTTTTGCTACTACTAGATCATGTGACCTGAGAAACTGACAGATATGTGTGGAGGCCTTTGTTGTTTATTTTCATTTCATTAAGCTGCACTTCCTAATTTCTGGAACTCAAGTGATGTGAGATTATTGAGAGTGACAAAAGTTTTAGTAGAGACCAGCTCATGTGTCACTGGTATTTGGCAGATGATGTTATAGTCATCTTTTGAGTTGGAATGAAAGTAGGCCTTTTCCTACTTACAAAAAAGTGCACCAATATGATGATTAAAAGTTACCCAGACAGGTATTTTCTTTAACAAATAACTTGATCAAACAATATCGAATATTATTAGTTATTGTCAACCATTCCTACATGTCTACAGTTGCTGTAGACAGAGTATTTAAAACTGTGGAGTCAAAGAGACAAACAGCATGATAAACTAGGCTGTCCAGTGTAAACAGTTACTACAGTAACTTTTATTTTGATTATATAGGTATTGTGATGTGAGAAGAACTTAATAATCCGAACTGGATACAGCAAACAGTGGGTTGGTTATGAACATAGCAGACCTTTGCGATATGGACCAAACATGTAATGCGCACTTATTTAATGTAGGCCTATTGCATCAACAAAATGTAAAAAGTGTAAAAAATCAGCTAACATCGAAGAGTTCAACCATAGCTCACCGTTTTTCTACTGCTATCTGTTTGCAATATGATTCTTCTGAGTCAAAAATAATTCAAAAATCATTTATTGGCAACTCAAGTAGCACCAGTTAATTTAAAGTTATCTGATGTATTCCCTGTCCATTTTTCTATTCTTATACTGTTTTTAATACCAGGACTTCATTGTCAAACGATACTAATACATTTTCAAACAAAACTAAGTGTTTGACAAACACTGATTGCTTGCATTCTACTCGCTTTAACCAACAATACACTCTCTGCATCACCACATTGTTGTTTGTTTGTATAATGCACTGTTGGGGGGACCGTTGACTTTGGACACTCCTCATGCATTTCCTCCCATTGTGGAACTGATTGCAAAATACCACCTAAATGGGTGCTGACATAATGCCTAGGTTGAGCTGAGGTCTAAAGTGGCACCCCTCCCTCTGAACAAAATATGCACTAATCAATACCAGTAGTTGTTGATTTCATAACTTTCCAGATTATACAAGAATAAATTATACTTGAATCAATCACAGATCCAGCATTACAACATGGACACCATTAATGTTAGGTGATTATGGGCCTGTTTTAATATTTGTTGGCATTAGAGAGAGACTGAGACAGACCACATTTTGAAATAATCTGTATCAGTCTAACAGTTCTAACAGTGTTGCATTCAGAGATTTATTCATAGATAGTTTCTGAACAGAAACATGCAATGGGGGTGAGTTTTTGTTGTTGTATGCTTAGATTGGGCATCTGGCTTGTAACCGAGTCCATCAACAAATACAAACATTAAAAAATGTGCTTTGAGATCGCTTCAGGAAGGTGGAGGAAATGTTTGTTTTGATATAACTCTCATGCTCCCAGCTATAAATGTTTGCCCAAATAAAAAGATAAATCACTTTTCTGTCAGTTATTGGCTATTGTTGAATATAAAATATTTACGATGGATGTAAAAACTGATACAGTTATTGCCTCCTGACGTAGATATCAGTCATGCTCTAAAATCACAACCCATTATTTATCTTAAAGTAGTTTAAAATTCATCTGAAACATGTAAATGGTTAAGAAAACTATGTTTATTAGTCTGAAATGTGCTTTGTTCTTTATCTGCTGTCATTGAATTGAATTGTATTTTATCAAATAGAAAAAGAACAACAAGATATTGGCATTATGTACCTTCCATCTGCCAAACTGCTCTCTAACTCTGACTTAAATTTTACCAGCTGTAGTTACACGCTTTTAGGCAAACAGGAGTCCCTCCATTAGCGGGCTTGCTGCTGCGTTCCAAGTGTAGGAACTGTTTCTTCTCTCGAACGCAGCACACGGTACAGCTGTCAAAGACTGCAACTGTCTTTGGAGCCTGACACTCTGAACTCATTTTCTACTGTTACACAAGATTTATTGCGGCGGTTGGTTACGCCAGTAACAAACCCTCTATTCTTTTGTACCCTGGCGATGCGGCTCACATTTGTCCTCTGCCATCTGTGCCCTTGCTCCATGTACTTAACCTCGCTTCTGTTCCCACTCCCCCACCCCTGTCAAGGGTGTGACGAGGACTGGCAGGGGACGTGATGTTTGTCGGCCCTTATTTCAGCCAGGCTGACTTCAGCAGCCGCATTTCACATCCTTTTGGAGAGAAGTTATATTTAGCAACAGTGGCAATGCCGTTTTCCTAATGGTTTAGTCAGGGGTTTGTGTTTGCCCTCATTTAAAGTTTCTCAACACGAAGACGAAAAACACTGCTCTATTTAGAGTCTTGGAGAGGCGTTTAAACACATTAATCAGATTAATATTATTCATTCAGCTTTGACAAATGTTTTTACAACATTTATCATTACTTTATTTAAATAAATGTATGATTTTTGTACAATCAAGTGCTTTCATTTCATGACTTAGTTGTGTTTGTAAGTGTGGTATCGCAGGAAGTGAGTCATATTTCAGAGAGCACATGGCGGCTGTTGAATCATCTGTCATGAAAACTATTCATAGTCTCATTCATGAAAGAGGATGCACGGATATTTGTTCAGTGTCGTCTGCCTGAGAGCCTGTTGGGAAACTGTGTGTAATTAACAGTTTGTAAGCATTGTTGCTAATAGTCAGATGGATTATGATTCAAACAACTAGGTATCTGACAAAAATGGTTTGTGGAAACGAGGAATGGCCCTGCCTGGGATTTCTGACTAATACTGGGTGAAAAAAATCTGTGCTAGAAATCAGGAAATGGGAGCACTTTTCTGTCTGGAAAATTCAGTGATCCTTAGCTACCCACAGCATAAACCTCATCTTTGTTTTCTGAACACTTGTGTTGGAGAGGAATGCCATCATACCAGTTTAGCCTTGGAGAGAGGCAGTATACCCTGCCCCTTTCTCTCTGTGTGAGTGAAGCTCGATCTGCCCAGGCCTCAAGCATTACTCTGCCACACAGAACGGGGAAAAGCTACTACAAGGAATTCCTTACGTTCAGTCATTTTCAGCTTGTTGCTGCCCCTTTTTTTGGATGGCTAAATGCGTGTGGGTTTAGCCAGGTCTTTTGACTTGAGTCTCTGAATGAGTGAGAACACTTTTCTGACAAATTGGACAAAAAAATAGACCAAACTATGTTAGGATGACCCAGAAACAGAGGCAGACAGACATGATATAAATTGTTTTTAAAGGTATTTTTCAGTGAGTGGGTGTTTGTTGTTCCAGTTTCCTAATCTGTTAGAAGCATTTGTAGGAATTCCTCAAACCCCTAACTCCTGAAGTTATCTCAGCTTCTCTCGTGTTTTTTAACAGTATGGGGTTGGTGCTACACAATGGAACTAACAGGAAATTACTTTGATAATAGGGGAGAGTAGGCTTGGGGGAGGAAGGCAGCTCAAGAGAGAAGCTAAAGATATGATCACCAGGGGTGGAGATCAGCAGGGATCAGGCAGCTGTGAGGTCCTTTTTCAAGACTTTTTAGATCGATTAGAAAACTAACTCTGGTTCTAGCTTGAGAGGTCACCTTTCTGTAAAAGTGGAGGCAGAAACCTGGAGAGTGTTTTGTGATCTGAGAAGCAGAACAGCGGTCAGTGAGATGATTAACTTCAAGGTTGGGAGCATGGAGATCAGGCAGGTTGTTTTTGACAGGTTTGCTGCAGCCTGGAGAAGTTTCCATGGTGACGGGAGGTTTAACAGAGGCTGATGAAGAGATCTGTGATGATAAGTCAATATTTAGATCTGTTGATCAAAAGAAAACTGATCCCAGTTCTGCACTCCTCCAAGCAGAAATGTCAACATTTTCAACGAAAGGCTCTTGTGCTTCTGGATTTGTGGTTGTTAATAAAGAGCCTTCGGTTTTGTCACTGTCGGTGTGTGAGGCAGAAAAATTGAAAGACACAATTTCAAGCCAGTGTAAATTGAAATGAGCATTTTTCACCACATTTAAGGTTTTTTTTGACTGAACATTTCAATGAGAATATTATCATCAGATAATGTGAGAAAAGAAATGACCCTTCAGTCCTGCTGATCGTTTTAAAATCCTCTATAATCTACGTCATTGACTTTGTATTCTTTTTCCCTTTTGCAGTCTCACATTTCTCTGACTGACCAGCTGGGGTCATACACAGAAAATGTCTGGAAAGATAACAAACGAGGAGCGGGAGGAGATGGAGACAATGTTCAGTAAAATTGGTAAGTCAGATCCACACCACAATGATCTTGTTTTAACTAGTTTTACTTCTCTACCTTGTGTCTAATATTTCTCATGTGTGTTTGTAGATATGGACGGGGATGGATTTATCTGTGAACATGAACTTAATGATCTCCTCAAAGACATGGGTTACCCTCTTCCGGGATACGTGGTCCGAGACATCATCCAGAAACTCGATCAAAACCAAGACAAAAAGATCAGTCGGGAGGAGTTTGAATCGGTATGTTAAGCAGAGAAACTTCTCTTTGTTTTCTGTTCTGGCAAACAGCACCTGGGTCCTCGACACTACCAACCTTTAGCAGCTTCATGCACAACAGGGCGGGAAGGCCTCCTAAAACCACACACATACATATTCAGGAAATGTGGAAGTGAGGCCAGCAAAGTGGTGTGAGCTCGAGTATTTAGTTTCAGCAGGAGAAGAGGGAGCAGCCATTCACAGAGGCAGCTTCTGGTCCTGGAGTGGGAGGGTCAACCTGATATACTGCAGTTCAGGCTGCAGAGCGAGTCATTTACCATCGTCGGTAGCCCTGGCTGTAGTGGTGACCGAGTGACACAGGCTGAAAAGGGGAAACTTAAAACTACATGAGGTTTGAATAAGTTTCACTCTACTGTGAACATGTTTCAATCTTAAACATTCTTCATTTACAAATCAATCTTCAAAGTTACCAAGTTTCAGTTACCAAACAGATTGAAATAGCCAGTGTTGCATCTTTATGACCTATAAGTGAACAAGACCAGAGTAATATGTAACGCCTGTCTCTTCTGAGGGGCAGTGTGACCAATAAGGCCACCCACAGCATACCAAAGAAACAGCCTTTTTACTTTTTCCACATCAAATATTTACAGTCAGTGACAGGTTCAACTGTTAAAAGATTGTACTTTTATTTCAGAAAGCATTAAATGCACAGATGTACCTCTTGGCCTACAGGGGGCGCTAAAATTAAGACTAGCAAAGTCCCTCTCAGCAGCTTTAAATGAAAATAGAAGCAGAGGTGGCACAAGGGACGAAGGTGACAGTGCTCCAGTTGTGTGTTTACTAGCTGTCCTTCTCGGACTCCTGCAACCACGTAATGTGATGTGAAACCACACACCGTGACATCCAGTATTAGACTGTTTGGAGATGCAATTTCCAAGAAGAAAGGTGTAGGTGTGGTGGAATTTTGTTTTAGCTCCATATTTGAATTTTTTGTGCATAAGAGGCTACTGTGTCAGATTCTTATGATACAGTGTTTAATCTAGCTCAGTCAAATGCACTTTGTTTAATATTGATAAGTATAGGGAGAAGGAGAAGGTTTGTCGTCTACACAAGTGTGCTCAGCACAGGGTGAGCAAAGAGAGGAGGCATACTACTTTGTCCACTTTTTGCTTTTAATATGATTTGCATTTCAAATAAATGCAAGGGACTTATGCCCTAATGAAAGGATAAGCACTTAGTAAGGAAAACATCCCATTTTACCCTTACTACAACAATTTATACTCTATGGATATATATTATACACATAATCTACCAGATGACCCCTGCAACCAGCTGATCTATCAGCCTGACAGAATATCACCCAAGTTTTCTCTCTCTGAACACAATAGGCACAATAGTTTTCCCGATTTCTGTGGTGATGGCTGCTCATCAGAAGTAGCTCTTATCAGAAATGCAAAAATGTTACACCACCAAAGCACTAAGGAGTTCTTATTTCCTAATGTAGGAATTAACTAACCTCTCTAGTCTTTCCTCCTTTGATAGTGGTACTCCATAAACTGATAGTGGCAACACCAGCTGAGTAAATAGTCAAAACGCGAATTTACCTGATTAGCCTGGACTTCCCTTTCCTTTGCTATCCCTTCGATATCTTTTCTGTTCACTGTCTTTCAATTCTCCGTACCACTGTTATACCGTCCACCTAAACCATTCACTGGCTTTTCTTGCATTAAAAGGATTTCCTCTCCATCGACATAAAACTTTCTTTCTATCAAATTCCCTCTACTCTCAAATCAGAGGGAAAATGGCCGGCCTTTCCATCTCTCCCATCTAGCACTGTGAATGCTCCTAGTGAAATAGTACATCCTGTCATAATACATACTTTTAGTCCCTGCCAATTTGTTGTCACACCTATCTTACTTTTAAACATCTAAGTAGCTGTTAGGAATCCATTCATCGGGTGTACAATGACCCCTGGCACCCTAAGAAAGTGAAAAAAGCACTCGAGCTAAACCAAACACATTTGCTAGGTCTAAAAATACTGCATGCAAATCTCTGTCTTTATCTGAGCAGTCTCCCTGCAAACACTGGAATTTCTGCCTGCTATGCCGCTTTACTAAAAGATATAAAGGTCACAGGTTATTTCTTAAAAAAAAAATTGTATCAGTAAAGTAAAGGTTTTTGTTAAATTTTTTACATGCCAGCAGTTCAGCCATTATACATTGGCACACCTTGTAGAGGATACTATTTAAGCAGTCAAAGTGTGATTCCAGCGAAGGTCACTCCACATTGGTATAATTTTTTGAGGTATTAACTTCACTCATGATGTGAAAATAGCCGCTGTTTTGCAGTGGGGAAAAGCATTAGGTACTTTCCATTTAGCTGCTAGACAGCAGTGGCTGTAGTGTTTGAGAAGCATTCCTCCAATTGGCTTGGAGAAAATTTTGCTCTGCAGGACTTATTCTAAAAATCCAGATTAAGCGTGTGGGAGTAAAGATGATATCCTGCTTGGGGGCCTGTAGATGGGAACATAGAGTTGAAACAAATCTTTAAACAAACTTTTCGACCTTACAATGTTACGATATTCTTGTTGTGGGTATATCTTTGACCTAGAGAAGCAAAAAGAAAAAGGAAAAAAATGCCAGCTGGCACCATGTGGCCTTGTGAGTGAGTGTTTGTGGTGAAGTATGCTGTGCTGTTTTAAACAAGTCTCACAGCACCAGGCTGAATGGCTCATTGTGGTCACAGCAGCGCCTGTGGGGCTGAGGTCACTGATGAAGTAGCGATTACTCCAGGTCCAGGAAGTTTCACACTTATTACCATAGAATACGTATTGTCATAGCTGTCTAGCCTGACACAGCTCACATGTCATACTTGACTGATTATTTAAAGCAGTGTGAGTTCAGAGCTCTCTATGATCGCATCAGATGATCTGATGTTCAGAGATGATTGTTCAATAATGGGATGTGAGGACAAGCCTGAGGTTGATGTTATCGAGAAGAAGTTAACAGCTGCTGCCCTGGTGGTTTACTAATACTGCCAATAAACTCTGATTATATACCGGCACTCCACTCTTGCTATACCCCGAGTAGATATGTATTGGATACACACTCACTGCAGTTCACAGGAGCTTTTATGACCAATAAAAGCCATCAGCTCTCTCTTAAACTGATTTACCAGGCGTAGTGTTCAGCACGTTTTCTAAAACCTTTAGGAAGTTGATGTTTTCATGTCAGGGAAGATAAATTCCTGTAATGCTGATGTGTCTACAGACTGGCCTTGTCGGTACACTGAAGTGTGATAACACAAGTGAAATAAACAGTTCAAGGAAAAGACATGATTGAGGCTTTAAAATGGAAGCGCAAATACATCTACAGAGTGTTTACTCTCTTAATTCGTCCTTAGATTCTTTGAATAGATAAAGAATTCAAGAAAAATGTCAATGACAGATTTTTGGAAGGCAAAAGAATCAAAATACTCACATAACTAAAGTTCCACATCAAGTGAGCAGAGTTGTGCTGTTTTAACAAAATCTGTAATTAATCTGGTTCTGATTTCTAAATGGATTTGTAGATACATTGAATTGATGGCTGCTTTATTGGGTAGACCTATACAGCACACTGGTCTAACTGTTCAGCTGGAAACTGGACTTTAATTAAGTTTTTTTTTTTGTTTAGCTTTGTTTGCAATGTCATAAATGTACTTATTTAAAGATAGACAATCCACCGTCCTAAAGTAAAAGTGCCCACATAGATATCCTTTTAGTAAGTTACAACTCAAAGATAATGTCTGTCCAGTGGATAAACCATTAGACAATCCACCGTCCTAAAGTAAAAGTGCCCACATAGATCTAACCTGTTTGTCAATGTTTGGCCACTATTCAAAGTCTGTGTGTTAATTTTAATACTCAAAGTTCATGTTCAAATGAGCCCTGCACTGTGGGTGATGCTTTTGGTCATGGGATGCCAAAAGATAGAAAGTAAAAAATACTTAAAAAGTTACAAAAAGTCCTCAAAATACTGCTAGAGGCTGATCTTAATGAATTATGCCTCCCTGTGCAGCCCTGCCTGTTGTCATGCAGCAGCTGTTCTGTTCACCTCCTAACAGAGTGTTACACAAATTACTCATATCAATTATGTCAGTCAGTTTCATCTTTAAAAAAACAGGTTAAATTAAGGTATTAGATGATTAAATTAACTGTCCAAATCAATGAATATTCTCTGAATTCTCTGCTGGGGGAACACTGTTTTCGAGAACTTGTGGTGATAAGTCTATTATGTCTTGTTTCAGATCATCGACGACCTGAAGTGCAGGGAAATAGCAAAAACTTTCCGCAAGGCCATTAACAGAAAAGAAGGCATCCTGGCTATTGGAGGGACGTCTGCGCAGTCGAGTGAAGGCACACAGCACTCGTTCTCTGGTAAAGACACACAATCATCAGCTTTTCTCTCCAAAGTTCCAGTCACTTTTTATTTTTGTGAACAACGTGACCTACAAAATTTTTGAAAAGAATAGCCTTTTGTGCGATGCTGTCTTAATTTACTGTCGCTATTTTGCTTGTATCTCACATGGGGTTTATTTTGAATGTGTTTTGTTTTTGCCTGTTTGTTTGTTCCAGAGGAGGAGCGATTCGCCTTCGTGAACTGGATCAACTCTGCTCTGGAAAGGGACCCTGACTGCCAGCACGTCCTGCCCATGGATCCCAACGATGACTCTCTCTTCACATCTGTAAGAGATGGTATAGTCCTCTGGTAAGAGTTCCTGTCTTAAAATCAGCAACTTATCCACTCTTCTTGACTGAGCTGTGTTGTGAAATACAGTAAAAGTCAAATACCTGCATCTCATGGCACTTAGTGTTTTGAATTCAATCTGGCTGAAAAAGGAAAACATGAGCCTTTATTGGAGATTTTGAATTAACCTTTAAACATAACTGCAGAGGGGATGCTGCTAGAAAGCAACTTGTGCGTCCAGTTTTGTTAAGGCCAGTTGTATACTGTTAACTTCCTGAAGCTAACTAAACAATAATTGTAAAATTCATGTGCCATGAATATCAAGTCTTACTAGTGATGAAAAAGAAACAAAATGTGTCTTTTAAAGCACCTGTAAGGGATTTTAAGCTTGTTATGGAACACGCTTTGATATGTACTTAATACCTCTCCAAACAGACAATTTTTCCTTGCTCAGGAGTTCTGTTTTGTTATTCCTGACGTCTGAAACAGTTGCAGCAGGGTATGCATCATTTTCCATTGTGAGAGAGCTGTGGTAAAGCAGTGCAGTGGTATATATAAATCTACGTCATGTTGCCACAACATGGTGGGAAATCAAGTTGAGGTCTTTCTTTTTAACATGTTTGACGGGCTTTATAAATAGTTGAAGGCATGTTGATGATCTGAGAAGCAGTTGAAAAAAACTCAGCCGTTGAGGCAGATTTGAAAAAAGGAGGGGGAGGGGGCAAGTCAGAACTACGGGAGAGGGGGGGGTGTCGAATACAGCGAAGTGATACGATGGAGAGGCGGAGCAGGAGATTGACCAATTGGAGCTGGGACGGATGGCTCCCATTGGTCAATGTTTTCGCAACCCTGCACCTGCTCGGGTCAACAGATTTTTTTCATTCTTTTTTCTCTTCACATTGTGGAGATCTCACTATAGCACCATGATCACCATATAAATGAGGTTTTTAATAATAACCAATCTCTCCAATTGTCAACCATGCCTTTAAGGGCCATGACGTAAGCTGGGCTGGACCCCAAACCTTTGTGATTAGGAAGGTAGTTATGGTTAACACAATAGTAACTGAGTATCTGAAAATGTATCTTCTGCATTTCAGGCACGTTTTTGTTGTTATTCCTGCCTTAGTGTAGAACATGGATACTGAATGACAATGTGATAGATTTCCTGTCTGGTCTCTTCACAGCAAAATGATCAACCTGTCAGTTCCAGACACCATTGATGAGAGGACCATTTCCAAAGGGCAGGCATCCGTATTTAAAGAGAGGGTCAGTGCAGTTTAATGTGTACCAGAGCTGCTGTTTCTCCTTTTTAATGCAAATGTTCCAACAGATGATGCTTTGTTCACACAGGAGAATCTGAACCTGGCTCTAAATTCAGCTTCTGCTATTGGCTGTCATGTGGTGAACATTGGTGCCTCGGACCTGAGAGAGGGGAAGCCTCATCTGGTGCTGGGCCTGCTGTGGCAGATCATCAAAATCGGCCTGTTTGCTGACATCGAGCTCAGCAGAAATGAAGGTGCGGGTCATACCTGAGAGTTCCCACACAATTTGAGTGTTAGATTCTTTGTTTCCAGTTCCTGGTCTGTAGTCTCACTCATCATGAACACCCATTGACAGCACTGGCAGCACTGCTGAGAGACGGGGAAACCCTGGAGGACCTGATGAAGCTGTCTCCAGAAGAACTGCTGTTGCGCTGGGTCAACTATCACCTGGAAAATGCCGGCTGTGCTAAGATCTCCAACTTCAGCAATGACATCAAGGTGGGCCTAACCCCTAATACACTAACAATTTAACATCAGACACAGATAGTGAAACACAGTCTGGTATGAGAAAAAATCATTTCTGTCTGAGTCACAAAGTTTTATTTTTAGAGCTTCTAAAAAAATGTAAGCATTGTTGGTCATATGTGTTATTTTCCAGGACTCAAAAGCCTACTTCCACCTCCTGAACCAAATCGCTCCAAAGGGCACAGAGGAAGACCAGCCCCGCATAGACATCAACATGGGAGGCCTTAGTGTAAGCATAAAGACAGCCAGCACTCACAGCTGACTATCTCAATCACATGTTAACAGCTACACAGTGTCTCTGACCAGAACATGTGGTCTGTGTGTTCAGGAGAAGGACGAACTGAAGAGGGCAGAGGCCATGCTGCAGCAGGCCGACAGGCTAGGCTGTCGACAGTTTGTCACTCCACATGACGTCGTCGGTGGAAACCCCAAACTCAACCTTGCCTTCGTGGCCAATCTGTTCAACAAATATCCAGCGCTGAAAAAACCTGAGAATGAAGATATTGACTGGGGACTGTTAGAAGGTGAGCTGTAGAGTGAAACTACACTTTTGAGATATTTTTACCATTTTATTTACATTTGGGGAACTAACACCATGCACAAACCAGCGCATGGCTCAGGGCAAAATATGTTTTTTGTTTTGTATCTATTCTATCGTCATTAGTTTTCTTTGTTTGAAAAGCCCTTCAAATCTCATGATCCTTTGCTGTCCAGGTGAGACGCGGGAAGAAAGGACATTCAGGAACTGGATGAACTCTCTTGGAGTGAACCCACATGTCAACCATCTTTATGGGTGAGTACACCAAGGTCTCACATTCTTCACAGATTTCCTATTTGATCATGATTTTAAAGCACAATCTGGTCTTGCAGAGACCTACAGGATGCCATGGTCATCCTCCAGCTCTATGAGAAGATTAAAGTCCCGGTTGACTGGAACAACAAAGTCAACATGCCGCCTTATCCAAAGTTGGGGACCAAAATGAAGAAGGTACAGCAGGTTTCTGTCATTTAATGCTGGTCATTGAAGAAAGCTTTTTAAACGTCTTTTTCTCCCTTTTTTGTGCTTACAGTTGGAGAATTGTAACTACGCAGTGGATCTGGGTAAAGAAGCTAAATTCTCCCTCGTCGGCATCGGAGGGCACGACCTGACAGATGGCAACCCTACCTTGACCTTAGCTCTGGTGTGGCAGCTGATGAGAAGGTACAAAACCAGGATCAGATAAACAAAAGAACAACTTAGGTGTACTTCTATGTAGATAATACATCTCACTTGTATGAGCTGGAGTTATTGTCCAAGCTAGGCATGTGCCGATATGAAAAATTTGATATCACGATATTGGTGACCCAAAATATCAGGATTCACGATATTAGCGCATTGCTGTATGTAATCTAATCTCTAATGTCTAAATGTTTCCTCCCCGCGTGTCTTCTTTTACTTTAGCTTATAAAGTTGGCCGTGTCAAGTTCATATATCTGTAGACACTCTTCTTCTCCTCTCTTTCAGGTATACATTGAATGTACTGCAGGAGCTGGGCGATGGAAGTAAAGTAAACGATGATATCATTGTGAAATGGGTGAACAAAACATTGGCAGAAGCTGGAAAGTCAAGCAAAATTTCAAGCTTTAAGGTAAGCATTTTTTTTTTCCTTTATTGACTGAAATGTGAAACTTCAATTAACTAAACTCGATCAAGGTTTTTTTTAGTTTTCTTTTTTTATTTATTTTATCGAGCCTGTGTCACATAAGTGTGAGTCATGTGGTGACATGATCATGCATGAAGGAGAGAGTCGGTGTCTCAATCCTTTGAGTCTGATTGACCACAGAGGTGATTGACAGCTCTTAAAAGCTAGCATATGAAAAAGGGTCTGTGGACAGTTTCTCTGGTGGCCTTTAACTTAGTACTCATTGAATGTGTCTTGCCTGGTCATATTACCATGTCAGAGAGCTGTTGTATAATGGGTTGCATAGTTCAAATGTTGGAAGTGACAAACAAAACCATAAAGCATTGTCCTTATCAGTCAGACTCCTGTGTGTAACATTTCTAATGTGTGTGTGTGTGGTGATCAGGACAAAGAGATCAGCAGCAGTGTGGCAGTACTGGACCTGATAGATGCCATCCAGCCAAACTCTATCGACCAAGACCTGGTAAAAACTGGCACCCTCTCTGAGGAAGACAAGCTGGACAACGCCAAGTAAGATCCTCATTCTGCAAACACAAGGAAGAAAGCCTTCAGCTGTGATTTTTTGTTTGTGTGTGTGTGTCTATGTGTTATTCAGCCGTTGTAACACGCCAACCTTTCTGTCATTTCCAGATATGCCATTTCCATGGCGAGGAAAATTGGCGCCCGCGTCTATGCCCTTCCAGAAGACCTCGTGGAGGTCAAGAGCAAAATGGTGATGACAGTGTTTGCCTGTTTGATGGGTCGGGGAATGAACCGGTGTTAAGAGACTGTCCGGGGTTATTTTGACACTTACCAAACTGCACACAAGCCATTAGCCTTTTGAAAAGAGTAAGAGCTCTCCCAACTGAAGGAATGAAGAGAAAGATTTGTCGTTGTTGTCATTTGAGAATAACAGGAAGATATGAAGTCAAATTCAGAACTTGAGTGTATCCTTGCCTCTTTAGAGGAGTTTACTGAAGAATAATTTGCTGTCTTCTTATAAAAAGGGAGTCCAAAATACAAAAAAAAAACAATCCAAAGAGATGGCTCTTGTGTCAAAGGACAACTTGTTACATTCAATATGCCGACCTCTTGTTAAATGTAAAAGAATGCTGTTTTATAAAGCAAGTATGCATATTTCCAGCTGCAAGGTTGTTTACATATTTTTACTCAGCCTGATAGGTAAATTATATCCTTTGATAAGAAACACAGTCATTCCTCAATACCAGTCTTAGGAATAAATAAATAAATGCTTGGCAAGGTAAACAAACAGTCAGAGGGGTGAAATCTTAAGGTGAAGCACAGTCGGAAAAACACCGAAACACCCTCTCTCTCGTGTAATCATAAACAAGCATGTCTTAATAACTGGCACTATAAACTTACACATATCGCTACATGGAAGCCATACGGTCAGTTTTCAGTAATGACCAGCCTGATCAGCTGTCTGTCTGTCTGTATTCATGTACATGTCACTGATTTGTTTCTGTTATGTTGGAATGTAACATGAGGTAAATGCTGTTTGGGAGGTTGTCTGGGTTTGTTCTGTGGGGCTTCTGTTCTGTTTTTATTTGGTTTTTTTGTTTTTTTGTTTTCTGTCTCTCTTGGTAAGGAGCAGGCTGACTGGACTCTCCTGGCTTCTGCTGTGCCTTTGTTTTAAATCTCAGAGATGACTTGTACGAGCGCTTTGAGGTTTTCTGTTTTTTTTCTATTGTACTCAACATTACCAAGTATAAACAGTTACTTCATTCCAGGTAGTTTGATGATACTCAGCGACAACGGCCAAATTGTATTTGGTATCGTGTTCATGCCTACCCTTAAGTGCTTTACATGTAACAATAAATATGACTTTGAAAGCGAATCGTGTGTGTTATCTTTAGGATGTTTTTAATGGCAATGGAGTTTCTACAGATTAAAGAAGAGATATTTTTAAAGTGATTTGATGCCTATCTCTATAATGCATTATAAATATATGTATAATACATTATAATCACGTTATAGAACTGTATAACTATAGTTATAACACTCATAAATGATCAATGCTTCAGAGCAATAATCAAATTCAATCAATCAAATGTTATTTATATAGCGCCAATTCACAAAAGTCGTCATCCCAAGACGCTTTTCAAAGAACAAGAGCGGGTCTAGACCACGCTCATTGTTTGATGAATTATCAAGACCCAACCTAAGATGGGATTTGGCCCATCTCATCTAATGTGAGTGACAGTGGTTAGGAAAAACTTCCTTTTAACAGGCAGAACTCTTGAGCAGGACCAGACTCATGCTAGACAGCCACCAAGCCGCTGTTGGGTTGGGGAGGAATACAGAGAGATAGGGGGACAGAGGGCAGGGGGAGAGAAAGAGAACAAGATAGAGGGAAGGAGAGAGAGTAGAGAACGAGGGTGAGAGAGAGACGGGACAGCAGCAACATTGAAACAACAATAATCATAACTCATTATAAAGCATTTTATCATGACTTACAAGGTCAGGTATTATAATGTGTTGTAACTGTTAACAACTCATTGACAATGTCCACATAGATAATTCAGTGCAACTGTTGTCAACAGTTATAACACATTATAATACCTGACCTTGTTTGCTAATAAGTGTTGGAAATAATTATTTAACTGTGAAGAATCTTTATAATCTGCTGATCTGATACTCAGCGTGAGCGGTTAATGACGGCTGTTAAAACGGTGTTAATAACTGGCCTAAGGTGAGGGCTGATCAACAGTAAGTGGGTACAGCATGTGAAGAAAAGGTGTCTAGTCTTGCGTTACTGCTAGGTCAAGTTATCTATTTCCTTTTTGTCAATTCTTCACAACACAAGGACGATGTAACTCCTTAAATGCTGCAGAGTTTTCTGTTGACAGTAGCTCCAGATGGAATGAGACTGAATCTTATCTCTATGTTTGGTCTTTTTTAGCTGTACAAATGAAGGGTGTGGCTGCAACTTGCTCCTTTTGTAAAGCATCTTGAGAATTTGGTGTGAAGTAGTGCTCTATAATCAGGTCGTAGATCAAACATGCTGGAAGAAAACATCACCTTTACTTTATGAACCACATTTTAGATAATTTCCTTCTCCTTTCTCTTATCTCAGTTTTTGTTTTACAGCCTTAATGTTTTTATGCTCTTCCTCTTTTTTCCATCATAAAACAATGTGCCTGTTGTAAACTACAACTCATAAAAAGGGAACTGCCTTTTTTATTGTTCATGTTTCCTCTTTTAGCTGCTTTTTTTGTTGGATGACCTCTATGCTGGAATTTTCCCGAATGATTAAAGTCAATAGAAGTTCAGCAGACATCAAGTATGACGTATGATACAGAAACAATACACTGTGATTGATTTGTGGTTATCTGTGGAGGCATTCCTCACAAGCCCAGTTGTAAAACATGTCTTTATAATAGCACAGACTTCAGCTGACATACGATCACTCCTTTCACAGTCCATCAACTGTCTTGTATTATAACAAAGAATATCGCTGGCAGCTTGTATTTTACTGTTCACCAGTCTGTATCCCAGCAAGAAGTCAGGTCCTCCAGGACTCAGTCCCTCTGTGCTTTCCGTGTTCACTTCAACTCTTCCTGTTTTATAAGGATTTGAACAAAGATAAGACTACCACTGGATGTGCTGAAACCTGGATGATGGAGAGAAAGTCTTTAAGGTTCATTTGGTCCAGAGAGTATGTGGTTTTTAAGGGTTTTTATTTGAAAAGAGAGACTATCAAAACACAAACACCAGAGACTTTTTTAATTTCTAAAAATTATATTTAAAAAAAAGTAAAGAAAACAATTTTCATAAAGTTGTGAATTGTATCATCGAGAGAACTTCAGAGGAAAAACGTATATATAAATACATACAATTTATGTAAATATAATTGAAATAATTTTGCTTAAGACAGTGCATCCTAGAAAATAACAGAGTTTAATTTAACGGAAAATATAAAAGTGAAATGAAAAAAAATATTCTGGTCTTTTCCTTGAAGCTCCTCTGAGGACTTTCTGGTTTGTTTTGATTTTGGCGCCCCCTATAGACAAAGTTTGAATCTGGTTATCAGCCAATATTACTTTTTTACTTTATAGGTGTGTGAGTTAATTTTTATGATAAAAAATCTTGTACTGCTTTCTTTTGACAGTCAAATGTCTTGACCATCATGAATTGAAAAATATAAGTAATAGAAAAAAGCTTTTTCCTTCAGTCTGCTGTTAGTCTGACGTCTACCACTGCAGCAGTTTCAGACATTTACAATAATTTTGCAGAAACAGTCAAACTTCAGACTCATGAATTTGTTTGGATTTTTTTTTTTGGGCTGTAAAAAAGCAACAATCACAGTTTTTCATTTAGATTTTCTTATGAGTGAAAAATTCAATCAATCAATCTAACAGGGTCCAAAGACTGTTTTTAAAGGCAACAGGTAGTGACCGCAAGTAGGCACGACTGTTAAGAGCAAGCGTAATCATTTTCAGAGTAAAATTATTATGAATGCCTGAAGTTGCTGCTTGTGGTGTCAGAGGAAGAGATTGACAGCCTGCTGCCAAAACAGATGGTTTTGTTTTAATGGCACAGATTCACAGAAGTGATATATCTTTTGTTATTTAAAGAAAGCAAAATAATTTTTTTTGGAAGGAAACACTACAGTACAGGACAAGATCAGCACAAAAATAGAGGTGAAGACAGTGCTGGTCAGAAAAATAAAGATAATTGAGTTTGTGTGTTTTTTTTTATACAGTTTGATTAGAAGAGCTGAATACCAAACAAAAAATAAGACATCCTGTTGAATCTTGTGTTTGCTTTGTGCCGTCTCTCCAGTGTACAAGACACACAGGAGAAGGGCATTGCCTGTCCCTGATGAGTCCTCTAAAGCTGACATCTGGGCTCTTCACCATGCAAATGTTTCCCTGGCCTGCTCCTCCCATCCTGCCCGCCTCATATATGTGTGCTCAGTCCTACTAAGGACCAGGTGAACCACGTGTTTCTGTTCCTGAGCAGAAAACTTTAAGAGGAGGCACACAGAAAAAATGTGGCGAGCTCCATTTTGGATGTGACTGGTTTTTAAAGGGTGTTTAGATGCAGTTTTTCTCCTCAAATTATTCCTGGTGGCGCTGAGGATGGACTGGTTAAGGAAGAGCTGCTCTGGGTGTGTCTGTGTAAAGTCACAATGAGGATTTTATCAGATTAACCAAAGGAAAGTAAAGGTAAGATCAAAGTTTCATGTGAATGGATTCAATCTTTGATGGCTTTCTTTTTCCTTTTGAGTTTCTTTAAATTAAAAAAATGTTAATTTGATATTTACAGTTGTGTCCCAGTTAAAGAGAAGAGCTACATCTTACATACAACAGATATTTAGATCACTACTTTTTCAAGAGGAAATTCCATTAGGTGGGTTAATTTAGATTTACCTTATTTTTTTATCTTACCTTTGTAATTTGGCACTGCCTGCAGACAAACGTCTAAATCACATTTGCATACAGATTTGTTCCTATAAACAAAACTAAACTTCTCTTTCCTTTGAAGGATTTATCCATAGTGTATATATATATACAAAAGAGTCGTTTTTCTGCTTTTTGCTGCCAGTTATGTTACATAAATCACCGTCTGCCTTCAGCTCTTTGGTTTCCTAAGTGATGCGGTTCCTCGGGGAGAGCAGCTGATTGGCTCACTGAGCCTCTGAGCATCGGGACAACTGTGTGAGCGTGTGTTTTCGTTAATGATCCACCAATTAGTCACACAATGGTAACAGTCACCTAAACACCTCCTCACCTGTCTACGCTGTGGAGGGTGACATTTAGTCGCTGAGTGTGCTCACAGAGAAACGTTTGGGGACGCATTCCTGAATCACCTGAAACTATATTTCAAACAATGCTGCATCTCGACTAAGTTTATCTTTGGTTACCACAGCAACCAGCTGCTGTGTGACGGGCCAGGTGAGGGACTGTGGCAGACGGTCCCAGTCCTTCCCCCTCCCTCAGTCCCCTGACTATAATCTGTCCTATGCACCATCAACACTTCCAGAGACTCCCTGTTAGCTACAAACACCTCTCTGCTGCCACAGTCTCACTGCTGCAAAGTCACACAAAGTATATATGACTGCTGTAACATGAGCGTCCACACACACCTGCAGATCTGAAGATGACGGGCCAGGCAGCAGAGAGAGAACGGTCTCCTCATAATCTGTCAGTGAAGACCACACTGGAGGAGGAGATAGAGAGAGCCGAGAGTATTCTCAGCAGGTAACAACAAATTTAACATGTTTTCAGAGAGAAAGAAAGAGAAGAATGTGCTGCACAAAAATGTGAAATTTTACATGATTTTTCTCTTGTTTGTCTCCACAGGGTACCATCTGTGTGTGATGACACATCCTCAGAGCTACAAAGAGTTGCTGCCCTCGACCCTCAAGGGAGAGGCTCCAGAAACTCTTTTCAGCGAAACGGAGCGATCTCAAGGTAAACCTGTGTCAGCTCAGCCGTGGCACATCTGCCCTCTGTACAAAGCAATTTAAAACATGACCAATCAAACTTTAGCATTTTACAAAAGCTTATAACTGATTTTGTAAAGTTTTGAAAAGGTATAAACCATGTTTGTTCAAGTCCTGTTTAGATGCTGGTCCTACTTTGAAAACAATTTTGTGCCAGAGACACATAATTAGGTGAAATAAATGCAATATTGTTGCATTAAAGTACTTTGAGCAGTGCATGTCTTAAAAACAAATATTTAAGCAAACTGGAAAGATGAACTTCAGTTGAAGACCATTAGAGACATTTTATCCGCTGAAATTAATCTCAGTCTAAAAGGGGATTTTAGTCCAGTTTGGTGGTAAAAGATTTCAAGACTCATTAAAAACATTTAAACTGGATGCCAGGATGAAAATTTCACGATCACATATATATATATTTTTGCAAGCTAGTAGGTTGAAAGCTCACTTTTTCCATTTTAACATCAAATTAGTTTAATTAATTTGGATTCCTCTGTAAAATCATCAAACCAAATAGTCTAGTCTTGGTCTAGCATAGATCTAAATTTCTTGATATACCCCATTAGGCCCAATCATTTTTGGGAACAAAAACTGTTGCCCACGTATCCCTCAAACTCTGTCCAGGTTATAAAGATAAGTATTCTGATTATTTGAGGTGTTAGGATGTGTTGCCGGACTGAATTACCTGTATTTTAATTTTAGTCTGAATATTCATTTCTGAGGACTTTGCTTCTTTTCTTTTTCTGTGTTTCTGTGTCAGACTGGTGAGCCTAGTGTTGAGACTGAGGGAATGGGCGCACAGGAGCCTGCTGGAGGAAGAAGAGCGACCCGACTCCTTCCTTGAGCGTTTTCGTGGTCCAGAACTCAGGACAGCCCCAAGCCGCACCAGCAACACCCAACCTGATGCCAATGGTAACAGTGCCAAAGGAATCTTTAGGTATGTCTACTTGTCTCCATGAAATATTACTTTAGTGTGCACAATACGCAGTAGGTTTAATGCAACCTACACTCAATCATTCATTAATAGATTTTACACTCTGTAGAGTCATTTGTCAGCTGTTATTGTGCAGGGCTGATATTTAGGTTGAGTTTTTTAATATCACAATGACAAGAGAAAATTAGCAGGTTTTTGTTCATCCTAGGCTTTACTCAGCATACATTTACTATAAAAATCTTTAATGATATAATCTATAATCTCTTTATTGAAGGAAAAAGTGGGATCTCTTTGTGGTGTCACCAGCTGATAATGCCTACTACCGCTGGTTGTTTGTCATTGCCACAGCGGTGCTCTACAACTGGTTCCTTGTTGTTGCGAGGTAATAACATCTTAGTATATTTGGAGTCTTGCAGCCTTCCTGTGATGCTAAATGAACAAAGTGAATGTGTGTGCTCATAAAACTTAATCTGATTTTTTTTTCACAGGGCATGCTTTGACAAGTTACAGGTTGGCAACTATATCTGCTGGCTGGTGCTGGACTACATCTCTGATTTTGTGTACCTCATGGACACCTGCGTCCGACTCCGCACAGGTAACTCAAATTACTGATATGGTGTACATTTGAGTTTGTGAATAAACTATGGCAAATTTGTTGAATGCTGAAATAACTTTTGTTCTTTTCAGCAATTAAAACAATGCTTGGATAAACCATGACACTTCTAGAAACTATTACGTGTGTATCCTCTGCATCTGAATGCAACATTTTGGTCACAATTCACAGTATGTATTGTATCTAGTTTTAAAGGGCTAGTTTGACAGGTTAATGTTATTTAGGTTAAGTCTTGTGGATACCACTTAGCACAAACTTTAATCACACTGATAAATTACAAGCTTTAAACAAAGCACTGACACGACACAGGTTGGCTGTTATGTCAGCGCTGTCAGAGAATTGGCATCAGTTCAGTATCCCCCCCAGAACCACTTTGATACAAACAAACACAAACATGCTATAAATATTTAACCGTAGAAGGCTAAACTTGTTCTTCTGTACAGGTGTGATATAATTTTTATTATTGTTTGGCTTGGCTGAGTGCACTGAAAGACATATTGCATAAAACAAATCTTGCACTTAGGGGTTGCAGAGGTGATGCAGGTTGCAGCTCAGCTTGCAGCCCCTTGGGGAAGAATGTTAGATACCCTGATTTTTAATATACTACATGACTGTTTTGTTTTGTTAACCAGTTACTGAGAGTCTGCTGGCTTTGAGAGATGCTACACTCTCCCCTAGCTATGCTATGCACCGCTAACAGTAGACATAACAAATATTTCTATAAGGACTTTGGTCTGTGAAAGTTTATTGCATTTACTTGAGGGTAAAAAATCCTTCTGCTTGTTTGATTTATTCAGGTCCTTCAATATCCTGAAGACAACTCACAGCCGAGAGCGTTCATAGACTGTAAACCATTAATCCAATATAATTTTGGTATGGGTTTGAGGCATTGGGTTACACCGACGTATTTAAGTAACCATGCTGTTATTAATGGTTACCAGTGTTGTACCGGTGTGCTGTGCAGTTTTTCAGATGTAAAGCTAATTCTAATCTGCAGAAGATGCAACATTTCACCAAGATTTGAGCCAAAGCATTGCATGCTTGGTGGATAAAACAGGATTCATTTGATACACATTCTGGCTCGCTACATGACAACTTAACGGGCAACTGGACAAATGCTTAAAATACAGGATGGCCCCCCATTTACTGCAAATGAGGTGCAGTGTCATGTCAATTCAGAGCAGTCGAGAACTTTTTCTCATTAAACTTAAATTTATATTCAAAATAAACTTTTCCAACTTTTCCTTGGAAAAATGTCTCAAGTGAATGTAATACACCTTTGTGTCTGTCTTCAATATTCGATAAGTTAAGTTTAGAGGGAGCTGCTGTCAATATTGTTTGGTTTGACAAGTTCATCCATACATTTGTAGAGGTAAAGAGTGAGCTTGGATGACTGTGGCTGATTTTGTTCCTGTTTTGTGTCTCAGGGTTTCTGGAACAAGGTTTGCTTGTAAAGGACCATGCCAAACTCAGAGACAGCTACGTCAGGACTTTACAGTTCAAGTTGGATGTACTTTCCATCCTGCCAACTGACCTTGCATATATCTCTACTGGCATCCACACACCACAGCTCAGGTTCAACCGTCTGCTGCGCTTCCCACGCATGTTTGAATTCTTTGACCGCACAGAGACACGTACCAACTACCCGAACATCTTTCGCATTGGCAACTTGGTGCTCTACATCCTCGTCATCATTCACTGGAATGCCTGCATCTATTATGCTATCTCTAAGTCTTTGGGATTCGGCTCAGACACTTGGGTTTTCCCAAACATCTCCAAGCCTGAGTATTCCTCCCTCACTCGGAGTTATGTCTACTGTCTGTACTGGTCCACTCTTACTCTCACCACCATCGGAGAGATGCCAGCACCAGTGAGGGATGAGGAGTACCTCTTTGTGGTCTTTGACTTTCTTGTTGGGGTGCTGATCTTTGCCACAATTGTGGGGAACGTCGGATCAATGATTGCAAACATGAATGCCACACGAGCCGAGTTTCAAGCTCGTATTGATGCCATCAAACACTACATGCACTTTCGCAAAGTCAGCAGAGACCTCGAAACCCGTGTCATTAAATGGTTTGACTACCTTTGGACCAATAAGAAAGCAGTGGATGAACAGGAGGTGCTAAAGAACCTGCCAAACAAGCTGCGGGCTGAGATTGCTATTAATGTTCACCTGGAGACGTTGAAGAAAGTACGAATTTTTCAGAACTGTGAGGCAGGACTGCTGGTGGAGCTTGTCCTCAAACTTCGCCCACAGGTCTTCAGTCCAGGAGACTACATCTGCAGGAAAGGTGACATAGGAAAAGAGATGTATATCATCAAAGAGGGGAAGCTGGCTGTGGTGGCTGATGATGGTGTCACGCAGTATGCTCTTCTCACAGCTGGTAGCTGCTTTGGGGAAATCAGCATCCTGAACATAAAAGGAAGTAAGATGGGAAATCGGCGGACAGCCAATATTCGCAGCTTGGGCTACTCTGATCTCTTCTGCCTCTCCAAGGATGACTTGATGGAGGCAGTGACCGAGTATCCAGATGCTAAAACTGTCCTAGAGGAGCGGGGCCGGGAAATCCTGATGAAGGAGGGTCTGCTGGATGAGAACGCAGAGAGCGGTGGGCTGCATAAAGAGGACACAGAGGAGAAGGTGGAGAGGCTGGAGTCCTCTCTGGACACTCTTCAGACTCGCTTTGCCCGCCTGCTCACTGAATACACACACACTCAGCTGCGGCTAAAGCAGCGGATCACGCTGCTCGAGCGCCAGCTGAATCAAACAGACTGTGGCGCAGATGCATGTGAGGAGAACGATGTGGATGCAGAGCCGGTTAATGAGAGAAACTTTGGGCCTGTTGCCAGTGCAGATGGGTCTCCTCTTTGTAATAGTGAACAAAAAGAGGACCAAAAAAGTCCTTAAATGAACATTAACACTTATCAGGTCTCTTAAAAGACTCAACTGAAGTACAGAAAAATTGATCAAGACCTTTTCAACTAAAAATGTGAGAGTTGTCTATCAGATGAGCTGAATGTAAAGAGTTGTCTGCATGTCCATAAACATGAGTAAAATAAAATAAAAAATAAAAAACAAGTTAAAAGCATCAGTCATGTCCATGCAGTCTTTGTAGTGTCTACACCAAACCAGTGAGTCTTATGTGGTTACAAGGATCATCCTCAAAGTAGAAAGGCACTTGAACATCGGACATTTCAGATTTCAAACTTAAAAGCACTCAGCTTTTTTTGGGTGACATGTAAACATCATGTGCTAGGTTGCATCAGCAAAGGGACTTAACTCTCCTGTCATGTTGTAAACTACACTCTGGCCCTGCACACTTTGTCTGCTGCTACCTCTCCTGGGTAAAGGTCCTAGGAGAGATGGCAGACAGAGGTTTACTCGGTTCACTTACACAAACAATTATTTTCCAGGTCAGACTTTCATCACAAAAACTTGATATTTGTCCTAACTTCCTCTGTAGGGAATTATTTCAGCACTTATTAACTGAACCTCGTCTGTTTGCCCACTACACACTGCCAGCCGTGTTCAAGGTAGAGTTACTTTCTGTGTTACCTCCCTTTTCCACGATAAAGACTTGCTCACTAAAGCAAAAGACTGGGGATTTTCCAGTTATTCAGCCTCTGCATTCCAGGATACAACTCAACCACATGAGCAGAGTCGATAAGCACAGCTGGAACAATGCCTCTGTACCAGAGCAGACTGTGATTGAGAGGCAGTAGGTAATGAGAACATATGCACAGCAACCCCTGAAGGAACGCGGCGGGATCAAGTACCACAGACAAATATCCAGTTACTGAACCTGCAGTGTGCTGGTAGGCATGTGGAGCTTATGAAGACCCTTTGGTTTAACATGCTTTTGAGTACTTAAGGTCTATCTAGTCTTTGTTGTTTCAAATATCAAACCTTGCAGCCAGAGGTTACCATTTGGACAAGAGGAAGGAAATGCAAAGCCAAAACATGTTAGCAAAACAGTTATCACAGCTGCACAGTCCAAGCATTTGGCTAATTCAGTAGCTGACAATGAGATGATAACATCAAAGTTAATCAGAGAATAAGGTCCAGTTTGTGGTTCTGCTTGATCAGGGACACAGAGAATTCTGCTGTACTGTATAGTTTGGCATTTTTATATGGAGCCTAATGAGGATTGGTTCTCCTTTGAAGCCAGCATCCAGGTCTCTGTGTATATAGAAATCAAAATGCTCCCTTACTTGAGATGGGGTGATGGTGGCCTTTGGTGGACAAGAAGCTCCTGTGATGCGTCATAAGCATGTTCCTCCAAATGGGATTTTTTTTTTCCATAACAAACTCCAATTGATAAAAGTTCTTCCTCACACATCAACAATCAGAATCTTCATCTTTTTCTCCTAACAGGTGCGTTTCATAGGGCCACTCATTAGATACAAAAACACCTTTGTCACTAGTTTGTCCACTCTCTGCTACTGTAGAAATATGTCAAGATGCAAGAGAGTCTATCCTATGTAGGAATAAATGCTCATTTGAAGTAAACAAAATCATTTTAATATTCAGAAGAATTTTCACTAAATTTAACGTAATTATAAATATGTTACAGTCCTAATATCTCTGCTCTGAAAAATGCTGCCAAAACTACATATAGTGCCTTTAAGCTTTGAATTATTTAGTTTAGGGATAATAGATAATGGTTTTGTATTTTATCGGCTCTGGAGGGAAAAATTCACACAGTTCTATGATAATGGAAAACACTTGAAACAATGACACTAATGCGTGAGTGATTGACAGCAACGACAATCCTAATTTGCAGGTTCATTAAATCAGATTCATTCAGTATTTAGATCTGTTTGGACCTTTTTTTTCTGCTGCTAGATTGTTTTTCTCTTAGCTGAGCATCAGTAATTTTTTACATTTTAAATCTCATCTGATAAAAGATGTTGGGCTGTTTGTTAGCATAAATGTTTGTATTGAAATTATATCAATATTGTCAAATCAATCAATCAAATTTTATTTATATAGCGCCAATTCACAACAGTCGTCATCTCAAGACGCTTTTCAAGGAACAAGAGCAGGTCTAGACCACGCTCATTGTTTGATGATCAAGAACCAACCTGAGATGGGTTTTGGCCCATCTCAACTAACATGAGTAGCAGTGGCAAGGAAAAACTTCCTTTTAACAGGCAGAAACCTTGGGCAGGACCAGCCTCATGTTAGACTGCCACCATGCCGCTGCTGGGTTGGGGAGGAATGTAGAGAGAAGAGGGGAGAGGGGAGAGGACAGGGGGAGAGAGAGAGAGAACAAGATAAGGGAAGGCGAGAGAGAATGAGTAAGGAGAGGGAGGGGGAGGGAGAGAGAGTAGAGAACGAGGGTGAGAGAGAGACAGGGGGCAGCAGAAACAACAGCAACAACAACAACAGCTCATGTAATGGTGAAACAAAAAAGAGTTCAGTTTACAGGGTTAGGATATGAGTGATTATGGACAATGTTAAATTAATTGAGTGTGATTACAGTTAGCAGGCCTAATCGTAGTCAGCTCTAGTTTATGTTATTAATGTCAATAATGTCAATTATTTTGTGTAAGACCTTAAGAAAATACTGGTAATGAAATTAAAACGTTTGATTTGGCTATTTTTTACTTTTTGTTCTTCTATGTACTATAAAAGCACAAACAACGCTTTCATCTCCAGGCAACTTGTTGGTCAGTGACGCTGCAATAAACTTGTGGGACAACACTAAAAATCTCTGCGCAGAATCCTCCTAAATGTGAAGATATTTATCCTACTTTTTCAAGATAAATGTACCTTAAAGGTGTTTTTAAATTTGTTGAGATTTCTAAAGATAAAGAAAACACAGAGAAAATGATGTTTTTCTGAATATAACTATATTTTTCATCCATTCAAAACTGAACAGCTTAAAAACTGCATTTGAAAATCAAACAGTATCTGCTGCTCATCACTTGGAGATTTACGTCTCCTGATCACTGGGATTCACTGCATCGAGTGAATTTATCTATTGTGTAAGACGATACATGTGACAGCAAAGGTAGCCCCTTCCATAGAAAACACAACAATTCACTCTCACTTCAATGCAACAGGTTGGGGCAAATAAGTCATCCAAGTGTGTTACTGTTCATGATATTTATGATCACTGTAGAAATTTGACAGAAAAGAAAAGAAAGGAAAATGATTCCTGCCCAGAGATAACTGTGATTGAATGTGAGGATAGAGAAGAAACAGTGCAGGGCTGCTCGTATGCATCAGAGCGAACGACCGTATCATGTGGTCTGTGGACTGATTGGCTTAGAGGATCTATGGGGAAAAACGCAGCTGCTAACGCATTCGCATGTGCAGGCTGTGCTTGGGTCCATCCACCCGCTCCAACTTCTCAAAGTGTTTCCTAGCATTACGGATGTTGATGAGAGTGGCTGCAGATGCTGAAAGAAAAGAAAAATGACATTAGAGGTATGACAGGAAATTTATCTTGGATGTGTTTCTGATACTTGTAATATTTACTACTTACGAATAGAGGGGTCTGACATGATGACCATGACGTATGTGTTGGAGGTGAAGACATCAATAAAGGCAGCAAAGTTGGAGTTCCTGACTTCCATGCTTTGGAAAGAGGCTGCAAGTTTACTAGAATAAAAACACAAACAAAGAAAGTCAGAAATGGAATAAAAATTCAGCAGAATATTTGTGGAGGGAGTGTGGCCGTTTTTCGCTCTTTGAACTCACCTACAGCTGAGTTTGAACTGTTTGATAATGTTACTGATCTTCTCGAAGCGATGAGCATCACGCTGCTCCTTGCACTGATAGTGTGAGATCACCTGCATTTAAGGCACCAAATGAAAAAAATGCATTAAAAAAGTTTTGGTAATAGACTTAAATTTACTGCTCAGGGGGTAAAATTAAACACAGTGGCTGCTCTCACCAGGAAGGTGGCTCTCTCAAACAGAAGAACTTCATCTGCCTCTATGATCTGTGCAAAATTTCTCAGGTTTGTCTCCAGCTGCTGGACATTTGGGATGAGCTGATACACAATGCTTGACCAGGCCTGTAAAAACATTTTAAAATAGTTTCTTACCAAGTTGACTTTGTTACCAGACATACTTTTATCCAACAAACAGTCATATAACTCAACCTTGTAGAGAGTTTCATCCCAGATTGATGTCCTGAAGCATGTGCAGGCCAGAGGTCTGGACAGTCTCTTCAGATCTTCTTCACGCTCCTTAAAGATCTGTAAAAATGGGGAAAACAAACAACCAGGTGGTCAAAGTGTGTGAACAATGACAAAAGAACAAGAAACCATGAATACAGAAGTTTAATTTTAAATTTAAATGATAATGTTGAATAATGTAAACAATTGCTACATCTTATTCTGAAAATTGTGACACGTTAGTTAGCTCAGAAACACTTTAAAATACACTCCAATTATGTAGTGAAAATTATGGATTTTAACAACACTTAATTGTGTGTGCATTCTTGATTTGTGAAATTTAAAGATTTAATTCACATAAATAATTTCACTGTACTGTTTGTTTGTGTAGGGAATTCATGTAGTGAGCCCTCTAACGAATATTACCAAATATTTTTGATTGAGCATCCTCATGCTGAGAGAAAATACACCACATGATACCTTGACTCTTACAGGGAGACCCAAATATGGCAAAAGTCTATTGCAGCACAGTGTACATGACTATCAAAACACTTGCATTTTCTATGCTTGTTATGTAAGAGGCAGGGACACCTACAGCCGATAAAACAAAAATGATTAATCTTACCAAATCTCTCTGGTCTTCCTGCACCAGATCCATTTTGTGAACTAGGCAGAACACTTTGGCATCAGGGGAGTTCTGCAGGATGGCTTCCAGACATGACTGGTAGTAGTGCATGTCCTTCTCCAGCTCACGGCTCTCAACGTCAAAAACATAAATAAGCACCTCTACATTTCTGAAAATGTTGTCCCTCTGGCTGGTGAAGTAATTCTCCATGAATGTATCTTGTCTGTGGAAGGAAGAGAGCACAGAACCAAGTTTTACAGAGGGTTTGGAATAAGGGGGAAAAATCTGAATTGTTGAGGTTAGTCTGAAAAACAATGAAGAAGTGTTTTGTACCCTCCACAATCCCAGAGGTTTAGAACCAGATTGCCAAGAAACCGAACATGGGAGTGCTCAACGTCAACTATAATGAAGAAGAAATGATTTTGGTGAAGAAAAATCTAAAACAGAACATTCATCTTCATGTCACATTTTTTTCAAACTACTCTTACTTGTAGCTCCAAGGCGACGTGTGTCTCGAGCTATGTAGTTGGCAAAGATGATTGATCTCATACTGGTCTTTCCAGAACCACTTTTTCCCATCAGTAACACCTGAAATCATGAATGCTTTCAGTTAAAAACTAGAGAAGCCTCTCCTCTGCTCTTCAGATCAGCAGGGGGAGAAGTACTCTTATGCGAAGTTGCAATGAAACAACGTTTACTCACAAGTAAAAGCCATTTTTTAAATAAAGGCTGACATTGTGTACATAATTAATCTAGCTGAGGTATTATACTATTAAATTGGACCGACCAGTCTACACTACAAGGACAGTTTCTAATTGCTGATAATGGCAAGGAAATTTCAGGTTGACTCTCTACAATGGACTGAAATCAGTTGTGGCTGAGATATAGGGGAGACCGGAGCTTGTTGTCACACTTTTTACATTCTTATATATTACTTGGAATCAATACATCATATGTAAACAAAATGTGTACCACACGAAAGATCAAAGTCTCAGGTATATATTTTGTATTCATGTCATTTTCATATCTTGTGTCAGTGCAGAGCTATAAGTTAAGCAATTAAACAGAGAGCGTGAACGTGTGACATGTTGCCCCACCATCGGGTAAGTTGTCTCTCCACATGGGGTAAGATGTCACAGTGGATTTTGCAGCTAATAAAGCAAGGACAAAATTATTGTTTTTCTCATTTTTTTTACCTTTTTACTTTTTTTTACCTGTTACTTTTAATCCCTTTTAAACATGTGACAACTAACCCCAAAATGACTGAGACATGTTGTCCCAAACTTCCATGTTTGCTAATTCTATCTCTTGCTTAAAGTTAGCTTAAAACAGAACAATGACTGAGGTATGACAGGATAGCTTAATCTCTTCTCTAACAAGTCCACATGAATCACTGCTAGGATTTTAATCTGGAAGAAGTATTTTTTAAAATATATAGTCTTTTTTTTTTACTTTGGGTTGTGCAAAATGATTAATTGGTGCTCATCTCAGCTCATGATGTGCTTTTCTCGTCTCAGACAGGACACGACCCCTGACCATGTAAAGGAAGAAAACTAGTATTCCACTTTTTAGTTGCGCCCTCTGGTGGCAAAGATAATTACAATGTGACAACTTACCCATGTGACAACAAGCCCTGGTCTCCCCTACATTGCACACCATGACTAGAACTGTCTTGTTTTAAGAGACCTCAAGCCTTACTGTGTATGGTTTTATGATTGGCAAAAAAAGACGGTTTCATAAAAAATATTTATCTGAGAAATATCAGAATCAATCAATCAATCAACATTTTTTTTTTAATCATTTTAAATGGCATTTAAATTTCCCTTAAGATCTTAAAGAGGTCGAGTCAGTCAGGGGAAGAAACTATAACAGCAGATAGGAGTTGGAATCGAAGAACAAGATTATGGTCTGTCTTCCCACACTGTCCTGGGCAGATGGTTTGGATGAATAACAATGAATAGATAAATAATTTCTTAAAGCATATAATAACGCTCTTTTGCCACTGCTGTGATATGCAGCTACCACATCCTATTAAAGGTCTAAGTTAGAGCAACAAACAGTAAAACACACTGACTCTGTCATGTCACAAAGAGTTGATAATCAGCCTCTGATTTACCTTTTTCTTCATTGCTGTGCTTGACATCCCCCTTAACAGACACGATGTTGTAGAGTATCACCCTGAGCTGCAAGTCAGATGACTTTAGTGTGTGTCCACAGCAGCTCTCTCTCTCCTCTTCCTCGGCTGCTGCAGGACAAAAACAAATATTTTCACCTAGCTGTCATGTGTTTGGTCTGAACTGATCAGGCTGAAGTCACTGCTGAAAACATGTTTATCGGTTAAAACACGAACAGATGCATCACAAATACTGCACTGATTCAATAAACTCACTATAACATACAAACAATTAACCAACTCCCACCAAACTATCTCCTCTTTAGCCGATAAAACCCCTCGCTAATGCTAAGCTAACTAGCACGATCCATACAGTAGATGTCAGAGAGCTATATTAGTCAAGCTATCCGGCTAGTTCGCTAACCAAGCTAATATCGGAAGATTTATCAACAACTTACCCCAGCAGACTAAAACAGGTGTTTCAACTGAAGCTGTTTCAGACTAAAGCTCTTCTTTTCTAAAGATATGGTTGATCTAAACATTAGTTGGAAGAAAGAGGCAGTGAAGTCAAGATCAGCTGCTTCCTGTTTACGACAAAGTCACATGAGAGGACACAAAAACTGTATGCCCTGAGTTTTGTCTTACGGTTATTATCATTTTTAAAAATCTTTCAATGTAACCGTGCGTTTTTTCTGCCTCCGATTCTTTGCTAAGTCGAGTTAATAAATACTTGCTATTAAATGTAAGTGTTGAGGACACGAGTCTTCAGTTTGGTGGACCTGTAATGAGATATCCATGTACTAAACCATTTTAGACATATGTAAGGGCTGTTCAATGTGAGACCTTTTCTTTTCCACGCAAGAATACATTTTTCTCATGAAAGACTCCGTCTTGTTTTTGCATGTAGTGGAAAACAATATTTCTTTTACAACGATTTAAAAGAAGAAATCACATTATTTTTCATTCACCATAGGACAACATAAAGGGCGGTACACTAACAAAAATAATGAGAAATAAGTACACCAAAAAATTTAATTAATTGAAAAAAAAAAGGAAAAAAGATCCCACCGCTCCATAGTTCATACACAAAATAGAAACCATCCTATAATTAAGGAAATTAAATGAAAACAAAGGCTAGCAACCTAATATTATTTAGTAGACTGGCGTCCTGTGAATTTAAAAGAATTTGAACCCTTAATAGTTTATAAATAAGTTTTTATAATTTAATAATAATAATAGAAATAATAATAATAACAAACAACAACGACAACAATAATAATAACAAACAATGACAATAATAATAACAATAATAATAATACTAACAAATAATAATAATAATAATAACAACAAACAAACAAACGACAATAATAATAATAATAATAATAATAATAATAATAATAATAATAATAATAATAATAATAATAATAATGATGATGATGATGATGATGATAATAATAATAATAATATCAATAATAATGCTTATTAACATTATTATTATTATTATAACTATTTATTTAATAATAGAGAAATCTTAGTAAGTTATGTATGGATGTTTTCAAGAGATACAAAAGGTGCCATATTGCAACGATTTGATATTTATCTGTGACATGCTATCAGCACTTTGCTACAATAAGAACACTATTGCAACAGGCCAAAGTAATTATATAATTCCTCTGAAGTCGGGCAAAAGTCTCCAACTGTAGGCCACAGGTGAAATAAGCAGAGGAGGAGCTAGAGGGCTGATAAATGGAAAGAAGTGTGTCACAGACTTGTACAGTGACTAAACAGAAAAGCTCAGAGGAGCTGAGTCATGCAGTCCTTCACTCCAGTATCAGAGGAAATTTCCAGTTAAAGTTAATTGTGAAGCTACTTTGGATCATTTTACAAAATGTGACAAGTTTAATGTGATTTTTAAGAGCTGACCATGGGTGCAGCTCAAAGGTGAGGAGGAATAATCATTTTAAAATCAATAAACAATGATTTAAAAGTTAAAACAATTGAATCAGTGTTTAACTTGCTGATGTAAGTCTAAGTTTCAGAGGTGGGATGACATCGGGGCTCTTTGACCCCTTACAAACCCGCTGTTGTTAATTTATCAGATGTTTAGTACCTCCCAATGACCACTAGAGGACAGTAAGCAGCCATGCATGATGTCCAACTTTGTCTTGCTTTTATATCTGTGCTGCTTTTGTTTGTTCGACTAAATGGTTAACATTGGACACTTTTAGAGTTAAATATAACCAGAAGGAAAGAAAAAGGTCCAGCTTTCAGTTAAACAAAGAGATATACTGAAAAGATTAGAGGTTTGTGGAAGCAGAGCACTTTGTATTTGTTTTTTGTTTTTTTCTGTTGCATAAACATATGTACTGCTGAACATTATTTTGTTATGCAACTATTTCCAATCAGTAATAAAAATGCTAAATAAAGTTGTTTTTAACTGTCCCGGAGAACACTTTCAGCCTCAGTGTTAGTTCTTGTTTCTTGTACATCCGGCTGGAAAGGGATCAAGAGCTTCTTGTTGTGACTTAAACACAAACTTTCTTTTTGTTAATAAGTATATAAGAACACTCAACAACATAAGATGGTTAGAAATTAAAGCATTTCAAACATGACAGGTAAAAGGGATATAAATATACATAAATATATAAATCTTTTTTATGACAATGGAGCAGATTTCTGTTATCATACCCTGTGTTATTTTCACCAAATTTCTGCTCAAATATTTATGTAAGGGCTCACATTCAAGTTTGTGTTGCTGTTCTTGTGGTACCCTGAGGATAACTGAAGACACATAGCATAAATATTTTTACCAATATTGGTAACAACATAACATTGATGAAGGAGAGGACCAACTAGCTGTCCACCCCAACACTTTCAATACAAAAACACCTTTAAGATTTCAGCAAGCCCGTAATATGCACAGCAGTACAGAGTATTCACAAGTATACGATTAGACAATGTGTTTTCAGTTCAATAGATCAATTAATTAATTGACAGAGGCAGAGAGATAAAAGTATTATAAAACTTTATTGTTTTCTTAACGAATGAAACCTTTTACCTGAACAGTGATAACGATCAGGCAAAAACACCAGCTTGTCATCCATTATTGTTTTTTTTTTATTTATATAATATTTGTCAGAAACACAAAAATCAACACAAGTCGACTCAACAGTGGAGTAGAGGGTGTGTCGCTCTCATAGGAGTAAAGGCATACATGTTTTGCTGTAATGCACCCATGAACCAAAGATTAAATTCTAAAGTCAAAGAAATTTAAGCTCTTTCACTGCAAGCAAGTGAAGGGGACCTTCAATTAAAGGCTCTCATATGCCACTCTTCATTATCATGAAAAAAAAAACTAGGGAGTTCTTTACCAATATAGCTTTTTGATCATCCTCATTGGTACATGCTTGTATTCAGAAAATGCAGAACTTTTCCATCACCATCATCTGTGTTAGTTCTCAGAAAGGTATCAAATAATTATGACTCACATAGAACAAACAGAGGCCTCTGAAAAGATACATGACAGAAATAAAATATGTTCGAGAGTGATATTCAGGTAGTGTAGCAGCACTTCTGCAGCCGTCATTTACACTTGCTCTCTGAGTCTGGCGAGCCTCTGGGACAGTTCATCCTTTGGACAAGCGAGAGTAATAAAAGAAATTAGTAAGGGAAACAGAAACAAGACAAGAAACTAAACTAAACAAGAAATTTAACTTATAGTCTCAAGTTTAGACAGAAGCTTCTTTCAGCTTAAATGTGTATTGTAATCACATTTTCTGTCTCTGTGTGTGACAAAACCTTTTTTTTTTAATTACGAATCTCTTGTTCATTTTAAGATTTTATTAATCAAGTAACCAGTTCCAAATGAGGAACCATTGTAAAATAGATGAGTATGTACCTGTTCTGCAGAGGCAACACTGGTGCCCACTGATCCTGTCTGTCCCTGAGGTAGCTCCATGTTCAGGTCCAAGCTAGAGGTAAAACACACATTTAACAGTACATTGTGGTTAAATACACAACATATTACTTAACATTGTACTGAAAACTTAACTTAGACTGCCATCAAAAAAGCATGATTTGCAATTAATGTATGAACTACAAAAATATGAAACAGTTTTTATCAAAGCAATGAAAGGCTTACCCGGCTTCATCGGCCATTTCATGCATCAGGGAGTCCACTTGGTTCTGAAACAAATATTACATTTTCAGTAAATTCTTTTTTCTTAAAATACAAAACCCAACAATAGGAGGAGAGAAGTGTACCTGTGGTGTTGTGAGTGTTGTTGTGCTGCTCATAGTATCCTCCATCTGGGATGTCTGAACATCCAGAGTTTCAAACTGGCGCTCAAATTTGTCCATGAGAGCTGAAATCTGTAGAAACAATGGAAATGGGGTTAAAATTTGAAGTAATTTGACAAGTGCAACTGTTTTTGCTGAACTCTGGGTTATCATTGTTTTAATTTCTTGCATGTTTGTGGTGTTTGCACAGCTGAGGGGAGTTTATATTTCGTGTGCTCCCATTTTGCTTTTAAATACCTTTTCCAGGTTCATAGACTTGAGCACTTGATCCATCCCTTTCACCACTCCACCCATAGATTTCGTCACCTGTGAAATTAAAATATGGAAACAAAATGACAACCAGCATGTTTTCATGTCTGAAGACTTACACTGGCATTAAGTTACCAAGAATTTAGGGTACCTGGTTCATCGTAACAGCAGTTTGAACCCTTGCTGCAACGGCATCAACACGAGCGCTCATCCTCAGGAAGTTCAAAGACTGGTTCTTCTGTCTAATGGCGTTTTCTGCATGGATCCTGGCCACTTCCACGTTACCCTTTTGGATGGCCTAAAAACGACAAAGCAATACAGTAAATCCACTGCAAAACTTGTTGGGTTTGTTTGTTAACCGGTTAACACCTTCACAAGAGGCACTTACTTTCTTCACTTTGGCTTTCTCTGCTTTTTCCTGTTTATCACATTTGGCTGCATTTCTCTGGAGGTCTTTGGCAGCAAACTTCAGATTGAAGAGGTGTTCTGGGATATGAAGTTAAAGAAAAACAAGGTACCAACAAAAAGCAACAGCAAACCTTGGGTGACCAATGCTTGTACAAGGAAGAATTTTTTTTTTTTTTTTTAACTTTTGGCAGGGATTAGTATAGGTGGAATGTCTTTTCACTTACAGGCTACTATATTATCGATTTCTGAGAGGCCTATGAGAAGATAATGATTGAATGTTTTAAATGTATTTTTTCACAGAGGATTTGAATTTCCACTTACCAGGCCCAGGACGCTGTGTTTTGTGATTGAGACAACAGCCACAGCTGTAATCATGACTAAACTGATACGCTGAGACAATGAAGTATCTTAAGTAGCCTGTGTTAAATCTAGTAGGAGAGAGTGGGGTAAGATGAGCCATTTTTTATATTTCGGATCGCTACATCAAGACAATCATAGTTTTGTCTCTAACTAGTGTATCTGCATATATTTCGTGATGTTGTGCATCCCTGCAAACCAACAGAATGAGTGTAAACATAACTGTCTTGATAATAAAGCATGCCAAAGCATGTCACTATTATACACTATGCAACTGGTACAATAATTTTTTCTATTATTATTGCATATAACTGCTAAAAAGCTGTTCTGTGAAAAGCCATTTTAACATGAGAAGGCCTTTAAGTAATTCAGAACATTCACAGCTGTATTTTTGAAAAGAAAAAGTAACACATTTCAACAATCTGAACTGAAACTCTGATCCTCTCATCAGACTCCTTTACTTTCTCAGTTAAACCACTTGCTCAACTTACCCCAGAACTACTATTATTACTAAATTAGCCCTCTAAGCTAAAATGGTGGACTTTTATGTTAGGTTTTTGACCTCATGTTGTAGCTCATAGATACCACAATTGACATATAAAACTAATTTAAAATGATCTTTTTTGGTCTGAACACAATTCTAATAAAACTTATGACAGACTAAATTTACTTTCAAGAGTGAAAAATGTTTTTTTGTAAATAAATGTCCAACCCCTTCACCCATGTACTTCTAACCTTCACAGACTCCATGAATATATGCCCATCTCCTAAATATTTGGTCACATGATCAATTTCTTTGACCATTTCCGAGCAACAGGGGGTGGATCAACTTACCCCACTCTCCCCTACTGAACAACCCCACGGTGTTGTGTTCACTAAGAAGCTCTAAATTCGTATAGATCATTATATAATTTACTTTGATTACTCATTTTAATCTGGATCATAATCCAGTACTCTCATTTTATGGTTCATATCACTAAACGTCAGTTGTTGTGTACTTTCAGCAGCCATTATTAGGACTAACATTCCCGCGGCTCTAGTTTCAGCCCTGTCACTTTAAAGGAGCCTCAAATCGACTAAAACATATCTACGTTAACTAAAAGGTTGGTTACAGTGAGTTGAGATAGTATTTAACACAGGAAAGACTGTAGTCGATGTCTGTCGCTAACTAACACCAGTCCGTCATGTTATGTTCAGTTTGAAGCCCTCGACGTTACACAAATACATCGCGTACCTTTCTCAACCCTTCGTTTTTTAAAGGATACTTTCCATCGCAGGCATCTTGGCAAATCCAACAACCACACGGTCACTTACTCACTGGAAGTCTGTCGAAATGTGTTTAAATAAAGCAAAACTTCTCGGTTTAACTCCAACCAGTCGAGTTTCGGTCTTCGCCTTCTTCCTCACTTCCTGATGTTTCACCAAAATATGGCCGACGTCATTGTCACGTGTCGACGGTATTCCTTTCGACGTCACGAGGGGAGCTCGCGCCCCCTTTCTCCGTGCGAAATGTGAATGAAAGGAAAAAACTAACCGTTAACACTCAAACAATGAAGCGTTACAGCCCAGACTCTGTCATTATGTGGGCTTTATTCAGCAGAGAGTAAATACAGGTGGATAAAAGTGGTTTATACGTTACAGCGGCGAGCAAGTGGGCGGTGAAGGCGGGTGATTGATGATTAGATTTACGGTGTGGATCACGGCGGGGAGAGAGGATGACTCACTCAGTCTGATGAGATGTTCACCCCGCAACAGCTCGGCAGTGCGGTGGCACGCCGGTAGTTCAGCCTGACACATCGGTGTTCTCTTCCAATAAAAACTCAAACTTTATCAATTTGCCAAGATGCGTTTTTGTGGCGCTACGGCGGTGTGTTTGCTCCAAACTTCAGTGTTTGTCAGTTTGTAGTTGGAGAGAAACAAGGAGTCGTGATTTACCGTAAATTTCGTGACGCCTCATTACCATGGAAACAGTGCTCCTGCGCTGAGAGGAAACTGTCCGTGTTAACTTCAGCAGCAACCTCTTTAACGAAAAAACCTGTTGGATATCTCACGATTTTGTCTTTTTTTCTGTGCTCCCATTGCTTTACCCAGTTGAACTTGGCAACAAACCAGGTGAGTTTCTGAAACTGTGCAGCTGTTGTGCCATTGCGTCTCATTCCTGTAAAATACTCTGAACAGTTTTCTCTCCTCTGATCCCAAGTTTCTGCAAAATTAATCGTCTGTTCATTTACTTGAAGTGTCTGTCAACTTCTGTATTGTATTTGTGAATTGCAACATGTTCAATGTGGGCTACCATCAGCAGAAAAAATGGCAAAATTTGAAGTTCAGACAACATGGAATGGATAATGGAAAAAAAAAAACGCACAAATGTGCCCAGTGCAAAAGATTGTTGTTCATAGGAGTGCTGGAAAATGTGCACTTATATGTCTGTTATGCCACATGAACACTCCCATCCATAACCGGTTAACATAATTTGTTTATGTCCGTTTTTCAGTCCAGTTGAAATAAATTTCCACCATAGATTGTGCATTTTGTGTCGTCTGTGCGCACAGGGGTAAGCATCCAGGATAGGCAACGAGTGATGCTTCATTCAGGGGCTGTATGACTCATATAGTCTTATCTATAAAGAAGCCAAGTGGCAGGAGAGCAGTCCTGCTGCAGGATCGAGCTGATGTAACCCCTGAGATTCACTAGAGGCTGCTGTGGGCCATGCTTCCCTGTGCCACAGATACACCACCTCTGACTGTATTTACACGGATAAACTTCAAGTATTGACACAGGCTGAGGATGTAGTGAGTAAGTCTAACACTGTGAACTCTACAGATGATTAAGAGCTGTCAGCCTGTCGCCTACATCATATGACCAGCTCTGTTTGACAAGGTTATATTTGTTTCTTAATTTTTTTTTCTAAACCTCACTTTGTTTTTTCCAAACAACTTCTAATTTGACCCAAATAAGCCTATCTATTGATCCGATGACCTGAAAATAACCTTTACATAATTTGCAAGGCTTTTTATAGAATTGCACTGATTGTGCATTTAATTCTTGCATGAAATTTCATGAATATGTACATATAAATAAGCACAATTTCCTATTGCTGGCTTGTGCTTAAAGACTCTTAATTCCAAATGAAGATAATTAAAAGTGCTTTATAAGAAATTAGGGTCTCTTATTGCACACATTAGCAGTAATTCTAAGTGCATTCATCTTTTAAAACACCCAGAGGACCCTTAACAGATCCCAGAACCCTAATGTTGTCACAAATGTGACAGTATGAAGGTCTCTTGAAGCCTGCTGGTAACAGGCTAAATCTGTGACAGATGTGAGTGAGTCAGCGCACATTAATGAAAGTGCACCTTCTTCACTCTTAAAAATAAAACCTCATCACAATATCAGCAAGAATATGCACACCTTCAGCTTGATTATTTTTATTGTTTGGTTGGGCTAATAATGAAAATAATACCACTTACAGCTGACACACCATCAGGAGGAGGGAGTGTATACATACAGACAGGTTCAGCCTGTCTCTAGAAGATCTTTGAAACAGATTTGTCTCTGCTGCTGACAGCCAGTGAATAACAGACAGGTGAGTCACCTGTAACCAGCAGACAAGCCATTATCATGGAGGAAATTCAGCATGGCGACTGTATAGATGGAAAGATACAGAGTTGGTAAACATTCTGCAGTATTAACTTGCTTCAAGAAGAAGAAAAAAATATATGTATTTTTAGGAGTGGTTTGAAAGTTACCTCTCACTTATGTGTTGTCTGTATTAGCTTTGTTAAGACAAGTATCTGTTATGACAAACCTTGCAGAAACATATTTTTTAACATATGCAAGAGCACAACAAGAGGAAAACAAGCATGAAAAAACATTGCATTATTATACTAGCTCTTATTAAAGCTTTTTCCATTTCATGAAGCTCAGGTCAGCTTGTGTCGTGATGCAGATTGTTGCCATCCAGTGGTAGATCAGCATTACTCAGACCCCCCTCAGTCATTTGAGCTTACTTGATGGTTGTTTTTCACACTAAATGTTGCAGAAAATCAGAGCAGTTGGTGCATTTCAGATTTCACCTCCAAGCAGATCAGGATGTTAGACTTAACTCATGCATTTGAGATATAAAGAAAAAATGATAAATCTTGAAAGCCTAGACTTAAGGCTAACAGATGAGTAAAAGTGATGGATGGAAAATGCAATGTTCAGTTTCAATCACCACTGGTTTATTACACAGTAGACAAAAAGACGAAGGAGGTAGATTGTTAGTCTGACAAAAAGAAAATCTATTTTCTTCTTTTTTGTATTATCATTTGTTCTCCACCTGTGACATAAGCCAAAATGTGATACAAACATCACATTTCTCTTCCACAGGTGAGGATGACAGAGCTTCAAACTGAGAAAAGGTTCCACAACTTGACCTTCGAGCAAGTCCAAGCTCTGGACAAAGTCTTGACTGAGGTGATCCCCATCCATGGACGAGGAAACTTTCCTACCCTGCAGGTGAGAGCCAAAGACATAATCCGAGTGGTGAAGGATCGCCTGATAGAAAGAGACATCCAAGTCAAAGATATACGGCTCAATGGTGCGACTGCCAGCCATGTGTTGGTGAGAGATAACGGCCTTGGCCACAGAGACTTAGACATCATTTTTGGAGTGGAGCTGCCCAGGCAGGAGGACCTCCAGGTGATCAAGGAGGTGGTTCTGGGTAGTCTAAGAGATCTCCTCCCATGTGGAGTCAACAGACGGAAGATCACCTGCTTGACCATGAAGGAGGCCTACGTCCATAAGATGGTAAAAGTCTTCAATGAGCATGACAGATGGAGCCTGATCTCTCTTTCTAACAACAGATCCAAAACCGTGGGGCTAAGGTTTGTTAGCTCCCTTCGCAGGCAGTTTGAGTTCAGCGTGGATTCCTTCCAGATAATATTGGACCGTATGCTGGAGTCGTACTGGGAGATCGAAAGGAGACAGCACAGAAAGATGGTGTTGAATGCTGGGAACTCATCAAAAAGTGACAATGAAGTGGAGGAGAAACAGCAGAAACAAACAAACATTCAAGCAGATGTTGAAGCAGAAAAAGACTCGGCAGCGGCAACAGGTGGAGAAAAGTCACGACCGAATGGAGCAGTTTCAATGCTTGAGAAGGACTTCAACAATGAGGTCCACCATGTCAATGGAGAGCATGAAGTGCATGAAGCTGTAGAGTCCCAAAACATGAAGTTACAGCAGGAGGAAGAGGAGCTGGATGGCATTGAGGACGTTCACTCGGAGGAGGATATTGTGTTTGAATTAGATGAAGACAACAGAGAAGAGACAGAAACTAAAGATTGTCCTTTAGTTTCTTCGGCTAAAGCTTTAATCACAGATATCAGGGATCCACTGAGAACACATGATTGTGTCAAGCTGGAGAGTACAGAAGAGCCTCCTGTTTCACAAGTTTCCCCTCCCGTGACCACCAAGAATTCAGAAAATCCAGTCCCACAAGGGAATAGTCTTTGTGAAGACATTGCTCAGTTCAAAGTGGATTCTGTAATCTGTAGGACTGAAAGTACCTCAAATGTGCAAGATCCACATCTTGAATGTTCTTTTCCTCCTCCAGCAAAGAAAACTTGCAGCACATCCCAGGATGTAGTCCCAGAGCATTGCCCCTCACCAAAATTGCAAAGAAAAATGTCTCGGAAGATGATTACAAAGCCTGAAAAATGGTCTTTACTAAATGACTTGTCAGATCTTACGACACAATTCTTTCCACCTATAGAAATCCCCAAACCACTACAGCCAAAGCCTCCTTCACAAGACAGCAGTCAAGTTCATAGCTCAAACATTTCTTGCTCCAAGTCAGACACCCCTGAAACCCTTAAAGTTCCAACATACAGTCTAACAAGTACACCTCCAGGTGGGACTGACTTGAATGAAAATGTAGAACAAACTGTGAAGCCAAAACACTCCAAGAAGCCTCCTGATTCAAACAATCAAAGCCCACCATTTGCAACAATCTCACCCTCACAGCCTGGGGCTATCACTCAGCTAACACCTGAGCTAACAGACAATGTTGTGAAAAGCTGTGGGACAAACTCATGTGCAAAGCCAGCAGAGGGTTTCACCATCACTGTCGAAGCGGAGTGCATGTACGGAGACTTTGAACAAGCCTTGGACCACCTTCGCCACCGCCTTATTGCCACCCACAGCCCAGAGGAGATCCGGGGAGGTGGCTTGTTGAAATACAGTGACCTGCTGGTGAGGAATTTCAGACCAGCCAGTGAGACAGAAATCAAGTCCTTGGAGCGATACATGTGCTCCCGTTTCTTCATTGACTTTCCTGATGTTAACGAACAGCAGCGGAAGATTGAGGCCTACCTGCAGTGCCATTTCATTGGCAACGAGGAGGCAAGCAAGTATGACTACCTGATGACACTGCGGCGTGTCATTGATGAGAGTACAGTGTGTTTAATGGGACACGAGCGAAGGCAGACGCTGAACATGATCACAGTTCTTGCTCTGCGGGTGCTGGGCGAGCAGAATGCCATCCCCAACACGGCCAATGTCACCTGTTTCTACCAGCCTGCACCTTACGTGACAGAGCCAATTTACAGCAGTTACTTCATTACCCAGGCGCAACCCCCACTTGTCTACCACCCCTACCCACCCTTACATGTCCACATGCAGACTGGCTTGGTGTAGCGACAGTGACATGCCCACAAGGAGGCATCTAGGCAACTTTCAGCATGGTGCTCTGTAAACACGGGCACACCGGAAAGTTTTAGCAACAACAGGCGACCACAGGCGCAGTGTTGTTTAACACTTTGAAATCCCTCCTGCTTATGACATGAAAAGCCAACAGAAGTCAGAACTGAAAGGGGTCTGGAGGCAGAGCATGTCACCCTTTCAAGAAGAAAACTGTTGAAGAGGAAAAGAGATAGCTAAAAGCCTGCTTTTCTGAGAGCTCACAGAGAGGATTTCTTTGAAGTGGACCGACTTTGTTTAAGGCTGTTTAACTCACTTTAGCCAGAACTGTGTTCTGATCACCCTCCAGTGTTGGGGAGATACTATAGTGTGGTAATTGTCCATTGTAATGAAACAGCTGTTGGCAGCATAACTCTATATCCTGAGGTTTGAAGAATGATCGGTCTTTAATATTTATGAGGGGTTAAAACCCTTATATAGCTGTTTTGTGAACCATCAGTCTCTGTGGAGTAAATCTTAGCACGTGACTTTGCCTGTGTATTACCTGTATAGAAATAGGATACCTGTCAGTGAGGGCATATATCAGACACAATTTACTGTGGTATTTTAATGATATAGTTAGATCTGTTTTTGTGAATGTAAACGCATAATTAAAAAGTAGAAACAAGAGATTCTCACCTCAGGTCTGTTAGGGACTGTACAGAGATTATTCATGTAGTGGAAAGAGCTTGTATAAATCATTTGACATAGGATTAGAGATTAAAAGTCTCTTTCCATGGGTTATTAAAACTGAGAAAGAAGAAATAGTTCTTCAACCAGTTTAGTTCAAAGTGAGAAAATCCATGATCAAAATAATAAATGTCTCATGTGAAATAATCAAAATTGTTCAAAGAATGACAAGAACTAACCATCAGTCATCATAAGGAGCTGGTTCACAAAATATTGAAGGGGTCTTCCATCTTAAACAAAATGCCACCGAATGAATGATTGAATATTAAACCATGTGTCAACAGAAACTAGGAAGCATAACAGAATTTTTAAAAAATTACCTCCTTATTTCCCAAATTCAAACTGTTGGAAGATCTAACAAAACACAAGAAACTAATCAGTGCCAGATGTTATTGTTTTGTATTTGTTCTTAGTGGTTTGACCAAATTTCTCTGAAGTCACTCAACAGTTGATCTGATCAATCCCTCTGCTACATAACCATGTCTGAAGTTTGTCCCCTCTCAGTGCTACTTGACCTCCTTCCTTCCTTCCTTCCTTCCTTCCTCCCTAAATGATTAAATGAGTAATGACTTTGGACACAGCCTTTGTCACAGACTAAAAGATCTGCCCCCTAGTCACATTAAGAAAAACATAACTCCTTACTTGATTTCAATGGAGTCAAGTGCACAAGTCTAACAAATTCATGCAGCATGTTGACCTTTTCTTAATCTGCCTTTTCCATTGTTACCAGGCTGAATAGATTTTTGTATACGTATAACAGCTGTTTGTTGTACTGGATGTAGTGAATGCCACTTCTGTCGGGGTTTTTGCCTGCTATTGTGAGCAGAAATGTTGGTGCACATTTGAAGTACACGATGCTGCCAGCAGTACCTGTACCCTGTCTGTGTGTGTTTTGCCATGTGTATGCGTAGCAACAATACATTTACTAAGAAAAAGAAAAGAGATAAGAGAATTTAAGCACAGGTGGTTAACTGTGGGCTGTTCGACGTAAATCTGAGACTGAAGCACAATGTAAATGCACATAGCTGTTTGTTGAGTGTACACTGTGTTTATGATATGCTCACGAATATTGAAGAAATCTGAAGTACTGTGTGCGGTAGTTTCTGTATGTAGCTTTAAAGTTCTGTATCCATGTTGAGACTGTGGGTATGTTGTGTATTGTTCAGGAGCTATTAGACCAGTAGAGAAACTCAAATAATCCTGTTATGTAGTGGCTCAGATTGTTGTGTTATTGTGGTAATAAATATAACACAACCATTCTTTGTTCAGGGTCTTCCATTTGCAGCCTGGACTATACTTTTACAGTTTGTATTTGTTGTGGTATATATTTTTATTTCAGTCATGAGGTGTAATCAGCAAATTTAACTTTTCCTCAAAGCCTCTGTGAGGAATTTTCAACTTGATGTAAAACAGACTCAAACAAATTTTGATCTCTCTTCATGTGCCGCAGAAGCAAACCAGACCCTCGGTACAAGGATTATCTTTTAAAATCATTTTAATGCCTTAAACTCTGTTGTAGGGTGTTGCCTGATTAAATGGTGGCACAAACAACATTTATTTATATTTTCCCTATCAAAGAGTCTGAATGAAGGGTGTGTTTGATTGTATGAAAAAAGCAGAATAAGATTTTTTTGTTGACAAAAACAAAACCCACTACCTACACATGCGCAAAGTGATGACAGACAGTGGCATGTCCACAGGAGGCGCCAAAATCAGCCCAGACCAGAAGTTCCTCAAAGGAGCTCTAATGTGGATAAAATGGACAAATATGCCAGGAAAAGTATCATTTGTGTTATCATTTTTCAACATGCACCACTCAGTAATTAAAGAGAAATACTTTAGAATTTATGATCAAGATAACAATCACTGCTTAAAATTAGTTAAGTTATATATATTTATTACATAACTTTTAATTTAAAGTCAATCTGAAACACTTATTTAATATTCATTCCTGTAAACAAATCAAAAGTTGACCTGCAGTCAGCTTTGTTTCCAGCATTTGGTCTTCAAGAGCTGCTGATTTCAGACACTCTAGCCTGGTTTTACAATTATCATTAACTTCTCAATGACACTTAAAGTTAATTGCAGATTTTAAAAGCAAAAACAGTAAGTAACACTTCTGGTGATAGGTTTGGTGTTTGATGCATGAGTCTCATTTAAAAACGATCATTCATTGCGAGGACTGTGTGTTTAGTCACACCTGCTCTCCTGATGGTCACCCTTTAGACTGACTTTATGTAAGAATATTATATTCTGAGGAAGGTGGACAAGGACATTTGAAATATTATATAAACTTTGAAAAACAATTCTTGATGGCTCTGGCTTCAGTGCAGACAGCTTCTTCTACTTGTCTGGAACATTTAAACCAGAGATTCATTATTTAGAGGGCTGTCGTACAAAAGTGGAGTTATAGTGCTTATTTCGATATATGGCGCTCTTTAGAGGACACTCCATCAGCTGCTAGTTTTCTTTAAATTTAGCTAAATACTATCAGCTCGGGCTAATCTCATCACCTAACCCCCAAAAGATCATCGAAATACAAACTTTATTATTTAAAAAAATGGAGAAAAACAACGAGGTACCATTACTTTCACCCGTAATCACCTCATTCTCAATCTGTCATTTACTTGGCGAGATATAAAGCTGCTTTAACTCTTCGCTGTGCTTCCTTAACATCCATTAAACTGTCCTTTCCCTATTTATGCATTGATCAGTCTTCATTCCCATGATCCTCCATCGTCTCTGCAGTTTCTAGGTGTGGCAGAGCATGGTGCGTCACAGCTCAACCTTTTTTGTTCCTCGTCTGACTCACCCCAGTTTTCAGTGCATTAATGCAGTTTAGCAGTGGGAAATGGAACAATCAGGTTTACGACGCATCCTGTCATGGTCGATAGCCCCGTTCCAATATTCAGAAACTATCGAATCCTTGCCTTCAGTGCATGTTTATGACTCTACTACCATCATAAAATCTGCAGATGACTCAGTGCAGGTGCTGGTGAATTAGCTCTTGAAGCTTGTGGTGGCGTAACACAAACAGGAATTATTCAAGAACAAAACTACTAACACTGGAAATCTTCAAGAAATCCAATCTTTTATTAAAAAAGGGAAAACACGTACAACCAAACATCGTGTATAAAAGACAGTCACATAAGCTCATTCCACCTACAGCAGAATGTTATTGTTGTACTCATCCACTAGCCTGATGCTTCCTGGCGAGGCTTTAATCTACTGTATGAAAATAAGATCCCAAAATATGAATCAATATTTCAGGACGCCAATTAATGCTGCAGCTCAGAGCACCCTGTGTGTTGATTTGTGTATTTTATCTCTGATAACCTGACAAAAACAAAAACCCTTATGAGCACAAATAACCTCTGAGGTTTCTCTCATGTAAGTGACCACATGGAGGCAGAGCAATGAGAAGGTGAGTTCAGATCAGAGCACCCAGTGTTGACATGGAAGTGGTCTTCCAATGATGATTGACCGACTGCATAAAAGTAAACATTATAGGTGCAACATCTATTTTTTGAAACTTCCAAAAGATTTCTAAAATAGAAACAATCAACCCAGGAATCAATCATTACTAAACACAGTGATTCTGAGAGCAAATCAAAACCTGATTGTAGTTCCCCATGGAGTAAACTGTTTTCTGTTGGTTACAAAGGAGAAAAAAATGGCACATCTAAATGTAGAAAAACCTTACAGAGTTACCGCCTCACTGTTAAAATAAAAGTCAAAGATGGTTTTGATGGATAACCACATGATCATCCATCACATTGTTCAATCACAGGTTGAAAGATGTTTTAGCCATGCCTGTTTCAAGCTCAAAAATACACACAAAAAAATGAATTAATGCTGAAAAAGTTCAAAATTCTTACACAAAAATCATGAGGTTTCATCCTGTTTCTCTTTCTCCAACATTTATTTTTCAGCTGCCACATGGAGGAGATAAATGTGCAAATACTTCCTTTTCCTCATCACCATTATTGTAAAAAATAGAAAACGCAATCCAAGTATAACACAGTGGAAATAAATATTTTATGTGGAAGAAAAAAAGTAGGCAAGGGGCCTTCTTTGCTTTTGCACGTGCTGGGTGTTGGAGAAGGTGAGATGGAAGCAGTTTTTAATGGAAGTAGATCTGGGAGTACAAGACAGGATGCAGTGGCTTTTTACCCAAGAATGAAAACAAACAAAAATAAAGTCACTTAACTCTAATAATTAGAAATTTAGTAGACCTAAAAGTCAAATACAAGAGTAGTGGGGCGAAAATTTAACATTCAGGCCAAGTCCGACGTGGGTTTCAGAAGCTGGGATGTTACTAGAGCCAGACCAAAATGACATTTTTTTTTGAGATCGAGAGGGAAAGAAAATATCTACAACTTCTGATTTCTGGTGGAGGATCATGACTTTTGAAGCTGGTTTGAAAACAGACCATTTCCATGTAGATTCTGCGCTGATGAAATCACAGAGAGGTTCTTTTAAGGCTGCTTTCTTAACACTCTACACTTTGAACCACTTCAAGTGTGGACCCTTTTTTTTGACGCTCTGCTACATGGACTGCAGACAGCACTGAGAATTGTAAGCTATAGGGAATAACCCAGCTGATAAACTACACAAAGGGTCTTCACCCACATGGATACATACATCAAGAAAAAAACATCATCACTGATATACTGGCTCAACAATATCAGATGAATGTTCTGTATTGGTCTGGTTTTCGATTTGAACAAGGTGCGTTATTCTACTGACACAGATTCTTATCCAATGTTAGCACCCAAACTAACCAACAGAACCTGGGAACTAAGGCTTCTGGTTGTGAGGACAGACTGAGTACCAAAACAGTTGACATCAGTGTTGACCTAGTGGCTACTAGCACAAAGAGTTTTGTGAAATTACTTGAGGGAGATGAAAAAAAACCCCAGAGAAATAAAAACATGAGCACCATTTTTGGCATCTCTGCATCCTTCTTTGGTGACCAGGAGTAGGAGGAGTCATGGGAGAGACACGAGGAGTCTAGTGTTAATTACAGAATGAGGAGGAGGAGAAGAAGAGCAGTGCCGCGTCCTAAAGGCTTTGCCAGCGAGCAGTAAGGCTGAGGTGAGAGAGTCCAGTTTAGGGAGGGTCCGTGTTGAACAGTAGCTCCGTTGACCAGGAGAGGTAACTCCATGGCAACGTGTCACAAGCACCAGCCATCAGTTTGAGAGTCAATAGCAGTCCCAGATTATTAAAAAAAAAAGTCATATATATATTTATATATTATATACACTTGTACAAAAAAAAAAAAAAAGAAAACGAAAAAATCCCTGAAGTTTTACGCGTTTGACAGTTTCTTTTATTGAGGTTTGAGAGAGGGCGACATGTCAGTGGCTCCAGCCCATGAGGTGGCTAACACGAGCTTTCTCCGTCATGCGGCGTACCCGTCCTGAGCGGGACATACCCAGATTGAGGGGGTCCTCTTTGGACCCGTGGCCATCGTCCTCTGAGTCGTCCCTGTACATGACTGTCCTGCGGCCCTGGTTTCGAGTGGTCACCCGCCGGGTCTTGCACTGACCGCCTCTCTCAGGTTGACTCCTTGCTGCTACGGCTCCTCTCTGCACTTCAGAGTTGTCGTCTTCCTCCTCCTCTTCTTCCTCCTCCTCCTCTTCAGGTTCTTCTTCCTCCTCAGGCTCTTCCTCTTCTTCTTCTCCATCCCCTTCTTCTTCTTCCTCCTCCTCCTCCTCTTGTTTTAAACTCTCCTTTTGCTGCATCTGCGGCTGCTCCTCTTCTTCTTCCTCTTCATCCTCCTCTTCATCCTCTTCCTCCTCCTCCTCTTCTTCTTCCTCGTCCTCCTCCTCCTCTGCTTTTACAGGCAGCTGCACCCGTGCTCTCTTAGGTCTCTGTACCTCCTCCTCCTCCCCTCCTTTGTGTCTTCTTTTCCCTGAGGCCGCCGCCTTACCCTTAGCTTCAAGGCGTACTGAGAGGCAGGGGGCTTTGCTGTAGTCGTGGTCGCCCCCCTCCACGTACTTCTCCATGTCAGAATCAGAGCTGTTCTCGCTGTCTGATGATGACGACGAAGAAGAAGACGATGATGAGGTGGAGGATGACTCAGACGAGGAGCTGTTGGATCCAGACGCCTCCTCTTTGTCATCGTCAGACTGCGGCTCTTCTCGCTTGTGGCGCAGTCTGGAGCCGTTACTCAGACGTGAGCTACGCAGGCGCCCTGACACAACACAAGAAGACGACTTCTGAAATCTGTGGCAGACATTTAAAGAAACAAAACAAACACTTTGAGACGCTTTGGTCAGAGTTTGGATGTTTTCTCACCTGACTTCTTGACTGGAGTTGTGTGGCTGCGGGTCACTCGCTGCGGCTCTTCGTCTACGTTATTGCTGCTTCTCTCTGAACTTGGGGAAGAAGACGGGCTGTCCTCCTCTTCTGCTACACTTCTGCTTTGCTGGGCTAAAGCATAAAGAGAACACACTTACATACCAGGACTGTAACTATATTACTTTCGACTTACATCAGTGGTGTAATCTGCAGCAGCTGATTATTGCCAGTAAAAGTGGTACTGACTTGAAATATATTGTTGATATTAAGATGTCAAACCTGCAGCCCTTTCACAGAGTTTTCCAGCAAAAAAAATCAAAAAATAATCCAGATTTAACTTAATCTGGAGGGCATTTTAAAAGTTATACAGAACAAAATTGAGAAGAAAAAGGACAAATGTCTTTAAAATTTTAAAAGGCTGTTTTTCTCCCCTCTCTTAACATTGTAAAACAACAGAAATTTCCCACACACCACAAGAAACAAAAGACATATAAAGAAACTTGCAGTCATACCCTGATATGATCTCCGAGAACGACTCTTGGTAGAGGTCTGGGATTTTTTTGGCTTTGACACCTTCCCTGACTTGTGCTTCCCTTTAGGGCTGAACATTTAAGAGACAGAGGAAAACAAGCAACACTTCAGAGCCTTTAGTCTCATAACATAATAGCACTTTTCATCAGCTTCAATATACTGCTTTAAACACCTTTTTAGAACTAGGCTATTCCCCAGCAGAAATTAGAACTGTACATCCCGTTAACAAGATTACATCTAAGATCACCACATAAGACACGGTGTCGAGTGTCAGGTTTGTAGGCGAGGCTCAGTACCTTGGGGATGGACTGATTGGTGGTGAGCTGCCACCGTTGTGCAATCTGTTCCTGTAACTCAGCCTCTGGCGAGCCCGCCGCTCATTCTGGATGGCTGATTTGTAATCAGAGATGATGGAGATGATGTGTTTTTCAAAGAAGGCCGACAAGCTGAGCGTCATCGTGTAGATCTAGACACAGAAGAGAGTTGGAATCAAATTACAAAACCAAATTTTTGATTTCTCACAGCGTAGCAGCTCTTTATAATCCTGGGTATGAAACTTCACCTGGGATTTTTTGTTAGGTGTATATGCTTTGGAGTTGCTGAAGATGAGGCGCACATCTTTAGCAAACTCCATCGGATTTTCATAATTTCCTCCAACCAGCGTCTCTGAAACTGTACCCAGGTCCATCGGAGTGTCAATGATGTCTCGATAGTCCTGGACACAAGTGTGAGTAGAGATGCTCGTGTTCAGAGAAATTGATGGGGGCATGAAATTCAACGTCATCAGAAAATAACATTTAATCAAATACTGGTTTACCGGATACTCAAAGAGGTCCACAGGCTGTCGAAATGGTTCTGAATCTGACGAGGAAATCATCCGACGCAGCAGCTCTTTGCATTGACCTCGCCATAACGACACATCCAATGGAACACCCCGGGAGTTAGAGCTCGACCCCTGGCAGGAAGACAATGAAAGTCATATGGACCGAACAGTGACATGATTGGTATTGGCCCAGAAAAGCATGAACCACAAATAAACAAACAGCTAAGATGGCTTACTGTTACAGAAACATCAAACTGAGCCAATCACAAGTATTAGCATCAAAACTTGGAAATGAAAAGTACGGCACCAAATTTTCCTTTTTCTTTTGGAGTTGTTTTTGATGAATGTGAGTCTCCTCTGCAGGGGTCTACAATCATACAGCAAGTTCAACATACCCTGTGTATCATTTATCTGGCTTCACTAACCCTAACCACTCAGATCACACTGAATAGTCTCATGAAGCTGGTTACAAGCCTGATATACAGTATCAACCCAGAGTTACCAAAGTGAGTGCACAAACATGAACGAGGCAGTGTTAGATACAAGAATGAGTTAGCTGTCAACAGATCACGATATTTTCAAACAAAAACAAAGAGCAAACCATAATATCGATGAAATACAACAAATTTAGACACATAATCCAGACTAAATCAACACTGCTGTGTTTGCTAAATGAAGTTAGACTTAGATTATAGAAAAGCACCTAGAGTGAGTGCCAAATTTAATGGTATCACTTTCCCATCAGCGCGGAAGCGATCCAACAACAACCAAACTAATCCCCTTTTATGCTCAGGAACTGATTTGTTGCTGGGATTTAATCTGTGGGAGTGTGGCAGGTTTAGACTTCAAATTCCAGCTGCAGCTCTGACTGTATTAAAGGAAGTGTTATGGAGATGATACAAATAAATAAGGAAAGATGACTCATAGGGATAAGCATGAATCATTTCATATCTGACACCTCTGATGGTACTCTGTTTTAGTCTGTATTGAGGAATAAAGACAATAACTCTCTTATCCTGAACATTAACTGCCTTGGAGCAGGTAAGGTGTACAGCAAGAGTTACCATGGTGATCTATCCTGGTAAGAAGTGAACCACTTTAATAGTGCTGAAAATTTGGAGTTAACCTTGAAGTTACCTCGATGACCAAAAACCCTATCTTAGAGTACAGGCCCAGGGACCAAAATAATCAATTTTAGTTCAATCCAGGAGGAACCCATCTCTGACTTAGGGGCCTAAGAGGATTAAATGTTTCAGCCGGTCTATGATGTTTTATGCTAAACTTACCCGGTTCCCTGTTGACGTTCCTGGAGTGTCAGAGTCTACATCCAAGTCAACCTGCAGAGGAAGACGTACAAACCAGAAATTAACTATCCACAGAGCAATATGATCTTTTAAAATAGAAGGAAAAAAAAAAACTCTGCCTATCTCACCTCAGCTTCTTCTCCGCTGCTGATTTCAGACTTTACTTTGTGATACAGATCCAAGATGTCTGTGCAGCTCTGGTCCCTAAAGGAGATAAGAGAGCCGAGAAATGTGAGAACATCAGTAATCTTTAATCTAATCTCCAGAATCAGTGAGAGCACCAAAACATGATCTAAAAGAAGTTTTACCCAATATAATGCAGCAGAACGTCCGTCACCACCTTGGCAGCTGCTACAATGGGGCTCTGGGGTTCGTTGAAAGTGCGGGCATTGTGTTCGATGTAGCGCACCTCCCACATTAGAGCAGAGATGCGCCTGAAACAAACAAACTCAAATGTCAACAAACTGGCTCAATGTTTTAAATTAGATTAAATGTGTAATATGTGGATTGTTATGCGCTCCCTCACCTGTAGAAGCGGTTGTCCAGCCGTGTGCGGATGGTGCTGAGGTCAGTGGGGTAAGCCACCACAGTGCAGTACAAGGGGTATTCCCGGAGATTTACAGGTGACACAAACGCCTTGGCAACCTCTGCACAGAAACATAAACTAGATTTAATACAGCTGGACTTCGCCTTGGCTAATAAACTGTTATTAACCCTTTAGAGGCCTTACCCAGTGTAAGGAGCTGGTCGATGCCTTGGATTACTCTCTCACTTTCTTCATCCCTTGTATGAGCCCCCCACTCGCCCTCTTGAGGTCGGTAAAGAAGAGCCTTAAGCTCGTCTTCTGCCACCTCGACACCATCACCAACCTGATCTGGTAATGCAGCTGAAAGAAAAACACAAAGCAGAGTACTTTAACACAAAACAAAATTACAATGAAATCAAATACCTGGATTCAAATGACCTTTTGTTGCTGAAAAGAACTTCCTGATAAAAACCCAAGTTCGCTTTAAAAAGGGAATTAAAATATTAAGAGTCTTATTCAAATGGAAGAATAGTTTTGAATTTTCACCACTCTGCCACTGAAAAAAACAGCAGAATAAATCTGCACTGACCAGGTAAAAGTGCCAAATGAACACTGATTGACAGTCTGGCACATTTGAATATGAATGGCCTACTCGGTGGTTCACTTGCATCAAAAAGGAAATTACAGTACTTAAAAAAGGAGCAGCAAATGGTTTCAAATGTTCAGGTATGAACATAACAGTAAGAAACTTTCAGTGTGACAAAAGACTTTAAATGTTCAAGGATATCAAAGTAGACGTCCTTCTGATTGGTCTGAGCCCCATTAATGCAACAATTATCGGTCTGAAAAAAACAACTTAACCAACTTTATGACAAGCTACATTTCTACATTCGGTTAAATAAGGATAAGTTCTCAAAGGTTTGAAATTAAATCAACAGCTGTTAAATGACTTGAGTTTTATTATTTATCATTAATTATTAAGACTTTAATTTGTTTATGTAGTTAACGTTTCACCACAGCTGACAATATTTATACAGAAACGTGAAGTTTTGTTGCAGGTTTAAGAGACTGAGTAAGCTTTCAATAAAATGCAGAACTCAGGAAAATCAAATGCTTTCTTAAGGAAATTAACATTAATGGAAAATATTTACATAAAAAAAGATTAAGGCTCTGATGCACTTTGTCTCCCTGGAACACTTCTCATTTTTGCCACAAGGTGATTTCGTAACGGATGGGACAGCTTCTCATTTGAGTTGACTCTTGTTGCCTTAATTTAGAACTGTTATTGTTGACAGCAGAGTACCTTTTTTTAAAATCGGACTTAAAAATGACTTCAATGTAATCTACAAAAACAAACTGGAGAGACTCCTTTGCTATAAATCAACAGCTTTTAAAGACAAGATTGAAATATAAAAATTTTTAACATTATTTTTGGTCTTTCTCATGTCTTCTTGATGTAAGCAGTGGAATAAAGACTCAAAAAGTGGGAAATAAGCTGCAGGAGAGAGCAGGGGATGGGGGTCAAACAAGGGGCATATATGTTAACCTTAAAGCCAAACTGGCACCCCTACATTTCCCAATTTAACAGGAAAGGTCATACTCTAAAATAAATGAACTCTTCTGCAGTTTTCTACTGACCTTCCTCAGGAATGGGCTCCATGTCCCAGGGACTCATTTTCTCCCGCTCACCGTTGTCCCACCTGATGAAACAGGAAGAAAAACATGAACCAGTTGAAGATTATTTTGACTTTACAAACTTAGAAAAGGAACTTTAGCTGAGCTTGAAAGAATGTGATATTGACTGTTGGCGATAGTGACACAGACGTACTTCACTGCATAGCACTGAAACAGGCTGTCTGGATACTCAGGCTGAAGAGGCTCCTGATCCTCCACTGAGCCAAACCACCAAGCATCATCGATGATACTACGAAACCTCATACCTGTGAGTCAAAAGCAGGACCAAACCTTCAGAACCATCACCTCTGGTTGATATGAGAGATGAGTGCATATTTTCACAAAGACGAACCTGGCTGCCAGTTGTGCTCTTTGGCCTCGTTGTAAAACTGCTGCAGCACCAGGAAGTCTATGACATCAGGCATGTCATGGTACCTGCACAGTATGGAAATGAATTTAAAAATCTGAAATGCATACATGTACAGGGATTTAATTGTACTTTCTTTCACTGTTTGTGCTGCGTGTAAAAGCTCACTTCAACGAAAAAGAGTCATTGGTCATCTTCCCTGAGACTGGGTCCAAGAAAGCCAGTTTGAGGCAGCAAAGGGTGGGAGGTCCCACTTCATATTTAATTCCCACCACCTTCACAGATTCCTGGTCCTGAAGAGAAAGACAACACGCTGAGGTAAGACTCAGAATAACCACGCGAAACGAAGAACAGAACTTCTCAAAATGAAAACAAGTTCAGGACAGAAAGGTTCATGCTGAATCGAGGTGGTTGTTGTGGATCGTTTGAGAAAAAGTCAGGAAAGACGAGAAACGATCCAGGTTTATGTATTCTGGCTGCTTCGAACACATGACTTTCCTTCAGTGCAAACAAAATTAAGTTCAATTTCTTCTTTTTCATCAACTGTGGAAGAAGCTCAAGACAGCCGCTGTAGAGGAGGTGACACAAGCAGCTACTGATCTAGAGCCAACAACTGTGCGATGCTAAATGTCACTCAGTCTTGTTAATTCAGAATGAGATAAGGCTGCAGCCCTGTGAGTCTGAACTCAGGCGCAGTGATCCTGATATGCTCACAGTAACAACACTAACATGCCAACATTAGCAGACCCGACTGTTTTTAACTTGGCATTAAACACATTAGGCTGATCCAGATGTCACTTGTTTTGCAATAAATGGCTTACATGTTAATTTGAAAAAAATCTAGGTCACCACAGTGGTTAAAGTTCATTCTACGGGGGACAGGAATATCTGAACCAAGTTCAAAGGCTGCTGACACCTCTCACACGTGTAACAGGAGTGACTGATCTTATGAAACTGCAATCTGATATGCAGATAAATCTTCATAGACGCAGAGGTGGAAAGAAGGAAAAATAACTGTGGTGGCAGTGGTGGAGAGATTAAGTGAAGGACTTTGTGAGTTTGGAAGTGGGTATTATAATGGGTTGACCGGTTTGAAGGATAGTTTGTTTTGCTATGAGGGGTTGTATGAGGTACTTGTCAATTTTTCAAAGCTGCAGAGTGCTCATTTATTTTGAACTGTTCTTAGATGCAAAAAATACGTGTGTCTAGGCCAGAAATGCACTGATCAGCTGTTCAGGTCTGTGTACGCTTCATAAAAGATAAAAATACAACCAAACTTAAATATATGTGGTTCTGACAGCACCCTCTACTGTGGATACCTGGGGACACTTTTATGAACTGGAGTTGACAGAGGACAAATGAGACTGATCAGGTCAAAAGATAGAGTGGAGAAACTCCTGAGCTGAGTGGAGAGGAGGAGAGATTTCAAAGTACTTGGAGGCGCAGGTGTTGAAAGTGTGAGCCTATAGCCACAAACTGAGAAAGCAGAACCTTTGTGAATCAGAGGATATTAGCCGTTCACATAAAACTTACGTCTGAATCATTAAACGAGTTTCCCGCCTCACTGAATGTTATTTTTTTACCCAATATCTTCAGCTTCTCTGAACTTTAATTAGAGAACCAGTAAAGCTCGCTGAAGATAAATCTCCACTTAACTTGGTCCCACGTGATTTTTGGGACATTTGGTGCTGAAAACTGACTAACATGCTAAAGTATGAAAATTCAACATGTATATGTGTGTGACGTCAGTATGTAGTGCAAAATGATGGCAAAATAAAGCTCTTTAAATGTTTCCAGATAGAATGTACACTTACACTGACATTAGTTATTAGGTTACTAAACATCTATAGTAGAGCTGCACCACTATCTGCAGTGGTTGACGGCCAGCATCCTCTCTGGGCAATTCACTAAACCATTAACACATACCTCATATAAGTGTGTTTAAAAAAAAAGGAGAATTATCCCTTGAAGAGAGTTATAAAAACAGACAGTTCTTTCCAGACTCCTCCAACAGTCCCAGGAGAATTCGAGGACATGAGGTTTTTCAGTGACACTGCGTCTCACCCTGAGGTCAAGTCTGTTCCACGGCTGTTTCTGAGGGTTGATACTGTATGCCTTGGCCCTGCGGACCGCCCGGACATAAGCCTGGTGGCCCTGTTTGAAGTAGATGAGCTGGAGGAGGACAGAAGAATCCGGATCAAAATGCATGAATTGATACATTTTCAACTGGTCGGTTTGCTCATCTGTCTGAGAGGCTCTCCTTACCTCGTCACCCATCTGTGGAACGAAAGGAGAGCGGCGTGGGATTGTCTCCATTATCCATGACGGCGGCATCCACTCCTCCGCATCAAGACCAGCCAGAGAAGAGGTGGGTTTCTATGTGAATGTGAAATTGTTAGAGGAAAATGTTTGCATTCATAATGTGGCCCACATGCCCAACAGAGAATAATGCATTGAGACTGATAAATGATTTAAACTTTGGTACGCATGTTTTCTACAAAGAGTGGTTCTCACTCTGGTTACAGATGGTGTGACCTCACCTGTTTGGTCTCCTTGGGCTTCTTCTTCTTCTTCTCACTTTCCCTCTTTTTTGCATCTTTTGACTTGTCCCCTCCTTCCTCTTCCTCAGAGCTGCTGTAACCTTGGGGCTGCACAAGCCTCCTGCTGGATCTCTTCGGCGGCTGGAGGTTGATTCCGGCGTCAGCTGTCCAGTCTGAATATTCACTGGAGGAGTCGCTAAGCGTGGAAAGTGAGAGGTATTAGCAGGACGATCATAACATAAATCAAAATGTCTCCAATCCAAAGTTCCTTACCTGGAGCTGCTCTCTGTCTGCCACTGAGTTTCACCATCAGAGGAGGCCTCGCTCTGCTCTCCCTGCCCTGCTGCCTGTTAACAAAAACAGAACTCTACATTTACTATAGTGAAAGATTAAGCTTTTAGCTTTTGCAAGAAAATGACTAAAACCTTCCATCAAGAAGTTCTCTGGAAAAACACTCATTTTTAGTTTGATTTCAGCAACTGTACACTACATTCTGCCAATGATGCTAGATAGGTGGAGTAGGAGAAGGAGGATGCATACATCTCCATCGCTTTCAGACTCATTCTGGCTGTCAGAGTTACGTCGGTTGCTGAGACTCCTGCTCCTGGTCCCTGGACGGCGGACTTGAGCTGAGCGGGTCTGATAGGTGTGATGCTGCTGCTTCTTCTTTGTAGGCCGCAGGGATCGAAGGCGGGTAGTCAGAGGATCGCTCTAAAAGGACATTCAAAGGATGGAGAGTGAGAAAAGCAGGACTGTGACCACATGGACAATATATTTGATGTGTGACAAGAACAGTGAAGGGAAGGATGGTTGCTGTACCTTCGGGATACCTGCTGCAGGTTTCTTCCTCCTCTCTGCGTTGTACAGAGAACATTCCATGTCGCCTTTAGCTTGTCTGCACTCCTCAGAAACTCTGAAAAGATCAAAATGTTTCCATCATGAAAAGTTTGAGAAAAGTAGTTCAGACTCAAAAGTAAAGTCATCTTTTCCTTGCTTTATGAAATCCATCATCTGCCTCACCTGGATATTCCATGTGGCACTTCATTGACCACCACTCTGCGACTCCAGGCCAGCAGGTCCCTCTCTGTGGCCACTTGACTACGTAGTGCATTATGCTGCATCTGCCAGACCCCATCCACCTGCCCAGTCCTGCGTGGTTCAACATCTGAAGGGGAAGCCCCCACCTCTGCTCCATCGTCAGCATCCCCTAAAAAGGATATTAATTTAATATTACATATTACTGACTTGAAAAATATTGTAATTTCACAGCAAATAGCTCCAGAAAATCTACAATTGACAACATGCTGCCAATGTTTCTTATAATAAATGAACAAATTAAAAGCACTAGACTAAAACTGTTCTGGTACACTGCATTTGTCACTCAGAAAATGATGTTACATACCCTCTGCTCCTTCAGCCTGCGGTTCGACATACTGACGTTGGTCCTGCTCATCCTGCAGTTGTCTGATGAGATTGTCCAGCAGGCTTTCTCTGTTATCTGCGGTTTGCTGGCCAAGAACCTGCTCAACCAACTCTCCATCACCTGAGCAACAGAAAGGTAAAACTCTTCCAGTTATATCCCCTACAGTTCAAACCACATAAGCATTTGAACTTGTTTACAATAAGAGAGTAGTTCTCACTGTTGGCCATGTATCCGAGCTGTGGTACCAGCTGGTCGTCTTTGCAGTTTTCTCTCCCTGGCACCAGGCGCTGGTAGTGGGGGGGGTGAGGGTTTCCATCGACATCGACCAAAAAGGGAGGAGGCATGAGGTGTGGGGCTTGCTGCGTCTGTTCATCCAGTACATAATTATTGGAGTCACGGATCAGAGGTCGGTAGTCCGTGTGGAAGAACATCTGGTCAGGAATCTGGAGGGAATAGAGAAAAAAACCTGTTGATAAAAAGACTTCAAAAGTGCACCTCACCTCAGAGAGTTAAGGAACAATGTGTGTAACCACTTATCCATACGATTGTTTGGCTGTTTTGATTCTTTGTTGTCCTTTTGAAAAATTAAAACTGACAGGACAAATATCAACAACCTGTTTTGAGCTACAGTGTTCAGTGTTTACCTTTTCGTATGGCCTGCTGCAGCCAAAGCCAAAGATGAGCAAATGGCCGTGTGAGTCAGTGCAGGCAAAGTGCTGCCCATCGGCTGAGAACTTGCAATCAAAAATAGCACCATGGCCTTGCCCTTCAATCTGGAAAACAAGCATTTTGATTAAATGAAGTGGCAGCGATAACAGAGAGTTAATGTTTTTTTTTGACATTATTACCATGTTGAAAAAGTTGCGGATCTTGACCCCTTTGGTCAGGTCCCAGATGTAAATGTTGCCGTCGTGGCCAGCAGACAGAATGATGCGTGAGTCAAATGGGTGGGCCTCCATCACAAACACCTCGTCATCGTGCCCCTGGAGGAGAGAGGGGGGAAAACATTTAGGAATTTTAGTTTCACAAATAAACAAACAATTTCATGAAGAAACACAAACTAAACGGTCAGCCTCTTCAGCCACTCACTGATAAAATATGCAGCAGCTGTCCAGTGGCTGAGCTCCACACTTTGAGCAGGTAGTTTGTCACAGCAGTGATGACGTTGCTATCTGAGCGGTCCCAGGCCACCATAGTCACCACCAGCTTCGTTTTGTCATCCCCGTTAGTGGCAGACGTCCTGTAGGAAAACAATTCATCAGTGAAATACAGAGAGGTTCACGGAAAGAAAATGCTTTTTTTGTAAATTATCGTTAAATTTATGTTTTTCTTTCTCACCCAGGCAGCCTGGCAGTCATGTCTAAAACGACACTCTTCCACTCTTGCTGCTGGTAATGCCAGACTCTGGCTGTGCCGTCACGACTGCCGCTTACAAACCTCAAGCTGGACACAAACACACATTTACCTGTCAGTGGCTTTGACAAACACACCAAAAAATAAAGGTTGAAGTCTAAATCTAAGGTCGCACACTTACCTGTCACTGTTATTGCTAAACTGGACAACCACAACTTTATCCTGACAAATAAAACAAGAGTTGTGTATTTTAGTTAAAGATTTTTTTTTCATGTATCAAAACAGTGGAAAAAGTGCATTTAGTGTCTTACTGTGTGAGCGTCCATCTCAGACACCTTCATGGGAGTGTCAGCACCAAGGTAGTAGACCCTGATCAGATGATCAGTGCCACCCGTAGCCATGAACATACCTCCTATTACACAGTAAACATGGAGACATTTATGACAGAAATATATTCATGCTACTTTAGATTCCACACACGCACATCCTCTCACTGTATTTCTGTTTATCCAGAGTAATTATGTACATTCAACAAATTAAGGTTAAGGTAAGCTAGTATCTTAAAATCCAACAGAGAAAGAAACTACACTCACCACTACTGAAGGAAGAAGTGGAGACCTGTACTCCTGGCCGTGATCGCTCAACAAACTTGACAGGTTGGTCACTGAGAGATGGGTGGAAAACAGAAATATTGAGAATATTTCCATAAAAGGGGGCAACTCTAGAGAACGCAAAGAAGAAGTTTTCTTTAAAACTCTTACTCAAACTTTGTGCTGATTGAGTGCCACTTCCAGAAGCACACCATGCCGTCTGCACCAGTGGAGGCCAGGTATCGCGTTGTCCCTTTGATGGCTGGGCAAAACTAAGGGGGAAGAGGAAAGTCAGTTTTGGTTATTCTTGTTGAGAATAAATTTTTTTTATCATTATTTTTATAGCCTTTATTTAACCAGGTTAGTCCCATTGAGATCCAAGATCTATTTTACAAGAGAGACCTGGCCAAGAATGGCAGCACATACAGTTTCAAAACATAATCACATTAAACACAATTAATTAAAATACAAATAACATTTGATAATGTTGAATAATACAAATAACAATTGAATTTACATGATTAGTTAAAAAAAACAAAAAAAAATTTGGACTTAAATAAAACAATTACACTTTGAAGCCTGGATTTGGGGTAATTTATCTTGGACTTGAATACATTCAGCGATACAGGACTTTAGAGTCTGAACTTTGACTGCAAAATGTTCCATGCACTTGGAGCAAAAAATCTCAAAGCTGTCTTCCCCATTCCTGTTCTTACCTTAGGGACAATAACAGATAAACAAAATTGTGATGTGTTGAAGTTATTCTTTAAAAGTATCAGTCCCACCTGTATGGATGTGATGGAGGCAGCATGGGCCTGCAGGACCGTGATGGGTGCACAGGTACGTAAACACCACACCCTGATGGTCTTGTCGCAGCTGGCTGAAGCAATGAGAGTATTCTCGTGGTTGACAGCCATGTCACATATCTCCGCAGAGTGGCCGCGAAGAGTTGCCAGGAGCCGGCCGTCATCAGTGGCCCAGATTTTCACCAAACAGTCATCAGAACCCTAAACACACCAAGACAAAGGTAGAAACTTTAGCATCTCTACAAAAGTGTAAACAAAAAGATTTCTTTCTAGGCACAAGTCAGAAGATTGGCAGCAAACATTCATTTGTCACTTGAACACAAACAGAACTCACAGCTGTTTTCTGTAAATAATAATTCACGTGGCCTTACATAAAAAGTATATAAAAAGGATTCATAAGGCTTTTGAGATACATCAATTCAATAAGTAAATAAAATCAGGTTTGGAGATACATTTGGAAATACTCTTACAAGCTGTCATTCTGCAACAGCACTCAAGCGAAGTTCTGTCATCATATATGGCAGTTTTGATGCAAGTTTTGATGCACCAATTATCAGGCTGAAGACCTCACTCACCGTAAATATTCTGCGACCACTGCGGTCGAAGGCAACACAGTACACTGAGGAAAGATGGCCGAGGATGCGTTTGTGTATCTTCATGTGTTGGTAGGATGAAGATGGCAATGCCTGGCCAAAACGAGCTGTGCCTGTGGCCTGACGAGCCCCCATGATGGTCACTTGAAGTAAAAATAACAGTTAACTTCACTGGTGGAAGGTTTCTACATGGTACAAACAATGTAACACCAAAAAAAAATTACATACCAACACTGGGAGCATCTCCACTGCTGGCTGGAGGTTCTGGGGGACGTCCTCGATGGAGCGCAGCTACAGCTGAACCGCTGCATAATTTGTGGCTACAACCTAAATGAAACGGGCAGTAATTTTCAAAATATTGATATAAATGTTCAGAACAGAGCTCAGTTGAGTTGGAAGAATGTGCTTACTTCTGGTGGTGCGAAGCAGGGACTGTTTTCCGAGTCCCAAAAGTGTTTGGACCCCAGGAACGCTAGGTGGGATCTCTTTTTCTATGAGCGGGCCTATCTGCTGGCAGACACGCAGCAAGTAGTCTGCAGGAATGTGCTGGTTCAAAGTCATCTGCAGGAGTCAAAAAACATTATTACAAAATGATACAATATTATTATTACTACTACTAATAACAACAATGATACTAACAACAACAACAACAACAACAACAACAATAATAATAATAATGAGAAGAAACATTAATTCTGGGGAGTTTATAAATTGTTTCTAAGGAAAAAAATAATACTTCAAATATATAAAAGTTTACCAAATTCATCAGATAACGCAGAGCTGTTTGAAGTGACACAGTATGATCTTCAGAATATATAAAAATGTTTTAAAGGCAAATAAAAAATATTCTTATGTTGTTGAGCTGTCATAATATTGTGAAATATATTGAATTTAACAAAAACTATGCAAGTTGGAGTCTGTTATTTAATATTATGTATGTGGTTTTCAAAATCCATAATATCAGCTATTATGGTTTTTAAAAAGCACCTAAACGGGTTTGTTTTCATGACTTGAATTATACTTTCATCTAAAGTGATCAGTGTGATAATCAGACGACCAAGGCTGAATCCACTGCAGACCATGTTTACGTTCACAACAAATTCTTTTATCAACTATAATAGCTGTCTACAATAAGGTATATATGCCAATCGACTTTTTTGATAGTTGCCTCACTTTTTTCCCTCTTTGCAGACATGATATTTCATATTATTTATTTTTTATTGAATTATAAACAAACAAACAAACAAACAAACAAGGTACTTATTTATCATAAAAGAAAACTAGAGAATATTTGCCTTAGATTGAGCATGAATAACATAAAAAAATAAATAAATAAATAAAACAACTTCAATGTTAGAGGCCATTCTATATCAATTTGAACATTTCTAGTACAGAAAATAGGCATAGGGCTTTCTAGTCTGTAACAAATTTTAAGGATTTACAAACAAGTAGCAGCTCATTCTTCCAGTAAGGTAGGTTTGGTCTTGTTTTAAATATCGACACTTGTGAATGAAGAACTTCACCAAAAGCAACAAAGCATTTAGAACAAAATCCAAGTGCCTATCCTCATTAAAAACACCGAACAGAATAGTTTCTGCTGACAAAGAGGGAAGTCAATGTTTTTGGACTGCAACCAGCTCCACGTGTTACTTCAGAAGGGATGTACTCGGGTTTTCAACGTCCACATCACAAAACTATATCTTATTATCTGTGGGGTTTCTACGGAAAAGCTAGTTGAAGAAGAGTCAAGAAAAAAACAAGGGAGGGAAAGGGGAGGGCTGGAGCTACTCGCGGCCATTCAAAAACGTCCTTCACTATTTTTCCTGTTCGCTCCCAAATACCGCAGTAATTCTATTGGCTCACACCGATGACTGACAGCAGACTAAGTCTGATCGGACCAATCACAACTCGCTCTTGACTCTAGTCTCCTCCCAATAGCCCACACAAAAGCTAAGCCTTCATGTCCTCCCAATTTACTGGCCTGTACTTATATTTATGTTTTAATGTATTAAAGTAAATTCGATCGTATTTACACCAAGCCCGTTCTGAATAGTCGATTAAACACAAAATAAAACCGTCCGTTGTGAAGAAAATGAATTTTAAAAGACAAGTTACGTGCTCTATTAGATTTTTAAAAAGTTTAATATTATTATTCTCACTCACCCAATCTTGGAAGGTCCGTTTGTATTTCTGTCCGTCCCAGCTCCATCTCTGAGGGACCAACTAAAAGTTAAAAAGATCAGCTGTTAGAGATAGCACCCCACTGCTGCTTTAGCTGGGCTCGGCAACTCGCTCCTTTATCTAACACCCTCCAGACCTGCTGAAAAACAGCCCATAAAGAGGCGAGCTAGGAAGCAGCACGGAAATCACACTCGAAAATAAAGAGAAAGATCCAGTTCAACCCACCTCATAGTCCTCCAGCTCCTGGACCAGGATCTAACAACAGACACACAGTTAGCCTCAGCCGCTAGCGCTAGCTTCTTGTTAAAACATAGTTATTTTAAAAGTACGTGTTTATGTCTCGCTTTGTGTTACCTGTGCTGCTTTTTTACAGGGTCCGGACTGCAGGAATCTGGCGATGAGGTAATACAGTTCTGAAAAAAAGAGCACTGTGTTTGTTAGCTCGATGCTAACTCAAATCTTTATCAACCCGAGCTAACCTTAGCTAGCTTCGGGTACCGATCGGTTACTTAGCTCGTTAGCTGACACAAGACTACAAAGTGTTTTAATGTAAGAATTTTTTTTCGTGAAATAAAGGGACACCCGTCACTCACCAGCTTCGGTTTGTGAATACTGTTCTCTTGCCATCACTTGGTATCACGGGCGACATTAAGACAGACTGATGTTTTGGCTTGCTTCTTAGCCGCCGGCTAGCTAACAGTAGCTAGATGTGTGTAGCTAACACAGGCTGGTGAATGGCCTCCTCCTTTCTCAAGTTCTTCTCAGACCACCTGGTGCTTTGTGTTAGCGCCCTCTAGTGAGACAGGACAGTACTTGACGGGTTTACAACATTATAGACGACATTTAACTATTCAAATGTGTAACTTTGGGACATTTGTGGCCGTTTACAGCTACATTGTGCATTTATTCGTAAGGTCAGGGGTGGTTGAATGATGATTCTCATTTACAGGAAAGCTTTACAATAAGTTATTTAATATTTCATATAATGTTTACACTATATTTAAAAAAAATGTAGGGGAGAGTGGGGTAAGATGAGCCATTTTTCTTATTTCGGATCACTACATTAAGGGAATCATAGTTTTGTCTCTAACTAGTCTATCTATATATATTTCAAGATGTTGTGCATCCCTGCAAACCAACAGGAGTGTGAACATCACTGTCTTGATATTAAAGCATGCCAAAAAAGTGGTCTCCTATGGTCAACTTACCCCGTGTATGGGGTAAGCTGAACATAGGAGCGGGGTAAGTTGAGCCGTATCCCTACTACCTCCCCACTCAGTTGAGCCACTGACTCAACTTACCCCTGAACTACTATTATGACTTTATTAGTCCTCTAAGCTAAAATGGTGGACTTTTATGTTGACCTCATGTTGTAGCTCATATATACCACAATTGATCTATAAAACAAATTTAAAATGATGTTTTTTAGTCTGAACACAACTTTAATAAAACTTATAACAGACTAAATTCACTTTCAAGAGTGAAAAATGTTTTTTTTGGAAATAAATGTCTAACCCCTTCACCCATGTGCTTCTAACCTTCACAGACTCCATGAATTGATGCCCATCTCCTAAATATTTGGTCACATTATCAATTTCTTTGACCATTTCCAAGCAACAGGGGGTAGCTCAACTTATCCTTTGGCTCAACTTACTCCACTCTCCCCTATATTTATCTCATGTATTTAACCAACCTGCAATATGACACGTATATATTTTTTCAAACAATCTTCCCTCCACTCCATTCCTCATAATTGCACTTTTGTCTTTATATATACGTTAAATGTCTAGTTAAAGCTTGTACATACTTTGTAATTTTTGTAGCATTTTATGTTCAGTGTTTGTACATAGAGAGCAAAGTTAACCAGAGTCAAATTCCTTGTATATGTACACATACTAGGCTAATAAAGTTTATTCTGATTCTAATTAGTTATTTTTGGTGGTCTGTGTCATTTTGTGGAGGAAAAAGTACTGGGCAGCTCCCTAAACTTTTTACGCATGCCTGTTGGAAAATGAACACACGGACAATGCTGGCTCTTAAATTAAGGGATTTTTTCTTACAGTTTATGAAATATACTGGAATTATCACCCTTTACAAATTGAACTGAATAAAACCTGTACATCAAAAGTAAATAGGCTGTGCCCTTTGGATCATTCATATCATGTAAGGTGAAGGGTATTTTGTTGTTGTTTCTGTCCACTTCTTTGGTTAAAATTTATAGTTGGTAAATGAATGTGTTTTTGATTTACAGGTACAGGTAAGCAATTATTCAACTATGGAGAAGGGGTGGGATTCAATCTTATATTTTTTAGTTTTAAGGAAAACACGACCTACTTCTTTGGTATTTTTAATATTATTATTGGTAAATGAATGCTTGTAGTTCTTGATGTACAGTGTGTATGTAAGTATATGTATGTATGCGTATACATTTATATGTGCGTATGTGCAATATATGGGTCTATGTATGGATATGTATATATGTAGTGTTGCTTCTTCCTACTCCTTTCCGAATATGCAAACCTAAATACTGCTCATGTTATCAAAAACCAATGGTATACACTGACTTGGTTTACTGTAAAATCCCAAATGTACTTTTCACCCCAACAAGGTATAAAGCTTACAAAAAGGAAGAGGTAATACAGTACCTTCAGTAAATCCGCCTCATTGTAATATTTCCGTGTAGCCTGTGTCATCAGTTCCTTGAAAATTGTAACCTCACAGCAAGTTGGAATAACAGACCAAGGTACATTTGCAGGCATGGAAATCTTGAGAACATGTCTGAGTGAAGTCATTAGTTATTTGGAAAATTGAAAGTAAATGTTACATGATTCACTCTGTGAAAAAAAAAAAATCTAATATTGACAGAAAAAGGAAACTTTCATGCATGTGTTTTAAACTTATGGCACCTTAATTCAGAAAGACAATTAATGACTGATTTATTGGAGATCATCAAGCCCGGTATTAGCAAAGACGACTGACCGGTTTAGTAGGTCGTGGTTGAGCTCAGTTGGCATTAGCAGTAAGTTTGTGAACATGTACAGTATGTTTGTGTGTGAGTTTGTACCTAAATGATCTAACAAAGTTTTAATAAGTAGTGAGACCGAAAATTCTGGCATACTTTTTATTACCAAAATATGAGGAACCCTGAGTTTCCAAAATTGTCAAAATTTGTGAATAATTCAAGATGTCAGGGGTGTAATTGTGCAAAAGGTGTAACTTATTGGGTCAGGCAAGGAATAGGTGAATTTTGTTTTTCATTTACTGGATTTGGATGAAACAGGTAAATGCAGATGACTGGCAGGCAGATTATTAGAAAAAGAGTGTGATGCAATGGATGGAAAGGTACAAGGTGTTGCCTAAGCACCTTCAGATCCTGTCAAATGATGCTTTAACAGAAGAAGTTTCCTTAGTTAAAAAAAAAAAAAATACTTGCCCTTTTTAAATTAGAAAAATTGACTGTTCAGATCTCTTATATGGCAAATCTATTGTCATACATTCACAGTAAGAGCAATCTGAAGCCTACTTATTTGAGGCTTTAATGAAAATGTCAGAGACAATACGCGGTTTACTAACTCAATTCACTACCTTTTTACTGCCAAGTTGTTGTTGAGTTGACACACTTAACCTTTCATTAAGTATGCATGCCATGCCAATAATCAGAGCCAAAAGTTCACCTCCTATTGTTGCGAAAGACAAAAAAAGTGATTTTGGCAATGGCAATGGAAAAATTAGGTAACCAAGGTGAGGCCTGCCTACCTAAGAATAAACAATGCCAAAACAGTGTACATTGGTAGTGCAGCAGGATCTCAGCATGAGTAAGTTTACCTTTTTCAGGAAGTGGTGCAATGATTGGATTTTTGAGTCACTTCTGCTCTTCTAGTTTCTAGACAGAGGCACGTGTGAGGGAAAGTGCATATTCTGAGGTTCTGTACTTCAGGTCAGAGTCTAGCTTCTTCGCTGGAATACAACCATCTCACGTGTTTAATCTAATTACAGATGGATATGTGGGACTAATTTCAGAGGTACACATTTTATACACAATATACAACCCAACATAAGAGTTTGTAACAACATCAGAAGATACTGAGTATCAAATCACCTAAGTCAAGTCTCCTAAAGTTAACCAATATTACAAAAATTGGACTGGTGTCCGCAACAGACCATTAGCTACAAATTTTTGCTTACTTAAACAATTGTATGGGTATAGACATTGAAGTCAAGAAGAAAGATACTGCTGATCTAGGTCCATATCAGCACACACACAAATACACAAAAAACAAACCATGTAAATTAGAAAATGTTGTTGTGGTGCATTGAATGGTGCAACATAGCCCACTGATAGTATATTTAAAACACAGATAGGACATTTAAGGTTCATTTTACAAAAATAATTTTCATTGTGGAGGGTTTTCTGTTTGAAATTTAACATTGTTTGTTGTTTCAGCCTGTTTTTTCTACCTGCACTGGACTACTGTAAACTTCGCTGCTTGACCCAAGGGTGGCGCCGCAGCTCACCTGAGGTGGGAGTTAGGCATCTCACCGCATGCACTTGTCTTTAGATTTCCCAATTGCTCTGATCAGTAGCAGGGCACGTATACTAATAAGTGACGATCAGAATTAATCATGTTTGATAAGGTATGACTCAGAGCAAAAGGCATGACGCACAAAAATCGCAACACATTGGTGTTGCCCATTGAACAGCACGGGGCCTGTTCAATCATTATTCAGTGCTTGTATAACCTGTTGAATCTCAACCTGATCGGACAATAGTAGTGTTTTTTCAGACCTCTGAAGTGCATGTACATTTTCTATGAATTTAAAGGGCATGTTAAAGCGCCACTAAGCACGACGGCAGGCGCAGAAACACACACATGGATGGTCACATAACTTTATTTAGTATATAGTTCAGTGGGCGGGACTGCGAGTGTGGACGCTCTCTGTCTGCAGACACCGTTTCATTCAGCCGTCATCTGTGCATGAGGACGGGACGTGATTTGATAGGATCTCAGTCAAATGCTAATGTAAAAAATTGAGGTGTATATCGATTGGGATCTTTACCCTCAACAGGCTGTATCCACGACAACACGCCGCTCGGTATCTGTATCATTCGCAGACTGAGTCGGCGGTGCAGTTTCGTCTCAGACCAACTTTTTGGAATATAGGACGCGGGTGTTTGTCGGCTTTTTCCACATGTCCCCGTCTGGATTCGCCTGACCCGTACTTCACCGGTAGGTTTCCAGTTTTTCTGTGGTGTGTGTGTATGTGTATGTGTATGTGTCGGCGGTTTAGCCCGCAGTGACGGTTTTTAAGCAGTTTAAACGTAACGGTTACTTACTTGGTTTAACGTCGTTTAAAGTCGTTTTGCATCAAACTAAATGGGCTCTTGTTGTAGTTTTATGTGTTTTCTTTTATATACTGTTTTAACTTTGGCTTATGTGCCTCAAAATGTTTTTTTATTTTATGGGAAGAACGGCTTCAGTCCTCCTAAAGGCTGTGAGTTCTTGTCAAAATGAGAGTAAGAGATCACCGGTGTTCTGCCGTAGAATGCATCCCTGCCATAGAATGAACCCCTGACGGGAGCGCGGTTGAAAGTACATAACAAGGCGAAATAATCCAAGTTTTCCTTACCGTTGGATGGATTCTAAAGCGTGTGCCTTTATTGATTCCATTCAGGCTATTCAGATAAGCCTAAAATAATAGCCCTCTGATTCGGAATATTTTTTGTCCTGAAAATATAATGTTTTCTACCTTCACAGCTTACTGTACAGTTTATATACCTAAGTTCACCTCTATATGTGCATTTTTGAAACACATTAAAACAAAACGAAAGTTTGCTGCTCCATTTTACATGTTGTCACGATCCAATACTAGAGTTTTTTTTATATGAGATCATTTTCTTCCACTTTAAGAAGCTAACGAGTGGGTATGATACAGGGGATGCATTCTACGGCACAACACCGGCTAACGTCTATGAAGTATTTTTTGTCTGTTTTACTTAAGCACAGTGGTAATTGAAGTGTCCCGGTGTTAAGGTGCTTAAATATTTACTCAATAGATCTGTAACTAATAGCCTAGTTTTATGTTTGTAGACGCTCTGAGAGTAGGGTTAGCGCTCCGGTTCGGTAGAGTCACTGGCTTTTCATTTCGCATCAAAATCCTCTTAAGAGTGAAACAGAATTCAAAATTGTGAACTTCACCAGCTCCAGATTGGACACCAAGTTCACTGCAGTCGTGTCATTCTCTGTTAAAGTGACCCAACAGTGCAGAAAGAAGCCCAGGTTGAAGTTGAAAGGCGCCACTGTTCAATTGTCCAGCGATTATTCTGCGTCATAAATCCACGTAGACCTGTGTCGAGGCTCGGGCCATTTTGCCGGCTTTGCTGCGTCAGTGCCGAGGCTGGCCCAGCAGATGTGAATAGTGATGAGGATGTGTGCTGACAGCTGAGTGGGACAGGCCGGGCTGCTCCTTCAATGACTGAAGAGGGGTGTTCACTGCACCATGCTCCCTTGCCTCTCCGTCTTTCAAAAAAATTTAACCATCATGTTACTAAACATTTGGACCAGCCTTATGACTCCGGCCATCTTCCTCCCCATTCAGATGATTCTTAGTCCTGTGACTTATTCCTGTCATCTGCATTAAAGCTACAGTGTGGCTTGTTAAACTAGTCTATTGCACTGTGGTTGAGGTCTGTACATGTGGTGAATGAGTTCAAGGGTCATGTAAGATCTCTATCTTTTCATGGTGTATTATCCTATGACAACTCTCTCTTTCACTTATGAAGATCTGTTGTGCCAACCAGATAGTTTTAATGCAACTGGATTCAAAGATGTAACTTCCAACTTCTTGATACATTATTTCCATATTTTGGACAAAGATACTAACCTGCTTACACCAGGATATCTTTCACAACACAAACTGTGTTTTACAATGTCTCAAGATTGATTAGAAATAAATCCATTAGTTCCTAAATACACTGTTCTAGACATTTGGGTGAAAAAGAAAGATATTGGTCATCCGAGCTAGCAGTTGGTATATCTTAAAGATGACAACATGGTCTAGTAGTGTTTTGACTCTGTTAGAAATGATGCCCAATTGTCGGGTGTAAGTTGACCTGATAAATGAATTCATAATGATGTGTCATTGCATTCCTCGAAACAAGCCAATGACATGTAACCAGAAAATCAATCATTCAATCAGTCAATCAGTCAATCCTTCAATCAATAAATCAGTCAGCCCGTAGTCCAGTCCAGGAGTCCAGTAGCTCCTCATGGTTACAATGTTTAACCAGTCTCACCATGATTTATTACATGTTTATTTTATGTTTATTTACATATCTTTTATATGTAAATCAGATTTACCACACATGCCAGGTACTAATGCAACATGTAAGCCTGTGAAGTCGTACCAAGTACTTTGAGATTCATGTTAACAGAAATGCTGTTCACCTAATACATGGACTGTAACAAGATGGTATGTACACAGACTAAAGGAGAACCCATTTGTATTGTCCTGGTACCACTAAATACATTAAGATTTAGTTTTAAAATAACATGTAGCCTCTTACTTATGCAGAAATGTCACATTGTCATTTGTAACAGTGGCTGCAAAAATGTTATTATACCTTTACATAATGTGAGATTTATTTTAAATATCCATAACTTATTATCTCACAACAAGGACCAATAACACTACTACTATGACTAAGCATTTCACAACCACGAGAAGACACCTCATAATAAGCTTCCCCCTTTTCCACACTTATCAAAATTTCTTTAGTTATTGCAACATTTTCCTCTTGTCTTTCCTCGTCTTTGTCACCTTGTTTCATAATGTTCTCATCTTTTATTTTTCCAAATGCCTGATACTCAGTTTTTAATACCACATTTCACCTTTTAGAGTAAACCAAGGCCTCCGTGAGATTTTCTTTGTATCAGATAGAACTGTGATCATTTGTATCCAGTTTTTGCTGAAGCACTGCTGTGTCTGGGTTTTCGCCTCTATTTGCTAAAGCTATGGGGTGGTGAAGGTTAGTTAACTGATGACACACAGCCTCGTCTCTGATGTTACAGAGCATGTTGTGGGGAAAGTAGGTTACTGGGCCATGTCCTGCAAGCTTAAACTGAACGCTAGTCTGAATATTGCTAGAGCTGCTTAGTGTGACTGGGCATGCACAAATGGTGGAGAGCTGTGCAACAGCAAAGGGATCATTTCAACTCCCTGTCCCTTTAAGAAGACAGAGCGGCGCTCCACATAGAATGAATGTTGAATGTCCAACCCATGTTGATTCATCTCAAACACACATTAAATGGAGTGAAATGTAACAACAGGTTGGCTAACGTCATGGGTAAGAAATAACCAAGCCCCGTTCAGCCCTTTTATTAATGTGAGACAAGCCCATATTAAGTATTGACTGAATCAGTCTTTCTGTTTTACTCACTGACAACAACATCTTTATTTAATTTAGGAATAAAAAAAACAAACCAAAACATGATGGTGGTGCTGCTGTAGGTGAGGACATAGGATGTAGTCATCCCTCACAGAAATTAATATTGAAGTTTGGCTCTTCAAAAGTTAACCATTTGAAATATGGATAGAGAGCAGGTTTAGAGTTATATGGAATCGCTCATGTTACCTGCTCCAGTTTCCACTGCAGTACCTATATCCTATATGGAGGTTATTGTTTTTTCACATGAGGCTATATGACTATATAGTTTCCCTGGGGTGTCAGTTGATCTTGTTGCATACCCTTTCACAGTGTTGTATTTTGTTTTTTAGTAATTAGGTGCGGGAAAACATTAAGCAAAGGAGGAACATATTGAAATATTTCTTTCTACTCTTTAAATAGAAATAACAAATCTAAACATTACAGGCATCTCTAGTCAAAATGAGCAAAAGAAAACACCTCATAGTAGGTAATGAGACAGAGAAAGCCCAGAGAGATGAAAAACAGGCACTCTGATGTTACTGTCAAAGTATTTGAAGAATCAATTTCTATCAAAACCAGACTAGATTTTTATGCTCCCTGACAGTCTGTAACAATAGTTCCAGATAGTTTGAGTGTAGTGAATGCTGTCTGGCCAGCCTTCAGAGCCTGTTTGCACCTTTCCAAGAAATGCAATTCCTGGAGTGCTTTTCTCTCGTGTGATTATGGTTCAACAGGTTGCGACAGGTGTAATGAACAACGTTAAAGACAAGCAGGTATTCGATGTCAAGAAGACCAGTTAACACACACACACACAAATAGAGTCCATCATTCATATAGCAAATGTCTTCATAAGGTTCTTTTTTTCAAATAAGTTCTTAATTTATCTCATTTCTCAGGATCAAAGACTCCTCTTTTGCTTTTACTTAATTGAATTATCAATAACACTATTTTCCATTTAAAAATGCAGAATGTCTATTTAGTTTCTTGTATTAGCTGAACTTTTTTTCTCAGCATTTTTTTTACAACCCCAATCCAAAAAAGTTTAGTAAAATGTTGATAAAAAAGTATTTGAATGTTTTTGGATTATTAAACCCTTTCTGAAATTGAAAAATAATTCCAAAGGCAACATATCAAATGTTGAAACTGAAATGTATATTTTAGAATAGAAAAGTATATGCTATATGCACAATGTGTTGATACAAATCTTTGTTGCTTGGGCCCTCTGTTATGGTGAAGTTAATGGAGTGTAGCCTCCATGAGTCTTGATAAGCATGGCACATTGAGCTGGTGCATCACAGGTGATACTTGGTCTTTGAACAGGGGCTCTGTTCTGAGAGCAATGACAGAAACACTCAGTGTAGAAGAGCTGTGACATTATAAAGCATAGTTGATAGTGAAACTGGTTAGTTATTGCATTGATTTTGGTAACATGTCTGCACACACGAAGGGTATTCCAAAGAGACTGAGACTTTAACATGTAAAGATGGCAAAAGTCACGTTGAAGTTTATGTCTAAAGCACATTTGAAAACATCCTCAGTCGACCAAAGTGCAGTACAGGAGTGAATATAATCATACATACACTTACTTAAGGTTCAACACTCTGAGAGAGACTGTTTAGGTTAGTAGTTGAACAATTTTAGAATAAAGACTCTTGACATAAAACTGCAAAAAAATTGGGAATTCTATCAACTCCAGTACATATTATCATTAAAAATATAGAGCACAGGAAGAATTCTCTACAGATTAACGAACAAGGCCCAATAATAATACTGGATGACCATGATCGTTGAGCCCCCAGGTAGTGTTGCATTATAAACAGTTATGACTCTGAAGTGGAAATCTCTGCATGGACTCAAAATCACACATAAAATCATTAACTGTGAACACAGCTTGACTCTGCATCAACAAATGCAGGTTATAACTGCACCACGCTCAGAGGAAGATGCAATATGACCCAGAAATGTTTGCAAATCCTCTAATTAAGACAAAGCTTATTAAGACAGCCTGAGAGGAAATGGAAAACTGAGCAGCTGTTTCACAAATCATAATTACACATACTTTTTGGAAATCATCTTCCAATTTAAAGATGAGAGAGACCGGCCAGCTTCTCATCAGCACACGAATGTAAAGCAAAAATCTTTGGTTGTGAAGGATGCAGGAGTGCCTGTAGCATTGGTAATGCACACATCTTGGAAGGCACCATTAATGGTGAACAAAAATAAAGGTTTTGAGGCGTCTTGTTGGCTCCAAGAATATGCCTTTTATAGAGCTGTTGAGCAGCTGAAATCTGACATCAGGTAAAATGGGAGAATACTGAAGAAATACATCACAGGCACAAAATATACCTGTATGAGAAATTTAAAATGAATGAATAAATGATAAATATATTCAAAGATGTTAAAATGTTGAGTCTGGTTGAAGTACGTTTTTTTTGTTTTTCAATTTATTGCTGTAATGATTTTGGTTGTAGTTTGGTTGAGTTTATTGGTCCATTGTTAAAGAAAAGTCATACACAGAGAAAGGATGACTCAAAAATAAATCACGTGTGTAGGTCAGGTAAAAACCAAAAGAGGGCTTATCCCAATATTTAAAGAGAAAAACTACAATAATATATATATATATAAAAAAAAAGACTGTAAATGAAATAAATAAATGTATTTTACTTAATTAAAGGTTTACATTAAAGGTATAAAAAAATGTGTGTTAGCAAACATCAAAATCAGGAGAATTTATAATTCTCTATTATTTACCACAAAATTTTTCAGACATCTGAGCAGTTTTTTTGTCTTTCTTTGTTTCCTTTTTTGTACAAAGACACAAAGTCTGTTTGCAAGTCCAAACTTGCAGTCCAGGAATGGAAGCAATAGAAATAGCAACAAATCCTCACGTCTTAGAATCTGGAGCTAGAAAACAGCCTTTTTGTTTAAGAGTGGCTTAAATGATTAATCATTTGCTAAAAATAGTAGGTGAAAGCGCTGGTTTGACACAGCTCAACACAATAGTTTTTACATGACACCAACACAGGATTAGCACGAATTAACCCTCAAGTTGACCCCGCTTGTTCACGATAGAAAGGCATACTAACAGTTAATTGTATGGTTTGACATTGCAGCAGGTTATTCACAGTATTTGTGCTGTTAACTGTTCTTGTGTTACATTTATGTCCATGTCAAAGACCTGCTTGAGTGGTGGGTGAGCATTTACCTCCTTTATTGTTACAGAGCTGACAACCCACAGCCTGAGGCAACGGTCTCTAATTAACTTCACAAGATGAATGAAAAATACTCGTTTCTTGTGCCTACACGCTGCTCTTAATGAGGACTTTTTCATATATTCACATATTTCTCAACTGACCTTTCTTTGCTGGGTTAGCTTTGTTTTTCAAATTATTAATATTTGTTACATTATGTGGCTGCTGGACTACAGGGATCTGAAAAAATCTCTGTTGAATGACCAGTAAGTAATAAAAAGGGACTTAAAGGAAGGACTCAAACATAAAAATCTTTAGATATTTTTATATTTTCCACATTGTGTTTATATAAAATGACTGATTTGAGATCTTTAATTTCATCTCTGAAGTCTAGAAAGAAATAATTGACTTTTCAAAGAGTCCAGACATCTGGTGTTTCTGGTTCAGACACAACTGTTTTGCAAGTATCTAAAACTCTTGGTTTAAGATGAGCACAGATATTCCTTTCAATCCACACAGTGTGAGTGAGATTTATGGGACTGTTTTACATCATAATCTGTAGGAGGAAAAAAGTTTGTCGCTTTTATTTAAGTATTCAAAGCAACTGGATAACAAATCCAGAAGAGCATGCATGCAGCTATGTGATTAAGTCCCTTACATTTAACATTGTATATGTATTATGAGGTTGCTCAATTCCAAAATGAAAAAACTGTCATGATTCAGGTGTCTGCACTCTACTGATTTTGAGTCCAGTTCGGTGTGTTTATCCTCCAAATTCCTCAATTCCTCAATTAATTGCTCCTAAAGAATCTCAGAAAGTGGCATGACAGGTTTGCTGGGCTGTCCACACCAAGCATAGTCTGAGGGTGATTAATGACTGGTAACTGAAAGTCGATCATGGTTGTCTATTTTAGGCTTTGGGAGATTTTCCATCTGTGGTCATTGAGTGCTAACAGAGGGAGTTTATTCCTTTAATAATAAGACCTCGCTAACACTGCATATAGCCTCATGTTAAGCACTGAATCTGGACCCTTGTCTGATCTAAATCAGACAACTCAAACATATTAAGCTGGACTTTGCATCTTGACTTCTGAGCAAAGAACTTGTGATCGAGTGTGATCTAAACTGTGTCCACATAGTATCTAGGTATGATCAAATTGTCACCTAGATTTTGTGATAGGTAATGACGCAAATGTCACTCAGATCTCTCAGGGTGCCAATAAGATGTCCAGCTTGCATTCCGTTTAATTGCTTTTGTAGATGCTGTTGTATTGTTCCATATTCGTGTGGTGGTTAAAACAGACGCTACTCCTCCCTCATTTACGAAGGAGTCACCATAAGACTTGCTCATCATCTTTGTTGAGCCAAAATTGCTTGAACTCCACACACTTCTTCTGTCATACTTACTCCAGTCAGACGTCATGGGAGTATCTGGGTTTTGCGCTGGAGGCGCTTTGGCATACATTTTTGAATAACAAATGGTTGTTAGTAAATCTCCAGTCAGGAGATTTGCTCTTTTTCTGAAGTCCGTAAAGCCCAGAGGCTGAACCTTAGAAGTGAAAGAAAGACTGATTATTTAACATCAAACATGGATATTTCTTTTGCTCCGTACTTAACTACACAGATGCCTTAGTTTGTGAACTCAGCTGCATTCAGCCAGTGGAAATATGACAGTATGTTGCACATGACTCTTGAGACTATGACTGGTATTCATGTCACCCTCTTAACCTTGTAAGTATGACAGACAAAATGTTCAGCTCTGGTTATATAACTGCAGCTACAGACGTCATCGTCCTTGCTGCTGTCGCTGATCTCTTGCTCCAAAGCACACAGTCATTGTGCTCTGTAGCTTCAGGCTCAGATCCACTAGGGCATGATTAAAACATTTAACTTCTTTTTGACAGAAGAAATAAAAATAAAATCTCCCGATCTCATTCTCTTGACTCTACAACTTATCGCACTGCATCAGTTTGCTTTCTTTGTTTGTTCACTGCATGAAACGAGTGTCAGAGATAAAAATCTCAACACTATGTGCGATGTCTTTGTAAAGGCAGTGCTCTACTACACAAATATATCTATTTAAGGAGCTTTATTTCACTGATTTGAGGTTGGCTGCCCTCTGCTTTCAAAAGAGTGATGCTGTCATCCTCTCAAATGAAAAATCATCAGGTGAAGCATCAGGTGAGATGTATTCAGCCTCTTTTTTGAGCGCTACACTGCTTTCAGCACAGAAATGTTTGTTGAATAAGTCAATGCTTCTTGAATCCTGAATATTTTCTGTAGCTGATTCACAGGACAGGTTAAGCTTTTATCTTTCCTTCACTACACAAGGTCACTTCCAAGAATTGGGTGTGGCTCCACTTTGTATTTGGGGTGAGGAAAACAAACAGTTTCACAATACATGTCGGCCGGGCCCCTGTGTGTGACCTATATGTGATTCAGATCTTGAGCTGAGGGTGTTGGCTTCATGTGCATTACAAGGCAGTTTGTTTTGGTGGAGTCGAACACAATTCAGCAGAGGACCATTAAGTCGCACGTCAGATCTGATGCTGAAAAGAGGGGAGCATGAGCAGATGGATTCCATGTTGTTTGATGCTCACTTGCTCATCGGCAATCTGTGATGTCAACTAGCAAAACCTGATTACGACTCGTGACTCTGAACTGCAGATTGAGATCCCAGTGATGATGGATTCTTATTTTCTGTGCGGGTCCAGAAAATGGAGCAGTTATTTACATTAGATAGATACTTTATTCATCTCTAAGAGAAATTCATCCCAATAGACAAGGTTGTTTTGGGCTTTCTGTTTTTTCTTCCGCAATCTTTTGCAGAATTTTGCACATTTTGTTGATTTCATATGTATCGCTTAAGGCCAAAACAGAGTGTGGTATCCGAGTGGAAATTAAGTTCCTCTGTCCACATGAAAGGTTGGAGGACATGCTCTCTTGCAGACCTGAAAGTGATTTGCTCAAGGACGCTTCAGCAGGGTGACTGAATCATGAATTATTATCACAATGGAGCCTGATCTGTTTCCATGTTTATGCGCTGTTATCCTGAATATAATGCACACATAAGTGTCAGCACAGAGGCTGCTGCGGCTGCTCCAAGCTCGCAAATGGGACCCATTTTCACTGCTCTTTGATCGGGCATGTGTGTCAAAACACAATGAATGTGAAATGAAATCTAGACAGTGTGATTTTTTCCCCCCCTTAACTAACGATCCAGCCCCTTATCATTAAAAATGCAGATGTTATTAACCCACTTTCTTACTCAGGCATCTATTGTGATTACATGGAAACTCATTTTTCTCTGTGTGCCGGCACTCAGGTGAAAAAAGATGCCTTCTGCTGCTGGTTATCGTGCTCCTAAAGTGTTAATTAACATTAAGATGTATGAAAAATGCATGGAGAGATGTCAATAATGTCTGCTCTTTCCGTTTTGGAATGAAAAATATCTCCAGTCTTGTGCTTTGCTTTCAAAATTAAAAACAGGTGGCTTGTGTTTGTTTAGAGGCAACTCAATATTACGTTTTTTTTCATGAAAGAGTTAATGCTTTTATTACAAGCTGCTTTCCTCTCTAAAGAGAAACCTTAATCTAACAAGAGGTTTGTGTGCTTCAAGAGGGAAGCTTTGGAAATATGAACTACAGCGTGTCATAACAAGGAAAATGAAATGGCAATAGATAGGAATGGAGACATAAGGTCATTTTTTCCACGGCCTGCTTGTGGAAGACTGTTTGAGTCCACTCCAGAGTCTGTGCTTAAAACAGTGGCTGATTGAGATTTTAGAGACATTCACCCATAAACCCACAACAATGGTATTACTGTGGTATGTCTATGTTTCGTCCTTTGGTTATTATAGAAAGATTAGAGCTGTTTCAGAGCCAGGAATGTAATCAAAGATGGAACCTCCGATGTGAGCCTGAGACAGCCGTACAAAGAAAGAGCTGCGTTGCCCTTTCCACCCATGCCCTAGAATTGTGACCCACATATTTGCTCACACACTGCCTTAGGTAATTGCATCTTTTTCCTAAGCAGCAGCAGACAATAACAGGCCTGAAATAATTTGGTGATTCATTTAGATTTGAGAAAAGAATATAATTATGAGGAAATTTGAGAGTAGATCTACCAGGTGAAATGATGTTTGCTTTAAAGGTCTGCTTTGTCATTGAAAGGATTTGGCCACCCACATCGAGCCTGCGCTGTGTGGTGAATGTGTAATTACAAGGCACTGCGGGATGAGGTATCACCAAAATCATTGACAAATGTTGAAGTATAAGCACCAAAAGCCAACATGGAATAAGTGAAAGAAACCTGCGGAACATGTAGACTTACACTAAACAGGACTGAGCTCCCTGCACTCTAAAAATAAAAAGACTTCTTTATCTTATACTGCTTTTTAATTAAGTCTAGACATGAGGCATTTATTGACATTTAAATAAGAAACCAAAATGATATGTGATTGACAAAGTATTTGGATTTTTGGGAGGGGTTAGAAATACTTAGATCTCCTTACAGCAAAGCAAGCATTTTTTTGGCACCACCCGTTGGTCTGTGGATAACAAATTTGGAGCCTGAAGTTTTGTATTTTGGCAAGTACTGTCTTGTTTCTATGGAGCCAGAAGTGACCATATTTAGACAGCAGAGTGGATTCACATTCTGTTATTTCTGTCCTGGCACAAACTTTGCAGTGGTAGCTATTTGTCAATCACAGTGAAGCCATGTCCTAAAACATACACTGCTTTAATATTATCCATTTTAATCTAAATACAAAATAAAACCACATGAATGATTACAGATAAAATCATGATATATTTAAGGTGACTTAAAACCAGCTGTTGAAGCAGATTATCATTCAGAGAGGCTTTGTAATTCTGCAACCTACAAAAAAAAAATCACGGAAAATATTTAACTTAACAATTTACAATATCATAAATGGACAGAACTTTACGCTACTTTTTTTTTGGGGGGGGGGAGTGCTTTATAAATAGAGTTTGATTTATTATTATTATTTTATTTAAAAAAGATTGATAGGGAAAAATTAAACAAAAATTTTTTTTTAAATAAAACACTGTGTGTAGTGTAAAAACACTTTTAGGACAAAAAATTCGGCAAAGTGAGAAAAAATTCACTCCTTGCAAAAAGAGAAAGACATCAGATGAAAACAGTTGTATTTTTGCTCAATATTTTTGCATTGTCTTTGGCTTATTTGAAAACTTTTTTTCTGTGGTCAGTGAAATATTTTTGTGGTCATTTAATGTTTGTACAGTTGACCTCCAGGGCCACCTTATAAATCAGTTGACACACAGGATAATGTTCTCAAAGACATATACAATTCTACATTTTCTTTAACCTGTGCAGTCACCCCCTTTTGTCCAGTAGAAGAATGCAGGTTTAAGTTGAGATTTAAAGAGGCAGCATCTACTTTTTATAAACATCAAAGTTTAACCAGAAAATCTACTTACTGTATTTTTACTATGTAATTTGCTCAGATAATGAACTGGTTATACTATGCTGAAATCAATTAAGTAAAATTGTACAATTTAAGCAGAAAAAAAGACAATCAAATCATACAAGTTGATGTTTCTATAGGCCCAGTTATGGATAGCATGTGTGAAAGGGCATTATGGGCATTATGGTTTTTTTTCCCCTAATGCGCAGCAGGTGAGGATGTGTTAAACTGCACTGTGACAGGATTGTCCAGCGGGTCGAGCTCTGTCAGTGCAAAGGTTCAGCTGTTACCCAGGGGAGGATTAGTGAGAAGCTGCTGTTTGGTTCAGATGGACAGCGCTTGTGGGAAAGAACTGTTGAGGAGGGGCGTGAAGATTTAGTTTCTTTACCGACTGGTGCTTTTTTTTCCATTGGTTACTCAATAAAGGAAAATGCTGTAACAGGCGAGGATGTCCCATATAGCGCCCTCTGTATTATTTTTCCTCCTTTTTTTTTTTTTTTTACTTGAACTACTGTTGGGTAACAGCTAAAGTTGAGCTTCATCTACACTGGATTGCAAGGCGCAAAATGTCCTTGACCTGAACATTGTGTAACTTGGTGCTAGCCAACAGTGGGAGAAGGTTGAAGAATGGTTTGTTAAGATGAAACCTCATTTTCTGTAATAAGGTGATTTTCTGTGATTGCGGCTGGATGAACATCAGCCGCTGCTGAGGTGATGCTGTGAGATGATCTTTGGATCTTTCTCTAAAGTAGAAGAAATAGATCAGGGGTGTGTGACTTTTATCTGCAATGACAGTCCTTCTAGTGTAACTTTTTATCATGAATGTATTCCTGCAGATTATCTCAAATAGGTCTTAAGTTACCATATTTATCAAAAACATTTTTATACTTTACCTATTAAAGTCTCTCTCTGTCCCTCCCTCTGGGTTTCTTGTTTTCTTAAATTAATTTAAGACAACCTTTGAATCAAATATTATTATGTAATGATCAAGTACAACAGGAAATGGGTATTTCATTGCCACAACACTTTAATAAAGTCTTCAGCCCAGTAATAAATCATATTTCACTGCTGTGTACATAGTGCTGGTAATGGTTCAGTCATTATAATGAGGAATCAGAGCGTACAGCGAGAAAGCTTTCCTGCCACTTTATTAATATTCATCAGACTAACAAATGGGTTTCTGATGTGCGTATGAAAAATCTCCCAGACCTGAGGAAAAAGGAAACGAGTGGCTTTATGGACATAGCCGCCGTGGTTGGGGGGAAAGTAGACACCACACATTGTTACCATGGGAACACAGAGCGAACAGCAGTGCCACAGTCTAATTAATGACAGACAGTGCTTCAACAGAGGGCCGCGATGACATCATCAATACTAGTTATCACAGATGTAGCCTCAGGCAATATGGCTTAATGTCTGAGTGATTGTCACAATAATCCACTTTTTCCTCTCTGATGTAAATGAAAGCACTGTGTAAAAAGGTACAGAATGTAAAGCATCCAACACTAAGCATTTATTATGTGGTGAGGCCTGCTTATGAGCACTAAATGTCATCTCATCATCCAATAGCATGACCTACATAAAAGAGCAGAACTAATCTCTATGTAGGCGGATGGTGAATAATGCAGTAAAATGTGGGAGATCTTTATGAATCTTAGATGTCTCACACTTGTTGGTTGCTGGCATAGCAACAATTTATTTAGAATAATGATGTTTCATCACTCTGGTTTTGTTTGCTTTCTTATGATTTTGGTATTGTGGTGTAGTGAGTTTGTTCCTATGTGAGTTAACGGCACAGATTCTGCGATTTTTGAATACCATTTCAAAAAGTTTGTTATTGATTAAATGTCTTAAGAATAAGTTCTTTGGTTGAGTTATGTAATAAGGGGTAGCTACTCTGCACTTTAAGCAGTTCAACCTTTCAAAGGTATTCCTCTGGAGGTACATCTGCACCACAAATGCTTCCACTGGACTTTCTGCACTTGCTTTTGAAGTCATTGATCTTTTCTGTTTGTGGAGCCGTAGTTACCGTTTAGTCTCAACCCAGCAAAGACTGAAGAACACAGTACAACCTCTCTGCCCGTTCACTTGTGCAATCATCGCAGACCACAAAGTGTGGCTACATTAGAGGAAAGTTTCCTTTATGAATAACCGTCTTAAAATTCACTCCATTGACTCAAAGGAAAGGGGTCAATTTAAGACCACAGCTGGATCTGTTGTGTACCGTAAAATGTTTTATATGGAACCTTCAGAAATCTTCAGGCCACTGGAAAACATTTATTTTCTCTGCGGTAGCCAAGCATCTTGTATTCCTAGCTGGACCGTGCATGAAAAAAAAAAGTATGAGTTGACTCAGAGGAACAAATTGTTACGATTAATACAACCTTCCCTTCAGAGAAGAAAGTCGACATCACATTTGGTTTTTGGCTTTTCCTCTCCCTTATGTATCCCTCGTTGTAAAGCAAGCACAGACTAGACAGGCTGGCAAACACAAGTGTGCTGCGTGAAGTTTATTGACATCATGCTGCATGATTTTTGTATGTAGAAGTCCAAAGTTTGTGGACAGTTACCTCTGATGACCCTCCCTCCCTTTTTTTTTGCTTCAGGGCACTAATCCACCTGTGATTTTTTTTTTGTCATTTTGCATTTATTTAAAGAATGTTATATCACACTGAAAAAGTAGATTACTGCTTCATTTTAAGCTTTTTAAGACTTCAATACTGTAGTGTTACTGTTGGGTTTTTCATGCTGTGGTGGTAGTATTAGCTGGATCTGATGATGCTATTTGACATATGAAAGCTGTTATCAAATTATGTGTACACCCCCAGAGTCCAAAAATAATTAGTCCTGTTTATTTTCTGTTTACTTAAACTGAACTGGATAGAGTGATGGCTAGTCGTTCTCTTTTCCTCCTTCTCGACTGTTCAGCATTTAAACATTTTGCTGTGATTTTTGAATATAAGTAACTGCTTTGTTTAGATATGGGTGGTGGTTATAAAATCTTTGGAGCAGTGTTTGAAGTGTTTTTTGATAATACCTGCTAGTTCTTTAGGAACCACAGGGGTCCATTATAATTCAAGCATGTATTCTTTTATTTAACAAGTTAAAAGGTCTTGCCCAATAAGAAATTTGGATTCACTCATTAAAAACAACCTCTAAGTCTCCATGTATATAGAGGAGATCTGATTTCTTTGGTAGGAAGCAAGTACATTAATACTGGTAAAAGGCACAGTAGAATACCCTACATAAAATGATTGATCTGTCACACCAAATCCTGCAAAGTAACAACACCTCACAGAAGTATAAGAAGTAAAGATAGATAAGATATAAATCATGAATGGTATTGTTCGATGTCAGTATGAATTTCATATGAGGAAAGAATGGAAATGGGAGTACTGAATAGATTTATTGACCCTGTCTACGTGCATTATTTTATCTTTGGTTTGAGGTAAAATACTTTGTTACTGTATTTAAAAGGTTCAATTTAATAATAATAATAATAATAATAATAACAACAACAATATTGTTATTGTTATGATGATGGTTATTATTATCATTATGATTTTTATTATTATTGTTGTTGTTGTTGTTGTTATTATCATCATCATCAGTATTCATATCTTGGGCAGCAAAGTAAGACTGCATGTATTCCCAGGACAGTGACATGTAATGGAAGAGATTCTGTTTCCACTCTTGTTTTTCAGCAGCTCCCTCTGTGTTGTTAGCTAAGTGTTTTTGTCTTTGTTGATTCCACACTCCCATATAACTGATGCTGCTTTTTGTCATCATTCTGGGAGGTATAGGAGCATCTATTTGTCTCCCCTGGTGTTGTGTAGTCTACAAACTATTTTTAAAACCAGTTGGTGGTGACTCTGTGTACTGGTGGTTGGCTGCAAACTGCAGGCGAACTGCCAGCTGATTATCTGCACTATTCGATGCAAGCTTGAGCTACAGCTACATAATTTTCAGCAACACCTTTTAAGTTACGATGGTCACTGAAATATAGATATATAGATATGTATGAAATTGCTATTTGACTTTGTTCAGCCTACTCAGTTTGTGCCATCCGGCTGACGTTCATACCTTGTGGACTGTAGAAAAACTGGAACAACCAGTGTGATTGCACAGTGGGAAAAGCTCAAAAAAGGTCCAACATTGACAATTGGCCGTGGCCAATGTGGTGGGGGGCCTTAGTGGTGCTTGGTGGTCCCTGCTGTGTTCAGTCTGGCTAAATTGTAACATGCTAGAAATTTTCGACCAACACACACAGTGAATCCATCATTTTCTAACCTGTGTGAATCACACAGGTTAGAAAATAACAGCTTCACAGTGTGTGAATGATGGATATCATTCAGTGATGTTTTGACAAAAACCTCAGCCTAAATGATAGTCTCTTTTCTTTCCATATTTGAAGCATAATTTGGTTGCTTGATAGAAGTGTAGCTTTCATCCTACTTACACTGGTGTATTTAAGTATGAGTTTACTAGATATTTAAAATTGGTTGTTTAACTTAGTTTGAACTGACCAAAAATGAATAAAAAAGAAATACTACCTCAGTGGCTGCATGCTGCCAAAGATTCAATTTATCCACTTGAGCATAAAAGTGCAGTCATCCAGTCTATGAAGTGCTTTTAGTCGATGGGAGATCTGACAGAGACATACTGTGCTCCTGTGACTCCATGTCTCACAAGCTGGTTAAAATGGCATCATACTAGTACCACATCACAAGCGGGATCTGTCAACAAAATCTGGACTAGTAGAACAGCTGCAGACGGAATAAGCTGTGGGAAAGTGTGACTCATTACATGAAGACTGCAGTTGAGTCAAGTGGTCTGGAAATGTAGCAATGCTACAAGTCTATCTCGAGTTCACAGACGTCTGGAGAAATTCTAATCATTAAATGTCCAATGATGATCTTTAGCAGAACTGGAGTCTGATATTTGGTTGGCTTTAGCTTTTTTCTCTGTTTCAAATGTCGGAAAAAGCTTTGAAACACTTTAAAAGAAAGACCCCTTTACTGGACGTGAAACAAGGAATACACATTTTTAAGCTCCTGTGCAACTGTTGTGTACATGCATTGATAATCCAAACATTTCGCTGTTGATATTTGATTTCCTTCAGTTGAAGTCTTTAAACTGATTCCCTTGTATGTGCAGGCTGGCACTTGCTCCTTTCATAACAAGATTGTTTAATTGGAAACATGCATAACAAGTTTTCTGATGTCATAGACTGACATGTCAAAACAGGGGTTTCTCTTTGGCTCTGTACATTTCCTTCACATAACAAGTGGCCACCATCCCAGGACTGCCTGTCATTAAGGAAACACGTTTATGCAACCCATTAATCCTGACTGAACGTGAGAAAAGGGGAGGGACTGTGATTGGGACACTGCCGTGTACATGTTTCTTTACAAACATTATATAGAAGTTATTTAGTTAATACAATCCATAGGGGGAATTCTGTGGTATAAGTATACAAACAGTTTAGCAGCAGATATCGAGTGGCCCAGCATGCACTGGTTCAGTGGATTAGACTTAATCCACTCGGTTCTATGGATATCAGTGTCGTTGATAGTTCATTAGTTAAGACTGGGCATTTCAAAGAAAAGAGAAAAAAAATACTGGATTGTATTGCCATTACATTTTGTAAGAACATTTGTGAACCTCAGATAATGAAAAGCAACCAGTTTTCCCCCAGCAGCACCATGGGATTCGCATTTGTGGTTGGAGTGAAACATCTCTACTACTATTGGATTTATTTCCACAGTGTTTGGTTCTGACTCTGGTATCCCTCAGGATGATTTGTAGCCTACCAGTGTTTAGTTTTCTCGACTTTTCATCCAGTGAATATCATCAGTTTGTTTAACAAGACTGATGGATCAGCAAGAATAAAGCTATACTTTTTTTTATTAATAAAGCTATGGTTTTATGAGAAAGAAGTTGTTGTTACAGTCTATAGCTAACACGTGTAACATAACGTAGAGGTATAAAAAAAGGACATGCTGTTACCTGCACTAATGTGAAGAATGTGGATCACCTTGTGAATATACTCAACAGCTGGGCACAAACAGAAGAAGTTGCAGGAGCTTGCACAGGCTGCCTTTCAGCTTGCCCTTCTTCACAAGACATTCACTTTCCTGCACAAACTTTTCAGAATCCTGATTCTCTTAACAGTGTGGTGCTAATGTGCCTAAAGACTGAGTGTTCAGTTATTTATGAAACATGATGGTAAAATATAACTCCATGAGCTACTCCAAGTTCCTCATTTTTGTGAAAGCGGCTGGCTGCTCTCCTGATCTCCTTCTTCAAAATATCATACAGGGAATCGGAACTGTAGACACAAATTATGACTTTATTCCTAGAAATGTATTACTTTAGTCTCATTAATGTGAGACTTTATTCTGGGAAATATATTACTTCATTCTCAGAAAGGTACAATCCTTTTTTTGAAATCCATTTTTTTCTTCTATAACATCACCCTAATATTCTGCCATCGTTGTCATCTACCTGGCCATACTGTTGTAAGCTTTAACAGTGAAGCCATTACATATTTTGTTAACCATTACAGTTATCTCTCTCTAAGTTAAGCTAAAAAATTGTATTTATAGAATTCATACAGAGAACTATTGACAGGTTCAAGTGTTGACAGGTTCATAAATATATTTACAAGTTTAAATGCGTTTCACTGTAGCTGTTTGTGAGGGTTAGCAGATTATGCATAATGTGTCTCTGAGGTTCATTTACATTTACTTTGAGTTCCTAGCCTCTGATTGGTAAGTGCTGTGACATGTGATCTGGGTTGTCCAGGATGTTAAGTTTTTGGGTTATGTAGTGGGGATGACAAGATGGCTAAAGAGTAAAAGTGCTGCTAAGAAAGTTATCCATCTCCATTCTGCTGTTTCTCATCATTAAAATTATCCAACCACCTTACACCGAACCTTCACGTTACACTGTCAATATAATCAACATTGTTATTTCAAACTCACTTGTTAAACATCCTCCTGTTGTTACTGTTACCATAAGAACGTGTCCATGCCAGCATTAGGATTCAGCTCAGTGAAGTGCTGTGTTTTGCACTGCCAAAAGAAATAGAAAATTAACCAACTGAGAACAATAAATGGAAAGAAGACTGTAAAGGTCCTTACACACCGGGGCCAATGCGAATATAGAACACGAAATTACGAAATATTCGGAGGCGAAGTTAGCATAGATGAAAGTTAAAACCAAGACGTTTAGCAAACTGTTAAAGCACACAAACCATCGTCATATGAGAGATCCGACACTATGACTTTCCACAAGTTGTCCTTCAGGTCCTTATCTTTGTAATGTTTGTGTCTTTTATCATAAAGTACTCTGTTTTCCGACATGTAAACAATCAACTGGTCGGCCATGTTGGATATACCAGCGAATCAGATGTCGCAACAACATGAAATCTGATTGGTCAGAAGTGGACACACAGTGTGCGAAACTTTAGAAAAATCGGCTGATCGTCTGAAAAAATAAATGCCGCAATATTGCAGGACGGGAAAACGTCGCTGATGTGAACACTGGTATTGACAGGATACGGGTTCGAAAAAAAATACTGACGTCTGAAATAATCGCACGACAAAAACGGTCTGGGTGTGAAAGGACCTTAAGATTAAAACCAGAAGCAGCTTGAGTAGCCTAATGTTGACGCACCTGTTATGCACTCGCAGCCTCGGCTAGTGTTTTGTTCGTCCAATAAGTGTCCATTTACTTGTTCCATTAAGCTCAAGCAATAAAAGTTCTGCACGTAAAACAGCTTGATTTGGATATATCAATCCATTTATTCTTTTGCGCCATAAACCAAAAATCAAACACAAAATCCAGCTGCCAGCCTGCTGTCAATACAACCAAAACGCTTCTTGTGCGCAACACCTGAAGTAACTAGTGGGCACCTTAAATGTCCTTTGGTGCTCTCCACAGCGACACACAGGTAAACTAAAGAATGGCTCCACCAGGTAATGTCCTATCAAGCAGATAAACAGATAACTCATTAAGAATCACCAATCCCAGCCAAATAACTGATAAAGTCAGGGTCAGTAGTTCAGTGTTTCTTTCTTTGGTGTCTCAAAATAAAACTAAATCAAGATCATTACTTGCTTACATATGTCGAGGCACTGTGTGGACCCAGTGGAGACAGTTCAATTAGATTAACTGTAGAATGATTAACACACTGGTGATTATGGCAATCAAATAGGGTTGTTATAGAGTCTAAAGTTTCACCTCCTTATTATCTCTGCGGTTCTTTAAATAAGCAGGCTGCCGTTAAGGCTCACTTTCAGTCGTCTTTATGCTTTACAATGTTCCCAGTTCTTGTTTTAAATCTGCATCCACAGCCATTTGTGTTATCATTTAACAGGAGCAAAATATTTGGAGTCAGTCCATTATGAGCCCTTGAAATTAGTCATGCAGACTGCTGACCCACATTTGGGACTTCAGCTGAGGAAAAAAGGCAACCAGGAAGTTGTAAAAAAAAAAAAAAAAAAAAGAACAACATAGGAAGTGGGGAAGTAGCCTACTTGAAGGGAAACAAAAGCCACAAGCTTCTTGTTTTACATATGGATTTAGTGTCATGTTAGCAATCCTTATTCACTTAAATAAATGGTTTATAAAAGCAGAGGGTCAGACGGGCTAATCTGCTGCGTCCTGCAGGCAAGGAGGAGACACCCTTTACCCTTACCTCCTCCTCCTCCTCCTCCTCCTCCTCCACATGTGATTTCTCTTTTGAGAGCACTAAGCAGGCAGCCTCTGTCCTTTTAATGTTGATTTTCATCATGTCAACCCCCTGCTTTTCCTCCCTGGATACATGTAGAGGTTAGCTTCATAGATTAAAGGCGCTATTGCCAAGTTGTATTCAGACTCAACTTCACACCCTCCGTTGCGCACACTTATTACAACACATAAATATAGTTTTCCCATCGCAAAGCTAAGAATGACCTTAAGGTGGGGTGCTATTATGCTTTTAGCACGTGTTAAAGATTACGATGAGCCCCCTCCTCCCGGTCACTACAGGTTTCTTTCGGTTGTGTTGCACAGCCGCCTGCTTATCCTACTGCTGCTGCTGCTGCCGTCGTTAGCCGAGTATTGAGCTACCAGCTGACCTACTTTCTCTGCTCTCAGCCACTCGGTCCTGTTTACAAGCCACTGCCAGCGGAGGATGTGGAGTACAGTGCCTGGAAAATACACGGACATAGCCGCCAAAAGACCACGAAAGGGACATTTTATCGTGCATTACTGAGAAATTCGTAAAGCCGGGCTGCTCACCTACAGGTTATTAACGGCGTCTTATTAACTTAGGTGTTGTTATGCAATTTAACGCGTTCAGCGCTCGCTCCCGGTCTGTCACACGCTGCTAGTTGTGCTTACTTGCAATGCGTTAGTTTTACAAAAATATGTCTGGATTGATAAAAGTAAAGTGTGGATCTTTATTTCTCCTGGAGACCCGGTGTCAAGGTACGTGAGGTTGATTTCAAGCTTTCAGTTTTGCGTCAGTCTTAGCAGAGAAGCGCAAAAAAAATACGCTGCCACCCGTATATGCACTGTTTATAACATCAAAGTTCATGAGGGGCCTTTTTCCACATCAAATCAGAGGTGGTCAGCCGTGTGATTTGCCCCTTAAAAGACCCAGGTCAACAGTTTTTGGGCGACCAAGACTGTGCAGGCTGGAAGTGTTTACAGAGGCTATATTTCGTCTGTATTAGCGGTGATACACACATACACAGAGCGCTCTTGAATGCTACTCTTAATGTTTGCAACTCTCAGTTATCTAGTGCCCTGGTTACAAGGTTAAAATAACCTATTTTTTCCTTCTGCTCAACAACTGCTGATGATATTCAAGGCAAAACACTGAAGAGAATTTCGTCACTTGCTTCTAAAAGACTCAAGATAACAGAATGTTAAATGTCATACCAGAAAATAATTCTTTAATCATTTCTCAGCAGGCTCAGGTCAGGCTGATGTTATCCAACCTGGCAGCTTTAAGTCCGCTGGAGTTCACATTTCTCTGACTGACCTGTTGTTTGTTTGTGCACTAGGTATTTTGTGTTTCTCATTCACAGTTACTTGTGGATAGGGAGCTTCCTCTATGTGACTTTGCATGTTGAAGAGTGGCAGAATAACTTGCATATATGTGCATACCGGGAACTTAAAGAGGTCATTGAGTGCACCCATGGACCTTCCCATTGTTTCTCATTTGTAGGTGCGGGACCAATAGAAATGCTTCCTGTTTGCTTATTACGTTTAGAGACACTTCAGGACATTATGAACCAAATGAGATTGTCATGTTCCCATATGCCATTAAAAGTGAACATTTACAATGCATTTTTAAAGTTTTGCATTATGCAGAGGTGTATGTTGGGATGTGTTGTTTAGATACAGCTGATGCAGAGCGCATAGAGGTTGGATATCACTGAAATTCATTATATTCAACTTTCATCATAATCTCCAGCAGATGGGGGAATTAAGCAAAAAACAACAACAACAAAATAAACAGTATTCTTCACAAAAATAATTTGAGATTATGAGCTCTCCGAGTTTGAGCGACCAGACCTAGATAAATGTAAATGCAATCCTTTCCAGATTGGGTGAAACTAAGCTTTTCCAGTCCCAGTTAATGTTTACCTGACAGCCTGAGCTGTGGGCTCAGAAACAGATGCAGGATGAGGTGGTCAGGCAATGTAAACTTTTACACAAGCACAGACAGTAGCAGCAACAAGCCCAGACTCTGTGCTTGGATTAGTAAGTGGCTTAAATTCGTTGATCAGCTACAGAGCAGCAGAACCACTGCGAGCCCTCTGGCAGGAAATACCATTATATATTTTGAAGGTGGTAGATTTTTCAAATTAGCTGTTTTAAAATTGAACAACTAGCCAGTGGATAAGTTGTAAGTCTTTGGTACGTCAATGATGCAATTAGCAAAAACAAATCAACATTGAATTACCTTCAGTTGGTTTATTATGAGCTTGAAGTCTGAGGACTCAGACGTGCTGATGTTTGGTCCAGCTCTTGATTTTTTTTTACAGGATGTGTATGTTATGTACTTGTGTGCTTGAATATTGCTTTGCTGAATAATTTATTACCTTTTAATGAAACCATTATTTACATCTTTCTCTGTGTAAAGTGTGCCCCCTTTGAAAGCGGGCTTTGCCCATGAATTCAAGCGGTTTTTGTGCATTTTTATGGTTTAATCATCAGACATGCCCTTTAGCTTAAATTTAGAGTGTGTGTTGTTTCTGGAAACTGCTGCCAGTGTTGGAGCTGTTGACTTTGGATGGTGTTCAACTTTTTTAGTGATGATATGTCAGTGGTATGAGTCACCTTCACTGACCATTCCCTGTGCAATGATTAAATATGGCAGCTTGTGGGCTCAATACAGTTTTTACTTTATTTTACAATGTGCTAGTTTTTCAAGAAACAATGTTAAAAGCATTTTTCTGGTGCAGCAGATATGACATCATACAAATCATATTGCTTCAGCATATTAATACAAAATGTCATTATAGCAACAAAGCAGCCATGCTTTTTGATTTCAGCCATTGCCTTTAATGGTCTAAATTACTCATTCCTATTAGGGAGAAAGCTTCCAAAGTTTAATCAAAGATTTAGGATTCCAGTGTTCATAATTAAGTCATAGAAAATAGTCTTTGGTTCAGGGTTCACCTCCTCAGAAACTAAGAACCAATTCAATAAATTGCTTTAAACCTCAGAGAAATCCATAAATAATAAGGAACTAGTCCACAAAGTAGCAGTTGCATTTGATTAATTGCAAGGCCAATTGAAATGTTTGTAAAGTTCTCTGGTGTTTTGTGGCTGGCAGGACAGGCCAGAAAGAAAAAAAAGAAGTAATGAAGAGGCTGTAAAAGGTCCGCAGTGATGGAGGCAGCCTCTCTGATGAATGGTTTGGTAAAATCTCAGACAGTTGACAAATCTATTTAATCTTGCTCTGTTAAAAACTCAAAGGAACAAGAGAATTCAGGCTGAATAATTTATAACCTTAGTCTTTCTGGATGCATGGTAATTGTGCAAAACGTAATTCTAATTAGTGACTTGTAGAATAAATTGTAGGCATGATAATTACAAAGCACCAGTTCAATATGATCCAAATCAACAAACTTGGTTTCTTAAGTCTTGTGCTCACAGCAGATTAAAGATAAACTGCAGGGCATGTATGACGTATCCAATCCACACCAGCTAAGCATACCTAGGCATTGCAGGAAAAATAGGTCTTGATTTGGCTCTTATCTGTTGCATGATTTTGGAAGAACCGAAAAACTATAAGGCAGAACATTATGCTTTAAGATGTTGGTGAGATGACATACTATGTTATATTATAATGCAATATAAAGTGCTTACATATTGGGTGCCAAATGTGTCACAAAAATGTGTTACATAAATCTGTAAAAAAAAAAATCACATGACGGAAAATCATTGCATCTGCAAACCTGACATGGTGACACTGGCAGGCTCACAGGTTACACCCCATTCACTGAAGCAAAACAGGTATTTTGTCTTTGACAAACAGATGAATATCTGCTGGCAGCTTTTCTTAAGTGTGGTCAGGCCCCAATGAGCCATGACTATGACGAGGTTACCGATGGTATCAATCACAACCTGTTTTCTGAGGAGCTGTAATCCATCGTAATGAATGGGCAGATGTTTGATATTTGCAAATGCAGTTTGGCAGATATTTTTGTGATGATTGTATGAGTAAATATCCAGTTTCTTGAATAATAGAAAAGAGCCGTCTACAATTACATCCTCTCAAACAATTTTATTTAGATATTGACGTGATAACTGATTGTCTCTTTTACAGTATGACCAAAATTAAGGCCACCATCATGCTTTAACATAGTCTAAAAGCTGTGTTTCTTTCTTCCAATTTTTTTCCCCCCAACATTGACATTTAAAGAAGTGGTTATAGCTTCATAAATGCTGGATGTTTTGGAGTAATGTTCGTTCAAACTTTAAATATAATGTCAATTTTATATCCCATCCAATTAAAGGGGGTTAATGATAAATGAAACTATCTTTCTAATGAATAACGCCTTTCATGCCTTACACTGAGCTTTGTTTTCTCCAGCTCACTTCACTTGTTAAAGTAAGTGTTCCCCCTCACACAGCCTGTTTACACACAGCGTGGTTGCAAACTTGAACTTGAGCTTGAGTGTACGACTCCTGTCATGAGTTCAGGTTGCTAGTTTTAAAGGCTTTAAATACCTTAGGGCACAAGTGTAACCGGACTCTGGTGTTTTTTAGGTGTTAACCTTGTAAGGTGTGGTTTAACCTCGATACGTTCAGAGAAACAGGCTGATATATGAGGATTCTTTTTACACGGCTCTGCTGAATGGAGACATGTATGAGTAAATTCACCATGGAGAGGTATTTAATGTGCCTAAAATAAATGAATTTCCACTATCAATAATTTACCATAAATGCCATTGTAAATAATGACATTGCTTTTATGGGATGAAAGCTTTTTCATATTTCATTACGCACCAAAAGCATTTTAGTCACTGAACTAATATGTCAGGATCTTATTTTCTTTGAATAAGAGGTTTCATTTTCCCACAAGAATTCAGCAGATTGTCTAAACAGTAGTTTGGCAGCAAGTGCAGATAGCGCTGCAGCAAAAGCAGAAATGATGTTTCTGATTAGGCATTAGTGTTTCCCTCAACGATAGCGAATGTTTTTCTTGCTGGATAGGAAAAAGAATATCAGGAGTAAGTTCCAGAGTATTAAAACCAAAATGGGCTTGAAAAATAACAGCTTAAATTTTCATTCAAGCTTTTTAGACATTACTCTTCTGCACCCAGAACACAATTCCCCCCCTCTGTATTTCCTGCTTTTCTCCTCATGTAGACAATGAAGTCAAGGAGGAGATGTTGGTTTGTTTACTTAAGTCAAACATGTAAATAAAGACCGATTTCAGTTGCTCTGCTTTGTGCAATGCAATGTCTAAGTCAGGCCACCATGACCTTCTGTCTTTGAACTAGCTAAACACGAAAGGGGGAGTGACCTCATGTGCAGCATAGAGGCACCGTGTGAAATATACATAACATGGATGGCTTAGAGTTAACACCAAAATATTTGTTTGAATTTCTGTCCATTTTACAGTGAAAAACAAATTATCCTGTTAAGTAGAGAAAACTAAATACCAGCCATTAATCAGGGCAGAGAGAGTGATGCTGACAAAGATATTTACTGCAGAGTCATTTAGACATGGCTAGAGGAAGTCAATGCAGAACACTTGTTAAACATTTGGAGAAGACTCTTCATGATGAAACTGGTAAATGGGATGGAAAAATGGACCAACTGTGTTTGACTCAGATACTTAGTATCCTCTAAAGGATGTGTGCTGCATTAGGAATGACTATTTTCATTAAAAAGTGAATCACAGAGGCAGGGCTGTTGTTCATGAGCGTTCACTGTTGATGACATGGTCGAGGAATGTTTTGTTCCCTGGTGTTTAAAGTCGTTACTGCTTCACTATAAAAGTCTTCCAGGAATGTTTCCCCTAACTATGTGCTCTCTGTTTGATATATCTAGATATCTACAGTGTATCCCATCTGATTATTGTGCGTGACACTGAGAAAGTGAGTGAATATAAGTGCCCAAATTTAAGTAAGATGGAAGAACGAATATAAACATTTATGACAAATAACAAAACAACCCGGTTAAACAGGAGTTAAGACTTTCTGGAATAAGTATGTGAAGCAGTTTCATGAGGTGTTAAGAACAGAGAGTTGGTGACAGTGGGGAGGACATCAGGAAACGGCAATGCTACCATCTGTTGAAACCAATGCAGGGAGAGAAGCATATGACAGTAACAAAACTGTAAAATGGTAGTGACTTGTTTTAAGCATTCACTAAGATTTGCCTTTATTGCTCTGTAGATCAAAGTGTGGTGTTTAGCACCAAAGCTGTGCTAATTGTATGATTTGTCATGAAATCTTACATCTAAAGATTAGAATCCCCAAACAAACCCTAAATATGTATCATGGAGCCATCTGAGATAATTCAAATGTTTCTACCAGATTATAGTTAGCATAAAATATATACCTAGAAAGACGCGTAGACACTGTTAGTTATAGAGAACAAAGTTAGTAGTTAGGAACATAATGTAACAGGGGTTAGAATTTTCAGCACAACATGGCTGTGCAGTCATCCATCCATCCATCTATCCAGTACACCTGTTGAAGCCTCTCCCACCACTTATAGTGTGCTGGTGGTCTGTAACTGAATCCATTTTGGCACATGACCTCTCACTGACTTGTGCTTGAAGTTTACCTCGAAGAGTTTTGTGTTTGCTGTGTACTGGCAAGACTATGAAAACAGTACATGTCACTACACAGGAGATGAATATAACACAGGTAGTAATTGACATGTCATCACAGCAATAACTTGTGCTATGTGTTACCTTCACATTATCAGTATGAGAAAGCAACACTTGCTTTGAATTGGAAGTGTCAAATATCTGGAGAGAAAATGTGGAAAAGCTCTTTAATGGTTAGGGTTTAAACACAACACAGAATTGAACATGCATATTATTGTAACGAGTGTTAAAAAAATGACAGAAAATAAATTGAATATCCACAAAATATTGCCACTAGAGCCCAGCTTTTTCTTCAACATGTACATGAAGAAGAGCTTCATTGGTTTTCTCATAAAAATCTAAAAAAGTCAAATGATTCCTTCATTTCTGTACAAGAACTGAATCCATTCCCATTATTAAAGAAAGACACATTATAACCCAGCTTTTCAGCTCAGGCTAGTTTGAGGTTAAATGTAGATTGTTTCATTAGTTAAACAGAAACTTATAATGTTTTGAGTAGTTAATTATTCAGGGTTGCACCTCATCACTCTTTAATTTCCATGAAAGTATTCCCCCTCTGACAACTGTTCTCATCATAATTGAAATGATGGAAAATGCAATAACCGGTCTTTTCCCTCGAGGCTTCATTTGTGCATCACTCAGAGTTGAATAGAGACAAGACCACAAAACAATTTTAGACAGAAGAAACTGATGTCAGTTCTGTAACCACATTAAGAAAAAAGAGTTTTACAAATACAATTCATATATGTATATATACTTGCATGCAAGCCAGAGCTTTTTTTAGTGGTCGTCGTGGTTTAATATAGAGGTGCTTGCTCTGTTTTGTCAAAGCCTGCTCTACACAGAGGATGTGACGGGGTTGGCTGTTCTTCTCCTTTTTTATGCTGGGTTACTAAAAGGAAGTTTCTGCTTCAGACGCTTTTCTGGGTCAGGGGAGCTCCTCCTGTGCAAAAACACCTCTTTAATGATGTATTACTGTACCCAGGTAGCAGCTGAAGATTGTGTATGTGCTTTATGTTGTATTAGTCCCACCAGTAAAAAACAGAAAAGGATAGTTGAATTTTCAGATGAATGGATGATCTTCCTGTATGCTGTGTAATTGAGAATCATAACAAAATAACCCCCAATGCCATGTTAATGTGTCTTTATGCTTGAACAACTTTTTTTAAAATGAATTGTTTTTTTGTTTCTCAGGTTTTGACATTTCTTTGGTGGACTCAAAGAGGCGGTTGGCAGCTGGTCCCTGCTAAATTTTTCCAAAAGAGTGTTCAGACAAGGTCAGCGCGGATGGGACTTACAAGACTACAGAAAGGGCCTGGTTGGGAAAGGGAGTGAGTATGGACAACCTTTCTGACTTCGGTGGCCCCTGTCCATCCTCCCGCAGGGAATGGGAGTAAGTGCAGTTTTTTTTTTTTTTTTTTTTTTAAATTAATGCAAAGTAAAGTCCTCTGTCTCTGTCACTGCTTAATATGTCACTGGGTGGCTTATGTTTTCATTCATTGGGTCGAACACCATCAGAACTTACAACTCTTTTCTTATCTGATCATGACTCAGTTTGCTGCTCAGATCTATTATTATTACAAGCAAATAAATGATAGTATGAAAAAGGAAGCCTACTGCCTGTCCCGGCTCTGAAAAGATGTCAAACTATGGCAAAGTTACAGATCGAGAGAAGTGGATTAACTATCTACCAAGGAAAGAGATTAAAGGTGACGAGTCATCAGGTGACAGTGATTTCTCAGAAGGATTCAACCAACTCTTATTTTTGCTGATCTGAATTTGATTCGTACTGACTGTTGTGCGACTTCTAATTTATTCTAATTTCATTCCTACTTCTGTTCTCCTTCTACTAATATTCGTATTATAGGTGTAATGACCAAATTTCCTCCCGGGATAAATAAAGTATTCTGATTTGATTCTGATGATCAGATTTTATTTTATAAGGCACATTCCAGGAAATGATGTTGTAAATCTAGGCATTGAACAATTGATGAAGTCTGTCTCGTGCACTCTGAATAACCCCCAGTTTAAGCTGGAGTGCGCCACAGTTGGAGACACACTTCTTTCACTGCCTGCTACATTTGTCTTGCTCGTGTGCCCTCTTTAACAGCCACTGCTCTCTCTTTATTTGTTGGTCGGCTACCACTGACATCGTTTGGTCTTATTTACATTTGATTAAAAAAAACTCATATATTGATTGATGTCTGTTGCAAACAAACAAAGAGAAGAGGAGAGAGAGACAGAGATATTACTCAGTCTTTTCAGGTTTTCTGTTAGTCCTAACCTGCAGACTATTGACTTGTAGCTCCATTGCATTGTACTATGACTGAAACCCCTACAATGACGACAGTAGTAGGAAATTTAGTGTAAACAAAGAGCAAACTCTCTGCAGATACACATTACCAACCCAGAGTTAATATTTTTATGAATTTACAGGAATAATCTTATTTATTTTGCCTGTCACCATGATGAACACAGGCCAAATAAAGGTCTGTGTGTATTGACTCATTTTGTTCCAGCACTTTGCGCAGGTTACAAAATCAAAAATCACACATTAACAATTTTTGTGTTCAGTTTTAGTTGCCATGGTATCCAAACAAGTATTGATAACATCTGTTTTTTACTCAATTCTTAAAGCTCAAAATTCTAGTCTTTTGACAACCCTAGCCTGGACAATAAGAGTGTTTTGGTAGCCTACTTCCTGAAATCATTCATCAGTGGCAATAATGACATGCACTGGGTATCTTGCTGCGGGCTGTATTCAGGTCAAAGTCTTATTTGGGTGAGGCTGTTTACATATACCTCAGAGTCCTAAGACTGATTATCTCTGAACCTGTGATTTTTTTATCCCCACATGTTACTCAGCCTCAGGAAGTGAATATCTCCTTGTATGTAAAAATTAATACAACATTTAATACTAAGTAGACAGCTAAGGCCCCCTCCTGCATATATTTGACGACGCAAAAATGACACAATGCGGTCAAATTGCTGCCATATATCTAGACGGTGTTAACCTCGGCATGCAAAGATATCTTTTGCAAAATATGAAAATAGAGTTGTTTACATGAGTTGTTTACATACATACTATTGGAGGAAAGATAGGGCAATAGCATCACTTTATAAGCAGTTAACTGTCTTAGTTGTTGGCCCTTAGCACCAGATGAAGTCCTTTACCCATGCAAGTAGGCTAATACTCTAAAGACATTTTGGCTCGTCATTGTAAAAGCAAGTTTTTTAACAACAGTGAGTGACTGCTTGGTTTTGTTTAGTATCAGGATCCTGGTGTCAAAGTCATCATTAATGGACAGAGTTGAGAATTGAAAGCTGTTCTCTCCCCATGATGACCATTTAAATGTCTGCTTGTGAAGACGTCAACGATTGACCTTTGCCAGAGTTTACTTTTATACCACTGTCTGTTGTTAGCCATGTTCACTTTAACGTTATCAATGAAACTTCATTGACCTTGCACCTCTGTGTTTTCCAGCACCAACAGCTGCGTGGAAGATTTAATGGATGAAGATGAGAAAGACAGGGCAAAAAGGTACTGACCTCATACCGTATGTTTGTATGTATGTTTGTTTGTTTGGCCTGAAATGCTACTTGATTAATTTATAGTTTTCCCAATGACCAGACACTAAAACATGAAGCTTCGTCACATTATGATCAAGAAGGAAATTAAAAAGCTTTAAAGAAGGGTCAATATTTTTCCTTTAGTTTGCATGTTCAGTCTGAATAGGTTAAAAAAAAAGTCTGAAATGTAGTTTGTTGATAGACTGAGCCGCCAATGAATTCTGTTTTTGTTGTGTTGAAGGGCATCTCGTAACAAATCTGAAAAGAAAAGAAGAGACCAATTCAATGTGCTCATCAAGGAGCTATGCACCATGCTGCAGGGTCAAGGCCATCCACGCAAGATGGACAAGTCCACTATACTGCAGAGAACTATTGACTTCCTGCAGAAACAGAAAGGTGGGGGTTTGAAATGTCTTACGCCTACTACAGATATCAGGGTTTGAAACGATTTTTCCCCCTTTTATTGAAATTGTTTCTACTTTTGGATACACTTTTCTACCTTAATCTCTTGAACTAAAATATCAATTTGTCATTTTTTATTCTTGTGTTTTTCAGACATCACTGCACAGAATGATCCGTGTGATGTAAGACAGGACTGGAAGCCTTCATTCCTCAGTAATGAAGAGTTCACTCAGCTAATGCTGGAGGTGAGACTCAGGAGGATGTGTTTGTGGAGCGGCCCAAGTCTGTTAAACTCCGACACTGATTGATATATATAATAACAGAAAGGAAACATTATTCCTAAAGTGCCCACAGAGAACTGCAAAGATCACGTGATGAGAAGTAGACTTATTTTTCCCACAAGATCATACTTTTACCAGCGTATTCCAAGAGATTATTATAACTAAGGGTATTCCCATCTGTGTGAGGAAAAGAGGAATCTTTTCTGTCTCTGAGAGGACACAAAATTACCACTGATTGCATCCATCGATCCCCACATATCTGTCATTACATGCCAGTATAATGGTTTGAATGTGAACCACCACAGATGGCAATATGTGACAACATAGGAATTTAAGTTTTCAATCACAAGCATTCTTAATCCTCCTTTCTCCCTCCTCTTACAGGCCTTAGATGGTTTTTTGGTGGCGCTAACAACAGATGGAAACATCATATACGTTTCTGACAGTGTGTCTTCACTTATTGGCCATTTACCCGTAAGTATCTAAAACCAGTATTGTTGATTTCTTAAAAAAAAAAAAATCACAAACAGTTCATGAATAAATAGAGGCTTATGACTGTTTAACTTTTATTTTGGTGCTTTGTTGGGTATCGAAATGTTTCCTGAATGTTGTTTTTAGTTGAGAACTAATTTTCTTCTGCATCATATGACCGAAGAACAAATAGAGCTTGATCAGGAACAAACAGACGACCATTGTACATCATTTACTGGTATTTATGCCAAATATTGGTACTGATAAACTGATGTCTAAAATTGGTCAGATTCAAGAGTGGTTTAGCTCAATTAAAGCATACCCTGAGTACAGAGTCTAAAGTCTCACAGGGGTCGCTGGTTACTGTCCCAGCCATGACCTTTTGCTGCATCTTTTACCCTGCTTTTACCTCTACTTCTTGCATTTATTGTTTCAATTCAGCTGCTCCGTATAGTACAGGCTAAAATAATTTATAATCTGCTGATTTGACATTCTACAAAATTATCTGTTTGTGTGATCTTGTGTACCTAAACCTTTGTTAAGTGCCCAGAAGCTTTGTCATCCACTGTGTAAAGCTTTTTCTACAGCAGTGGTGTTTCAAACAACAAACTGACCAGCACACATCTCTTTTCTTGTACCAGTCAGATATGGTGGACCAAAATATCTTGAATTTCCTCCCGGAGCGGGAACACGGCGAGGTGTATAAGCTGCTATCATCCCACATGCTGATGACTGACCCCATTGCTGCTGACTTCCTGGACAGTGAGTATCTTACTGGGGCGACCTCTCGGTACACGTCTGACCCCCGACTGTTTCTGTTTGAGCTCCCATGTCAGGAGGTCAAAAGTTCAGCGATTTGGGAGAAATACTGTATACATTTGATTGTTAGTGTATAAAAATATCTCTGTGTGCTATTTGTCTGACCCCAGACTCTTTATATAGAGCAGGTTGCTGTACTGGGACCAAAGTTTATAGGATTGCTGATTAGTGTGTTTCTATGATTAGCCTTTTAGCTATTATTAGGAGCTAGCTTAGTATCATTGTTAAGACTTTAAATCACCGTTATGTTAGCACAGTAATCCAGCACTATGTAGTATCTGGGGCTCAAGACTCTGACCTTAATCCTGTGTTACTATTGGGCTTTTCTGAGGAACAGAGATGGTAAGGCTCGCTCTATTCTTAGAAGCCTAAATAGCAAACTGTCACAGAGCATTGTCTGAACTGTTCATCACATCCTGAGCACATTTAACAGACACATACATCTTTTATCTTCTTCGCATATAGAGGATATTATAGCTTATAAATCATTTACTTACACGTTACACAAGCCGGGGTTTTTATAACAACCAGCTTTTTCTGGGGTGGTTTGATGGATTCTTGTAAAAGACTTCTTCAAGTGGTGCCAAAGCTATCCTGACCCCTCCGCAGAGAACGTTTAGATTTTTGAAATTCGGTGAAATAATCAGCTGTCTGTAACTGATGGTAAATTATGCCCGCTCTCATTGTTAATCTGCAGGAAATGTAAAAGTCGAGGTCAAAGTGCTCCATTAGTAAGTTTTCTACTTCAGAGATTTGACATTAGAGAGCAAATGAAGCTTAAAGTGCATTATTTATGCCGGCAAGCCATGGATGTGCTGCTTTGACTCTCCCTGTGGATGTAAGGATGTATTAATGAGTATCAGAATATTACATAAGAAGAAACCCAGCAACCCTTCCTCTCCCCTCAGGGTATTTGAATACTTGAAAGCAAACATCTTTTGTTGGATGTGTTGAAGTAAGATAAAAATGAGATTTTATGTGATTTCTCCTCCGCTTTGTAGCAACAAAGTTAACTCTCTTCTCTTTTTCACTGCAGCTCTGTAACTAGTGCACTCCTTTTTTTTATACAAATTACCAACACAGCCAGAAGGGTCTTGTTAATAACCCAGACAGCTTGTTAGAAATATGAACGTGTTCTGAATAATAGAAAGACATTAGAATTTAATGTCAAATCTGCTGTTTTTCAGGTGAGGCACATATTGAATTTTGTTGTCATCTAGCCAGAGGTAACATTGATCCAAAGGAGCCTCCTGTGTATGAGTATGTCAAGTTTGTTGGAGATTTCAAGTTTCACAACAATGGTGAGAATTTTAATGTCTTCTTCTTTTAACAACTGAAGTACAATCTGTAACTTTTAAGTGTTTACGGAAATATATCTTTAAACTAAATAAATGTACAAAAGATAGCCCTTTTATATGTGATCACAAAGAAAGATGTCACATTACAATGTTGTCCCTCTTGTCACACAGTGCCTACATCTTCTTGTAATGGACTTGAATTGACGTTACCAAGAAGCCTGCAGTCCTCACTGGAGGAGCAAGTCTGCCTCATTGCTACTGTACGATTAGTCACTCCACAGTTTCTAAAGGTAAGACCAGTTTAGACCCTCAAACTTCGCTTGTTTTTTTCATCTGTGCTTGTTGCATTTGTGTGGCGTCATCTCGAGAAAGAATAAAACAGGTGGTCGTTCTGATGTGGTGAAATCTCTCACCACCAGATGCTGTATGACATGATGATGCGATGGTCTAGGATAATAGGAGGGGATTTTGTCTTCGGGATCACACATTTAGGTTCATATGAGTCCATTGTGTAAAACACTCACTCCGAATTTATTCTGGCACACTGTACTTTCCAACTGGTTACATCATTAGGATACATCTGATCCTAAAGGTGCTGTGGGAGTTGAAATCTGGACACTTGGCAAGTTATCAAGGTGAATTAAAGTCACAGTCAATGGCCTGGAGCCTGTCTGAGATCATTGAGATCAACTCAGACCACAGGAACGGTCAGATCCTTACAAAACATTACAGCAGTGTTATAAAATTGCACACATCTGATGGCCAAGACCAGATTCACACGGTTGTTTGTGGAGTTTAGCATTAACAAGTCTTATTAAACTTGTTTACAATGCATGGCTGAGGCTAACAGGATAGTACTGCATGAGTGGGCGTGAGTACAAGAAGGCTACAAAATGAAGTGTCTCTGAGGGTTTTTCTTAGGCAACTTGGCAAGTCTAGTCTTTACGAGTTTTTTATTCCGCAATCATTATTTTTGCCTTGAAATGTGCCGGAGCTCAGAGGACAAAGGTGTCAGAAGAAGCAGATCTATTGGAGCGGCTTCAACCCTCCTCCAATGCTTTTCCCAAAATGTTAAAGACACTGATTACTCTGATTTACCAGATGGAATGACTCTTACGAATAAAGTCCGGACCATATGGCATTGAATATTTTTCTCTTATTCTCTCATCTTCTCAGACAAAAGCAAATCTATTTAAAAAACAGTTTTAATCTGCCCTTTTTACATAACTCTGCTCTTTCCTCCTTGCATTTTTTTTAAGTCATCATAATATTCAGATTGTGCAAATTGGTTAAGCTAAATGAAATGTTAATCAAACGAAAAGAAAATGAGGTTCAGACTTTACCTGGTTTATGTCAGAGTCTTTGAGTTCATCATCTAAAAATGTGAAACTTCTTGAGTGAAGATAAGATATGACAAGGCTACAAGATTTTCTCACTCTGTTATTTCTTCTTTTTCAGGATTTGTGTAATGTGGAAGATCCTTGTGATGAATTCACATCCAGACACAGCCTTGAATGGAAGTTCCTGTTTTTAGATCACAGGTCAGTCGATTTTTCTGATGTCTATCAAACACAAACACACATTATTGTCAAAGTTTATTGTTCTCATATTTCTTCTTCATCCTCCTCTTGTTCTCTTTCAGAGCTTCACCAATCATCGGCTATTTACCCTTCGAGGTTCTTGGAACTTCAGGCTATGATTACTATCATGTAGATGACTTGGAGCTCATAGCTCAGTGTCACAAGCAGCGTAAGTAACTCAGCTCTTTCTGTTAGTGCTCTCAAATCACCTGCTCTCCTGCGTAGACACAGCCTCGACCTCTGACACATGATCCGAGCTTGATGTCAGGGTCATTTGTCTCTCCACAGTGATGCAGTTTGGAAAGGGTAAATCCTGCTACTATCGCTTCCTGACCAAAGGTCAGCAGTGGATTTGGTTGCAGACCCACTACTACATCACGTACCACCAGTGGAACTCCAAACCTGAGTTTATTGTCTGTACTCACACTGTTGTCAGGTAGGGGCTGGTGCTTGTACCTCAAAACAGAATATCAGCAAATTCGGTTGAATTCGCTCTTCACATTGTCCTTCTGCATGTTTTCCAGTTACGCTGAAGTACGGGCTGAAAGAAGGCGAGCGTTTGGCTTTGAAGAGCTGTCTCCACCTGAGATCGCTCCCTCTTCAGTGAAGGTAAGCCCCCACCACCACCACCACCACCACCACACACACATCAAGTTTACAGAGTCAGTATTTCTGATCCTTCATGTTGGACACGGCTCTCTGTGTTCCAGGCTCAGGAGCTGTACTTGGACCTCTGCTCCACACTGGACCCTCCGCGGGACAGAAACAGCGGCGCACGTTCGGTATCCTCCCACAGCTCCCGGAAGTCCTCCCACACAGCACTGTCGGACTCTGCATGTGAGTCATCCTCTGCTCCCCAAAGTGCTAACTCACTCGGGTCAATATGTACAGAAACGCTGCTCCCGTGTAGCTGCAGGGACTTGTGATTTACGGGAAAAATGTTCCGTGTTTTGGTGCGGATGGTGACATGTTCTCTGCAGCAACAGTTACAAAATCTTTTTAAAATCATGATTCGATTTGTTGGACTCAATAGAAGCTGAAAAGTCTCTGATATAACCTTCACACAGACCAGAAGTCAATAAAATATCTACTTTGATATCCGTGGGTGACAGTGCATTGATGATGAAATGTTTCCAAGGCTTACTTTAGCTTTCCCTGTTTGTTTGAGCCTCCAGTCTCTGTGACTTAAGCTGCTCCTCCACCCACCGTCTAATGTACTCGAACACTTCTCTTCCATCCTCATGTTTATGAACAATACACACAGAGGAGGATTTATTACAGCAAGCTATTCATAAACATAACTGCTGTCTTCCATTCACCCACACACACACGTTCACTTTCATTATTTTATCAGAGACATGCTCATAATACTCCATCAGTCAGGTAAATAATAGTTAGTCCATTATTTTTCTGGTCTTTTTTCATGCTGCGTTGGCTTCGCTGAAATAATATCCGCTGAATGCATCACAGTTTGTGGGTTTAAGTCAGAGGCAGAGTGAGGTGGCAATCAAGGGTTAGTGAATCAGCAGGATCTTTATATAACCAGGAAAAAAAAAAAAACTTTTTATAACATTTTGCACATCTAAAAGAGTAGTTACTACATTTAAGACAACATTTGAAAGAGTAAAGACTATACTCTTCTGAAAATTCATGTCCATAAAAGAAGGTGGACTCCTCGAAGTCAAGTCTGAGCTGAAACCTCTTTACTAATATTATGACATACTTATTATTATTAGGAGCACTTTTTTCTCCAAACTATGTGCTGGATTAATCTTGACTGACTGTGGAGGCTTTTGATAGTTTTGAAAACACCCTCTGCTTATCAACATTAGGTCCTGATTGATTCTGTCAGCATGTTGGGAGACTGAAATTAGCATTTAAGTAAAAGCATGGTCTGTTTTTGTGTAAATATGCACTGTGGTTTTCTTTATGGAGAGACAAAGTGTAAAGTGGTGGGTTCCAATAACTTGAAAAAGACTCAATCAATACTATCAATCAGAATCCTAATTAACCAAACATATTGGACTTTTGATGATAGGCTAACTTGAGTATTTCACCCTGGACAGTTGTCTGTTAAAATTCAATAATCTGCTTACCAGGGTTTAAAAACTTCTGACAGTTTGATGTGAGAAATTCTTGTTGTTGACTGTGTTTTTATAATTGTACATACAACAAAGAGCAGAGTTTTACAACAGTGTGCCTTTTCTTTGAAAGAAGAAGAGAAGTATTGACTTCAAGCTGAAAAGTGAGGGGGGACATGCACACCTTTGTAACAGTATCTATAAAAAAAGATCTACAGTGGGAGGGTTTGAAGCAAGATTTTCTACTTTTTGATTCTCAGCCAAAAAGATCTGTAGAGGAACTTAGTGGAGCTGCAGCCCGGCACTGAACAGAGAATGACTGACAGATTTAGGGATGTAATACAAACTGTATCCCACTCATGAAAGGAGCCGAGCGTGAGATTTTATTGCTTTGTTATCAGCCGTCATTTGAAAAAGAAAACCGGTGATTAGGATCTAACACACCCTCAGTGAAGTGTTTCCAGATAATGTTTAGAGGTGACCTATTGTGTCTTCTGCAGCAGCTAACTCCTACACAGAGGCCTGCACACCGTCATGGCAGTCAGCCTCCATTGGGACAGAGAAGACATCTGCCAGACTCCAGCCTAGTAGTTCAAAGGTCAGTTTATACAATGTGTGCAATGTGGGCCTGTCTTTTGTGATAAAGGCTGTTGGTGAGAAACAGTCGCATATAGTTTTCACATTGTTACAGGTTGTGCTAAATTGTAAAACTTTGCTGTTTTCCCCGTTTTTGTAGAATTTGGCACAAAGACAAAATTCTTTTGACCCCGTTCCCCAAATGAGCCTCCCCCTCTCTCCTACCTGCAGCAAGCACTCCGCAATGGTTAGTCTTCTTCTCCTGCCTGTTCCTTTCCTCTGTTTGTGTATGGTATCTTACTGTTATGACTGTTCCTGCTGTATGTGTTTATTTCATCTGTTGTCTGCGCCTACAGTCCCGGTTTGAAGATTGTGATACTAAACCACGTCAGAGAGATTGTTAAAACATAAAATAAGCATCTGAAAGGCGCTTCTTGGTGAAGCTTTGCACATTTATATCACTTTCACAAACTATTTTGGAAGCTTGATGTGCTTCTACCATCTAGAAACTAAAACATAAACCAACACAACACATTTCCCCTCAAATACAAAAAAAAAACCTGCCTGAAAAGTCTCATTTGTTATAATGTCTACCCCTTTTGACCTATCTTTCCAGCAACAGCAAACACAGCAGCAGGCGTCGTCATCTATGTATCAGCTCCAGCAGCCTCAGCTCTGTGTAATGAACCAGCTGAAGGAGCAGCTGGAGGAGAGGACGCGCATTCTGCAAGCTGACATTAAGACGCAGCAGCAGGAGCTCCACGACATTAAGGAGAAGCTTCATCTCGCTAATCTCCAGGTAACACTCCCGCCAGGATGAGAAAATATACATACTGCCCATGGCGGTTACTTGAGGGTGATAGATGGTAGGGGACCGCTCCATATGTATGACCCACAAGATTTGTGAAAAAAGGCAGGTTGGGTGTTTTTGAGCTGTGTAAAAGATTCAAGCGTTGACTTAAATAAAATAAAAAATTTAAGCCAGAAGTTTAAAGTTTAAATGCAAACTTCGAATAACTAACTCCACATAGTAAAGGTGTTATGGCCCATTAAGATGTGTTCAAACTGCAATCAAGATTTTCAGCCTTTCACAACCTAACGTTTTCCCGAGAACAACCTTCCTGAATAAACGAGAAAAATAACTGAAGGTGACATCAGGAAGGCAGAAAAATAAAATGACATTAATATGTGTTTTTCTCCTGTCAGCTGTAATGACCAGAATAAATATTCTGCTTACTCTCTGCGAGACACTTAAGCTTGCTTCTGGGAAATAATGAGATCAAGTCAGGATATCGCTACAGTCAACACACAGCGCTTTCAGCTCAGCATCACTGCCTGCTGCTAAGAGCCCGAATATAATGTTCTCTCTGTCATATTTCCTCACCACATGCTTTGGAGTTTTTTTCAGCACAGGGTTGTTTACCACAAAACCTTTCCATGAAAAAAAAAAGTTATCTTTTGTGTCACTGCGACTAAGGAAATCTTGGCTAGCAAATACTGGAAAAAGTGACATTTTGAGCACATTTAGAAAAATAAACTTTGTACATAATAAGGTCAGCAGCATTGCTGCCTACTCAGTCCACATGATGGCACTCATGAGGCTCACCAATGGACTGCGGCCAACTGGTTGCTCTGTTATATGGGTCATGTAGTGCCTCCATTCTTGGAGAACAGTCTCTGGGAATTTTGCTGGTTGCCGAATTTCATAGCCTAATTACCTTAAACACAGTGTGAGATGAGCTTTGATTTTTAAAAAGACAAACACTTTATTTCTTGCAGCTCATTAACATTTTTCAAATTTTTTGATTTTAACTTGTCCTGATTTTTTTTTATCTGCCCTATTGTCCTGAATATGAAGATAGCAAAGCAATTGTTCTCATTTGAAACCATGTAACTACTTTATGGTAAAGTGGAGAATAAACTATTATGTTCTGCTTGTGTGTGTTAGATGTTGTTACAGCAGCCTGTCCACAATGACTTTGGTCCGGCCCAGCAGCAGCCCCAGCAGCAGGGTGCAGGCAGGCCCACCCAGCAGGGTCAGTCCGGGGTGATACGGCAGCATGCAGGTCACCCAAAAGCAGCGTCCTGTGGGCCTCACAGTTCCTCCCCTCATTCCCTCATGAGAGAGAGCAGCTCGCCCTCCACACAGGTACACAGCTGCACGATGAGTTACCCATTCAAATCCGATCCAAGTGTTCCTGCAAACACAGCTGTTGAAACGCTCTGAATGAGGATAATATTCAGTCAAATTAGCTTCAGTCATTAGCTGCTAACGACTCGTAGCCTACTTCAGGGCTCTTAACACAACAGGAGGCAGGTTATAGATTCAGCGTTTAATATCAGTGTCAGCAGGTGGTGCGATCAGCTCCATAGCAATGAGCTGTTTGCAGCTTGAGCTTGTTTGCATTGTAACGAAAAGACACAAAAACAACACCATTAAGACTGTTGATGTTTCTGATGTCGCACTCAGTTTACAGCTCCAACGAGGAGTTTTCAGTGGGTTGTGAAACATATTGACGTAAATATTGACGCCTGTAACTGGGCTAGGAATGCAAAACAGACCAACAGACTGAAGAATGTTTTTTTTTTTTTTTCTGTGAAGATATTATTATTGCCTGAAAGAACTGCTGTGAAGTGGGTGTCAGATGAAGTGACTTAGAGCAAACTGCAGAAACCACTTTAATTTGTTTTATCCACAGCAAATAGTGAAATATTTGTGTGCTTTAACAAGGCAGAGTGAGACTTTTTATGAAAGTCTGTACATTCTCCCTGTGAACAAAGTCTTAGTCCTTTTGCCTATGAGCACCACATTACTAAAGTATCAGGATTGTGAATCAGTTGCACTAGAAACAGAGTTTTGTTCCTCACTTAGATTTTATAAGAAGTTACTGGGAAGAGTTACTGACTTCTGTAACCACTGTTTGTGTTCAGCTGATGAGTTTAACTTCACCAAATGTTCCACGTTCTTCGGCAGGTGGCTGTCTGCCCTTCGAATGTCACCCTGTTTGTAATTTAACTGAAATTACCGAACTTAACCCCCAATTAGTCTATAAAAAAAAAAAAAAGCACAACTTTTCCTGCCTGGTCAAACGGCACATGCTGTATAGGGTGGGAAGTATTAGCATGTTAAATATGTATGTTGTATAATTGTTTAATGTTTTATTCATACTCTGTGTATTTTCTGTGTTCTACTGTAGGTCCAGCAGAGGATTTCACGGCCTGGGCAGCCCCAGTCTGTGAGCATGCCTGTCCAGACAAACACAAGTGTAACGATGCCCTTCTACAGCAACCCCATGATGTTCTCTCAGACCAACACCAGGTCTCTGCAGGACGCAAACCAAAGACACACAGACAGCGAGTTTAGCCAAGATGGACAACTACGGTGAGAGTCAAGAAAACAAGAAACAGATCCTTTTTCACTTCAAGCTCAGAGTCCTCTCTCTTTTTTTCACAGCACAGATTGAGTTCCTTCAGTAACAGATGTCATTTTCTTACAGCATGCTTCTCAACCAGCCAATGCAGACGCTGGTTCCCACTAGCAGTGTCACCTCGCAGCCTTCCCAGTGTAACATGGGTCTCTCCCAAACCATGTGAGCATAGTTCTATCAGACCGCACACACACACACACATGTTTATGAGTGTACGGTTATTTCATGTCATGTTAAAGTTCCTCGCCGTGTCCTCCGCACAGATACACCCTGGAGCAGCAGATCATTGCCCCGTCATTCTCCATGCAGCAGGTCAACTGTAACGCCGTCCTCGTGCCCTCTCCGGTCTTCACTTCACCCATAATGATCCCTCACAACAGCTTCATCTCAAACCAGTCCCAGTCGGCCTATCACACTCAGCAACAGGCTTCCCAGCACTCCCTGCAGCTACAACAGCCCCAGCAGTTCTTTCAGGTGTGACGCTCAGAACAAAGCTGCACATATTGGCTGGAGGCATTATTTTGACTTCAGCGAGTAGGGGATTGTTGCATGATGCTGTTCGGTGTAATTACTTCAGGCTCTATGTTTTCTGATTTATGATAATTTTAAGGCATTGCACTGCATCTGAATCTCTAGTTACCACAGCAACAAGCTGCTCTGCCATTCCCACAGACTGTTAACCAAGGAGATATGTGTTTTTGTAAATCACTGAAACCTTAGCTTCAGTAACCCAGTTTTTTTGTGTGGTGTTGAATTTACTTATTGAGCCGTGAAAATATTGACCACAGAGAAAGAGTACAAGTCTGGTGGATAAGCAGATTAGCTTATTTGAATCTCTAAGTGCATCAAAGAGAATACTTTATTGATTTTATCAGTAACATGCTCTGAAGTTACTTTATGGATCAAAGACACTTTGATTAATTTATTCACTTTTATTACTTGTTTAAGTGTCTGAAATGATCTCTTTTGTAAAATATTGTTAGTCAGACAAGCATATAAAGAGACATTGCCTTTGATCACACTGTTATTTCACACACAGGTGACAAAAATAGGTATATTAACATCTAAGACTGTGGAGGTGTTTTTCAGATCTATTGAAAAAAAAAAAAATAAGTTCATTAAATTCAAAGAGAGGCTCACCTTTAACATCATGTAGATTTTATAAATGCATTTATAAGGTTTAATGACAACTCTTATAAGTGATAAGCAATCATAACAACTTACAGGGCTAGGTAAAATGAAATTCCTCATAAAGGTATGAGTTATGCTGCCTTCGAGTTATCTCAAAAGAAAGTCAGATGTCTGAGCTGGGAATGACTTCACACCTGAGTTACCAGCGTTTCAGTAGGTCAGTTGGAAAAGCAAAATCAGAGGCGGAAACAAGATGGCTAAGTCTACGAAAGGGGATGTTAAAATAACTTAAAATATCTCAAATAACAAGCGCTAAAATAACTTTTGTAGATGCAGCTATCTTGTATCCTTCGATTTTGCTTGTTTCCGACTTGGTAACTGAAATGCTGGTAATTCGGGTCAGAAGTCATTCCTAGCTCGGACATCTGACTTCTGAGGTAACTCGAATGCAGCAATATTACATTATACCTTTGAGAAAAACTTACAACAGCACCTTTATATTTCTGGTTCCCGCAACATATTGTTACACCCAAAATGTTATCCAGTTAGAAAGATTCATGGAGAACTAATTCAGAGTGTAAAAACAAGCCCCTATTATTAATAAGTCATAAGTCAAGTAAGAATCATTGCAGTAGCCAACAGACACGTTTTCATGTTTTCTCTGCATTATAACTGAACTGAGATGGAGTTATGTCCATGTGAATCTAAAATTCATCACAAGTAGCTCCTGTTCTACCTACTTCTTTAAAAACTCAAACTTATTATTCCCACTCAGGCTCAGCCCTCCTCCCACACACACAGTTCTTCATAAAGACCAAAAACACCTTCTTACCTCAGAAAAAGCTGTGCCTGGTATATATTTGTGACTCTCCGTAGGTACTGCTGAGTTTATTATAACACTCAGAAATGTCTGCATCTTGTGTTTTGAAACCCACTGTTTTAAAAGTATAGATCTCACTGAAAAAAATGAGAAAAGGGGCTTCTGCCAGCTTGTCTGATTTCATTTTGTTTCTCTTTTGTTTCACAGATGACTCAAGGACTTGTTCACGGTGGATCTACTTCAGCATTCTTACACACCGCTAACGTCCCGCAGCAAAGCACTGTGGGATACATCCAGCAGCAACCACAAACACAGCAAGTGCCACAAGCACAACAGCAGCAGGCACAACAGCAACAAAGGCAATACCAACATTCCCAAAACCAGACTGGCAGTGTTTCAGACTTTAGAAATATGCTGACTCGGTAGCGCTGTGGACTGTGTGAGAGCGTGGATGTCTCTCTTTCTCTCTCTCTCTCTGTCTGTTGTCTTCATGTGGACGGCAGCAAGTCGAGGCATTTGGAATCAAACTTGATGTCAAGTTCAGCAGCAGGAATGCTCCGGAGGGGTAAACAGCTTCTAGTGACCTTATTTTAATGTGAAGCTGCCCGTTCAGAAGAAGCTGAGGCTGCAGAACTCAAGGAGTGAGTGTGAGGACCGCGCCTTCGTCCACTGGCCCCCTCATCACACTCAGACATCAGTGGCTGGAGCTGCAGGATTATCAAGTGGATTATCAAAGCTCTCCAGAGGACGCCACTTTTCGCCTACCAGAGTGTTTACTTGCACTTTGATACTGCCCCCTACCTAAAAGTACTATATTTATTTTTCCCCATAAATTAATATTTTTTCTTCACATCTGATAGCTTAACAGTGAGATTATTTTCAAACCTACAGCCTGACAAATCCTCCCCACCGTCATCAAATCAGCTGATTTTGTTTTAGCTCCAGTGGACGTGGTTCATCTCATGAAGGGATTTATGTACCTGAGAACTCAGTCACATTAATGTTTATTTTATTCTGCAGCTTAATAGACTTTCTTTGTTGGTGTTTTTCACTGAGGAGGGGCTGTACTGTGAAACATTCATTGTTGAGATGACCACCGATTTTAAATTCAGGTTCAGTATGAATTCAAATGTCACAAGCTACACTGGGAAGCTGTGGGGAGGATGTAATCTTCAGCAGTTATTTGAAAGGTCTATCTAGATTTTTAAAGCCTCAATCTGGGATCGAAGGAGCAAAGCTCTGAAGTCCTGCTTTCAGGTGCTTGTGATGAGCTCTGTCTCAAAGCGATACACAAGCTGACAGAGGGGGGAAATATTTGTGCCTTTAACCGTGGTTTGTACACGGTGTGGTTTGATGGTCTAATCTGATTACGGCTTTAAAAATCCAGCTCAGGTCCATTTGGAGTACAAAGTTCTATTTTCATAGGTCATAATGTATTATTTTCAGCATTAGATTTCAACAAAAGACATCTAGATTTGTAATGGATAAATTACAAATATTTATTGGATGCTTCTTGCAACCTTTATGTCATTTACTTCTGTAGTAACCTTAACAAGATTTGAACATTAGTAGAAACCCTTATAAAATCATTTCATGTTTATTTATTTTAAAATAAAGAATATAGAAAGCAAATCTATGGGATCGAGAGAGTAGTTTTATACACAAAAAGATTTTATCTGTTTGCCAAGATCACCTAGTTTTCTGGTTTGATGGGAGATTGTTTAAAGGGGCAGTTCACCACCACTAATCGTACTTATTTCACATCAGAATACAACAAACTGCTTTATAGGTGGAAAATCAGTAATTTGTATTTCTTGTAAACAGTGAAAAGAAATTCTGCTATCCAGATATTTTTCACCAGTGTTATCCCTTTTTTTCCACTCTGGTTGTTCTTGTGTTTTCTGTTTTTGGTTCTCCAAGTAATCATGAAATGTAGACCCCCAACCATGACAGAGTGACACCGCTAACTACCGTGAATGTCATCAGATTGTGAAAGGAAAAACACAAAAGTGAATTTTGTCTCCCTTTGCTTGAGTTAAAAGAAATCATTCTGCTGTGGTTAACAAAAAGACATTTAACAAAATCTAAAATACCAAACTGTTCCATTTCAAAATGTTACAAACCTTTTTTTTCTTCTGAAACTTTTGGATAACCATTCTCAACTCCTTTTGTAGAGATGCTGTTTTATGTTGGCTTGGTGAAGCAAAGCCTGCTGGAAGACGTGAAGCTGCTAATCAGCTCCTGCAACTGCACCCTCATTTAAAACCGATCATGAGAACAAGCAGAAGTGAAAGCTCATCGACTCCTGCTGTAATGCTGCATCATGCATTTTGAAAAACAGTGTCGTCTGCATTGTGATAATATTGACTATTGCAGTGTATTGTGGGAGTTTGGTTAGCAGCTGAACAAGGTTCAGGAGGGAAAGCACACTTAAACATCTCTCTCTTTTCTTCAATGACAATCAGACAGCTTGTAACTGTCCAGAAACTGTGCCAGAGTCAGACTTTGTTATCCTAATTTGGTTTTTTAAGCTTGTTTCCCAGTTAGCTGAGCAGGAAAAACTGTTTCTTGAAATCGTCACTGTGGAACTCGTGCTACACTTTATAAAAAAGCCACGTCAGCTGTTCACGGTCACCTCAGCTCCGTCACAGCCCCTCTTTGAGACTGGTGCTGCTCTCAGTGGACAGTGAGACCTGGCTGTCTGAAAAACTTTCAACATGAACGTTCAGTGCCGTTTTACACTTTCCTATGTGCAATGTTGATTTGAAAAGAAGAATGTTAATTTATACTGTTTTAAATGTTTCAGAACAGATGTACGATGTATATAGAGGTGTATAATAAGCCATTGTAACATGTAAATTATATGGAAGTATTTTTATAATGAAAATGTCCTAACATTCCTTCAGACGTTGATATCAGCAGTATCTTTTCTAGGGTACAGCCAGTGATTTAAAAATTTCACAGGACTTTGTCTGCATTTCTGAAACAGGAGAACAAACACAGGAACTCTGTAGTTATCATTCATGCATTCACCTTAATTATAAAAAAAGAAATTATTTTGACTCTGTTGATCCTTGTTGAGCAGAATTTCAGACCACGAGTTCATCTCACATAAAAGGTTTCAGTTTCAGATTTTGATAAAAGTGCAATTGTTTTGTGTGTGTGTATATGTATATATATATAGCTATGTATATATGTATATATGTATATATATAGCTATATACATATATAGCTGAAGTCATTTTTTCCTTTCATGTATTTCTCCACACATATTCTGTATAGCAGCAGTAAAGTCAGAACAGCCAGCAACTCAGAGGTGCCATAGATGACTATATTTTTACTTTTATTCATTACTTATAGAAGGAATTTAAAAAAGAAAATCGTAAAGCTCTCAGTTAATTGCAGTAAAGCTTCACATTAACAATATTTCCATCACTACACAACTCACTTTAGATTTCAGCCCATGTTTGTCTTCACATCAACCTGTCGCTCTTATTTGCCTTGAAAAGGTGGTTGGGGGAGATTCTGCCCATTAAACTCTCGTTGAAATCGTTTGTGTGTTGTGCGCTAGTTTTGTGTGAAGTCCTAAATTATTTAGTTTTGGACAAATCCCCTCGTTCTCTGCCAGATGTTTGGATGTAACATGGTTTCCTTTATGTGTGTATTCTTGTAAATAATCCACCTGCTCAGTCGGTACTGTTTTTTTTTTTCTTTTGTAGTCGCTGCACCTTTTTTTGTTCTGTTCATCTTTCAGAAAGCTTTTCCTCTTCTTCATGGGGTTTGTCATTGAGAGTCACTGTTTTTGAAGGCATGTGATTTGAATCACATCTAACTTGTATTTTTCTGATTTGTAAAAATATTGACTGACACCTTGACTGTGAGCGTGTGCAGTCAGATCAATGCTTTCTGTGTAAGACTTACCAGGACCTGAACAAAAACAAACCTGGTTCACAGCCATTTCTGCAGTTTCAGTGCAGAAACAAACATTGAATATATTGTAAAATAGAATGTAAAAAAGTTTAGACACTATAGTTGTTTATTTTATATGTCTAATAGATTACATATGTATGTTACATGATTTCAAAATTAAAGTAATTTTGTAACAGATAATGAAGTGTCTTATTAGAGGAGCCGAGGCTTTTTTTGCATTGGAGTTGGTGTTGCACAGTCACTTGTATGGCTTGTTTTCTTTCTGTATTTTCCATCAAAATAAGCTTTAAAGATATCGTTAATATTGTTTAAAAGAAATTAATAAATTAAGTTTACATTCTAAAATATCTTGATATTAATTATGTTATATTGAATTATTTATAAATCAACCTGGATATTGTGAAATATTTGAAAATAAATATTTTTAAACATATGTATTGTTATTCTGAGCAAACTGTTTACACAGGAGTTATTTATGTGCCAGACTGTTCACAAACTCTGTTTACTTAATGCAGATTTTTTTTTTTGTTATCTGTTTACAGATCAAAGTATTTCTGTTATGATGCTCGACAGCTTGCTGACTATAATCCATGTATGACAGTGTCTTCATGGTCTGTTTAGGTTGAGGCATTACGCCGAGTTACTCAGTGAACATTAGGGGGCGCTAATGTGACAGAGTCAGCGATGATTAATACTGGAATTCACTATAACTGTTATGGAAGTCACAATGTCTTGATGAGCGGATGTTGAAGTTGTTCCGCTTATCAAACGACTGACATAAACATACTTTTGAATATGACAGGAAATAACAAAATACAAAAGCTTCTCCATATTTAATGGATAACAAAACACTTCACTATTTCAAAGATATAAAGACAGGATTCAAGAAATAAGTGCGTTCACTGTACATGGAAAAAAATATTTATATCAGTAAATTTACAAGTGTTAAAGTCTGGTCTTTACAGTAACAGCATTTGAAAGCTCTTCAAATATAACTTTATGAACATATAAACAGTAAATGCTGATATATTGACAGTAAATTCTAGTACAGTTAAGTCTTGCTCACCTGTACATCTTAATCCAAACAAACTTAGCTTACTTTGTACACCTTTGATACAAATACTTCTATCTGATCTCCACCCAGATGACAGAGGTCCAGAACACACACGACATGTGTGTCCTCCAGCTCACTGGCGGTCATCAACACCTCTGCTGCAACACAAAAACATTCACATTATCATCAAACAGAAAAGTGTCATACTAATGACAAAACAGTTTCAGACAGCTGCTTGGTGTCTACCCGGCTCAGGATGCATCACTTCGCTGTGGTTTGCAGGGTCATTGAGAGGACAGAGGAAACCTGACGAAAGGCAGGACAGCATTGTGTTGCCATGGGGATCCTGAGGGAGGCCAACAGCCCTGGGCTCCTCTGCACTCACGATGGGAGAAAATACTGCATCGACGGCTATCTCCTTGTTCATGCCTATCAAGGGGGCACAGGAAGAGACAATTTAAAAGTCCTCAGAGTCTTTGTCGACAATCTAAAACCATTAATCCTATTTTTCATGCTGCTGTCTGCCACTCAGTCCAACCCAGAAGTGTGTCAGCCTTTCAGGAAGCTGAGTGAAAGCTGCAGAGTTGTTACCTCTGACTGCAGGACCAAACTTCAACAAGCCTCACTGATGATGTAATACAATAAACACAGGGGTCAGCTCGCTGTAGATGTATTCAAGACTAACCCAGTTAGACGCCAATCTTTGCCCTTTCAATCCCAAGGCCTACATCTGTTAAATAAAGATAGCCCTGTGGAAAAACACCAAGCTGTTCAAACGTAGTCTCCAATAAAACTCTACCTAAAATAGTAACTTGGTAGTATCCTGAATCGGTCAGAGGTGAGGTGGGGCCAGTGTTGTTCTCAGGTGTCCACCGTGCCGGCTGAAGGTTACTCTGCTGCAGGAGGATGTCTTTATCGTCGATCGTGAACCTCTGACACAAGCTAACCTGGTTCAGACCACCATGACACAAGTGTTCCCACAGTTCTTCTTTTTGTTGCGACCAGCCGCTGCTTTCCCAGGATAACGCGTCTGAGTCTGGTGATGAGAACAAACGCTCATTTAGTCTGGACACATCAGGTGCATGGCGACACGGATGTAGCTCCAGCTTTGTACCTCGTTCCTCATTTTGAAGATGTGAGTGAGATTCAAACTCCTGAACCTCCTCAGGATCGGAGTAACTTTCTTCTTCCTGGTCTTGTTCTCCTCCCTCTGTGATTTTCTCATAAGCTCTCCTGCAAACATCAGACAAACATGAGCTCGAGGGGTTTCCGGTTTTGTTTGTACTTATGAACTCTGAAGGTGAATGCTCACAGCTCAAGGAGGACTTTGTGACTCCGCTAGAAAACATGCTGATATATTTCTTGAATCTCATGAATCAAATGCTGGTTTTTGGCAGCAATGTGCTCCTACTAGCTGTGAAAACACGCTTAATTATTCCATATCAGACTGAAAATGTGGTCATGAGTTAAATCATTCACCAACTTTTGTCCTCTTTTTCTCTTGCTGGCTGAGGTTTTCTCAGCCATCGATGTCTGCTCAGCAGTAGACGGATGACTATGTGTGTCTGATTCACACACATCAGCAGGAACATTTGACACCTGTAAAACACGAGTCGATTAAACCTCAGACGTTTCCTCATGTTTAAAAGATGCTCTTAAACTGGGTTTCATACCTCAGTCCTATCTGTTCCCGTGGACTCTGTGGTTTTTGGGTGTTTTATGTAGCGCACCGCTGTGATCTGTCCTTGAATCGCAAGTCTTTTGTGCTCTCTGTAGTGAAGGGTCTCTAACTCCTTCTTCAAGTCAGCCACAGAAACCAGAGTGGCTTGAGCTGAAACGAGAGTGAAGGTTTTATGCTGACTTAAGTAGACACATCACAGTTTAATCAATCACTTTGCTGATGATTGGCCTTTAACCAAAGAAAAGGGGTCTGCAGGTCTGTTGCTACACTGCTTCCAGGCAGACTGTTTAACTTGTCTTCTTGTGGGTGGTTAAAAAGACAAGCTCTTACACTCACATACAGATAGAGGAGGATTTATCTGAACTGTGCAGAGCACTGTTTCTTCTTGTTGCAGGTCTGCGAGAGAAATTGACCCAGATTCGATGTGATTTCTGCCACCCACAAGAGAACAGAGTGAATCTCATTATGTTCCAGCACTACAGAGGGGTTCATCACTCCATTACACAGTCTGAGGCTAATCAGTGTTTCCTGAAATGAATCTGTGCTACATTTACAGGCAAACAAACCTCAGGTGTGAGATTATGTCCTCTGAACAAAACAGAGATTGGTTTTCTCTTACCTGGGGACGGGGTATCTGTCATTGACTGGGTGTAGTTCAGTGGGGGGTGAGGGTAGCAGTAGTGACCACCAACTGTTGACTTCTGGAGGAAAACGTCGTCCTTGAGAGTTTTGGTCCATGTGATGAAGCTTTTCACTTTGGGATCACTCACATATGGCCGACCTTTATGGTAACCTGTTGTGTTGAAACATTATTGATGGTTTAGATCCCAGTACTGTTACCTTGTACTTGAATATTAGGTACTATTAGTTACATCTCACCTGTGATGAACGACTCAGTCTCATTGCTGCTTGTGAGATACAGCAAAGAACCTTCCACATGACACACTCTCATCTGAGTGCACACCAGATATGCCACTGAGGAAGAGATGATGGTGCAATCAGAGTGAGTGAGTGAAAATATTCACAGGTGTAGCACTCATCTGTTTGATAGGAGCACACACACACACACACACACACACACACACACACACACACACACACACACACACACACACACACACACACACAAAGTTGACTTACTGGGACCCAGCTGACTGTAGACGTCTGGCTGAGATGAGGAAAAAACTTCCAGGATGAAAGGTTGCTCAGAGGTCCCGTCAAATCCATGAATCCAGCGATAGGTCCAGAATTTTTCCGGCCCTTAAAAGGTGAACAAACTCGATCTTCAACACTTGATCTCCTTCAATTCATACGCAAAAGATGTTTCCAGTTCAGAGTTAAAACATGGACATTTCTCACCTGCAGGGTATTTACTCTTGACTCTTTCAACACGACCAACAAATGTCACCAAGCAAATGACATCGCACGCTGAATTGTTGGACAATGTTTCCAACTCTGACCTGTAGCAGTTGGAGAGACATAATAAATAATTTTTATACATTGGTTAATTTATAGCACTCATACTCAATCTATTAGCTTTTAAAATACATCAAATTAACTGCAAATAAATACAAGTAAAAGAATAAAACGGGTCAGCAGCAATATGAAAGAAGATTCAAATAACGCACTTAAAATGAGCGGGAAAACTTTAAAATATGAGCTTTGAAAGAAGATTCGAATTGTTTAATTAAGTCCACTATTCAAATGTGAAGAAGAAGTGAGTCCCAAAACACACTTTATAAACAAAGCTCAAATCATCATGGCTCTGCGTCAAATGACAACATTAACAGAGTAACGAACTATAAAAATGAAAATGTGCATTTTATGGCATTAAGAATCTGAACAATAAAGATATAACAGCGCACACACTGTAAGTGCTCGGTAATGATAGATAATGACACACTGCAAATGACTGCACCTGGTGGTGAACTGGTATGAAACCTCGGGCAGCCTCCACTGAGGCAGAACCCCCTTTGGTGAGACCACAGTGATGACTGCTGATCGAGGGTCCAGGGAGATTTCTGAGAAAAATACACAAGAGGACACATTCCATATGAAAAACATATTCCAGCAGCTGAAAAAGGTGTGGCCAGTTATTCAGCAAGTGATTGACATATTAAAATTCTGGACAGATGATGCCACTTTTAAGCCACAGATGGTTACTGCATGCAAAAATTCAAAGACTAAGATCAGTGACATTTGTGCATACCAACAGAAGTGAAGATCTTCATTCTGTAATGGTCCATGTATGGGCGTGATCTCTTTGAATAACTCTTCCTCAGGAAATAGTTCTGCAGATACAACACCGTGCCGACAGTCAGTCTCTGGTAAAACTCTAGACAGAGATCATTCCAAAGCACCAGAGATGTAATCCCACTCTGGTCAGCAACTTCAAAGTAAGCCTGAAAATCACAACACAACAAGAGTCTTTGTTATAACATATCAACAGTGAAAGAGTAATAAGAAATATGAAACTGGGACTTTTACTACAAATTATTGGACAGTCCTCACCTGAAAGGGGTAATCAACTTTGGGCCCAAACCTCCCATAGTAGCGTAATTTGGATTTGTGTATTATCCTCACTAGAAGAGGTAGGGGTTTCCAACCCTGATGAAGGGATGACTCCAGGCTACTGAGAGGAGTAAGCTTGGATACTGTGGAGAAAGAGACAGTGTGGACGACATATTTGGAGAGTTAAGATGGTTTTCAAAATGGACTCACAGACTAGCCATAATACGTTTGCAATCTGATTCAACAGCTTAGATAAATTCTACTTTCATAAAGCTTCTAATTTTTTTAACTTTTTGTTGACATGATCAGACATTGTACTTTACACTGATAACTGAAGATGTAGTGGATAGTGGTGGTGTAAAAGAGTATGTCATATTGAAGGGGATTCATAACAATTTTATCCACTTCATCAAAATAAAGCAAAATATTACAAACACCTCTCAATATAACACACTCCAGCACACAACATGCACCACCTATAACTCGAATGATCAACGTACAGATCATTTTTCACCTTTCAGACCAGGTGTCCTAAGTGTTATGGCTGGTCAGTCGGGTTGCAAAATACCGGGAATTTTCAAAGTTGGAGACTTTCCATGGGAATTAACAGGAATTAACAAGAGTTAATGGAAATAAATCTTAAATTTACAAAATTGAAGGTTGGCCCTCAACAGGGAACTTAAATATAGTGTGAGAAATATATTATAGATTTAGTACACTGCTCAATCACATGCACACAGCACGCTGCATACTGCAGGGCTATTGAGGCCACAACCCCTACATGTACTGTGCATTCCTCCATCACACGCACAGATGATTTCTTGAACCCTGGAGGCCACACTTTTGAGCCTAGAGCACAAGACATGATTTGAGCCCACAGACTATATAAAGTCAAGTAAGTTTTGATAACATTATGGGGTAAATATATTTGATCTATAATAGAGTTAATATTTAACTTGCAAAAATTAAATAAAATACACACGTGGACAAAATTGTTGGTACCCCTCAGTTAAAGAAGGAAAAACCCACAATTCTCACTGAAATCACTTGAAACCTACAAAAGTAACAATAAATAAAAATGTATTGAAAATTAAATAATCAAAATCAGCCATTACTTTTGAATTGTTGATGAACATAATTATTTAAAAAAAACAAACTAATGAAATAGGGCTGGACAAAAATGATGGTACCCATAACTTAATATTTTGTTGCACAACCTTTTGAGGCAATCACTGCAATTAAACGATTTCTGTATTTGTCAATGAGCGTTCTGCAGCTGTCAACAGGTATTTTGGCCCACTCCTCATGAGCAAACTGCTCCAGTTGTCTCAGGTTTGATGGGTGTCTTCTCCAAATGGCATGTTTCAGCTCCTTCCACAGATGTTCAATGGGATTCAGATCTGGGCTCATGGAAGGCCACTTTAGAATAGTCCAACGCTTTTCTCTCAGCCATTCTTGGGTGTTTTTGGCTGTGTGTTTTGGATCGTTGTCCTGTTGGAAGACCCATGACCTGCGACTGAGACCAAGCTTTCTGACACTAGGCAGCACATTTCTCTCCAGAATGCCTTGATAGTCGTCAGATTTCATTTTACCTTGCACACATTCAAGACACCCTGTGCCAGATGCAGCAAAGCAGCCCCAAAACATTGCTGAGCCTCCTCCATGTTTCACCGTAGGGACAGTGTTCTTTTCTTCGTATGCTTGGTTTTTGAGTCTATGAACATAGAGTTGATGTGCCTTACCAAAAAGCTCCAGTTTGGTCTCATCTGTCCAAAGGACATTCTCCCAGAAGCTTTGTGGCTTGTCAACATGCATTTTTGCAAATTCCAGTCTCGCTTTTTTATGATTTTTTTTCAGCAGTGGTGTCCTCCTTGGTCGTCTCCCATGAAGTCCACTTTGGCTCAAACAACGACGAATGGTGCGATCTGACACTGATGTACCTTGGCCTTGGAGTTCACCTTTAATTTCTTTGGAGGTTGTCCTGGGCTCTTTGGATACAATTCGAACGATCTGTCTCTTCAATCTGTCATCAATTTTCCTCTTGCGGCCACATCCAGGGAGGTTGGCTACTGTCCCGTGGGTCTTGAACTTCTGAATAATATGAGCCACTGTTGTCACAGGAACTTCAAGCTGTTTAGAGATGGTCTTATAGCCTGCACCTTTAAGATGTTTGTCTATAATTTTTTTTCGGATGTCCTGGGACAATTCTCTCCTTCGCTTTCTGTTGTCCATGTTCAGTGTGGTACACACCTTTTCACCAAACAGCAGAGTGACTACTTGTCTCCCTTTAAATAGGCAGACTGACTGATTATGAGTTTGGAAACACCTGTGATGTCAATTAAAGGACACACCTGAGTTAATCATGTCACTCTGGTCAAATAGTTTTCAATCTTTTATAGAGGTACCATCATTTTTGTCCAGCCCTATTTCATTAGTTTGTTTTTTTTAAATAATTATGTTAATCAACATTTCAAACGTAATGGCTGATTTTGATTATTTAATTTTCAATAAATTTTTATTTATTGTTACTTTTGTAGGTTTCAAGTGATTTCAGTGAGAATTGTGGGTTTTTCCTTCTTTAACTGAGGGGTACCAACAATTTTGTCCACGTGTGTATGTGCTAAATGTAAGCTATTTTTCATTTCATTGACCATTTATGGGGCTAGTTTATCATGGTGGTGGTAGCTACCTCAAATGTGATGCTGTTTCTTCTGACGCCTGCAAGATGGTTTTCTAAAACCAAACAATAATTTATACATCAATTGTCAAATATTTTGAAGACCATACCAGTTGTTTAGCCAACTATATTTTTGTTCATAGCATTGCATTAGTGATTTTACAAGCTTTTTGTTATTTTATCCTACAGAAAAATGCCTCATTCGCCAAGGCCATCACCACTCAAATAAATCTGCTGAAACGTTTTTTAATTGTAATATTTTACACGGATGTCTACTTATGACAAAATAAAAATATTTACATTTATGTTTGGATATGATAGAGTTTGTTTGAATTGCCAATTAACCCAATTTACAGTTAATTCACATAAAATACCAATAATTCCCATAATTTCCAAAAATTCCCATAAAAAGTGTCCAATTTGAAATATTCCCCAGCTTAATTTTTGCTGCTGTAACATGACAATTTCCCAGTTTGGGATCAATAAAGTCTGTCTGTCTGTCTGTCTATCTATCAAAACTTTCCATGGAAAGTTTCTGGAAATTTACAGGAATTTTCCGCCCCTTTGCAACCCTACTGGTCAGTGTATGAAACCCATGCAAACCGATCAGAAAGACAGAGAGAGAGAGTCTTACCATCCAGCGGTGTGTTAGTTGAGGGAGACCCCGGGATCCAGGTGTCTCCCTCTGGATCGTCATTGTTCCACAGAGACAGGTAATGTTTACGGCTCGCCTTCAGAGGAACATCACTGAGCAGCTCCACGCCCCTCTTCATACCGTGTTGGACCAGCATGGGTAGAGCACTGACATCTTTAACAGAGGATAGGACAACAGACCTGTCCGCACCACATGTGAGCTCTTCAATACAGATGTAACCGGGTCCCAGACTCCTCTCATTGTAAACAAAGGAGCACTGTGTGATGCTGATGTCCCTCCCAGTCCTCAGGGTGTTTGTTTGCACCAGATGGTTCAAACTGGTGTGAAGAAAACATTTGGTTCGCCACACACCATCCGTGATGGTCACGTCGTAGCTGTAGCTGTCACCCTGCTGCCCATCGCTTTGCTCGGATAAGTATCTCTGTACAGAAATGACAGCGACACAGACTTCTCCACCCCGCAGTTTGAGACACTTAGACGAGGATCCCCGCTCCAACGTCCTCTGGAGAAAGGACAACTTAGAAACGTCAGACACCTCTGAAGAAGACAAGTTATCCTCCATGGTGGATGATCTAGACGGGTTTGATAAAGTTGTCAACAAACTATCTCATGTTAGCTTGTTTGCTAACTAGCGTTTACACTACAATAACGTAGAGTCTGCGTTTAAGCGAGAAAAACAAGTAATGAAACTAACAATTCAGACAAGAAACACACTTTGCGTCTGAGAGTAAACAGGTTTTGAAACTTATTTTACAGTGTTTTGAGAGAGTTTACCGCTAAGACTAGAAGACGCTTCGCTATTCAAGTACAAATTCCGCGCCATCTTAATGAAGAGAATGACGCAAAGTAACTCTTCTTCGTCGTCATCTTCTTTTTTGTGTTTAATGGCGGTTTGCAACAAGCATGCAGGTACATTTTCGCCACCTACTGGACTGGAGTGTGTGAGCAGTAGATAGGCAGACGACAGAAAATAATGTCAAACCTAGATCCTGTGAAACAGTCCTGTTTCCTTTGAGAACACGATGAGATTTCCACAACAAAAAGTACGAAGGCTTTCTATATTGAGTGTTAGTTTAGCTTTCTCTGCTGCAACATGTAGTACTTCCCCTTTCTCCTTATTCCTACTGCATTTAAATTGAACATGCTGTACTGATTCAGATTTATCACAATGATCACACTTTCCATCTTGATGCTTTCCTATTTTATGCAGTGTTTCATTTAACCCTGAATGTCCTATTCTAATGCAAGAAATCACTGCCTCTTCTCTCCTGTTACTACCCTTCATTTTTTTCCTCCCAACCTGCTTCTGTAATAATAATAATAATAATAATAATAACAACAACAACAACAACAATAATAATAATAATAATAATAATAATAATAATAATAATAATAATAATAATAATAATAATAATAATAATAATAATGATAACATTAGTAAGAATAATAATTCTGGTCACTTGGGGGCAGCAAAAATCCAGGTTTTATCCCAACATGGAGACCCGTATCACTTTAAAAATATATTGACACAGCATTCATCTCGTGAAAATCATGTTGTGGCTCATTGTAAAGAGTATCAGCCATACCAGAGCTTTAACTTCTATCAGCCAAGCAACACTTGTCTTTGGTTGTGTTCAATTTTACAAGTCTTGTAAGTTCAATAATTATGATTATTTCAGGCATGTTTTGTGCTGCATGCTGTGTTTCACATCTGTTCAAGCTTCAGTCTTCTAGCACATAATTGGATGTGGTCATTTGTGTCAGCAGAGGGTGTTAGGGGTTTCAGTTGGACTTCTCCTCTGCAGATTTCCGTCAGCTCAAACAGGACCTCTACTGACCAATTTACATCATGGCAAGTCAAACCCATACATACTGGAGAAACTCTGCTTCTCACACACTGCATGAGCCAAAGTAAGTCCTCCTGTAGGGAAGACACAATTTTACATTAAATACAATATTAACATAATCCATCAAAACTTCCAAACCTGACTACTTTGTTGCTGTGCATGTAATTTCTCAAGTCTGACCGAGGTTTTGTGAAATAGGATTCACAGTTACCAGTGCTGCTGACATCTCAAAAAGCAAACATTGCTTCAACTTCCTGTACAGTAAATCATCATCTGTGGGGTTCTCATTTTCCAGCAACAGTAGTTGCTGGCAGTGTTGATGTTAGCTTTCATAGTCATATTCATCTCTGTTATGTATTTCATGCTGTGTTAATTCAAGTGTTTAAATAGTCATTGCGACCATCTCTTCTTTTGGTTATAACACATTCAGAGGAAAGCCTCAAAAGTCTTCATACGTTTTACTGTTCATAAAAAAAAAAAAAACCTGAGCAAGGTTTTTTAATTTGTTGCTTTTCTTTTTATTTCGCATTTTATCATTCTCAACTATTAAAAACAAAATAGATAATGGAGTACAAATACACTGGGTCTGAGTTACTTAAATCCAAAATATGTTTCTGAATATGCTGAGTATTATAAAAACCAAGGTTCCAGTTACTTTACATAGTTGGTTTATTGAAAGAAATCAACTTCTTTCCAATACTCTATTTTTTTTAATTGCATTAGTTTATCAAATCAACATTTCTATACTTTTTTTTGTTTTAAAATTGAGCTTTGCTGTCTTGTTAGTAGTAAACACAACTTTAGGCTTATATAGCTTATATCTACAGTGAAGAGAGGTAAAGATAGAGCAGCGAGACCCCTTATCAGCAAAATTCCTACACCACCAGTGCTTTTATCTAGATGACTGTATTTGCTTGGCTCTGCCTAAAGTAACTAATTCAGGAACTGCCTTTACAGCTGAAACAGCTGCTTGGTGCTCAGTGCAAAGTAAATGCAATGAATATAAATATCAATAGCATTTTATGGTAACCTCTAATAGAATTCTGCCTCCTGGTAAAATGAAGATTTAGTTAACATAGACCGAAAACTAGAAATATGACCAAGTCTTTTATTTTTTTGAGTAAAAATTAGTGTTTGATTTTACTTTAATGGGTATCATCAAATTAATTAAATCTACTATGCATGATTAAAAAATTTAAAAAGTGTAGGTAAATACTTTAAGTTAGTGAAACCTACAAATAAAGGGTGAAATGAAACAATTCTTTCAACTGAAATGATAGTTTTAACTTCAGCTTTACACAAAAATTGTATTTCTTCTTCTCAAGAACTTTTATGTAATCAGTTATGAGAAGAATTTCAAGTATCTTCTATTTTTATGATATAAAAACAAAGGTATGTTGTTGATTTTAAAATCACAATAAATGTTAAGAACATGAAAAACTACTAGAAGAAGGAACGAGACCAGTAATATAGAAAACATCATTGGAGGAGATATGAAATGCAAGAAGAAGAAAAGGTTTGGAGCTTTCATTTAATTGACTAGCTTGTCTTTTTTATGTCTTATTTTCCTTGCCTCTCGTGTTTTGAGGTTTGATGCCTTACAATGTCATTAAAAATTAACTCAGATTAAAACATAAACTTTTTTTTGTGAGCTGAAGATGAATAATTAAAACAAACCAATCATTTGATCGTTTCCCACCATTTCATTCATGAAACAGCTCTCACAGGAGAGGGCCGCCTTCTCTTTTAGAAACTACAATCCCAGAATGCCTTGCAGCTCTGGCAGCATTTCTTGTCGACGTGGGAAGGGAGGGATTCAGGCACTAAACAAATGTCCACGGGTTTGATGTTGGGCTACGTTACATATAACTGTGTCATGTCAGCGAGGTTTAATAGATAACTTAATGACCATTTGAAACATGTGGCTCAAACCTGATGAGATTCTGCTGAAAAACGCCTTCAAGTTATGGGTCACCGAGAAGGATAACGAGTATTTCGTGCTGCAAAGGAGACGAGGGTACGGAGAAGGTGGAGGCGGTTTGACAGGTGACGTTTACGGTTATGTTTTCACCTCCTCGTGCATGTTTGTTAGCCGCCGCTGCTGCTGCCTCGGTTAACCACATTAAAAATAATGAATTAACGAAGAGGTTTAATCGCTATACCTTTGCTTAGCTGGCGTGCCGTCTGCCACGGCAAGGGCGGGTGCTGCTGTGAAATCTACAGGAAAATATCCTCATAGCAACAGGTTCAAGTGTACATTTGTCAGTGTGTGTATGTGGGGAACAGCTGGTTTCTTATGTTGACACAGCAGGCTGCGGGAGTGAAGGTCTCTTTAGCTGTACCGGTCAGTAATATTGGCGCTTTGAATGTGTCTCTTACTGCATGGAGGTGAGACCGAATTCACATGGGAAAAGTCTGTGTTCAGAGTGGAAGTGGGCCTCAGAACTTTCAGCCATTGTTATGTCATATTTGAGCTTCAGAAACACGACCAGCTGACATAAGCAGGGCAGAAAATTACGTAAAGACAAAAGGACTATCCGACTTAGTCCCTGCCTCAGGGCGAGTTTGTGCAAATTTGCACTACTTTCTTACCTGAGGCTAGACTATGACTGAAACCTCTTGAATTCCTAATGTCACTGCAGAGTCAGAGTCTGCTGCTGTCCGAGCTTTCACAGTGACACTGATGCTCAGTGGAGTAGTCAGTCAAAATGACATTTGCATTACATCAGAGCTCTACTGAGATGAGAAAGTCCAGACCACTTTTGTTTTTGTGCCATCAATCTGTAAACTATTTCAAAAACTCTGAGTTAATGAGGATTTTTCCCATATCATTACAGCTTCACCTCTGTTGCTTCCAAGTTTTGCTCATCATATTTGTAATTTTTTTTTGGCAAGTATGCAAATTTTTTTAGACTTAAGTCTGTTATAATACAATTTTTGAATACCTCACATAGGGGAAAGTGGGGTAAGATGAGCTATTTTTTATATTTCGGATCACTACATCAAGGCAGTCAAAGTTTTGTCTCTAGCTAGTGTATCTGCATGTATTTCAAGATGTTGTGTATCCCTGCAAACCAACAGAATGAGTGTAAACATAACTGTCTTGATAATATAGCATGCCAAAAAAGCGGTCTCCTATGGTCAACTAACCCCGTGTATGGGGTAAGTTGACCACAGCAGCGGGATAAGTTGAGCCGTATCCCTACTACCACCTACTCTCCACCCCAGGCCTCCCTCACCTTCTCTCTCACTGTATAACAGTCACAACGTCAACATCAGTTAAAGGCCTGTCTAAAAAGATAAGTCTTTTTAGATAATTTTAAGTCCTCTCTTAAAACTTTCAGTAGACTCTATGACTCTGTGTAAGGTCGATGATAGTGCATTCCAGAGGCGAGGGGCACTGGCCTGGAAAGAGCAGTCACCTTGTGTTTGTCATCTGATGACCTGCGAGGGAGAATAGGGTCTCAGTAACTCAGAGATGTACAAGGGAGCTTGATCATGGAGGGCTCAAAAAGCAAGAACTAAAATCTTAAAATGAATCTGAAAATCGGCTGGTGACCAGTGGGGGGAATATAAAACTGGGCTGATATGGTCCCTTTTCTTCAATCTAGTTACAAGCCTTGTAGCTGCATTTTGAACAGTTTATATAACTTACCGACAAAATATGCCTGGTTAGTCAGTCAGATTACTATGTGGAGCAATTTTTTATCTTTTTATTGATAATACTAAAATGCTGATGTTTGAATTCTGTTTTACATCCAGTAAGTTGAATTGTTGTCACATTAAGCCTGTGATGTTGTTGGCACACAAATTTCCTGATTTAAGTTTTAGATCTGAAGTTGCAGAAGAATCTGTCCAACTTGACCTCATGCATTTTTTTTCTTTATTTTGGACAGTAAGTAGAGAGAAAATGGAACTCTCTCTGTTGTATTTTAGACTGATGTGATGCATTAATTTATAAACTACTTCCTGATTAGTAAAATATTTCGTGTATAACATGACAAACTCCAGAGAGACGATAACAAATCAAACACATATGAACCTCCTGTTATTTTGAATGCATTTTCAAACACACATTATTATTGTTATGTGGAACTAACTCTATCACATTCTTTCTTGTTATGGATGCCTATGAAACCACCAATCATGGGCCAAAGTGTGACATCAGTGAGGTGATTAATCGATAATTACTGATAATGACTAGTGTTCTAGCTGAAGACAAAAGGCCTAGAGTCCTGCTCTAATGATAGTGGAAGTTAAATGCGACCTGACTGTGCATCCAGCTCGCTTAAAGCCCTCTCCAGCTCAAAAGCCTTTTATTTCTGCTATGTTTAAGTCTGTGCTCTTCTTGTTACTCTCTGATGAGAACATAATTCATCTGAACTGCGTTTGATCCTTTGAATCCTACACTGCTTGGCAGCTCAGTGGTACAACATGTGGGAGCTCATCCACAGTCAGCAGGCAGACTGGCGTAATGCTGATGATGCAGCCCATGAGTGTGATTGCACTGAGCCCTTGTTAATTATTCATGGAGGGCATGTCACAGAGATGTGGTAAAGGTAACAGATTTAGCTAATTTTAGCTGTCGTGCAGCTCTGACGAGGACCTGAAGGATCTCTCATTTCTATAATGTCCATGATCTCTTTATAGATACTACATTGAAGGGGAGTATCATGCTTTTCCACATTTACAACAAAAACTGCAAAGTTACAAAGTTTGGTGTCCATACTACATGTGACGCAAAGTTTCAAATTACAAGGTAAACGTATGTAATCACAATCTTAGAAAAAGAGATGTAAACTGCTGCCTTTAAAGTTTAAAGTGTTTCAGGAGGAGGCTGAAGTAATGATATTTTAGTGCACCACAGTGAGAAATTTGAGGCTTTTTTTAAAGTTGGAAAATTATGTAAAGCTATTAAAAAGGTCTCAGAAGGGAAATATAGACTTTGAAAAAAGATGCATGAAACCCCCTTTAATGAGGTAGCTGATCTAGCTGTAGAGTTCTTTGTACTTTTAATGCTGCCAGGTATTTTTGTAGAGGTAAATAGTCGCAGTGGTCAGATTAACACAGTAATATAGCTTCTGTTGAAAAATGATCATTACATTATTAAAATCTTGGTCATAAGAGCTGCACGATTCTCTTAAAAAGGATTTTTACCACAGTGAAGGCAGAGGACAAGAAAGTCTGCCCACAAAGCGGGTAAAAACAATCAACATCTCTTTATTGACTTTGTTTTGAAAGACAATGCCCACTGTCACGTTCTGTTGATGCAAATGACAGAAAAAGTCTAAAAAAAAAAAGGTCTGTTCTGGGACGCCAACTTACAGTGTAATGTTTGAAAATAGATCTGGTGAGTGGGGTTGGGTATTGTCTAAGTTTGAACGATTCCAGTTCCTAACGATTCTCTATTTCGATTCTTTTAAAAGGCAGGATTAAAAAAATGCATGGTTCAGAAGAGGGCGCTAACCAGAGTTCTTTTGGGGTGAAATATCTGAACTTCTCAATAAATTTTTAAATGATTGGAACTTTTTACGATTTACCAATAAATTTCACACAGGGCTTTTTTCAACCAGTATATAAATATCAGTCTTTGTTGTCAGGTCGTTTGTCAATGAAAAAGAGCACAGGCTAACATTTGTTGGATATTTAAGTTGACCCGTTGTATACAGTACAATTTGGTTACAGCTTCGTTGTTAGCAGAAGACAGACGTAACTTTTGTAATTTATTGTTTTACTTGTCTGATTCTGACTGGTTAGAGGAAGATCAGCGAAGCAGTCAAAGTCAGGGCACTCCTTTATTTCTACTCTATGAATCTGGAGGTGTTTAATCATGTTTAAGACTTTCAAGCATTTTCGGTCCATGTTCAGACAAAAACAACCTCGTGTGGGCACTCAGAATCGATAAATAGATCTAAATTCAAAAATCGGTTTCATGATTCCTGGACCCGATGTGAGGAACCGGTTTCTATTTGGAAGGGTCGGTACCCAACCCTACGAGTGAACCCTACTAGTGAAAACATGCTAGTTAACATTATCAGTTGGCAGGAAAAATAGCAAAACTGTGGGGTCCTCTGTAAACTATTGGATAAAACTGAAGCTGTACCCTGTCACACTGATTTTAATCTTTGTTGGGTTAAATGATGATCATATCTCTCAATTTGATCAAACAGTCTGAAAAAGAGAAAAATCTGGCCTCACAGTGGGGTCACATACTCGGAGAAGCAGGATAAAATAAGAGGATGTCGATATACAACGACAGTGTTGAGTTTGTTAACATATCCTTTCTTCTCTGGTTCATAAAAGAGTATTATAAGACCTCTAAATCGCTGATATCTTATTTATGCTACTCAGCTATTGAATTTCCCTTCGGCAATCTTATCTTTATTCTAATTCCTTCAATAATTGTCTGCAAACTGTTAGGTCACCCCCCCCCCCTCCCCCCCCATGTCTCTTTAGAGCCAGTGAAAAATAAAAGTGTAAAAAGCTGCAGATTCATGATGAAGGTAAACTTGAAAACGAAACCGCATAATCATAAAGTACTGTAGAGATGCTAAAGCATGTAAAATTTGGTTTCCCTTTATAGGATCATGTTTGCAGGTTAAAGACCAAAACAAATGTAATGATCAACTTGATTGTAATTTCTTACCAGAAAAAAAGATGCAAATAAGATCGTCTTACATGTGTCCAAATCACTATGTATATGTCCTGCAGCTTTATGAATCCTCCAGTACCTATTATTAGTTTTTCTTGTACTTAATTGTTCAAGTTTTTAATGTACGTTGTGTTTCAGGGCTTCTTGTGGGAACTCTGGATACTGTTTTGGACTCCACATCTAAAGTTGCTCCATATAGGATCCTACATCACACACCGGACTCACAGGTGTACTGGTCGATAGCATGCGGTATGTCACAATGATTTATCATATCTTATGTAGTAAACACCTCAGTGGTATGACAGCAGGTGGACAATTTACATGTTAAGCTTTGTATTGAAATAATTTCAACATTTTGTCATGATTTCCAGAATTTGTCAGAATCAAATACTTCTCAATCCAACTTTAAGCTTATCATTGTGAAGTAAAATACATATAAGTACTTTATGTCACCCTACACTCTTTCACTACACAAAACAAAGTTTTCCAGGGTCAACCCCAGGCATGTGAATAACCATAAACTTTTGAAATGTTTTTTCACCCTTGCTGTCTCTTCAGGTGTCACAAAAGAGGAAATAGTTCAGCACTGGGATTGGCTGCAGCAGAACATCATGAGGACGCTCTCTGTGTTCGACTCCAGTGAAGACATCACCAGCTTTGTACAGGGCAAGATTCGAGTAAGAATGAACAGTGGCTCTGAGCAGCCCACAAAGCTAATATGTTAGCGAGATAATTCCTCAGCAGGGATTTAGTTGTAATATTAAATGTGACATTAGCCTCTTATTCTGAAATCCTTTCTTTCTGACTGCCTGTGACTTTAACCCAATTATTAGAAGCCATTTAAGGACATGTAGAGATGATGAAATGTGGGCACATGCATGCTGTGGTTACATACTGTCTTTATCCATATAGTTTGCATAAGGATGTTGACAAGCCTCAGGGTGATGCTTTATTGTAACCAACCATGTTTGATGTTTTTTTAGGGTCTTATCGCTGAGGAAGGAAAGTCGTCCCTGGTTTTGGAAGATGATCCTGAGAAGTTTAGAGAGGCGCTCTTGCGGTTCGAGAAGTGGTTCGAGCTGCCGTCAGAGGAAAAGCTCGTCACATATTACTCATGCAGCTACTGGAAAGGCAAAGTGCCATGCCAGGGCTGGCTCTACCTCAGCACTAACTTCCTGTGCTTCTATTCATACCTGCTGGGATCTGAGGGTAAGCCATTTCTGTGATGCATTTTATTGACATGAGTAGACACTTCCTTTGTGGCTTTGATTGATGCAAACAAAAAGCGCTGGCAGCCGCTGAAGTGGGCTTTGATGGCCTGAATGGAGCGTTTTTTGACAAACGTTTCTTACAAAACATAGCTAGGTAATGACAGCTTTGATAGAAATCCATTATAGCATTGTGGCCCTTAGTGAAGGCAGCCCCTCAAAGCTGTCTGGATAATGGATAACGCAGAATTTTGGAGTTCTGCTACTGTTTTTATATTCTAATATCAAAAAATGTTCTTATACCAGCACACAGAAATATGTGAGAGATATTGGTGTGGAAATAAAAGATAAAAACATGTTAAAAATAAAATTCATGCTCCCTGTCTTGAGCCTTTATCACTCATGTAATTTTGTTGTGTTGTTGTTGCCCTGCAGTGAAACTGGTCATCTCCTGGGATGAGATCTGGAGGCTGGAGAAAACCTCCAATGTTATCCTGACTGAGAGTGTCCACGTCTTGGTTCATGGAGAGGATCACTATTTCTCCATGCTGCTGCACCTGAATGAAACATTTATCATCATGGAACAGCTGGCCGACTACGCCATCAAGCGCCTTTTTGATAAAGAGGCCTTCCAGAGAGAGCCGGCGCTCTCTGACCCTCTGCAAATCACCAAGAGGTACTGTCTGGTCCCGCTAAAGCGAGCTGACAGCTGGAAACACCAGAGTAGACATCAAGTCTGACTGGAGTCAAACTGTGTTTGTTTTAATTTGTTTGGAGTGACAGAGTAGGTCAGACATTAAAACACCAACGTCAGGTGCTTTAAAATCAACTTAGTGTAATTGTTTACTTTGAACACTTTGACAGCAGCTTCCAGTCTTTCTTTTGTTTGTTGTTGATCCACTGATGTAATACTTAGTGTAGAAATTTAGACTTTTACTACGACTTTAGTATATAGTATGAAAACATGGTAATTTAGAGACTGACGTTGAACAAAACAGTCTAAAAAGGCTCATCATGATTTAAATATATTTATAATGATCTGAATCTGAGATGGATAAATGGCACATTAAAATAATTAGTCTGAGCCCATGTCTGCACCAACAAGACAAGTTCAAAAATAGTCTGATCATTTCTGCAGGCACTGCCAGCAGCCATTTTTTCCCCCGTAGGACAAAGGAAACAATGAAAGACAGAGACTCAGCTTTCACTTAGGTAGATGTCAGCCAACTGCTCAAGAATTTATGTCCATGAGGAGTGCCATAGAAATTTCTGCTGCTACATTCAGCAATGAAAACTTGTTTCTGGCCAGGGCGGAGTTTGCACATCACATTCTTGCCTTTTAACGCAACAATGTGAACTAGATTTTAATGTGCATGAAATAATAATGTATTTTTCAAATGGAGAAACAAACAAAAACATCAACAGCATTATCAAGGCAAAGAAATAACCCTTCGTTGCAGTGCTGTTGAGGTGGATATGAAAAATGCCATATCCATCTGTGTTGAAAGCTGCTGCTGACTGTATGCTTGTGAGTCTTGAGTCTGCTTTTTAGGATGTTCTTGGAAGGTTTCTACATGATTTTCTACTCATGACTTTGTCTTTTCCCCCCAGAGGCCTAGAAGCTTATGCAAAGAGTGGGCAGTTCCGGGCCTTTTTCAGACTCCCCAAAGAGGAAAATTTGTTAGAGGTGCATGAAAGCTTCCTATGGGTTCCCTTCAGCCATTTCAACACGCTTGGCAAGATCTGTCTGTCTGAGAACTATCTGTGTTTCGCCAGCCAAGATGGCAGTCAGTGCCATATCATCATTCCAATGCGAGAGGTAAAGAGGAGCAAATGTGGTATAAAAATCACTTTGTTTAAAAGCGTCTGAAAGAGCATCAGTAGCTTCAAAAAGTGACTGTCTGGTCTGCCAATGTAATTTAATTTCAGGTGGTCAATGTCGAGAAGCCAGACACCAGCAGCAGGGCGTTAACAGTGTATGTACGTGGAAAAAGGGCGCTGCGTTTCTCTGAGGTGCGAGACTACCAGAGGCTTGCCAACACTATCCGCAGCAGATGTGGCATCAGTCCAAGTCCTCAGCACTCGGCTTCATCAGAAGTAATGTGTTGTACCTGTTGTTTCTCCATGCTGTTGTTATCTCTATGATTGCAGTGTAATAACTCATGTGTGTGTATCACTTCAGGGCATAAGGGGGGAGTGCCAGTCACTCATCAACCACTTTGAGGACAACCCAGAGGACGTAACACTGATGGTGGGACAGAAAGACAGCAGCAAGGCTGTGAGCACTGAAGCGCTCATGACTGTATTCCACCCACAGGATGTTGAAAACCTTGACCCTAAAATGGTAAATATAAAACTGTTATTCAAATGAAAAATACTGACTGTTTTTAGAAGCATTCACAAAATCTGACTGAACAACCTTGCTGTGAGGATAATGTACAAGAACTTTTCTGTAGGATGGAGGTGCAGGTGGGTGTCGAAGCAGTTCAAGGGTGGACATGAATCAAAATAAAGCATCATGGGTCTGTTTATAACACATGCAATAAAACCATGCTGTCTGCTTTGTGTTTGTGCGACAGCTGAAAGAGAAAATGAAGGAGCAGTCTTGGAACATACATTTCTCTGAATATGGACGTGGCACGAGTATGTTCTTCACCAGGAAGACTCGAGACTTGATTGTCCGTGGTGTCCCTGAGGCCTTGAGAGGAGAGCTGTGGATGCTATTTTCAGGTATGTAAACTTACACTGTCACATTGCATCAAGAGATTTGAAGTATCTGTGATTTGTCAACACAGCCCTGCATGATTGACAGTATTAAGCGCTCAAGCTCTTGCTCGACATGAATAATTAAGCACGACACGGTTGGTATGGGATCTGAGCAGCATGTGTTTTTGGATGCCTGTGGTTCTGCCTGTGTAGGAGCTGTGAACGACATGGCCACTCACCCCGGTTATTACAGCGAGCTGGTTGAACAGTCCCTGGGCACGAGCACTTTGGCTACAGATGAAATAGAGAGGGACTTACATCGTTCACTGCCAGAGCACCCTGCCTTCCAGAGTGACACAGGAATCTCAGCTCTGCGCAGAGTCCTCACTGCCTATGCATACAGGAACCCTAAGATCGGATACTGCCAGGTACTGATCTCCTATTAAAACACAATTTTTTCAAATGTGGAAAAAAAGTATAAAGAAACGTATTAATGAGAAATGGTTAGTTTGTTTCCTATGTCCTCTTTCCTCTATATTGATTTCTAATGTTTATTCTAATACCTGAGATCATCTGTTTTTGCTGGTATAACAGTCGTGGCTTAAGTCAGAGGTTTCCAAACTCTACTGCGATGCCCCCTTTTCAAGCAATGCTGTGAACATGTATTTCCTCTCTTTCAGTAATTTCAGTCACACAAAAAGAAATCTCTGTCATCTCTATCGACCAGTTTTTCTGTCATTTACTATTAGATAACAGCATAATTTATCAGGGCTTGACACTAACTGTATTCACAAGGAGCACATGTGCTCTTAAGTTGAAAAGTAAGGCGAACACAAAGAACTTTAGGGGCACAATAAAAATTGATCAAATAATATGTGTCTTATTGGTCAACAAAAATACTATTATTTGAAATCAGTTTTAGGTCTTTTGGTCACATGACATGGAAGCTATTGAAGTAAATGTTCAAAATTTACCTTTTAAATTTAACACAAAAATTTACGATGACAACTTAGGGAAATAAAGAGGTGTGTCTTATCGTCCGACCTTAGTACTATTAATTGAAATCAATTTTAGGTCTAGTGGTCACATGACATGGAAGCTATTGAAGAAAAACAGCCTTTTCTGAGAACATCAACTGTTAATTTATTGATGGTCCCTTATTCAACACCCGATGTTGACAGTGAGGATGTTGATTAGATTTAACCGCGTGGCTGTTGCCATTACTGGTCATGGAGAGTGAGAAGACAAAGGTAGATCAGCGGTGCATGTCTGTCGAATATCCAACCTAAAACTAACTTCGCTGTGATATTTACATAAAAACATTTGTTGCCTCAGTAAATTTTTTATTCACACATTTCTCCCTGAATACATTTTACAATTCACACACATCTTTTTTTAGTCACAAATGGGAGTGAAGCGGTCGCACCGTTGAGCACTGAGCATAATGTACAACACTGTATGTTTTTTTTTTATCAAACAGAGAAAACTTAATAATACTTGAATCACTTTGCAACAAAAATAACTAGTTTTGGTTGGAAAACAACTTTGTGACATTTGGCACTAGATTGCTGTAGATACTATACTTTCTCACAAAACACATAAAAAAAGATGTGATCATGATTTTACAAATTCCCCAATTTTAACACTGAATGAACCACTTTTACAGACATTTGTTCCTTGATTGCTACACAACTATTTGTTTTCATAACAGGAGGTCTATGTAAAATTTGTAGCTACGATGCTGCAAAGACTTTTGACTTGATGCAATTTCAACACAGCTTGTGAAATCTTCTTGCTTCAAAGAGCAACTTCAATTTGGCCAGCCCCTCTATGTCAGAGTGTTAGATTGCAAAATCAGTCTCTTTTTTTTTGTTTGTTTGTTTGTTTGTTTTCACTAAACCTAAATGTAATTTTAAATTATTTTGTTACAAGCAGTGATTTGTTCTGTCTGGTCTGGGTTTAAATGACTACCACCACCAGTGTGCATGTCTGTTTTGTTGATGATTTTACTACCCTAAAAATAAATTAAAAAACAGATACCAAGGTGATAGTTCCACACAATATGTTTTATGGCCACTTATACCACCTCCTCTCAGGTTTCCGCTCCCGCTCATCCAAGGGCAGGTGGAGCTCCGTCTTCGGGAACCACTGACTTAAGTGAGACTTGAGAAAGAGGTTCCTTGAGACTTTTAAACTCCAGTCCTCTTCACTGACAGTTTTTTCTTTACCTAAAAAGCAGAGTTGACATTTTAAAGGCCTTGCCCTTTAAAAACGAGGTTTGTAGGTCATTAAAGGCCACAGGTGATCTAAAACCAGTGAAAATGTTTTTTGAAGGTAGCTGGGCTCTTAAAAATCTTCCATGTTCACACACACACTCAACAGCCACCTTTCTGCAGTTGACCTTTCGCTTACAGCTGAAGTGGTGTGTTTTATAAATGTGTCCTTTTTAACCATTCAGGCCATGAACATCCTCACCTCAGTGCTCCTGCTCTACGCTAAAGAAGAGGAGGCTTTCTGGCTCCTTGTGGCCGTCTGCGAGAGGATGCTGCCAGATTACTTCAACAGGAGGATTATTGGTGAGAGGGGAACCTGTTTTCAATGCTCATCCTGGAATCCCACGCTTGAACACGTTTACGGATACAGTTGCACTCAAAACTGTTGCTTATCTTTCTCCAGGTGCTCTGGTGGACCAGGCAGTATTTGAGGACCTGATTCGAGAAAACCTCCCACAGCTGGTTGAGCACATGACAGATTTGAGTTTCTTCTCGTCTGTGTCCTTGTCCTGGTTCCTCACTCTCTTCATAAGCGTTCTGCCCATAGAGAGCGCCGTCAATGTGGTTGACTGTTTCTTCTACGACGGCATTAAAGCCATTCTGCAGCTCGGTTTGGCTGTGCTGGACTACAACATGGAGGCTCTGATCAGCTGCCATGATGATGCAGAGGCTGTCACCATACTCAACAAGTCTGTGTGAACACTAAAATGATGATTTTTTTTCTTTTAAACAGTTTGTTGCTGTCTCTTTTTTCATGATCCCTCTTTGTTTCAGATTCTTTGACAGTGTGACAAACAAAGACAGTCCGCTGCCCCCCACAGTGCAACAAGCTCCAGTGGGAAGTAACGATAAAGCATCCAATTTCAAAGTGGATATCAGTGAACTTATCAGAGAGGCCTATGAGGTACCACCATATTCCTTTATGTTAGTTTCATGCAGATGTATTGAAAGTAAACTCAATTATAGTATGTTGGTGTGTAGAATTTATTATTGTGATGATATTTTTCAAGATTATGTTCTGAGATTTTTATGCCATTGTTTGTTGGGATGTAAAGGCTCAACTGAGGACGCAAGTAAAAAATAACAAAAGCTATAAACCAACTGCTCAACACAGAAGTTTCACGCTCTGTATTGAAACCATAGACTGTATATAGAATGGACGCTGTCTGCCTCCTCGCTGAGTGAAGCCACTCTGAGAACAGCACCCTCTGGTGACGGGCTGCAGTATAGGTCATAAATCCTGCCTCCTCCAGTAATCCCTATGGAGCTGTGGACAAACTTTAGAAATTTATTAATCAGAACATAAATTTTTCTCTGCTTGCGATGTTGACATGTAGTTACTTTAAGACTGGTTTGTGCTCAAGTCCTCTTTTTTTTCTGTGCAGCTCCATCTTTAAAAGTTATTAGAGGGTTCATGTTTTCTATAATTGACACTTGATACAGCCTATGGGCGTACGAAGATTATGTGGCTCACCCGGGGGATACGCTGTTTGAACTGAGAGTATTTACAGCGACTCTTGGCGACTCTCCCGCCGAATGCGTACAACGCTACTGCCCAATGTTGGTTTCAGGAAGTGGAGAAAAAACGTGAAAATACAGAGAGCTTTTTGGCTTCAAATCCATATACTGGCGGAAGGCGGAACCAAGTTGTCCATAGTATTTACAGTCTATGATTGAAACTATGTTGAATCGCATCATTTAAACTCAACAAATTCAGTTTAATTGAATCGTTTTGCTTTGTTTCAGAAATATGGACATCTACGGACTGAGGAAGTGGAGAGTTCACGCAAAAGAAACAAACTCTACGTGATCCAGACTCTGGAGGATACAACCAAACAAAATGTTGTGAGTGACCATTGAGTTTAAAGTGGTTGTTTTGTTGGTGCATTGTTGCCGTGGTAGAGAGGATGAATTTAAATTTGGTTTCAGGTTCGAGTGGTGTCCCAAGAAGTAAGACTCAGCACTTCACAGCTTGATGAGCTCTATAACTTGTTCAAAGTGAGTCAAAGTTGTGATTCAGAAAATTGACATTTCGATCATACCAAATGCTGATGGTTCTGATAAAAATGAAAATATGTCATGTCATCTGATCCCCGTTTTCAGAGGCAGCATTTCCTCAGCTGCTACTGGACGATGAAGAGCCCAGCACTGCTCCATCATGACCCCAGCCTGGCCTACTTGGAACAGTACCAGCTGGGTTTCCAACAGTTCAGCACGCTCTTCTCCCTGCTGGAGCCCTGGGCTTTCTGCACCACCAAGAGCACCCTGTCCCTCTGGATCTTCCGCCTAATAGACGAGAACCAGGACGGCCTTATAAACTTCAAAGAATTCTGCTACGCCCTGGGTGAGTTCACACATTCTCTGGTTTCCACTGATGCAGCCTCGTAGTTTGATATTCCTGCTGCTTTAACTTCAAACTGCTTCTTCTGCAGATACTTTGTACAACGGCTCTTTCACAAACAAGCTGAAATTCCTTTTCAAGCTACACCTGCCACCAGGTGAGTCAAAAACAACTTAAAATCATACATGAGCTGATCTTAGAGACACACTGTCTTTGCATTGTCTTTCATTTTCACCTCTCTGATCTTTGACCCTTTGTTTTTGTCATAGTCACGTCTGTCTGTCTCCTGTAAGCTAAGAAAAATAACTGTGTCAATGTATTCTTGCTTAGTGTCAACCTGTGACCCATTTCTCTCATAACATGTCTGGAGTGATGATATACTCCTGCGGGTTCAAAGTTCAAGTGCTGCGAATGTTTTCAGGCCGCGTTCCTGACGGTCTCCAAATTCTACCTGTTACCTTCATACACAGACAAACAGAGGCAGACTGAGGTCAACATGAAATCAGAGACACATAAAGTACATCAGAGCCTATGATGGTTTGAGATGTCATATCTGTACTCCAGTCCCTAACGCAGCGTTTGTCAGCTGAGCACTTTGCCTCAGGGACTAAGCTGCCCTTGAATATGCGGCTCTTGTCTGCATGACGTGTCCTGTCGTGTTGATGCGTGCTGAAGGGCTGGGGTAAAAAATAGTCCATATTCTCCACAAAGAATGGGGGAAAGAACTCTGTCATGGTAGCCAGGGGTGTGGGGATCTGAGCCAGCTTCTCCACACAGAGGATGAATGTCGAGTAAAAGCTGCTAAGGAGAACTGACTCACTGTTTTTTTAACGTGCTAAGTCAGTAAACATCGAGCAGCAAAGCCTGTTTTATGCATCATAGTGTTTGTTTTGCTTCAGCACCAAGGACAGGTCCCATCGTAGTGGCACAAAGCAAACAAGATAGTAGAGATCCAGTTTCAGGCTGGGGTCCAAGATTCTTTTTTTATCTGTCGGAAGATTTCCAGCTGAGTGAAACCGCCCAAAATGATCGAAGATGCTGCTATGATAAGAGCTCTCTGAAGGCTGAAGAAAGAGCCTCACATCCTGCCTCATCTCCCTAAAACAAAAGTAGAAAAGAAAGTCCTGCAGCATTTATCACAGTGGATAAAACAAATAAATGTTAAACAATAATTAATTAGAAAAACAAAAAGAAAAGTGAGAATCCAGTCTAAATATGAACATAAGATTTCTTTTCAGATTTCAGTCCCAGTCTTGAAGTGAAATAAAGATATATTTATGTTTAATCATCATTTAAAAAACAGCATATAGACCAATTATAAATGGCAAATAGATAGTTTATTAATGTAAGTCAATATAATTTTCATTTATTATTATTGGACTATTTATTAAAGGTTTATATAGGGTTTAAATAGGTTGTAAAACATCTAGATTAAAATGTGTGTCAGTAGCACTTTGTAAATAGTTAATATTTGTTTTATAAACCATCTGTAAACATTATTTAGATTGTTATTGTAAAGTTGCAACTGATGTTTGTAATACTTTGTAAATGATTAATGAGTGGTTTATAAACCACCTATAAACTTTACTTAGATGTTATACTAAAATTAGGGTTAGGGTTAGGTTTTTAAAATTGTAAAATTTACAATTTATTAATGGTCGATATGCTACTTACTGATAATGATGATTAAACATTAATAAACTATCTGATAACCATTTATAAATGGTCTATTTACCATTTAAAAGTAATGGTGATTGTAAAGTGTTACCTAAACCCGTTTCCCACTTGGACAGCTTATTCTGTGTCATCTTTCTTAAAGAGCATTTTTGGTTTTAGGTCTTATTGTACCATTGAATTACCTTAGTAACACTTTTTGTTGCCTTTACTCGGTCCTTGTGAGCTTTCTTTCACACACTGTCTTGCCTTCAGGCTATTTTCTGTCAGAGTCAAATAAAAAAGAGTGTTTAGAAGAAATAATACGATTTATTGTTCAGCTGCAGCTCCAAAGCTTTTTTACAAGGTTTCTCGTGAACTGGGGTTCAAGGTTGTACTCGCTAACAAGAACATGTAGTGCAGTTTCACACTGTAAATAACTCCTTGAAGTCTTTGTTGTATTTTGCTCCTTAGATTAAAAGTTGTCCTGAACCACATTCACATATTTGATGTCAGCATGGCTTGTGATCATATGACAAAAAACTAAAACGTCGTAGTGTTGTCTTTCTATCCTTTTCTTTTTTAAATGAGACACTATCATTACTGTCAGTACACATATTATAGTGGGTTTTTTTACCCTCAAGCAGTGCTGCAAACTTTGGGAAAGTGTGCAGAGTAAGAGTAAAAATAAACCACTCAAACCTCAAATTTGGCAATTTCACAGTGGGACAGCCCTGAGCTCTCATAAATATAATGAGAGCCCACATCAAAGTCTGACCATGGAAATGGGCCAAACGCTTCATTGATCAAGGCAGTAAAATCGTTGGGGCATTTAGAGCTGAGAGTCTGCAGGTTTTTTAGGCCGAACGCAGAACAGCAGCTGTAGTTGGTTATCAGCAGAGAGGAGATGCTACACAGGGATATCATCTGTGTGTGGGACACTAAATGTGTAATGTGGCTTCAAATTTAATCTTCAGCTTCATTTCCAGCTGCAGTGATCGAGAATAATTACAGTTTCAAACATTAAAAATGTCCCCATTATAGACAGATATGAGAATAGAAAATTAAAAGTGTTCTCTTACCGTATGAAATTTTACATAAAAGCACGTCGCAAATGGACATAAACAGTCAGTATAGAAGTGTTAAAGTTTAAAGTCAGAGTTTTTCTGTGATGAATATCTTGTGTACAAATGTGATCATTTGATGTGTTTTTGACATTGAGGAGAGGTTAAAATTGGAATACACATTTCCCTTACATAGAATCAAATAGTGCACTAAATCTGATGATTAGATTTGAAATAATACTTGAGACTTGATGAAATATGAAGCCCGGCAGGTCATCACAATGATTTTGTTACTCTTTTTTTCTGAACCTGAATATCAGCAACAATTTTTATGGCACAGACTCAGTGAACAAATACACAACATGAAGTCAGGCCTCAGGTTATGCTGCTACAGTAACACAAAACTATCAGGCAAATGTAATAGCACTGCTGGCTCATGAGGGTAATTGTTCAACCCTGCAGAGTAAACTCATACGCATCCATGCACCCACATGCACTTACACTCACACAATTATCAGTGGGGGCTGGAACAAATCACTTTAGTGCATTTTACATAACAGGCAGTCAGGGGTCATTTTAATTGGACTGTGAATACCATATATCATACTTTTTTATATATCGCAATAACTTATCAGTTTATGACTAAATTCTTAAAAAGCATAAATTACAGTTTACAAAACACATGCCGGTAAATTGTAGTTCAAAACAACAACACTACTAAGTACACATCTGAATCTTTGGCAACAGTTCCAGAGGTCTCCAAAGATCAAACTTTTCCAGGGTAGTTTGATGAGATTGTATTGGACAATATGTGATGTGTTTCATGAAATGATAACTATGAGGACATCTGCTTTCTTTCTAAAACCGTTCTCTCCACTGCTCATGTGACTCCTCTGTCTCTTCATCTTTCCTCTCAGTGCACTCATAGTCAGTCTTCTCTAGCTTTCACAGGGAGTCCTTTGCACCCAAAGGAGCAAAGAATCGAGCACTTTACTCGACTGACTGAAGACTCTTCTCACTTGAGTAGACTCACTGGTCAGCTTCTTTACTCTTTCTTCTCCTTTAAAACCTTAAATTGCACTTTGGATCCCCTTTCCCCTTCTGAATGTTTGCTTTATTTCTTCTGGTAAAAAATTCCTTCAATCACGACGGAGTAGTAGGGCCACATTAAGAAAAAAAAAAGAATACTACAAGATTAAAGTTGTTAACTTACGAGAATAAAGTCATTACTTACAAGAATAAAGTTTTGATATAATCAATTCTTAGGAGAATAAAGTCGTTATCAAGTAATTACTCACGAGAATAGTCATAATAAAATCATTACTCACGAAAATAAAGTCGTAATAATGTAAGTACTTACAAGAATAAAGTCGTAATAAAATCATTGATACCCATGATGATGTGGTGCTGATGTGCCAAAAGATTAAGTATCTCCTTGTTTGAGAAACCTATATTGAAGTACATTATTTCAACAACTGTTATCCGAAACAACAGGTTAGAGTAAAAGGACTTTATTACGACTTTATTCTCGTTAGTACTGACTTTTTTTGTAAATAAATGACTTTAATCTCAAAGTCTCAATTTTCTTTTCCTTAATGTGGCCCTAATACTGCGTTGTACTTAATAGTTTGTTCACATGCTTTTTTTTTAATGTTTCAGCGTTTGATCTTCCTGAAGATGGTGTGATACGGAAAAGCCCAGAAAGAGGTATATTTTTTGTTGTTGTGAAAGCACTGGACTGGTTTTGATAAACACTGCCAGTACTTCATTGTAATGCCATAATTGCTGTTAAAAAGGACAAATTCACTGAGTATAATGGTGAAAAAACTGATGTCGCAAGACACCGTATCACTTTGATGAAAAATCTTGTCGTGCTTAGTTATCCTTCGACATCTTTCACACCTCAGTTTATACTTGTGTGATAGTGAAGACGTTGTGTTTCAAATCAACAGGTAGGGGAAAAGTGGATCTGCAGGCCTACCTGAAACAATGGCAAAATGAAATCCTGAAGAAGGAGGAAACAATCAGGGACCTACCCAGAATTAATCAGGTAATACAGTCCACCTTGTGTTTGTTGACTCTTTCTTCCCCCTCAATTAACAAAAAAAAGAAGCCAGTGAGATTTGTCAACCTGTTGATGTTTTCCTGTTACAGACTCAGTTTATCCAGTTCTCCAAGACCCTGTACAATATATTTCATGGTGACCCAGAAGAGGAGTTGCTATACCGAGCCGTTGCCCATGTGACCAGCCTCCTCCTGAGGATGGAGGAGGTGGGACGGAGGCTTCAGGAGCCGAGCAGCTCGCCTGATTCCACAAAGCCTGCCAGTGCTTCTGCATCGTCTGCTGAGGAGGAGGAGGAGTCCCCGACTGAAGAAGCCTCTACCACCCCAGAGGGCTCTGACACCTCCCGTAACAGTCAGGACACCGGAGCGGACCTCACAGAGATGGAGTGGTCGTTTTCGTTCGAACAGGTTCTGGCTTCTCTGCTCAATGAGCCGGCCATCGTCAGCTTCTTTGAAAGGCCGGTGGACTTTCAGGCTAAAGTGGCTCAAGCTAAGGTTTCCCAGCTGAAGCTAAAGGCAAATAAGTGAAAGGATACATCAGTAGATCAACACTTTACTTCTGATACAAACTCAAAAGTGATCATGAATTTCCTTTCGCTGCTTAGATAAGGCAGGGGGTTCTTGACGATGCAGACAGTAAGGGTACTGTCGAAGTGAAGGAGACATCAGATTTGAAATCTGCTGTGAGTCGTGCTTGAACACGTGTTAGGGGCTTTAATAAAGTTCAGGCAGATGATGATCAGCATCGATGGCTAATGATGCAGATTAGGCAGGATGTCTATTCGAACAGCCCTCTGACCAAAACCTTTAGTGTAGGTAAACTTTAAACCACATTGCAGACTATTATAGTTTTTCCATAAATCTCATTATGCAGTTTTAACTCTTTGAATCTCTCATAAGCTCAGCTCCTTAGGACTTAAGTTTAATTTCACAGATCGTTTCGCCTTCATATCATGGACATATAGCATAGTTTATAATATTCAGTACTTCCCACTGTATTTAGAAACAGAGGAGTTTGTTCTCCCTGCTATGTCTAATGTCATACTGCAGTACAGATTCATGAATAACCTTCAAAGAGTGACAGTCCTCAGATTGATTTCTTGATTTATATTCTCTGTCAAGTAACTAATCCGATCTGTAAATGCTGCTGTGTCCTGTGACTTCAGTGTCTCCTATTCTTGAGTAACATTTGTGTCGCTGTATAAAGTTATTGTGAAAAACACCAGCTGTTCAGGTGATCCTGGCACATAACAAATGGCAGTACGGCAGTGTCATCACCGGAAGCCATGAACTGATCTGAAAGATTAAATCTGGATGAAGTTGTTTGATACGTTTTATCATAAGCTACAAAAGTAAATTACAGCATTAGTAGATCTGCAATAACACAAGATAGGAAGATAGCTGTGCTGCCACAGCACATCCATCTTTATCTGACAAGTAACAAAATTATAGCATGACTTTATGAATTTGAACTCCATAGTGCTGCTGTAGGGAAATCCCTGGTGTCCGCCTCTGACAATGTTATGTGTGTGACATTCACAGTGTGCTTACATCAGTCTTAACGTCCTCATGTAGGATGTTTTGTCCTAGTATAAGTGAAGAAACTTGTACATATCGTCAAGTCCAATAGTCGTTTGATTATTGTGTTTATAAGGCCTGTATTGAAAATGTAAAATATTACCTAATGGACTGTTATGAACACAGCTTAAACATTCAGAAGGACATTTTGTTTATTCAAAACTCAGGGTGCAATTTGTGTAAATAAAAGGGAGAAAAGGGATATTTTTTGACATTGGACTAAAAGAGTATATGACTGAGTGATATATTCAGCTTAAAATGTCTATGAGCATGTGCTGCATTGTTTCAGGATTTGCCACACTATGCTAGCCTTCATAGGATTGTAACTTTAACTGCTTGGAAAGCCAGATTGACTTGCAGCATTTCAGTTGTTTTATTGTTGCTTTTCTTTCTGTCTTGCTTTTACTTGCAGTGAATTGTTTGCACAATTGTTTGCTATTTTCAGGTCTTATGTACGTCTGTATCACAGCCAGGTCTGTAGGGCTTCGGGAATGCTAAAGGTCATAATTGCTTCAGCTGTAGCTTGTTCTCTTCGGGGGCCAAATTCACAGATTGATAGAGCTTTAGCTCAGCCTGTGTCATGGACAAGTTTGAGAAGCTCTTCAAATGCAAGTGCAATTGTCTGTTTTCTGTCTCATATTATTTTGCTATCTGCTTTGAATGTTTTGCTGTTTTTTGTGTGTGCAAAATTCTTTCATACAGCCATCTGAGATGTATGTCATTGTATAATTATTGGGGTAATTTATACATAGCTTCAATGAGCTGTACGGGGCACATTACTCATTGAAAAATAAGCATTTCACCAACATGAATTATTCATTTGAATCATTCGCCCTTTCTAAATTAACGCTTGATCAGTGACTTTGATTCTGTTCATGCTGAAGGCAGAACAGCTGATCATGTAACAACCTTTCTAAACAGCAGTGTGCTCAGTTTGAGCACTTCATTTCATAACGCCTGTATTTCATCAAATGTATGCAAGCCCTTTGTTTTTATGTCACTTTATTTGCATGCATCTGTTTATATCTCAATGATCTGATATTTTTAAAAGTTCACTTTCAGCGATCAAGTTGTTGATCTTCATGGAAGAAATGTAGAAACTGTGGTTAAACCCGACAAACCCTCAGTAATTGTAAATGTTAATGGCACTTTGTGAGAACATGAGAGGAGAAATCATGATTTGAAGTGTTTATTCTATCTTTTCTGTCAAGAATAAGAGTGTATACAATAGGCATGGGAAATGTTCAAGTCGCCGCATTGATGTATGTTAAACAAGGTCTTTTATGTAAAAATGTGGTCTATAGCTGAACAGTCTGCAGCTTCAAATGAAGGCTGATATTGCAAAAGATGTGGAGCACGGATATTTTTGTTGACCAAACGTTTTTTTCTGTGCAACAATAACCAAATAAAGGGATAATTCTATCAGTAAGAAGGTATGGTTCATTTAAAGTGCAGTCTCGTGTTTGATCAAATAGTCGAGTGCTTCATTTTTCTGTCCCTACCTGCTTTTTCATTCATCAGGATCAGACCCAGTGTGGATTTAGACAGGTGTAACTGGTATAAAGCACTTCTGAGAATGAAAAAGCTGAAGAGAAAAGAAGAAGCAAGAGCCCACGTGGAAAATAGTGTGTGTTCATTCAGTTGCACATGATAGGGGAGACCGGGGCTTGTTGTCACATGAGAAAGTTGTCACATCTCTGTTGGCAATTATCTTTGCCAACAGAGGGTGCAACTAAAAAGTGGAATACTAGTTTTCTTCCTTTACATGGTCATGGGTCGTTTCCTGTCTGAGAGGAGAAGAGCACATTCTGAGCTGAGATGAGCACCAATAAACCATTTAGCACAAGGCAAAGAAATACTTTCTATATTAAAAAAAAAACTTCTTCCAGATAAAAATCCTAGCAGTGATTCATGTGGACTTGTTAGAGGAGAGATTAAGTCATCCTGTCATACCTCAGTCATTGTTCTGTTTTAAGCTAACTTTAAGCTAGAGCTAGAATTAGCAAACATGGTAGTTTGGGGCGACATGTCTCAGTCGTTTTGGGGTTAGTTGTCACATGTTTAAAAGGGATTAAAATTAAAACAGAGAGTCTGTTTATCAGCAGTTCTCATATTAAAATTTTGACTTTACTTTTGCACACAAAAAAGAGTGGTTTAAAGGAGAGGAGAAAACAAGAAGACATGGTCAGGAATTACTAAAGAAAAGCAGAACATGTCAGTGCAGTACATGATGTGATGCTGAGGGCAGTCAGGCAGGTGATCCTAGCTCATGAATCAATCTGGAGTGCAATAAAGGACTTTAATATCAACTACCATACCTTGGCTCTGTACTGTAAAACATTCACCCCAGCCGAAACACAGAGTCAGACAGATCTCCAAACTCCAGAGCATATTGTATAATATTTAATGTTAACATTTGTTCAATGACTTTTCTAACTCAATGATAAACACTTTCTGTGCCTGACTTTGATGTTCACTTTCATGTAAAAAAAAATGAGAACAATAATTTTGTCCTTGTTTTATTAGCTGCAAAATCCACTGTGACATCTTACCCTATGTAGTGAGACAACTTACCCGATGGTGGGGCAACATGTCACATGTTCACATCATTTATGTGATTGCTTAAAACTCTGCACTGACACAAGATATGAAAATGACATGAATACAAAATATATACCTGAGACTTTGGTCTTTCATCTGTTAAAAATTTTGTTTATATATGATATATTGATTCAAAGAAATATATGAGTGTAAAAGGAGTGACAACAAGCCCCGGTCTCCCCAACTTGTATTTCATATAACTTCGAATGTAACTTTAAAATCTGTTGTACATCCTGGTTAAACAGGGTAGAAAAAAAAGCAGCCATGACTCAGTCATTCCTGGTTTTATAAGTCAGGTTTCTCGGACTTGCTGTCAGACTTCAACTACTGGTCTAAATAAATTCCCAACAGCTGACACCCCCCACCCCACCCCATGCCACCAACAAAACAATAAATATCTACAGTCGCCGGCATGTTCTGTCCGATCTGTGTCAAAGCTGTAAAAGGATTCCACTTCACCTCCTACAGCACATAATGTAAAAACTGTAATGTGGACGACTGATGCTGAATTTTCCTGGAGGCCCCGGTTCGATGTCAAGGAGAGAGAGAGGCACAAATCTTGATTATCCAAAATGTCACTTTGCTCCATGATGTGAGTCACATTTGAACTGATAAGCAGACTGCATGATGGACAGTTACAGTCACACTAGCGACACAGCGTCAACAAACATAACCTGTACATGGGAGTGCTATGGGACCTTGCACGTAGGCTCACAATAAATCACCATTAACGGTAAAATATCTCCTTGTTGACTGGTCCTAAAGTGTGCACTCTGTCTGACTGATTAATGAGCAGCAGCGTGACTCCGTGACGGATGGTCCCTGTGTATCACTCATACTATTCTGGGTCAGAGATTCGGTTGCATACGGTAGTAACCCAGAGTTCATAACCTTCACCCTGTCACCTGTTCATTTGTCAGCCCCGACCCATCAGGAGAAATCGACACGCTCTGAAAGTTTGAGAGCTCTTTTCTAGTTTCATGATTATTATTGTAATAAAACATTAACCACAGCCAATAAACACTTACAATATGTCACAAAATGTTCAAGCAAATGACAGCTAGTGTTTTGCATCATGCCACTGGCCTTGGTTGACCCTACATTAGTGGGGCGGGGGAAAATCAGAATACTTCAGGCACTTTCAAATTAAAAATTTCTCAGCTAGACAAAGCTGCATCATTGACAAGCAAAAAGAGAGAATGAATAAACAATTGCAGTTGTTAATACTGACACAGGACAGAAGACAGTGCGCTTTTGTGGACTTGTTATCTTTTTAATGCGCCCAAACCCCCTAAAAGCTATTAAAAGAAATCACCATCCCAAATATTAGTGCTGCTTCATTATTTGTTGCACAGGAAGTCCCCTCTGTTTCTATTAGGGCTGAATGATCAACTAACAGGTTTTTTTTTTTTTCACCCCCCTGCCCCCCTTTCCCCCCCACAATGCTTCTCCAAGTGTGCACGAGTGCTATTTATAGCAGCGGTGAGGAAGTCTTTGAAGCACAGCTCTCACCAGCGTGTGATGGTATGTGTTTGGAAATGAGTCCATCCATACTGCACTTCACTTTGCTTCGAGCAAAAAGTACCATGACTGCATCAGTGCACTTCACACTGCGCGGATGTTTGCTTCACATACAAAGCCTCTATTCATGACATTATCACGTCACTGAGTTTAGATGTTGTTTGAGCAGCTTTATTTATTATCAGTGATCAGAAGTTCATGTCTTTCACAGGTATAGAAGAAGACAAACTGAACTATTCATCACAACATTTGTTGAAGATCTGCGCCCTCTCATGCGACATCCCTGAGGGTCTTAACACATAATTTTTCAAAACACGACAACATTTCTAAAACACTAGCATATAATGATACATTATGTCCTGATTAATACTAATACAGACTTTCAGGATCATATCAGTACATTCATTTAGTGATCTTCTCTTTTTAAAATCCAATAAGAGAGACAGATGAAGCTGTGTTCGGTTCAGCTGAAAAGGTAATGACGTCAGTTTTTAAGAGAAGGCAATATGATGGTGATCTTTGCAGTGAACTCAGTTCTCTTTGATTAAAATAACAAGTCTTTTTTGTTTTCAAATACACTTTTTCCATGAGCAATACCTTTAAAAATGGAGATCAAGCTAATGAATCACAAGCATTAAAACACATATTGTGACTTTTACTGGAACATCAAAAGGCAAGAATTGAAAAAATGTTCAAGTCAACAGCATCTGGAAAATGTATAAGTTATGTTCATGACAGTAAAAACCAGACGGTAGAAAATTTGTCTTGCTCTTGTTTTGATATTTTGCAATCATTTTACATTTTACAGTTTAAGTAAATTGCTTGTAAACAGTACAGTTCTCAAGTTTATCAGCTCTCTATTCCCACAGAGAGATACAAAAGTTCATCAATTTCAAGACCACTGACAGGTTCAAATCCTCATCATTGTATTTAAACACAAGTTGTGTTTCTGAGCACCCTTTCAGTTCCACTCATGACAGAATAAGACTGTTTCTGAAGTCTGTTATTAATGACAACTTCTTCCTCGTTCTTTTCCGTCTGTTCCTGATTTAAAAATCTCTCCCCATGCTTTTAGAAATCTTTATGAAACCCACCTTAGCTAACTCAACAGTTTTGTCCCTAACAGTAGAGTACTTTCATGCAAACATCTTCCATCTCAGATCTTCAGGTCATCCAGCCTGCTCTTGTTATTGCTGTGCTTGCTTGACTGACTGTTTCTACGCTGATTTTCTGCAGGCATCTCAAAGGCAGCGCATGAAGTTTTCCTCTCCTTCGCGTCGTCTCCCTCTCCTTTACCTTTCCTCTCCACCGCCAGGTTGTCTCTGTTCTGCTTGTAAACCACTTTGCTGTTGTAAGGGCTGTAGGCAGGGTTCGGCTCTGCCATGCTGTACTTAGAGTCTGCGGGAAAGGGCTCAGGCACCGCAGGATGACTGGTGAAGTAGTTATAGCTGGGGACAAAGGGCATGACTGGTTCTGTTAGGGCTTTGGAAGCTTCAGCTGCAGCCCGGGACCGCCTGTAACGAAGGCCTTGGTGGCACTTTGTGAAACCCAGATGGTACATTTCCACCAGGTTGAGTAGCAAAGAGATGCAGGCTACAGCGAGCATAAAGAGGATAAAGACTGTTTTCTCAGTGGGTCGCGAGATGTAGCAGTTTACCACGTTAGGACAAGGCCAGCGATCGCAGGTGTACATCGGCTTGAGCTCAAAACCATACAGAAAGTATTGAGCTACTATAAACGCCACTTCAAACAGGGTCTTGAAAACAATGTTGAAGACGTAGGTTCTCAGGAGTGCGCCTTGCAAACGTACATGGCCCTGATGGTCTTTGATCGGCGCCTTCTTTGGCTTGTTTCCAAGTAGTTGTTGCTGCTTTTCACCCTGCAAGGCGAGGTTCTTCTCTTTTTCTTGCTCCTTCTCCTCCATGCGGACCAGATGAAGAATGTGGCCCAAATAAATAAGAGTTGGTGTTGACACAAAGATGATCTGCATCACCCAAAAGCGGATGTGAGAAATGGGGAAGGTCTTGTCATAGCAAACGTTCTCACAACCGGGCTGCTTGGTGTCACACGTGAAGCCGGACTGCTCGTCACCCCAGACCTTCTCAGCAGCTGTTCCTAGCACCAGGATGCGGAAGATGAAGAGCACCGTCAGCCACACTTTGCCCACAACAGTAGAGTGCTCCTGGGCGCTCTCCAGAAGCTTCCCCAACGAGTTCCAGTCCCCCATACTGGCTCAAAGATGTACGCTCTTTTTATCGACAAATCCAGGAAAGATGCCTGTAAGAAGGAAACGCTTAAAGTGTGAATCTAAGAACTTCAACCAGGACAAGTTTTTGTTTGCTCAGATAAAAGAAACACAAAGTTCAGTGCCAGACTGTAACTTTGTGATGCAAAGATAGACAAAGAGATAACTAGTACAACTAACACTATCCAAGATAGACAAAGAGAACATTAATACTGGTTACTAATTACCATCTGGGGAGCCCTGGGTCTGATAGCTTGTGACTTATTTCGTTTTTCCGGAAAAACAAAGGTTTTCATGGTGTTCAGGGCAAACATGGAACAGGAGGATTTTATCTGTTTGTTTTATTGATTTTAAATTATTTTATTTATTTTACCATGGTTGGGAAAGTTGTTTCTATCCTTTTGTCATACCATTTTAAACACACTGACTCTTACATTACACTTCATATTAAGATGGCGAGGCAGTGGCTCTGAGGAAGAACTGGTTGTACATGCAGACCGCCTGTCGGATTATTTGCTGCAGTCTATATGTTGAGTACAATTTATAGTGTTGTGCCTGGTGGGGCTGAAATAAACACATTCATTGAATCCATTCATCTTAAGGTGAGTGATTAACAAAACAGCTAAATGGCACTAATAAAAAGGGACATAGGTTAGCGCCTTCAGAGAAATACTCAGCCATAACTCAGACTTAAATATACAATATGTGAGTAAATCTTCAGAGCTGCAGTTTTTTTCCCTCTGGGTCGGTCAAAGAGGAGGGAGACAGAAAATCAAACAGAGTAACAAATGAATTTGTTCATTTCTTACAACTATTTTCTGTGTTTGAAATCAAATAAATTTGCTGGATGAATGTTGGACCACAAGGTTTTGACTGAAGCCTCGACTTTTGTTGAAAAGCACAAAGATAAAAGCTGTTTTGTTCAATTAAACAATGTGGCAAAAAGGCTAAATGTAGAGTTAGGAGTTTTCAGAGTTTACCACATGATACACATTTTTCAGGACAAACAACATTTTTGTAAAGTCATCTGTTTTAAGTTGCACTGCTTTGTGGCTCATCTTTTATCGGATAAAACATTCTCAAACTGTATTTTATTGGCTTTTAAAATTATTACTTGTCTTTGCTTGTTTAGAGTTTAATGGAATTTAATTTAGTATAAGAAATATCATTGACTTAGGGCTCTTTAGATTCAAGCATAGGAGGCTCAGGGAGAGACTTTTGGCAGAGCTAAATAAAAAATATGTATATATTAGCGGTTTCATTTTGTAAACCATGAGCTTATTTTGATAATAAGAATAATGAACTATGACTTTAAAGACATTTTGATATATGAACTGAACTTTGAGCCAATTAATCTTTTTAAGTGTTCATTTATTTAGTGTGATTTCGCAAGACACTGTGAATTTGTCAAATTTTTTATGCCCCGACACCACCACCACTAAATAAAAAGGTTACTAAGGGCAGTTCATTTTTCTTTTCAACACGCTAAACCAGCAGTTGTACCTCTCTGTCTCAAGTATTCACTCAACTTTTAGCTCTAAATTTGGACTCCATCCTCTTCTTTGTGCTCTAAGCCTACTTGCTTGGTGCGTATGCTTTGTCAGTCTATAGATTGGGGCTATGAATCAATATTAAAGCAGGTTTTCAAATATTTTTGATTTCAATTTTATGTTATTTTTAATATCCATGTGATGAGCTGTAAAATTGTTCACCACACAACCCAAACGATGAAGAATTGAAGTTTCAGTTGCTTCATGAAGTTATTTTCATATTTACTCAAGTGAAAGTACGTTATATAGCATCAGACAGTTGTAATCAGAATATGGAATATAGCTGTAATGAAGAATATGGACTTAGATGCATTTAGAAGCTATCAATCACTGCAAAATCCATTAAATTAGGTCAGCAGTACAACTTCTTGGGTTCCTGAAAGTGTAGATGCATCCACAGTACCTGTGAACTCATCTACATAATTATATTTTGTAATTTTTTTGCATTTTAATTGAAAGATTTTGCCAATTACACTCTGACCTATATATATTTGATCAAAATTTCCTCATGGTTTCACTTATTTGTGTAATCTTCTGAATAACGACTTCTCTTTCTACAGTTTCCAGGAACCTGTAAACAGAAATAAAAACGACAGTCCTTTAAAAAAACCAGAGGAAATTTTAACAAGAAGGCGCTGATAAATTGTGAATTCACTGTCTGTACTCCAGAAAGTTGTGTCCTATTCAGCGCCTGCTGGTAAAACGGGCCAGGACACAGCTGACTGTGTGTGAGAGAAAGCCCTGAGGAAGCTGGGGAGACTCATAGATCTTGTGACACAGTACCCACCAGGGCTCCCAGAGTCCAGAATTAGGTTTCTAGATTAACTTTCAGGGCCTATTTGGTTACAACATGGCAAAAAATTATTTAAAAATAGTTGGAGCTGTCTTTTAAAAATGAGGGCAGACTATAAGTGCACACCTGTTGGAGATAATCTTCCAGGTGAAAACATTCAAAAACTACATTTGCACAGAAGTAAACTCTTGTATGCCTACAGTGAACTGATTCTTTGTGCTAGTGTGTAATTCCAGGATACGCATTATGAAATGGAATAAAGATCAATGATAAATTTTAGATCTGCAGCATGTTTTCAGGGTAAACTCAGAGATTTGATATAGAAAGGCGTACCTGATAATGCTCATCTCCTTGAGCAGTGCAGCTCCAGACTCACTTGACGTTTGAGCCTCTTCAGTTCACACAGAGGCCATGTTCTCCTCACACACTAAGGAAACTGCAGAGCCAAGATCAACCTCTCAGAAAGTTTTTTACGCTCTGATCCCGCCCGCTGCCCTCCCACTCTGACCTGATCAATGCCCAGTGTTCAACAAGCAGCCACAGCTAAACCTCTATCTGTTCTCAGTGTGAGCGAGGATCACATCCCCACTGGAGAAAAATGTAAAAACCGCTTGCTGAAGAGGTGTTTCCATTCACTTTGACAGGCAGCTCCAGGGTCCAGTGAGGATGCAGGTTAGTCTAACATGTCAGGGTGCTCTAAATATAATTCACAGAGAAGGGAGTGGCCTTGTTGTCACTCTCAGGGTGATCTGACCCCTGACTGTGTGGAGAAGCGTCAGACTCTAAGGAGTCTTCCTTTTAGTGCTGAACTATGCAACAAGTTCCTGCTTATTTGGTGACCATCAATGATAATGCATGCAGAGAAAGATCTTTAACCATGATCCTGATCTTCACACTGGGTTGTATGAAGCTCTTTATTCTTTGTGTCATGTTAAGGTTCACATTTCTGTGTACAAAAATGCATTTTTGTGCAACTGCTGCTGCTCTTCAGCTTGAAATTCCCATCAAAAAACATATAAACAATTGCAGAACATTTTAAATTCTGTATTTGTTTCTCTGTTTATATGTTTTTATTTCTCTAACCCTTTTTGCATCTCCCTCAGCCCATCCTCTCACAGCAGATGGCCGTTTTCTAATGAGTCTGGTTCTGCTTGAGGTGTCTGCCAATTAAAAAAAAGCTTTTTCTTAAATCTGCTGCCTAACGTTGCACTTATTCAGAGAGGATTTATGTTGCCTCTTAGCAAGTAATTTAACAAAGATTACATCTAGATCTACATCTTCTGAAAAAGTGCCCTGAGATAACTTTTGCCATGATTTGGTTTTATAAAACAAACACTGACTGATTGATATTACATTTTTATGTGTTTGTACACTTTTAAAAGCGGTGATAGCCTCTGGCTCTTAAAAGTGGTGTTAATGGGTGTTTCTGAAAAAGATATTACTTTAAAGCTCCTGTGAGGAATTTTTAGTTTGTGTAAATGTTGGCGCCCCCTGTGGACGAAGCATTGTTTATGTTGAAATTGTGAAAACAGGTTTGTCTCTTTGGCTGCTCAGCTGACACCCTTTTGCACCTGTATCTAACATTGAAAATAAAGATAAACAAAGCATTGATCTTTTCCCTTTTGTTCTTGTTTGCATTAAGATATTATGTAGAGGCTTCAGTGTGAATCCCAGTCTTTTTCATTAATATCAAAAACTCCTTACAGTAGCTTTAAAGTCTTTAATAACACCTCTCCAACATCTCTCCCTTCATGGGCAAAACACCTTACATCAGCCTGCCCTGCTTACATCATTCAGTGCTGTGTGAATGGTCTTAGGTAAACTGACAGGTACTTTTAATAGCAGCCTCTGACATCAGTGTGTGAATGTGTGATTAATGGATTAATGTGACATGTTACACAGTCTGAAGTTTTACCCTCGATTTTAAAAATGCTTACATCTTGTGCCAAATACCATACTGCTAATATATTTACATATTTGTAAAAATGATCATAACATGTCTGATTATAAAAAGAAAACTGGGTTTGTGAAGGGTTTGGCAACCCCTGTTAAAGAGCTTTATGTCTATTGTTTTGGCTTATCTCGTCCTGTTTTATTTTCACTACCATAAAATCCCACCCTGCTTCCTAAAAGTCAGGTTTTTCACTTTTCATGAATCTTTGCGGCAGCAAATGTAACAAAACAAACGCTCTTTTGATAGCAAACTGTTGATAACCCCACCTGACATTTACCAGATGACAGCAGTCAAAGGGCACTAAACGAAACTAGTGCATATAGAGATAATAGTGTCATTGAATGTCTGCATGCCTTTTCATATTATAAAGAAGTCTCAGTTTGTTTGAAAACCAGCTAAACACTCAAATTTCAAATATGACTTGAATCTTAAATTTGCAGGGGGAAAAAATCACACAATATTTCGATAAATGTGAATTGTCTCATTATAAAAAAGCTGCTTGACACCATTTCTAAACCAGACTATTTCTCCTCTACTAAATGATTTAATAGCTGAGCAAGGTGAGCTGACTTTTTAAAAGCCTTTGAGTTGAAAAAGACTCCAAATTTTAGCTTCTTAGCTTTTCTGAATTAAAAAAAAAAAGTTTTTCTGGTCTTAAATGCTCTTTAACTCAAACAGACCTTCATTTTTGGTCCAGTGCTGCCAATGGGCTTCCTGTAGATCGAAGCTCTAAAGATGGCGTGTTGACACCTTCCCTAAAAAGATGAGTGTCCTCATGCCTGCTCACAGGTTCAGCTGTCCCCCGGGTCAACCATTGTCACCTACACATTGACCCCATAGGTGGAGAGGCTATTGATAACCCAAACTCTGCACCCTGGCCTTCAGGAAAAGGACTTAATCACACTGAGACGTTTCCTCACAGGTGGCATCACGGCTCCGAGCTGCTGTCTGCTAAACATGTTGACACTAAATGTGTGATGAAGCTTCATTCGCGTTATTTTGTTTTCTCCCAATCACACTGCTGACAGCTGAGAAGAATCACAGAGAGACACAGCTTAATCTCTCCCAGCAGAAAACTGCTTCTCTTTGGTGATTTATGGCATTACACAGAGCAGACCTACTAGATAATCTAGGGAACCACAAATACTCTGCACCAAATGTATGCAAATAGATCTTTTTCTTTGGAAAGCTTGTAAAAAATGCACAAAACACAAAGTCTGGTTGGTTTTATTCTACTGTGTACAGACATCCAGCAAAATTAACTAATTTACATGTGGTGTTTAGCATGAGTGAGAATTTGTTGAGGAAAAATATAATTCAAGTTTCTTGTAAGTTGTAACTTTTTAAATCTGAAGGCACCATTTATGTAACCAGCAAAACAAAAAAGTGGCATCATTTAACACAAAAATATACAACATGTTTTAGTTGAACATTTTGATAACATCAACTGGAGGTCTATTAAACCCAGTTTGAGGTGATTTAGGCAGATCCATGGCATTTGGCATCATATTTGACGAATACGATAGACTGTTATGAATTTTAATCTCCCAATGATCAATACACTGTATTATTAAAAGCACACTTTAATGGGATGATCTTGTGATTTTGGAATGCCTTTCAACATTTAAAGCTCCTATGAGGAGTTTTTTGACATTAGTAAAATTCACTGGATTTCACATGGATGCCATTTTCTGACCTACAAAAACAGACAAGCCCATCAGTGACAAGATTTATGATTTTGAATCATAATCTTTAATGCCTGAAACCAGTGGGAGGGGGTAGGTGTAGGTGTATTTTTACAATTCGCCCCCTAAAATATTTTAGTTAAAATAAATAAATAAATGAAGTCCACAGAACGAGATTTTTGGTAGAAAACATTAGCTAAATATGTAGAGGACAAGATTAGTAAAGTTTGCTGTCCACTGGGGGAGCAAAAATTGGAACAAACCAAAAGTTCCTCACAGGAGCTTTCATGTTTCTGTTTCAAGGCCAAAAACTTTTTTAAAAATCTTTTCACAGAAGCCAAAAACAGCCATGTTTGCAATTATTTTGGTGAAACGTTTTCTAAATAGACCTATAACTTAAATTTTCTCCTCCCAAGCAGCTGTTATTATGAATTAACATGAGATTTCAGGATACAACTTTCCAAAAAGAAGATTTCAAGCACCAGTCATTTTTGTCTCCCACACTGTTTTGTAGTTATCTGAGATGAGTCTTATGTGGTCTTATATCAGTCTTACATGAAGCAGTTTTAACATGTCAGTACAAAGCGATGCTTTTGTCCTTTTCCCTCTTGGCGATTCTTCAAATCATTTCATCAGTCGGTTGTGAACACTTTGTGTATTACACATGGGTGGGAAATATATTGTTCCTCTCACATGGGCGTAATCTGATCATCAACCACTGCCTTATCCTCATGACACTGAATTATTATTTTCTGGATCAAAGATCATTTTTATTTTTGTGTGTTTTTTGTTAGAAGGAACAGAGCTTTTGTTGGATCCAAGCCCCCATAGTCGAGTCTCCAGCATTGTTCAAATGCTTGCTGCAGGCTTTCCCCACCAAGAAGACCACCTCTGCAATATTAAGCAGAATACAGACCCCTGATACAGCCAGCATGAACACAGTGAAGACCGTCTTCTCTGTTGGCCTTGACACAAAGCAGTCCACCGTGTTTGGACAGGGGTATGAGTCACACTTCACCAGCCGGATCATCTTGTACCCGGGATAGATCATGTAAAACAAATACATGAAGGTGACCTCAAAGACCAGACGGAACAACAGACTAATGACGTACGTCCACCACAGAGCACCTGTGATTTTCATCTTCTGGGTCTTTATCTGTTCCAGGTCTTTGGGGTTGGTCCGCCCTGACAGTTTGTACAGCCTCTTGTCGACATGGCGGCGATGGGCCACATGCATGGCCACCAGCAGGGCTGGAGTGGAGACCAGAATGAGCTGGAGGGCCCACAGGCGGATGTGGGAAATGGGGAAAAAGTGGTCGTAGCAGACGCTGTTGCAGCCTGGCTGCTGGGTGTTGCAGGTGAAGCCGGACTTCTCATCGCCCCACACACTCTCAGCTGCCACCACCAGAACCAAGATCCGGAAAATGAAGAGGACAGAGAGCCAGATACGACCGATACCTGTGGAGTGTCTGTTCACACCGCTGATGACAGCATAAAAGGACGCCCAGTTCATCTTTGGTTCCGGGTCTGATGGAGAAAATGCAAAAACAGTATCAGAGGGTCAACATCACTGAGCATTATTTTAGTTTTTTTTTTTTATTTTGTTGGTTTAAGGTAGCTTTATCGTCAATTCTGCAATATTTGTAACACATACAGAGGATTAAAATTGTTACTCAAGGGCCAATGGTGCTACGGTATAAAAACAGTCAAAATTCAGTGTAAAAATATCAAGTTTAAAAGAATAATCAAATAAAAATATCAAGGAGAAAAGAAAACATTTGTGCAAAAATCATTAGAAAATATAATTCAACATGCAGCAGTTACAAAAAAAAACTATGTGGCATAAATGCCACCATTTTCAGGATTTTGATTGAAAATCTGAGTATAAATATGAGAATTTTGCACAAGTAACAAACATTTAACTTGAAACTTTTCTAACTTAGTTTATTCTTGTGACAAGAAACTTAAAAGCAGTAATGTCTGTAATTTATATAAACCTTGTGGCAAAATCAAGGTTTGTTTGAATCTTTCATTAGTGCGGTATCCATGATAACCTGCTTGTTCAAACCAGAGCGCTCTGTATCCTCAGAGATCTTAGCAGATCCTGACCCCAAAAACTGTTAAATAAGACCCTAAAATAACTTAAATGTTACCGCAGTAAATCTTCTTTTAAGCCTCTAGAGCATGTCGAGTTGACAAACTGCCGTGAGTCACCCGACAAACCTAGTCACTGTATTTCACATGAATCAAATCCCAAAATCCCCAACCAAAACTGTTCAAACCCTGATTTCTTTTCTAAATGTTAACAGCTGAGATAGCGCTCCTGAAAAAAAAAAAACTTGACTGATGATCTTTTTTTGTTTGTAGTTTTTATGGTATCACCTTTAGATTAGTTAGAGTCTGGTTAAATTTAGCTGAGTAGATCTATTTAACAAAATCAAAAAGATGTAAATTCCCACATACATTTTCAAAAACTAAATATTCAATAGCAATATTTAGTCCTAGACCCTCATCAATCAGATAAAATGTTTCTAATAGTCGTTAATTTATTTCTGCAGGTTAGAGTATGTGCAGAAGTTTGCATCTTCTTTATCACCTCGCCCCTCTTTTTAGCTTCTGTCCTTTGGAATAAACAAAATGAAATAAACCTTTTTGCTGTTTTTCAATATCACAAATCAATCACTGTTTTCTTATTCACTATGCGTAACAAACAGATGATGGTTTTTGTGATGAAAATTAAATCCTTTTTATCCTTCACAGTTATTTTAAGCACTCATACCTGACTGTTTCAGAGGATGATGAAATTACTGACAACAACAAACATATCGTAATAAATCTATCGAGTCAATTTCCTTAAGCAGGGAGATGAATAGAGTGTATGCTGCGTTATAATTTGACACTAAATCCATTTTAAAAGCAAGTGAGCTTATCTCGATAGAGTAAAAGAAAAAAGTAAAAGTTCTCATAAAAAAATATAATTATTAATATTATTATCATTCTTATTTTTTATCAAGTCTTGATTTGATTTCTGGTCGACTTGACATCCAAAATGTTTCATCTCCCCTGCACTAAATGTAACTGGTTTTCTTCTGTCTCCAGCATGTTTGAATTTCCCGTCCAAGTGTAAATGTCAGAGTTGTTACCCGGCTCAGCTGGAGGTGTAAGAGGCATAGGAGGCAGCGGAGAGGACAATGTTGACCTGCTGGTTTGGCATGGATGGGAATCCAGAGAAGAAGAAGAGCCTCTCTGCCTCCCTCTGCAGCTGGCAGGCCACTTAAGAGTGAAACACTGAAGTCTGGCACCATGTGTCATGTGACATGCCCTCACCAGTCACCATGGTGGAGCATGCAAAGTGGGCAACTGCACCTCAACTAACGGAGTCTGCATTACGGCTCTGGTTTCAGCAGGGGAATAACGTGTGTATTAAAAGTGTTTTGATCTGCTTTAAAGATAGAATCATCTAAATCTGATACTGATGATAATTCGGAGAATTTGAACTTGACAAAATCTACTAGAAGATCAGCTTTCTGTTTAGTTCTGACTGAGTGCAAACAAGTTTATACCTGCTAGATAAGGCAGTAGGATTTTGTTAATCTTCTTGCTCCAGTGATACATTTTTGTCTGGCTGTCTATTCTTTGCTGCAGAAACTCTTAACAGTCAAGTTTAGAAAAACAAAACAGAAAAACAAAAGATCATTTGAACCTTTAGAAATCCCTACGGACAAACTGACATCACCATTTTCTTTATCTCACCAAATTGTTGCAAAAATGAGACTTACCTTCAGCTTTAGTTTGAAAAAGTGAAACACATCCAGAATCATTTGCAGTGCCAGATTTTTTTCCTCAATCTGGACGTCACTGTGAACAAGAGTATCAGCGCACCATGACTTTGCATTGCTAATGATTTCTCTCACACTAGCCACTGCCCTGCACTGGAGAGGTCATATGCCTCCGGGCGCCATATTTGCATACAATAGGCCCATTTAGAGACGCCAAACAAACAGCTTCAGAGTTCAGATCAAACGCTTAAATTCGTGCCCGGCTGAGGAATCTGTGTGGGGATAGCTGTCTGTCCTCTCGTCCTCTTTGTGCTGCCATCTGCAGAGGGAGTGGAGGGTGTTCGTGACGCAATGTGGAGTAAAATCATGAAGGATTGAAACAAAGAATGACCCATGAAATCTAAAGATAAGAAAGGACAAGGCACTATTATCGTAACTGGACGTCTCCCATCTGGTTTTCCTCCCTAACATTTACGTCTACACTATTGCTGAAACGCCCAATCTTTAACCACTAATACTGTCTGCTTACAATGAACTCTGAAACAAGCAGTTTGATGGGATAAAACTCTTGATTTTTAAAGCCTCCTTGGCTCACTTTTTACACATTGAGGTGTTTAACACAACATAAGTTTATGTTTACTTTTGGAAAGTCACCTAAAATTATAATATTTGACACTTCTTGCTCAAATTGCTGAATTCAGACAGTGTAGGTGGTTCCAGGCCATAGACGGTATATACTATGGACAACTTGATTCCGCCTTCTGCCAGTATACAGATTTGAAGCCAAAAAGCTCTCGGTATTTCTGCGATTTTTCTCCACTTCCTGAAACCAACATTGCTCAGTAGTGTTGTACGCGCTCCACCATTTACACAGTAGCATTGTACGCATTTGGTCGCACAGAGTCGCTGTGATGACGCTCAGCTCGAACAGCGTATCACCCTGGTGAGCTACGCAATCTTCGTACGCCCATAGGCCGTATCAAGTGCCAATCATAGAAAACACGAACCCCCAAATAAGTTTTAAAAATGGAGCTGTTACAACAACTACATGTCAACATTGCAACCAGGAGGGAGAAACATTTCTATTCTGTGTAATGATTTTCTAAAGTTTGTCCACAGCCCCATAAGTATGGCTGGCTGAGGCGGGATTCATGACCTATACTGCAGCCCATCACCAGAGGGTGCTGTTCTCAGAGTGTCTTCACCCAGAGAGGAGGCAGACTCTGTCCATTCTATATACAGTCTATGTTTCAGGCGCAGGAATGGTTATTAAAATATCACTAAGCAGTGGTCAAGCTAATATATGAAGCTTGAACATTACAATCTAATGAAACTAGATACAACAATTAAGGCACATCTGTTCAACAGCTGCAATCAGTATGCAACACTGAACTCAGATAGCATAAGCAGCAGACAAGACTGATTTTAGGTTACCTACCTCTAATAAACCAGAACTGATAATTTCATTAAGCTGTAATAATAGCTGAGAGGGAAATACCACAGTGACTTTTTCATGCTCTTTGCAGAAGAAGAGTTCCTTGTTCATTTTTTTGGGAGATGCTTTACCTCTGAGTCACACATTTTCACAGTCTGACATTTTCAAAAGGATTAAAGACTGAGACACAACAAACACAAGTCTCACCATTTTAAAGGAGGAAATAGGAAGAGTTAGATCCTGCAGTATCTGGCTCTGCTTTCCCCACACCCTTTCTCTCTATTTTCATTTCCTTTTTCAGGTGTGGGTATGGGTGTAACTTGAAGATACACCTGCTCAATGTACTGATTCTCAGTGCCCATACACACCCACCTATTTAATGTATGCTGGGACATTCAGGACCACGTGTTACGTCCCTTGGTTAATCGTAGTGAAGGTCCCTTTTTTTCCTACTCTTTTGAATCAAATCTTGTTCCCTTGTGTGCATTCTAACATTTATTTTCTAGTGTTCCTTGTCTGCCTGACCTTTGAGCCGCTTCAAGGAACGTTCTGTTTATGTGGACTTTGTTGCCCCCTGTGGACAATGTGTCAACTATTATTTACAATGTTAATAAGACATTTAACAGATGCTTTTGTCCAAAGTGATGTACATTCAAGAGCAAGAACAACACAAGCAAAGATCTAGACAAGAAGTCTAGATCTAGCCAGGTACTGCCATGCAATGTTAAAGGGAATGCACATAGGGTATAAAAAGATTTTTATTTTTAAGTAGACAACAATGAAGCAACCAATAACCAATGTGAGATTCCTCATCCTCACCATCAATTGAATTGTCTTCACAACAAATAATTACCAAAGTACGAAGTGCAGGGACGCTTACAAAGAGCTGAGCACAAAAATCCCAGGAGTGCTGTATAGCAGGACAGTGCGGGCCAACTGTAGCTGGAAGACTCATTCTACCACCAGGGACAATAGTGGATAATAGTCTAGCTAAGTGCAGAGTGTTCTTCAAAGAGTTGGGTCTTCAGCTTTCTTTTGAAAGTAGAGAGGCATGCAAGAGCCCCAATCTAACTTCCAATACAGAGGTAGAGTACATAGCAAGTCATGCAGAGTAGGATTAAAATGCTCACACTGGCCATTACCAGCTGGATCTTTCAAAGCCGCAGGTAGGAGTAGCAGGAGAACAGTTTAAGCACCATCAGGTCAGAAGACCTGACAATAAAGGTCCTTCACCAACCGGTCCCATTGACGGAGCAGTGCTAAGGCAGTCTGTGACAGCTGCTTGCACTGTTCCCAGTTTGGGCACTGCTTCTGTCACCAGAAGGCCCACAACTCAAAAAACAGGGTCTGTCTGTTGAAGCAGACCAATGTCAGAAGGTGAACAATAGGGCAGAGTTGTAACTGTGGTTTGTGTAGCTCCAGTCTGCCATGCCTTGAGAGCTTGCTGCAAGAGCCCTGGGATAGAGTTACCAGGGAGCATGGCCTCCATATCTGGTGGTTCAGGTGGGTAATGCCTGGTTGATAATTGATTTCAAAGTTGAATACAGTTAGCTGGGCAGTTTCTTGCTGCTCAGTGGCTCCAAACTTGGCCTGGCATGACAAATGGCTCAGCAGATTGTTGTCTGTACAGACAACACACTCCACCTGAGGGCCAAGAACTCCAAATTCATGTTGTACTCAGTGGGCCTCAAGCCTCTGCTAGCAAAAACAAAAGGCCTCACCTTGCCACCTTGTTCTTGTGACAACACTGCGCTGAGACCCCTGTGGATGGCGTCAACCTCCAGAATGAATTGGAGGTAAAAGTCTGCATAAGCCAATGCTGGCGAAGAACCTTGGCTTCCAGTGGACTTTCTCTTAAGTCAAGTTTAGGAACCAGTGTCAGGGGAGGAATAAGATTGGGTTGTTAAACATGATCCCGGTTGCAGGCCTGGCCCAACCAGGCAAGACCTTGGTGTTAAGTTCTTGTTGTTTGTCCATTGTCAGTTCTTCTTGAAGACAGAATAAAGACCAGAAAGAAAATGTTTTTCACTTTTTGTGTCATGTACCCTACTCAAAGTTGATCCTTAATGTTATGATAGCATGCCACTTGGTCCAAGGACCTGTGAATTAAAGCCAAACTCCCTCACAATAACATAGCTTTGTAAGCTGTGTAAGAGGAAACTCTGATAAACATTGTGAAATGCCATTCATAGCAATTGTCTTTTTAATTTCTGTTTATTTTTAAATTATCTTCTTCCTCTCTTCCTCCTCCTCCTTCTTCTTCCTTCACTCTCCCAGTCTCATCCTTCATCTTTCCCTGCCTCAACATTGCTCTCACCTTGCTCTGGAATCGAACCCAGGACCATGTCACTGACAGTTGGCAGTTTTAAGATTGCCTAATAGTGCCTCCTTTTTTGGACTTATGGACCAAATTTAAGGAAGAAGCATTTTTAAACACAAGCGACTGGGATCAACATAATTAAATGTCCTAAAGAGGAAAAATACATGTCAAGGGGAGGGTTGTCAATATTAAATACATTTGATCTAGACAAAACAAGGTTGGATTACCTAAGGCATCATTAACTCTTGCTTTTCCTCTTGAAGTTGCTGAGGATTCAGAAACAATGGAAACATAACACAAATTGAAAAATTACCCAGAAACTGTATGAGAGTTATACGTTTGTGAATTACCATGACCAACGTCTGCAACACTGGACCCTTATTGTGAAATTATGGTTAAAGCAAGGTTCAGGTTATAATATCTCAATGAGATGTTTAGATATTAAAGTATTGTTTTGATAAGCATGTCAGTATCCATATGTGTGCTTGTGTCCTCTGGAAACATTCACCTGATCATCACATAAAATCAGTGACATACATCCAGAAACTTATAGAAATAGTTTTCTAATACCTGACATGTACATGACTGGGTAAGTTGCTGTCAGAGAGTTGATGACATGCAGAATGCAAGATTGATTTTCAGTAGTATGATTATGAATATTGTGTCAAGATGACTGATTATCTTTTATAACTGGGCTTTGCTGACATGAACGATGTTTTTCAAAATTTAGGCCAAAAAAAATTTATAATAATAATTGAGCCTTACAGTGGACATTATAATTGAGTTATAGAAGCTTTTTTCAGATTAATTGACAGAGATTAAATCTATGGCACAAATATTAGGGAGCTACAACAAAAGCACAAGAGTGAAACCTAAATTTTGCAGCTTAGGTTATGTAAAAAATTGTCTTTTGACTGACCAAACTCTGTACATGTGTGTCTCCTAGCTTCAATCAAGTCTGAAGGAGGACATCTAGTGGCCATTTAAAGTCACTGCAAGATTTTAGCACATTTATTCACAAGATATGTCACCAGGTTGTGATCAGTATGTTATTCAGTAAAAATATCCATGCATGTATGATAATTAAGTGATCTCAAATGCCTTCTTCCTCTTTTTACCCCTCTGCTTGTTTCACTACAGAATAAGCAAGACGACAATTTACTGTTGATTAATTTTAAACATTTTTCAGTAGTACTGTAATTATGTGCTGTAAAATACTCTACTTACTCTACTCTACTCTAATGCTTATGTAAACTAATGAAGCTGCCTGTGCTGCAAAGACCAGAGAGATTATAGTGCCCTATCTTCAGTGCAGGAACACACCCAGTCACATGCAGGTGTGACCTGTCTCCCTGAGGAGTAATCACATGGTTCTCATGGTATGTTTACGTGTCCACTTATTATGTGTTCTTGCAGGTGAGTCTGACTCACAAGACAACTTAAAGCCCCAGTGAGGAGATTTAAACTGGTTGTGAAACAGATGTATTGATACTGATGTCTGTTTAGCACCTACAAAAGCAAACAAGGCCATCAGCAACAGATGGTTAATTTCTTTAATGCCATGTTTAATCCCTGAAACTGCTGCAAAGGTTATGACCGGATAAATTCCACCACACGGAAGACACAGCCTTTCTCTGCTTGTGTAACAGTTAAAGTTGTTAATGAGTGAGCCATTTGGCTTTTAATAGAAAGCAGGAGGAGATTTTTGCCATAGAAAAACACTTGTGCATGATCAAGGCATGATAAGCAAAGTGGTAATGTATATGTTTGCCCAAAGGGTGAGCCAAAATTTAGTCAAATCAAAAGTTACTTATAGCAGCTTTAAAAGAATATTGCCAGAACAAAGTGCAATAGATTATTTGGTTTATGATCTGTTAAGATATCAGACAGCTGAGCATGTGTGTGTTTTAGATTTGCTTACACTTGAGGTTGCTCCCTTCTGGTTACCACACCTAATTCAAGCTTGAAACTTTGCTCACATTATTGGTGGTGGTGAAATAATTATTCCCCAGCTCTTTGTCCATTAACTGACTGTAAAGGCAGTTTATTTCATAATTTAAATCCCCATGTTTAACAGCTTATTATGGCATATCACTAATTTTAAATGTTCAAAAAGAAATATTGGGTTATATTCTTAATTATCCTTTGGGAGGAGAGCAAAGTTTGAACAAAAATCTTAAAAGTGTGCAGATTTTTGTTCAAGAAATCAGAAAAGAGAAATCATCTTAGACCACTTTCCCCAGACCTATTTTATTTTAATCCAGTGCCTCTTCATCAAAAGAAAATATTCAATTTCTGTGATTAATTTGCCACCTAACTACTTGTTTTGTATGAAGTGTAATTCAATTTTTCTTAGTGTAAGCACAGTTCAGTTTTGATTTAACATAAATCTTATCTTATTTCGTAATCTTTTTGTAGTTTTGTCTTCATAGTATAAATCTGGGGTAACAACAGTAAATGTATTTTATTGTATTTTATTTTATTTTAGTATTATTACTTAGTTTAGGTTTTTAACGAGTACAGAAACCCTAATCTACAAATTTCCGACGGCAATTGAAAGCACCACCTTCAGCACAATTGGTCCAACTGTGCAGCAGCCCCTTTAAGAACCTCCTGGGTGTGGAAAGGAGGGAGTTTTTAGTGAGTCCCCGGCCAGTTGGATTCGTCCACCTCTTATTTTGGTACTCTCAACACGGCGCCTTTGGCATTAAAATTTAACTGTTTTTTTACTTCTATAATACATTTGCTGTTACAGAAATATATGTGCATATGTTTTAGCGGGTTTTACCATAGCTTGCCGTCAGCTGAGATCAAAGTGAGGTGAAGGAAACGAGGAGGTGTCATGAAGGTCTGAAATGTTTCGGAATGGGACGCGTCCGAAAGGATTCAAGCTGCTCTTCTAATCACGACGTTGCAACAAGGAAAAAGTGTCAAAGAGGGGAAGGATACAATTAAATTTCAGTTTCGGGAGCGCGTCAGCAGAGCTAAAGGAGGAGGTGGATTTCAACCTGCTCCTCGTCAGTGTTTGGTTCACTTTAACGTGAACAGCAGCTGCCGCAGGCTCCCACGGACACCACGGTTTGTGCTCCTCTGGGCAGATGAGAGTGGGGCAGCGATGAACAATGTGCGGTAGACGAGCGTAGGCTGCGTGGCTCACTAAAACAAACTCACTGTCCCCATTGTCTAAAAACCCGGCCGTCCAGAAACATGGGGCATCCTCCTCTGGAGTTCAGTGACTGCTATCTGGACAGTCCGGACTTCAGGGAGACTCTCAAGTGTTATGAAGTGGAACTGGAGAGGACCAGCAAATTTCTCAAAGAGTTGATAAAAGATGGCAACAGTGTGATCACTGCAATCAAGGGTAAGCATGCTTCCGTCTAATCTCTCAGTTTTAGGTCACAGTGGTACAGTGAAGGGGGTTGACAGAGGGCCAGCATCATTGGGGCCTTTCAAAAGGCCTGCTGGATCATTGTGGGTGGCTGTGGGGGAGCACATTGAGGGAGGTGCAAGTGAGGCTGCTCTGAAAGGGACAGATATCTGGTGCAGATGTGCAGCTTCCAAACATCAACACAGCTGTCCTCTCCTACAGGGTTCAAATCTATCCGTGTGAGATTGAGCACAGTCCATCTGCTGCTAGTTGTAGATTGGGACCAGTCCATCAGATAGTATGGACCACAGCCAGTGACAGTGACAGCAGCACACTGCAACATTGTACATTCAGGTCACTATGGTTTCTAAGTTTGGATTAACTCACCCAGATATTATTCTGTGCTTCAAATCAGCAGTGACAGGCTTTTTGACCTCGGAAAACAGAACCAGTCATTGTAGGTGCTGCAGCGTGCTGAGGGTCCCACTGTATATTCAGCTCAGATAATAGGCCGAGGTCACGAGTGCATGGTGCACCAAGACATATTCACGAAGGTCACAATTTTATCCCACTTGTTGATCATCAGGATTCTTTGTGTGTGTACGGTTTATCTTTTAAATCCTTATCAAGCTTTAAATATCTTTGAATATGCACATGTTTACAAGAATCACAAAGTGAGCACCGAAAATAACTTCAGAAATTAAAGAAAGGATTTAATCTATGTTTAAAAAAAGCAAAGTTCCACAAGCAAAATGCCCGCTAGTATTGATCTGACACACTGTTTTGATTATAAATCCAAATATAGCAGATGATATATACTACATACGGCCCACTGATGTGCTCCTGAACACTGCCAAGAATCATTTTTCCTTCCTATCACAAAATGCAAGGTAGTAACTGTGAGTTGTGCTTAAATTAAGGAGGGCTGGGTTGGATGTATATAAGTTGCTGTGTGAGTTGTTGGGACTCTGTGTATTTATCTAAATGACCCACATTTTCTCCAAACAGGTTACTCTCTGGCTGTACAGAAGTTTTCCCAGACTCTCGGCATGTTCCAGTTCGACGTCATCGGTGATTCCCTGACAGACGATGAGATTAACATTGGTATGCTAAAACTCACACACACATTCACTCACTCAGACAGTCTTTTAAACTGTGTTTGAAGAATTTAAAGGACTTTTCAGGCTTGATCCAGCAGAGGTTTCAGTTTACTAACAGATACATAACAGTTTATGTCAGATTATGTTTCCTCTGCTTGACCTCAGTGGAAAAGGACATTGTTGGCAGCTACTTGTTAATTCCTCAGAATCTTAAGTGTGAGGGATTTGGAAACGAAAGTATTTGGAAAATCACAAGCTGGTACCCTTGAGTTTGATTACAAGTGTGTCCAAATGGAAGCGGGAAATCCCATCATCATTAGGTCTGTTTTGTTGGAAACACTGGGATAGGTTTCATTTTTAAAAACCCCCCGTTGTGTTTCCTGTGTCAGACCATACGATAAGACCTAACTCTCTTTATCATCTTTGTATTTGCATCCGCAGCTCAGTCGTTCCAGGAGTTTGCAGGACTCCTGCAGGAAGTGGAGCACGACAGGATGATGCTGGTGGGTTATCAACTTCCTCCACGCTCACTCCGCATCCTATTTGACTGTTGAGGAGCTGTTAGAAACCAAATTAACACATCCTGAGCTGGAAATGGCAGCAATTAAGGAGGAAACCCTTGGCACACTCTGTTACAGATGGATTACTTTGAGTTTATATTAAAAAATCCACACCCTACTTTGTATTTTAGAGATCCAACCTGTGTCCGGTAACTGACGGACTAGAACACACCTTCATATTGTGTGTGTGAGAGAGGGAGTGTGTACCATTGCGTGTGCGCTCCTGTTTAGAAGAAGTCAGTTTATTTACTCTCAGTTCCTCTCATGGCTTTCTTGTTCCCTGTTTATATTTTTCCCCTGTTTCAATCTATTCTGCTGCAGTTATTATTACACTTACTTACATTTTGCATATCTGATAAATTCATCAGATAGAACTTAATTATCTGCACGTTTCATTTCATCTGACCAAGCGTAACTATTTGAATTTTAATAACAGATTCCCTCAGAGCTCTTGTTTTTGCTGAGCCAGGTAAACTCAAATACAAATCTAACCTTCTTCATTTCATCGTCTTGGCTTCCGCTTCAACAATCCAGTCGTGTCATTAGAAGCAGCTTTTCCTGTTCGACTGGGTTTACTGGATACTGATCTAATTTTAAAACTGGAGCTCATCAATTTACTGAAGCTCACTGTGGTGTGTAAGAGCAGCTTAAATGACATAAAATATATAGATTTCTTTGTCCCTTTAACATATCTGTACCCACGGATCACTTAACATACTGGAAGAGAGATTCTCATGCACATGGCAGACAATGAAGTGTGTGTTTGTGTATTTATTAGTGCACCTTTGTAAAGATGTTTCATGTTTTTGTCCAGGTTCAGAACGCCTCAGATCTGCTCATCAAGCCACTGGAGAAGTTCAGAAAGGATCAATTAGCGGTAACAAAAGTGAGCGTTTGTTCTTTCTCTTATTTGACATCGATTTAACAGAAAACAAGAAACGTCCCATTTTTGAGACAAGTTCACACCAACAGCAGCTAAACAATGCAAAGTTACAGAGAAGCAGAAGTTTCAATGCTCTGAAAAAGTTTGATATGTATCATGACATCTCTCTGGTTTCTATAAAAATAAAAAAGGAGGCCAGATCTTCATTTCACACATGCCAAGCGGGTTTGCACTTAGACCAAACAGGATGCTTTAAGCCACTTCCCCAAATCTATCTCTAAATCTACATGTGAAACATTAACCACGCCAATAACCCTGATCAAGAGGTCTGCTCTACTTCTCTGGGACATAAACATGTTGAGACAATTTGTTCAAAGACGAGCAGTTTTGTTGTTGAGACCCCCCTGAGTGCACCCTAACTTCGAATTAATTTAACTTTTAAAGAAACAAGAAACTCAGCGGGGTGTCACCTTGATTATTCAACATGACATTTGGTTTCATTTTAGTTCTGCTCCGCTGAACAAAAAAGTTCCCCCTCAGTGTATTTCTCACCAGCTGTTACTTCAAATTTCACTGCTGTGTTGAGTTTCACTCTACACGCAAAGCTGACTATACAGGTTTCAATATGGCATTTAAAAACAAGACATTACAGAACTTACTTAGGAGTTTGTCTACTTTGTCTCACTTTAACAACTCTTAGTAATCTCTAGTTTTTAGAAAATCTGGGTTTTCTCCCTCACAGAAAAGAAGTGGTGGTGCACATTTTCTGGTCAAATCCATTACTTTTCACTGAGATTTTGCGCTGTAGGTGCATTTTCCTGTACAAAACCAATGGATCTTACCTATTTTCTAAATCTGATGCACTTTACTGAGTTTTACACTGACAGTGCTTTCAGTTAGATGTACTTCAACTCCCAGAACAAACTGTTGGTTTGTCAATGTCACTTTTCCCTCACCAATCAGACAAAGCCAAGACGGGAACAGACCTCTGATATTTGCTGTGAATGCCAGAGTGTGATTCCCTCTCATTTTTTGTTTATGTCCATTTCAAAACTATCCTTAAAAAGCAAATGTAAAAATGTAAAGCTGACTTAGTGTTCACTCCTGGAGTGAGGGAGTGCCTTGAGACAACTAATGTAACCGAGCAACTTTTGCAATCAAGGTGTTTCAATTGTATTTATGTGAACTAGTTTTTTGTTTAGATGTGTAATTGTTTTGAGCAGGTTGTCAGTCTGAATACACTGATTTTTTTAAAAGCTGATTGTGATTTAATGAATACCATAATTGTGTCATAATTTCAATGTGCATTTCTTTTGTGCAGGAAAAGAGAAAGAAGTTTGAGAAAGACAGTGAAAAGTATTACTCCCAGGTGGACAAACACTTGAATCTGTCTTCTAAGAAGAAAGAGAGTCAACTACAAGAGGTGAGGTACAAAATATTCACCAGCTCCGGTAATGTTTATACTATATAGGACTGAAGGTGATAAAAAAAAAGCATAATTTCAAAGAATTGTTTCTGTTTACTCCAGGCTGATGAACTCCTGGACAGAGAGCGAGTCAACTTCTACGAGTCCTCCGTGGACTATGTTTATCAGATCCATCAGGTGCAGGACAGGAAGAAGTTTGATGTGGTGGAGCCGGTGAGCACTCCTGTGGTCTCTCTCTCTTCCTCTTTCCTGCCACACGTGTAACACCCAGAATAAACAGAGTTACAACCTGACCACAAAAAAATCCCCTAACAGTCTTGTACTTTCCTTTCTGGCAGCCGCTCATTTGTTTTGGTTTTTTTGGTTTTGCTTTGGATTTGAAGTATGTTATTCCTCCCTTTTGTTGCACAGGTTTTAGCCTTTCTTCACAGTGTTTTAACCCTCAATAACCTGACAGTGGAGATGACTCAGGACTTCATGCCTTACAAGCAAGAACTGCAGCTCAGTTTGCAAAATGTAAGTGTAGTTACCAGCAGTGCCATAGATTTAACTTAATTTAATCAGATAAGGTCTAAAGAGCTGCTGTCTGTTTTCCCTCTAGACAAGAAACCACTATGAGAGCACTCGGGAAGAGATGGAGGAACTGATGAAGAGGATGAAACACCCATCTCAGATCTATAAAATGCACAGTATTCTGCCAATGGAGGGTTATCTGTACTGTCAGGAGAAGTGTAAGTTTGCAAAGTGTTTAAACGTGGGCCTGATACTTTGATGAACCCTCACTGAAAGTCCTGTTTTCTTCTTCAACAGGGGCTTTGGGTATGACATGGGTTAAATATTACTGCAAGTATCACAAAGAAGGGAGGCTGCTGTTCATGGTGCCTTGTGAACAGAAGCCCACAACTAAACAGGTGCTTCACAGATAAAAATATTACATTTTTATGACAAATCAGCGACTTTTAGCCACAGATAGAACATCTGCTTGATCTATTATTACTGTCACACATGTCTCAACCACTTCCCAAATCTGTCTTTTTCTCCGCAGGGCCCCACACAGCTGACACTGAAATCCTGCATCCGCCGGAAGACTGAGTCCATCGACAAGCGCTTCTGCTTTGACGTGGAAACTAATGAGAGGTTAGCGCAAACAAATCTAAACAAAAAAAGGCAAGATGAGGCAACAACAGAGCCTGGTGGGATAAACAGGTTGAGGCGTCAAGTTGAACAGGTGGCTCACAGGGACAAAGTGCGAGGGCTAAATGGACTGTAGCCCAAACGATCCCTGAGCAACAGGCACATGCTGAAAAACAGATGGCAGACACTGTGATTTCACAAATAGGAAAACAACAAGCCCATAATTATACAAGCAGATCATTTAGAACAAAATCAATTTTAATAGATACTTGAGCCATCGGCAGCTCTGTCATTTTCGGGTTTCTTGAAATCTGTGGCAATACTTGGCGACCGGCGAGGTGTTTTTAAAGGTTTAAAAGCGGCTTGAATTATTCATGAAGTGCCTGAAAGAGCGTCTGCATGACAACAATTAGAGCGAACTGAACAACATAATAATAAAGAGCTGCTCCTGGAATAACCCCTGACTGCTGAGACCAGACCCTGACCTTTGACCTTGTCAAAAGGAGAGACAGATCAGTGAGTACTCTCAGAAACAGACAGGGGCAGTGAGGAAAAGTGGCCTTGAAGGCGTCCCATTCAGGTATGCAAGAAAGTTAAGAGATAAATCAGGAAACCATGACGGATTTTCTGCAAATACATGTTTACATCTTCTTTTTTAGAAAGTTAGACTTTCTAAAAAAGGTACGTTTCTGACTAAAATCTACATTGTTAATTAAATACTTTATTTTTGTTTTAAACTCACTAAAACTTTGCCACCTCACACATGTGCTCTTCAATCACATCCAACCTGAACCTGTGTCATATCAGTGATTTTTGAGCACACTGACATGTTTTTTCTATCAAAGATAAAAGTAAAGTCAATCAGTGCAACAAACTTCCAAATAAAACTTTGTGACATTTCAAAAACTGCATTACTATTTTGTTAAGGTTTTATCTGGAGTATCAGTTCTATGTTTTGATGATTCACTTTACTTCTACTTAAGAATAATCTATTTTGTCAACCTCTCATTTAAAGTTTATAGAACAGAAAAAGGGAAATGGAGAGGAGTGTTGAAATGAAACTTGACATTAGTAAACTCATGAAATTACTCAAAGTGATAAATTTGCATATAGGTTTCACATTGGCTTCTGTATCTATTTTTTTTTTGTTTTGCTTTTGCTTTTCGCAAAAGAACCTAAATTATATATTCACTTCAAGTTTGATCGTACTCAGCAGGGCCATAGGTAGTTCACAGGGGGAGCAGTTTTTTGAAAAAAAAAAATGTTTTTATTGTTGCTATCAGCCAAAGTTTATTCTGATTACCGACAAGTTTAAAGTTCAGAAAAAAGTCAAAATCAAACAAAACTTCTCTAACAGCGCTTAACAGGGGATCTCAGAGTCTGCAGGTAAACAGTGTTGGTATGTGGAGTATGGAGAGCTAGCACCGCCAGCATCCAGTCCTCCTCTCAGGTTAACGTCCACATGTGATGTGCTGGTCCCTCATTACGCTGGTGAAGTGGTGGTTACATGCCAGTTTAACCAGACAAAGCCTGTATACAATTTTATTCCCATTTCATGGATCAAAACACCACCAAGTGTGCCATGCTACAGAATGCTGTCACATGTGCTCTTTTACATCTGGGTAGTTTGGCATTTTAACAAGATGGTAAAAAACATTACCTTGATTGACGGCTGAGGCACAGTGTGACCGGCATTTTGGACCTAAAATAATAAAGATAAGATACCGATAATTGATTTAACGGCTTCGCAATGCATTTACTGGCAAAAGTAACAATGCAAGATTATTTAGTTGACAAAATGCACATCTCATGGGGAAATGATTGCGATAATGTTAGGCATTCCTACAGCAGAAGTGCTTATCGTGTTTAAGAGTATGAAAATGAGACTTTGTTAAAATGAGTTTCTTTTCTTATAAACTTGTCAACACAGATATAGATATTTGGTTGTAAAAGTTCATTTACATGCCTCTGATTTATAAGAGTTGTCTTTATCCTGAGCTGATTAGTGCAGTTGGCAGAAGAGCTTCAAACTTGTAGCACAGTTGTCTTATTAACATTTGATTCAGTAGCCTACAAGCTACAAAACTTGGCCTCAGAATTTGTTGTCTTCTGCAGAACACAGATTGCAAGTTTCAGATTGTGGAGTTTCATCATCTTGTCTTGTTCATCTCCGGTCATACCTCCATCATCATCATCTCGTGGGATTTGATCACTTCAAACAGTCTTAAAATCGTTTTTTATTCCTCCTTTCGTGATTTCATCTACCCTGTTTCTAATGAAACTTTTAGTCAGATTTATGAGAGTTTAGACACAATGTTTGGAGAAGACAGAACCACATCCTGTGACTGAATAATTTAGCAACAACCTTTGCTTATTTAATGGCATTAATTTCTGTTTCCATAGAAACACACCAGTCACTTTCCAGGCTCTGTCTGAGGGAGACAGGAAGTTGTGGATGGAGGCCATGGATGGAAAAGAGCCTGTGAGTTGATTTCTCATCTCATCTTTTTGTAGAATATTCTCCTGCTTGATACAAAGTCTGTGAAAACGACTTGACTGCCAAAATATCTGCAGAGCAATGTGGAGTCAGCTAGAAAAGCGACTGTGTTGACACATGAAGCTCCCAAAGCCAGTTTCCATTTCAAACTGCAGAGTTTCTCCAAGTCTGGCCTTTTTTCCCTTCTTTTCTTCTCTTTTGGAAAATTGTCTTTTTAAATATTGGCAGGTACTAAAATATGTAATCACAAGTTTTGAGGAAGAAGCTACAATAAGCAAGTTTGATGTGATTTGCAGATAATTAAAATCCGCCCGTTAAAACCTCATGAGAGAAAACTGGAGCGAGATTTGAGAAGTTTTGCTCTGAATATTTATTTGTATGAGGGGAATAAAACTGCTGCTGTCATCCTTGTTTTGTCATGAGACTCAAAATGTAAGCTCACACTAGTCAAGCAGTCAAGTACAAAAGCAATATCATAGTCTCTGTCTTCATTAAAGGTGTTTGGAAATTCATTTAAACCATTTAGCCATCGCTGTACAACCAAGTGTTAACTCGTGGTTGGCTGAAAGAAGTTCCTACAGCAGGACTGAGTTTGACTGAGTCCCTTGTTGCTCATTAAAATAAGTTTTTGCATAAATGTGGAAAGTTGTGCTGATCTGGAAACAGTCTGTATCAGGCAGCTGTGAGCTGAAGACAAACCAAACTGCCTGAGGTTACTTCTGGTCTTAACAATAGCTCAGCTGCTCAGTTTAGATTTCTAGTCAGGTTTCATTCACATCTAATTCCTCAGCGGAAGGTGTCATGTGAGTTTTAGACAGAACAAACAAACATTGGTCGCTGCAAGAGGATGTGAAAACAACTGTGGGCACTCTTTTCAGCGCCCTTTTTTTGTGCTACTTCCTCAATGACTTCTGTATATCACCAACATTTCACAAGAGCTTTTCCAACAACCCTGTCCAAGTTTTCTCAAGCAGAGATCCACCGCGGGTTACCCCTGCCAGGCCTGCAGAGGCTCTGAGCTTTCAGCCAGGATCAATTCTGTGGTCTTTGAAAATAATCTCCTCTGTCACACTTACTCTGCTACACTCTGGATGCCCCGTAGCGCTCTGTCTAACTGAAATGTAGGTGCAACGCTGCTGCTCCCCCTTCAGTGGTATGGAAACTTTATATATCGGCTTGTGTGGGCCTCACAGCGCAGTATGTTAGTACATGCTGCCACTTGTTTAAACACCGGATAGTTTCTGTGTATTCTGCATCTATTCAGACTTCCTCATGCTCTTGTTGTTCTCATGAGGGAGGAACTTTAATTTGTAAGCTTTTTCCTGTTTTGACATGCTTCTGTACAACATTGATGATGCCAAACAGACAGACGGGCAGCATTGTTGTGCAAAACAGTGTGGGTGGAAGAGATTTACCTTGTGCAGCTGGTATAAAACTGCTTTGTGCAAATGAGGCAATATTGGAAAAGATGAGCAGTTGTAGCCAAGTAGATTTAGACCCCAACTTTCCTGATATATGAAAGTCTTTGACAGGAAAAGCAAACCTTACAATATTTTCCTATATAAGTCACTGAGGAGTCAATCAGAGCTAGAATTTGATGTGTAGTCTGGTTGTTGCAACAAACAAAGGTCCAATGCACTTTCATGCTTTGGGTACAGTGATATGTTTATTAAATGCTGGATTTCATTCCCATCCTGTCATCCACCTTATCACCCAGTCGAAGATTAGAGGATGTCTCTATGGAGTCTCACTGCCAAAGATAATGTGCATTTGACTTCCCTTTCTCAGTTATTGTTAACTCACGAGAAAACAATCAAAAATAAAGCTCAACATGAGTTCAAGCTGAAAACAAAACTTGACTTATTCGTGCGTCATATCGTTCTGTAGTTCTCCAGCACTCTGTCTCCTTCTGCTTTCATGTCATTTAGTCATTTAGTCATTAAGTCACCTTTTAAAGTATTTACCAACCAGGCTTTGCCATGGCTTTCATCAACTAATAAGTTTAGGTAAGAAGAACTTTATTCATCCTCAAAGGGAAATTCAATTGATATATAATCAATATAATTGTCCTGCTGCTGCCGAACTTAAAATCTATTGTCCTCTACTCTCTTTCATTTGGTGTTTCAACTTGTTAAAACTGCCATTGTTGTGCATTTCACAACATTTAAAGTCCATATTAATTATGCAAAGCAATCCTTACATGTTTCTTGATTTGGGCATCACCTGAATGTACTGACACATGTTTAAAGATCTTGACTTTTAGGTTAAATATTTAAATAAATGCTGAACTGCTACATCAGTGTGGTCTGAAACCAGGACTAAGAGGATGTATACAGTCTCTTTGTGCTCATTCTGTGACACACAGTGCATCGTATCGCATTACAAAATATGTGGAGATGCTAACTTCAGTCTGTTGAGCTGCACCTGCACACTTATACGGACTGTATATACTATAGACAACTTGGCTCTGCCTTCTGTTACTATACAAATTTAAAGCCAAATTGCTCCACCACTTGCGCAGTAGCATTGTACCCATTTGGCGGAAGAGTCGCTGTGAAGACACTTTGCTCCAACAGCATATCCCCTGGATGAGTTACACATTCTTCGTACGCCCATAGGCTGTTTCAAGTGTCAGTCACAGAAAAATGAACCCTCTAATAACTTTTAAAATTGAAGCTGCACAGAAAAATGAGGACTGGAGCACAAACCAGTCTTACAGTAACTACATTTCAACATCGCAACCAGGGAGGAGAAAAAATGTATTCTGTGTAATACATTTCTAAAGTTTGTCCACAACTCCATAAGGTTTGCTGGAGGAGGTGGGATTTATGACCTATACTGCAGCCCATCACCAGAGGGTGCTTTTCTCACGGAGGCTTCACCCAGTGAGGATGCATACAACGTCCATTCCATATACGGTCTATGGTGTTAGCTCAAACTCAAAGTACTTAAGGGATATTTTAATCACAAAGTAAAAGTTTTGACTTGTCAGCTGAACTCCCAGAGAGATCAAATGTTCCATTCAAAAGTGCTCTGATGATGTTATTCTCCATCATAGCAGCAGGTGGGAGGAAAAAGTGGCTGTGGCAGCTTAACAACAGTGTGCCTGAAGGGACAAAGTATCACACAACTGAAAAGAATACAACATATCATTCTTAGGCCTCAATTGCATTGTGGGAAATGCATTGGCTATAGTCCACAAAAACAATGTACCATCAATGCAAAACAGTCAGAAGCAAAAAGAGGCTGATACATAAACTGAGAAACTCAAAATCAACTCACTTTCTATTGTACACTTTCACAGTCCAGTCACACACAAGCCCACAATGACCTTGAGACTTGCTTTATGCCCACCACGAACCCAAGCACCCCCTGCTGTTCAGTGTTGGAATTACAAGTGATATGCCCACGGCGTTCTTTAACAGTTTCTCGGAATAATAAAACATAACAAAATTAAAAACCTTGTTTGGCTCCAACAAACCCCTTGATTAACATTCTCCAACATTACTCATTAAGTAAAACACTAAAAACTGGACTAACCAGAAATGTGTAATTTTGCACATCCCCGTAGTTCTTTCGAAAAGTACCACCCTGAGCAGGGACTTTTTGGGGATGAATAACAACCCGTTGAACCGAATCAACTCCCTGGTCTGATGCTTTCAAAGAGTCTATGTCTCCTGGGAAATTTCCTGCTGTGGGGAGCTATAAAGCGTAGCCACAAGCACAGTTTTGATAATGAACTAGTATATTATCATCTATTAAATGCACTGACCATAATCTCAGAGTTTCCTTACATGTAATAAGTTTTCCCCCTGTGGAGCACTAAAAGTACAAACCAGCTGACTGTCCTACACATAAAGGTTCCAGTGTTGGTCTGAGTGGATCTAAGTTCTCTATTCGATACGATGACTTCGGGTTAATGTTCGTCCGACAGAAAACTATCTGTCTGCGTGGAGGTCAGCTAAACTGGTTCGAATTGTTTTAAAAGGATACTGCTTTGTGTCAACTGGTTATGAAACTCGGTAAACAAATATCACTTGTGGAGTTTCTCTTAAAAGATCTATTACCAGCCTTTTTATTGATCACAGATAATGGCATATCACAACATCTTCTACAGTTGTATGCAGACAAAACACAACTCTATATCTTAGTGTCCCCACATGACTGCCTGCTGGAATTTGTGTAATAAGTGGATTAAATAATTGTCATAGGCCTCAAGGAAGGTTGAAACACACCTTTAATTCAGGGCGCCAAAATCTGCAAGCAAAAAGTGTTGGTGTTGTCATGGACTATGATCCAAAAAAATTACCTGCCATATAAAAAACCTAATTAATAGATCAGAATTTGATGATTTTAGTCCAAACAAACCACTGAAAAGTCATTCATAAATAGTTTTAAGCAGGCTAAGCTGTTAAACTGCGGTCCTCTTAGGCGTATCACACTGGTTTCTGCATTGCCCTAGCTCCTTAAGTGTTCACATAGTAAATCCTAAATACCTTACTCTAAATAGTTTAGCACCTGAAAATGTGACTCAAACACATTTATCTTTACTCAGTGTTCCCTGAATCACAGCCAAATAAGATGAAACAGTCTTTGATTTTCTTTGCTACCAAACAGCTTCAGTTTTTACTTCATTTCATCAGGGCTCAAAACATTACTGTTTAAAGCAGCTCTATAATTAACTACATACATAATTTCTTTTTAATCTCTTAAGTGTTTTTGGCTAATTCTGCCTTTTGTTTTGATGCATTTAAAATACAAGCAGCACTTTTTATACATTTATGCCAGTTTTGTTCCAAAGTGAATGATTTCCCAGCTGTTAAAGAGAGATGAATGTTGCCGACTGCTTGCTTCTCTAGCTATACCAACGTTAGTTATGACAGCTGGATAGCAATATACAGCGGTCTGAGGAGCCATAAACAAACCTCAACCAAAAAGCCACTCTATAGCCACAAATAATGCTCAGAACAGCACCTAACTTCATCAACAGAACATATAGGGTCCCAGCCGCAGCACTAGCCACCAATCAGCTTTTTAACTTCGCCTAATTTCTTTAGCAACTCACCTACTCTCTTCCAGCAGCCGCTTGTTTGTAGCAGGACCTTGGGCCAGTCCTTTATGGACTGCTGCGGGGTGACGCAGCTCAAGGAAGAACATTTATGATCATTACTTTATCATTTCCTTGAAGTAATAATCACCATATTAATCATTTTGCACTGCAGACGCGGTAGCTTTTCTGCCTTAGTGTTTTGGTCTGATTGCATTTCCATGAAGAAATGATCAGAAATGTTCTTCCTTGAGCTGCGCCCCCTTTGCAGCGGTCCGTAATGGACTGGCCCGAGGTCTCGCTACAAACAAGCGGCTGCTGGAAGAGAGTAGGTACGTTGCTAAAGAAATTAGGCGAAGTTAAAAAGACGTTTGGTGGCTAGTGCTGTGGCTAGGACCCTATATGTACTGTTGATGAAGTTAGGTGCTGTTCTGAGCATTATTTGTGACTATAGAGTGGCCTTTTGGTTGAGGTTTGTGTTTGGCTCCTCAGATCGCTGTGTATTGCTGTCGTGTGGTCATTACTAAAGTTGGTATAACTAGAGAAGGAAGCGGTCAGCAACATTCATCTCTCGAGGGGGTGTCTAACTCAGTGTTATGGTGTGTTTGACTCTAAATTAATTTTATATCCCTTTAACTTCTATATGTCTGCGCTGGTCACATTCAGATCTCCATTCAGATGATTATAGTGCAGTTTAACCAGAAAGAGCCTACACACAACTTCCTCTACATTTTTTACATCAGGCTACTGCCAAAACACGCTGCATTAGGAGACGCCATCTGTGCTCTCTTACACTCCAATAGTTGAGCATTGGAGCATGATGGCAGTAGCGACTGACCAGAGCTTCAGCTCCTGCTAGTGACAGGTGGCTGCGTAACAGCCTAGACACAACATTTAACCGGCATCTCAGGCCTACAATAATAAAAATATTTGTAATTTGTTTAACTGACTGGTGTTAATTAAGTAAACTGTGTCAAAAGCTGTAGATAAGCTAACTCTCAGGCATTTTGTAGACTAGTAACATAAATTTTCCCTAAATTTGTAAATAACTTCTATCATCTGCTGTTTGTATTTGCTGAAAAAGCCCCCGAACAACCCTTACAGGTGCACCTCTATCTCAGAAATTTAATCCAGTGCAGCAGCTTTGTGTCCTCCTACCATCATCACATACTTTTCCTCCCATTTTCCATTTTAAGAAGCACATTGTGTTCATTAATCATGCTGAGATGTCTGAGCTCAGAAAGATTTTTTTTCCATGTTTCACAGCCTTCAATTTCCTTTCAAATTTTTTTCATTTCAGATCTATCATTCCCCAATCCACAAGCAAGCTGAAAGTAAGTCTGTCACCATTATCTGAGTTTTATTGGTGATTTTATGGGGTGTAGACAGACGCTGTGATGTCTCACTTTCCATCTCATGTCACTGAATGCATCTGACTTATAGTTTTTAAATGATTGATTTCTGTCTAATCTGCCCCTTTTTTACTCCAACAGTGGAAATGAATGAAATTGGATTCAAGTTTGTGCGAAAGTGCATCAACTATATTGACACAAAAGGTAATGTGATCCTATCAGAGAGTTCATCTGTTTTTAGTTCTGTAAGTTGCCCTGAGGGGGGCATAGTTGAGTCGAGGTTACATGTTGACGCCACGCCTGCAGACAGCTCTCACAGTGAGAGAAAAAAAACTCTTTTCAGCCAAACTAGGAGTCTGGGATAATAACAGGTTGCACAGAACTTTAATCATCACATCTTTATCCCTGAGAATCAAAGGTTTCCTGCCTGATATTTGTTCCATTTTTTTTTTTTACCATTTCTAACCAAACAACTAAGTTTTTGGTTGCATTAACACATTTTAATTCTTTGTCAAAAGCAGGATGATTAATGTTTGTGGAATGAGCTACTCTATCTATACACACGATTTGTGACTCAGACAGTCGACCCACTTTATGATTCAAAGAAATGTTAATAATAAGGGAGGAACATCTGTATCCTAAGTCAGGCTCATGCAGGTTCTGAAGAAGGGCATGTGGTACATTTCCACTGCTCTGTATAAGTCCAGGTTACACTCCTCCTTCCTCTCTTTACCTCTCCCTCTCTTCTTTTTCTTCAGGAGTCTCACAGGAAGGAGTGTACAGAACTGTTGGCAGCAACATCCAAGTGCAGAAGCTTATAAACACCTTCTTTGGTAAGGACATAAGCATGTAAACATTTCTGCATCAGCCCATTCACTTTCTTCAACCTCAGTGAACAACAAAACCGGTTTTGTGACTTTGTGTGAGGCCTCTATGTGTGAATGGGAGGGAAACATGCTCTTGAGCGCCCCTGCTCTTGAAGGCTTGCATTGAATTAGTATGAATGTTGAATTGTTTTTTTTCACGAGACAATGGATCATGTGAGTATGCATAGTTTTAAAGGAGGCAACCCAGTCCACAGATTGAGCACTATTTCCACTGTCCCCTCCAGCTCAGTTGAGCTTTTAGAATCTATTAATTGATTGTTTTTGATTTTCCTGAACCCATGTTGAGGTTAAATAGTTTCATAGCATTTCTGGCTGCAGGAGGCTGTTCTCAGTGACCAAAGACTGTGTGAGCCCATAATCCACTCTCAGCCCCACACCAACAGCAGACAAACTCAGTCAGTAATGAACATGGAGAAGTTTTCAGCAGCTGAAGACTTCGATATTTGAATAAATATAAAAATATAAATAAGCTACTGTTCTTTAGACGGGCAATCAGCTTTAAATAATAGATTTCAACTAAATATTTACACGTTTTCATTTCAACTCTCCACAGTAGAAAAAGCTCAGGGGTTACTAATCATATTACCGCTGGCAGGATGATGTAAAGAGGCAGATTTATTTCCTCTCTCTTTTTGCAGCTGATCAAACTTTTTCTTCCCCTTTTTTTGCCACCCACCTCCTGCTGTCACTTTATAAAAAATGTAAAGCAGGGAAACCAAAAACAACACTTTGAATTTAGCAGAGTATAACTGTACCAGTATGCCATGACAGTGCACAACACTTGACACTAAAGAGCCTAACTGAAGTGGAATTTATTGTTTATTATTGGCTCGTTATTGGCATATTGTTGCCAGTGGCATTAGACACTTAATTCATTTTCTAAAATGTCTCATTTTTAATCATTTTGTATTAAATGAATTACAGGCCCTTTGTTGCAAACTTTCACAGCTAGCCAGCTACTTTGAAAAATCACAGTTAAAGCTCCTGTCAGTAACTGTAGGTTTGTGTCAGTTTTAGCGCCCCCTGTGGACAGAGCAGTCTTTGTTTATCTTGTCCTTGACATGTTTCTTACTGCCCTTTGTTTCATATATTTTCAGTCTTTTATGTGTGAAATAAAAAAACATGGCTGTTTTCTTAGCTGCTTGGCTCTCTCCTGCCCCCTCACACCGCTCTATGTCATTTCAGACGACTAAACATGAAACCGTCAATGATGTTGTTGTTTGTTTTTTAATCATAAAATGGCATCAATATGAACTTTATTCTATTTTATCTCTCTCAGGAGCTTGTGGTGTTTTTCAAGGTTTTGTTTTTTAACTGGGAATTTGACATTATAGCATTTCTGATCATTGGATATGTTCTCCTTTTTAGACCCCACAAATCCAGGCGACGTGGATCTCCAAAGCAGTGATTGTGACGTCAAGACCATCACAAGCGCACTTAAGTTTTACCTGAGGTAATTTCATGTGTACAGCACAATGTACTTTGAAATAAATTATCAACCGTTTCTGACATTGCTGTAAAAATCAAATCTCTATTTATGCTCTTTGCTCTCTTGGTCATTAACTAGAATTATGATACAACAAAGAACTACATATCCAGTCCGAAACCCTTCTGAATGGTCTATCATGAGGATTTAGATGATAAATTTATTACAAATGACAAGTAATGCCTTGAGAGGCTGCACACTTCCTAAATGCTTTTTACTGTTTCTTTCTTTAACAAGGGGGGCTGTTTTTTGATTTTTCTGTATTTGACTGGGAGAATTGTGCTGAACTGCTCTTGAACTCTGAGTGTCTGCATTTATCTGCAGGAGTTTGTCTGAACCTTTGATGACCTACAGTCTGCACAGAGACCTCATGTGTGCTGCAAGTAAGTCTTTTTTTAGGAGATATCCATCATTAAGAGCTGTCACTATTTTTGCCCTTTTCCATGTAAAACAGCTTACAGCAGTGTCCGTGATAAGCAGTGAGGGTAATATCTCATAAAGATTGGTTGAAAATGCGTTTTACCTTTTATGCCAAATAAAAAAAAAAAATAAAGTTAAGAGTTCTTATAAATGCATAATAGGAACATATGACTATTAATTTAACAAGCTCCTCAGACCTGCCCGGAAGAGTCTTATTAAAACCTGAGTCCCCTGTTTGTTTTTAGCTATCACACGACATGGTTGTAAAACTGGGAAGACTGTGAGTTGAAAAGCAGCAGCTTTGTTTTATCAGGATGTTACAGTAAAACAACTGGTGGTTACAATTCCTGGAAATGTGTCATAGGGGGTTGAAAGGGGGTTTGAACTTTGTTAATGGCTGCACTCCCCTTTTTTTTATTTTATCCACATCCAGATGCATTTCTATACCAGCAATATTATCAGGGATTTACAGCATCTGTTTTTAGCTGCTCTTTTTAATATCTCATGATTTCATTACAGATGAACAGAAGCAGGTGTGCCATTCTCTGAAATTTGATAACTTTGTGTTCCGTCTGTATCACAGAGTCAGATAACCTGGACTTCAGACTGAGTGAAATTCATCTGCTCACTTACAAACTACCAGAGAAAAACCGGGAGATGTTGGAGCTGCTTATCAAACATTTGGTCAAGTAAGTGCTTGCACGTTGTGTTATGACCATAGACTGTATATAGAATGGACGTCGTCTGCCTCCTCGCTGAGTGAAGCCACTCCGAGAACAGCACCCTCTGGTGACGGGCTGCAGTATAGGTCATAAATCCCGCCTCCTCCTACAAACTTATGGAGATGTGGACAAACTTTAGAAATTAATTACACAGAATATAAATTTTTCTCCCCCGTGCTTGTGATGTTGACATGTAGTTACTGTAAGACTAGTTTGTGCTCAAGTCCTATTTTTTTCTGTACAGCTCCATTTTTAAAAGTTATTAGGGGGTTCATGTTTTCTATGATTGACACTTGATACAGCCTACGGGAGTATGAAGATTGCGTAGCTCACCTGGGGGATACGCTGTTTGAGCCGAGCGTCATCACAGCAAATCTCTGCGACTCTCTCACCAAATGCATACAACGCTACTGCGCAATGTTGGTTTCAGGAAATTGAGAAAAATCGCAGAAATACTGAGAGCTTTTCGGCTTTAAGTTCATATACTGGCAGAAGGCGGTACCAAGTTGTCCATAGTATATACAGTCTATGGTTATGACGCAGTGATTTGACAGCTCACATACATAGGAATATATGCTCTCTACCTGACATCGGCTAAGCTGATTTGCCAACACTTAATTGATGTTTCTTTCTTGGCAGCGTGTGCAGCCACAGTGAAGAAAACCTAATGACTCCCTCAAACATGGCTGTCGTCTTTGGACCCACACTGATGAGAGCGAAGGAGGAGACTGTGGCCGCCATGTTGGATATCAAGTTCCAGAATATTGTCGTTGAGATCCTGATTGAAGACTACAAAAAGGTACATATACATCTAACAGGACAATTGACCAGACAGGGACAAAATACAATAACTGTAGCTTGAGAAGTGACAGTCAATATTGTGAATATTTTATGAGAGATTTTGTGCAGCAGAAGCATTCATTTATTAACCATTTTGTGATAGCCTTTAATTCGAGTCCTATTTTCTGCTCTTGCTCATTTACGGTGTATACGTATCATTGGATTTATTGTAAAAGTCATACTAACAGTAAGTAACTGAAATGGAGGCTGAACTGAAGTGCCATTGTACCTTTATTTTTTATCCCAGATCTTCAGTAATATGCCAGAGGACAGCACCGCCCCACCTGTTCCTCCCCCGCGAATCACTCCAAGAAAGCGACAACCCATCACCATCTCCAAACGGCCACCTCGTGTTTATCAAGCTCTTAGTCACCACGTCTTTCAGCACACAGAGAGTAATTATTAGCCTCCTTTGGCCCCCCGACTGTCATCATCATCCTCATCATTATCCCATCCTGTCTGTGCTAAATGTACAGTAGTCTTTTTTTTATTTTATTTTTTTAAACACTAAAAAAAAGATTTAAAAAAATGATTGTGAATCATATTCAAAAACTTTTAGTCAGAGGATTTTGTTTGTCAAGAAACTGCAAACCAAATTCATTGTCTAAAATTATTTTTCATTAACTGTTTTTATTTTTTTCAACAAAATCCTGTGGTGCATTTTTAAAGTCTCAGCCACAAATAAAACTTCTCTTCTCAACATTTTTTTAATCTCACATTAGTCTTTTTTTGTCAATTCCTCTGCCAAATCATATAATTTTCTCTCATTTTTCTGCCTAAACCCCTCATTAGGGGGTGTCTCCATCCTCATCTGCTCTCCCTTGGTTGTGTGTTATTAAATTGTTCTTAGGTGTATACTGGGTATACCCTGATAAGCATCTCTGTATGATCCAGTTAAACTGTGTAATTTACTTTCAAGTCATTAACAAACTCTGTGTGTGTCCTTAAACCAACTAAAGAGCTGTGAAAAAAGCTGCTTTATCTATTTATGGGACGTGCACTCAAATGTCAGCGTTTGTATTATCCTTAACTCTGTTTTCTTTTGTTCATTTCCAACCAAACGCGCATCACCATCATCATAATTAGTTACTGAAGATCATTCTTATCAAAGTGTTGAGATATAGAGTTTCCTCCAAGTAGTCAGTACCTTGTATTATTTATTCTGGTTTGTCTTGTAACAGATGGACAGAATGACAGCCCTGCCCTGGACGGGGATGTCTCAGTGAATCCAGTTCCCCTACAGCGGACGAAACCTATAAGCAGCGCTCCACTCGTTCCAAGAGAGCCACCACCAAGACAAGCGTTAATGCCCAGAACAGCCAGCCGTAGGGACAGGCAGCCCGACTCTGACCTTGGCAAGACAGACGACACAAGACAAAGGCCAGATTCTTCTTCTTCTGCTGCGGCAAATGGGGAGTCTGGAGTCTATGTGAGCAGAGTGCCATCCTTCCAGAGCCGGAAACCACTTCCTAGGGTTATGTCAGTCAACAGAGGTAAGACTGACACTCATAGTTTAGAGCTTTGGGGTGGCCAATTCAATTCAGAGGGGATCCTATGTGGCCCCTGTGGACACTAGTGTGGACACACCACTGCTCAAGAGCATAAAAACAACATTGTAGAAGGATATCAATAACAATATAGGACATTATAATCTACATTAAAACTGCATTTTAATATCAGTACTGTGAAGTTATCTTTCCAGGATATCAGGTGCCAAGTTTAAACTGAGGGTCAAACCTGAGTGTCTTGCACCCTGTGACCACCCAGGGCAAAAGGGGGTGCAGTAGGTCTGTTCTGATCTTGTCAGCTAAAATCAAAGTGCACTAATTCACCATGTAAGCAATACATATCATCTGTTACCAGCTATTTTACAGTCAGTACAGTACAGTCTCCAGTCCTTGTAAAAATTTGCACCAGTGTTGGCATTGTATGTCAGTTTGTCTTTCGGTAACTGTGTCCTGTTACTTACGCTCCTGTGCAGCTTTAGTGGTGGTGACATTCATGACGATGGGATAATGAGAGGAAAAAAACAAGATTCATTTCTCAAGTTTTTCTTGTGTTGAGAGCTTAAAACTTATTTGAACGCCAGTCTTCTTAATAGTGAGCTGCATCAGAACAACATCATCTGTAAAATTAACTCATGATAACACAACCCTGCAGTACCTGAGACTGAGGGACCTGGAAAGAAAATTTAACATCATCAGCAAGCTAGCTTCCATCCACTAGTTTTGTCAGACCTCATACACTCATACACGCTGTAACTGTTATCTTATTCGCAATGACTCTTTCCAGCTGCTGTCAGTAAAGGTGATAGTGGTACTAGTTGTTGAAATCTGGCACAGACTGCTACACATGCCAAGTTGCTATTGAACAAGCTTGCTTGTTCAAACAAGCTCCTAGTAATCTGATGTTGGTTTTTCACAGTTTAATTGATTTATAATCATGTTAAGGCTTGGCTCGAGCTTTTCCATTTGAAGTGAACAGCATTACCAGGAAGTTGGCCACAGTGGAAAATTATGTAAAGCCTTTCTGGTTGAAAATAAAGAACGCCGTTGTTAAGAAACAGAAAGTCTTTTTTTGACTTTGTATCACCAAAATCTGCCTCAGGTGTCCAAGTCCGCCTTTAATCTCAAGGTTCACTAAGTTCATGTCAAATTCTTCAATTACTCATGTGGTGTTACATGAAGCTTTTGTTTGTTTTTGTTTTTTATTCCAGGGGAGTCGGAAGGCCCGACCAGAACAAAGTCAACAGAGAAACATGTAATCTGTAGACCCCCAGTGAGGCCTCCTGAGCCCCCCGCCAGATACCCTGCTCCACAGAAGCCTTCCAGTGCAGCCAGCAACGAAGGCTCAAATACATCCTAGTAAGGACTCCATGACTTTTCTTATGGATGATATAAAGTATTCAGTTTCAGACAGCGTCAAGAGGCTCATTAAATATTTCACAGCGGTATCTTCTGACTTTATAAGACCAAACAAACCACCAACGATTTCATAGAGGCTTACTAAAGAACATGTCAGACATGCAAACTTAACTGTATCAGAATCCGAAACCCCACAAAGAGTCAGAAATTCAAGATCAAATCTATCAGGTCAATGAATAGTTACATTGTCTGATGTGAACACAGTGAAACCTTGGATCCTCCTTACATAGTATTTTCAAGATTTTCCCACCGCTCGGATGACTGTGATCCATACTGCAGCCAAGAGCAGACGAGGTGATGACTGTGGTATGGGCGCAGTATCGTTAAGACACTAATCAGCTATGAGTCCATGACCACCCTCCTCTTGTCAGCTCAGGGTTTTGATAAAGAGCTCAGATATGACACAACATGGACTTCACTAGACCTCTGTAGGTGTGCTGTGGTATCTGGCACCAAGATGTTTGCAGCAGATCCCTCAAATCCTGGAAGTTTTAAGGTGGGGTCTCTGTGGATTAAACTTGTTTGTCCAGCACATCCTTCGAATGCTCAGCCTGGGGATTTTAGAGAGCAAGTCAACACTGTTGTGCTGCTCCGGCTACCTTCTTCCACTGTTGCATAATAGAGGTCTGGGAGTTGGGATGTTTTATGCAGGGAGCAGTGGTCATTGTGGGCACAAGTCGCTCCCTGCAAGCCCAAATCAATTCTCTAGTGATTAAAGGTAGTCGAGAACTAAAAGTGATTTACACGCCATCCACAACAGACGTACTTCAGCTGTTTTAAGGGATTAGGGGCTGGTGTTTTTCTGTATTTCTTCTAAATAACTTTAGTTAACAGCTCATTTCTAAGAAATTGATAATGATTTTTTTCATTGTTTCAATAACACAAGCTGACATTAGCAAAGCCAACATTTCAGACCTACAACAGGGTGTCAGGGGCCAAATACAAAAAGATTTTAAAATCATTTTCTTACAAAAATAACTTAATTGTAAAATGATTTTCCTGTCAGAATAAAGTCGTAGAAAGGTTGTCTTATGAGAACGAAGGTATAAGTGAACAAAGTCGTAATGTTACAAGATTGAAATAATTTGGTTACTAAAGGTCGTCGTTGTGAAGTCATTAAACTACAAGAATAAAGTCAACAGAATCAAGCCATGATAAAGTTTTAGTTTTGGTATACTATACAATGTACCTTTAAGAGAGGTGGACATGTATCCATGATCACAAAATGATTTCAGTCAATTTGCAATCAATAACATATCAATATTTGATCACTTTATGTATTTTGCTGTCCTGCAAGAGGTACAATCAGACAAGTTTGACTGATGTGGGAAAAACTGGGGCTTTGGCATTTGCAGCATCAACGTGAAGCACGAGTGCACACAAATTTATATTTCTGCCAACAAGTGTAATTTTAACCACTAATACTCAAGTGTTAAACTGATGTTATTTTCCTGTGTTAAACTTTTCCACTTCAAAAACTAACACCACAGAGCTGCAGCATAAAAGCTCAATCTCATTTTCTTTTCCTCTTAAGTTTTTAATTTAGATTTAGCTACAAACAAAAAAGTGCCACATTGAGATTCAAAGAAGGCTACAAACAGCCAAAAGCAAAAATAATAGATTTTAACTGGAGTCAGAGCTAGGACACGGCAAACAACCACTCAAAGTTTGGGGTTCTGGGGTATCTAAACAGATTTCTGGACACCTGCTCCTCTTCTTTTTTACCAAACACACAACAGCGGGGTGTCCTGCTTGTCCTCCCACAGTTTTTAATGCCTGTCTGTCCTTTACAATAATCATCAGCATCCATCCTTAAGACACCCGAATGACACAGCTCTTGTTTGAAACGTTTCACTAAGTGTCTCTGATCTCTCACAAAAATCTGTATATCATGCAGTAGCATGTGGATACATCTGTTTTAGAAAGGGTCTCCTGTGTTTATGTGTAAAATTACCACAGAAATGTAAGAATAAAACCTATAAGGAATCATGTGCTCAAAAGGAGGGGTTTGAAAAAGCACAGTTTACCAAACATATTCTGACTAATCCAAAAGGAGACACATAATACCAGTTTTACAATTTCACATTCACAACGAAGAATAGAGGATGAATCATATTAATTTGCAACACCAACAAGTCTGATTTTCTCTCTCTCTCTCTCTCTTTCTCTCTCTCTGCAGTGTTGCCTCCAAAACAAAGTTTTTTGAAAATGCCTCCAGAAAAGTTGGCAGGTGAGTAAATGTCCTGTTGCCCAGTATCGTTATGCTACTGTAGGAATAAAATCACAAAGCCACAGGAGAAGAAAATCTACCAGTTGCATCCTGAAAATGGAGTTAGTGTTTTCTTCAAGTCATTCAAAAGATCCCTTTCTTATGAGGTAAACAGAATTTCCCTTGTTGCTGTCAGACTCCTCCCTCTGATGGAGGTAGACGCACGTATCTGCTCTCGTATGTTATGCTTGAATAGTCCAAGTTCTGGGCCTGCAGCCCTCCCTGCTCCAGCTCTGATGAAGGCTGGAAAGGAAAAAGGCCTGAGTGGGAAGAATTTGTGGGAGTTTTATCAAAGACGATTTATCTCTCTGTTTACTGTGGTCTCCTCCATCATTGTTACAGTTCACATTAATGTGTCTAACAGGCAGGTGCTGACGTAAAAAGCTCGTTTTTTGGCCTTTGGACAGAGGACACAGATTGTGATTGTTATCCCACAATGGAAGAAGTTAGACCTCCAGAGCAGACTGCTGTCAGCGGCCCTGTATTAAAAAACGATAGTGGGCAGATAGATTTAGATCAGACAGTTCCTTGTAAGCCCTCCAAAGATAACCACGAGTGGATGTACAGTGTGACGGACTGTGAACAACCCTTTTTTTTTTATTTCTACATTCTGCTGCTTGAATTAGCACAGCTTTATGTGATCTCTTTGTCATCCTAATTTCTCTAAATAACATATCTCTTAAGTCTGACACGTTTATTACTACCAATACTTTATCAGACCAAACGGTGAGTCATCTCTAAAGAAAGCTGTGGCCAGGCCTTAAGGCAGATCACTAGTGGCCTTGAGTAGAAACCACAGATGGATGTGATTAATTTTGTCTCTTCTACTTTAGTCCACCAGCCTCTCCGTCGCCATCCTCAGTGACACCTTTCAAAAAAGAGGTGAGATCTTTTTACTGTCATTTCCCATGTTTTTTTTGTCAGTGATTCCACCAAAGTTGATTCAAAGGTCCCCTATTATGGCATTTTTCATCAAGTTAGAATCGGTCCCAGAGGTCCCACAATAGTAAATTTGAAGTTTGCTGTCTAAGACATCAGTTTACTTGTGGATATCAGCCAGCCTGTACCCCCCTCTTTTTGAGCTCCACTGAGAATAGGCCGATTCTGCGCCTGTACCTTTAAATGATAATGAGCTGTGTGAAAACATCTGCCTCTCCAAGGCCACTCTGAGCTGCCGGCACCGCCGTGGTGGTGCAAGAGTGGTGGTCTGGAGATCTTCAGAGGACCTCCAGACCACTGCGGCTGGAAGCACCAGCCTGCCTTTGCGCCCCCGAGGAACACCCGCTGCTCACGGGAATAAAAGTAAATATGAGCGAGTCTGAAGACGAATACTAACAGTAGTAAACACATGCGATTGCAGGCAAAGCACCTGTCATATGGTGCAGTAGTAAAGCAACATAAAATGGTAAAACTTCCTCTTGCGAGTCTTACGAGTCTTGCTTTGAACGGCCCCTCGTCAGTAAAACAGTCCGTGATGAAAGGGTTAGCATAAACATACAACATTTTAAGAGTTGTTGTGGGTACATTTCCAACGAAAATAAGATTAATCCACAGGGTCCTCAAATTTTCTGATGAAGGAGGCAGAAATCGACTCCGTTCTTCATTTGTACGGCCAAGAGCCACGCAGCAGCTGGGTCGTAGCTTCGACATGGTTGCTGTACCGGAGTGGTGTACGCAAGGGGAAAAAATGGCGTATGCTACCTCAGCGAAGAAGTTTTAGAGGGTTGGGCTAATGATTATCGAGGGCGGGGCCACCAACATGTGGGAGAGGCTTATGCGGTTATGTCGTCATAACCATGCAGCTTTTCTTTCCGCCTGTTTGCGCTCATGTTTTCAGAAAGAAGGGTAAAGAAAGAGAGGGAGAGAATGAACATTTTTCATGTCGGGGAGGGTCGTCGGCTTCGAGGGGATGCATATTATTCGTAGAAAACCACCCAAAAGTGGATTTTTTAATAATAGGGGACCTTTAATGAACTGCAAACAGTTCTGCTATGCTGTGTTATAATGCTAAACTGTTTATGTCTGTGCAGAGTTAAAGTCAGGGAGACTCTACGGAAGCTGCATGTCGTGACCACAAGTGACCATGAGCGAGCAATGTGCAGGAACAAGTCACTGCAGATTGACTCAGTTAATCTGGATTTATGAGGCAGACTGAGTAATGGCTCTGAAAGGAAGAGGAGGATTTGTTTGGTTGAATATGGTTTTTATTGGTAACAGCGGTTTTTCACATCAACATTACTGCAAACCAACTTTTGAATGAGTTTGCAAAGTAATCAACTTTTTGTTTAATCTTTATTCCAAAGTAAGGTTGAAAAAAAAAAAAAAAAACACTGTTCTCCCTTTTGGATGTGGATTCCAAATTTAGTCACTAATTATTGTTATTGGTTTTAGTCATCAGTGTTAAAGCTCATCTTAGTTTTACCTAACTTACCTGCTATTATAAAATAGCCTTCTAAAGGAAGACTAGTTGAAGTGGACATAACCATTTAATCACTTTTAATTTGAGGATGTGGAATAATAAGTGTTGATATTAACTCTTTAATTTCACAGATAATGCAGCAGGTCATAGTCTTAAAACTGGATCAGGCTCATTTAAGTTCTCTTTGAATGTAACTTGCACAAGAACACACACTATTTTAGCTAATCATGTCATTAATGTATTAAGATCAAAATTCGAAACATGAATATCAATTAAGACACTAAGTGGACCAACCCTTTTTAAGAGGCATTACAAAATAGTATTTGGTTGTCAAGTGTCAGCCTGTATTCCTGTTAAAGTAGTTTGAACCTACATAATAGATTTGTTCTATTAATATTGAAAAGGGACTTTCTTAAATACATTCCCCTTCTTCAGGTTTTGGTATCACTCCCTTTTTACCTACTGAATTTAAGTGGGCCCACGCAGGAGGCTCTCTGGAGTCTCTGTTGAACCTCAGATGAATTGCTGGGATTGAAACAGCAGAAGTGATTGTTACAGTGTGTGAAGATAACTCTCCAGAGTTTTATTTTAATGTCTTTGTCCTTTAAATGATCATTATGTAAATGTTACACTTGTTTTATTTTTCTGGTAACACAACTTGAAAGTTTTTCGGATGTTATCTGCTTGGATTTGTTGTAAAAGGAGGAAAATAAATCTGAAGTGGTCTGAATATGACTCGAGAATACTTTTTTTTAACGAAAGCCTGTGTCTCAACTTTAAGTCTCTCATACAGCAAAGTGTTGACAGTCACCTGATGATGTTTCAAACATTCAGCTGACTCGGTTTCACGTTCACGCTGACTTAGTGTTTTTTTTTCATTGTGACTTTCTCCCAAGGGAACTCCTCAAGCAATTATCACTTTAATTTGTGTGACGTTAACGTTCATCGCCAAATTCAACTGTGTCACCAAAGTGAAAGGTAATAAGACACCTGGAAAGATGTAACAGCTCCTTTTTTGTGAGCTTATCTTTTCTCTGTAAACAGTTTAAAGCTGCTGTGAGAATCTTGTTTTGTGTTGACTTTAGCACCCTCTGTAGACAAAGATTAGTATTATCTCTCAGCTAAAAACTCATTTTAAGGCAGCATTTTGACTAAAAAATCCCACCCTGCTTTCTATTAAAAGTCAAATATATTAATACTTGAGAATATGAGCTATCAAAAATGTAAAAAAAACAACTTGTCTTCTGTGTAATCTCAATAATCTGGTCTGACACTGCAGTTACAGATATCCAAAGTTTCAGGCATGTTGCTGATGGTACCATTTGTTGTCAATAACAAAGAGACAATGATTCATTCTAAACTTCTTCACCAGCAGTGAAGAAATCCTCTTAGGGCCCCAAAACATAAGGCCTTGACATTACGGAGGCCAGTCTCTCGACAGGACAGGACTTAACCTGACTTCACTAGACCTGTGTTGTGGTATCCGGCACACAGACATTAGTGTGTTAGCAGATTTCTCAGGCCCAAACCAGGTGCTTCTAGTGGTGGACAGGGGTCATTACAATTCTCAAAACCAAAATCATCTGTTTATTTATGTATTTTGCATTTTAAGCCCTAGTAGCTCTTCAGTTAGGTTTGGACCACACCATCAGCCTTTGCTCTTCATCTTCAATGATGAGCCTCAACTGCCCGTAACACTGTCACAGACCCTCCTGTGGTGTTATGAGCACCACAGTTAGTCACAAAAAAGGTAAATGGTTTCTCACAAATATGCAGAATAAATAACTGGATGGATTTAAACTGCACTGAGAGTTTAAACTTCCCTGATAAAATCAGAAAAGTTAACATTTGGTCCAAGCTTAGACTAGTTGGTGGAGCAGGCACCCCACCTACCGAAGGGATAGTCATCTGGTCTGACACAAATGCTCTTATGGCATTAATACATTAGAAAGTACAGTATGAAAATTGCAAATTGTCAATCACTCAATCAATAAATCAATTTCACAACTAGTTAAAAAGTCCTCTTCAAGTTTCCTTGTCACTCTTCTCTCAGGATTGACTCCAGTATTTGGAGCCTGTTATTCCCCCTCTCTCTCCCCATGTTTCCAGTTCCCTTTACTCAAGCTGTCCTTTATTTAAAAGGAAGGTAATTTAAAAAAAAAAGTCAAAAACAGAAAATATGATGAGGCCCAGCTACAAGATCTGTGGGAAACCATGTAAAATATCTGCTGTGAATTAAAAGTGTCTTCACACTTTGTTGGCTGGAAATGTCTGAAAGTATTTTATTCTCCACAAAGATTAAAACCAGGAGAGAGACTCTGCAAAGCTGCAACTGCTCCCTGCTTGTTTCTGACATGTTGAGGGCGGTGGTGGTGTAAAGTGAACTGGTAAAATGCTGACATGTTTGTGTCCGAGTTAATTTTTCTGAATATCTAAGTGAAGACTAAAGGGGGGTTTTGTATTTACACTTTGGGCTAAAAACTGATATAGTCTTTTGAAAATATTGTAAATTGATAGAGGCACAGGAAGGGAGTTGGGGAATCCCCAGAGTTGAAATGACTTATTCTGGGAGATGAATGTGTCTGAAAAATTTGTGGCGACTCATCCAATTGAGGTTTACATATTTTGTCTCAAATGTCTCTTTCATGATGGTGCCAGCAGGGCAGTCAGGAGATCCCCAAAGTAGGGCAACTTCGTTAAGGCGAGAAACATAAATCTATGAACTAATTTTCAAAGGGATCTGTTCAATAACTTTGGAGACGTCTCTGTCCTCGGTGAACTCATTGACGGGTCAGAGTCGCCATCCCAGGGTTGTGCTGTTACCATGGCTAATACCAGGAAAAAGCTCATATTCTTCCATCCAGTGAGTTTCTTGTCCTGCCATGGCTCCCTCCAGTCCATCCCCCGTGGTGTTGCATTCCTGAACGAACCTCATAGAACCATCTGACTATCACCATGATCTTTTCCACAACTTAACTATGCTGCCTTTGAGGAGTGTAATATATCATGTGTCTCCACGAGGTTTGGCACTTTGTCATTTGTAGCCAAATATTCTGTTTCAATAGGATACTTGTACAGTTAGAGAAACAAGATTAAAATATTGTGATTTAAGTACCAATAAGAGACATTAGACTTTTTCATCTCAAACAGGAAACAGTTGTTCCTGGCATCGGTCTGGTATAGTTTTGCAAACATTCATCTGATTAAAAAAAAAACATTGAATTTATTTTCCCTCCCACCACATTCCAGCCCTCAGTGTGAGTCGCTCTCTTATTCAACATTCAAAATCCACCGACATGAACCCGACCTCTGTCAGCTACTGTAAGTCTCAGCGGTAGACTTGTTGATTGTTGGCCACACATCTGGGACTGGTGGAAATCCCCTCCTATTTCTTGCCAATTCATATGACTTCAAAAAAATTAATACACAGTAGGGACGAAGACTCTCAAACACGCACACCAACAACAGAATATGTGTTCTCAGCGGAGTGAGCTGTCTGTTTACAGGAAGTTCATGTTTAATGCAAATGTATTCGTCTACTGCTTAGTGTAAAAAATGACCAGTTGATACAGATACAACCTGATTTTTTTTTAAAACTTTAATCAAATGATTTGTTCTTACCTACTGTCAATGTGACACTTCTCTATTCGATAAACATTTTTTGGTTATCAGTGTAGTTGAGTTTACCCTGGGTCAGCTTTTGTGCAGATAATGCAAATACCCCTACTTTATCTACAGTGGTTTTAAGGAAGACTTCACATCCCATTGTCAGAGTCCAAATATTTTTAATTGCCTTTAGAAGATGCTGCAGCATTACACAAAGTTGAAAAACACAAATATTGAAGAAAAACAGGTCACAAAAGGTAAAAATCATACAAGACACCTTTTTAAAGTCAAGAGTTTAGACACCAGAACGGACATTAAACCAATCAATATATACATTTAAAGAAGCATGTACAAAGAAGTGCGTTAAATATGCAGCACAATGGGCACAAACCAGCTTTTGTCAAACACCATAGCCTGCTGTGATAAAATCATATAGTTATTAAAAATGTCCAGGGAAAACTATGGGACCGTATTTATGTTGTGTTGTAGATGGGATTCAATTCCACAAGAGGAAGAAGGCTGTATAAGATGTTGATAGACAGAACTTGATAGCTTGCAAAGCCTACAGGTAATTAAGAATAGTGCAAAGACAACAAATCAAATGTTGAAACTAAAAATGAAACTCAAAATGTGGTTGTTTTATTATTTTTAAATGTCATGCAGGCAACATAGTACACAACAGTTTCAACAAGGGCAACAGAAAACTGAAAAAAAGTTTTGTGAATCTAAAACCCCCCCCCTGGGGCACATTTTTAAACTAACCAGGTTAACTTGCAACAGTTTAATAACTTAAGTGGGTATATAAAAGCTTTCAAGAGAGGCTGAAACTCTAAGAAATGAATATCAGATTTAAAAAGTGTTGTTAAAACTCGTACCACATTTTGTCTTTGCACTATATTCAATAAAAAATGTAGTTCAAATGATTTGAAAACTATTAAATTCTGTTTTTTTTTTGTTTTGTTTTGTTTTTCAAGAATTCACACCACATGCCGACTCTTGTGGAACTGGGGTGTCATAAAAAAAGACTAATTTAATTTTTGCAGATGACGCTGTGTACTCTAAACGCTTCACTGGAATTTATCAACAAAACAACCACAAAAAATTCGATAGTCATATTCAACGTGCCGGTTAATGAGATGTTTTCATGCCTTCAGACACATAATAAACACGTGAAGGGACACGTGGCCGTCCATGCATTGCTTTCTCTAAAGTTAAATTACAAACAGTTGCAAACTGCATACAGTTACACAAACACATGGTGCATGCATTTACAGGCTTGTAAAAGAAACAGAATTGTTAAAAGGTGTTAAATTTACAGAGCAAGGAAACGTGCTTGAAAAGGTTAAAAGGAAACAGAAGGTCAGACAAAAGTGAGTATGATGTTGTCTCCGTGGTTGGCTGTGATAAACATGTTGCAGTCTGTACTCAAGTCAAATTTAAACTCTGCATCACGACAGCAAAGTTGTATGTACAAAGGGCCTCTTGTTTACTCAACTTGGTTTATGTGTTGGAAAGAAAACAAAAACTCAAAACTGTGTACAACTCTGAGTATTAATACTCTTCAACTGCTTTACAGCAGTGTCTGTGATCAGTTATCTTCAAGGCATTCCTCACATTTTCTTTTTGGTTTTCATCTTTGAGGTCTGGCAGGGCAAGTCAAGGACTTTCACATGTGAAGCCCTTCCAGTTTTCAGTTGGCTGAAGGTTTCTGTTTCTTGTCCTGCTGGTCTTGGAACATTACTGCCCCGGATTAAGATCTCTGGCATTATGGATCTAGTTCACATTCAGAGTTTGTCTATGTTTGGTGCCATGTTTTCTTGCTTGTACTATTCGAACCCCTCACAGCAGGACTTTGTCAACACCTTGCTATGCAGCAGGGATGGTGGTGAATGCCCTGTGGTGTCTAACCAATATTACTTTTGCTTCAGATTCATTTTGATTGTCATATGATTTACCTTAAACTGACACCTCTGAAAACACTACGCTGAGACTTTTTTACATACTGGGCAGAACACCATGCACCTCTGTTTTCTTAGGAAAGGTATGTAGCAGGCAGGATAGGATACAGCTGAATGTGTGTGTTTGGCACCGATGATGAACACTTCACATTGCTTTTGCCCTCTGAAGAATGATTTTTAATATAAAGTAACAGAACGGACATGTTGGTGTTCTCCAATGGAAAAGGTTGAAAAAGATCTATGATATTAACTTGGCGTCTTTACAGTATATTTTAAAAATTTTCATTCAACATCTATCAAGACTGGATAAAAGACAGATTTACAGAATACATTTTCAAAGAGCTAAGTGAAGTTGCAATAGGGTTCTTTTTTTTTTTACCTTTATTTGCTATTGTCAATTATTTTGAAATCAGGCAAATTTTTAAAACTTCTAAACATTCAGCCCACATCTTTCATATCTTTCCTCATCCGGGTATCCTCGTCACATTTATAAATTAATGCTTTAAAAGTTGTGACATCTTGAAAACTGTTTTACACATTTACTGTCAGTGTGATGAGAAGAGGTGTGACGTGCAGAGCTTCAGTAGGCATGCAGTGTGTTCTGGAGATGTCTGCTTTGTTCTGCATTGGCTCAGTTGAACAACAGCAGTGTACTGTACATGAGTGAATGCTTAAAAGTACTTAAAAGCCAACGTTTGCTCTTAAAACAAGACTGTAGAGAGCGTTTAGGCTTGACGGAAAAATCAGGTTGTTTTATCCCAGATTAACGTATTCTGAGACTTGGATATACAACTGTATTAGAGCTGTCATATCTGTTTAAGCACGTACAAGGTGAGGTTATGGTTGTGTGGCTGCTACTGGACACAACACTTTTCTTACAACCATGACAGGATGTGGCCCAGAGGAATCAACTCTAAATTGAAAAGCAATGGGAAGAAAGCAACAGTGACATTTTCTGTGATCCTTGTTGTAGATCAGCACACAAGCTTATGTAAAAGTACTAATTCAGTATAACTGCGGACTCTGTAGACCTCTGGGCCTGAAGAAAAAAAAAAAGGTAACAAGCAAGCGTCTTAAACCTGCAGTCTTTCTGATGACCAGCAGAGGACGACTTCACTGGTTTGACGGGAGATCAGACTGAAAGAAGGTCTTACTCCTGCTCTTGTTCAATTATTTCCTCAGTGAATATTTTTTAAAATGAGTTTATGGGCTCAGTGGATACTTAAAAGTCTTTCTGGTCAGATTGTGATACTTACTGTCTGGATTATGATATAAATTGACAGCTAACAACTGGTTTTGCTTATTAATGACAGCCAAAATCCAAAAATCAAGAGCTCTAAATTGAATGTCCATAAACTAAAAGATAATTTCATGCTAGTTACTTTCAATTTGTCTTGTAAATGAGTGTTATAGTTTGATTTCTGTATCGATGACAAGCCCCCTAAACTCTGTATTTCACTTCTCAGTTTGTAATACAGCTCCAAAACTACCATCACTTTAGATTAACACAGCAGGTTTTATTTTTGCCACAGAAAAATCGAAGTTCACTGACCAAAAATATAGCTTCTTCTTTTAAAGTGGAAAACCACACTATGATATCAATGCTGATTGTCGTAGCACTTGTTGCAGAATAGACCCACTGCAGTATCACATCAGATTTTTGCACATTTGTTTGATAAAAATTATGTAAAATGTTAAATAAGAAACTTTGTAAAGCACACTCAAGATCCACAATTCTCATTTTAAGGCACTTATTCACCTAAATGCCTCCAATGCATATGTACAAGCGAGGGTTACAAAAAGGTGGATTTGGCATAAAACATAAAAAAGAAACAGATGCATAATGGAAAATAAGACTTTGTTTCCTTTCCAAAATTACGTCTGTGCCGAGTTTTGTTTTGTAGTTTTTTTGTGAGACTCTAAATGTTTGAACAGCACCACAGCTAGCTCGCTGTTGTCATGATTTACAGACTTTATGTAAAGTAGCATGTCTGACCCAGCCTACAAACACACACTCTGCACTCTGAAATAGCAGAGCTGTCGACAGATGACACTGTTTCAGATAAAAGCTTTAACAGTTATGAACAAACTATCTCAATTATGGCTCTAAGGAAAAAAGAAAAGATTACAGGACAGGGCTAAGAGCCATTAAACTGGAGACGGAGGAAAACAGAACCTTTGTTAAAAGTTATGGAGGCAGCTAAGATGAGTCACTTTTTCATTAAAAAAACATCCTTCTACTTGTGAAACAAGATTGGTTTGGCCAAACCTGCCAGGATCTTTGGTACATGGACTGAGATTATCTCCCCAATCATCTCTGGAAAGCTGACCTTGGTGGGGAGCGACTGAGCCTGGACAAACAGGTCAAATGTAAACTGATGGAGCTTCTTCACTGTCTGAAACAGAGACACAAAAAGGAGACATGAATAAAATGTACTGAGAGCAGTGCTGTGACCATAACTGAGGAAAATCACACCGTCTCCTGAAACAGACAGCACAGCTTAAACATTTAAGGACTGGGTGCCTTACATCATGCAGTGAACTTATCAATTTAACCTTTTCTTTTGCTCTGAAAAAACGGTTGTTATATAAGTCTAGATTTTAAGGTATCAGATTCTGGTTGAATGCAGCATTTTCTCTCTGAGGGCTATAAAGAAAGACAGCCTCCCCTGAGATTGAATCGCCCGCCCTGCCAAGAAATGTTTTAAGCAAATTAGAAGAGCTACAGCCGCAACTCCTGACCTCTTACTCGGTTTGTTGAATTTGGTCTAAGGCACGCACATGTCCAGATGTTTTTAGCTTTAAAATCTTTTACAGTTCAGGTAGTGACATTATTGCTTTTTCACTGCAAGCACTCCGCAAGTAATCAGGAGTGTGAGTTACCATCTGTAGAGAGTCCAGGAGTCGGGTGAGATGGTAGAACCTCTGAGAAGAATTGGTTTTCATTCGGTTATTGATGAGGCGATCGAGTTCGTTGATGTAGGTAAGGCGCAGTTCATCAAAGTACTTTTGACTTTTCAGACCCTCAACTGGAACTGGAAAAGAAAAGAAAATACAGAAAACAGGGGTGACTCTAGTTCAGTTTTTGACTCCAGAACTCAAAAGTAAAGTTTAGTTCTGATGCTGAGTACGCAGAGTACATACTGATGCTGAAGAGGAGCAAGGCCTTCATGCAGAGAAACTCCTCTTGAGTGATCTGCAGCATCAGGAACTCTTGTGAGATATGTCTCATCCGTATGCAGTGCTCGTACATGGTGGAAATGTGCATTCGATGTCTGCAGGTGTGAGAAGGTCAGGATCAGAAATGTAGAGTAATATGAAGAAATGGAGAGTTCAGATCATAAGAGGTAGAAGAAAAATGACTGAACACCTTTGACTCCATAGATACCTACTAGATGTCAGAGGTTAGCTCTGTATTTATTAAGGGGTGATGGGGATGGTGAACCATCTTTATATCATCACAGATTTCTGCAGTGTGATCTGACATCCGGAGTAAGGTGTTAGTAAAACACAGGACTCTATTTCAGCCAAATTTCTTACCTGCGATTGACTTCAATGTTCAAAAAATAACAACCAATTTGTGAATATTAAAAGAGGTGATTGGAAATTTCATATTCATCATGCCTGAACAATCCATAAGTATTTCAATAAACGCAGGGAATGAGAGAGCAGGTAACGTTATCAGAGTTTCATTCTGTGCAAAATGACAAAGATTCAACCTTTTTTGTCTTTCAAGAAAAGGACCATTTTTAACATATTCATGGTGTGAAGATAAAGAAGATACAAAAATTGGAAAAATTAGTTTCAATTTGAAATGTTATCAATTTTAGCCTGATGAAAAAATAATTTCAGATTGAAAAACGAGAAAATAGAGGCAGAGCTGAAGTTCCTCTTCTGTTTGGTAATGACAGCAGAACTGACAACCTGAAGTTATACATAATACACTTAACTGTTTTTAATCAGTCATATAGTACAACATATAAGAAAAAGACATTATGGACATATAATATATGATAAATTTGATGGTGATTGGGCTGATAATTCTTTGTAGTTCAAGTTTCTGTTCAAGATTACGCAGGCAAAAACACTGTTGGTGCTCGAGCAACTTAGTATGCCCTACAACTGACAATATAAAACTTTAAACCCTCATCTTTGCCTTAGAGGATGTCTACTTATGCTTCTGGCTCCAAATAATATTAAGTCAGTACAAAAACACCAGGTTCTACTCATGAAGTATCAGAGTATAAAATTTATTCCAAGTCTATTTAAATTGCCAACTCTCCTCATTCATGAGATACAAGGCTTAGGTTGAGAGTTCAGTTTGAGATGTCGGGAATGTCTTTTGCCAATGAACTGTCAAGATCTGGTGGGAGAAGACTAACACAACTGCCATCATATTACTGTTCTCAATGTTGGTTTAGTATCTATTGCTGTCCATTTCTGTCCTTTATAGAGCAATTTATCACCGTTCTAGCAGAGTAAAGTTGAGTTAGCTTAAAGAGAGTTAGTTTAGATCAGTGGTTCTCAATCCAATCCTCGAGCCCCCCCCTGTCCTGCATGTTTTGGATGTTTCCCTGCTCCAACACACCTGATTCAAATGATTAGCTCGTTATTAAGCCATTACAGAGCTTGATAACGAGCTGATCATTTGAATCAGGTGTGTTGGAGGTGGAAACATCCAAAACATGCAGGACAGGGGGGGCTCGAGGACTGGACTTGAGAACCACTGGTTTAGATAGCCTAGCTTAAAGCTAAATATCTGGCCTTGTACACCTCCAAAAATCAGTCATTTGTGTGAGGAAAAGCAAAAAAATCCTATCATTGATTTAATGATGCAAAGCATGCCCTCATTCATAGCAGTTTGTCTAGTTTCACCATGAGGTGATGCTTAAGGTCTCTAAAATTGTAGCAGCAAATTGCAGCTGGCAGAGGCAGCAGTGGTATGGCTGCTGCATAGATCCAGCTCTCACACTACAATATTTTCAGTCTAGTTATGTCATTAACACTTCACATAATTTTTTTTTTATCCTAGCAACACCAAGTTGAACTTTCAACATCACTGTTTGACAGAGCTACATTGTGGGTAGTGTCTTTACCCGAGCTAAGCTACCTTGCAATGACTCTTATTCTCTAGCCCTTGACAAGAGAGTTGACTTTTTCATTTATGTTGAGATACTGCTACAAACCAGTCAGTCTTAAACGCCAGTCAATCTCCTACTTTGAGACAGAAACAAATTACTGAGAAGATATGATTCAGGCAGAGTGTTTTAGGTGAGCAATATACAATTATATCCTTCCTCCTGTGTTAGCTTTTACTATGTGTTTACTACACTTTTACTTTTGTAGTGGGCCTCTGGGCCTTTCTTTGTCAGTATACCCCTCACACAGATATCTATGCTGAATTGATTTCACATGTCTGGACATGCCCGATGTTGTTTTATTGTGCAGGGAAAAACATGGCAATATGAGAATTTCCTAAATCTCACATGATTGGAAAAGGATCTGACTGTCAGTGTGGTGCCTGACAGTGCGCATATGATTTTAGTTTTTGCTATAATTATTAGATATCGATCTAGCCAAGTCAACAGCGGCTCTAACATGACAAGTGCCATAATTTTAATAAGAGCATTTTATAATTTAGTCCATTTAATTTTTTTGTTTTTATTTTGTTGGAATAGAGGTTCCTGACAAAGTCAAAAAGTCTTGATGCGAAAAAGCTAATTTAAGTGGTTCTTTGAAGCATTTAAAAACAAAAATGGTTTGGTGCAGACCCTAACACAGGAGGAGGGTTAAACAGCAATGATAGATTTTGCAACATTTAAATCATTTAAACTTTGGACTCTTTTTGTAGGAGACTGCCAGGTTTTTGTTCCTCTTTAAGGGCAGTTTTCTCCTTGCAGGAGGTGACAAAGAGCACTTAAGTCCATTAACATCTTGTTCACAATTCTCTTTCAAAATGATGAAATGATCCACTTTTCTGGCTGATTAGGCCTTATAGACATGATTGAGTCCTTAACCTCTAACCCACCAGGCACTCAGAGGACAATAAAATAAAGTACATCTATCAGGATATTACATTTCCCATCTTTACTCTGCAGGATGAGGGTTCTGGAAAGTTTGGGGAAATCAATAAACTTCCTTTTGCTCATATAACTCGAAACGTTTGTGTTGTTTGTGTTCTCAATGTTTTCCACCTGGTTTGAACTCAGTTCTTGCAAGCAGGCATTTCTGGCAGCTGTTCAGGACAGCTCATCCTTCTGTGACATCACTAAATTGGGAGTGGCCATAAGTAAGGGATGTTTGAGTTCACAGCTGTGGAGCAGGAGTTTTCTGCTCTGTGTCAGTCAGTTCACTTTTTTTTGCTTTTACATAATAATCAACACAATCTGTTCATATTTGGTCCAGTGCAACAATCCGCCAACACAATCAACAACCGTGACCTGCTTCAGAGAGCAGGCTGAAGTTCATTATGACAAAGCAAACATACAGTTTTGATCAGAGCTTTTTCATGTGTTTTTACTCCAAATATTGCTTTTTACTACTCAACAGGCAAAGCCATGATGTCCTGCAGCAAAGTCTAGCAGTTATCGTAAATGGTAACCGACATTTAAATGAATAAAATCCCCCTTTTTAAGGGACACTTCACTAAATTTACACACAGAGATACTTTAACTTCTATGTGCAACTGTTTACAGGCGTATTTCCCCCTCTTGACAATAAAACCTACTGTATTCTAGTTGGCAGTATTAATGGATGATTAAAAACGTTGTAAATAACTGCTGTGGCTATAAAGAGAGATCTCTGGGTTTATTTTAATGGGAACAATGTCAAACTTTATCTTTTTTAAGTGAATGTGATTTACAAACTAACAGTAGTAGTCTAAGGGATGTGATCCTTCACTGTGCTAAAGATGTACGGTTGATTCATGGAAATTTAGAATTTGGCTCCTTTTATAATCATTTGAGTGTCTGCCTTACATCTGTAGACTTAAACCACTGAAAATAGCCTTTGCTTTTATTTCAAAAGGGATTTTTTCAAAAACAATGAAATCATACTTTGTTTGGATATACTTTGGATAAAAACTGCCTTGAAACTTTATAAGAGAGGATAAACTTTCCTTATGCACCGCTAAACATTTATATCAGGGGGGAAAAACTGTCTTTATTTTGAGGTTTGGAAGTTTGGGATAAGGGGACTGAAGAGTGGCCAAAGAGCTGTCAGACAGCATGATTTTTAATATATAGATAGATTTAGTTTTTACAGTGTGTTACTTTTAAAATCTGCTGTACAATTCAATTCATAAATAATGATGTTCATTTTTATTTTAAAGTTCATGTAACACTGTAATCTGTTGAAGTTAACTCACATATTTCCAGACACTGAGCTGCCTAGAGACTTTGAACTGCTATTTTTTCAAAGCTTCATTTAATGCAGGTTCACTGAGTGCAAATGCTCTTTTTGAGTTAAACCCTGCCACACAATACACTAACACAGTTACACAATCAAATCTGGAAGCCGCCCAGTATGACCAGGACTGTCTGCCAGCGACCACGCGGCTTCAATCGGGTTTTTCTGCACAATTATTTCAACCCCCCCTATTCCAGTTTATCAACAAACTGTCTCCAAGGCTCTAAATTTTTAGTTGAATTCATTAGCATCAATTTTATTTGGAAATTCTACCAGCAAAACCAGAAGAGCGTGTGCAATATATCAGTCCTAGGGTATAAAAACATTAACCAATTAATGGCATGTTTTTGAAGTTTCTCTCGAACACAGGCAGCCTTATTTTGATACGGTTTATATTTGTGGAGGAAAAATCAAGTTTCTCTTTGTCTTTATCTTTGTGTATCTAAATTAAAAAAAATCTCAATATCATATTTTCCTGCCTTTTAATATATTTCAGATGTATTTCTGCAAAAATGAAAGAATCACAATTGAATGACTTTTGAGGGGAGTTTGTGTGTTTGATGTGGGGTTGTTTAAGGTACCTGTCAATAGTAAGTGGGTCAGAAATGTGGATACTGCCCCTATGTAGAGAAACTGACAAGGGAACTGGAACGGTAGCTAGGCTATCAACTGCGACAAGCGCTCAAGTCTATAATAAAATTAAGCCAATTTTAACAAAATCCTACCAAAGCACTTATCTCATCAAAGGTGTTTGCTTTACTTTGCTATCCGACAGCCAAACTAATTTAGCATTTAATTATTCGGAGCACACACTGTGCAGTGATCAGCACATACAGCTGATCAAATCTGCTGCCGTTCGCTGTGGACATGACCCATGAGGACACTTATGAACTGGTGTTTACAGAGAAAGATTTGACTTATTGGACCAAATAATAAAATGGAGACACTTCAACACTGACAGGAGAGCAAGAGAGATCCCTTATTATTGGTTTCCGCAAACAAAGTGCAACAACAGTGTTTCAGGGCCTTTAGTGATCAGACTTTACCACACTAACCAACATCTTCCTTGCCTAGTTAAATGCTGCTGTTTTTGTTGTTGTTGTTCTTTTCCAACTTTCTTTAATATTCAAAAGTTAAATGAGAAAATTATAAAATCAAATGTCCTTAAAGTAAGTGTTCTGCTCCTATTGCTTTTACTGCATAACAGATTGTTTTTAGTCCCCATGACATGTTCACCTAATCTGATTACACTGTGGTAGCCACTGAAGGAGAAGACTGAGCTGAAATAACACGCTTTTAAGACACAACCCAAACTCTAACTACTGTGTCAAACTGAGTTGTAACAAAGGCAACTCTGTATTTACAAGGAAACACGCATCACAGACATGATTAGCTGTCAAGTGTGCTGCAGGCAGAAGAGTATGGACAGGTATGTGTTGTGTCAGTCACATGTGTTTCTGACTGTAAAATCAAATACTGATGCACACTTACATCAAGCCTAGCACTTGGCTGAAGTTAAAACCAGATAAATGATGTGGTAGTGTCTGTAAGTGGTTGATGGCCCCATTTCTCTTGTGGTTCCCCTGCTGCTCTCTATGAAAAGTGACAAGACTGGCCGGCATCCCATGTAGCTGGTACAACAAAAACAACATAAATAGGCTATCCCCTTTTTGCACGATGTCTAGTTTCTTTGATAGATATTTGCTCAACTTTGGTTTTGATGGCTAAAGCTAAAGTTTACACTTTATGTTGGAAAAATGCTGTGCACAACAGGCTGTATAAAAATTAGACATAGAAATGAAGTCTTGAAAGTGAAGCCAATAGTTATGTGCTTTGAGCCTGAACTCTTTCTAATGACCTGCAGGCTACTCTTCAAAAGGCTAAAAAGTTTGAGTTTGAGATTACAGAAGTTGATGATAAAAAGACTTCATTGCTGGGATGATAATCAATTTAAAAAAAAAAATTCCTTTCAAGTCTCAATTGCTGGATTTGATCCTGTTTTAATTCAGCTCAATGCCTTTTTACCTCAAATCTTTCATCAATCAAAGTGAAAGAGATAATAAGAAGGATCTGCTTTAGGGCTTGGTAACCTTGTGATTGCCAGGATGAACTTTGCATCCTGAAAGAGGCCTTGTGCGATGTTTTTGATGTATTTCAAAAGACTCCGTGAAGGACAAATCACAGATCTCCCTTGAAAACAAATAACTTGTGCTGTTTGCTTACCTCTCGCCAGTTGCACTACTTGTGGTTTCTGTCTCCTAAAGTCTAACACATTGATGGCCCAAGTATAAAACAATGGTCCACATAGCAAATTAAAAAAAATCTGAGTCGCTACATCCATTGCATAGCTGTATCCCATTTGGCAAGGAAACTACCGTATTTTACACCTCTTTCCCGCCATCTTCCTGTATTAGTATTCTCCTGTAAATCTCCTGTATTATATGTTTATAAAAATATATATATTCTATATTCTGCCTCTCCAAACTGAAGTCTGTCACTAGCGTGTGCTAAGTACCCACCAGCTAGTAGTAGGAAGTTGTGATGGGGGGTTCGAAAAATTTGTCTTATTTTCCAAACCAAAACTTGACAGGTACAATCCATCGTTTACAGCCAAACTACTGTACACTAAGTACAATTGAGAGATGCATGTAGCTCAGCTAATCTGTCGTTACTTTTATGCATAATTTTTCTAAAAATATGGAAAATAAATGCACTTGTTAATAGTTCAGTTTGAATCATCTTTCCCTGAAGTAATATTCTGATACACCTTAATACAGTTAATATCCCTTGCTCACACTCAAAAATGCCTCACCACCTTTGTTGTCTCTCCTGAGTGATATTCAGACTTCAATCAGATTCATTCACCATTCCTCTGAGAGTTTAAATGCTCGAAACTACCGTCCCTCACCTTAATTTCCTTAACAAAGACACATCTAAGGAGAAAATTGGATGAACAGGCCCCTACACAGCTCGCAGGCTTTTATACTTAATATTCTCCTTTTTCAATTCTGGAGAAGTCTCTGGGTTTGCATGAGCAGCAAAGTAAAGAAAACTTAAGAGGAAAGGCACAAGGATGTATGAAAACTGGTGTTTGCGTTGAGCACCACAGCACCAACTCATTCTATGTTAGAATAAAGCGTTATGCATGTTAGTAAGTCCAGAAATGAATTGTTTTAGTCAGTACAATAGAATCTGATAAGTCTATACGTACTCATTGAACACAAGATCTGGAGCGAAGTAAAGCATCCTGCCATTGACATTCTTATAGGACCTCCATCCCAGGGCAAACACCATCACCCCCATCCATGACTGCTGAATGACAGTCATTTGGTCGTCCACATGGAGATTTCTAAAACCTAAAGAAAAAATTTTATTTGTAAAACGTGACACAAGGTAAAAAAAAATATGTACGACTGATAGAAGCGTTAAATCCTGTGCATTTTAACATTACCAGAGCATTTCTCTGAAGCAGTACATCAAAAGTCTTTCAAGTGTCAGACTTTTATCATAAAAACCAATTGGCCTTTCTGAGACTTATTATTAAACAGTCTGCTTACAGTTTTATTTTTTATTTTTGGTCCAAGGTGTTTGAGTTTAAAGCTATTCATTCTTTAGAAAATACTCATTTGTTTGTGGGGTTCTCCAAGGTACTATTTTGGAACCACTACTTTTTAAAAATACTAAAACTAACAGCTGATAATATAAGCCTGCGTTTTTTCATTTCCATTTAATTTATTTGAACAAACAATTTTGAATTTGAATAGACTGAAACATGACAATAAAAAGGTTGCCAACAAAGAAAAAATAGTTGAAATCTAATGAACAGGCTCCCTCCTACCAGGTCTGTGGGCTGCCCAGGATGGGAGTCAAAGTACATCCGCCCACCAAGCTTTTAGTGGTCTTGGTGTAGCCAAGGCTGGCATTTGTTATGATAACTCTTTCACTGAGACTTGTTCTGTCTTAATTACAGTTAAATAAAGAAAAAATGTAAATATTAAGTTAATGTCAATTGACACCTAATATTTCACATTCTTAATGAGTTGACTATAACCAAAAATCACAATTTTTTTTTCATTTTTCACAGGGATTATCTCCAAAAGCCTTCCATGAGCTGAAAACAGCTCAAGTTAAGCTTTTGGTCACTCACACCCATGAGTAACTCATTTATGCCTCTAGTTATAGTAAAACTTTTCCTTTTTTCTTTTTACCACATAACTGAAAGTATGCACACCATCTTCCATAGTCTTTGACATCGTTTTATTTTTTTCCTTTAACTCAGACATGAGCTATATCAGCTGGTCTTACAACTGATATGACGTGTCACACCTACCACCAAGTGACACTTCTGAGAAAGGCGGAAGTTTCCGCTGAAACATGTCATGGTACGTGAAAAAAGATTCCATGTCTGAGATAAAGGAAAAAAAGAAAACGATTTCTAAGAAACTGAGGACATAATGAACATCATTCAACATAGTCTTTGACATATTAGTTAGAATATTTTATGGATGTTTTCCTAAATTTATGTCTTAATTCCATTGATGGTTTGGAACATTTTAATTTCCTTTTATTTTTTTATATCTATTTTACAGGTTTATTATAATACTTTTTTTTCCTCTGTCTTGTGGGCATTAAAAGTACATTCTCCTGACTAACACGCATCAGTATGACTGTACAACCTTCTTTGGTTGTTGGTCAAGGGCTCAGCCTATAATTGAAGGCCCTGCCTTCTGTTTTCTTGGCATAGGTTTGAGGTAATTTGGGAAGTTCCTAAATGAAGAACTGAAGCCCTGGTTGCCCTCTTTGCCATCTAGAAGCAGGATTTATCGGAAGTTTGGCCAAGAATCGTCATTCTTTAAATGAAACAAGCACTGCTGGAGATCCTTTTGGTTGAGAGTCTGTCATTCCAACAACTTCTAAAGCTACCAATTTCTGCTACCAGACCTTCAGTGCTTCTGCTGGGTCTTCTCTGGATTAACAGACATGCCTGCTGCCTGCCTGTCATCTTAGACTCCTATGCTTGAATTGAGTTTGAGTTTGCTACTCTCTGGCCCACTGTCCAGTTGACAATCCTCTTGGCCTTCATCCAGCCTATACCTTAGTCAGACTGTCTCCTGGATTCTAACACTCTGTCCCAAGCTACAAAAAGCTGTCTGCCTTGTATCTATCTCCAGTCTTCTGGGCTTTCTTCAAACCATTCTCATGTCCGCGCCTGCCTAGTAGGCTACCCTCCAAGTTGCTCATCCCATTGTCCCCGAGCAAATCCAGACATCCTACCTGCTACCTGGTTGCATGTCTAGGGGAATAACAGATCATAAATGTCACAGTTCGGTTCTGTTCAGTTTAGAGATGTAGGGTTTTACAGACCTACCAAAAAAGCAAGAATTTTCTACTTTGCCATGCCAAAATTTCAAGACAAGATGTGTCTCTACAACTGCAGTGCTTGCATGAGTGGGAAGATGCCATGTCTCTGGCTTGAGGCTCACAGGAAGAAAGAACCAACAGTGTCCAAAGAATATTGATATCAGTCAAGCTTCATTAATAAACATTTGGAGGACTATTTTTTGCAGCCAGTGCATGCGTCATGCTGCTGCCCCTGGTGTTGCCAAGTGTTTTTTTGAGGGAGCTCCTAATGATCATCATCTCTTTCAATGCTGCTGATCAGTTTTGCTAAAGGGATTACACCTCAGGCTCCCCCTAACTCGGATTCAGAGCTTGCAGAGAGTGGGCTGACATTGGGCTAACATAGTGTCTTTTTTCCATGTTTCTATTAGTTTCAGGCAGAGGTGAGTGCTTCAACACACAGTAAGAGTTGGACACAACTTATTGTATGTCATTTTCAGTCAATCAGCAGATCCCACAGGGTTCGGACTGTGAAGGGTAACTGGACAGAGTGGGGACCAACTGTGATCCAGTGCACCACCACCTGTATCATTAACTTTTAACTTTGCCTTGTAGTGCTGCAGCTTCCTACTGGACTCCATCATCCTGAACTATCAGCCTGACTTTTCCCTCACCAGCAAAGAAGAAAAGGAGGACCTCTTGTGCCTGAGGCCTTCTGCTCCCCACTTCACTCATCTAAGTAGTTCTTCTCCATGTCCCTTCAGTATTCAGACATAATGTCTGAGATTTCTTGCCCTGCTGACCTTTTGCTGTCTCTTATACTCCTATCTGTTCCTTCTACCAGCTCTATTCAAGGTTACATATGGATTATCAGCTACTTCTTTAGGATTTATTTTTTTAGCCTGTAAATGTGATGTGTATTGTAAATGATTTAATAAAGACTTGACAGAACTGTTGCTCCCTGTCTGGTTGTCTGCATTCAAGTATTTTCCCTTGCTGCAAACCCTGTTATATGAGTACCAACCCACGTAGCTTTGCAGGCTTGTGTGTTGGTCAACAGCTATCAGAGCACCTAAAGAAAAACTGCCACAGCAACCATATGATGTCTAACACCATCTGACTTGATTAAATAAATAATCAAGCAACATGTATAAAAAGGCTGTCATTTAACCAAGAGCCCAACTAAAAACTCTCCGCGACACCTCCAGTTTTTATTAACTCTGTGCAGCAAGTTGGTATCTTTACACTCTTTGTTTTAGTTTTATGCATCTCAGCTTTACTGCTACTCTTGATGTCAGTGAACAGCTTGATACAAAAAGGTATGGTAAACTTCTAATTGATGAACACCTAAATACCAAAAAGTAAGGTATATTCTTCAGCAGCTGGTGGAGAACACAACAACCGAGCAACTTCGCTAAACCTAACTAAAGATTGGAACAGGTTACATAACAATAATAATCTTTCTTTATACAGCACTTTTCAGAAAAGGGTTATAAAGTGCTCTATAAATAAAAAAAGGGAAAGATAAAAAACTAAAAGAGAAATGTGAAGAATATATGACTTAATATTTTAGACAAAAAAAGTGGTGATTTGACAGTGAGGCCTCTATTTTTGTGCATCGCCGGCGACGTGGCGCAGCCCGGCATAAGTATTCCCCCTCCCTAACTCAGCTCCTCCCAGCGGCGTAAATCATAGGGAGGGAGGAGAGAGGGCGTAGAGTGGGTAGCTGAGACCTGAATTGACCAATAAAATAAGCTCCTCTCCTCGCCTTTAAATCTGCCACCGGCGAGGCGTATTACAATTTTGATTAACTTCATCTTGTGTCTATTTACTAGATATTTAATTTAATTTAACGCGGTTTCAGCTGTGTTGACTCGGTCAGGTTGAGTGTCCAAACGCGTGCCAAATGCGCTCATCAGATCAGATCAGAATATATCTATGTAGATCTAAATGTATGTGCTGACTCAGATTATTAGTTGTTGATGATTATTTATTGCACTGAAATGTGCCTGACACTGTGGAAACCTGGCGGTGAGGCATCAGTGACGTATGCCGATACGCCGCTGGTCTAGCAAAATACCTCTAGACCAGCTGCGCTCTGCCTCCGCTGAAAGCTGACCAGGTTTGAATCAGCAAGCTTTCAGCGCACTTTACACGCAGGCGGCGAGCACAAAAATGTCACTGCGCCAGCTGATTCTGTCGCCACCACACCCAGCTTGGTGGACTTCGGTGCGCCTCAGTCCACGAAAAAAACAAACTGGCTGTACGCCAGGCTCCGCCAGACGATTAACCACTGCACGGGGTCCGCCGCATCGCGGGCGGACACGAAAATAGAGCCCTAAGAGTTACAAAAAAACAGATGCAAAAGGTGGACACACAAAAAATAGTTTACTGGTATATATATACAGTACAGGCCAAAAGTTTGGACACACCTTCTCATTCAAGGCATTTTCTTTATTGTCATTACTATTTAAATTGTAGATTCTCACTGAGGGCATCAAAACTATGAATGAACATGTGGAATCAAGTGCTTAAGAAGAAAATGTGAAATAACTGAAAACATGTTTTATATTTTAGATTCCTCAAAGTAGCCACCCTTTGCTTTTTTGATAGTGCTGCAAATGTTTGCTGTTCTCTCAATGAGCTTCATGAGGTAGTCACCTGAAATGGTTTCTACTTCACAGGTGTGCCTTGTCAGGGTTACTTTGTGACTGACAGAGTCGGTCACTAAGTACTTATGTCATCAAGAGCAAAGGGTGGCTATTTTAAAGAAACTAGCATATAAAACATGTTTTCAGTTATTTCACACTTTTTTTTATCAGTAAAAAATTCCACGTGTTCATTCATAGTTTTGATGCCTTCAGTGATAATCTACGATGTAAACAGTCATATAAAAAAACAAAGAAAAGACACTGAATGAGAAGGTGTGTCCAAACTTTTGGCCTGTACTGTACATACATACGTACATATATATATATATATCTATATATATATATATACACATATATTTATATATAAAAGCTGCTGCCAGTAATAGACTTGGAATAAAAGTGGCGTCTTAAAAATAAAACTGACCTAACATTGGTGAGTCTCCTCAGCTGTAAAAGAACAAGGTTTTCTTCATTTTTTTTCGGCATTTGGTTGGAATATTTTGTGGCAGGGAGCCCATATTTGTCACCAGTTCTGCTGAGCCTGAGCCAACAGTCATTATCTTAATTTTATCTAGATTAACCTGAAGGAAATTCTGAGACATTCAGCATGTTGTTTCATTTTAAAATACAAAAGTTGAAATTACTGGGATCAAAAGACAGTACGGCCGGGTATTATCCACATATGAGTGAAACCTTACATCTTGTCTGTAGATGATTTTAGAGAGGGAGAATGAAGAGAATCGGTCTAAGGTTGATAACTTAGTTTAATGATTTTCGCACTAAAAACATCATAGCAAGTATAAGTCTTTTTTTTTCTCCACTAACCAGTAAACTATTTTTTAATGAAATCTCACTGTCTGACAAGGACATGCCTCTGGTAAGTATGGCCAACACTCTAGTGAAGCCACTGGTTTAGAATTAATTACTTTCAGCCAAGACTTTCCTGCAGGCTGAATTTTTCAAGGTCCACCCTGCATTATGAGAAGCTGCCAAGTGTTCAAATCAAAAACAAAGCAAAACTTACACCTCCAGATACTTCTGCATAATAAACACTATCATTTCTTGTATATAACATCCCAGAGGAGCACCTGGGTGTAGATTACGTCTGGTGGGTCTCAGCTTCACTGTAAAGAGTAAATTTCATGGAAGTTTAATTCTGACTTAACTAACTGATTAGGCCTGTCACGATAACAAATTTTGCTGGACGATAATTGTGCTACAAATTATCGCCGATAAACGATATTATTGACACCGTTTTTTAAATTATAGATAATGGTATGAAATGGCATAATAATGCGAGTACACCGTGTCAAAAGTGATAAACTTTAATTTCACCCACGACGAAGACGTAACGTTGACGAGCTAAACATAAGTCGGAGATGACTAAAATGTTACGAGACGAAAGTGCGTTTACGTTGATGGGACGAGACGAAAATGACGAACAGAGTTGCAAAACTCAGTCAGTTAAACGATAACCATATAGGAGCAGCTTCAGTCCGCTCTGACAGCTCTCATCAGCCTGCTGTGCTCCTCCAACACACAGACACACGGGCGCGCGCGCGCGCAAACACGTGGAGTTTTGTGGTTGACGAAAACAAAACTGGTTTAAAGCCGAAATATTCCCACACTTGGGCTGTTGCGTTCGGTTTAGACACCAAAGCTGTCGTGTTCATTCTGTTAGCTTGCTTTTCACTCACGACGCTCACTTGCAGCACTGTATCCAAAGGGCTATGTCTGTGTGCCTGTGCGCGCCTACGTGTACCTGCGCGCGCGCCCCCTCGTAACAAAGACACTGAATGACTGACAGGAGGGTTCACTAACTCCGTTCATTCCGCTATACAGCCAACGCCCCCAGGTGCCGAGAAAAATGCGCAGAGTGAGACCTCTTCTCTCATCCAGCGTGTTTGGTAGCGAGAGAGGAGGAAAACAAACGCACGTAAATTATCGAGGCTGGCAAAATGACCGACCTCGTTTTTATTTATCGAGCGATAAGGCGATTTATTGATTATCGCGACAGGCCTATAACTGATAAGAAGTAGAAAAAAAATTCCTGTATATGTAAGAGGTCTCAAGTTTACCTAGATAACAGAATCAGGGCACGGTTTTGTGAAAAGAAAAATATGGAGCTTTGTCAGGTCTGTCTCCAGGAGTTGGAGAAAACAACTATTGAAATGCTTCTAAGTTAAAAGGAGATTTGATCCATTGTTTCTGAAGCACTGAAGGAGGGTCAGGGAATCTAAAAACGCTTGGGTTGAAATGTTTTAATCTCGAATAGTTTGTTTGCCCTACTTAAATGCAGATATCAGTATATAAAGATAATAAATTGTCTGATAACTGCTGGTGGGAGCACAGTCATTAGGGCAGATTATCCCCCACTTCTGCTTTCTATTACGACGGCCCCCACTTTGGTGTTATATTGGTGACCACACTGATTTTGTTTTATCTCTTCCGAGGTACCTGCAGAGCTAATTGGAATTATCAACTCCGACGTGGAGCACCTGGGCCCGGCGCTCCACACCTGGTTTAAAAGACGCTCCTAGAGATCTTGCTCTCTCTCTCTCTGGCTCCCGCTGCACCCGACCAGCTTTGCACCATTGATTTAGTTTAAACTTATGTTAGTGCACTCTTCAACACCCTTCACTGCACCATGTTCACACACCCACATGCACACTACTGATCCTGCAGATTCTACATACCTCATGCTTAGTTGTTTATCCGTCTAAAATCTTAATTTGTAATAAATCTCATTTCCTATTGGCACCGTGGTTTCCTACCGTTGCCTTTTTGTCACAGCTCATAAACCGGGTTATGACACTAGGCACAAACTTTTTCTTTTGCATGCACAAGAGCCTGCTATTGTGATTTTTTTTTTAGTGCACATAGATACGACAAACAGAAATCAGAACAATTCCTTCAGTTTAGTGTGAATAGTGACCTCCTGTGTGCAGATTCTACATTTTTGTAGTATGTGCTGTAATAAAACCTTAGTTCTCTGAGTGAATTAAAAATAGATGATTGACAGTGCTATAACTATGTGTCCTACCTGGCAGTACTTTTGCCCATTTGACCACTTTGACCAGTTGTCTCTCTCCCAGCTCGTTGAGGCTGGTGAGGAGGGTGGCAGCTGAGTCTGGTTGGCAGTAGTCATGCCCAGCATTCACCACCTCAGGCTCAATGGACTCCAGGATGTTGAGGAAGGCCATTTGGGAGTTGAAGTTCAGGCCTGTTTTCGGAGATACATTCTGCATTAAATCTGGATGTTCCTGATTGGGTTGATTCTCTTCAGGGTTTTTCTGTTGTCCAATCTTCTTTAGTTTACGTGCTGGAATAAAAAAAAAGGCATCTAGGATCAGTTTAGTCATAAAAAGGCATGCTGTGATTATCACTGTTCAACTATTTTGGCACACAATCCTCAACCCACCAGACTTGCATTTGTCTCACAAATGCAACATGACAATAATGTCTTTGTTCCACTATGCACGGGAGAATTAATGCTCGATTGAACATCTGAGCACCCTTTACTTAGAAACACCAATCATTTGAAATTGTAAATTCATAATTGATTGTAAGACCTGGATATGAGGTCAGCTTTGATGTTCTAATTTTATTATGCACTCCTCAACTGGACCCATTACTGCTCAGTTAAAGGGGGTAAAGAGAATTAATGTAGGAGGCTGTAAAGATACCACAGGGTATTCTTTGAACGTTCACAATAAAGAACTAGAAAAGCACTCAGAGAGTGCAGACCTCCACCAAGCAGCTCATGTCCCCCCTTATATTGTGATTCACACCAAAACTTTTACTGTTACGTGTCTTTTATTAACATTTATTTGTGTTTAAACTGGTGTGTTCACTGTTCATAAAACAAGAAACACCCTGACTGGGATTCAAACCCAGCACCTTCTGGTTGTGAGGCGACAGCGCTAACCACTACACCAATGTGCCACTTATCTACACCACTGTGCCGCCCATTGGTTATCTTTTAGCATTGAAAATTCCAACAACACCCTTAGTTTTGTGTGTTGTGGGTCACAGTATCCAGAATTTTGTCCGGATCACCACCAAAATGTAATGGGATCCTCCTGAGGCTGAGACGCACCTCTGGTGAAAATTTCAGGTCAATCCGTCTGTAACTTTCTCTGTAAAGTTGCTAACAGACAAACAAACTCACAAACAAACAAACCAACGCTACCGAAAACATAACCTCCTTGGCAGAGGTAATAATCATTGATACTGCGTCTACTGTAAGTACTTTTTAAATAAAAATAAATATATAACATCTTTGTAGTTTATCACTTTATTGCAGAATCTGGTCATATACCATTAAACAGGGGTAACTGATTTTTCCATTGAACATGAGCCAAACAAGCAAACAAACTATGCATGTTATTTCGCTTTCCAAACCATCCCTCACAAATATCTCATACTGCAGCTGTGGATTTTAAGTAACCTTTTAGGGATCAATTTTACCGAACAATACCTGCACTGAGTTACTAATAGCTTTGAAGATTTTGAATCATGTTCCATTTGAAAGAAAACTCTCAGAGCAGATGAGCCTCATCTGGTGAAAAGGCCTGTGGTCACCATGTGTGAGAGCTTTCTGGTGATGCAGATGGATTAATGAATTTTTTTTTCCTGGTATTACATTTTTTTTTTTTTTTACCTCTCATAAAAGGTTTTGCAATAAGTTGAAAAGAAATTGTTGGATTAAACCGATCACAGGAAAAATATATTGTTGCTTCAAATTTGTGTTTCCTTTGTGCAATACAAAATGTATTTGGATCAATAGATTAAAAACAGACGAAAAACAATAATTACTTTATATAAAAAGGACAAAACAAACAGATGTGCATCCGTATAGCTGTAATAAAAAAAACTGCAATTTCTTTCCCCTCAAGTGCTGAAACTCCTCAGGCAGCTGCTCCTTACGACAACCTGCACTTACAAACACAACAGGAGCTGCCTTTTCTCCTCTGTAATGGTGGAGTATCCTGCCATGTACGATAAGTGGGGATACAATTAAAATGTTTAAAAATTGAATCTGGCTAAACAGCTGCCGAATAAAATTGGTAACCAGACAAATTTCCAACCATGCACTGCACTATTCGCTACTCTTGATAAGCCACTGTTTCATCACTGAAAGTATTAAAGCTCAGCTTCAGCTCAGCTGTTATTTGAGCGAGACAGCTGAGCATGAGCATGAGTGATTGACACTTACAAATGGTGACTGTGCACATGGAAGAACAGACATACAATTATTTGTTGATGACTGTAAAGACTGATACTCGAAAGACCTTCAAATAAATGCAATCTAATTCGTTTGACATTTATTGTGACGGTTAAAGAGGTTAAGAGAAATCTGAAAAATCCTAAGACAGGGCAGTGTATTCTCTCTTTCTTTCTTTCTTTCATTCATTAAAGTTATGCTGATTGACAGCGAAATGAATAATCATTGTCATGCAATTTTCTCCAGCAGCTTCTTTGCTTCTTTCTACGGCTCATTAAAACTGCTGCCTGGCTTTTCAGCTCATTTGGATAAATATTGAATTGCCTGTTATAGACACAGCTTAAGTCTCTCAAAAGTAGCAGGGTTGAAAGCAAATTGCAAATTGTATAAGGGGGGATAATTTGCAAGTCTCCCAATTCATTGTCTGATCCAATTACAAACACTTCAAATAAAATGGTTAATTAAAAATCAGACCTGTGATCCTCTATTGTGACACAGGCAGGCGTCTGATCTTTGCAGAGCCAAGTGTAAATAGGTTGAGTTGAGCTTTTCTCAAGATCTACTTTCTTCACTGAAGCTGATACAAAGAGGAGATAGACATCCATGTGATAGAATCAAGCATATCAGATTTAGAGAAACAATTCAGTGGTTCAAATGATTTCAGTTTCAAAGAGTAGCGCATCATCTGACCAGGACATTAATCCCAAGCATCTTGATTATATCTTGTTCCTGACTTGAACTGACCTGACCTCCTGAATAAGCCCATTTTCCCTCAGATAAAACTGCCTGTTAAATATATTGGACATAATCTGTCTGGTGTACCCACACTTTCACTGTCCTTCACTTTAAGTTTTATCAGCCCCCTCATCATCATGATCATAATCAGCATCGGTATTGTGACTACCTCTTTCGATTGCTAGGTGCGAGTTTGATCGAGGTCGGTTTAGTACATGTCCTCCTCTTTAAAACCCTCTCTGTGATGTGCCCCTCTGAAAATTCTGCTTTTCTCTCCCTTTGGTGTCCAGGCTGAAGATGTCATTACATCATTAGCTCAACAATGTAAGTTGTGTTTCCGGGATTGTGTGAGAAGGAGCAGTGTGTTTGAGAGTCTGACACAAAGAGGGAAAAAAAAAAATGAGACAGCCTTCCACAAAGTCGCCTGTCACACCTCCTATTACTCTCCAGTTGGCCCATCATTAAGCTATCAGGCACAATCCAGATAACACTCTGCGGTTTTAACGGATAATACTGTCCATTAAAGCTCTTTACGAAATAAAATGAACTCATAAGATTATATCAAGAGTGAAAGGGTTATACAAATACATGCATCACAGTTATGAAACTCAATTTTTGAACTAATAATGGGCTGTTTCATAACCCTTTCACACAGAAATATCTTCATGAAGAGCTATCTTTGATTTAGAGGTGATATTTGCATTTCTTCTTTCATTCCTGGGCTTGTATCCATGATAATATTTAGAAAGCAAAGGCTCACTAGCTATTAACACATATCCACACTTTTCAGTAACTTGATTCTCAGAAATGTAGCCTGACTCCATTGAAAACATAAAAACCTCCCATTTCAATGATCTAACTAAACTGACCATTAAAGCCACCGTATTAACTCGAACCACAAACTGTTTCTTCTCAGAGATAACAAGAAAATAAAGCCAGGGTAAGGCCTGAACAGAGAGTGGGCATTCGCGACTCAAAAAAAAAAAAAAAAACAGTTTGCACCAAACAATAAAAAGTGAGATCTGCTTAATCAAACCAAAGTGACATGCTTTAACTCTGAGAGTAAATGCCCATCAGTACATGTGGGATCAGGCTCTTCAGTCCACACATGAAGGGGAAGCATAGGAGGCATTTTCCCGTATTGGTCTGGTAGTGTGCTGAACCACATGGAGGACTGGCCACTCAACCCGTATCCACAGCAACAATCACATGGAGCAACAGACCACCAGCTCGAATGATTTAATGTTTCCCCATGATGTCTTGCATGTCATCTTAGCATATGGAGACATAGTTCATGAACTAAAGCTAGGTATGTATATATAATCCATTACTATAGAACGATCCATGCGGGCCATAATGTGATCCCTGAGCAGAGCTTGTAATAACTGCAGTGAAGATACAGATGATTCATTAAAGAGAAGATGAGATATAATACAGATCGGTCATGCTCCATCCCTGACTCCAAGCACACAATCTGCCCTGCATTTCTGCGAAGAGCCCACTTAAAATACACAAACTAATGACATGATCAGGACAAGTGACCACAAGATTTTCCCTCTCTTCCTTCTCAAATATGGCGGATTTGAGATGCCTATTTCTCCTCCACTGTGTCCGAGGGACTGATAGTAATTTCTTCAGCCATTCCTAAATGTGAAGAGCCTGCGCATCAAAACTGGCTCCAGAGCTTATCACTAATGTTCTCCCCACTAAAACCACATGTTGATGCAAAGTCTGAAAAGGATCAGAAATCTCTCACAAGCACTTGGTGCTGACTCAAAGAATATCAGTCAGAAGACATCAGCGCTCGCATTTGAATATTAAAAATTAATTATCAGAAATTGAAACTGCTCTCTGCATTTCAGCTCTCAGCTTTCATCAGCGCTTCATCAACAATGTGGATCTGACTAAACCAAAAGCAGAAAACACACTAAAGGATCACAGTTGAGAATTTGGTCGTCTTTTTCATTTTAACCCCAAATTTTCCCTCTGGGTATCAATAAAATCTTGGATTATCTACTCTTGTTTCTGTTCTTGATTTGTGTCACTCTCCATTTCTGTCTGATGAAACAGACTATGTGATGTGAAGTGATGGACTACAGAAGATGCCCTGATAAATGTCACCAAACTGGTGTAGGTATCAGATGTACTCAGGTGGATAGATCGGCTAGTGGTTCTGCTGTGATGCTACACAACGTGGTGACTATACATTTGCGTGACATTTCACATTGCAGTTGGCTGTTCGTCACCCAAACGTATCTTTTATATTCGCTGTACTCGTAAAACTCTAGGCTAACCAGACCGCTAGCAAAGTTGAACAAGAAATACCGTGTTCAAGTATGTACTCATTATAGCTTTTGAAAAGGAAACTGAGAAGAATCCTTTCCTGTGTCGGAAGTATAACAATACAAGAAAAGCACTACATGTAATTGAAAAAGTAAATGAGAACAATCTTGTTCTAGTCTTCTGAGACTAGTTTCGCAAAGGTTTTGATTTCATAAGGTGGGAATTCCCCCGTTTTGTAATGTTAAGATTTTTGTTTCAGTGAAGATTTAATAGGTTGTATTCTGTGATTTGCAAAGGGGCTGTAGTTAAGGCTGCCTAGTTGGCCCTAGCCTCTTCAACTTGATTATTGAACCTCTAGCCCTTATATGATGCATCAGGAGAAAGATCTAAAGGAAATTATGGTGGGAGGAGAGGACTATAATGTGAGTCTGTATGCAGATGATGTTGTGGTCTGACTTGTAGACCCAGATTTAGGTTTACCTTTACTCATGAAAAGACTTAAAACATATGGTGTATACTCAGCGTTTGTCTTTAATGTTTAGAAAGTTCTGATTATGATCTTTAAATGTACCAAAAAAAAAAAAAATATATATATATATATAACTTTTATAACTTTTATACCTTTTGACTGTAAACCACTTTTGTATGAAAAGCCTTTTATGAATAAAGTTTGATTTGACTTGATTTGATTTATCGGTGCTCCTCTCATATCAAATACCTGACGTAAACTTGCTCATAGACCTTCCACAGTTGTATGACATCTACCATAATCCCATTAACAAGAATTATAAAATGACCTCAGTGGCTTAAGATTGCTCCCTCTGGACCTTGGCGGCAGAATTGATCAGTAATAATAAACATTCTCTGTTTTCTTTTATCATATGAATTAATAATCCCTTACATTCCATTTTCCAAAGACATGACAGGAAACAAAATGTTTGGTCTTTGATTATTCTTTGTGTAACTCCTTTTTTTTATTGTGTTACTTGGTGACAATAAAAACTGTAGGCTTTTTTAAAAAACTTTTCGGAGGCAATTTTGTACAAAAGATTTTCTTACCTGTCAACATTTGTTTGGAAATGGGTCACACCCACATTGTTTGTGAAATGCTGACATAACTTTGGAGCTAGAATGCATTTGTTCCTTAAATATGCTTTGATTGAAAACAAGTAGTTGACTTTACTGCTAGTTCTGGCATCTCATTTGCTCATGAGGCCTGTTAAAGGCCTTTTTAAGACACCTTTGACTTAAGGGTAGTCACCATTTTCTATCGCCTCTTTGATTGCGATTGTGGAAAATGTTGCAGTGGTATTTTCCGATTATTTCAGAAGCTGATGACTTAAAGCACTGAAGCTGGAAATGCATCATCTGAAGGAAAATTTGTTGGTGACTTTTTTGATAAACTTTAGAATTTTCTGTCATTTCACAGAAATATCTTGAATACAAAGCTTCTGTGCTTTGAGCTTCTCTAACCACGGCTGTTTTCAGTTTTATATAATTCCACATATCCCCTTGAGTCTAGGGCTTGGAAAAAAATGAACACACTTGATTCTGTACTAAGTAAACATGACATGCCCTTTTCTCTTAGTGACATTTTAGGAGTATTACTGGTCCATTCATCAAGTAAATAACCTTGTGATCAATCCAATCTCTTGATTTATCAATCTGCGAATCCTTTGCAGCCATGACGTCATCATAACCCCGAATAACCCTTAACTAAAGATAACTAACATTAAAAAATATTTTCAGTGCACTTTAATAAGATATGACACTGTTACTACAGCAGCATTAACTTACTATAACCCTACTACTGACTTGTTATGAGCCCTCAGGGCACAGGGTTAGAGTTTGGTTACCCACAGAGTCTTTGTATTCATTCACTCCTCCACATTAGGAGCAGGTACTAGCTAATTTTCTTTTTTCACAACCAACCAACAGAGGACATCAAGCTAAATGAGGACATGCTATAGAGGTCAAAGGTGGTTTGGGGACACTTTGAGATCTTTTAAGCTGAAGTCAGAGGCAAATTCAGGGGGAAATTAAATTTCAGCTGCTAAACTGGGTTGATTGAATTAACGTAATCATGAAAAAGTGATGTTGATGGCTAAACGTCAAGGAAAGAAAGAAACTCTGTCAAACATGAGTATCCCCCATACTCAGGATGCAAAGTTGAAATGTTTAATAGTTAATGCATAAAAAACTGTCATCACAAATATTACAATTATTTTCTGGAAATGGCAGACAATTCTTCTTTACATCACGACCCCTTAAAAAAAGATGAAAATTTCAGAGAGGCAATAGATCTAACCTGCGCTCTCTGAAGTGGCTTTAGTGTACAGTCGGGATGAAGACATAATTTGTCTTGGATTTATGAAGAGTGCTATTATCACCAGGAAAGTCGGAGGCTGAGGATTTACTTTCTTGGAGAAAATGATAAATCAGTGACTCATGTTTGTATCTCAACCCAAGACGTTAAAGTGCAGATGTGTAGTTAGCTTCCTCCTTATCGCAGAAAATGAGACTCACTGCTTTCAAAGTTTGGCAAACGCAACCTTTCTGCCCAGCTTCTTTTTTGGATGCAATTAAAATTCCAGAAATAATATGGAATTGGAATGACAGAAATGAAACCATCCAGTAATTTGTAATAAGTATGCTTGTCAATCTGGAGCAGATGCCAAACTAAACAAACCCAACATTCAGATTATTGCTTCTATTCAGAACCCCCAAACTATGAGGAAAATAAAATACAGATTTCTCTGATACCATCCGGAGATTGCAAAGTTTATGAGTGGATTGATTTGACTGCCAACTTTAAAGTAAATGAATCAAATTCAATTAGAAAAAGCAGACATCTCTTTTCTTTCAGCATTTTATGACTAGGCTTTAAAGTATTTTGAGTTAAAACCCACAGGGATAGTAAGACCTGATGTATAATTTTTCTGCCTCTGCTTCTACAAATGATTGTCATAAATTTTCTCTTGAAATGCAGCGAATGAATTACATGTCTGGGATGAGAACCACAGTGAAAAGAGGCTCTTTTTAGACACAACTAGAAAAGGTGTGCCTTTTTACTTACAATCACAGCATTAGATCACATTTTCCCTCCATGGGTTTGTCAGTGACTGGTGGCAAAATTGCCAGCATGTCTGCAGCTTTAATTCACATGTCTCATGTCAGCTTTGTGCTTCAGGCACAATTTTCACCGTTAACAGAATGAGAAAATGGAGGAGAGTGAAAATTGAACATAGGACTAAAATTAGTCCACTACATGTCAATCTTTACAGCCTAATATGACGAGCAGGTCTGGGTGACAGTAAGGAGAAGTGAATGGAAGAGGTCTAAATTGCATGGCAGCTCAGCCAGGGCCTGATTATCAGTAACATCCCCTATTGTGATGATGCTGCAATTGAAGAGAGCCGGCTAAGATGTGCTGCGGAGAGAATAAAGTACTTGGTCTTGCGAAACCATTAATAGTTTCACTTTTAAGACTTCACTTTCTCTGAAGTGCGCTTTGTTCACACAGTGTTTATTATACCCTATACAGTGCAAATGTATGTGATTTGAACTGTGGTCTGTGACACTATGTCATCACCATATTCGTCTCTCTGACGCCTTGCTCAAGATAAGGTAATAAGAACTTTATTGATCACTGAAGGGAAACACAATAAGGTGAAAGCTCAAATGTTGTACTTTGGTATTTATGGCTGCGTGTCAGATAAACGTAGCCAAGCTGACATTCGTCATCAGTTTGTATGACTAAGCCGAACCGTGAAAAATTGTAAAAAAGAAATAGGAGGATCAACAGGCCATAGTTCAAAGTTTAACAAAATTACAATGCAGTGGGTAATATTAGATTTCAACCTCTTCCCAGCTGACAATACGATAACAAAGAGACACATTTTTGGCTCACATCACTCAGGGTAGAACTGTTCTCCTATTTCATCATGGTAGCTAACAATAAATGGATCTAGACAGTGGAAATAATAATGTGAACTGATGGTTAACTGTAGCTTAATGATTCCAAAAGAGCACAAAATTCCCCCTTCAAACATTACTGTACAGTGTTTTTTTCAGTTGGTGATCAATCCAGGAGCTGACGATGATTATCACTCCATATAGGACTCACAGTTTTGAACACAGCAGCCTGACATGATGACAGCATTTGAACTTGGACATACTTTCAGTGACATATCTTTCTGGTTTCAGGTCATGAAGCTAAGGGTTGATGATCAATATGTTAGAAACACTTTTTTTTTGCCAAACCAAGAGACAGACAGAGCGGTAGAGTTGAGGCGGGTTCTCAGCCACCAGTTACAATGTACTAGCTTGTAAGTCAACTCAGACACACCACTTCTAGTGCAAATCTATGCATAGCTCTTAGCTTTAATATAATCAAAAGTGAAGAGTCAAAAAAATGTCTCACCCTCTGAACGTTTACTACCAAAGAATAACCTGTAATTCTGTACCAGCCTGCTGATAATTGGCCATTTAATAAGGGTGTTGATGTGACTTCCTTGGCTGTTGGAGCCAGCCTCAAGTTTTTACACTTTTAGATTGTCTTATGTTGGCTTCATTTTATGACACCTGAAGCTGGATGATTTTATCTTAAGTGTATAGTTACTAACTTTTAAAACACATATTAATCCAACCTACCTCCAAGTGTCATTCCAGCTTCAAAACACTTCTTCAGCCGACAAGATGGGCAATTCTTCCTCCTTAGCTTGTCTATAGTGCAGTCATTTTTGCTTGCGCACAAGTATTTCTGTTTGCCTGCAAGGACAGAGAAACCAGAGGTTACTTATAGAGACATCTGTCTAAAGAATGACCCTAAAAAAGTATGAGTGTGTGGGTTACAACCCTCAGGACTTCAGTTACCCCCTTTAAGTTTTACCTTCTGCTGCTCTCTTAAAGAAAACTTTGCAGCTTCCACAGGTGAGTGCTCCATAATGGCAGCCTGACGCCTCGTCTGAACAGATCAGGCACATCCTCTGTGGTGGGAAGAAAAACTCCATGGGAAACATGTGCTCCCTGCCTGACTCAAACCTGCAGCAAAAGCACATAAAAAAGGATTTGGATGAAACATGAGCATTAAATATTAAATACACCTGTATTTTTAGCCTTTCCCAGCTACTCTTTGATTGATTGTGTAAAAGCCACAGTTTGCGTGTCTTATTTGGGTCATTGCACAGTATCTGTATTTCAGGACTTTTGCCTGTTTTTGACTTTTTTTTTGTACTCTTTATTGACTTATGAATTTATTGACCCATATTACAGCAAGCCCTGATCTCACTCATCAAAACAAGACCATAATTACTTTAAACCTGTTGAATACTTTCCAGACTAAAACTACAAAGCAGTTTCTGTTAACTCTCTAAAAACAGTGCCAAGGCCTCTCAGTGAGAGAGTGAAAGAGGGTTGAGAGCGTGATGACTGAGGACGGTGTGGGAGCACCAACACTGAGACTACAAGGGAGGGGAGGGAGGATAAGGGGGCCGCGATGGGTGCCTGACTTCAACCTTGAGCACAGAGAGATTGGAGGAGGCTCAGACATAACGTAGCCTTGGTGACGTGAAACCAAGATATCAAGGTTTTGAGTAAAACAGACAAGGATGAATCTCAACTGAAAATGTCTTTTTTGTCTGCTGACTGACTTTAGGTAACAAAGGATGTTATAAAAATGAAGAATACAATCAAAGTGGGTTTTTGCAAATGTCAAAATGTTGTAGTTTATGAAGGGAAAGATACACATTTATTGACATGAGCAGTAAAGCTGACCATGAACACACACCACAGGCCACTTTTTGAGCTTAACAACCTGGCAGACTTACTGAATGTTACAACACAATCAACTATAAGGGTAATAGGAATAAAAGAAACACAATACATTTTTAAAATTACAGAAATCAGCTAAAGGAGAGACATGTTCAGATGCAGTCAGACAATTCTGACTGTGTTAGATAAATGAAAACAGTATTTTTGTGCAAAGAATCCGTTATGAGGAAGAGGAGGAGCATATTTAGGACAGGTTTCTGTCTCACTGCTAATACGACATATTAAAACAGCTTCAACGTAAATCTTTTACACTCTTTCACCGTTTTAGTCTCACACAACTGTCTCTGTTTAGGGAGGACACAAACATCAAACTCACTCCTTTGCACTCCAAGAGACACAGTATTTCATGTAAATATAAAAACATCGACTGCTTAATTGTAATACATAAAATACAACCACACATAATTTGATACTTTGCCAAAACTCAAGAAAAGATCCTAAAAACGTGTTTAAAAAAAAAAAAACATCTGACTGAGAGTGAACCATTTCACATGTGAAATATTCCCACCTTTTTCTAAACTAATGAGTGGTTTTCATTACTTGATCGTGTTGACAGTGCAGGTCAGTCATAACCAATTTAGGCCATTTTCTGTGCACAATACTGTTTGATTAACGCAGCAGAAAATTCAGATTAGTCCAACTTCTTTGTGCTCAGTTTAACACGCTTCAATGCATTAGTAATATTTTAGTAGTAATTTTAAGCCACTTAGAGGTTGATCCAATGAAAAGTAACATAATGCTTAACATCATTTTTCTATTTCAAATTATCAGCTATTTGGTTTTCTTCATGGCATCTGCTAAACCCATACGTGTCCCAATGGGAATCAAGCTGCAGAGTGTTGTAAGATGTGATAAGTCTGCAGTATTTTGCTGATAGGTGAAATAGTGATTAAAAAAGTGTTTTTACTTATTTGGATGGTATTTTTGGCAGGTCCTGCCTATACGTAGAGGTCAGAAATTAAATCTCTTTGAAGGATTGCAGTGTCACTCTTGTAATAAGTAAGTAATAAACAAGTAGCCTACAGTGGCATCTTTCTTAGTCCCAAGTGAGGCAAAAACCATTATTTTTATTCCAATCAAAGTTATGAGAAAAAAGAAGCTTAAATGTTCTGCCCTCAGGCCTGACAGTCGGGATGTGGACCATATGTGGGTGACAGCCCAGTTGCTGTTTGTTTTATTTTATTCATGAATTGTTCTATTCATTAGCCCTGAAATTCTTCTTAACGGAGCATGCATAAAGGTAGAGATGAGCGGCATTTCACTCAGTGAAACGACACACAAAATGCAAGAATGCTGGGAACAAATTCAGAGATATGGATGAGATGCACTCAAATGCCGATTAGAGAAATGCAAATCTGTAAAGGCATCTTTCTGGCTTACTAAATTAAGTGAAACTGAAATGTGGAGCAGGGGAGGATCAAAGACCTTTTACTTGATTTAATTCAGCAACATTGTCCAGATAATTTGATGAATCTGCTGCTATGAACGAGCAGCAGGAATGGAGGTGATAAGCAAAAGGAAAGCTGGAAATCCCAGTTTTCAAGGTCTCTATACTTGTTCACATCCTGCTGTCCAACTAATCTATACTGCAAACCAAAAAGTAGCCCAGTGACCCTGGTCTGAGGTCAGGCTGGAGACCTTCAACACACATCTCTCAGTTTTTCTGTCTTTTCACTGCTGCTTAAAGATTCAGTCTCAGATAAATTTAAGACAGAAATCTTACATGTGTTTCTCTGCAGTGATATAAAACGGATCCTTGTTTATGATTTTCCGGTTGTTTTTTTTACAGTCATCACAACTTCAGTCTAAAACTAAAATCTGCTTTCTTTGTCTTTCACATGCTTCTGTCTGTATGTGCGCAGGCTTTTGGTACACTGAGCTCTGATGGTCTGAGAGATTAATGTCAGTGTTCTCAGTCATTTACCAACTCAGTGAAGTCACAGACGCCCAGTTAAGGGCATGATGTCTGCTGCACACATGGTTCCTACTGACTGAGAGGATTCAGGGTACTATCAAATTGAGATTGAGCTATGAAGTCCAATTTAAACAGTAAAAACTCCACCTTTGTAATAAAACCGTACAGGAAACTACCAAAACTAACCATGCCTTGTACTAATGTGGCTGTCAGCATGTCTGCTCTGGGATCTTGAGATCAGGTTACCTTGGCTTTGGGGTCATTCAAACAGAAAATTAAATTAAAATGTCTAGAGTTGTTATTGAAAATTGAAGGCAACTGTACAATTTTAGAATAAAGAGACAGAATCCTGAAACACAACAACCAATGCTCAAGTCAGCTTATAAACAGAGGTGAATCCAATGTTGCTGTAAATCAATTGAGTGTAAGTGTAAGTGTACTGCGTTTCTGGACTACATAAATACATTTCTGGAATAGAAACGGATGTAGGCTTAAAATAAAACTGATTTATCAGAAAACTTCTCAGTTGCTCACAGTCTTTGTTCTTATCTCCTTTTTTTATCTTAATCTTCATGTTCAATATCACACTCCTGTTGGCGGTCACATTGATGTTAGAAGCTGGTGTCCCAGACATCACAGCAAAACTAAAGACTTTTTTTGTTTTTAATTAAAGGACCATTAGAGAACATAACATCCAACAATAAAATGAACTGTTTTTATTTATTCCACATTTCATACAATCTTTAAAACTTCATTTTAATTTGAAGACTGTTAAAGCAGTTCTGGGTTGCAGATGTGACTCAAATATTTTGGATGGAAGCTTCTCAAAATGTTCTTAAATCATTTGAATACGACATTAAAAACTTGCTTTAGTTGAGTGAAAGTTCTCAGTGTGATTATTAAAGATGGTCTGTTAATCTCCTTAAAAAACACTCCTGTCTGCAGGAGACTGTGACTTTTTTTTTCATCTGTTGAGTTTGACATTTATGCGACTAATAAAAACAAGCAAACAATAAATGCTGCAGCTGTTTTTAAAGAAAGACCTTAAACTCTGAGAAATAAATAAAAAAGAAGAAGAATGAAATTCATCTTTTTCGATGATTGAAGTTCAGGTTGCATTTTGTTGCTTCTATTCCCAAGCAGACAGCAGAAAAACACAGGGGCCAGACTCTTGACACTGTCTGTGGTCAGATTAGGATTAGGGTCACAGTGTGGACAGAAAAGCATAAACAGGTCTGAGTGTTTTTGTTCAATCTATGTGTGAGAAAAAATGAAACACAACCTTTTGTGATCCTAAAGGACATTTTTGGAATTATTATTAGTAGTAGTAGTATTATTAGTATTAATTTACCTAGTGTCACTGTAGGCGACATCCAGCCACTCGCCCACCTCGCTCTTCACGTAAGTGGAGTTGGGATAGGGCGGCCTCAGCATCCCGCCCGGGTACCACTGCTCCGGACGCACCATGCTTCTCTCATATGGATTACATAAAAACGGTGCGTTTGTCCCCGTGCTCTCTGCATCCATGCACTGCCTTGGACCCCAGTCCTGATGGTTGTACTTCTCATTAAAAGTGTAATGACTTCCCCACAACGCCCCAGCAGGTTCGCCGTCCTCAGACTTGATTCTGACGCTGAATTGTTCCGGCTGATATCCACTGAATTTGGTCTCCATGGCTCCCCCGAAGTGTCTCGCTTCATCGGGGGGTTTGTACACCCGGCACGGCCTATCTGTGGATAAGTGTGCCAAGTTAGCTGGCGTAGACTGGGCGTAAGGGCAAGAGGCAGCACGCGCTGAGTCCAGGTGATCCATCTCGTCTGAAGTTATGTCACTACTGTTGCACAGCGTGAAGTTTTGGTCGTCCGCGCACGTCTGAGTGGAGGTGAGGTGTTGCAGTCGCGGGGCAGTCTCTGAACTTTTGAACATGTCCACCAGTTGCTTGGGTCCGCGCAGCTCATCCCGCTCGCTGTCAGCAGCCTGGGCGCGCGGACAGCTCAGTGGGGGCACGGCTCCACTCAGTAAATACTCTCCTCTTATGTGGTCACTTGTTGCGCACGGGGGCAGAGCGGCGTCCAGTTCGCTCGTGTCGGTGGGCTCCATGGTCAGTCCCAGCGACACGGACACAGCTTTGCACAGCTCTCTGGCTGTTTCTGAGATTGTGGCGCAGGCAGGAAAAGAGCAATTGTCGCCCACTCGGCAGTCAGCGTTTGACAACTCCTCCTGAGGAGCAGCAGCTGTCTGACAGCAAGGTTTCTCCATGTCACAGGCTAACGGGTTAACGTATCCGGATCCGTATACGCTTTGGTCCGCATTGTGGGATTGTTTCAGCCAGTCGGCGCCGTTTCCCGTCGAGTTTTTGACGAAAGGAACCCCACTTTCCTCCGTTTTTTGTGCCATACTGGGAGCGCGCGCACAGTCGCCTGCCTTTCTTTTCTCCCCCCCTAACCAAACTCTGTTACAAGATAACTGCCGGTCAGTCTGGCTCATCTCCCAGAAAGTGTTTGCTTGGCCACGAGGTCTGAAACTTTGCACGGCAGAAGTCTCTACAGGTCCCAGTTGTTGTTTCTGCTCAACCCAACTCTGAGGCAATGGAAACCGTGTTTGCTGAAGGTCCTGGAGAAGCTGCAGGAGTCACAAAACTCCTCCTAAACGGAGATCTTCAGAGTCGCTCAGGCTCTCTTTGATTTAACGCGAAATCCGTAAAGGACTTTAAGGTCCCTCAACTCCCCTCTTCATGGAAAGCAGGGCACTAAATGATTTAGTTGTAACTTGTCATTGACAGAAGCTTGGGGAAAGTGACATGTGACTCTCCATTTAATGTTAACGTGCAATGTCTTGGGGCACAGCTTATTCTTTATGTAATAAGTTTTTTTTTCCTCCTTTTTTTTTTTTTACTTGTTTGTGTTTTGTTGAACTTAGAAACTCTCTTGCTCAATTTGCTTTATTTTCTTGGCACCAGCCTCTTTTTCTCATATCTGCCCACACATTTGTTTGCTTTTTCAAGACAAACTGATAAACGATTACCAGAGTGAATAATTTTCCAGAGCTATCCCCTCAATACTACAAAGTTTACCTGCGGACAAAATGTCAGTTTTTGTTCAGTTACTAAAACAACTCAGATACACCTGATACCAGCTACATGTCTGTTGGCACTGACACAGTCAAAAGCCCTCTTTTCCAAAAGGGAATGTCAATTTAAAGCAGATTTTATTTTCATTCAGAGGAGTTAGTCAGCACTGGGAATAAATTTCAAACAGGGATCTTTAACTTTCAGTAATATACAACACATTTTCTGGCCGACATCTGGAAATGTTTGACAGAGCCATCAGGAAAGCAAACATTTTAAAAAGTCTTCTCACACTCTCAATTTATGAATCTGATTTTGTGCATTCAAGAGTGTATGTGCTCAGCCCCATAAACTCTGGATTATATTACTTTTAACTTCTCAGTAATCTTTCACAAACCCTCATTAAGATGTTTTTTTTTTCTTTTCAGTTGTTTTATTAAGCTGCTGAAGGAAACAAATTCTCCACCTTGACTTTGAGGCTTATTTTATTCTTGGTTAAAAAATGTTTTTTCTTTCTTTGTGTCAGTGACTTTGACTGAATTTTTGCTTTTAGTTTTCCTCACGTTGGCTCATTTATCAAACACATTTATATATGGGTGTATTGGAAACTGTACAAAAACTGGCTCTAGGTTAACTCTTGGACTTTGCAGCACCAGAAAAAAATTGGGAGCACCCACTGAAAAATAAAAGCACCACAATATACACATTTAGGATTCTTTTATTGAAAATAGACACTGGACTAGAGGCACTACTAATTCAAACCAATGTTACATTGTGACTGTCATCAAAAGGCTTTTTTTCCAACATCATCTCAGGTCATATATATATTTATTTACTTTATCTGTCAAGCTGTATTCATTACCTGACTCCTGACAGTTGCCTGTTCTTAACTCTTACCTATTTATCACTCTACTTGTGGCTTCTGTGTTTTTACTTGTTTTTGTAATTATTTTATGTGCATTATGTATTTTCCTCTAACACTTGTGCATGCCAGGGCTTTTTAATCGTGAACTTACACACTGTAACCAAGACACAAGGGTGAGAGAGAGGGGGGATGCAGCAGACAAAGTGAATCTGCATAAGATGTAAAAAGAAAAAAAAAGGATGCAAATGTAAAATTAAAACAGCGCATTTGATCAAGGAGCCTGGTGTTGCTCTGTAATACCATAGCTGCATTAAAACATGAATAATACACCAAGTGTTGTCCTTGGACAATGATGGTCTTCACAGAGATGCCATCACACTTAGATTCGGTGCCGGGGATGACACAGAAATAAGGCTGAGGCCCCGATTCTGCCTTGTGATTCAATTAATCACAGAAACCCTGCATTACGGATTAACACTAGTATCTGTTAATACAAAGTTTTATAGAGAAATAGAAAGACACACCACAACAGCGATTAGCACTGGTATGTATGATTCAAAATATATTTGTAAAGGCACAGGTACAATTGTGAGCATATATCACCAAAATGGTTGATATGCTCTGACATCAACTTCATCTTTCAGGGACACATTGAAATTGTCTCCTTGGTAACACCTTTCAATGAAAACTCACAAATCACTTAACTTGATGAAGTTTTTGTCCAGTTTTTGTCATGTTTTTTTGTCTGTATATTCTTTTCTATTTGTCTGTATTGGAGGACATATCATGAGAAAACTAAGTGCAAAATTGGATCTCTGCATTCAGATTTCTGTGAACCTCTGGCAGACCCAAACAGCAGGTTCAGACACAGTTGGATTCTTCACACCTCACAAGTCCATGGGCGGGCCACAAGCTCCGCCCCCAGCGCCTGGTCTGCAGGCCAGACCTCCAGAAGTAGAGAGGATGATAGCGGAACAAATGTAAATTGCAATCCTCTCAAGAAAGCTAATTATGATATCAGCTTTCATCATGCCCCCAAAGACATTAGTGTTTAAAGGGATATTCCGGCGTAAAAATAAGTTGGAGTCAAACACACCGTAATGACACCCCGTCGAGAGATGAATGTTGCAGACTGCTTGCTTCTCTAGTTATTCCAACTTTAGTAACAACCGCACTATAGCAATACACAGAGCCATGCGCTCAACCAAAAAGCCACTCTATAGCCACAAATAATGCTCAGAACAGCACCTAACTTCATCAACAGTACATATAGGGTCCCAGCCATAGCACTAGCCACCAAACATCTTTTTAACTTTCCCAGATTTCTTTAGCAAAGAGACCAAACACAACTCACCTACTCTCTTCCAGCAGCTGCTTGTTTGTACAGAGACCTCCGGGCGAGTCCATCAACTGCAGCAGGCGAACGCAGCTCAAGGAGGAACATTTATGATCATTTCTTAATTATTCTCTTGAAGTAATAATCATCACATCAATCATTTTGTACTGCAGACACGGTAGTTCTTCTGCCTTAGCGTCTCGGTCTGATTGCATTTCCATTAGGAAATGATCATAAATGTTCTTCCTTAAGATGTGTCACTCCGCTGCAGTCGATGGACTCGCCCGGAGGACTCAAAGATCCACTGATATGTTTGATAAGCATCAAGTGATATTGACAGGTTTTAATGTAGTGAGTCCCTGGGGCCTAGTTAAAACACATTGACTTCAGCCACTCTCATCTTTTTCATCTTTATCTCCCAAAAGGTTTATTTTTGGCAGCTTCAAACTAATAACAAATAAGTGTATGTTTGTTCTTTGCTAATGCAGAAATATGTAGTTTCAAGGCGACATCTGTAGATAGTGTCATCCTCTGTTGATAGTGAGCTGCCCCTTCTGCTGATACAAAAAGTATAGGCCTCCTAAAGATTTGGAGAGGGTGATACAGACTTTTACCAAACCTCATCTTGATTATTGTAAGTCTTTTAAAACAAAGCACCAGCAGCTCATTCAAAGTGCTTCTGCTCACCTCCTGACGGGGAAGAGAAAAAGGGATCATATCACACTTTCTCTGCCGTCTTCATTGGTTTCTAACCCTCCACAAAACTGATTTTAAATTCCATGTGATTTACCATAGCCTATAGCTTGAAAATTTCAAGCATATAGATTGAGTGTTAGTCCTTTGTACTTTTAACAAAATACCCCAAATTTTCAGATAAACATTGTAATTTATTCTTTATTCCATGTTTACATTGTTAAGAAATTAAACATGGTTAATCTGGAAAACTATTTACTTGCTGCTCAGTCATTTTCTCCTTGTCTCTATCTCCTCCCTCTCTCTTTTTCTCTATCTGTCTCTGAACTATCCCTGACTCCATGTCACTCTATCTTTCTCCCTGTCTCTCTCTCTCCCTCCGTTCTCAACTTAGCCACAACAGCTGAAGGCAGAGATTGCCCATTGCAATTCTTCCAAAATATTCTTGCCAACCAAGTAGGATGCTTGGAGAAAAAAAAAGACGAATGCATTTTTTATAAAAGCAAGGTTTATGCAATTTACATAATCATAAATAGTTCTCTGATCAGAATTTACTTCCTATTCAATTGCCATTTAGATAACCTTTACATCAATATTATGTTTAATTTGTCCTCTGTCACTGTACCCTCCATTATTAGTAAAAGCAGGTGTTAGAAACCTATGTAGTGAGTAAGTTTATAAGGTCAAACTTTTTTCCTGACCAGGCCCAAAATTAAGCACCAATCATAGCTGTAGTTCCAAGCTAGCTTTTTACATGAAGTTGTAAGTGTTGCACTTTCAAATAGAGAAAATACGGAAGTAAAATTTTAAAGCTTTTTCACATTAAGTTACAAATGCTCTTTCAGTACAGCTATACCATTGTCAACAAAGGAAATTATTTGACCAAATGCTTATTATCTAAGCAAGAGGTCTTGTCATGGCACTTGCTCATACATCATCTGAATGAGCCAGAAACTCTTTCAACAGTTTATAGCAAAAAAACACATTTTTCTTCAGGTAACATCACAGACACAAAATAAAAATTTACATGTCTGTAAGTTTACAACGTTTTTGTGTAGGCTGATTACCTGGCATCCCGGAAATCATCAAGTAACAGAAATGAGGACGATCACAGGCTTGTACCTGTTGCTTCCACTTCCACGGAGCTGAAGATCCAGGACGTAATTTCTAGGATTTTTAGACCCAACTGACATATTTTGGACCCAACATTCATACAGAGTCAAAAACAAGAGAGTGGGTCTGGTAGCCCATTACAACAAGGTACAATGTGAAACTGATAGTCCTGTCTGACATGTAACCTTCAACCTGTCACATTAACTGTTTTATGATTGATGATTTTCTCATGAGGTTTTTGCCAAAAAAGAGAGTTTGAACTTAAAGCTGTGAGTACAAAAGTACAAAACATATCTCAACCAAGGATAGAGGCTGTAATTTATATCCCAGTCTATTACATGGTTGTGAAGTTTTGAGTATGTTTACTGATCATAATCCACAGCGCATAAGGTTTCTTAGACCAGGGGATAAAACTGTGAGTGCTATTTTACAAAGGTAAGATGCTGCCCCCAGTACATTACCATGCTCACCTGGTCCATGGCACGAGTGATTATTCATTTCTACCATAGCACTACCATAGGACAAAGCTTATGGGAAAGGACATGTTCTTTCTCATTTTCCTTCTGGACAGCACTTGGTCTGCTATTTTGTCTTTTATCCTTCATTGGCAACAGCTCTGTTCAATCCGCGGTAGGACCCACAGCTTTCAATGACTGCTCCTTAAACCTGTAGTGTATCCACCATTCAGCTCCACTGCATGATCCTTGCACCTGCTGCCAACAGTAACTTTGGACTATAAAAGCTCTCAAAAGTAGATGCAATAACGTGAGCGTATAGCATTGTCAACTCAGTGATTGTGAAGAAAGAGTCAGAGGTCTGAGTCCATGCATAAGCCTCGGGTCAATATCCGGATACTGCCAACATTGGAGATACAACAGGTCACACTAGTTTCACTATCCTTCAGTGTTTTCCAAAGCCAACCTTTGCCAGCACTATTTGCAACTCCAAGTGCACCCCTGCGGTAGAGACCTTACAGTTGTGAGTGTAAGAAAGGCTGTGACCTGGATATCAATACCTAACTGATATGACTCTTAGCTTTATTAATCACATGCAGCTTGTCTTGCTGTCTGAACTTGAACATTTCTGTCCACGTTACTCTAAAAACCCTGACCTGCAATACCAGAGCAGGGGGCACTGACCTGTGACTTTGCCAGAGCACAGTTGGAGGCGCTGTTAAATCTGAGGGTGTAGAATCAAGCCATTGGTTAGAGATTTATACAATACAACTTGAGCGATGTTCACTTCCAAAAGAGAGTGTGTGTGAGGAGATCTGCTCTCTTGAATCTGACTGGACTAGTGCTCATCATTTTTTTCCCACATTCAATTTCAATGTCTTGTCAGACATCCAGTTTGGATACAAACTCACAGCCCAGCCCCTTATCTTGGCGTCAAAGCACTTGAATGTCTCCCAAGAGTTCATCAGGACCTAAATATCAGTGTCAGAGCACAGCTGGTGGACTTTTCTGTCTTTTGAGCCGCTTTATTCTGCACCAAAGAAGCCAAACCAAACTCCACGGCCAGTAGCTCCCCGGGCTTTTTAGCAAAGAGGGCAAAGAGTTTCAACTCCTCTTGGTCGGGTTGTGATTGTTGATCAAGCAGCAGAGCACCAACACAGAACATAAGCTTAAACAATACTGCAGCCTGTCAAATCCTAAAGGGCCTCATGTGTGAGCTGCATTGCTCTTGTGAGCTCTAAAAAAGTATTTTTATGGTTGTAGTTATTCTAGTGTGCGTGACAGCTTCATGGCTGTCTGCTCAAACTATAGTCAGGAGGCCCTTTACAAATTATACACACTGCAGTGCTGTGAAGTTAAGCATGCAAACTAGGATTAAATAAAAGCGTTATTGACAATAATTAACAATGTTTTTTTTACTCCGAGGTCAAATAGGAAAAAACAGTTTTTCTTGCTGCTTTTTTCCTCTAAGCTTAGTGTTTTAATAAGAAGAGAAATTATCCAAAACCTAAAATCCCTTTAAAGAAAAAATGCAGCAAGAATAAGCCACCATCCATATTTTTATTTTCTATCTTATTTTATTTTTTAACTTTTAAACTAAACATAGAGTTTTGAAGAGTAAAAGGGACCACAGAGGTTAACTATACTAAAGAGGTATTCAGGTAAAGTGACACATCCCGGTAGGATTGGGGATTATGCTTTTCCACATTCACAACACAAACTGCAAAGTTACAAAGTTTGGTGTCCATACTACATGTGTGCAAAGTTTCCAATCATGAGGTAAACGTTTGTTGTGAAAATCTTACAAAACAGATGTAAACTCAAATCTTGGATAAATGCGTGAAAATGTGAGACTTTAGTTGATGTGCAAGATTTACTGAAATACTTGGCTGAAATAATGATATTTCAATACACCACTGTGAGAAATTTGAGCCTTTTTTGTTCTGAAAATCACATAAAGCTATCAAAGAGGTATCAGAGATGAAATATTGATGAGTCTGAAAAAAGTGCACAATACCCCCCACCCCTTTAAACTTGTTCATGGCTACAAGGGACAAATAAAAACAGACCTTTATTTTGTTTTAAGCTTGCATTCTGAACAAAACCTCTGTAATGAAGATTACTCTCATGGTGTGTTCATAATTTGTAAATCGATATCAGTGCTCAAGCAGCTTTGTAGGATTTGCCAGTCTGGAGCTATTGGAAACCATTAGACGTCAGTCCAACCCAACCATGAAATGAGTGAGTTGGTAATTAATGATTCTCACAGTGGATCTTTTAGAGTTCTGAGAGGGAAAAAAAGTGTAGCCAGAGGAGGAGTTAAAATCCGGCACAGAGAGGCATTATGATTTTTATATAAAGACTTACAAAACAGCCATTAGAAACGATTACTCTGTTTGCACACAACTTGTAATGACATCCATAGAGTGTCATATTAGTGCCTTGACCTTAGACTTTGAGTCATTTCTTAAACTAGTTCCTACTTGATAGTTTTCCAAGCCTTTAGGCTTAAAGCTCTTTTTCAGCAACAAACAGGAAGGGGACCAAAATGCTTGAAAGGCCCTTATTTGGTGTATTCAATGACCCCAAGGCTAACATATCCTCTTTTTCTTTTCAAAAAAAAAGAGAAAAAATGAGAGTAAAATGAGTTCATTAATCCTCACCACACAGGTTTTTCCATCGTCCATCAGCCACCCCACTATACCTTCATTTTCTGCTCCACCTGTCCACTGGAGGGCAACATTCACCCACTTCCTTGTCACCAACACATACATTGCGCACCTGTTAACATCATTGACTCATCTCCACTTGCCTACACACCTTATTTGATTTCCTGCATGTATCCTTGAACATTAATAACCTCTCCAGTGCTTCCCTTTGTGATGTTGTCACAGTCATGCACTTCTACTTTAGCCAAAAACTGGTCCTGGCTATCTACCTTCACGAGCCTGAATATCAGCCTGTTCATTTCAGAGAGGTTCAGTACAGTCCTTCATCCTGTTGCCTTGAGAGTGAACCCTTTTTTACAAAAAAAAAACAAAAAACTAAGAATCATTGAATCCTTGCTGGTCATGTGAAAAACTGACCCATGAGTCGCTACAGAAAATTGTTTATCTTATATTTTACTTCAATTCTTTTTACAATCAAAGCTGGAAAAGAAATAAAGTTAAAAAAAAGTTGTTCATCACTTTTGCACGAGACATTTTATGTGTGTCAAGCAGTGTTGTTAAAGTTGTGAAGAAAAGATGAATGAGAGGGGTTGAGTACAGCTCTTATAAGCCATCTCTTAATAAGCACCTCATGATAAAGGTACTAACATAACAGACAAATCATGATAAATAATTAAAAAAAAAAAGAACATGATAAGAATAAAATGATCAAGCTCTTTTCCTTGTACCTTTTTTATGATCCTGTAGGGGGAGC